GAAATCGGACAGAGTCTTCGGTGAACCGGAGCACCCGCATAAACCTTGTGGCCTATTGAGGGGACGTAGTATATATAGTATTGAACTTGGCGAAAAAGAAAGAAACAGAAAAAAAAAAAACAGAGCATGCGTGGTTGCAAAGGACAGTATCATAGCCATAGCATAGCACGCGACCAGTTGAGCCAACGTTGGGTCTTTCTGTATCGTCAAGCGAGATACTTGAAATGTACACCAATTTATCGAGTGTAGCCCTTTGAAGAAGCTGTACCTTTGACGTTTTCTTGCAACGCGTTGCTCCCACCTGGTCCTCTACGAACTACCGCCTCTTATGGCTATTATTATTGCAGTCCAATTGTCCATCAAATCACATCAAGACGATATTGATTAGGCTACTTTACGTCTCGCGGGGAGGGGCGAATGGAAAGCACCGGCCCCATGCACGGCAGTCCCAACTCAAAGGTTCGCGCGTGTGCGGGGCCAGAGGCATGGGCGCGCGCGCCGGGGCGGATATGAAAAGGGTGCTGGCGTGGCAGGGTCGACGGTCGAGGTCGGACAAATTGGCTTCCTATTAATGGCCACCTCTACCTCCGTCATGCCCCTATTCGGTAAAAGAGCAGAGACGCGGAACGAACGATCAATCCCCGGAAGCGGACATTGCCCCCTCCCCTCCGGAAAGCCGGTCGATCATGAGGCAAGGAAGGAGGCCTTGGAATATGTGAGATCGTCTCGCTTCTTCTTACGACGGGTTGTGGGCATATTATGTATAAGTAGGTGTTATGGGAAATAAAAGGTATGTGGAGGGGCGAGCAGGGTGTACATGTGGTTGATACAGGATGTACATGTAGCGGATGGGATGAACGGGAGGGAGCTTGGGAGGCACAGTGATGTGAGGAGCGACGAGGGTGGAGACAGACGAACAGAGCGAAGCCATGACTGAAATTATTGGAGAAACGGGTAATGTTCCAGAAGAGATTCGAAAACAATGGAGAATACAGACGTAATGCCAGATAGCGCAACTTGCTGCCGCCGAGGCGAGATGCCGCATCGCGGCGATCGCTCACGCTTGCCGAGTTTGGGAAATGTGGGCATTTGTATGGGGCGGCACTTGTGTCTCCTCGTCTCGAGCTGCACGCATGTGCGATATCAAATTCAGAGGTTCACTCCTGCCACGAATCAATTTCAATGCATTTCAGATGCTGATTGAAAGCCAAAGCAAAGGGGAAGAAAAGCCTGGATAAAAAACTAATGACAAGGCAGAACGATGCGTTGCGGGAAGATGAGAGAAGGCGAGAAAGACACGAGCATGTGAATTGCCCCTTCAAGTCTTTCACCAATGGGATGGGGAGAGAATGAGTCTTGTTTTCGAGGCACAATCTACGGGAATTGCGAAGGAGAATAAAAGCTCTAAACGAGAGAGGTATATAAATGAAGAACCATTGTGGTGTTGTTCGGGGGTATGGGGTATGGAATCTGTTGATGGATCCATCCCTCCGCTTCGCGTTTGCGTGTAACCTCTTGATTTCCCCGCTGACAACATGGCCCTGATCGGGGTTAAAGAGCCTGCGCTTTCTATGTAGGTAAGGTATATGGTGGTGGGGGTAGGTTGGAGAGATCAATCCATCCCTGGATCCATCTAGATGATGGATGTGAGGACCGGGAGGGACCCAAAGAGGGGAGGAGTAGGTGAGGAAGCATCATGGATGCAGTGATCAATATCGAGATCGGTGACCTTCCTTTCAGATCTAGGGAGGTAAGACTCTAAATTGGAGACAAGCTTCCAGATTATTATTCCTCTCAACCTACTGGCCAATCCCGACTGGTAGCCCAGTCAGAGTTTGAAATGGGCATCAATTTCGTGTAAGCATCCATGGATCAATGTTTGGGGAAAGATTTCGTACATCGATAGATCCCCTGGACCCATGGATCCATAGATCATTGATAAGTGGATTGAATGGATCGGTGGTGGGTGGAAAGAACAATACATGGACAGACAGCAGACTTGGAGATCGCGAGGGCCATCATCGACAACCTCGCCTCGAAGCGGATAAATGTTGGGCAACAAAAACATTACAATGGAACATTTCAAGCCTCCTGACGTTGCTTGCAGACAGAAACACGGCAGTACATCAAATGCACAGCGCTGTAGATGTATGCTCCGGTCGAGTCAGTCTACTACCGATATTACTTCCTCATACCGACACAAAGTATAGACTGGGGTCTGGTGTTTCTCTCTCGCGAGTGTTAACCAAGTTGAGGAGTAATAGCACTTGAGCTGCTCAATCAATCGCCAGACCAATCAGCGGAGCTCCATAGGCAATCAGGGATCGAGGATCAAATTGCTGAGCCGGGAGTTTCAATCATAGCTCGGCAGTCTCTCTTTTCTCTCTCCAGCTGGCTCAGGTGCGCCTCGTAGAGAACTGCTGAATCCGGCAAAAATCCAAGAATCGAAGTACACATATCCATAGATCCTCTAGTACATTAATGTATTAGTGGTAAGAGGGCTCGACGGCGGTAGTTTAATGTATTAGAGCGCTGGCTTCGAGGTATCGTGGTTAGAATGGAGATGAGATGGATCCATTAATTCTACCCAGTCTGACATGTCCAGACCAACAAGTGCTTCAAGACCTCGAGGCTCTCTCCACCATTGATCTGCCTCTTGATCACGCTCTTTCTTTTCTTTGAATTTTTCTATTATTTTAAACTGCCCTTGTTGCTTTTTTCCTACTACGTTAGCGTACCGACCTGCAACCTCGACATGTATCATCATGCTCTCGATAGCCAAAGCCGATTTAAGCTTGTTCTTCCCCAGCAACTGATGGTCCTTTTGATTGAGTTGACCGGTTGTCGCGTCCCATCATAGGACATCAATACTACCAATGATCTATCAAAGAGCGATGCCGGCGATGAAGAGCTATCACGTTCATTCGAAAGCGCCGCTCGCCCGTATCAATTATACTAGATCAAATGTATCTTGATAAACCCATGTACTTTGCCAGCCACCAAAGATCCAAAGGCAGTCAGATCATGGTTTAGGGTTATCACGTCTCCAGTGCGTCGGACTTTCTGTTGCTCTCGGTAAAAGGGAGGATCGAATCAAATGATTTTTATTTTATTTTGTTTCCTAGCTAGCTTTGGTGTAGACAGGAAAGGCTAAGGATGGAAATAGGTGCATAGGGACGATAGACTCATCCAGATGGCAGGTCTTGCGGCAGTCCAAAAGACATTCGCCAGCACGACCCTGTCCCTCCATGCAGCGATGGTTGAGCAATGAATCAGGCTCCCTCAACGTTCAGTGTCATTGTCATTCTTTCCCTCGCCAAAGTTAGCAAGTACTTTTGGTAGATGGGGTGCAGCGTGCCAGTGCCCAGGATAGATTGACCAGATCCATGGATGGATCAATGGACCCCGTTGTTCATGTTCCATCCATACATCAATTGATGGACAGCTCGAGATCTCGCCAGACGTCCGTCTCTGCCTCCCGCCCTTCTTGTTCACCTCAATCCAAATTACACCCTTAGGCAATGTTGTTTCCTCCCTCTTTTAATTGTCCTTCCTAAATGACCATGTTCCAACGGATGTACACCCCACACTTGGCTAATATTTCTCTTGCACGCCCTCGTGGTTTCGATGATTATCGTCCTTGTCACCCACATAAACACACACCCCCTTCTCCCGCGATGCACGCCACCCTCTTTCCCTCCCCACGCCCGGCTCAGTGCGTCCAACTTTGACGACCCCCTCCAATTCCATCATCAATCTACCATTGATGCCAGCGACTTCGACCTGTACCGTGCCGAGCGGCCTCCCCTCTAACACAGACGTAGACGTAGATGTAGGCATGGTTCGTAGCAGAGAGTAGGCGCGAACGATCAGCGTTGTCCATACTCTCTTTTCTTGTTCTTTTTTCTCTTTCTTTTCCCACCCCCGTGTCATTGCTATCCGTCCATGTAGTCTCCATTACAGTGACACCCCTCATTTGACTACTACTAGTTCTAGCGCTGATTGCTCTCGCGGTCCATATTCCCTGTCCTTTTTCACTTATACCCACAATACACTGCTTAATGGAGATCCATCCTTTGGTAGGCGAGGACGAGAGAGCCTCGCTCCCACACTCTCTCTCGCCCGGGCACACACGCACGCACTATCCCCCACCCAGTCTTTTGCCCTCTCTCTCTCCCTCTCTCCCCTTCGTTGCCGCGATGATCGTCCACACGTCTATACCCGTACGAACCCAGGATCCCCTATTCACACGCCCCTCCTTCCTTGCCTCGAGGACGGAGGGGGAACTAACAGTCTGGCCCTGGTTCCCTTCCCACACTCGCTGATTTCCCTTGTTAGTCGTCTCCATGAACATAAAAAACATGTCCTCCCCTGTCTCATGTTCCTCCCATCTCCCTGAACCTGTGACCCGGAGAGATCTTCGTCAAGAAACCAAGAGAGAAACTTCTCAGTCTTTGGTTGCTTCGTTTCATTCTTCTTCCTTTTTCTTTTCCTTCCTCCCCCTTCCCGACTTAGACCTTGTTTTTCTCTATCCCAACTTCCTTCGACTCAGCAGATATCTAGCCTCGCTTTACACAAAGAGCCTGATAGTATAAGTCACATCTCCTTCACCTTCCTGTGAGCTCGGGCACGCTTCACAGTCTGCAACTTCCCTGCCCTGGAGGCATAGACTTGGCACGAGATTTCACCTGGAAACCGCCTGCAGGACCTATTCTTTGACCAAGATGTCAAGCTCTGGAGCATCCGGAGGTGGTGGAGGCGGCGGCGGCGGCGGTGGTGGTGGTGGTGGTGGCGGTCACGGCGGAGGAGGCGGCGGCGGCGGCGGACCGAGTGCGTTCCCTCTGCTTTTGCAAAGAGAAGCGAGATGAATATCGAGACGATGGAATACTACGCCGCCGGCCTTTGCGGTCTTATGGGATTGTTCATCTTTCTTCACCTTACGAGGGTATTTGCCCAAAAGAGCGGCCTTAACAAGGCGACCATATTCGCCCCTTTCCATTATGTCTCAAGGTAAGCACAGAGGGAAATAAGGATGAGAGTGGACAGGGTCAAGACGACAAGAAATAATCTCGAGCTTGTTGCTCTCTCTGGATACAGATTGCAGAAAAGCGGCCAGGCAAGCCTACGCTCTTTAATCACAGTGCTAACCCTACTTTTACTATCATTAGAATCGTCAGGAGAACATTTTTACCAAGGTTTCCTGGTCTGCCATCACGCGGACACGCCGTACTAGCTTTCCTGTTCATCGCTATCAACGTCATCGTTTCCTTTGTCAACATGGACAACAAAAGTCTCGGTATCCAAACGAACCTCGCCGCGAGGTGGGGATGGTATGTAACACATCCTTGTGACGGATCTTGTTCCCGCAAACTCGGGCCTATGAGACGAATCCTAACATCTCCCGTGTCAGGCTGGCCGTCGCCAACATGGTCGTTACCGTCTTCTTATCGCTGAAGAACACCCCGCTCGCGTACATATCCGCCTGGTCCTATGAGCGTATCAACGTGCTGCACAGGATCGCGGGCACCGTCACGCTCGGCGTCGTCATTCTCCATGCGTGCACCTACGCCTCGTACTTTGGCAATTCCAACAACATCAAGCGCCTCCGCGAGCACGAAGAGATCTACGGCATAGTCTCCGGCTTCACCATGTTCGTCCTCGTCGCGTCCGCCCTCATCATCCGCCGATTCACCTACGAGCTGTTTTACTTTATGCACATCGTCTTCTTCCTGGCCACCGTCGTCTTCGTCGGCCTTCACCAGCCCGAAGTCGCCAAGAAGATTGCGATTGTGACCTGCGTCGTCGGCGGTCTCTGGGTCTTTGATAGGTCCGTTCGCTTCATCCGCCTCGTGTTTTACAGTGTCAACAACGAAGCCGTCGTGTACCCCTCTCTGAAGGCGGCACCCGCATCAAGCTCAGAAAGGGCCCCGGCGGCGATGCGTCCGGCTCCCACTGCTTCGTCTGGATCCCCGGCGTTCGCTTCTTTGAGATGCATCCCTTCACCGTTGTCTCGTCTGCGTCCAACGAGTTTGTGGTCTCGTCTCACGATGGGTTCACCCGCGACCTCCACAGATTTGCCGCGGCCAATCCGGGTAGGAGTTTGATGGCTTCCGTGGAGGGTCCCTATGGCACGTTCCCCAACATGCCATCTTTTGATCGAATCCTCATGATCGGCGGCGGTAGCGGCGCCAGTTTCACCACAGGAATGGCCCTGAGGGTGTTGAACAAGTGGAACAATAAGCTGCCCATCGAGTTTCACTGGATGGTTAGACACCGGGGTAAGTGACGGCCTGCTGCTTTGGCCTTGTGATACGCGGAAGAGCGAACAGATTCTGACAACCCCCGCCTCTCTCTACAGGATACTTTAAGTGGTTTGCCGACCACCTCGTCGAGCTCCGGGCCAGTGGCAAGGTCAATGTCAACATTCACGTCACCGGAAACACCCCGCCGCCCTCCATCGACGAAGAGAAGCCCAACCTCTACCTAGCAACGCCTCCACGCTCCACCACGCCCATCGAGATCGATCGTGACCTCCGCTCTGTCGACATTGAGAAGATGGACGAGATTGAAAAGATGGAGATTGCGTCTCAGCCCTCGTCACCCGCACACTCCGAGCACCTACCACCCTGCTCCGGAAACTGCGGGGCTCACCATCTTTGCCTTGATACCGGCATCGAGATCTCGGAAGGACGTCCGAACGTATCGCACATCATCAGAGAGAGGGTGGCCGCCGCCGGTAGGACAGAGCGCATTCTCGTCATCGGGTGCGGGCCCACGAGTCTCATGGATGAAGTACGCAACACGACGGCAGACTGCATCCGATGTGAAGGCCCTGCTCTTGAGCTCCACTGTGAGCAATTCGGTTGGTGAGGAAGCAAATGCTATAAATCATGACTTCTCACGGCCGGCCTTTCTTCTTCTTGGGACAGTTCTACGTGTTCGACTTTCTGCTCCCGTTGACGCTCCATAATTCCTCCCAGGGAATATGTGGCGACGCTTTTTTGGGGTTTTTTTCCCCTTCCGGATATTAGTTTCTTTGCACGGCGTTTCTATGGTGGGAGCTAGTTCCCTTTGTCATTTTCTTTTCGTTTCTCCTTCGCTTCCTCTTCCTCCTCAGACATCTGCAGCTCCAGTTTTATACCACACTTTGGTTCGGTGAGTTTTGGGGCTCATGTATGGGCCGGCACTTGGAAATGGTCAAAGAACAAGAAAAAAAAAAAAAATCCTCGCGGGATTGTTATTCTCTCCTGGCGCAGTCTAATCTAGGCTTGCCTGAAGAATTACAGGACACTCTTGGTAGTCGAGTGATGGCTTATGACAGCTAGCCAGAATGCTGGAAGGGGAGGTTATTTACCATAACTCAATATATATACATATATATCCTTGATAGATATCTGGTGTTTGCGGTAATAGACTGTGCGTCATATTAGATTGAAAACTCCCTTGAAAGACGCGCGGGTTGAAGCCGTGGATGACCACGTTGTTAGACTGAGCATTTTGGCCGAGCGATCTCTGTGTGAGACCTTAGTAATCTGATTTGTTGCGACCTTAAAGCGGGGTGGTTTAAATAGCCAAATTGGATCAAGGCCCTTCAACGAATCCCAAGGAGCTCAAGTCGTATAGTGGTTAGTACGTCACGTTGTGGCCGTGAAAACGGAGGTTCGATTCCTCCCTTGGGCAACGCCCAATATTTTTGCTATTTTCCGTGCGAGGGCAGCCCGGAAAGGCCATCAGCGCCTTCGCAGGGTGCCATGTCCGCGCAAAGCCAACCAGCTAACCAGCCATTCCATTCTATGGAAGTTGGTAGCTGGTTTGCAACTTCCTCTTTGTATTACTGTTTCTCTTTTTCTTCAGTCCAATATAGGATTTTCAACTACACTTACTTATCATTACTTATCATCATATTACCGTTGCTCTTCTCGCTCTATTTCATTGCTAACATTATCAACTCTATGAAACAACTTGTCTTGTTATCATATCATGAAGAATAAAAGGTAGTTAGTGATACTTTTACACAGTCCTATGATTTAATTTTTAGGATTCTTTTTATATATAGATCGATCAGTCTAGGAATTGGCCGCTGTAGCCTTTCTCTGCTATTTCATGAGCATTATATTACATTCCTTGGCTTGTTCCTGGTATGCTAATGGGCAGCCTCCTCTCACTGGAGGAAGATGTGGGAGAATATCGGATAAATAAATAGGTCTAATACAAGTACATCCTCTGCACTCCCACCGCGCCATGACCGTGTGCAGGAGCCCAGTGAGGACTATCAACCATTATTGCCATCTCTCCATCTACAAAAAAGTTTCTCGACTTCTAGCTTGTTGCTCCCACAACACACACGCCATCATTCTAGAATCCCCCACCACTTCACCCTCCTCTCACTTGGCTCGCAAATTTCAATCTCTGTATACTTTGTTGGAGCCTTTGTCAACACATTCTTGACGCGTCTTTGGCGCGCGTTAAGTGGTTTTCCACTGGACCTCAGTCACAATGGCTCCTAGTCGCCAGAATGGCGTTGATGCCGACGCGTCAATGCCTGACGCACCAGATCATCACAACGCCTCTGAAATGGTATGTATCTATTATCAACGCGCTCCTCGATCCCGGTACCCCCGGCGTCTCATCCGTAGCTAGCGAATCAAGTATCATCGTGTTAATCATTTGTCGGCCAGCAGGAAGTTGATACACCCGATTATTCAGACTCCGACACCCAGCCGAATACCACAGCTAGCAGCGTCGTCGGCGAACCGACTGCAGATGGCCGTAAGCGTAGGACGGAGGCCAACCAGCTTCGTCGCAGCGTCTTTGGCAAAAGCACGATAGGCTCGGGGAGTCCAAGGTGCGTTAACTTGCGTTCCGCAAGCGAAAACTTGTAGCCCCTGCGCGCATTCTGACCCTCGTATTAGGAGGACGACACCATTCGCCGATTCCGATACCTACTCGGCTTGACAGATCTATTCCGCCATTTTATCGAGACTAACCCCGACCCGAAGATTCGCGAGATCATGGTTGAAATCGATCGCCAAAATTCAGAACATGACAGCCAGAAGGCTGGTGCGCGTCGCCAGGGTGGCGCTACCAACGGCCGTGCGCGGCGAACGGAAAAGAAGAAGACGAGGAACTGCTGAAAGACGAAAAGAGAGGTGGCGCGGCCGATACAGTCTTCCGCGACTCTCCCTCTTTCATCCAAGGCACCATGAGAGATTACCAGGTCGCGGGCCTAAACTGGCTTATCTCACTCCATGAAAATGGTATATCCGGCATCCTTGCCGACGAGATGGGACTCGGCAAAACCCTCCAAACCATTTCGTTCCTCGGTTACTTGCGCCATATGATGGGGATCACCGGACCGCACCTTGTCTTAGTACCAAAGTCAACGCTAGATAACTGGAAGCGAGAATTCGCGAGATGGACGCCTGAAGTAAACGTCCTGGTCCTACAAGGCGCAAAGGAAGAGCGTCACCAACTCATCAACGACCGCTTGATCGATGAGGATTTTGATGTCTGTGTTACAAGTTACGAGATGGTTCTTCGGGAAAAGTCGCATTTGAAAAAGTTTGCTTGGCAGTACATCATCATTGATGAGGTAGGACTAGTCACGGTGACCAGAGTTTTCCAGCCTGTGCTAACTTTGCTTCCTCCCCACCTCTAGGCGCATCGTATCAAGAACGAAGAATCTTCGCTTTCTCAAGTTATTCGTCTTTTCCAGTCCCGAAACCGACTTCTAATCACCGGAACGCCGCTACAGAACAATCTGCACGAGCTTTGGGCCCTACTCAATTTCCTTCTTCCTGATGTCTTTGGTGATTCCGAGGCATTTGACAACTGGTTCAGCGGCCAGGACCGTGACCAGGACACCGTCGTCCAACAGCTGCATCGCGTCCTCCGTCCCTTCCTCCTACGCCGTGTGAAGAGTGATGTCGAGAAGAGCCTTCTTCCCAAGAAGGAGGTCAACCTCTATATCGGCATGTCTGAAATGCAAGTTAAATGGTACCAAAAGATTCTCGAAAAGGATATCGATGCTGTCAACGGCGCGGGTGGCAAGCGGGAATCCAAAACGCGACTTCTAAACATTGTGATGCAACTGAGGAAATGCTGCAACCATCCTTACCTCTTCGAGGGTGCTGAGCCTGGCCCGCCATACACCACCGATGAGCATCTAGTCCACAACGCTGGCAAAATGGTGGTTCTCGACAAACTTCTAGGCAGGCTGCAAAAGGCGGGAAGCCGCGTTTTGATTTTCTCCCAGATGAGCCGCCTGCTTGACATCTTGGAAGACTATTGTGTTTTCCGCGAGTACAAGTACTGCCGAATTGATGGCGGCACTGCCCACGAGGATCGAATTGCGGCGATTGACGAATACAACAAACCTGGGTCGGAAAAGTTTGTGTTCCTCTTGACGACCCGCGCCGGCGGTCTCGGCATCAACCTGACCACTGCCGACATTGTAATTCTTTACGACAGCGACTGGAATCCTCAGGCTGATCTTCAAGCCATGGATCGCGCCCACCGTATCGGCCAAACGAAGCAAGTGGTAGTTTACCGCTTTGTGACTGACAACGCTATCGAAGAAAAGGTTCTCGAGCGAGCAGCCCAAAAACTGAGGTTGGATCAACTCGTTATCCAGCAAGGTCGGGCCCAGATTGCCGCCAAGGCCGCCGCAAACAAGGACGAGCTGCTATCCATGATCCAGCACGGAGCACAAAATGTCTTTTCCACAAAGGGGCTACCGGCTTGATCGCCGATAAAGGGGCCGACCTCGACGACACCGACATGGACGCCATTCTTAGCCGTGGCGAAAACCGTACCAAGGAACTCAACGCCAAATACGAGAAACTTGGCCTTGACGATCTTCAAAACTTTACTTCGGAGTCCGCGTACGAATGGAACGGCAAAGATTTCCAGAAGAAGAAGAGTGATCTCAATTTGATGACCTGGATTGAACCGGCCAAGCGTGAGCGCAAGGAACAGTCATATTCAATGGACAAATACTTCAAACAGGCCATGTACCCAAGCAGCAAGACGGAGCAGAAGCCAAAAGCCCCGCGAGCGCCTAAGCAAGTTCTTGTTCACGACTACCAGTTTTACCCCCTCGCCTGCGGGAATTGCAGGACCAGGAAACGGCCTACTATCGAAAAGAAGTCGGCTACAAGGTTCCTCTTGCCGAGGGCGAGGAAGACACTCTCGAGGACCGTCAAGCTGAACAAGCTCAATTACAGGAAGAGATCGACAGTGCTGCGCCTTTGACTGAGGAAGAGCAGGAGGAGAAGGCAGAGCTTTCCGAAAAGGGGTTCGGGGAGTGGAACCGTCGCGACTTCCAACAATTCGTCAACGCCTCTGGCAAGTATGGCCGTACCGACTACGAGAGGATCGCCGAAGACATCGACAGCAAGACTACGTCCCAAATTAGGGCATATGCTAAGGTCTTCTGGCAGAGACATACGGAAATCTCGGACTACCAAAAGTACATCAAGGTAATCGAAGACGGCGAGGAGCGGATGCGACGTGTAGAGCACCAGCGCAAGATGCTGCGCAAGAAGATTTCGAGCTACCGCGTCCCCTCCAGCAATTGAAGATCAATTACTCCGTCTCCACTACGAATAAGAAGGTTTATACGGAGGAAGAAGACCGTTTCCTTCTCGTTTTGCTCGACAAGTATGGGATCGATAGCGAGGGGTTGTATGAGAACATAAGGGAAGAAATCCGCGAAAGCCCGCTCTTCAGATTTGATTGGTTCTTCCTGAGCCGCACACCTATCGAGCTCAGTCGAAGGTGCACTACTCTCCTGACGACCATCATCAAGGAGTACGAGGACGTTCAACCATCAAAGGCAAACGGCGATAAGAAGTCCAAACGCGAACCCGATGACGAGGAGAACGACGAGGATAGCATCCTTGGAATGGCACCGGCGAAGAAGAAGTCGAAGAATGGTGTCAAGGTATGTGGCATTACCCCCATATTCCCCAGTTGCCCGCCTGATCTTGCTCAGCACATCTCTTGGGGCTCAATCAGTTTCTAACAACTCCATAGAACAAAGCGCTTGACAATGTCAAATCCGCCACATCCAAAGGAAGCAAGTCGAAGTCGGCAACCCCATCACGGGCTTCGAGCGTCGCCAGTAACGCGTCCGGCGGCACCACGTCGAAGACCAAGTCCAAAGGCCGAAAGAAATAAGCTGGAGCAACAGCAACGTTTGGACAATCCCGGGGCCAAACGATCAATTTCAGCCACCCGCATATCCGCGGACTCTCGGCCTCTTCGCGCTTCCCTTGGTCTCTAATTCTGCATTTACTTGCTTGCCCTGCTAAATAAAGCCCCCAAAGTTTTGTAGTTGCTGCTTTGGAATGGCATCTTCCCCTTGCGGTTTCTGTTCTTGTTTCCTTTTTGACACGGCGTTGGAAAATGTTGAAAACAGGGTGAGGTTGGTTGGCTGGTACATTGGCAGAGTGCCACTCTCGACACTCTCCCTTCCCACGGACGCCTTGTTCCCCCGCGTTTTGGTCACCATTTTATCTTGGCTAAGCGGGGAAGTTTTGAGTCGGATGGGAGAGGAGTAAATACGGAAAACGGCGGTTACATTCCTGGATGCTTGATAGATAAATATGCTTCGATATACAACAATGGAAAACACCGAAACGAGTAAAATAAGGACTTCTCCCTAACCAAGCAAGCATAGTGATCTGAAATTGCCAAGGCTGTGTGTGATACCATCAGCTCTTTGTAACTCGTAATGTCTAACCCTCCTTATTCTAAGGACAACTTTGACGAAGACACAAGAGAACCCGCAATTCACGGTATTAGATACCCATGGATCCCCACATTTTTTTCCCTTTAATCTTGAATCATCCGTCATCTTTTCAAATCATTACAAACCGATATGAGAGCCCATCACCTCCCTGGATTCTCCAGACATGAGCCCATACCGGGGAACTCCAAAACGCCGAGCATGCAAGACACTCAATGGTCTGTCTTTCTGTAAAGGAGATACGCAAAGGCAAGCCACCTAGGGTTTCTTTCTTCAAGAGTTCCTGTTGATGCGCTCCCTCTCAACCTCGTAAAGGAAGTCGAAGTAGCCCTTATCGAAGTGGTGAACACGCACGTATCCGTCCTCTCCACCACTGCAGTAGCCCTTGCCGGTAGGATCGACAGCAACGGTGTTCTAAAAGAGAGTCTATGTTAGACGTAGCTAACCAAAAACAAAAAAGTCCGTTAAGGGCACGGAAGACTTACCAAGGGACCGAAGTGACCACGAACACGGCCAATCTCGTCCTCGAAGATCTTGTGATAGAATCGAGCCTCGAATTTACCCTGGCGAGCAGCGGTAGTGGTGACATCCATAGCGGCCTGACCACCGCCAAGGATGACGAACTCCTTCTTCGTGGTCATGGCAGCACTGTTGAGGGAGTGTCGCTGGGGTAGGTCTTGAGAACCTCGAGGTCCTTGGCGGTGATGAGCTTGGAAGTCTTGTCCTTGCAAGCGGTGATGAAGTAGGTTCGGTCCGAGGACCACTGGAGATCGGTAATGGGCTGGTTAAGATCGTGAATGGCATAGTTGATGATAAGCTCTCCAGTCTTGCCGTCGTATTGGGAGATGGATCCGTCCTCGTGTCCGGCGATGATATACTTGGACATGTAGCTGAACCCGGCAACAGTCGCCTTGCTTCGGTCGCAGACAATAGTAAGCGCCCTCTCATCCGTTTGTTCGGCCTCAGGGTCCATGGTAACATCAAAGACGATGATGTTGCTAAGGAAACCCATTCGCTTTTCAGTAACGCCAAGGAGCTTCGTGGCATCTTCGTTGAACTCGACGCGCTTCACAGCGGTGGGGAACTCCCAGGTCTTGATACACCTTCCCGTCTTGACCTCCCACATGCGGATAGTGTTGTCGGCAGAGCCGGATGCGGCGATGGTGCTCGTGGGATCGACATCGACAGTCCAGATCGCACCAACATGGCCCTTGTAGGTACCCAGACGCTCGCCGTTATGAGAGAACCACACGCAGATCTGGTTATCCTTGGATACGGAAAAGATCAGATCGCCATCGGCGTTATAACTAGAATAAAAGACAAGATGAAGTTAGTTTTCCACCTCGACACGGCGAGGTCATCCGACCAGGGGCGGACGCGAAGGAAGAGGGGGTATGGTGGGTGGAGGGTGGGATTGCGTACCGAACCTGGGTGAGCGCACGCTCGTGCCCAGATAATAGAATAGGCCTCATCTTCGCAAGATATACGTAGGAGAGGAGGGGGAAACAGGAAGAATAAAAGTTTCTCGAACTCGGACTGGGTATTACGAGCCAGAGTATTTGTAGCTCAGCGGAGGGCGGGCGGGAGGATGGCAACCAACTCAAGGCAGCGTCGTCAAAAATTCTGGGCTTTGGCTCGAGATTGTGCGTTTGTGCATGTGTGGGGCAAGTCCTGAAAGTTCCCCGCGGAGGAGCAGAGGTTGAATTTTAGTCAGCGAGAAGGGGTCCGTGGCTGTCATCAGCACTCGCCACGACGCCACATTCGTCGACAACGAGCGCGCGACCATGGGGCGATGAGGCCAGAATCAGAATCAGTGCAGCATTTAAATCGGCTTCAAACATATATGTTAATCGACAAGAATACAGGATCTGTTCAGTTTTGACGAATAGGAAGATAGTCGCTCTTTTATCTCGAGCTGAGAGTTCCAGTTTTATCAAGGCGAACCCCCCCGGCCAGCCACATTTCCAACAGTCCAAGACCTGCCTGCCTGCGATACCTCCCCTTTGAGAGGCCGGGTCTCACTCTGTTCAATTCCTGGAGTTCAGGTGCAATCTCTGCTTCTTCTTTTTCTTTTATTGGGTATCCATTCCAGAACCAGTTGGTTATTCCTTCGAGCGTGAAAAGTAGCCTTCCTTTTCCCAGAACGACGTAATCGCCAGCAGGTTTCAACCCTCGCCTGAAGAAGCCTGCCACGTTTATCACGACAATTCGTTTCCTCCTTCAAAGAGAAGTGGCGAATCGGCAGGTCAGCGTCGGTTTCTTGATAGAAAATTGCATCTATTAGAGACTCAGGGACGTTTCTGTTACTGCAGGTTCAACACCTGAAAGATCCCGGCAGCGTCCCCGTCCCATCCTGAGAGTCTGACTTCATTGTGAGTAAGGTACTTTTGTCCAATAACGCCCAAATTCATTCCAGTCCCCGTTTGATGCTGTCCAACCCCGAACAGGGGAAGAAGAGATGAAGCGTGCCAGGCAACAGTCACAAACCTTCTTCTTCGCCAAAGATGATTCCTGGATATAATCACAGCAGCCGTTACTAACAAGTTATTGGGCCGCTCAAAGGGTGGTCTCGGTCAGGCAACAGTGCCTCCTCCGTGCGAAACGCGAGGATTCAGCGTAACCAGCTTAACCTTGCTCCACCGTTGATTTTCCCTCCCAGTTTTATTTTGAGTTTTTATCTTCTCTTTTCCAGGGAGACAGCCCAAGTCAGAGGCAGGCAATGCGTTGTTACCATGCCATTGTTAGCGCTCAATCAACGCTGGTGACAAGTGCAGGAGACCGAAGTTTCTGGGCCATCGAAAGATAGCGCGGCCGCCGACAGGATCTTGCCATCAGCCAACCGCATGCATGCACAGTTTGCGCCATCATTTCAGGACCCCTTTGGCCTCTCAAATAAGCGTATGCGGCACTAATGGCGGCCTACCGAACCACCCCAATGACTCCAACAGTGGGGCGTTGAAGCCGATTTCCATCCTTAGGCCCGACTTCAACCGCGGTTCAAATGTACATGTACGTACTGGCACACATGCTTACCGTTGCGTTGCGAGGGTGTTTCCCGACCGCCAGCAGTCATCACTCCCTTCCATGTTCTGACTTGACTCGCTTGTAACTCTAGCCCTTGACCGTAACGGCGCGAGGGATCTGCAGTGTCCGCCTTTATCGCCCGAGGTCGTCGCGATCTTTTCCTCAAATCACCAAAGCCCTCCGGCCATCTTCGGGCAACATCTTTCTTGCCCGCTCACACTCTTCCTCCTCCTCTGCAGAGCCCTAATATCGATCCCACCCCTTGATAATTTGGCGCAAACGACGATGGCGGCGACCAAGATTGACGGCACGGCCATTGCCAAAGCCATCCGGGAGAAGCTCAAGACGGAGATTGTTGACAAGCAGTTGACAAACCCGCGCTACCAACCATGCCTGAAGATTATTCAAGGTACGTTCTCACCCCGCTATAAGACTGCAAAGAAAAGCAGGCAAAGGAAGATGAAGAAGTGATGGAGCCCTTCAAGCCCAATTTAATTAAACGCGAAGTTACTAACTGATTTTCCTCTTCGACTGTCGTCAATTAGTGGGAGACCGGAGTGATTCATGTATGTGTCTACTCGCTCTCCATGTTTATTTTTGACAAGCCTTTTGTCCGACAGAAGCCTTTTTTTTTTTTTTTTTGTCTCAAGACCCCTCATCCTTCTTTCATCACCCGTTGCCGTCATCCCACATCCCTGCATCTTGCTACCCCTCTTCCCTCGATATGCAATTAACCAAACAACACATCCGCCGTTGTCAATTGAGGAAACTAACAGTGACGCCCAGCAACCTATGTACGGATGAAGCTGAAAGCCGCGACTGAGGCCGGGATTCTTTGCGAGCTGCTTCATTTTCCCGAATCAGTTTCCGAACCCGAGTTGATTGATCAGATTAACCGTCTGAATAACGACTCGAATGTTCATGGTATCCTCGTGCAGCTTCCTCTGCCAGCCCACCTTCGCGAGTACACTGTCACATCTGCAGTCGCAGATGAGAAAGATGTTGATGGCTTCGGTACCTTTAACATTGGGGAGCTTTCTAAGCGGGGCGGTCAGCCTTACTTTGTGCCCTGCACCCCCAAGAGTGTGATGACCTTGCTTCAAGAGATTGGAGTTGACCCCAAGGGCAAAAACGCCACGGTCATCGGCCGCAGCAACATTGTGGGTAGCCCCGTCGCGCAGCTTCTCATGAATGCAGATGCTACTGTCACGGTTTGCCACTCAAAGACTGCCAACATCCAAGAGCATATTCGCAACGCCGACATTATAGTGTCTGCCATTGGCCAGGCGCAGTTCATCAAGGGCGAGTGGCTGAAGCAAGGCGCCGTCGTCATTGACGTCGGAATCAACTATCTTGACGATGCGACCAAGAAATCCGGCTACAGGCTCGTAGGCGACGTAGACTTTGAGAGCGCCTCGGCGGTTGCTTCGTTCATCACCCCGTTCCGGGCGGCGTGGGTCCCATGACCGTTGCCATGTTGATGCAAAATGTGGTCGATGCTACTACAAGGCACTTTGAGCAGCAGAAGGACCGAAAGATTCTGCCCCTTCCTCTCAAACTTCAAGACCCAGTGCCTTCGGATATTGCGGTGTCGAGGAGCCAGATCCCCAAGTATATTACTCGTCTCGCTGCAGAGGCAGGCGTTGCGCCCCACGAACTCGAGCCGTATGGCGCATACAAGGCCAAGGTGGATTTGGCTCTCCTGAAGCGACTCGAACACCGCCAGAACGGCCGGTATGTCGTCGTTACTGGCATCACACCCACGCCGTTGGGCGAGGGCAAGTCCACGACGACAGTTGGACTTGCTCAAGCCCTCGGCGCTCACCTGGGGCGTCTGACCTTTGCCAACGTTCGTCAGCCCAGCATGGGGCCTACATTCGGTATCAAGGGCGGCGCTGCGGGTGGTGGCTATAGCCAGGTCATCCCTATGGACGAATTTAACCTCCATCTCACTGGCGACATCCACGCCATCACCGCCGCCAACAACCTCTTGGCCGCCGCCATCGACACACGCATGTTCCATGAAAGCACACAAAGGACGCCGCTCTATATCGGAGACTGGTACCACTCAAGGATGGGACGAGGACATTTGCACCCATCATGTTCCGTCGGCTGAAGAAGCTTGGCATCGAGAAGACGAACCCCGATGACCTGACCGAGGATGAAATCCGCCGATTTGCCCGTCTGGACATCGACCCCGCCACCATCACTTGGCGCCGTGTGTTGGACGTCAATGACCGTCTCCTCCGCGGAGTCACCATTGGCACGGCACCCACTGAGAAGGGCTTCACTCGAGAGACTGGGTTCGATATCTCGGTTGCCAGCGAGTGTATGGCCATTCTCGCGCTTAGCTCGGACCTTTCAGATCTCCGAGAGCGACTCGGACGTATGGTAGTCGCCAGCTCGAGGAGCGGTGAGCCAGTTACTTGTGATGATATCGGCGTTGGCGGTGCATTGACGGCGCTCATGAAGGATGCCACCAAGCCTACTCTTATGCAGACCTTGAGGGCACGCCGGTGTTTGTGCACGCCGGCCCGTTCGCCAACATCAGCATCGGCGCCAGTTCAATCATCGCCGATAGGATGGCTCTCAAGCTCACGGGCACGGAGGCTGACGAGGACCACGCGAGCCAGTCCGGCTTTGTGGTGACGGAAGCTGGTTTTGACTTTACCATGGGTGGAGAACGATTCTTCAACATCAAGTGCAGAACCTCGGGTCTCGTCCCGGATGTCGTGGTTGTTGTCGCGACCGTTCGGGCCTTGAAGGTGCATGGTGGCGGTCCTCCAATCGCGGCGGGTGCTCCTCTCGACCCCGTGTACAAACAGGAGAATATCGAAATTCTCCGTGCTGGGTGCTGCAATCTCCGCAAGCACATCGAGAACGCCAAGTCCTATGGTATCCCTGTCGTCGTAGCGATTAACAAGTTCTTCACCGATACCGATGCTGAGATCGCCGTTGTGCGCGAGGAGGCCATCGCTGCCGGCGCCGAAGATGCCATTCTGTCCAACCACTGGGCTCTGGGTGGGCAAGGCGCCACTGACCTAGCCAAGGGCGTGATCGAGGCCAGCAACAAGCCGAAGAAGTTGAATCTCCTCTATGACCTTGATGGAACCGTTCAGGAGAGAATTGAAGCGATTGGAAAGAAGATGTATGGAGCCGACAAGGTTGAGCTCAGCGAGCTAGCGCAGCAAAAGGTGGACACCTACACTCGCCAGGGTTTCGGCAACCTGCCCATCTGCATCGCCAAGACGCAATACTCTCTTTCTCATGACCCGAACTTGAAGGGTGCGCCCACCGGTTTCACGGTCCCCATCCGTGACGTTCGCATGGCTGCGGGTGCTGGATACCTGTAAGTTTATGCAATATTTTTCACCATGCAACACTTTCCACTAACGTTTGCGGATCCTGATAGATATGCCCTCGCCGCCGACATTCAGACTATTCCGGGACTGCCAACGGCGCCTGGCTACCTCAACGTCGATGTGAACATTGAGAAGGATGAGATAGAGGGACTCTTTAAACAAGCCAAGGGGGAGAATTTAATCTTCACGGCTCTCACGAGGGGGACGATGTTCACCCTTTGTCGCCGGGAATGGCTAGGTATTGAAAGAGAATACGCGAGATTCGGCTGGCGGTCCAGGTATTGTTAGCTTTCTGGTTTTCTATTTATGACATTCAACATGGGCGTCTACGTGTTCTGGGAAAGGGAGGGATGGTTATTATAAGAGCTTGAGGCATAGAAGTAGATTCAACCGGCCCGTATAGATGATTTGCAAACATCAAGAGCGATTCTTTTTTCTTTTTTCTTTCCATTTGTTTCCTTAAAAAGTACGAGAAAGAAAGTGAAGGATAGAAAGGAGTCGGGCACATTCACGCATCTTGCACTCTCCAAACACTTTTAGCTACTGCTAGATAGATATCGGAGTTGAACTGAAGCCAACGGTTGTGGCTCCTCTGCCAAGATCCCGAGCGATCAAAGGTTAAATGTAGGGCAGGGGTAAGGTGCTACAGGTCCCCTCGGGTAAGGTCCGGCATCAATTGAGGTTACGAGTGCTCCGGCCGGCCCCTCTCCCGCCACCAGCCTAGCGACCACACGAATTACGGGGGAAGATTTGGAGCTAAGGACAATCTCGTCTAACCTGGAGGTACGGGGTAATAGTTGCTGCAGGGAGGGGAAAAAAATCAAAGAAAAAAATCGCAATGTGCTCCTCGATTCGAATTGGAAAGAAGGGGAAGAAGGAGAGTCTCCGGAGGTGCTGTGACGTTAGGGCAGCATGAGCGTGCGTTGCTGCCGTCTGTCTCCGCCCGGGGCTCAGAAGCTTGTGCCGTCCATGTGCACGGACCCACCGGCTCGACGTGACCCCCACAAGCGAACATTGAACATGTGCGTGGATGTTTTGGTCACGATCCAGCCTTGATTCAAAGGCTCTTGTTTCGATACCCCTAATAATAAAATCAGGCACAGAAACGGGGGTCCCTGCCTACTCCAGGATCCAACAACAGTCTTTCGACGTGTAATCCATTCAATGTGTAGTTTACATATCGATTTTTCTTTTGTCTTTGCAGCGCAGTCTTCTTCTGAAGATTATTTAATTTTTCCAACAGTAATAAATAATGAATTTCTGTTCTCGCTGGACGCAAGATTGGCATCAATATAACTGAAAACCAAGGTTTGGCACCGACTCCATTTTGCCCCATTCCAAGTGAGTCAAGCCACTCCATGGATCCATGTAATAATCATCTAATATTGCTATTCCGACGTTTTGTAACACTGTGCCTGGTTCTTCCTCGATTAAGCCGACATCAACCAAGCAGGCAGCTTTGGCAGCCTAGGTTTAATATTAGCATTGCTAGGCTCGAATTTGATAATCACAGGCTGAGGTGACCCGACCCGACCCAGTCAGTTGATGCCAGCGATGACATCGGCCCCTGAAATCATTTCGAGCACCTTGCCAGCCCAACTCTCAACTCCCTTGCATCCCATTCCCCTCGTGTTTCCATGCAAATCGACTGTAATTATCACGGATCCCCTATTTTCCTTTTTTCCTTCTTCTTCCTCTTTCCTACCGCGTCTCGGCTTCAAGACACTACCGATTTATCCCACAATCTAGCCACTAGTAGTCGTCACGAGCCTCGGGCTTCCATTGAAGCCAACTTCTGCTGACGCATCGGATTTGAGTGGATCTGCCAATCAAAATAATCAACATCACCCCTCCTCGTTCCCACCACAACAGCAAACCTCCACTATCCCCTCCCACCAGCAAACCTTTCCTCGCCCCGGTCCCCACAGAGACACAGAGATAACCGAGACGAATACATAGGCCCCGGCCACCGAAACACCGACTATCCCTTTCTCTCTCTCTTTCTCGTGAGCTCTGTTTCTATATTCGATTGAGGTATTGCCAGTTATTCGGCAAGGGCCAACACTATGGATCAGCCTGAGCAGCTGCTCGACGCTTTTAAAGCCGCAGCGCTTTCCGTCACAAAACTCTACAAAACTTCGGTTGCCGCGCAAGCCAAGACCCGGCAGGAAGGCTACCAGGATTGCCTGGAAGAACTCCTTTCCTTTCTAGATAAGGAAAATATCGGCCTTGGAGATGGAGAGGGTTGGCGGATCAGACGTTGGGCGACCGAGAGGCTAGCTGGCTCGACGGAAGCCATGGCCCAGGACAGAGAGAGCGAGGACGAGGTTGAAAAGAACGAGCGGTGCGCTAGCCCTGAGCTCGCGAGATCAAACGGCGCTCAGCTGAATTCTATCACGGAAGGGACCCAGTCCGTCACGCTGGGAACCACGGCCTCGAAACCCGACGAAACGGCAACCCCGGCCGCGACCGACTCTGCGGCCCGGACCTCTACGCCGACTCCGACCACCGTACCCACCCAGGATCAGTTTACTTTCCAATCAACAATGGCCTACCCCGATGCGCCCAATCTCGCAACGTTGAACCTCTCGGATTCGCACCCCCATTCTTCGCCCGCCTCCTCTAACGCGTCCCACATGTCTCGGCAGACAAGGGCAAGACACAACCTCGGCAGGCCTTCGTCGAGGACGGCCGCAGCCCTCGGGCGAGGCGTGGGCCAGAAGAGAAAGATAAACTTTGCCGAAATATTTGATTTGGGGAGCCTTGGAAACGGCAAGGACATGTTTGGTGGAGGAAGCGGAGTCGGCACATATAGACAGGCCCGGCGCACGCTGCTTTACACGCATGCATGCATGCTAGAGCGGCCGTGTCTTGGAGCAATGGCCGACGCGGTACATATTCGTCTGCCATCAAACCAAACCACTTCTTTCCTCGAAACGGGATCGGTATTTGACCCGACTTCAACCACGATTTATGTCCAGCTCTTTGGACAGTTTGAGGCTTCTCTGGCAGATTAGCCCGGACACCCTTCAACAAGCATTACGCGAGCGCGAGGATACATTGGAGCATGAGAGTCGGCGTTTACTATGGTCATGGAGGAGGATGGGTCATCGTTGCATTTCGGGTGGTGTTTTCATTTTATATTTCTCGCTCTTTTTTCTTTTTCTTTTTTTTTTTCCTTTTCGGGACCGCATCTATAAGCCTGCACTCCGCATTTTGTGCGCACCTCGGATGTGTACGGGCGCTACTTGCACCCTTCGCTGGTTGCTATAGCAGGCAACGTCTGGGCGTCCCCGCCCTCTCCCTTCGTTGCGCATACATATTCCTACTATGCGCCGATATACACCGATATACTCAACCTGTGCGCAAACACCTACACACACGACACACTTCAGGCAACACGCAAACACTCGTTTATGGCGCTTCGAAGCGCGGACTGCTTCCTTTTGTTGGATTTTCAAAGGTTCAGGTGCTGGGTACAGATGGACTGGGTACAGATGAATTGGGTATAGGCGGGCTAGGTATAGGAACGAAGAGGATATCTGCGTTAGGCATATAATAGGGACGGGCAAGCCTGGTCGAAGTGGGGTTATAGATTTAGTGTTAGGACATCATCTTAATAGTGAGTTCCCAGGGCCCATTTCCTTGTGTGGATCGGCTCTGGACATTGCAATCTCGAATTACCCCCGAATTACCCCACAAAATCAACGTGAGAGAGGACGATCTGGCATGACTTCCCTTGGACTGTATCAACATTCGGTATAACCCTTTGGTAGGCATGTATGTCATTGATTTCTCGATTTGTATGCAATGCAAGGGATGTTATGGTTAAAACCAAAAAGAAAAAAAGAGGATATCCATGAACGCCACCTGGCTCCTACACTTTATTAGAGCTCTCACTTCCTTCCGCCTCTCCGAGGCTTGGCCAGCATCTATATAACAGTCACCCCAGGGTGCCACTTCTCTCCTATCCTCCGCACCTCGGCCGAGAAATTGCGGCTCGTGATCTTCTTACCGCCCTGCCCGTGAGGTGGGGTGTGCTCGTCGGGGTCATAAAAGGGGTTTTGTAGCAGGGCAATGTAGGCAGCTTGCAACGCCTTGAAAACCTAGTCATGCACAGATGATTAGCGATTGGCGGATCTATTACGCACCACGGCATGCGTGGTCAAGCTCCAAGAAAGTCCTCGCCATGGCCGAAACTTACAGGCCGTACGTCAGCATCCCGCAGGCCAACGCCAGATCTCGTACCGTCCTCGCCGGCCCTCACGTCGACGACGACGACGAAGCGCACGCCTGTGTTGGTTTCAAAGCCGTAGGCAGCGAGCCGGTCGTCGACGGCGTGGAGCAGGCCAAGCTCGCCGGTGAGGTTGGGGGTGACGGCGGCGGAAGAGGAGGACGGGGGCGCGGCGGAGGAGCGGGCGCGCATTTCGAATATGTCGATGGTGCTGGAGAGCAGGAGGGAGAATTGGAGCGGGGTGCGGATCGGGGAGAGGATGGTGGTGTGGAGGGGGTTGTTCTGTCGGGTGGGAAAGAGTTCGTGGGGTTAGCAAGCTTGCCTTTCGGGGGTGGGGGTTGGAAGGGGAAGAGGGTGGACATACGTTGCGACCTATTATGCCTATGTAGGCGATGGAGGCTGATGATGTTGCCATTGTTGCAGGGCGCTGCCGTGTAAGAAGTTTGCCTTGGAACTTGGAGACCTGGGTGCTGGCAAGCTAGGAGAGCTTGGGGGTGGGAGCGTGGAGGGGCGGTTGACAGTCGACACGCGCGGCAGGTACAGGGACGGCGGCGCGAAATGATGCCGATGGGCGGGCACTCATTAAAAGTCATGTTATGGATTGATGCATAGTCCACGGCATCAAGTATGCATCTAATGAAACGTCCTGCTTCGTCGCCAGCGCTCGGGGTGGAAAAGGAAGCCTTCGGCCATCAGAGCAGAAGCTGAAAAATGTATGACCGCACAATTCGATGGTTTTTTTTTTGCTTATCCTTCTGGTCCAAAATGCTCCTTCAAGTCTACAGAGTTTTTTTCTTCTCCCAACTTTCATCTTTAGTGTCTCTCCCATACAAATTTGTTGTCCACGCCCCCACTGGCACTGCTTAATACATTTTCTATAAAGAAAGGAAGGCGGGCGCGGAACTGGATAAGTGAAGTCTTAAGGCCTCTTAGTTGACCTCGTTCTCTCACTTTGACGGATTAAAGACAATGGATAGGATTGGTCTCATTCCCTTTGTCCTTGACGGAGAGATAAAGCTCGAGCTCTGGCTCGTTTGCACGAGTCTACGTTCCCGGAGTCATGTGGGGAATGAGCGGCGGCGATTCGAGGAACGAACCTGCCGCCACCTCTTCCCCAAAATAGGGCGGAGCTAGTGAGGAAGGACCAAGTCAGCAGGAATGGCTCGAAGCTTCGATGTACTCGATTACGCTTGCGGTTGACTCTTGGATCTCGATCTCACATCCGCTGGGACTGGAGCTCTTATTGTTCTCTCTCTCTCTCTCCTTAAAATCCCACGCGTTTACCATCAATTCTTCTCCAAGGCCTAGATCCGTCAGAGTCTTAGGTTCAACTGTGTTTCTCCAAAAGGAAAAGAGAAAAAAACACCATCATGAACAGGAGGCTTTTGATTGATCAATTGTAACATACTCTCTGACCTCCCGCCCGCCCACGCCGCCCAAACCTTAAGCCCACAACCCGCGGTTGCGACTGGGGGCTTGAACCCGCTGACCAGCGCCATCCTGATCAGCCTCGTCTCCGCCACCACCTCCATCTCATCAACATTGATTGATCCCGTTTAGGAGCCAGTCACACAATTCACCGACACAAGCATCCCAAGCTGTCATTTGACTGTTTTCCTGCGCGCAATTACAGTTTCAACCTCAAATCATGGCCGAACAGGATGCTTCCCGCCCCGGGCTCCCCACAGCGCCCGCGGCGCAGATTCCCTCGCCGTCCCCAAGCAGAGAGTCGTTTCCGTAGGCGTCGGCGCCAATGGCGACTCAAAGCCCGTTGCGCAGTTCCGCACCGCCAGCGGATCCGTCCGTGACATGATTGCGAGGTTTGAGAGAAATGCTAGCCCAATTGCCCCTCCCGATACTGGCCTCGCCGGCGCTGGGAATAAGCTTCTCGGGCGTGTCAAGGCGTGGGATCCCGTTAGCGAGAAGAAGGAGCATGAGATCGCGACTTCTAGTAAACGGGGAGGAGAGGAAGCCTCCCCGGGACGTCTAGCGAGGCTGGAGGAAACACGGGGCTAACTACGATCCCCACCACTGCGCCGAAAGAAACGGCGAGCATTTCTCAGGAGCAAGAAGAGGTCCTCAGCGAGGCCCCAGAGGAGGAGATTGATGAGGAAGTCGGTGAAAAGGGCTCTGAATCGAATCTAGAAGGGCCATCCACGCTTGTGCCGGAAACAGTCACTGATGCTACACCAGTGGGGAGCACTGCGCCGGATGATACTGCGGATCCAGAGTCTCCCTTGGACTTCCAAGACGAACAAAAGGCTCATACTGGATTAGAACCCAGTCTTCAGCTTGAGCCCGAAACTGAGCCGAGAAGGACCTTGAGGTTCAATCTGAAGAGGAGCCTGAGAACCAAACCGAAGAGGAACTCGAGACCCAGCCTGCGGTAGCCAAGGTAGAGAGCCCTACCCTGGAGAGCCTTGCTGAGCCTGTGGCCGCGAGACTGAGCGGTCAAGACCAGCATCTAGACCAACCCGAGTCCGACAAGCCTAGAGAGACAGAAGAGCAACGTTCTGACCTTAGCGAGGCCGAGGAAAAGGCAGAAGGCGGGGTCAAGGTCACAGACGACAACATTATCACGGAGAAGCAAACGGCAGAGGATGAAGCAAATATCACTGATGAGAAAAGCACGGAAGATGATGGAGATGACACAACAGATGTCCTTTCTGGAGGGTAGCAGTCCAAGAGAACCAGTCCAACCCTGTTCTCGAATATACCCAGTTGAAAGGCGCCCCCGACGAGGTTGTCGATGTGGAGAGCCCCATAGAAGGCGCCTCCGCAACCCCCGACGAGCCGGTCAAGGACGAATATGAGGAGGATCAGGCCACCACACCGGCCAAGCGGGACCCAGCCTCTGTCGAGACTTTTTAGAGTAATGTCCGGCGTGCCCTTTGGATCCACGATTCGGAGCTTCACTATCCCTGCGCTTCCTTTTCTCTCCACCACCATATCGGCGAGACAGTCTCCGCCCCTGCACAACCGTACCCCCGGACTCCTCGAATGGCTACCGCATTCTCGCGGGTCTTCTTTCATTCCCGCTCAATAGGCGGGGGCTAGGGAGCGCGACGCTGGAGGAGAAATTTGCCGCTTTCGAGGAGTTCCTCGATAATTTTCTGGGCCCGGAGGCAGATGAAAGTAGCGATGGGGTGAAAGTCTGGGGTTTGTGCTGAGCCGAATGATTCAACTATTCTGAATTTTCTGTTAGACTTTGAAAGGTATAGGAAGGAGTGTGTTTTGTAAGTCGAGAATTGCTTGAGAAACTGTAGCTGGGTTATGGATTAGAGCTGCGTTGAAAAATATTGATCCTGGTCTTTTCTTTTGTTATACTAGGCATGATCAAGAGGGTCAAGAGAATGAGGAAACTAGGAGTGCAAAGGAACCTGTAAAAAAAAAAAGCTCTGTAAACTAGCATAAGTAGAGCCCTAAGAAACATTAAAAAAAGCTCGCCTGATATCATCATATCTCATCTATGAATCCTTCCGCCATCCCCTCCCATAACTCCTTTCATTTTCACTAATAGCGAGCCTGCCCCAGAACCCTTGATATCATGTCCCTTCCGCGTACCGAGCACAATCGTGTCTGATGAGTAAACCTCCTTTTCAACCTTCCCTGTCCGTCGTTGCCACATCACCGCGTCTACGCGGACACCGCGGCCGCGCCCCTGGCGTTGCCCGTCTTCTTTCCCTTGCCGCCGGGTCTGTTGAGCGTGTATTTGGCGAACGCTCTCGCGAGCGCCTTCTTGGCGCTGACCTTTGACTGCCGATGAAGCTCTCCACCGTCACCGCGATAGCACGGTCGATATCCTGGGCCGAGCAGTACTCCGAGAGGCGCATGCGGCAGAAAGCCTCGCTGATGCGGATAATGGCTTCAAGATGACGTAGCTAGATGGGGAAACAAGGGTTAGCGTACTTGATCTTGACGCATCGAAGGCGGATAGGGGTCCTCGAGGTAGGTGGTAAATGAAGATGACTTACAGTAATGGGATAGGCACCAGTCGCTTGGGATTCTCGTCGCATATCCGCAAAGAGACGCGCCACCTTGTCCTCGTCCATGTGGTACAGCTTGGGGAGCAGCGCTCACGGGCGTAGAGGATGTATTTCCTCAAAAGCGCTTGGGAATCTCGCCTTCTCTCTTGTTGACATCGACTTGAGTGTCCCTCCTGCCCGAATCAGCCTCGACATCCATCGAGTCGTGGGCGGCTTGGGAAGACGGGTGGCTGCGCGCGTGGGAGGCGACGATGAAGTTGGCGAGCCTCTCGTCCTCTTCGGGGTCGACCGTGTCGCGTACGACGCACAAAATGTCAAAACGAGACAAGATAGGTTCGGTAAGCTGCACGTTGTCGGAGAATGGTTTCGTCGAGATGTACCGCCCACCAATGGGATTGGCGGCAGCGATGACGCCGCAGCGTGCCTGGAGCGTGGTAACGATACCGGCCTTGGAGATGGAGATTGTCTGCTGTTCCATGGCCTCGTGGATCGAGGTCCGATCCTGGTCATTCATCTTGTCAAACTCGTCAATGATGCAGGTTCCCTTGTCTGCAAGCACAAGGGCGCCACCCTCAAGGGTCCACTCGCTTGTGACAGGGTCTCTCCGAACGCTAGCCGTGAGACCGACCGCCGAGGCGCCCTGGCCAGTAGCAAAGACCGCCCGGTGAGCAGTCTTCTCCACATACTTCAGCACTTGTGACTTGGCCGTACCCGGGTCACCAAGGAGGAGAACATTGATATCGCCACGAATGCGATGCTGACCAGTTGTCGTTTTGGTGACACCGCCGAGTAGAGAAAGAGCTACGGCCGTCTTCACGTCGGTATGCCCATAGATAGAGGGGGCAATCGAGTTGATAATGCGGTCGATGACATTAGGGTCACGGGAAAGCTTCCTGATCTCGTGCTCGTCCTCCTCAGTGAGGCGGAAGCCTGCGAGCTGGTCGTGGGACTTGACCACATTGTTCGCCTCGAGGATGGTGGCAAAGACGGGGAAGCCGTTACGGTTATTAAGTTGCGCGTCGTAGTTGTTCCTGTAGATTCCCGTAATCTCAATCTCGTCGCCGGGCTTTGCGGTGTCAATCAGATCCCAAAGGAGAATAACCTCACGGGATCGGGGAAGACGACCAGCGGGGACAGTGCCGGGAGACTCTTGGAGGGTGATCTTTTGATAGTTGCGGTACACGGTCTTCTCCGAGTTTATGGTAAACGGGCCCCGCGATTGGCAGCTCTGGCAGTAGGTGATTTTGACTTCGACGTTGGATTCTTGCTGGAAGGGCCCCAAAGTGACGCCACACTTGGTGCAATCAAACTTGACGTACTTGAGCTGGGGAAGACACCCGTGCGTCGCGTCACCACACCGCTGACTCGAACAAGGCAGTTCAAGTGCGACTGACGAAGCTGCCTCAGGGTATAGTGTACAGGCAAATCGATGATGCGCACGTGAATTTCGGAGTGGATTCGTTCGTAGTCGGGGTAATGGAGGAGCACAACATCCATCGCAACCTCGTCGAAGAGCTTGAGGAGCTCGGCCGGCGCGTTGGCAAGGAAGTACGCAAGAATAGCCTTGGAGGCGGACAGGTGATCATAGGACACCTCAAGAGACTCAGCGTTTACCTCACCAAGAGTGCGAATGCGGTTTCCGTAGACGGATGAGCCGTTCTCATCAATGTACGAGGTCAGGAAAGCCTTGAACTCTCGCCGGATGGTACGCTGTACGGCCGGTTGCGAGACCCATTCTGTTAAGCTTGAAGCCTTGACGTCTTGCAAAGCCTCGAGGGAGAGTTCCTCCTCCATAATGTCGCCATCCATTTCCTCGTCGGGGTCTTCGTCGTAGTGGTGACGGCGACGCCGGGGTTGAGCCGATAGATCGATATCGCCCTCGTCGTCCTCACCGGGAAGAAATGCGGCGGGAATGTTGGCTCTCCTCGCAACCTCGCGATCTCGCTTGTTGAGGCGCGCCTCAAGCCGCCGCCTCTCGGCAGCGGACATGGCCTCGTATTCGACCTCATCATCCAAGCCAACATCCTCATAACCGTCTTCCGTCATTTTTTCATCGTAATCTCGTTCGAAACCATCACGGAAAAGATCAACACCCTCCTCGGCCATCTCGTCAAGGTCATCGATGTCGTCTTGAATCTCGACGTCCTCCTCGATATCGTCGTCATCGTCTCCTCCGTGCGCAATGTTGAAAGCAGGGGGCGAGGAAGCCATAGGGCTACTCGCAGCGCCTACCGATGAATTTCCATCGTCCCCTCCTGTCCGAGACCGCTTGCGGTTGGCCCGGGGGTGGCTCCGCGATTCGCGGAGGTTAGGTTGGGTCGCAATGGTGAGCTACAAAATCAAGTTAACTACACCGCAAAATGAAAGGAGCGGTGCAAGAGCGATAGGGGATATGATCTAACCTCATGATTGCTGATTCTCGAAGACGGACCGTAGTCTCTCAGTCATGAAAATTAGCAATAGGCTAGAAGGGGGCGAGGGAGGAGAGGGTGATGCGTCTCTCCAGGCAGAGGGGGATATGATCGGGCAAATTAATCTCTGCGTGAGCGCAGGGGACGAAACGCGAGATTCTGTGGAGGGGAAAGCGGTGCGCGTTCACGCGTTAAGTGGCACTAGACCTAGTTTGGACAGCAGGCGCGTAAAGCTGTCGGGGGCTGACTAACCAGGACCAGCACCCTCAACTGGCTCCAGCTGGAGGAATTGATACCGAACTTTCATGTAAGAGAGGAAGGCGCGACGCGCTCCTCACAAGCTCGAAAGTTCGCTTGTCAGGAAAGCAACCTGTCAAAACACCAGCTCTTCCCCATCAATACAACAGGCTTTCTTCCTTCGCAAAGTGATCAACTAGCTACTTCTATCACCTTGAATCATCATGGATCCTCCCACTCACTCATCACATACGCATACCGGGGATACGCCGGCCTCTGATGCAAGCCCCGCTGTCGGTCGTGCGGGAAGCGTCTCGGCGCACTCGCAAGATTCGCAGACTGCTGCCGAGTAAGTTGATGCAGCCCTTTCGCAGGCGCTTCGTGACCGCTTTAGGTTCTAACTTGAACACTTATAGCTTTCTTCGCGACCAGCTCCAGCTTGAAGCCGAGGCTCGAGAGGCCCTACCATATGTCCGTCCATTTCCCGGCTCTGTTCCTACCCCTCTCGGTCTATATCCTGACTAACACGTCCTCTAGGCCTTTGATTCTTGTACCAACATGCTTGGATCTCTCAAGCAGAGTGTCTTCTCTTGCCTTACCTGCAACCCTCCTCCGAAAGACGTGAACGCGCCGTACGAAGCCGCCGGCGTCTGCTACGCCTGCTCGATCCAATGCCACGGCGACCACACTCTCGTTGAAATTTTCGCGAAGCGCAACTTCACCTGCGATTGCGGGACCACTCGCTTGCCTGCAACGGTCCCTTGCTCTCTCAGACCTAACCCCGATACGGGAAAGAAGGGTGTACATTCTGAGGAGCCGTTCGCGGGTGCTGAACCCAACGTATACAATCACAATTTTCGCAATCGCTTTTGCGCCTGTTCTTGCGATTACGATCCATTCCAACAAAAGGGCACCATGTTTCAATGTCTGGGCCTTGGGACGCATTTGACGGGCGGCTGTGGCGAAGACTGGTACCACCCTAGCTGTCTTTCTGGCGCTGGACCGAAATGGCACGAGGGCACTACAAACCCCAAAGATGCCAAGGTCAAGGCGGAGGGCGGCGAGGGAAGTGAAGGAGGTGATGACTCCGAGGACCCTCCCCTGCCACCAGGCTTTCCCGAAGAAGAGAGCTTCGATGGAATTTTCTGCTACAAATGCGTTGAGTCGAACCCGTGGATTAAACGATATGCCGGAACCGATGGTTTCTTGATGCCCGTGTTCCTTGAGGGCAATGTGGGGCCGGCGGTTCAGTCAACACTGGGAAGCGACTCTCTCGAGGGCGCCACCGATAGCAAGAAGCGCAAAGCCAGTGAGCTCGAGGTTGATGACACTGACGGACCAGACAAGCGCCCCAGGAGCTCTGCTGATTCTGACTGCAAGCTAAACCGCTTGCCGCCGGCCCCTGCTGGGAAATTCAGTCTCTTCTTCAAGCCGGATTTCCGCGATCATCTATGCCGTTGCAGCGAATGCAGCGTGTACCTAGAGAAGTTCCCGCAGCTCAAGGAAGAGGAAGACATCTACGAGCCACCGCTCTCTGAGGGCGGCTCAGAGAACGGAGCCTCTACTCATGGGAGCGGCAGTCTCTACGAACGAGGCGAAAGCGCGCTCAAGAACATTGATCGCGTCCGGGCCATTGAAGGCGTGATGGCCTACAACATGATGAAAGAAAAGCTCAAGCCCCTCTTTGAGGCATTTGCAGGCACCGGCAAGGCAATTGGTGCCGATGATATCAAAGACTATTTCGCCAAGCTCCGTGGCGATGATGAAGCTATTAAGAATGCAGGCCAGGCGGCTGCCGCGTCAAATTCGCACGATGAGCAGGATGGTTCTAATGGGAGAAAGGGGCAGAGCGGGTATTGATGAATTGTACGAAACGATCAAATGTAAAGTTATTTCTGGCAGTTTAGGGTTTGCTTTCGAAAAGGTGTTTATGGTAGGATACGGACGGACCGAGGGCTCGGATCCCAAGAATGGCATTCATGTTTATACTCTCCACCGCACTTCGTGCACCGTTTTCCACGTAGGTCAGCAATGACCCATTGTGATGCTCAAATCGTGAAGCGTCTAAGTTGTACGAGCAACCATGTCAATGATGCCGTCCTACCCTGTCTATTCTCGCCAGTCCGCCAAGAAGACGGCCTCCATACACTCCACAGATCAACGTATTAGAGGGGGTATGTGGGGAAGCATCCTGATGTCCCTCCAAGTGTTCCTCTCCTGTTAAGGGAGGAGTTTTGGCTCTGTTGGCATTCAAAACCCATATGTGCCTCATCTACCCGAAGGCAGTCGCCAAGCTCGCCGGAGAATATGAGCCCATCGGTTGGTGAGTGTGGCTATCTGGCCGCACGTGCTGACAAAAGGTTATCAAAAAGGCCCGGGGCTTCAGGAGGGCCTCAACCATCACATCGAGCACCGCGCCGTCAAGCTTTGAGGGAAAGAGGGGTCGAAGAAATGAGGCGATGGGTATTTAACGTGGAAGCGCGCGCACCCGCTTGTCCTGATGCCGTGCTGTTCCCTGTGGCTCTTGCACTCTTTCACCGGCTCTGATATTTGCTAGCTATCTACAGCACGAGGCTGGGCAAGACGTAGGAACTTTTCTTGTGGGAATATCACCTTCAAGACTACTTGTTAGTCCTCATCATCATGGCACATATCGAAGACAGCAATAAAGAAGTGGCAGCAGAGACTATACCGATCTCGCCAGCAGAGTCCGGGAGCGGCGGTCAGGCACCGGCCGTCGGGCAAGATGAAGCCAACTTTCAGCGCGGTATCGAGACCCGGCAGATGGTCTTCCTCTCCCTCGCGGGATCCATTGGCGCCGGTCTCTTCGTGGCTTCCGGCTCGGCTCTTAGTTCCGGTGGACCTGGAAACACCGTGTTGAACTATGGGGTAGTTGGCATTATGATATGTACAACCATGGGCTCGCTCGGCGAACTGGCTAGTAAGTTGGTCCTCTCCAACTCTTACACGACGTGAAGGGCCTGCTTCCCTCAAAAGGACGTCAGGATCCGAGCAACGTGCACTAGGATCACGGCTAACGCAGACATCCAAACCCGCTAGCTACGTTTCCCGTTGCTGGCGCTTTCTACGATTACGCCGACCGGTTCTTGGGCGAGCACTGGGGCTTCGCCATCGGCTGGATGTTTGTCCTAAACTGGATCACGGTCCTGCCCTTCGAGCTTACGACTATGGGTGCCCAAATGAAGTTTTGGATCCCCAACCTGCGCCCGGAATGGGCCGTCGGCCCGATCCTTTTCTTCATCTCCTGTGGCTCGTTTCTCGGCTCCAAAGTGTTTGGGGAGATTGAGCACTGGCTCGGTGTGGGCAAGGTGCTCGCTTGCACCGTCTTTCTTATCGTGGCCATCATCACCGCTTCTGGGGGAATACCCCAGGATAAAAGGTAGGTTTTGCCATATTATCCAACTTTTGACCGCCCCATGTCCCTCCCCGCTAACATAACGGTGTCCATTTTCCTGTAGGGAACCTAAACCACTTGGTTTCCAGTATTACACGAACGGCTCTGCATTCAAGAACGGCTTTGCTGGCTTTCTAGCCGTCTTTCGCGTGGCCGGCAGTAAGCAGATATCCCCTACCCACCGCCCTTCTAGGTCCCAGCTCTCTAATCCTCTGAATCTTCTCGCCCCAGTGTCTTACAATGGAACCGAGCTCCTCGCCATGACGGCGCGCGAATGCAAAAGTCCCGAAAAGCCATGCCTCTCGGCACCTACCTAGCCTTCTTCCGAATCGCCGTCTTCTACGTCCTCGGCGTCTTCTGCCTCGGGCTCGTCATTCCCTCGGACCACCCGGACCTCAGCCAAGCCGGCCACGGCGCCAAGTTCTCGCCCTTTGCCCTCGCCGCCCGGCTCGCCGGCGTCCCCGGCCTCGCCCACTTTTTCAACGCCATGATCCTCGCCGCTCTCCTGTCCATGGCCAACATGGCCGTCTTCGCCACCTCGCGCGCTCTCCAGGCCCTCTGCGCCAAGGGCAAGGGCCCTGCCTTCTTGTGCCGCGTCAACCGCAGGGGCATCCCTTACCCGGCGCAAATCCTCACCCTGTGCGCGGGCCTCCTCGCCTTCATCAACGCCGCGCCGCAGGGTGCTCAGATCTTTGATTGGCTTCTGAGTATCGCTGCCACCTTTGGTTTCTACGTCTGGATCGCCATTGCCGTCTCCCACGTACGCTACCGTCGTGCCCTTGCGCGCGCCGGCATCTCGACCAAGTCGCTCGTGTTCGCCAGCCCTTTTGGTTTGTGGGGTTCTTACCTGACAATAGTTGTCGGCACCTTCGCCCTCATCGCGAATCCACTCTCGGCCGCCTTCCCGCTCCAAAACTCGTCTGTGACGCCAACTAGTGTGATGCGCGAGAACGTAGGCATGCTCATACCCTGGATCCTTTGGGCCAGCCACTCCCTTGCCCACTACCTGAAGAATAGGAAGAATCCCAACCGTGAGAGATGGTCGATATTCAAACCATTAGCACAAGTTGATGTCGTATCTGGTCGGGTCACGAAGCCGCGACCCATGGCTTGAGTCGCACAATGAAGGTTGGAAACCGGTCGTATGGGGAGAATTCGACACGGTCGAGCCCGATTCACGACTACTGAGGAAAAGACCGGGATCCATTGTCATCTGTTATTAAATCCACACTTGGTAGCGCTAGCTACCCCAAGCCTGCATGCTCACTGGAAAAAGTAAAGGGGAAATCACCCTCTTTTGAGAAATAGTACTCTTACAAAATGCCTCTGAACTGGCATACCGTCCATGAGGGAAGAAAAAAACATCATTTCCATTCACCTGTCCTTAACCTTTCCGAATCCCCAAACTCCTCGCGATGCAATGTGATGCGATGTAATACACCTATAACGACAAAACTCGCGTACGTTGACCATCAAGTGGCACGTCACCATGACTGGAAACGGCTAATGGGTAGTAATAAAAAGACAAGACGAGAGCCAAACGGAAGAAAAAGAGAAAAAAAGAGGCTCGATTTGCGGACACCGCTCAAGATATCGTGGCGACGGCGTGGCATGGTATCGCAGTCAGGCTTCCTTGCGAGGCTGGACTTACTGGCCCGAGGATCCAGTGCTCGCAGCGCTGTCTGGACGGGGAGGAAGGGACGATTCATCTCGCTGCATTGCAACTCCTCCAAATTGATTCTGGGGCATATCGGGCAGTAGTTCAGAGCCCTCGGGCAGTTCCTGTTCTTGGGCAGCCATCTGCTCCTGATGCGCCCTGTTTTGCTGCTCCCTTTCTCGTTGGCGGATCTTCTCTTTAATGTCGATGAGATCGTCGTCGTCGCTCCAGTAGGGGTCATCGGCGGGAATTTCGGGCATTGCCATGCGTTTCCAGAAGCGTATTTCCTGTCGCGTGGCAGTGTGGTCTACTCGGCGTGCCCATCGCTCCTCGCTCTTCTCGTAGTTGTTTCTGAACTCGCGCAACATCTCATTAGCGAGGGCAGCCCGACGGTTCATATCCCAGATTTGCTCCCGCAGGCGAGCATTCTCCTCGCGCTCCTCGGCGAGCTGGTCGCGGTATGACCGGTGCCAGCGGGCGATCTCGACGACTTGGTTGGCTTTGTAGTCGTGAAGCTGGCGGACCATGGTGTCCATAGCGCGGGCGTAGTCGTTTAGGAGAGCAGCATTGGCGTCACGGCTGTACTTGGCCTTCTCAAGAGCCTCGGTGAGAATCGAGACCATGGTATCCATGTTTTTTTCCTGGCCTAATTTCACCACAATAAAGGTATTGGTTAGCACAGCCCTGGAAAATTCTCAAGGAATGAAGCAAGGCGGCAGAAATGAGCATTGCCGTGTCAGCAAAGGGACGCACCATTGACCTCCTCGGACGCGGCACTGATAATCTCTTCATTGCTCAGGGCCTGGTTGCGCGCTCGGTTTCGAATGCGGCCGACATTGAGCACAATCTCTTCAGTCTGCCGCCTATTATCGGCGAGTTGCTTGCTGAGTTCCTCGACAAGGCCGTAAATGTAGTTGAGCTCAGACTGGTGGCCGGCGGGAGTCGGCATGCTGACCATGCCGGTGGGCACGGCGCCTCCATTCATGCCGTTCATGGTTGCGAAGGCTTTCGCATGCGCTACGTAAATCTGGGGGTTCGGGCCACTCCTGTGGTGCAAAGGTTCCGGTTCGACGTTGAGGAATTGGCGTCGGTGCCCGCTTGGACAAGGAGATTTGCTCGGCTGGCGCTTAGCTTGGGCAAGGGTGACGGCGGTAGGTACGGAGCGAAGGCGAAGACGGCTTGGATAGGTCGGAGACGAGGCTAGAGCGTATCGCAGCGCTACCGGGTTCGATGTCGGACGTGAGTGAGAGGGCGGGGCGGACGAGTTGGCGGACGTGCTTCGTTGACGTTGAGTTTGCAGCTGGGAAGGAGGCCGTCCAACTCTGCTCGACCGTGTTGGCGTTGTGCTGTTGGCTGGAGACGCACGGGCGTGGGCGTGATTGGGCGCTGGAAGGCAGATCGCTGTAACGGGTGTCGAGCAGGGGTCCACCTGCAAGCGAGACTCTGGAGGCGTGCTTGGGCTTGGGTGAGATTGGCGAACTTCGACCTCAGCACGCGCTCTGGTGTCCTTGGAGATTCCAAAATAAGCCGGTAGGTCTGTGACGGACGCGCTTCGGATCAGTCTAGTCGGAGACTGCTCTTGATTGACAGCTTCGCCACCCTGAGAGTCGACCATGGTGCTCTTCAAGTCCTAAGAAATGCTACAAGTCAGAAATGATAGTCACGTGACATTACTATTAACAGAACTGAAGCACCGGTTTGAAGGATATACCATTTTGTAGTGCTGGGATGTTGATGGTGTGGTGTGCTAGGAGCTATTTTGCCTGCTGGAAAATAAACAACATTGTGCCAGTTAAAAGGCCAGTTGCCTGTCAAGGGTGGGTTTTGAGGTTTCTCACAGCGCAGAATGTGCTCAACTATTCCCAATCTTTGCGATGTGGATTTACCTTTCCTTTCACAGCCTAGAGTAACCAAAAGAAACTTCTTTCTTTGTCAATGAAATCTATTCCACTTTGTTTTCTTAGGATCCTATGACCCTACTCTCTAAGAACTTCAAATGAATGCCAGTCTTTTTCATCTCGAAGACCACTTACACTCCCTGCTAGGTATGAACTTATGCAAGTCTACTAGTGTGCGGTCTACCGCCCGTATCAGCCTATGAAGCCCATGCCTTAACTCTTTTGATATTCTGCTATTCCATCCTAGCTAATTTAAAGGGGTGGAATCAAGAGGTGGGGTTGGCCTTGAAGCAAGCCTTGGCGGTCTCGGCGTGGGCGACCCAGTGTCGCTATCATCGCAGCTTCCAGCATCGTCAAGCGCTCCCTCCATAGCCACGTCCTCCGCACCTGACCCCGCTGGGGGTGTAGGCGTTTGCGGGACTAATCCCATATCCCTGCAAGCCGCCTCGAGCGGGCGCGGTCCCACTAGACGTGTCGAGGGCCGAGAGAATAGCCCTCCGGGCCTTCCAACGTCCCTCTGCGCCGTATCCTGGAAGAGTATATTCCCCGCGTCCACCGGTTCGCTGTGCCTTTTTCTTCTTCGCGTACGCAAGGGGTCTCGGGGTCTCGCGGCCCGAGGGGCCGGGATATAGGCCTGTCCATGTAGCTCGTGTCGAAGCAAGTTCGCTCTAGTTGGCGTCGTAGTACCGTAACAGAGGGTGATTCTCCAGAGGTGCACTGGCTAAAAGATGGGCTAGGCGTGTCTGCTGACTGAAAAACATCCTCTTCTGCGTCCGCGATGTAAAACCGCTCGCTGGGGGCCGTTCTGATAGTGCGTGGTGCAGGAGGAGGGCCTCTAGAAGGAAGATGGCGGTTGTCCTCGCCACTTCCAGGCTGGTCAAGAGACTCTCTATCCCGAGATTTAGGTCGTTTAGGCGGTGTTTTCATCCGCTCCATTGCGCTTAGATATCGATCACAGAAACGGGTTCAATTTCACAACCATGAGACAGCTTCCCGAAATGTGCCTGATTGGGGTGCGAAAACCTTTTATTATCTTTTCCCGCGCCTTCACCGGAAAGTGGTCGGTGACGCCTGCCTTTGATCAAGGGCAGGCGGAGGGCAACTATATCAGGGCTGTTCCTTCCAAACAAGATTTCCCATTAGACCCAGCAAACTACCTGGCTGGAGGGTCGGCGCCCTGCTACCTGAATTAGAACATCAGGCGCGCTTTTTGCTAAGGCATGGTGGACAGCCCTGGCTTCCACCCCAAGATTTGAGATGGCGCGTAATGTTTACAGCTGGTATTCCAGCTTCTGTGGAGCCCCATTTTCCAGTCCACTCTTGAACATCTTTTCCATGACCTCCAAATCGGCGAGTGCCTCCTCGACAGCCTGGGCCGGGTTCGGTTGTCCCGAAACCAGACCCTCAGCCCACGCAAGGACCTCGGCCCGAACGCCGTAGTACTTCAAGTCAAAGTCTTGCTCCTCCGTATCAACCTCCTTGCGGCCTTCAGCCTTGGCCTCTAGGTCGGCTGCCTTCACCGTCACCTTGTTATCGCAGGCAACGATGGCCCCGTTGTCAAAGGAGAATGTGATTTCCTGACCCCCGAGGTAGAGCGAGCCCATGCAGATGCAGAGCGAACCCACGACGCCAGCCTTTGTGCGTATGAGACAGTGCAGCGTGTCAAAAGGCTGGAGGTGGGGCTGGACCTGCGCCGTGATGGCCGACACGCTCTCGATCGAGTCGTCCCGTCCGATGACTGACCGTAGATAGGCGATGAAGTGGATGCCGGCATCGAGCACGAAGCCTCCCGGGTGGGTGGGCTGCTTGCGCCAGTCCGACGACATCCACATGCTGTCGTTCGCAGTCGGCGCGAACATCCTTCCTTGGAAACCGTTGAGCTTTCCGAGTTTCCTCGCCTCCTGCGTGGCGAAGTTGACCGACTCGAAGAACCTAAAGTTCTCCGCAATGCCGAGTGTGACGTTCTTGCCAGACGCCACAACACCCTTCCAATGGTCGATGAGCTTCTTGGCCTCTTCAACATTGGCGGCGATGGGTTTCTCGGCTAGAACATGCTTGCCTGCGCTCAACGCCTGCGCGGCGTAGACTGGGCTGTCCCGGATGCTGATGCAGACAATAACAGCCTCAATATCCGGGCGAGCTAGGAGATCGGCGTAAGCCTTGCCCGCGCCGGCGTCCGAAGAGTACAGGTCTGGGCTAACGTTGGCCTCGGCAGGGATTCCTTGGGCCGCCTTCTGAGCCGTCGAAAGGGTACGCGAGTAGATTGCCTTGAGGGCAAGATCTTTGCTGGCGAGGACGGATGGCTGCGTCGTTGGTTAGTCCAAAGAGCCTTGTTTGGGCGCCCGGGAGCCTGGATATGAGGGGTGGCAAACGTACGAGATGGTGCATCTGGACCCAAATCCCCGCCCCGATGATTGCGACGCCGACTGGTGCCATTATGAGTGTCTTGAATGGGTTTGAGCAAATGCGTATGAAGGAGAAACTTAAGTTGGGTGGTGGGGTTGGTCGTGCCCTGGTTGATAGCGGCGGGTTGACACAATTTAACGCGAGCTACCCCCCTCGTAAAATGATTTCTAGCTACTGCAAATTGACCTTTTCATATGGTAGTTCCAATCGACCGAAGACGAACGTCAGTGGGCTCTATAAGCATTCCCCATCCGATGGAAGCGAGCGGGCGAGGGATTACTCCGGTCATGGTGGACCCACCGTATGCGCGGGGGCGGGGCAACACCTGGATTCCTTTGACATCGCGGGAGGGCATGCTCCGTGAGGGGCACGAGGGGAGTTGGCGCAATAACACAGCGGAGACACCCCTCTCCCAAAGCGAAGGAAAAAAAAAGACAAGGAGGAAAAAGTAAGGAAGTAGGCCGTGATGGTGTCGAGAAGGTCCGACCCTTTCATTCAATGATCTATCGAGACATCAATTGTATCCAGTGCGCGAGAGGCCACGGATGTAGGTCACGGATGTAGGCATTGCAGGAGCTGAGCTCAACGTGCAACGCCACTCCTATCGTAACTTGCTATGAGCTTGTCCGGGTCGGTGTTTGGCATACAGTAACGAGGGAGAAAAACTTCGCTTTTCAACCCAATGTTAGCCCCTAGCCCCCCTCAAAAGAATTTGCGAGTAGGTCTAGGCCGATTCCCAATTCGTGTTGAGAAACCCGTGCTGCGCTACCGCTTGCCCACCGGCCCGCGGAGCACCCTCCCTCCCACCTTTGGCAAGCCAACGCTGCAATCGCATTGCCACTCTCGATGCCTCAAAGGTTAATCGCCAATCCTCCGCCGAGCGTGAAATCATGGAAATCATGTACATTGTGCGGGCGAAGCGCTCGTGCGCGCCGCCGTGGCAGGCGGGGATGATGGCCAGCATCGCCCAGTTGAAGATGCCGACGGAGCACCTCCAGGTCGTCAGCGGGACTCTCCACGACGTAGTCCACACTTGCAAAACTCGTCCATGGAGCATGCCTTGCTCAGCGGCACACGATCCCGTATCGCCCTGATGTTGACCAGAGCGGCAAGCCGAATCACCCGATACATGTAGTCCGGGCCCGGAGAGTCCGCAGCAGGTCCGGGTACCTGTGTTTTAGGTTTCGTCGGATCGACCCGTTGCGCTTGTGGCTGGGGTTGAGGCGGGGGCGGGGGCGGGGCTCCTGGTTGTTTCCGGAGCTGCTACTATCCGCGTCACTCCGGGTATTGGCGCGATCGTCTTCAAACGAGTTGCCAGTGGGAGAAGCTTGTTGGGGCTCGACTAGGCTTGTCTGGAACGCAATCTCTACGTAATCGAAGCGCTTCTTCGTTTCTGGGGAATCCTCGGGCAGATTCTGGATGCGTTCGTAAATCCACGAGGCCGTGGTAGAAACCTTTGTAGTTCACCGGGCGAAGCATGGTCCGGAAGGGACATGACGGCGTTTATCAGGAAGCGCATATCGTCGAGGATGGATGCTGTGGTGGGATGTAAGCCGAGCGCATCGGCCGAGGTTGCGAAGGATGGAATGTTGGGGAGGAGCGGAGTGTTGTGGGCGATGCGGAAAGGCAAGACTGTCAAGTCGCAATAATCGTAGTCCATGCCATTCCCTAGAAACGGCTGGATCTCGTGAGCAAGGGCAATCCCAATGTCGTGGCTAGTCACGTTTAAAATCGTTAGTAACAGCAACGCACTTTCACGGCTAGCGAATGTGGTCTAGACAAAGGGGCCGGAAGCAGAGGGAAATGAGAATGAAGCCGTCTTCTCCCCTTCATCTCTCCCCCTTCCTCTCCCTGGCGATCAAGATAAGCAAGAAGAAAAAGACGAACCTGATGACCAGCTTCGCCAATAGCCCGTCCATCCCAAGGTTATAGAAACCCCCGTATACGAATCATCTCCCGCAGCCCTCTCATATGTGCCCTCAGATCATCGGTATCGCCCCAGTACCACTCATCCACGATGAGCTGGACTACGCCCGCAATAACCGCATCACTCGTCTGGTAGTTGTGGGAGCGTAGTTGGCCATTCAGCATGGCAATCGCTTTGCCCTTGTGTGCCATGACGGCCGTCTTTGGCATGTGGCCGGTCTCGTTCAGGAAGCACGCCGAAGTGTAGAGTATGATCTGTAAGAGCAAGGGATCCTGAATGCAGAATGGAAAGTACGACTTGACAACGGGATTATTCGGGTCCGGATTTCCATCGAGACTTGTTTTGTATCTTGAGAGAAGTTTGAGAACTAGCGGGAACAGTAGGCACGTCCGTCAGCTCAGGGTTAAAGAGTCAAATCCCGCTAAGCGCACACATGAACAGGAAAGCTTCGACGCGTTATGCTAGAAAGCAAGGAAATCGCGCCAGAGGAGCTAAGCGCGGCGCGGGTTCGTAGGACGGCAACTCACAAATTCTCAGCAGATCGCTATTCTGCTTCGACGGCACCATGGGCAGGGTGTCGAAATCGTTCGGCAACCAAGACTGAGGACTCGACAACACGATGGGCCCATGCAAAGCTACCAAGTGGTTGACGTCGGCGCTCCAGGAACCCAAAACTTATCCGGCACACTCACGCGGAAGAGTATCAGGCGCATGGCATCGTGGACCGCCTGGGAACGCCTCCGCTGCTCTTCGCTGTCCCGCGGCAGGTTCGGGGAAAGCGGTCTCGGCTGGGGTTCGGATGATCCGGACGAGATGTTGATCAATCTCTCGAGCGACATGGCGCTGGGGTACTGAGTCGCCATGTTGACCCCGGACCAGTAGGCAATCTCACCGCGGTGCCCGAGACCGCTGGATTCTTCGGATTTGAGCCATTCCGGTTCCGGACCGTCCAGGAGGCCTTCTCTCGTGCCGGGCTCTTTGTCACTGGAGGAGCGAAGGGTTACCGTGAAGGTAGGGTGGCTCGAGACGCCGGGGGTTCTTCCGCCTTTTCCAACCCGCGTTCTATGTCAGCACTAATGGGGAGGCAGAGAGAGGTCGTCGTCATCGCGATTTGAGCCTACCTGCTCTTCTTATATTCGCAGACTGGCTGAGGAAATCGCCTCGCGCAGTTGGTGCACGGTTGCCCTTGGGAGCACTGATGACTTGCGGGTCAGTAACCAGCGCCGAGGTTTGGGCCTGTAGTCCTATCTCTTGCCGACCAAGCACTCGATGGCATTTTCCAGGCTACCGGCGGCCGGTCCCGACGCAGCCGACGATATAGGTTTGCAAAGGGGGTGCATTGGCGCGCAGGCTGAGCTCAACTTTCTTGACATATGGCCGAAGAGAAAGAGCCACAGGGGATGTTTTTTTTTTTATCGGAAGAATAAAAGGTGTTTGAGGGAAGCTACTCGGCTACTCACTTTTTGTTTCCTTCTCCTGCACTCACCACAACTTGTTGCGGTTCGATCGCGCGTCGATCGCGATGCACGAAGCTGCAGGCCTTCGGACATAATCTCAAAGGGGGTAGTCGAGCTCAAGAAGCACACTCTGAGGGGTCCCACCGATACGTAATGTAGAAATAAGATGAACCGAGTCGCACAAGAGCGTGGGCTGGAGAACTCAAATAATTATGTCGATCGTTTTGAAGACATTGGCGCGTGTTACCGTGTCAAAGCCCGGGTCCTGCTACTAGAAGCCTTTTAGCTCTGGGTAGTGAGACAGAACAAACAGTGAGCCTTGCGAGTCTCTCGATCAAGGGTTTGTTCGATTGGAGGGCGTGAAAGAGGGGGTGCACAAGCGTCAGGGATGAGTAGGCTGCACTCGGCTGTGCAGGATCATGCGCAGAAACGAAGAGTGAGACGAAGGAACGTTGGATGGAAAGAGGAGAGAATCGCCCACGGAGAGGGAGGGTGACCCACGCTCGACAAGAAGGCTGAAAATGGAGAGAAAACTTTTTCTTTTTTTCTTCTTCTTTTGGACACAACCGATATCCGAGAGACGACAAAGAGAAAGACAGACAGTTCAGTTCAGTTCAAAAGATAAAAAATAAAATAAAATAAAAAATAAAAAATAAAAAATAAAATAAAAAAAACTACGAGGGAAGATGGAGCGGGAAGGCAGGTGCCACAGCACCCTCCCTAGGATCCGGGCTTTCGGGACCTTGGCCATGTACTTTGCTCCTGCGAGGGCTTCGAGGATTCCCAAAATCTAATAAACCTAGTCCTCGAAAGAGAAAAACGGGCAAGGGGCCAATCGCTCCCCCTTTCCCCACGGGAATGGGATCCGCGATTGCTCGTGTTCGTTGCGCGACAAACGCGATGTGCCAACCGACCAGCACTCCCATGTCTCTCCAAAGGCAACGGTGACGCCAGACGGAAGGTTCAATGTTCTGTTTCGGCACACGCTTCGGCGCTGGGAACCGCATCCCCAAAAAATGTTCCATGAATTCCCTGCCCTTGTCAGGCTGACATTTGTGTGTGTCCGCCCGCACCCGGGGGACAAGGGGAATTCCCTGTGTCTTTCAGCTGGCATCGCCCAAAGAGTCCCAAACCCGAGGGAAAGGGCCCCTAAGGATTGGCGAAAGCCACTCGCCCCGAGCAATTCGCCGAGACCCCTCCCAGCTAGCGGACGCTAAAAACGGACAAAACGAGGAGTTAAGCTTAGCAAGAGGGACGGTCGCTATCCGGCCGCCGCGCCAGCCACAGCACCACCCCAGAACAAATAGTTGGCGAGGTGTGGGTATGTGGTCCCGGGTTCGCGAGTTGGCCCCTCCCTCCCTCTTGGCAGAGGTGGATTGGTCGTGCTTCGAGGCCTGCAAGGGGATGGGCGGTCTTCTATTCGACGGGAATACGTGTAGCCACCCACCCGAGCAAGGACGAGCGAACGTCCCAAGCCAACCGTTGGCACTGAAAAGGCAGCAAAGGTTCCAACCCCAGGAGGGATGATGCTAGGTGAGGGTGTGCTTCTTGTTATAATATTTCTCGGGCCCTAACCCATCCAATCATTCTCTTCAGCGGTGGAGAAAATACGGGAGTTCGTAGCTTCAAGCCGTGGCATATTGCATCGACATGCTGTTGCCACCAAAGACCCACCCCTTCCCTGAACAAGAGTGCCACCCGGTCGGGACAGCCCCAGGGCCCCAGGGCCCTTTGGGCCTTTGGGGGCTTGGGGTCCATCTCCTCAAGTGTTCAGAAAAGTGAACCGAGGTTTCACAAAGAGCATTACAGTTCTCAGCCTCGACTTGGTCGCTTGGGAATCTTGCGGATGTGGTAATCCCATATTAAATAGTTATCGGCCACCCAGACGCCCGCCCATTGCCAAGGGCCCTCGATAGATCAATCATGTTTAAAGTTCAACGGCGCTAAGTCGATCATTACTTTCATTGCCTATCTGCCTTGGCGCAAGCCCCAAGTTCCATCCCGTATGCGTATCTATATAAGTTGTATATACACGTCATTATCTTTAAGAGGCTTTCAGAAGAACTCCCCATTGTAAACCAGAGCACACAATCAAAGGAGGGTAAAAGGAAAGTAGAAGGAAGGAAGAAAGCTAAAACTAAAGCAAAAGTTGGTATCCTCAAAGTCCGTTGCGTAAAACTGGAAAGAAAAAGAAGAAAAGAAAAAGAGATAAATATAGAAGAGCCTTCCCTTTCTAAACCCCGTTCCGCGAAAAAGTCATATCCACCGCCAACCATTCTCGGCTGGCCCAGGGTTCGCCCAACTATATCGGGCCACAATTCCATCCCGCGCTGCTCCCACAAGAACAAGGACCTAGAGCCATGTTCCGTCTTCTATTTCTACTAAGCAGCTGATCGTTGTTATCGGCCACGGTATTCCGGCTTTCTTGCCATATTGACCATAGGTGGCGCTTCGTCATCTATCGGATAGGGAAGAACGGGCGTAGTTGTGGCAGAAGTTGGGGCTATATATCGCCCTTGGTCCTCGAGAAGCGGCGTTTTCGGCGGCAACGGAGGTGGTTCGATTCTATACGGTGGCAGATGAGGTGATTTGACTGGGAGTCGTGGCGACGCATGAGGCCCGTCTGACGAGATACGAGGCTTATCGTCCTGGCCAACGATGGCAATCTTGTCAGAACCTGCACCCAACCGATACTGCGAGGGCGTCGGTGCGTTGACGACCCGCCGATCCGGTTCGTTTTCGGCTACCGATACCGTAGGCTCCGGTGTCCGCGGAGGAGGCGGTGGTAGGTCCTTGTACTGCGAAATACGGTTTGCCGAAAGGTGCGATGGGTCGAATGATGTCCTGGGCGATGCGTCTTCGATTCTGGGGGTGCTCATGATATCGGGCCCAGAGTCGAACGAAGGCCTCGGTTGTGACGGCCATGTCTCTGGAACATGGGCCGGGAGCTCTACGGCAAAGGTGAGCGGCGCTTGCGGCGGTGGTGCCGCGATCGTTGGAATCCCCGGCACAGGCCTCTCGAAACGCTTGTGTGCGAAATGGATCTTTGCGAGCTTGGAGGCCGAGCCTACGACCAGCTGGTGCTCATGCTCCCGTCGAAGGTATTGCTTTGTCCCCGTGCTGATTGGAGCAAGCCGGTGCCACTCATTCATCCCAAACTCTCCTACCCCCATCTCCACGTTTAATCGATAGTAGTTTTCGATATTGACTCCCCGCTTTCCTAGATGCTCTCGCACCATGTATTCGTGTATCGTCTCGCACCCCTCGATCTTGGAGATTAGTCGCCTCCTGGCCTCGGCAAACTCGCCCAAGAATCCCTCATACCACATCGTGGAGTTTGCGTCGGTTGATTTCGGCCGCTTTCCGGTCCCGATGCTGAGGAAGGTACCAATCTCCCGTCCCGGCCATTCACTCACTGCCTCGTCCAGCGCCTCTGGGGACGGATTAAAGGTCCCTACCCCGTCATCGTGAAACACCGACTGGCCTATGCGAACCGACTTGAAGGCAAGCCCTATGGCGCATGTAGCTCGACCGGCTTCCCAAATCTTGCAGTCAAACTCGGGTGGAGGCTCTTTTCGCGAATCGTAAGATCGTAATAACACAGCCGGCGCGCCCTTTCGAGAGCCCTGGTATATCGCAGTCACCGCACTATACCGAAATGGTTAGTCACGTACGTAAATAGGACAGATGCCGCGGGCCGGGGGAGGGTGGGGAGGAAAGCGTAAAGGGCGTCCAAAAGAAAAGAAAAAGAATCTATTTTAGTTTGAAAGATGAGGGAGGGGCCTGGTGGGATCACAAATTACTCACGTCTTGGTTCTGTTTTCACGCCGGTCATAGAGGCGCGCCTGGGAGTTGCCATATCTGGGATGAAGATATGGCCGGTGGCTCGTTTGATTCGCAGGGCTTCTTGCGCTGAAGCTCACGACACTCGCATTGCTGGAATGCCGCCTCGGGCTCGCAGCACTGGAAAACGCCGCTGCGTTGAGAGTGCCAGCCACCTCCGGCTCGCTCCCGTCATTGCCCTCAGCACGCGACAAGGTGTGTTCGCGGATCGCTTCCATAATGGCTTCTTCGAGCTTTGACGCCTTGAACAAGGTCGACCGGTAAGGTATTCCCGCAATGGTCTTGTCCGTCTCAAAAACAAATCGCGTCAGCCGGACGTACAGCTCTTTGCACGTCTCAATGTCGAGACGCAGGCGTCCTAGCATGAGCGCGATCAACCCCCAGTACCGGTTCCGATAATGAGGTCGAAGTGGTCTGCGGGCTTGGGGATCTGGTCGCGGCGTGGGGCTTTGCCCTCAATCTCGACATAAGTACGATGCATGATTTCTTGTAGGATAATAAGCATGGAGTACCCGCGAACTCCGCCACCATCTGCGATCGGACGGGCAAAGGTCAGCCAAGGCCACCAACTTTCTAGGGGGATACCAAAGCTCCACCTGCGGGAGCGGTGATGGGGGCACTTACCTAGTGATAGAATTCGGAGGAGGGCCCCGTGTGGTATCCCTCCTCCTCACACCGTTCGAATCCATGGAAAACAACTGGAGGGCTAGGAACGAGGTAGGTTTTGAAAGAAGATTTCCGTCGACCCAGGTTGACAGGGAGAGAGAGGTGGGTGTTTGTCGTCGTTCAGCCTGGCCCTGGGGCAGGGCGGGGAGGGCGGGCGGCTATATCAGGTCGCAAAAACGTTCACTACGCCCCTACGAATCTTTTGCGAAATGCTCAATGCGAAGCACTCAAGTGTGGGGTCGATTTCTGGCGCTGGAATGATGTGCGTGCGTCTACGCTAGATTAGGGCGCCGCAGGTTGTGTTGAAAAGGGTCATAAAAGTTTGAAAATAAGCTGATGATAATTTATGGCAAGGCGGCTCCGTCGCACCCTTCTCCTCATAATCTGCACATAAGCCAATTTTGGGGGTCGAGCGAGGAAGGCGGCGGCGGGAGTTCAGGCGAGTGACACTGCCAGTGACGCAAGATGTAGCTTTATTGGAAGCAATACGGGATCTTCACTTCCTCAGTCATCAATTGATCCATCAATTGTATTGCTTGGTCCAAGTGGTCCACTGCTTGGCGTGAGCGCTGCGCCACATCGCCACACCCGAGGCCTCCTCTTCCCTATGGACGGCGAACGTCTCCAATGCTCAAGTTGTTGACGAGACTACGTTTTGTTCGGCAAGTTTGAGGGCATCAACAACATGGTGGATTCTGGGCCAGCGCGATAACTATCTTTGGGAGCGTTGGCGACGGAATTTGGCGAGTATGGGGAGGACTCATTGGGAAGGAAGCTAGCAATGTACGAAGGGCTTCTCCGCCCGTTCGAAAGATGAGATGAAGGACACTGATGTAATCATCACATACTGTCATTCTAGTGGGGGTCGAGCCTGATGCATATAACTCTGCCTCTATCCCTGCCGGCGAGGCCGGCGGACACTCCTGGCCTTTAATGTGGCGACAAGACACGCCAGTCCACATGCTACTGTAACGAGGAGAAGGACGGCATGTGGTTGCCCGTGTCCTCCCGTCAGGGCTTCATCCTCGTGACACCAGTCTCCGAGTTAATCCTTTCCCCAGACACTACATTACAGTAACCACCAAGCTGTCCTCATAACCCGGGCCATGGCTGGCCAGCCGTGATAGGGATGTTGCTTGCCTCTGAAAATAGGCTCCGGCTGGCATGGGCAACGCGACAAGGAAGAATTCCTCCTCGCATGTGGCGGACTGCTTACGTTACATGGATGTTCTGGCGGCAATTTCAGAATTTCGTCATGGAGGGCCGGGTGTCTCTGCTCGAAACAGGCCGAGCATGGCAGTGCCATGGAAGGAACGTTGTCCGTCGGCCGCTACTCAACGCAGCACGCACCATGTCTGCCCCCGTACCTGCCGGAGCCGAGCCCATGTGGTGTGGGAGGTTGGTACCCGGCCAAAAAGAGGAGGTCGAGCTTCATCGATCAAGTTGAGTGGCTGGCGTTGGCCTTTAAGGACGGGCGGGATCGCTGAGAGAACGGCAAAGCCCTCCCAGCCTCTTAACACGACATGGCCAGCAACCGGTGCCTAAGCTACGAAACTCGCTGGCGCTGCAGACTCCCTCCATTTCTTCAAAGGTAATTTTGTGGATGGGATAAAGTGCAAGGTGCGAAGGCCTGCAGGCAGCCTTCTAGGCGTTTGAACAACAGCTCGGTCGTGGGGAGGCTGCCTAACAACAGTGGTCCGTCACTATTTGATTCTACACAGTCCATCACACGCGTGCCTTATCTCGTCCCAAGAAAAAGGAAGCCACGAGGGGAAATTTGCCACCCCCAGAATGTTGGGCGACTTTCTCCTGTCGTGGCTCCCTTCTTTGGTATCTATATTCTCCTTTTAAGTGGCAACCTCCCCAGATCTTTATCCCATCTAGTGCCTGACCGCCGGTTTCGCCATCTGCTTCGAGCAAGGCGCTTGGATAAAATTCGAGGGCTGGGCTGGAAGGGAACGTAAGGTGGGCAACACACGGCCGCACCCGCCGTACATCATTGATCAAGTCCACTATCACTTGAGCTCAATGTTCCATTTGGAGCAGGTTCAACCAGCTTGCAACGAGGATCGGTGGCTAGCCCAGTGTGGGGAGTAGACCTTTCGTAACCGTCGCCTCTCCCTCTCTCCTCATTTTCATCACACAGTCTGGGATACATAATGTATTATTAGCCTCCCCGCAGCCTTTGCCAGCTACGCCCCTAAAATGGATAGCGCTCAACCTTCTTGGGCTCCAAGGATAGACCTGCACTCCATCTCTGCTGGGTAGAAATGCAGTAGAATCAGCCAATAGGAGCCTCTCCCTTGGCTCGTTCAATTGGAGGCTAAGGATGATGAGGGTTCATTCTCACGATCCGCGATTTCTACTGCTTTTATTGCTCTTTTCTTGCTTCTCGTGACCAACCGGGCAGCCAATGCGGCCCTAGCGCCAGGGCTTTTTAGTCAATCAATGGCTTGGTAGCGGCTGTGAGAAAAGCACGCACTCACTCACCATTTCCCCTCGTCCTTCTCCTCCATCGCACATGCGCACTCCCACATACGACACACACACTTGACGCACACACACACACACTTTCTCTTACTTTCTTGCTCTCTTGCTATCTTTCTCTCTGGCACTCGTTGTCTGTTATTTTCCCTCTCCATTATAGATGCACTCACATCTATACAACTCACATGACGCACGTGGCTTGGAGCAATAATGCCCGATCTTGCCGACCTCAATTGAGCGTTGGGGTCAAGCTTGGTGTCCATCATGTTGAGATACTCCACGGCCGTGAGGCTGATGGTGCCTGCCGGAAAGATCGCTGTGCGCGAGGCACCATACGGTGCGAGCTGCACGGTCGGTACAAAGTTCTTGTGGTTGAGGATCCCCGGCTCGGGGGTTCTGGAAAAAATGCCAGTGTGGTGTGGGTAGGTGGGGGCCACCACTGCCCAAAATGACCAGGACATCAAAAGGCTCCGGCCGTCGAGGTATCAAGCCCTTTCGCCCGATAGCCACTGGCCGTCAGAGGAGGCTTTGGACACAAGACATCTGGCGAGCCCTCTGCTGCGCGGAGCTAAAAACCAGGCTCGGAGGCTGGCTTGATGGGGTTGATGGGCCCAGCCCTGGTTTGGTCGCTGCCTTACCACAGGGTTTTGACCAATCATGCGTCGCCTATCCAAGCCACCCGACAAGTCCCTCCAGTGAAACGGAAAGGTGACGTGAGACCTGCGCTGCGACAGCTTCCGTCTTGGTCGTGGGTCGAGGGCCTCGGGTCAGAGCTGCGAGGGGGATAGTCGAAAGCACACCGAATCTGAAAGATCCGTCCATCCTGGGGAATACGATTCACGCGGTTGTGCAATGCAGCAGCTCAAGGATCCTTTTATTCAAGAGGGAAATCCCGCCTGCGTCCCGCTCATTTGTGTGTGTGTGTGTGTGTGTGTGTGTGTCTTTGAAGTGAGGTCAAAATACTGCACGCCAATCGATCCTATTCCCCGCTCAACTGTCGAAGAGACTGTTTGGCTCCATCATAATTTCTTTTCCCAAGAGAGACAGTTACAATGGCCTTGGCTGGGGCGGCAGAAGAGGATTTACTGAAACCCTCAAGGCTTTAATGTCCTCCCCCTTGCCTTGATATTTTGGGAAGAATTAAAAGTATTGATATTCCAGTACTCAAAACTGACCACATCAACACCACCCACCAAATTACTCCTCCAAAAGGCTCTTGCCTTCGTCGTGCAGGCCGTTGAGGTACTTCGGTACATCAGGCTTAAGACCAACCTATGTACACAGTACGAGGACAGATGAGCGGTCAGCGAAAGCGGGTTGGCGCCCTGGTCGTCAAGATCTCACGATGCTCAAGGAAGACGAGAGAGCCCCGTCTTCGAGGGAATGGGGCTGGGGAACTCTCAGGGACCTTGACAGGCGGTTTCGAGAATAATGCAAGCAGCCAGACCAAAGTCACCGGTTTCCTTTTGGTCTTCCGAGGGAGGAAATTGCACGCCCCTCTCCCCAGTGAGCATCTCTTTCTGCTTGAGTGGTGGCCCTCCGATTAGTACTCAATGTTCTTGTGTTTAAACGCTCACTCCGTTTTGGGCGAGAAGCCTTGCCTTTCCCGCTTTTCGCTTTCCTTCTCAATCTTGCACGAGGGAGCGAATTTCCTCAAGTTCAAGCGAGAGGTGCCCGATGCCAATCGTCGGGTGGGGCTAATATTCGGCCTTTGGTGCACCCTATCCAGCGATACCTTGCCAAGAGTAGTGATAGGGTAGGTGAAGCAAGTATTCCTTGATGATTGACAATCAGACAATTTGCGATGAGGCTGTGCAAAATTCATTACGCACCTCCTGCAGCTCCAAAGCACAGTGTGTATTCGGATGGGCGCAAAGTCACCAGGCATGGGTGGGAAGGGGGTGGAAAGGCGTGGCAAGCTCCCTTGGGTTACAGCCTCGTAGAAGCTTGAGCCGTTCCTCAAGGCCTCTTGTCCCCGCCCACCGCTGGCTAGCCCGGCTTGTTAGCCCATACGACGCTCACCACTCACAGCCTGTGCATCTGTTAGAGTGCAGCACCTGCGCTGGCCAGTTGTTTCTCCCCTACCCACCACTTCCCCCTCCTCCGAGGCAGGGCCGGAACCCGCCAGTCTCTCCTACCTTGCCCACTTCAATCTATCCCTCGCCCTCTCGACCAAGCTGGTCGTACCAGCCTTACCTCCACCCACTTGTCCTCGATATCTTTTTGTTCCCTCCCTGCCCGAGGCTACCAAACTTCCTCTCCCCGACCAAAACCTGCAGTATCAATGGATACAAGGGATTTTCCCTCTATATATGAGTGACCGCCTTGCCGCCATACGCCTCAACCCACACGCCTTGCGGCGCGCGAGCGTCTTTCCCCCTCTCGATCAAATTGGGCTCCGGCGACTTGGTTCAAAAAAATTTGTACCTCGGGCTCCGATCAACCAACAACCTGTAAATCGTCATTCATTCGTTCTTCGTCCTCAACGACATAGAAGATGGATCCTCCGAGCAAAAAGCGGCGGTTAGCCCCTAAGACCGACGTTTCGCCAGCGTCGGCGCCTGTCAATGTAGGTCCAATGGCTGCCGCCTAGCTAGGGAGCTTAGGCAATTGGTGAAAAGCCTCAAAAGTCTGACTTTGCTCTCATCTCTAGCTTCCGAGCGCACCAGCTGTCGTCGAGACCCCCGTCCCTGCCCGCGTCGAATTCGAGCGCTTCGCCCGCCATCTTCAAGATGCCGCCATGCTCATTCAGAGATCTGCAGAGCGACCGACCTACACCTCTGTTTCCGTGCTGTTGCTCAGATGGGAAGAGGACACCAGCGTTGAGGCTGACCTAGTGTCGTTAGAGAAGGTTTTTCGGGATCAGTTTCACTATCGAACAGACCGGTGGCATATTCCCACAGTACCCAATCCTAGCATAAAACTGGGGGTTCAGATGGCGTCTTTTCTAGAGAGCGCGAGACCGGACCACCTCCTCATAATATATTATGCTGGCCACGGTTATGTTGGCGCAGATAAGCAGCTCTACTGGGCGAGGTGAGATATTCGACAACCCTTGAGCTTTGAGCTGGCACCAGTTAAGGCTGTCGCCCAAATATCATGCCTCTAACTAACTCTGCTTCGCTATAGCAATACTCGGGAGGATGCCGCACGTTTAAAGTGGCATGGAGTACGATGCCTTTTCGAAGACGCCCAGTCTGACATTCTCCTTTTCCTTGACACATGCTCTGTACGAGATGCGCCACTCACGGGCAGCCATGGGCTAAAACAGGCGATTGCTGCTTGGGGCCCCGAGCAGAGGGTAAAGGATCATCGAGAACGCACTTTCACCTCTATCTTGGTCGAGTCTCTTAAGAAATTGGGGAGTTCTAAAGACCCGTTCACAGTCCAGACGCTATACGAGTCTATCCAAGCGCTGAGGGACGCGGAAGCAGCCTCGATCACGAATGGGTCTGGAAAGCCTCAACCGCCCGGCCAAAGCCCCATCTACTTCACAATCACTGCCGGTGCCGGTAAGAGTATAACGTTAGCGCAAGCGCTACCACCTTCAATCTCACCGAGCAGAGCCCAACTATCGTCGCCTCATAAAACGACGGATGGCGCCGAAGGTGACCAGTCAAAGCAACAGGACCACACAATTTCTCCTGAAGCCGTCCATGACCTTCTTTTGACCAGTCCCGTGTTCTTGCATGTACGACCTTTGTCGGCGAGGCGAGCGCGGACATGGCTTACTTTAATAAGTGGCTCGAAGATACGCCAGCCATCGCAGATAAAGTCGCCGTAGAAGCCATGTTCTTCGGGCCGCCCACTATGCTGTTGATATCCATGTCGCTTTCGATATGGGAGGTGGTCAAGCATGACAAGGTTTGCATTTTTCTAGGGTACATCGGATCTCACAATTTCGTTCATTTGTATCAACGATTGATAGGGTTCTCGGGATCGAGGCAGACCGGGCACGCGTCGGCAAAGGAGGTAGAACATGGGAGGATTTTACTCGAGGCGAGAGAAGCCGCCGCAGGTGCGAAGCGCTCACGTAAGGATGGGGAAAATGCCGATGGGGCCTATCGCAGCCTCTCTGACCGTGATGCCACTATGATTGATTCGACCCCAACCTCCCGGGTTCAGGTCACCGCTTACAGCGGCGGCCGATATCCTCCGGGATCCGGAGTCAAGGACGAGGTGGAAGACTCGGCGGAGATGAAGGAGGCAGCAGAGCAACTCAAGGCGCTCAGCCACATCCGGCATCTTACCAACGAAACGCCGACAAAACCCCAACGCTCGTCCCTGCCTGATAGTGCCCCCGATCGACATGGGGATAGCGGGGTGAATGGCTCCGCCGATGGCGCGAGGGCTGATGGACACGGGTCCGAGTACTCGACTCCGAGCAAAAGCACAGCCGAAGATCGATACCCAAGCAAACACCAAAGCATGAGACACGATGCAACCACTGTAGCCACATCCCGTTCAAAGATTCATCGTCGCTCCGAAAGCATATCGCGGCGGCGCATACAAGGCCATTTCCGTGTGCATTCTCTTTGCCGGTTGCGACAGCACCTTTGGCTCGAAAAACGAGTGGAAACGACATATTACCTCGCAGCACTTGTGTCTCCAGTATTATCGCTGTTCGGCATGTCCGACATCGATCGCAGAGGGTAAATTTAACGAGTTTAACCGCAAAGATTTATTTACGCAGCACCTGCGACGCATGCACGCTCCACTTGCCATCAAGAAATCCGTAAATCCAGTGGACACCAAGACGCAAGCGGAGTGGGAGAATCGGGTCAAGGAAATGCAGCAGTCCTGCCTCGTACAGCGTCGACACCCGCCACAACTGTCCGCCTGCCCCAAGCCTGACTGCCAGAGTGTATTTGAGGGGCCGGGGTCTTGGGACGAATGGACGGAGCATGTCGGCCGCCACATGGAGAAGAACGAGGGACAGAGGCTTGGTGTTGATCACCACCTGGCAAAGTGGGCACTCGACGAAGCAATTATTGAGCGTGACGAGAAGGGGAGTATAAGCTGGTCCAGGAAAGCGTGGCAGGCGGGCGTGCTCAGGATCAAGCAAAAGATAGCATCTCCGTTTCTCGCCCAAGTGCGCCCGTAAGAGAGGCCAGCGGAACCGCCGAATCCAGCGGGACTCCCGCGAGGGGCGATAGCAGCGGTGGAAGTGGCCCTACCGAAGGTACGGTCAAGGTGGTTAGCAACGGAACCGAAGGCGACAAGATGGACGTGGACTAGCGATAAAATTTGTTCCAACCCTTCCGTTGACCACAACGCTAGATCATTGGATGCAACTGCGGAGAGGGTGGCTTCTGTAGGTCGGGATCTACAGGGGGCCAGCCGAGTATTTGATGTCATTACGAAACATGGGCGAGTTCACAAGAACGCAAACGTTGAAATAACTTGGCCAGGCGTTTGACAACGAGGGCTTCTTAAGGCAAAGGTCATAAAAACGGATTGGGAGGCTTTTCTGTCTTTAGCAACTTCACTTTCGCTAGCACATCTATATGTTATATATGTGAATGGCTAGGCATAGCTTGCAGCGGAATTCCGATTCCTCCCCCGGCCCGGTGACTATCAGATGACATGGGCAAGATGGTGAAGTGTGAGAGGGCGATTAAACCTTGATGTAGTAGTGAGTAGTGGATGCAAAGGGATCTATTGATCCATTGCCCATCTTTCAACTGTCGGCCTCAATATAAATAATGGAGCGCCTATGGGGAGCTCCCAACTCAAAAGTCCTCCATCCGAAACACGGCATAAGCAGGTTCCTCATAAGGATGAGCCCTTGGGCCAGTATCCAACAAGCGTCAGTATGGATCGAATTCTTGCTATACAGAGCCCAGGAAATGGATGGCCAACTCCGCACGGTTTCCAAAGGGGGGTGGGTTCTCGCGTACTTCTTGAGGGCCTCGACGGCTTTCCTAGCAACGTCCTCACCAACGCACAGTGTCTCGACGCGGGCCTCTTCAACCTTTTCTAGAGCCCCGACTTGGCCGATATGGGGGTTCGCGGCATCACCTGGGCGAAACTGGCCCATGCCATGGGAGGTGAAGCAGCATTCGGTGTACTCTCCCTGGCCAGGGTACTTGCCGGCGCCAGCGGCGAAAATTGCGGTTTTGCAGGCCTCGACGGCGGCCATGGGCACGTAGAAGACTAGAGTGAAACGTGTTGACATTTTTGTTGTCTGCGTTTTTTTCTTCGTTCCTTTGCTTTTTTCCACTTGCTCTTGATTTGTAGGTATTGTCCCGCTACGGGTTCCTTGGCAAAAGGGGGAAATAAAAGGAAAGTGAACCAAAAAGACAGAAGAAAATAACAAAATAGTTATCAAGGGTTGGCTTGCAGGACAGAGTGAGAGTGAGAAACAAGATGAGGCGGCCTTGCTTGCTTTTCTGCTTGTTCTTTCATGTGTCCTCCTGCACCTCTCTTCAGCATCGTCAATGGTGGGTGTGGTACAAAAGGAGGGGGTGGTGAGATTTGGCGAATAGCCGCGGAGAGGAGAGGGGCAGCCATTCACTCCGCGTCGGGACAGTGCTTGAGGCTGGAGCCTTCCCTCACCGTTGAAGAACGGGCTTTTAGCTTGCCGGTCTCTTGGCCCCACTTCACTTATCAAGCTTTCGAATGGTGGTTGCATATCGAGATTGAGAGCTTCTACATAGGCGCGGCAGAACGAGTCATGGCAAGAAAGGATCGAAACGAGGCCATTAGCGTCAGCATCTTTGAATACAAGCAATTGATCGCAGTTGATAATTTTATCTGGGAGATGGTTTTGTTCCGTGCTCACACGTAGACTCACAAGATGGGGCAAACCACTGGCAATTGGCAAGAGATATTTCGGGGCTCTGCTGGTACGACCGAGATAGGGTCAATGTATCGGAGGATTGAATTCAATGGGCACATGTAGCGAATAACTGGGGCACAACTTCATGTGTGCAGATGGCGCGTGAGGCGAGCTGCTCGTCGCCGCCCGCCCTGTCAGCAAATTATGTTGTCTTTCAACATTGTATTTGTGCCTGTTTTCCTTCTTTTATTCCCTCCATTGATTAATCCTATTACTATCATTAGGTTTGCAGGGCTGCTGTAAGGCCGCGGGGAGCCAGGACAACATTGATTATTGTTCGGGAGTGATGGGCTACTTTATAGGATCCGGCCTGCTCCCTTGGTGGTCATAGGCAGCCGGGAATTTGAGGGCATGGGAGGCGTATCCCTAGCTTAGAGATCTCCAAGACCTACCTCGACATGCAGATGCAGACTTAGCTCACACTTTTCTGGGGAAGTAAATGACAAGCAAAGGGGCGATACCAAGTTGATGGCCGCCTGCGAGGGTAGGGTGGGCGAAGATGCAAACCTCAAGCCGCTCCCGTCATTGATCATCGCAGGCCAGCCACGCCCAAATTTATCCCGCGCCGTCAAACAATAGTCTGTCTATTTAGTCTCTCCTAGACCGGTGCGGTTCGATGATTCCTACCACGAATCCTTGTCAAGCGTTGTCCACAGGCAAGAGGCCTTCAGACCAACTCTCGGCCGGCCCCACTCCGAGGCCGGCAACGGGGCTTGCGGGGGTAGCCCTCGTGCCCCACTTTTCGGCCCGCCGGTAGTGTCCGCCGGGGTGCGAATCCGAGTGGATGGGCAAGCCAAACGAGGACTAATCGTTTGCGACAAGCGATGAGAAAGAGGCCTCTTGCACTTTCTTTTCTCTCAACCTGCTTCCTTCTTCATTTTCTTATGGAACTCGGGCGGGATGAGTGAAGCCCGTTGGACGAAGTGACACACATAGCCTTCTAGAGCCTACTTAGAAGAAGTAAAGTGAGAGCCGGCCTGCCCCCAAAGTGCTTGGATATTGTCAAGAAAACCCCGTGCGTGCCCTGCGAACAGCAAATAGTCCACGGTTTAAAGAGAGTACCGCCATTTTCAGGTAGGGTCTGTGGGAAAAGAATGAGTAAAGAAAGGCCGCCAGCAATGAAACCCCTTGCGCTCAAGCCGCCTCCCTTTGGCACTTGATAATCCTCAGGGTTCCGTGCCGTCTTTCCCTGCGTCCGTGACGTAGAGCTGGTCCCTTCAGTGCCATGACCCCTCATTCATCGCCCCCAAACAACCTGAAACCCACTTGAAAACACTTGAGCCTTGCCGCCCTTCCGTAGAACAGATGCGAAAGGAGTTTTTTTTTTTTTCTTTTTTCTGTGTTGCCCCAAAAGGGAAAGAGAATGGGACAAGGGACCAAATTTCAAAAAGGGAGTTTGAAAGCAAGACAAAGTCACAAAAAGAAAAAGAGCAAAGGATAGAACAGAAGAAGGGAGCTGAAGGCTTACAAGTAGCTACATGTAGAGGCATGTAAATAGGCAAGTGCTTGTTAATAATATTTCGTTTCTTGTTTCGTCACTAAAACAAAAACTACTCATACAAAATTTTCATAATCGCTCCTCTCAAGGAGCAGTCGTTCCAGCTCTCTCTCCTATCCGCACCAATGGGGGTATATGATTGGAAGAGGAAAAAGAAAAACAGAAAAAAAAAAAGATTAAAAAAGCATCCCACGACAAGATCGCACTCCAAAAGGTAGGAAGTCGCAAAAATGCACCGAAACCAAAGGGCCTCCAACTAGGCCCATACCCCTTTCGCTTTGCTCCTTTCGCGCCGCTATTCCGTTGACTGTGAAGAACCCAGTTGATGAACGAAGCAAAACAACATACACCCCCGTAAACCCCTTGAAAAAATGCCCCCATGATGCGGTGTGCCTTCCCCGGCCCCCTATGCCCAGTAGATGATTGAAAAGTGACGAAGATAGTGGCCGTCCAGAAGAGGATTGAGGAACAGCCGAGCAAGATGAGAAGGAAAAAGAAAGAAAGAAAAAGCAAGAGACACTAGGGAAACACCACTCAAGGGCTTGCCCACCCCCAAGCTAGACGCAGCCCACCCAAAGTAACGCCCATCCCATCCCATCCCATCCCTCCAAAGAAGCCCCGATGCAAAGCTTGTTGAGATGCTCCAAAAACACCGTGGCCCCTTTGTGTTTGCTCGTGGGTTTACCCCCGATTGAAGATCAATGTCCAGAAAGAAAAGAGAAAAAGAAAAAAACTCCCCTAGGTTGGAAAGGAAAAGAAATCGTAAGAAGACCCGTCGGACGTGGTCCCGTCCTTGCGTGAGAACCGAGAAAGATTAAATACAAGTCGACAAATGAATCATACAAGCTTTAAGAGCGCCGTTCGTTATCGAGTTTTCAAGTCGGATCGGATCGTGGTCTTCAGATCCTCCATGACTTGCCCGACGCGGTGGTGGGTGTCCTGGAGGTGGAGATCTTGACAGGGCTGTAGCTGTCGAGTTCTTTGGTGAAGGCCTCCTCGTCGCCACGCCAGCCCAGGGTTGAACCTGTGGTCGGGGTCGGGATTCGGCCCTGCGTGATCTCGGAGGCGTTGCCGGTGCGGCTGGTTCGGAGAAGGGCGCGGAGAACGGGGATTGAGCAAGCCATAATGGTGACGGAGCACTCGGCGACGCCCAAGATGACGAGAGGGACAGTGTTGACTGTGAGACATTGCGGTGTGAGCAAAACTTGTAAAACAGGCGAACAGGTTTAAAAATCCACTTACTCATATCGGTGTTAGCCATTGCGGGGAAGGTAGGCGTCTTGGCTAGAGACGTCAGGCCGGCAAAGACACCCATGCTCATGCAGACGAGCATGCCGATTCTTTCCTGTAATTCATGGAGTTGCGGCGAATGATCTTCCAAGGAAGGACCGCGAGGGCGATATCCGACAGCCCCGAGTACGCTGGGTAGGGAGGGTTAGCTAGAAGCAAAAATGTGATCAAAGGGGCAAGGCCACTCACCAGCTGTGAAGCTGTTGTAAATGATGAGAATCATGGTGTCCCAGCAAACACCTTCGATCCACGGGTTCGAGGTTCTAGCGACGGGCGTGCATTGGAACCACATCAGGAGTGCTGCGGTGTGCATGGTCAGGTTCATGGAGATGATGACGAACCAGATGAACTTGCGGACGCGGCTGCTATCGGAGATTCGGAGGAGTGTGAAGGCGAAGCTCGTTTTGCTCCAGGCGGCGGACAGGGTGGATAAGCTCCCGGATAGGTTGAGGGTGAGTAGAAGCTTGGGGAAAAGGGTGTTGTCCATATCGTAGATGTGCTTTCCGAAGCCATACGTGCCGCTGACGGTGATGAGGGATCCAGATGCGAGGATAGCGACCTATACGGTTTACACTGTTAGCTATTTTCCCATACCTTTGGTGATCTAGGCCACCAGGGGGACGGACGGGGGGACCAGAGGCGCATACCATTGCGAGAAGGAGTAAGTAGTCATCCCACCACAAGCCCCGATCCCTCGACTTCTTGCAGTATATCCTTAGGGAGAAGAAGAGGGTGGCCAGGCCGATGAGGACCCAGATGACGGCGGTTAGTTCAGTGGTGACATTGTTGTGCGGGAGGGTGGGTTGTTCGATGATGCCTCCAAAGGCCGCGTGAGTGGTCTCTTCGGCCGGGGCTGTCCCAGTGGTGGTTGAGGCGTCAACCGCGAGAGTGGCCGACATTGTGGGCGCGGGAAGTTCAAGGATGAGGCGGTAGGTTTCGTTGTCTCGAGGTCGTAACCTTGGGAGGAAGACGAGGAGGAGAAGAGAGAGCCGTGAGATGGCAACACACAACACCAATCGAGAGTGCCCGCCGAGTCGAGGACAGGCCGTTGAAGGGTTGAAGGTGTGTCGGATGGACTTGGTAAAGACAGAGTAGTGTTGGGTCGGCAGTGCCTTTGGGAGTTTGTTCGGTCCTCCGCTGGTGATGGCTCTGGGAGATGTTTGCAACGGTTTGGTCGCCCAGGAATTAAAATGTGTGTTAAAGACAGAGAGAGGTCAAACCCGGACACGAAGAGGACGGGGAAAGGAGAAGGTATATAATAATCCAGCGTTATTCTCAGGATCGACCGGCTGGGTCGTTCAGATCCGCTACAGATGTGCTCCACCTCCTGCTTGAGAGTCGAAGGGAGCGAGTGAGAGTGCTTTGACTTTTTCTTTTTCTTTTTTTCCTCTTTCTTTCACGCTTAAGCACCAAGTCTCTGGGCAGGAAATGTCGGAGGACGAGTGGCAGCCGGGGTAGCATGAAAGAAGCTGCAAGTGTGGGAGGTGGGGTGCAGGTGTGAAAACACGGCCAAGGGTGTAAGTGTAAGTGTGGGTGCCGGGAAAGGAACACGCCCCCCCGCATTACCTCTCTCCTCTCCTCTCAATCCCACCACTACCACTTGCACCTACCACCACCGTCGTTCACTCTAAACTCTTGCCCCCTTCCATGATATTGATCCCTCCCCCAAATCTCAACTGGGCGACCTCGCCACTACAATTAAGCCGTGCCCCATTTCGCCCAACCTGAACCCGGGCTCGTCCCATGTCAAGCACGAAAGGCTGCCACAAAAAGCCATGTGTCAAGGACTAAGCGTTTTTTGTTTTGGGGGCCCGCGACATGTCCAGTCTCCTGCAGACCCTTTGAGCATATCTTGAGACCGCTTAAACTCGACGGACATGCTCACAGCGAGTGAAGGGCAAGGCCCCCCTTTGGTTTATGTTCACTCTGTACTCCTGAAGAGTTTTACGGGTATTTCTTTTTGCTCAGAGGTATCCCTGGTTCATTCTCCCCTCCCCCTCCCCCTCCCGCGTGAGTGGTGTCAGGTAGGCAAGCCAGAGAGGGCTGGGGTAGGATCGTGAGGGGAAGAGGATAAATAGATTGAATATTTGGAGGTGAGATGCGACGCCATAAAACGGAACGAAATCAATGAAACTGGCGAGGGGATGGTTGGGGAAGGCCCAATTTGCTGGATTGATCTATAATGGCTGCATGCCCGTTGTACTGAAAAGTACTGATTCTGGTATCGAGAGCGGGCCAGAAACCAAGGAAGAGGCGGCAGCTAGCACTTGCCGGTATCTTGAATAGTAGTGAGCCCAGAAAAAGACGGAAAAAAGAAAAAGAAAAAAAAAAGGACTCTCCCAAGCGTCAGCCGGGAGGCGCTTTCTGGGACCAACAATTGGTGGAATCTCGTTGCATGCGAAGATCGAATACCCTCTGAGGCTTTCAGTGCTGGTTGAAGTAGGGAAGCAGGGGGAGGGGTCTCCACACGGGCCCGGCATCAACAGCGGTGGTGGAATTTGATCAATCATAAGCCCCCAAGACGGATATACTTGCAAGCCGCTTGTCCAAGGACCCCTCGTAATATCATTTGGGCGATCCTGGTGTAGATGCTGGTGCTGGTGCAGCATGGCTGGCCAGGCCCTCGAGAAGCCACCAGTCACCACATGCAGCACCTTGGCCGCGGAGTTGGTGGCGATGGATTTGTCTGCGAAACGCAAGGACACCCACCCAGCGCGGTTGATGGCCTCCCCATTTCCATCCTCGAGATCATACCCATACCCTGATTCATGTACTGATCGAGTCTGAATTGCGACTCGAGAGAATGGACTCTGAAGTGACTTGTCGACCGTCACCTCGGCACGCATTGACAGACACTCTAGCGAGAGACACCTCGAAGCCCGTCTTCCAAGTTATCATGAGCTAGGACGCTACGCCTTGTAGTATCGACAGCTGAGGCTAATTGATGTACCGTCTGCCCTTGCGAATATTCCATGTAACTATCTAGTGTAGTGTAGAACAGGCCTCCGCCGCATTGCCTCGAGTATTGGGATAAGCATGCGTCATGAGGAGAACCCCATGGGGCGGCCCGGGTTGGCGGAATCCGTTTTGAGTCGAGGGAGCGAAGGAGCTGGCGCGCAGGCTCGGACTCAACTAGCCTAGCGTAGCTCAGAATAATACGGCATACTTGTAGAGAGGCAGGGGCGAGAATATGCAGTCTCAACCTCATGCACTTTGCTCACATCTTCCCCAGAATTTGACCGCAAGCCTAAGGGGCCAGGGGGTGGTGAGAATTTAATTCTTCATGCAATTAGCGAAAACTATTCCAGCACCAGACCAGTTCCACGCCCCGCCCCCATTCACACGGCTCAACGGTGTCTGAGCTGCTTGGACGAAGTACTTGTAGGAGGGAGTGCTTCGCCTACCAGGCCAACGGTGGCTACTAATAGCGGTTCTGGAAATCTGGAAATGAGCACCATTTCCAGCTCCATCTGCCTGTGCTCGTCGTCCGCTCCATGTCGACAGCGAGACTCCGGGGTCGATGATCCCCGGTATTGCATTTCGCCTCCGCATGTAGTAATGTGGTGCTAGGGCTCAATCGCAGGCCTCTTGAAGCCGTCTTTGCCGAGCGTTCGCTGGGCCAGACCTAGGCTTGGACAAAAGAGTAAAGAGGGTGTAGCTATTCCGGATCGATTCTGGGCTCACTTTGAGAACCTGAGACAGATGTGTCGTCGATCCTGGCGTAAAGTTGGCTGGCGCAGGACAGAGTAATTTTGGGCAATCAATTTCCGTGCCTCGGACTGGCTGCGCGGAGGCTCTGTCGTAGAGGAGGGGAGAGGGGGGGCTGAGAATAGTCGAAGCTGGCTGTCCGCCCTCCCGCGCTCCCGCTTTCTCTCTGGATAGAAATTCTGGAGTGCAGACGGGGGCCAATGCAGGGTTTGGAGGAGATCAATCGATTGATGCGCCTGCCGTCCGGGGGCATCGAAACGCTCCTGACACGAGACGCATCATTTGCCTAAAGCGATATCGCATAATAGACCCAGTGTCCTTCAATGTTCACGTCCATGTCCACTACCGAGGGTGCTGCTGGGCGCGAGAAACCGTTGGGCCAGCATAATTAGACAATTTTAGAAGCAGAGACCTCGCCTTTGGCAAGCGGCGAAGCCTCAACCTTTTTTGGCGGAGCTGAAGTCAATTGATGCCTCGTCGCATTCTCGTTTGCATTACTCCCTCGTTGGATTACTTGTAAACCTTTTTCCGGCTGGCCCTTACCCTCCCCTGCCCTACCCTGCTCTTTCTAGCGCTTCCACGCACTACACTAATAAAGCCAACCATACCCTTTCCACTTCTTGGACGGGAATAACGGCAATGAACAACAATCTGTGCGAACAGGGGCCTGACGCCGGTATTTGAACGAAGCGATATGTACGGAGCGACACCCACGCACTCCTTTCGCTTGATGAAAGCCCCCGAGTTGGTGGAAATGGGTCTACCCGAACCAGGGCATGGTGGTTCTTTTACAAGTCATGTCGGAAAGGAAATTGGCTAAAGGGAAGGGAACTCGGGAAGCAGGGCGTGGTAGAGAGGGAGCACGAAAGAGAAGAGAGAGGCGAAAAGGTTCATGCTTACACTTCATACATCAAACCCCGGAATATGAAGATAGGAAGAGACGCGAAGAAACCAACAAGGTTGAGCGTTGATTGACACTCGAACACACGACCAGTGCAGACGGGGAGGCCGCTGTGTGCAAGGTTGATGAGACAAAAGAAGTACAGATAAGCGAGGAAACAACCTGGCGTGTAAGGTACTAACTTTGCGCCCCAGCGTAGCGTGTGGTGCTAACTTGTTTCCCTTTTCTCTCGACATGTTGCCCACTTTGCTCAAGGCGGTTTTCCTGTTTCTAAGAATCCTGGAGAGAGGAAAGGGGATGGGTGACACTCTATCGCCGCTCTATGCAAAAAGTGTCGACGGCCTCGCATGCGCAAAGGATTACACTAAGAAGTAGGCCACTGTGAGCTTGTCTAGGATCTAGTTTGGCCTGTCTAGGCCATCTTTTCATCGGGCGTTTTCTGCTCTCCAGAGTTCCGTGTTTTATTGTCTCTCTCCTCCCCCTCTTCTCCACTCCACTTCCCCTCACTCGAAGGGAGCACGCACTGCTCGTGCGAGCACTCCTGCTAGCCAGCCACCCCGCTGTATGGTCTCCGGGGCGAATGGCAGGCCCCTTCCTTACAGAAGAACCTCGAGGACATGGGTTTGGTTAATATCTGGTGGGGAGCCAGCCGGCTGGGGGATGGTCGCTTTAGTCCAACAAGTACGAAGTATATTGAGTGAGGCCACCCAAAAAAAAAAAAAAAAAAAAAACCTCTTGCAACGCCCGCTTCGATTTCCTAGCAGGGAAACCCCACATGCTGCATGTGCCCTTTTTAGCACCTTCGCAGCTTAGCACCTTAGCACCTTAGCACCAAGTGTGGGGACCAGCCGGTTAAGCGAGCTCGAAACTGTATTGAGACAGAAGATGGAAGCATTCGGTGGATGGAACCATGGATCCGTTCCATTACCACAGAAAACCCAACCTTGCCATTTCCTTGGCCACGAGGAGAGGCAAGGGCACGGCCCCGCTGGACCCTCACACCTAACATGGCAAAGAGTCACTGTTTCTCTCTCCATTCGTCTCCATTCATTGATCACAGGTGTCCATCGTGATAGGCAAAAGGAGCTGGACTGCAGAAGCGGGGGCTCATAGTACAGCTGGAGGTATCACACTTGGGGGCCTCGGGGCTCGAATAGACGGATAACTCACAGCGGATGAGTCGTTGGAAAGACGTCTAGTTTCTTCTGTCCTTGACACTAATCGATGGCTCAATTACACTCAGCTCCCCAGATTGTGGGTTCCTTGTGTCGACGCCCGCAACACAAAGCCTCGCGTCTTATTAGCAGTTATTAGAGAGTACATGTATTCCACAATTCTAGCCCCATGTTTGCCTGCCATCAATGGTGCTAGCTCCACTCTTAGCCGCCCAGTCCAGTCAATCATGGCTGGACCAGGACTGGTGGTGTGTGTCTCTGCACTTACAAGTCTAGGCGGGAGCAAGATCAAGATCACCACCAACAAGCCAACAAGCCAGCGGCTGGGCAGAGTGTACAAAGCTTGCCTGTGCAAGGAACAGGGCAAGATCAAATTCTTGGACAGTAAATGTCGGATCAATCAATTGATCCAGTCCATTGTGGGATTAGTTCAATGTTCTCCAATGCTACAGTCCAAGTGCTAACCATTGGTGGGGCATTTCAACATTTAGCCTGAAAGACCTCAAGTGCTGGGACCCGGCGAGGGGGCGTATTCCATTTCATGCTGTCCAGAATCCGGGTGCTCAATCAAGGTCACAAAGTAATACCGAGATACTTTGTACGTCGGGTCTTCTTTGCTCTTTGCTCGCATTGCATGTATGCTGCAATGCCATCAATGATTCACAGTCGTTGGCCGAGTATTCACGCTTCCCTCCTTTGAGATTCATGAGGGATTGGTGCAGAGAAGAGCGTCTGGAGTGGCGCTGGGATCCCATCTTCTCGGGACACTCTTGATTCTATCAATTGTGGTATATTTGCATCGACCGACGCGGGCAAGATAGACAATGAATCTAGATGAATGAATGATTGAGTGATTGTATCTGGACCCGACGTGTTGTGTTGGAGGTTGAGCTACTTGTGTCACATGTCCCGATCTCCACCCATGGGTCGCTGGGAAAGCCATCATCTTCCCTTTCCACTGATTGAAGTAGCCCGGGGTGCAGCTAAATTGATGTCTACCCGTTGGAATGTAGAACCCTTTTGGGGGCCGGGAGGAGGGGTGAGGACCCTTGTTCTTTGTGCGAGAGTGGCACGAGGAACACTCACTAAACTGGCTGGCCAGCCGTGTCCACTACATCGACCAAGACTTGACGACCCAATTGATAGATGGATCCATCCGTTGTCGACTCTGCCTGTGTCGGTCGACCACCCCTCTCACACCCCCTCACGCCCCTCGCACCCCCTCCTGTTCACCACCCTCGCTTCACCACGCCTGACCGCACCTCACCTCCTCGCCCCTCCATTTCACTCCCTGCAGTCGGTCTGGCACTTTCTCCGTCTCGGCCTTCTCTAAACGGGGTCAATCTTCTCTGCGATCGGGGTGACGAGCAATGCTGGTAATACTTGCCTGTGTTAAGCCTCGTAACACAGGGTGGGCGTGGTCCATCAATGGACGTCAACCCTCCTCCGCTCAGCCGTGGTCTGGCTGGTCCGTTCGTTATTGCACGCATTGCGTGGAGAAGCTGCCACGTGCCTTGCTCATCCATGGCCAATATCACTAATATCGATATCACCAGATTTCGGTTCCTTGCTCCCCAAAGTTCAGGTGGGAAACATAAACGAAACTGGGGCCGATTCGATTCGACCAACCTCGGTTGATTGGGCTGCAAGACTTACAAGTATAAACATTGTGTCCGTCTCAAGTGGCCAACATTCACGGACCATTTCGCATGTCGACCACCAACTGATCACCCCTCATTAATTACACCCATAGATCTATTGAATCCATTCCCCATGTTCATTTCGCCGCAAGCTACCTCGGTACGTACGGTGGGATTGCCGTTTTGGATGGATCCTGGTCTTGCTATGTATGTAAATATCACGGTCTCGGTAGCCGGCCAACAATTAGCATTGCCTCAATTCCCAACTTCTGACTCTGTAATCACTATCGATCGAAGCTTGGCGGTGGTCTATCCTTTGGAGGGTGTTCATGCTCAGACTGAGAAGCCAAGAAATGCCCAAAGAGTTGGAAACTCCAGTGTCGCCTTTGATCGGCAAGAGTGCTTTAAGCGACTCGGTTTCCCGGTCCGTCGAGCTCGTCAAGCCAAGCGGTCTGCCAATGCCACACAGACCGCACCCTACGCACAGATGAAGTTGCTTGCTTTCTGCTTCGAGGGCCTGACCTGGGACATGCAGGCGCAGGTGTGATGAGCACAATCCATCAATTTTTCCCTCTTTCTTCCTTCTCTCCACCAGTCTCCAGTCTGGATGCAGACTTTGATGCACCTACCGCTATACATTCAGGATCCATCTTGGCTTCTGACCCTTTCCCTTTCCATGTTCCATCAACCCCCTTCCCCGCTTTCTTGATGGATATTCCACGCCCATGGGAGTCTCCCCGGGCAGACACTGACACGCATGCGCCGCAGGCAATGGCCTCACGCTGCTCCTGCCACGACAAGGCCGCGTATATGTCTGGAGTTGTCTTGTCCCCTCCGTCGGCTTCCGCACATTTGATAAGTCTAGATTGACGTCTATGGACCAGCGAGACCATGGGGGTTACCAGCCTCCACATTTGCCTATTCTTGCAGAGCTTCATCAACACCCCCTCGTTCAATCTTTCGTTTTGCGCAAGTCAAGTGGTTGTATAGGAAAGCCCATCCATGGCAGCGTCAACGCCGCCCCCTCTCCCTTCGCTTCCGGGGTGCGGTCTAGTTTGCTCCGTTTAGAATCTGTGAGTAGCTCGGCCCGATCGTCCTCGCTAGACACTACTACAAGAAAAACAGCTTGTACAGGTGGCTTGCTAGGGGCCGAGGATCTCTGCTTCGCGTAATCCTGCCGGCAGTTTCGTTCACGTTCGACGTAGACAGAGACCCCCGGGTTATTGTAGGAGGCGCTATGTGCCCTCGAGATTCCTCTTGTTCGTATCGTCCAGGATAAGTTGGAAAAGGTGAAGCTTGCTAGAGAACAGAAAAGTCGAATCTCTGGGCCCTCTAGGCCTAGGCAGCTCTTCAGAATTGCTTTCATCATCACTTTGAAGAGAGCCGACGCTCTTCCTTTACGTGGCCAGGGCCACCAACCACGGTCAAGCTTCCTTCAGTCAAATCAATGATCCATTGAATAGCCCAATTGGAACCTCTCGCCTCCTACTACCGAGGTACATAGCAGGTCCGAGAATGCCGTCTTTTTATTCGGATGCTGGTGTAACTCGCCGTAGCTGTAGCTTTCGCATTCCCGCTTGAGAAGTGAGAGGTCAAGAGTGAAAGAAAAGCCGTAATGGATAGAAAGATGACGAAAATACCCCCACCCCCTCATAGCGTGTAAGTCCAAATCGCTGGAGACTGCAACCAGGTCAAGGAAACATATGGAGGCCCCGTAAGCATCCTGTATCACTCGCCCGCTGGGTTAGAGCTTGCGCTTGGCACGGAAAACGGACCCCAATATAATCGGGACTATTGGACAATCGCTTCGTTTATTAGAATCACCGCTCGCCTTCAAAAGGCTGGATGGGAACAAACGCGAGTAGCCATCTACCCTGGAGCGGCAGAGGATCCTCAAATGGTATGAGTGGCCAAGGTGGTGATAAGTGGTGGGAAATGGAAATATTGCATGGCTCCTGGCTGGCCTCGATATGTGCGTGCGCCGCTATGATTTTCTCGGAGAGAGCTGGAAACTTTTTGACCATCATCCGGAGACGATGATGGATGCAACACGGCTTAGTATTATAGCTTGGCTCTTCGTGATCTGCCCTTGCCCTATCTACTCTTGGGCTATACGCCAGCTCGTATCTATTAGTTCGCGCCTGGAAGCCTGTACGCTTTGCCTGGAGCTCTCGCCACCAAACTGGGGATGTTTTGAGAATAGAAAGTTATCTACCTCGGTAGATGGAATTGGATAAGAGACTGGGCTCGTAGAGAAAGGTTTAACATTGATGTTCTCCCGAACCGCCCAGAGGCTAGGGACGCGGAAGCCAGGAACAGCAAGATCGATGGATCTTGGATGGATGGATATGGGGATATCGATCAAATGGATATCCATTATTTTCAAGGCGAGCTCTCTCTTAGGAAGCAACGATGATGGATCTGTCCTACTTGTCTTCATTCCTACACTAGATATTTTATTTGACCGTGATCCCCTTGAATATTCTCCCTTTTGAACTTTTGTTCCTTTTTTTTTTTTTTTTTTTTTTGGAGGGGCCATGCAAGAACACTGGGGCGATTTCGTCGGGTGGGTTGGAGCGTCTCTCCCGAGAACGAGTTTCCGTGGCTGAAACGCCGATCAGGGACCTCTAACCCACGCTTCCGAAGAGCGAAAAGAGCGAAAAACGTGAACAAAAAAATTGGAAGACTGGAGACTTCGGTGCCGATTGACTATTTCATCATGGTTCGGCTCTTTTGTTGCCTTGCACTCAAAGGGGGTTTCTCATTCGGATTGGTATCATGACTTAGACCACAAACTCGGTCCACAGGAGACTACATGTAAACATCGGGAATCAATTGACGCCTTTTCGAAGCACTCTTCTTCGTTAGATGGCACATCATATCCCTTGAGCGGGTGTGTCGACGAAAATGAGCCACTTAGAACGTCATGGACGTGCCAATTACTGTATTGAGAATGTGCATTCAATCTATTGAGTCTATCTTACATGCGGTAGATGTATAATATGCAATAGTATAAGAAGAGAAAAAGAATTCAATATATACAGGTCATTAGAAAGGGGTATCGATGATGCCATGTGAAGAAGAAGAAGAAAAAAATAGCAAGGGCAAGGGAGGCTAAAGGCAGAGCGTTGCCTGACTTGCCCATGCCAAGAAGAAGAAAAGTGTAAGTCGATCTCGGCTTAGACCTTGAAATAGCCGGTCCATAGCGAATGAAGCTTGCCCTTTGGGTCATACTTGTTCGCCGTGGCCTTGAGTCGTTTGAAGCTTTCGTCTCCGTAACTCTCAAGCACCCTCTGCTTGCTACCCGCGTAATTCATGTAGACGGGCCCGGCGGGAACATCCAACTGCTTGGCGAGCTCCTCGACCTCGCTAATGAACCTTTGGCAGCTCTCCTCGACGATGGAGTCGATGGAGCCGTCATCCCAGGAGGCGGATGTCTGGACAATCATCAGAGGGCCATCCTCGGGCTTGAGGCCTAGGGCGTTGCCGCCGTTCTTCTGCATCCCCTCGATAATGTTGGTCGAGATGGGCTGAAAGACGAGGAAAGGGGTGAGAGGCGTGCCGTTGGCGGCGGCCATCACGCGCGCCTTGTGCGCTTCGAAGAGGGGAGGATGCGGACAAAGAGGTCGGCGCTGACCACGCGGATCGTGGTGTCCCACCACGTTTGGCGCTGTCCGTAGGGTTGGTCGATGTTCCTCGAGAGAGTGGAGACGTTGGCGACGGCAGAGCTGGAGTAGATGGCATTGGGTTGGTCTCGTAGATTTTGGAACACGGGAGGCACCGAGTCGGCGGAGGGAGGGTTGGCGTGGTAAAACGACGTCAGCACGATGGGACCGCCCAGGGCGGGCTGTTCGGTGGCGACGAAGTAGCTGTGGGCGTCCAGGTCGGAAGGAAGGCCATTCATTGTAAGATCCACGAAATGAGGGATGAGAGACGAGGCCATGGCCCCGGGAAGATGGAGTCGCCGGACCAGAGGTCGCCCTGAGAAAAGGACACCAAGTCAAAACGGGTGACGATGCCGAAGCTGGAGCCGCCACCGCCCCGTAGCGCCCAAAACAGATCCTTGTTCTCGGTCGCCGAGGCCTTGACAATCTTGCCCGACGCGAGGACGACTTCGAACGCGCGCACGTTATCGCACGCCCACCCGCGCCTCCCGGAGAAGTACGAGATGCCGCCGCCCAGGATGAGGCCGCTCACGCCGACGTCGGCCGCGCGGCCGCCGACGACGGCGAGGCCGAGAGGCTCGAGGACGGTGGAGATCTCGATCCAGCGGTTGCCGGGGCCGACCGACACGGTTTCGTGGTCGCCGGAGACGACGATCTTGTTGAGGTTGCGCAGGTCGAGGGTGACGCCGCCCTGGGCATTGGAGGCGCCGGCGAAGGCGGTGTGGCCGCCGCTCTTGACGGCGAAGGGCACGTTGTGCGAGGTGATGATTTTGATGGCGGCGGACACTTCTTCCGTGGTCCGGGGTGACGAAGCACGTTGGCTGGACTTCGGACTGCCGGTTGGACCAGTAGGTGTTGGACTCGGCGTACGCCGGCGTGTCGGGGAAGGCTACCGCGCCGGGTAGGGTGGCAACAAGCGCAGCGCACTTGGGGCGGGGGTGGCATGTTAGCAAAGGTCTCTGCAATGGCTAGATTGAGGTGGGTAATGGGAGTGGTAAGGGTGATGAGTGAGAGAGAGAGAGAGAGAGAGAGAGAGAGGGGTGGAGGAAGAGGGACAAGGTCAGCAAGGCAAAGGAAGACACATACCGGACTAAAACATGAGGGCGAAGCGGAGACGGTCATGTAGAGCGGCGCGGTAGAGAAGAGGAACTGGGAGGCACGCATGATGGGAGACGTGAGGCAAGAGCTGAGAAAGATTTCAGGTCTGTCGTTGTCGGCTTTGGCCAAGAGGGCTGGGAAAGAAGACCGGTTCCAGGTTGTCCTGTGCGTGCTCCTCTTCCGTCTGCGGACTGGGGGAACGGCGATTATGGTGAATTTCTCCATCGCGGAGGATTTCTCGAGAAGACGGTCGAAGCAGTGGGCGAGGTTATATAACGAAAAGGCAGGCTGTAAGACGGGAAGCGGAGACAAGGTATGGTTCTTCCTCTTCCTCTGCTCCTCGCTCATTTGGCGCAAAATGAATGAAGGTAGGATTAGATTACACTCTAGTAGCTGCACAGGCCCGCTGTGCCCCAACGGTTCGTCTGAATTCCGAGTCTAAGAGATGCAATAATGACAGGTAAAGGTGGGCGCTAGCTGGGTGGTGATGTGGGCAGCAATATGAATGTTTCTCGTGGGATTGGATTACATGGTCACATCTAATGGATCTCGAAGGAAGGAAAGGGACCTTGGGGGCAATAAAGGTGAAGGGCTCCATGGAAGACGTCCACGGATCCCTGCAAGTGCAGGCGATGGCTTCGGAATTCGACTTTGCCGGGCCGCACTGACTTGGGGCTGGAAGGACGCTCACCCGATGACGGGGGCGGGTCTAGGCCAGGCCGGACACCGGAGCGCCTGTCGCGACACGACCTTCCACATCAAGGATCTTCGTGGGTGAGAAGACGGTGATTTGATCTCACACGCAAGGAGACAGGAGGGAAACAAAGGGGGCGGCTTCTTGGATCTTGGCCCCCGCGCCCTTTTTCTTCTTTTGTCGTTTTGTTTTTCGGTTAATTTTTTTTTTCAATTACATGTAGTCTCAGGGCAAAAAACACATCAGTTGGATCACGTTGACAAGACTGTGTGGTTTTCAAAGGCTTAAATAGACAGGGAAAACTAAGCCCATTGAGGGGTTTCCCCCATCTCCACTTGCTTCGAGTTCAATGTTGTCTCTGCAAGGACAACAAGTCAAAAGAGCTGGTGGGTAACGTTCGAGGGAGAAGGGGGTGCGGGATTGTGGCTCATCATGAAACAAACACTGAACAACCGGCGCGGCTGCAGGGCACGGTGGATCACGATCGTTCAAGGGCTCCCCAGCGCGGGTCTGCGCTCCGTACCGACACGCAGAATCCAGCGCGGACGTGTACCTTGCCGTGACAATGGGACGCCGAAATGGAGCTGCCAGCAAGGTTCATCGGCCGCCGTGCAGCTGGTGTATTTTTCTTTCCTTTTATTCAAAAGAAACATTTGGGGCGAATCGAATTCAGCAAAGATTGTCCAACGTACGATCCATGTCCGGAAAGAAGCTGATCCCACGGAGCGAGGCAAACGAATCGCTCTCAAACACTGGGCCGGGGTCCATCGCATCCGCGCCTAGAATCCCCGCGCGGGGGAAGAAAGGAAGAAGAAAAAGAAAAGAAGGAAAAGACTAGACGGGAGGGCTTGCGCTTGCGAGCTGAGTCGAGTCGGGACAGAGACTTACCGTTGAGCACCTCCACCTCGCGCTCGGTGGGGTTTGGATCCTGCAGCTGTTGTCGCAGCCGGAGCTGACAGCATCCGGGATTGGCTTCATGTTCGCGAACCAACATTGGCCACACGACGCCCAGAGGAGCGCAAATGGAGGCGTGATCTCGATTACTAGCGCGTCTAGCTCAGGCGAACGAGAAAGATTGAATTTGGTGTTTTTTTATTGCAGCTCTTCCTCAGGAAAGCGTCTTGAGATCAACTGCATTTGAAGGAATCGGATAGTCGGCCCAATCTCAGAGCGGAGGGGGCCGCAACAACGCCAGGCTACAATAAGCAGCCCGCCAGAAGATCTCAAAAGGAACATTGAAGATGATCTATAGCCCAATTGGTCTCCATAATATGATTTTGGGGAGGGTTTTTACTAATTATTAAGACTGGAAAAAGGGAGTGGAACAGAAAGAAGGAAGTGGTGGATATATGTAGGCTAGGAGAGAGGCGCGATAGTTTCGAGACCGGGTTTCCCAAAGCGCCGGCCCCTCCTTTTGCACGAGGCGAGGTCAACAAGAAGAAAAAAAGGAGTTTAGAAGGGTAGGTAGGGTAGGAGCGATAAAAAGCTTGTCTATTATCGCCGATCCCTCCGTGGAGAGCGACTAGTACAATCGCCTAACACCTGTGTGTGGATGAATGTAGACCAATGTTGCATCGATTTTCCTTGCCTCCAGCCCAACAGTCATCTCTGGTAGCTCCCTCCTTTCCCCCAGTCGCTTGTTCAGCTATTTTCTCGTCGCCCTAACCAATTATCTATCGCCTTTACTGTTTTGTCATCTTTGCGGGTGCTTTATTGTCTTTGCGGGAGAGGAGCATTCCTCCCTTACTAAAGGAGCTCCGAGAGCGACCACTACGAGGATGTGAAAGCTTTTGATCAACACTCGACTCTCTTCGTATCTTCACGACCTCCTCCCGCTTACAGCGAGTAAACTACCAGCATCACTGGTAACCCCGCTCCTTAACTGTAGCACTTCACCTTTTCCTTGCGAATCCTCGAAGGCGATACTTTGTCCCGTAGATCTCGTCATATTCCAATGGATGTCTTTGGACAGCATCTAGTCCAGCCTTTAAGGCAGGCAGCCTGCTCTGCTATACCCAGAAGAGCTTACACGCGTGTTTCTCGACAATCGAATATCTTGGGTCAGATATCCAGAATTTCTACCAAATCAATACTCACGTATAACGGGTGCTAGATCGATGTGAGCCTCCCACACGCTTCCCCTCGACATTCGATAGAGGGGGCACCTTCATTCACATGGCATGGAGGGCACGTAGATGCAGCCCGGCTTGCTTTCCCGGCTCACCATGGACCGACCATTGACAATGGACAGCTGTCGCTATCCGACTTTTATCATTTATCAGCCAGGCCGTAGCGCGAGGCGTGGGAGATCCAGATCCATCATTGTTGATCATGATCTTCGTATCTGGTCGACGGTTACACACATGTCGCGTTGATGACACTTCGAGGCGGAAACAGCAAATTAAAATAGATATAACCAAAGCGAAGAAGAGGAGAAAGAGGAAATCGGTAAGGGGAGCGGAATTCCTACACCCACCAACTCCGCATCGTTTTCGTAGCCATCGTATTGCCCGTATTCCAATCTGCACAACGGAGGTCTCGGGCGCAGCGATCCTGAACTTCTGTGCGTCTCTCTATTACTCCGTCCAGAGTCCAAAAAGGTGTTCGAGATCAGGGGCTGGCTTACTAAAATCGAACGAGGTCGAAAGATGGTGTGTGCCTGCGGAATTCCGTCGTTGCTCGAGGAATTTGAGAGCAGCGAAAGTATCAGTGACAGAGAGCGTGGCTGACAAATGTGGGGAAACAGAAGTCAATGGTCGAGGACAGAATTGTCGAACAGCTTAGCAAACAAGGTGTCCATGACAAATGCGCGATGCCGGAATCAGTCTTGCCTTTGCGGGGTGCAAGGTACAGACCGAGCACCGGCGCGATAGAAGCTGGCCACCACCAATCAAACCAGAGTGTGTGCTCTTGTGTCACAATCGAGAAGAATGGGTGATGGGCCAGGCCGGCCCGCCTAAATCGAGGCAGTTCGACATGACGACATCCTCTTTCGGTATTGCTCACGTTGAGGGGAGGGAGATGCACCCATGGCGATGCGGGTTTTCTGAGATAGCTTGAGCGCCATCGCCTTCGGCTTCGCACAACTGGCAGAGACGTGGGGTTCCTCCACATATACTAGGTTTCTCTAGCTCAAGCTTCGTAGATCCGAGTATATGAATCTCGAGGATCCCCTCTCGTCTCTCCATGTTTAGAACTCTCCCCAGGACAATTAGGTTCAACTTTCTACACTAATACATTGAGACATTTGTCTTCTCTGCAACCTTTTCTCTCTCTCTCTCTCTCTCTATCTTATCCCCTTTGATAATCACCGCCCTAGCAAGCTCCTATCTTGTCCACTGCCAATATGTCTTCTCCCAAGATCATCCTCTATACCAACCACAACTGCCCTTGTACGTTGAACCACCGTTAATTGGAGAACGGTACCTTGCCAGAGCTACCAGGAACCCAATCCCCACCGGGAGAAACCCCCATCTCGTGGACATGATACACGATACCGTCTCTCTGGAGATTCTAGTAGGCTAACTTGGTCCTGGACAGGGGCTCATCGCGCTCACATCGCCCTCGCCGAGCTGGGTCTCGACTTCGAGGAGGAAATCATTGACCTTTCCGTGCCCCGCACCCCCGAGTACCTCCAAGTCAACCCCCGCGGGCTCGTCCCCTCCCTTTCCTACAACGGCGAGATCATCACCGAGTCCGGAATCGTCTCCCAATTCCTCGCCGACGCCCATCCCTCCCACCTTGTCCCGACCTCCAACGAAGAGGGCGGCGCCCTTCGCAGGGCCAGGATTAACTTCTTCGCCGACACCTTCATCTCCAAGGCCTTCCCTCTCTGGATCAAGGCCTATTCCGTGGGCGACGAGGAACAGGATAAGCTGGGCGATGAATTCGTTGAACTGGTTGTCAAGGAGCTGGAACCGCTGCTGGGAGATGCCAAGCCTTTCTTCGGCGGCAGCGAGAAATTGACGCTTGCGGAGGTACGTTGCCTTTTCGTTACCTTGTTGCATCTCCCCTCTTCCCCTTCCCCCTCTTCTTCTTTTCCCCTTGTTCAATTATGTTCTTGTTTTCTTTTTCTTTTCCAAATCCACGTCTTTCGCCATCATCTCTGCTTGTCAGATGCTTGGGGTGACGTTGGGGATCTGCTTCTTGCTTATTTCCCCTTTCGGCCGAGCCCGGCCCCGTAGCCAAGCGGCGGGCCCTGAATCCTTCCCGGTCGCGCATCCCATCCGCTCTCTATTTGGTATTAAATCCCACATGTACGCAGCCGTAGGCTAACAATTTTCTGCTTGGAACCTATTAGGTGCTCACTGGTTCTTTCGTCATCCGCGTCCTCACGCTCCCTCACCACGGCCTGCTCTCCCAAAACTACATCGCCAGCCTACCCGAGAAGGCCCCCAACTTCCACAAATGGGCCGAGGCCGTCGCTGCTCACCCAAGCGTGACTGGAATCTACAATATTGAAAAGATCGTCGCGAATACGAAGAAGAGGATTGCGCTGCTGAAGGCCAAGGCTCAGAACAGCTAAAGGGGCGAGATTGGGTTCTCATCAGATTTTATGTGTATCTCAAAACTATTCTATACCCAGTTGGCCATCGCTAGGACGCCGCGAGGGGCCTTCAGACTTGGGTCAAAAGCCTTCAACCTCGCGTTCTAATTGCAGATAGGCTGGCCTGCCTCGCATTATTCCCGACGATGTGGCTAAATATAGTGCAGAGATGCATCCTTCAAGGATATCAATGGAATGATTTTTTTCATGACAGGCATGTTTCCCGCGCTACACTTGTATTGATGGGTTATTGCCAATGGATGAGATGTGATTTATCCTAGTCTTGGCTCCCCTGACTTTGGGGTGCCTCTCAAATTGTTACGCCCTCTACCTCGAATGTTTGTACAGACCCCTTTTCGAACCAAGCCGAGACCTTGTTTCCGCTGACCGTCGTGTCGTCGGCGTGCTGCACATACCTGTCACCGCTTCCGATCTGGGTGCTCCAGCGGACGACGCGCGCGCCCTCCGTACCCGCCTTGCCAAACTTGGCGAGGTCAAAATTTAGAGTCTGCGCCGCGTCCCAGTTGACGGCGACGATGACGAGCTTGCCCGTCTTGGGGTCGTGCGCCGCGACGACGTTTCGAGCGCCGCCATCCAGAATGGTCATGCCTTCGCGGATATGGCGCGAAAACTGCGCCAGGACAAAGTACTTTTGCGCCGGCGCGCCGAGCCTCCGCGCCTCGTTGTCGGCGTCGATGAGGCCCCAACCCCCTGGTCGAGGACCTGCCAGTACACCCACGCGGTCGGGTAGAGCCAGCGAAAGTCGAGGAAAAGGTTGCTGAGCAGGCGTTCGCCGGTCGCGTCGTTTTCGCCGTACTCGCTGTTCCAGACGCGGATGCCCCGGGAGTTGGCCTGGGAAAAGACGCCGTCGCGGCTGCCGTCGCCGTATTGGTACCCGTGCACGTTGAAGCGGGGCACCACTTTGAGAGCCGCGTCGCCGAGGTTCTTGAGGGTCGAGACGGCCTGGTCGTAGAGGGACTCGTCCGAGGCGGACACGGCCATGGTGGTAAGGCCGCGGCTGTCGAGCTCGGCGCGGAGGTGGCCGATGATGGTGGCCTGGGTAGGGACGCTGACGTGGCAGCCCTCCTGCTTGCCGTCGGCCTTCCACCAGTCGGCCGAGGGTTCGTTGAACGGAGCGACGGACTCGAACGTGATGCCCCAGTTATCCTGGGCGTACTTGGCCACCGTGGCCATGTACACGGCGTGCTGCTGCAAGTTCCACGACTGTATGTTCTCGCTGCCGTCGCCGGAGCCCGACGGGTTGTGGTTCTTGCACATCCACCACATGGGCGAGTTGGAGAAGAGCTCGATTCGGTTCGCGCCTCGGTCTCGCGCCTTTGCCGTCATGGCTCGCTGGTTCGCGTCGACCGTCCAGTCCCAGCTCGCGGAGGTGGGGTCGTCGCTCTCCCAGTTGATCCAGTGGCCCTCGATCTGGCGTGACGGAATCACGTTTGGCGACTCGGCCATCTTTTCCCCGTCGACGGTGTTCCAGCTCGACGCACCGACGTTGTGGCGCGCGATGTTGAAGCCAAGGCCCGGGAGGTTCTGGCCGGAGAATTGGGTGTCGTTGAGGGTGAAGAAGATGTCGGCCAGGTCATCGCGGTCGCCGAATATCTTGGCCCACCACGCAAGCGATGTTCCCCATCCTTCCCAGGTTCCGCGACTGACGCCAGCCTCGATGGTGATTGTGGTGTCGGCGCCCGCTAGCTGGGCCACCGCGAGGATAGCGGCAAGCCTACCTAGAGCAGTGCGCGCCATCCTGTCCATGTGGGGATTGCTGCGCTGCAAGCACGCACGTACAGTCTACCAGTTGTCCCAAACGTAGGGCCTTGTTCGTGTCTAGAGCTTTGAATATTCCTCAAGAGCGATCCAACCGGTCCATAGCAAGCCTAGAGTTCCTTCGTCCTCGGCGAGGAGCCGGAGGGGAAAGGGGGAAACCTTTTATCTAGAGTTTTCACGCATTCTAATGATGGATTCTTCCTCTCCGGCAAAGGACGCCGGTTTTTAGGGAGGGTTATAAACAAGTAATATAATATGGAAGGTGTCACGATCGACGTGCGGCCAATATCGTCCCGTTTTTCGAAATCTGTTCCTTGCGTGATGCGGTTGACGGAACCTCATATCCGCAAACCCTCGTCGTCTGCCAATTTCGGCCGCACCAGCGGGAAGCAGGAGGGTAAAGACGCAGCACTGTAACCCGGAAAAAAGCCGAATAAATTGCCAGCGGCCATCGCCAAGAAGCGCGCGAGTGAGAAATGATTCTCGTGGCTCCTGGGTCCTTTTTCTGGGGTTCCTTCCCAGGTGTTCCATGCCACCAGCGGTTGATGGAACCCGAATCAATCTAGAAAGGATTCTATCGTGATGGGCCGTGTCGCCTTTGCGGGGGCAACGACTAGATCAACCCCGACAGGGCCTCCTCCGCCTTTCACAAGGTCTCGTAGACTCGACGTCGATGGTGGAGAACCCACCGGCTTGTCGTAGGATTGGAAACAGGCAACCGCGCGCATACCACATATCAATGATCACCTGCCCGTGTCCGAGAACAGCCGCACAAGTGAGGAAAGAGAATGGCGAGAAGGCCCGACACGGCCCTTGACAACTGGCCATGGCAGGAGGCATTGCAGAGCATCATTTCGGATTATGACCGAGGTGCTACTGGTGCGCGTAAGGCTTAAACGGTTGGGAGTTGCATATAAGATCTTGATGGGTAGCCTTGAGGAATGGAATGGCAGCTGAAAGGGGCCGAGACAAGGCTTTTTTGGCCCTTTTTTCTTTCTTTTTTTCCCCTTCACTCCTTCTCTTTTCATCGCTTTAGCTTTCTCCTCGAGGTCTCCATTCACAACGGCTGGCGTGCCAAACCTGACCTATTCCAAGATCTCGTTTAGGGATTGATCGACGATGCAGTTGATGGCGCACATCCACCAACATGACGGAGGGCACTGGCGTTGAGTACATGCATCCACGGATCCATGTATGGTGGATGGTGGATGGTGGATGGATTCGTTGATGGACAGATCGCTCAAGGCTGCCCCGCCATCCGCTCCTCCCCGATTTATAAAAGTGCTATTATTGTGAGGAGATAAACTGAAGTGGCGTGGAGTCGATCAAGAACCGGACCCACCCATCATCTTGGGATCAATTGATGGACATTGGATCAACTTGGATTTGGTGTTGTTCCTGTTGCTCCTGCGAAGTCCTGGACCCTAACACACCCAGTAACAATCCGGACAGCAATAATATTATTAGTAGATGCCTCAATTGGAGCTGCCTTGCCCCACCGCTTTCCTTCCCGATCGAAAATTTCCCACCTGCCGTCGCCAACGCCAACTCACCACAGCACTGCTTTTCTGACTCAACGAAGCGCAGCACCATTGCCGGACGCCCACCTGCATCGCATTCCAGGACCGGACCCTCACTTACGCCGCGCGCGCCTTTTACCATCCCCACCTCGCGCGCTTCTTTCTGTCTTGGTGCATGAAGCCCTTCTCCAAACCTCTCAACTTGCTCTTGAGGATTCACCACCCTCCCGCGCCTCGTCCCCGTATCTTGGTCTTTCCGTCTCGCCCCTTCTCGAGCGTCCCTAGGCGCTCCATGTCCGACACTCCAGCGGCCGGCGGCGCTGCCGTCGCCACGGTCCCCGCCGAGCCTGATGCGCTTGTCGATGTCGGTCCCGGCCCGGCTGCAGTTCCCCTGCCGCCCATCGAGGCCCTCGCTCTTGTCAAGGCCGACACGCCGACCGAGACCGCAGCTGCATCCTTGCCCTCGAACGAGCCCACCCCTGCGCCACCTGCCAGCGCAGCGCCCACCGTGGCAAAGACGAAGACAAAGAAGCGAAAAGTCAAGAACCCCCGCAATATCCCAACAACGCGAGTGTAATTATAACTCCTTGCGACCCTTGGCCTCGCCCCTATTTTTCGAAGATGGCCTGCGCAAGGTGGCGCCTTACTTCTACACCTACAATACCTTTTGCAAAGAACGATGGCGCGGCCGGAAGCTGGTGGATGTCTACACTTCCGAGTTTAGGGATCGCCCGGCCGATTATTACGTTCGCGCCATTGCCAACGGGACCGTCCAAGTGAACGGTGCCGCCGTCGGGCTGGATTACGTCATGCGTAACAACGACCTGGTGACGCATACTTTGCACCGACATGAGCCCCCGTCTCCGGCGAGCCCGTCAGAGTGCTGCACGAGGACGATGGGATGCTGGTGATTGTCAAGCCAGCTGGGATTCCCGTGCACCCTGCTGGTCGATATGGCTATAACAGTGTCTTGGAGATCCTCAAGGACGAGCGGGGACGGGACTTTGTACCCCATCCGTGCCATAGGCTGGATAGGCTCACCAGTGGCATCATGTTCATTGCCAAGAACCCCGAGGCCGCGGAAGGCCTACGAGCGCAGATTGCGGGACGAACAGTTCGCAAGGAGTATATCGCGCGCGTCATCGGCGAATTCCCAGACGGCGAGGTGGTTTGCGACCAGCCTATTCTCCAAATCTCTCCCAAATTAGGGCTTAATCGCGTGCGGGCCAACGGCAAAACAGCGTGGACTGTCTTCCAAAACTTGCCTATTATCCTCCTCAAGATGCCGCGCCTAATTCGGCTGCTGTCGAAGGGGATGCAAAGGTTGACCTAGCTGCTGCTGACCGCCCCGAGGGCGCCAGTGCGGAGCGTGTCCAAGGCAAGCCGTGGCTGGGGAAGCAAGGCTACTCCATTGTCAGATGCCTCCCCATCACGGGGAGGACCCATCAGATTCGCGTACATCTGCAGTACATTGGTCATCCTATCCAAAACGATCCCATCTACGCGAACCAAAAGTGTGGGGCTTCTCGCTGGGTTCGGGTGATGCAGACGGAGTTGAGCACGCCGACGAGGATGTCATCAGCCGCCTCGAGCGGATGGGCAAGGAAGAGGCCGCCGACGCGGTTGCCTACCATGACGAAATGGTGGACGAGTATGAGAAGAGGAGAGCAGAGATGATGACGGGAAAAATTGCGAGGTGTGTGACGCGCCGCTCTATACTGATCCGGGCTCCCAGGAGCTGTCTCTCTGGCTTCACAGCTTGAGATACCAAGCCGCGGATGGCTCCTGGGGCTACATCACCCCGCTCCCGAAATGGGCGCTGCCGTCTGAAGGGATTGAGGGCCCCGTGGAAGTTGGGAGTCTAGACGCTCTGATCAACGCCGCCAACGCCGCGGGGCCGATCGATCTGTAATGATCTACCATGCGTCCTCCCAACAATACAACTGGCGCCCTGGGGCATACAAAAAGGAATTTGGCAAAAGCTTTGTGCAGTCCGGGGTCTCATAGACACGTCTCCGCAGGCAGGCAGTGCTGCTGCTGAGCATGAGCGGATACTTCATCGAGCATCATTGCCTGCCTTTACCGCCACCTTATTGAGCACAGACCATCGGCAGATGATGGTGAAGTGGGTGGTGGTTCCATCGATGGCGGCAAGCCTCAGGTCGAACAGACATGCAGAAACTGCATCCCCCTGTTGTGAACGCCATCTTACCCATTGCCTGCCTGCGAGCCGTATTTAGGCGTTGTCAAGAGACGACTCACCCCCTCTTCCAGGGCACCTCGTCAGCATAGTGTAGTGTATAAGCGGACGTTCTACTCCCATCAGCCCCAAGCCAGATGCCAGGAAGAAGCAAATGCCTCGGTCGGTACTGAAATTGGACGAATGCACGACGTGGACTTGTCTACTGCTCTGCGGAGCGTGCGGCTTGTACCTGCAGAAGCAGGGGTTCGTGACTTTCTCTAGGCGTTTCTCCAATTCTCCGAATGTACAATACAACAGCTCTCGATGTAGCCACTAATAGACGACACCACGGCCCTCGCTGAGTGCTCGTACCCGGGTTCGCCAATGATTTCATTCACCAAGGCGGTAAAGGAGGGAGAGATGTGCCAAGAAAAGCCCCAGCATGCGCCTACATAGAAAGGGATGGGGTAGCAAGGGCAGAAGGGGAGGGGGAGCGAGGGGGAGCGAAGGAGAAGGGGGAGGGGCGTAGCCCGTTATCATTGTGGAGAAACTTGCTGTCTACTAGGATGATGAGGTACATATGTCCAATCGTGGCGAATCCAGCACAGCACACTGATACCTGCACCTCGGGGGTGAACTCAGTGCAAAAGATCGGGTGGCCCAGAACTCCTCGCGCTCAACTAGCTGTTCACCGCCAGATGAGAGGCGTCTGGTGTCATCTCGAGAGACGGACCGAGCCTGTTCGTTTGGCAGATGTCTCGTATCCTCTCCCCTCCTTCTCCTCGCTTGGAAGTGTCTTTAAACCCCATCTCTCAGCGTACTGTCATCTTGTCCTCTCCTCGCCCTTCCCCACACCCCCTTCGTTTTCCCCGACTTCTTTCTCTTTCCAGTTCCAGCTCGAGATAGCCGAGAAGAACAGCATGGACTCCGGCGCAAAGCTAGGTTCTACGTTGGGAGATTTTCGAGCTTGGCCCGGTCTAGCCCTCACTTCTCGTTCAAACGTTAGACAAGCCGGGTAGCTAGCGTCCTTTTGGGAGGTTAAGCCTCTAGTGACGGGAAGGAGGGGGTCTGTAGGCGGTAAAGGGCCCCCTTGCCATAGACAAACCCACCACCATATTCCAATTCCGGGTTTTGCTACATCCATCTTCTTCCTTTTTCTGAACCAACCTTGCCGCGTACCGAAGCAAGCTGAAGTGGGCGAGCCAACCAGCGCCTTCGTACGCACCTTTGGTGTCCCCGCTTGGGTAGTGGGGACAGTCATGCCGCCACTTGAAAAGAAGCAATGTGCCGGAGCAGAAAGAAGCAAGCCGAGATCTTGCCATCCCATCGCCCATCCCATGAGGGAGAAGCCAAGCTGCGGCACTAGTATCAAGTCTTTGTCCTCCTGGCCCTGAGTGAGTGAGGTGAGGTGAGGTCGATTGTCTATCATCAGCAAGCGAAAGAAATATTTTTCGAGCCATTCAAGGTGGGCGGCCTGCGGTAAGGCCGCAGGAGACTGCATATCTATGCTGTTTCATCAGGCAAAGCTCTTTTCACCCAGCCATTGAAACAAATCGAGCTGGCGGATGGTTTTCTGCCCTTTTCTTTTCATAAACTAAAAAAAAAAAGCCGTGGAAATCATCCCTTCACGGGATCCATCAACCCGCTTCTTCAGGACAAGCGGCTGCCACCTCTCCATCATGCGGCCTCCATCTCTCATCTCCCCCATCTGCTCTCTCTCTCTCTCTCTTTCTCGGTTTCTGCCTTTCTCTCCATCTGTAAGCTATGCTATTTTTGTCTTTTGTTGCCAATCTCCGAAATGCCCCGAAGGGGGCGCCCTCCCTCCTCTCTCTCCCGAAACTTGCTTCCCTTTGAGAGTAGGTCTGGTTCCCCGACCGCGTTCCATCTCGTTTCCTTTTCCCTCCGTCTGCTCGCCTTGCCGCCCTCTCGTCCCCTGACCACTTGCTGCGCAGTGCAGCGTCACTAATACTAGCGTCCAAGTGCCACCCGTCTTGGCAGTTTCTCCACTTGCATACTTTTTCTTGTCCCACAGGCAGAGCAGGGATCAGGAAGCGCAGAAGCGATAAAGGATGGCAGGCGGGTGCCGTGGTGGAAGGGGGGACTATCCCAAACGTAGTCAAGATAGCCCCGGCCATTACAAGAGGGACCGGTGAAAAGAGGAGGGCAGGGGCTGGCTAGTTGCAAGCATCTACCTGGCGACTGGCCAAGGCGTCTTCTTCGTGCATATTGCTAGGGTTCAGAGCTTACTTGCTCCTCCAGACTGCACATTTTGCTGTGACGCTAGACACACCAACTTTGACTTACTTGCAGAAATAACAGGCAGGGGTGAAATCTCGACACATCCAAGCAAACGGTCAACTACCGACCTTTCTCTCGCTTTGGACTTGGGTTCCCATTCTCTGCGGGTGTCGTGATCTTGTGCGCACAGTTCAAGGGATCCGTGGCTTCGTCACCTCATATGCCGGGACGACTGCCCTTGGGAACCCTTGGCCCGGTTGGGAAAGTATCCTGGTCGGCTGGGACACGGAGCAGCTGTCTTTTTTTAATACCATGTACCATATACTATCCAGAGTTCCTACGACCCAGCGTAAATTGTGAGTTACAACCGCAGTCGTGCCCATGTAGGTTGTACGAGGTACACATCTGTCCAGAGGGGGCCCGCGGACGAGAGAGTCGCCTGCGCCAGAGGCATATGACCCGCGCTCAAAGGGGGTGTTGCCTAGTTTGAAGGTCTCAGGGCTGGCTTTTTTTCCGGGCGCCCTCAACGTCTGGGACAGACACTCGAGTAAGATCGGTGTGGAAGGAGGGCCGGCGTAGGGCCAGCGTGCGCGCAAGACTAGACGCTTTACAGGAGGCGGAACCTCGGGTCAAGCAGGAAGCACCCGATGAGGCTTCGGCATATTACCAAGCCGTCAGCGCCCACCGCCTACGCTGTCGTTCGCCTTCAGATCATGTAGGTAGACTAATACGGCGTCGTCAACTCGAACGACGCCTTTTGTCTGCAAGCGCATACGCTCTTGGTACCATCACTTTCCCTCGAGGTCGTCCAGTTCGCGCAGAACGAGGCGAGCAAACAAGCCCAGCGGCTCCACAAGAGTACCAGGAACTGCTGCACGCTTCGCTTTGACAATCGTTTCCTCTTCCGTCTCGGGGTCCTCGAGAGAGATGCCATCTCTAATGTCGACGCCTTCCAAGGGGGCGATATTGAAGGGAGGGAGGAGGGGAGGAAGGGGGGACCTTTGTCTGAAAAGCATTCGCCTTCTCAGACCAGCCTCTGCTCCGATGATGTGCGGTCCAAGGGCCTCCAATTAGAGATTGCGAGGCCCTAGGACAGCCGCCCTTCTCGATTTTAATCAGGCAGATAGCGGCTTTTGGCCAGTCCGCTGTATTTTGATTATGAGTGGCCAAAAAAGAAAGCACTCATTGATCGTTTGCCAACACTTACTTACCCACCCCGGGGGAAGGGGAGCCACTATCCCTTTCGAGATTCGCGAGTCCAGCCACTCCCAACCTGCACTTTTGAAAACGACTCCAAGCCATCAGGGCTCCCAGAGGGGAGAAGGGGAGGGGAAGGAGAGGAGAAGGGGGAGGGGGTCGTATCTGCGACTTCAACGTCCAGAGGATGAACTCATCTAACGTGCGGGTGCCTTTTTCCTTTACATTTGATGTATTTCCCACCCTCCCGTGCGAAATTCTATGCGCCAACCACATCCACCATGAGTGCTTTTATGTTGATATTATCCTCGCGTCGACGGGAGTCAAAAGAGTGCAATCCACTTGAGACACCCGTCCGGCTATGTGTTATTAGACCCATGATCCCCCTCAACGCCCCCTCCTCGATATCAAGGTAGATGGTACCATTCGCCCTCTAGTCCTCTCCTTGTCAAAGATTTCGAGACGTTTCACGGCTAGTTTGTCTTTGTCTCCGCAGTGTACTCAGCTAAAAGAATCTCTTGACCTTTCTATCAAGGTTGCCGGAGCTGTCAAACCCGTACACCCTCCATCACTCTCTTTAAGTGTACAGGCCAGAGCTTCACTTTTGTCTCTCTTTCTCTCCCTCTCTCTCTCTTTGGCCCCCTTTTGAACACTTTCTTGTCTGGGAGCTATGGTTCTAGGATGATAAGTCAGATCACTTCTCAGATAACAGGGGTACCTTCCGCCATCCTTCTCAAGACCCCTCGATCGCAACCCACTTCCGCCATGTCAGTATCTGTTGATGCGAGCTGGCCCGGCCATCCAGGACCACAGCAGCAACAGCAGCAACAGCAGCAGCAGCAGCATCAACATCAGCATCAGCAACGACAGCAACGACAACAACGACAGCAGCAGCAGCATCATCAGCATCAGCCACATCAACCTCCACCACATACTCCTTCTATGGAACCTCACGGCAGCTTACCCTGGGATATCGGTCCCTTCGCATTAGACGGTTTTCTTGCCAATGGGGAAACGAGATGGAGGCAAGGCAACAGATGCAGATGCTTGGAGCAGACAACATCCACCATCTCTCTCACGATGCTAGCATAAAAATGGGTCTTGATTCCAACATCGTGTCTCCAAGTGAATCCCACGCTAGCTCCTCCGGAGAGCCAGATGGGATACCTTCAAAGTCGCGGAAACGTAAAGGTATAGACACTACCCCCCCATTCCCGGGACCTTTTCTCTCTCTCTATCTCTCGCCTCTATTTTCAGGGGAAGACTACAGTAGCTCACTATAACACATCACTAGGGTCAAGAACGGTGTCTTCGTTGACGCCTGCACAGCTCGAGCGAAAGAGGAGTAATGATCGTCGCGCGCAAAGGGCTATCAGAGAGAGAACGAAGCGCAAGATGGAAGATTTTCAGGTTGTCCTATCACAGAAGGAAGAGACGATTCAGGAGCTCAGGAGAAAGGTTTGCTACCTGGAAGACGAGCTTACGAGGTACATGGGCGGGGACTCATGCTCGGCACAAGCACAAGGTAAGAAACTGGCGTATGTCGCGAGCTGGAACCTCTACCCATAGTCTAACCCTCTCCCAAAGTTCCCAACGCCGACCATAAGCCGACCGGCCTGATCAAGCGAGATGCAAATTCACGGTCTTCTTCTTTGTCTATCAGTATAGCGGAGAGCCACGGTAGTAGCAATGCCGCCTCGGACGAAACCGCTCCTTCGTCAACAGGTTCAGGCACCCGTGGCACAGCACCGCTATCAACCAGAGGCTCCAGGGCCATGGCAGGAGTCTACAATAGGATAGGCCCAGACTATGAGTCCTCTGCCATGCTTGGCCTACCAGCGACCCAGACTCAAGGAGCGCCAGCATCCTCTTGGCCCACAAACGCCCTCGCTACACTATCCACGGCTTCCGCATCCGTGCCAGAGGAAAGCATTCACGCTTTCTTCCCAACCAACCCGCTTCTGGGTGCACCCAATGTGCCAGCTAGGCCGCAGCGAGCTATGGAGGAGCTCCCGCAAGCCGAGCCCGCCAATTTCCGGGCTCTCTCAGCGCGTGATGGCAACTACAACGGGTGGATACCGCAGGCTCATAATACCCATCCCTCTTGCTGGCAAGTTGAGCGCCCAGCTGGAACGTGGCCGTCATGTGGAGAGCGAGAAGCTGAATATGGTAGGGCCGCGCATTGCTTGAAGCCGTTTTGAGGTGAAAAGAGCAGAAACACTAACGATCAAATGACTCTAGCATTCACGACATGAAGTTGTGAGGACAATTCGCAAGTGTGGCTGTTTCTTTTTTTTCTCTTTATTCTTTTTTTTTCTTTGTTCTTGCTCGGGGCCGAGCGTTCGAATGGAAGGCATGGATATACAACCAAAATGGAGTACGGAGAATGATTTCGGTTCCGGTGATTTTGGAAGCCAGTAACGCTCAGCCAGTGTGTATGAGTGCGACGACAGTTGACGGTGACGACACTTTAACGCATGTGCTATTTTTATTATATACTCACTTTCCTTTGTCTGTATTTCTGTATATCAGCGGTATAACCATCTACGAGAAACCAATAGATGTTGAATAAGAAACTATATCAAGGAAACGGAAAAGGCCCAGCAAGCTGAAATACACTGAAACAGAGAGGCGAGATGAACAAAGACACGGCCATGCCAGCACTTGTTGGCGGGCGAGAACAATGACAGCTCGTCCGCGAAAGGGGCGAAATGTGTCGGATCAAATCCGGAGAGCACATCCGGACTGGATGTATGTACTATCCAATACCGATAAATCAATCGGATCTAGATGTATTAATATTGTATTCTCAACTTTCTGTGCTGTCTTGGCTCACGCCCGGAGCTGTCCAGGGTCAGCCATGCCTTGTCGAGCCCTAGTTTTCCCATCTGCATGACATCAATCTATCAACGGAATCCTGGTCAACAAAAATTCAACGCCGTGGTGATCGTCAGTCCCTGGAGGGTCTTGGACCCCTGCCTTGTTACTCGCAATCTTGCTTTCTTACTATTTTTACTTCGCCTGGCTTTCTATCCCTTGAGATTCAATGGAGGAGGGGAGATCCAACGGAACGGATCCATTAGTCACAACCTTGGCTCCTCTTGAGTGATCCGGAGAAGATGTTCCCCTAGCTCATGGGTGTGTCCCTTTCTTTGTCTTGCGAGGGCAGAGCTGGAACCTGTGGTTCATTCCGGGTGGGTGGTGCTGGGAATAGCCTACAATTGATGTACAGGTAATAGTCCTAGAGGTGCAGAGACAAAGACCCTCAGCGGAACAACTATTTTTCCTTCTCGGTCAATCTTTCCGAATTATTCATCCACATTCGTCAGCCGCACATGCCAGCGCCAACCACGATAGACGCAAGCGAAGAGCACCTCCACTTTTGAGAGAGAGCAAATTGTCTGCTGAAGTGGTGCTCCTGAGAAAAGTAACAGAAAGTGGGGTTTCTTGTAGGGAGGTCGACACCCCCAGGGCCGCCATCAATTGATTGTGGATGGAATGGCGGATGGAATGTATTGATTCTACGGTGGACTACCAAACGTCAATGTATTGGTGGTGGTGGTGGTGGTGGTGGCCCGGAACTCGAAAGCAGAAGGGGGCAGCGCTAGCAAAATTGAGGCGAAAGGAACTTCAGAAACAGCTGCGAGCAAACCAATGAAGCGTCCCATTCCGGCAGTTCGAAGCACAGCTCAGCACAAGGAGCCAGCAATGAATCGGGGGTGCCCAAAAGGTTCGTTCAATTCTCCCTGGACGGGACACTAGTGGAGTGGGAAGCGTGTCCAAAGAGGATTGATGGATGGCAATTCCTACCTAAAAGCCCCAGCCGAGCAGACGAGCAGACGAGCAGACAAGCAGACAAGCAGATGAGCCTCGCAAACGAGGGGTGGCCCAAGGGCAGGGGCAGGGCGTCATCATAGTAAAACGCTAACGAGGGTCTGCTCGCCGTTACATACTGATCTCCCGGACTTTGATCTCCCCGTCCTCCAGTTTGCTTCTTCCATGATGCAGAAATTAACGTCACGCCCCACCCCGCCCCCGACCTGCAATTGCGATTGCGATTGCGATCTTCCATTTCCACTCCTCGCTCTTATACCGCTGGCTGCCTTGACCACATGCAATGTTCCAACTTTTCATTGGGGATGGGAAAGGCGGGAAAGGAGAGAGAGGCAGCGGGGAATCGCATCACTGGATACATAAAGCTGGGGCTGACTACAGTTTTGCCTTGGGAGTCGTGGGGTGCGGAATCAACATAGTTAGGGTGGAAGGGGAGAGAATATAATTGATCCATCACACACATAGCCAAGAGGTGGATCGGTAGAGAAGCACTGGTCAACACTTTCTTCTACGCCCCAACCGGGGGCAAGTGGCATCCCGGAGTCTCTCACAGTGAGGTTTCTGTCGGTCTCAGATGCCAGCCATTCTCCAGGAATACGTGACAAGAGAAACAAAGACGCTTGGGGCAATTCCAGCCTTATCAAGGATGGACTGATGTCTGAACCAGAAGTACCAATCGGCATCAGATATGCAAGTTCATCTCCTCTTGCTTTTTGCATCGCCTCCTGACTTTCCCGTCCTTTCCTTTTTTCTTCCCTTCCATCCCATTCCTTTTTTTCTTGTTTTGCAATGGAAGAAGGAGAGGGGTGGTAACGCCTCTAATCAACCATGAAGGAAAGAGGTAAGGAGTGCGGCTCGACATGACGACGTGCCCTCCACCAGGAATCAGCAAAGAGGAAATCCTGTCGACATAACGGCGTGGAGCATGGTCAGCTGGTTCCAAGTCGGACGAGAATATCCAGGCTAGCTTGCTTCAGCTTGGTTGACTATTTTCTCCTCAAGCGCTGCAATAAGGGGCGAGGAAGCGAGAACCGCTCCGAGCGCCGTTCGCTCAATCCGGGACCTCCGGATCGGCAGTTTGCCAGGTTCGCTTGATCCTGCACTAGCAAGAGGGAGGGGAGGTGAAAAGATAAAGAAGAAGGAGGAAAAGGAAAAAAACAACAGAAGAAAAAGGAATGGGTGTAAGAGAAAAACGGTCAGGAGGCTGTCTTGGAGCAAAGTGAGGGGCGGGATATCACCCTCCCATGATGATGCCAGCCCAGGCAAGCCCGGTGGGTCGTCTCGGTGGGCTACCGGGTGATCCCCGGTAAAGAGTCGGTGAAACACCAGAACAAGGTCCGTCCCTGGCCCTAGCGAGCCACCCATTGTCATCCCAAAGCGAATCATCTAACCCCTGTTCATCAAGGCCATCACCATCTCCATCAGCCAACAGAGGCAAGTGGATCCCCGGAATCGGTGTCTGTGCAGAACTAGGGTCGTACTCGGCAGAATAATGGCAGATTGTCGCTACCTCCTCGGATCCTCGACTGGTATCGGGCTCCAGATTGGTCTCTTGCTTCCATTCCCACCCCGCCGAGCCACACACATTCCACTTTTTCTGCTCGTTGTCCCCCCTCTGCCCCTCTGCCCCTCCCCCACATCGCTCCCACCTCCACAAGGATGATTCCATCGGCTAGCCGGGGCGACTTTGCGGCACCCGAGTTTTCCAGACGATCGGCTCTCCCTTTAGCAAGGTCGGGCCCTGACCCCATTGCCCTTGGGCCCCTCGTTCCTCCTCTTAGCCCGGCTTCAGACGCAATGCGCCATGCAAAAGGAGGGGTATCTGGGGTCTAGGCGTCCAAGGCCAAGGCTTCCCGGATGGCTCGAGGGGGCGGAGGTCGGTGATATTATGGAAAAACACAGGGAAAGCTCCTTCCGGTCTCTCCATTATGCGTTTTTAGAGCCATACAATGCTGCCGGAAAAGGGAGAAGGGGGTGGGAGGTAGCAAGCGGATGGGGCGGCGGGAGGGGCCCGGCGGAAGCTCTTGCTCCTGCTCCTTGCCTGTCTCTCCAAGCTAACAGATCCTCTTCTTGTCTGGCCCTCGCCCCCATCCAATTTCCATGGTATTCTTTAGCTAGCAACGTAGCAAGGTTGCCCCGTAACAAGGACTCGTAGCTCGGGTGCGGGAACCCCATGCGCCTGCGAGTTCGGTTCACATTGTTTGGCTCGCTTTCGTGTCGTGTGCTGCCCGACGAGTGCGTATAAAGGGCGCAAACCCATTCGTCCTCTACTAGTTGTGATCTCTTTCCCCTCGCCCAACCTTTCTTCGATCACTCGAGTCCTCCCTCCCCCGCTTGCTCTTGTTTCTCTCAAAGACTTGTCCGTTATCTATCCATATATACCCATACACGCGGTCCTGTTTCTGTGTCTCCCTGTGAACAGATTTTATCAACCCTCGACAGCTTGTGTTCTGGAGAACAAGCTTGAGAGTAGATCTCACAGATCAATCCCGAGGATCCTCCTGGTCCCTTTGTAGAAACAAAAGCTAATATGGCGGACATCAACGTTGAAGAGACGCTGAAGAAGCTGACCCTCAGCGAGAAGGTCGATCTCCTTGCCGGTACGTCCTCCTATGATGACCCTTTATGAATGACAGGATCGGTTCTCCAGCCAAAAGGAGAAAAATAGAAAATAAGAGGAAAAAGACAAAAACAAGAGTTGGAGATAAGAAGAAAAAAAAAAAAAAAAAGAAAAGAAAACCCCAAGGCGACAAAAAGGCTGAATAAATCTAGTGTGGAGTGGCTGTTTGTTGATTTTCGGGACTAATAAAACGGGTCTTTAGGAACTGATTTCTGGCACACCAAGTCCATCCCAGAGAAGGGTATTCCCGCCCTACGCTTCACCGACGGTCCCAATGGCGTTCGCGGCACCAAATTCTTCAACGGCATCCGCGCCGCCTGCTTCCCCTGCGGAACATCGCTCGGTTCCACTTTCAACGCCGAGCTTCTCGAGGAGGCCGGCAAGAAGATGGGCGAAGAGGCCAAGCTCAAGGGCGCCCACGTCATCCTCGGCCCCACCATGAACATGCAGCGCAGCCCCTGGGCGGCCGCGGTTTCGAATCCCCTCCGAGGACCCCGTGCTCTCCGGCCTCGCTTCCGCCGCTCTCATCAAGGGCATCCAGAGCACCGGCGTGCAGGCCACGGCGAAGCACTTTGTGTGCAACGACCACGAGCACAAGCGCAACGCGGTGCAGGTGCTCGTGACCGAGCGCGCCCTCCGTGAGATCTACGCTCTTCCCTTCCAGCTTTGTGTCCGCGATGCGAACCCGGGAGCCTTCATGACGGGCTACAACGGCGTCAACGGCAAGTACTGTAGCGAGAACCCCAAGATCATTGACGAGCTCTTGAGGAAAGAATGGGGGTGGGACGGCACTATCATGAGCGATTGGTACGGCACTTACAGCACCACGGAGGCCATGCATGCCGGTCTCGATATTGAGATGCCTGGTCCCCCGGTTCCGAGGTGATGCGCTCAAGTTCAACGTTTCTACGGACAAGGTGCGGGAGCATATCCTCGACGAGCGCGCTCGAGGTGTCCTCAACCTTGTCAAGAAGTGCGCTGCCACGGGTGTGCCCGAGAATGCGCCCGAATTGACTGGTGATACTCCCGAGACCGCCGCTCTCCTCCGCAAGATTGGCAATGAGGGAATCGTCTTGTTGAAGAATGAGAACAATGTCCTGCCTTTGGCCAAGAACAAGAAGGTAAGCATAGAACCGTTTCACGTTTTTTATTTATTTTGGTTGTCCCATTTCCTCCTTCAATTCTCTTTTTGCTAACCGTATTGGAATCTTTCTCTGTCTTGATTAGACCGTCGTTATCGGACCTAACGCCAAGGTGGCCACTTTCCACGGCGGCGGTTCCGCGGCGCTGGCTCCCTACTACGCCGTGACGCCTTTCGCCGGAATCAGCGACAAGCTAGAGTCCGCGCCCGAGTACACCATCGGAGCGTACTCGCACAAGCTCCTCCCCCTCCTTGACGAGATCGTCAAGACGCCCGACGGCAAGCCCGGACTGTCAATGAAGGTGTACCTCGAGGACCATTCTGCCACCTCTCGCGAAGTGCAAGAGGAGTACGTCACGACCAAGACCGAGCTCTTGTTCGTTGACTACTACAGCCCCAAGGTCAAGTCCGGAACCTGGTACGCCGACTTTGACGGAGAGTTGGTCGCGGACGAGGACGCCGAGTGGGAGTTCAGCTTGATCGTTTGCGGTACCGCCCGGCTCTACCTCAACGGCGAGCTCGTCGTCGACAACAGCGTCAACCAGACGCAGGGCACCCACTTCTTCGAGCAGGGCACCATTGAAGAAAAGGGCCGTATCCACCTGAAGAAGGGCGAGACGTACAAGGTCAAGGTCGAGTTCGGCTCCACCCCCACCTCGGAGCTGTCCAAGCGAACCCGCCTCTTCGACAACGGCGTCCTCCGCATCGGCGGCTGCCCCATCATCGACGGCAAGAAGGAGATTGAGAAGGCCGCGGCGCTCGCCAAGGATGCCGACCAGGTCGTCATCTGCGCCGGCCTCAACGCCGACTGGGAGTCCGAGGGCTTCGACCGCCAGGCCATGGACCTCCCCGGCTACCTCGACGAGCTCATTGCCACCGTGGCCGAGGTCAACCCCAACACCGTCGTGGTGATGCAGTCTGGTACCCCGGTGACGATGCCGTGGATCTTCAAGGTGCCTGCGCTCGTCCAAGCCTGGTACGGCGGCAACGAGACGGGCAACAGCATCGCTGACATTGTCTTTGGCGACGCCAACCCTCGGGCAAGCTTCCCTCTCGTTCCCCAAGATTCTCCAGGACAACCCGGCTTTCCTCCACTTCAGCACCGAGGCCGGCCGCGTTCTTTACGGCGAGGACGTCTACATTGGTTACAGGTACTACGAATACGCCAAGCGCGAGGTTCTCTTCCCCTTTGGCCACGGTCTCAGCTACACGACATTTGACTTTTCCGACCTCGCCGTCGAGGACAAGGATGGCAAGATCACGGCGACCGTCACGGTCAAGAATACGGGCTCGCGCAAGGGCTCCGAGGTCGTACAGGTGTACGTGGCACCTAAGCAGGCGGCGCAGATCAGCAGGCCGGTCAAGGAGCTCCGGGGATTCGGCAAGGTGGAACTCGAGGCGGGCGAGAGCAAGAGCGTGACGGTGGAGATCGAGACCAAGTACGCCGTCAGCTACTTTGACGAGGCGAGGAACAAGTGGTGCGCGGAGAAGGGCGAGTACGACATCATCGCCAGCAACAGCAGCGACGTCAAGGATGGCCAGGCGCTCAAGGCGAGCATCACCGTTGCTGAGACGTCTTGGTGGTCCGGTCTGTAAGCCACGAAATGGGAAAATGACGTGACTAGGCCGCTTTGTCATTTCGGGCTTGCAGGCTGGTGATGGTGTTCCTCACCCTTCGCCTTCTATTGTTTTCCCCTCAAGGGTTCCCTTTTTCTTCCTTCTTTTCCTTTTTTTTCTTTTTATAATGATGGATGGGCTTTGAAGTAGCGACACGGGACTTGTGTTTATGATAATTACGAGAAGAAATTATAAAAAACCGGTGAATTGATGCTATATCATGCGTCGTTTCCTCCAGACCAAGTTTTGAAACCTAGGCTCCATCTTCCGGGAGTGCCCTCGGCTCGGAGCGGAGCACGACTTCCGGGGTGCTTGAGGGAAATCAGCAGGCCAACCTCGTTTGCCACAGAGCCGTTTCTTTTCGTGAACTGAACTGTCGTTGTAGCCAGGTGATGGACCGGGAGCGGGATAATGCGCGAATGGGCCAAAAGGCGGACAAGGACGGCCAGAAAAGCTCCTGCCACGTAGGTCCATGTAAGCACTCGAGGCAGCAGGGCAGGGTATCATGATCGCAACAACCAGGGTGAAGCCGCTTCAGAGTTATTAGCCGCCGGTCTTGGTGATGGCGTGCAGCCTGGGGCTGAGGTCACTCCATCATCCAGATATAGTGCCTCGAACCTGTGCTTGAGCGCGATGGCATCATTTATTCTTGCGTGCTTCACCCGCTGCCTCTCCCAACGAGTCGTACACCTATCCACGCACGTAGCGTGTGTCTAGCGATGGAATCACGGTCAAGATATTTTTGGGGGGACATCGCCTTCACCCTCCACCGCCGAATTCCTAATTTTTCAGGTAGTACTTGAAGGTTGCGGTTCGGTTGGCAAGAGCTCAACTTCGCACCTTCCGCTTGGCCCAGCCCTATACGCTATTATTGGCACTAAGATGAGGATGGAATGACTAGGGCAGGCATCAGCACCGAAGCACCAACCACATGGCTCCAGCCCGTCACTTGACTCCTGCAACCCAGTGAACCATGGATGAGCTCTTCTTTTTTTTTCTCGCTTTATCGAGTCCGCCCAGGCCTATCATTCATCCGGGGCTGACATCCATCTTCGGACACTGGGTAATATGGACGAATCAGCCAGCCCCAGGTCCGCTGGCTGCCAGTGACCCCGCTGCATAGTCGACAAGGTCTGCCCGGCCAGTAGCTGCCGTTGCAGTTGCACAGGCGGCGAGGCGAATCGTACATTCCAGGCAACCAGAGCGATTCCTGATTCTTTGTGGCCACCGCTTGGGTGCGCTCACCCCACCGCCGGCTGTTGCGCATCAATCAGACGGTATCCTTTATGCCATCCCGCCCAATTCCGCTCCCTTCCTCCCCCTATTGGCGCTCAAGATGAGGCCCGGCCCTCTACAGAGAAGTTTGCTGGCCCCGGGTCCGTCCCCAGTGCCGTCTCACCCTCATCCTTGTACGAAGCGGGGAGCTCGTGCATATCAATCCTCGTCTGTAGTGTAACACGGGCCCGCAAGGCTAAGAGGGGGCACCATGTCTGCTCCACCGATAGTGAATGGTGACAAAGAAGGAATAAGATGAAGCTCTGATCCTTTGTGAAAATTGGCAAGTTTTCCGCGAGCCACCTTGACAAGAGCAAGCTGTTGAGACGGAGGCGCAGGGCGGATTGTTCGTTGTCTTCATCTTCAAAAGGGCTCTTCTTCCATCCCCAGGTCTTCAATCACGTCTCGTGTAGCTTAACCATTGCATCCCGAGTTCTCTCAGGAAAGACCGAGCAGCGTACGTCGCAGCAGCTAATAATTGTTAAAACAGGCAGACAACCCTCCACCTGTCAGCCTCTTCAGCCGCTTTTGCAGTCATCGAACCCGAAAGCGCCCACCCCCTGGAGACACCACAAGTTCGACGCAGAGTATTATTAGGGACCAAGCCCCAAATCGAACCTCCTCGCGATCCTATCCTCCCTTTTCTTTTTGTCTTCCTTTGTTCTTGCCGCACGCGTAACGCGCTCGCCTATCGACATCCCTTTGAGCCACCGCAACCTCCACTCTCCACGCTTTTGCGCGTGTCTCCACCAAACTGACTCGCGATGCCGCCTCCGCCTCCGCCGCCTCTGCCACTAGTAATACAACCTCCCCCGCCTCTCCCTCCACCGCTCCCATTGAAGCCGCCTCCTCCGCCGAAAAGAACCTGCCGCCGCAGGAGATCGTTGATGAGTTTTGGAAGGAGTTTTCCGCCAAATCTCCGAGCAAAGGTACCATTGGTGATTTTGGGGGTGGCGTTCCCCGCCCGCCCTCTCCCGTGAAAACTCTCGGCCTTGCTAACAGTGCGTTATCCCGAGTAGCTACTACCGTCATTCCCCAGAATGAGTATGCCGACAAGGCCGCCAAAGGCAGTACCAATGGCCCGGAGCGGACGACTCAGTCTTCCTACGCCGAGGCGGCCGAAATCTGCCGGACCAAAGTCCGCAAGATCGCCGACGAATGCCGCGCCATAAACCGCAAGTATCGCGACCCCCATTTCGATCTCGAATACGACCTCAAGTGTAGCAAGCGCGACAGCCTCGAGTCAATCAATAATCGGCGCACCAAAGCGTCCCCGGCGAATGGCGACGAAAGCGATTCCGACGATGACATGCAGCCGTTCAAGCCCAGGGCTGTCAAGAGAGTTGCAGACATCTTCGACGAGCCTCAGTTTTTTATCGACGGGCCCTCTATGCAGGACGTCAGGCAGGGGAACGGCGGCGATTGCTGGCTCCTAGCGTAAGTTTATCCCTCCCCGTTGTGTATTATGTACCGTGGATAGAATATATACTGAACCTTGCGTCTCGCCGCTGTAGCGCGCTCTGCACTTTGAGTAATAAGAAGGGACTTATAGAACGAGTTTGCGTTGCGAGGGACGAGCAGGTCGGCGTTTACGGCTTTGTATTTCACCGTGACGGCGCATGGTTCAGCGAGATCATTGACGATAAGCTGTACCTCAAGAAGCCCGACTACGACGAGAGTTTTATCGAGCGCATGCTATGGTAAGCTTGTCTCCAATTCCTGGTGAACCATGTTTTACTTTCGTCGCTAGCTGGCTCACTGCTAACTAACTTGATGCAGGGAGGACCGTGATAGGGTCGATTCCGAGGAAGCCTACCGCCGAATCTACCAGAGCAACAGCGGCGCGCTCTATTTTTCGCAGTGCGAACACCCCAACGAAACCTGGCTCCCGCTCCTTGAAAAGTGTTACGCAAAGGCCCATGGCGACTACGCTTGCATTGAGGGTGGCTTCACCGGAGAAGGCATCGAGGACCTTACGGGTGGCGTTACGACCGAAATCTACACATCGGATATTCTCGATCGCGAGGCCTTTTGGAAGAACGAACTGATGCAAGTCAACAAGGAGTTCCTCTTTGGCTGCTCCACCGGAATCTGGGGTCGGGGCCTTGGGAACCGCAAGGGTATTGTCGAGCTCCACGCCTATTCCGTCATGCGCGCCGTTGAAATTGACGGCAAGAGGCTTGTCCTCCTCAAGAACCCCTGGGGCAAGGGTGAGTGGAAAGGGCCTTGGAGCGACGGATCCAAGGAGTGGACAGCGGAATGGCTTCAGCGCCTCGACCACAAGTTCGGAGACGACGGTGCGTTTTGGATCTCTTACTCGGACCTCCTCAGAAAGTACCAGGCCTTTGATCGCACGCGTCTTTTTGGGGACGACTGGCGCGTAGCATCCATATGGACGACCCTAGCGGTTCCGTGGAAGCAGGATTACCACGACACGCATTTTGGATTCACCCTATCGACCGGTGGCGACGTGGTCATTGTTTTATCGCAGCTCGACGATCGCTACTTTCGCGGTCTCCAGGGTCAATATACCTTCACCCTAGCCTTTAGGCTTCATCGCACCGGCCAAGAAGATTATATTGTGCGCACGCCCCCGCGTATCGCATGAGCAGATCGGTCAACGTGGAGGTGAAGCTGGAGGCAGGCGACTACACCGTCATGGTCAAGGTGGACGCCATGCGAAACGACTCCATCCAGCCCGTGGAGGACGTTGTTCGGAACAACGCCAAGACCCGGCGCGAGAAGCTCCTTCGCATCGGCCTCGCGTACGACCTCGCGCACAGCAAAGGCCGCTACAAGGAGACGGAGGAGGAGAAGGGGTGGAGGGAGGCGCACGAGAAGAGGGCGGAGAGCCGCAAGAGAGAGTCCATCAAGGAGATGCTCACCAAGGAAAGGGTGCAAGTAAAGTATTTCCGCAGGAAGAAGCAGGACCGAGATGCCAAGGAGATGAAACGGATGAGGGCCAAGGCCGACCGCCGCAGACGCGAGAAGAGGGAGAAAAGGGGTGCGCAACAGCAAGGGGGAGGAAAGGAGGTGAGGCTGGACGATCGCGGACATGGTGGCCGCCCAGATATGAGGCCGCCCGTGGATGGACGGCGCCACACTACCGACCATTTGCAACCAAGAGATCGACGGGACCTTGACCATAGGCCAGACCTTGACCACAGGCCAGACCTTGACCACAGGCGAGACCTCGACCACAGACGAGACCGTGACCGCAGACGAGACCATCATGACCGAGGAGATGACCGAGGATTCCACAGAGGCCCAAACTTTAGACCGCCCCCACCCCCACCTGCCCGTCACTTCCCACCAGGACTGGAAGGCGACGAGGCGGTAAGCAACACACACGCTAGCGATAGCGATGGTAAGACGCAAAAGACACCGCCCTCTCCGCCAACGGGCTCGGAGTCGGGGCAGATCGGGGCTCCCAATATCGAGACCCAAAGCGAGGAACCGAAGCCTGAGGAGACTAAGACGGATGAGGGCACAAACCCGAAAGACGGAAAGGAAGGGGAAGTAGTGGAGTCTGAGAAACCCAAAGTCGACGACCAGAGCTCGAAGAGCATCCCACCTATCTCGGCGCAGGAGCCAGAGAAAGCGGGGAAGCAAAGGAGGATTTGCTGAAAGATGCGAGCTCGAGAGAGGCAGAAGGTGAAGAAACGAGACCGGAACAGGGAGGCCAACCCGCTCACCATCAAGGTATGGCTGGCTCGCGGAATTACTCCGTAGACAACCGTGGCTGGGGGCCACCGCAAGGGCGCCCCTCTTACTACGATGGGCCGTGGACGAATGGGCGGCACCCGCACCCGCACCCGCCCCCGCACCCGCACCCACACCCACACATGGATTATCGCCCGAGGTCACGGTCCAGAGGTGGCCGGTCTTTTAGCCCGAGATACCGGCCAAGATCGCCCGCGAGGCACCCGTACCCTCCACCTCCACGTCACATATACAGAGAACCCGAAGAGTACTCTCAGTCCGAGAGTGAAAGCTCCATTTCTGACACGCTGAGCATATCCACCATTTCCGATGTCACCGATCGTGAGATCGATATCGAAATAGATCTAGGCCCCATGGATGGGCCCTCTGCCGGCCCTCCGCCGCCCCCGCCTAATCGCGGGGCCTTTATTCCACCGCCCCCTCGAAATGGACCGCCACCCCCTTGCCATTGCAGCCCGGGATGGACGACAAGCTGGACGGAGAAGCCGACCCGTGGAACGCGGTGGTTGTGGTGGGTCTCCGGATTTACCACAAGATCTCCGAAGAGCAGGAAGACAAGGAGGTGGTCAAGCTTCGCGTGGTGCGACCGAACCCGTACTCGGATGACGAAGCGAGCTCGGCAGACGACAAGGGCGAGAAGAAGAAGGAGAAGGGCAACAAGAAGAAGCGGGGAAGAGCAAAGGACTAGACGTGGACGACAGCGCCAAGGATGCGACTTTGATCGGCACGGAGAAGGAGCGCAAGCGGACGATTGACCCGACGCAGGTGGTGGATTCGAAGAGGAACTCGCGTGGCGGCAAGAGGCTAACGTACAGGCCTGCACCCCGAGTCTACGAAACCGACTAGAGGGATAGGCAATAGCGCTTTTTCTTTGTGCGCGGTCGACACCCATGTGTCCAAGTGTGCCATTGGGTGCGTGCCGGTGTAAGAATGTACTCAAGCACGGTGGATTTTACCATATACGTCTCTTCTCCATCTCCATCTCTCTCTCTATCTCTCCCTTCACTGATATGAACAAATGATTTACGTGCGGCTGGGCTAGAAGCCGCAGGAAGACTGGAATATCAAGATTATGTCCACAGTTTACGTTAGATCACGAATACGATACAAGATGCCCCACTCAATTTGTTTTTTTCCTTGTAGAGAAGTGCGAGAGCCAGAAGTGTAGACAAAGAGGCATCCATGCAAATGCGTATCCTGTAACCTTTGGCCAACACGAGATGTTACGAAGGGGCTAACCTCTATTATCGAGCATGGTCAACGTAACTAGCTACCTGAAGATGTGCTACTATGCGACTCCACCGAATTTGATGAAGGGTTTCCACCTCGCGCCAGGCCTTGGAAAGACCATGTATGACCACCCAAAGCCTCTTATTTTCCCAAAAGCGGATATCATGACCTAAAACCCCTATGAACGCCAAATTCGCCGATTCCCCGCCTACCCTTTCTCGAAGGAGGGTCAAGTAAAAGATACCGGCCAAAAAAGAAAAAGAAAAAGAAAAGTAAAACAAGGGACCGAGTCCTCAGAAATCCTTCAAGACCTTGGCCACCCTCTCCTCGTCTCCCTCCAACAGGTCCCTCACCCGCTTATCCCCACCCCGAGCCTGACCCTCGGGGACGGCACCGAGCCGAGCGGTGACGCGCAGCAGGAGAAGCCTCATGCGATCGAGTTCCTTTTCGAGCGGGCCCCTGCGGGTGAGGAGGCTCTCCTGCACGCCGACGGTGCTCTCCCGGCCGGCAGCGTCGACGAGGGAGTCTTCAAAGGGCCGGAGAAGCTCCTGCATGCGTCGGAGGCGGCGCACGCGCTGCAGGACGACGCGGCGCTCGTCGGCGAGGGTGGAAAGGCGGGCAACTTGTGCGGCGTAGCGGTGGGCTTCGGCGGGGAGGGCGGCGGATTCGCGATCCGAGGGCCAGGTGGGGGAGTCGGGCTATGATGGCGTCGTCGGCTGTGCGGTAGAGAAAGTTCCAGACGGAGAGGGCGATGGTTAGCAGGGGTAATCGCGGCAAGGGTGGAATGTATGTTTGTAGAGAGAAAAGAAAAAGAGGGGAAAGGGTTCGGGACTAGATAAAACTCACTCAGGTCGACCTCGCGCCCTACGCCGTCGCCGCCGATGCCCTCGGCCTTGCGGTCCGTATCTTCCCAGTAGAGGCTCTCCACCTGCTCGGCGACGTGCCGGGTAGCCTGGGGCGGGTATACCCTGCGGGCGTGCTGCTTGAGCAGCTGGGCGAGCTTGGCGAGGGCATCGTCGACGGCGCGCCGGGGGGGGTTGTCGGAGGAGGCGTTGGAGCGGGTCCAGGAGCGCGAGGCGAGGGGGTCGGGGGTGGTGAGGAGGCGGGTCTGGTGGGCGAGGAAGTCGAGCTTCTTGGATATAATGGTCGGCGGGTCGGCCATGGCGTTATTCCGGGGGGTTTCTTTTTTCTTGTTTGATAGCAGGGGTCGCCGCGCGAGTTTGAGAATCGAAGGGTGCAATCCCCGGGAGAGGGAGAGGGAGAGGGAGAGGGAGAGGGAGAGGGAGAGGCACCTGCCGTGTGGTGATGCGGTCGCGGGGCTAATTACGTATTCCTCGTCGAGACGTGTGCGACAAGCGCAATGGGGAGAATTGCGGTTGTGCTGTGCTGGGTTGAGAATTGAGGATACTCTACACGTAGAAGGATTGGATTGCAAGGTGAGATTGGGAACTTGAAGCTTGCGCGCGTCAACCCCACCACGCCGCACGTCACGTCAATAATATCAATGAGACCGGCATTGGCGAGGGGCAGCCAACGAAATAAGAGCAAGCTTGACACCACTAATAATAGCCCATTTTGCCTATCAATTGATCAATTATCAATGGATCCAGTTCATTGTTTCAATAAAGCACAGCCGGGATCAAGTATTACTGCACATGGAGGTGTCCATCCATGAGAAATCGATGGAAAGCCCGACGTCCTACCTTCAGTATTTGCGGCATGAGATAGACATCGTAAACAACAGAATCAGGAAGAGGAAGGAGATGCCCTCATATGTTTCCCGTCGCCTTGCCTACATGGATCCATGGATGTATATACCAGGCAAACGTTCTTCACCAACCAGGACAGTGTTGAAGATGGATAGTAATAATTGAAATTGGTATCATAACAGTTTACACTCTGCTCGAATGTATTCAAAGCAGCGACCGGCCTCTCATCATGTCATGTCAGATTCGACATATCCCGTAGAGTTATAAAGTGTCACACAGCAAGTGCCTTGAGATAAAAGAAAGAAGGAAAAAAATGAGATAACGCCGCATGGTCGAGCCATCCGAAACCCCAAGCTGTCGTGAGAATCCGGTAGAGAAAAAAGATCCGAAAAGAAAGTCGTTATCGCGTCCAAGCTTGATACAATACACCTACAGCTGTTGTACAAGGCGTCTAGATCATGGGCGTCTTAGGGCCTCCAGGCAAACACTCATCTACCGAAAGAATGTAAAATCGATGTCGGGTCAGAATCTAGCGGGAAGGCGTGAAAACGTGAAAACGTAGGGAAAGGCGAAGAGAAAATATTGACAAAGGCGAAGAAGAGGGCGAGACGACGAATGCCGCCCCGGAAAAGGGAAGAGAAGGACCGAGGCCTAAGAAGAAGAAAAGAAGGAGGAAGAAGGGGGAAAGGTAAATGATGATGGGGCCAGGCAACGTTCTTTGCTTGTCGTAGCACGTGGCGTACAAGAAAACTCGCCGGTTATCAATCACTCTTCACGTACCCATCATCGTGCAATCTCTACACCTCACCTCAAGAGCAACATCACAGACGCCACACAAAAGCAATTCAACGTCACCCTCAGAAGATGGAAGGGCAGAATAGGCCAAGTTAGTTGGCCCTGCCCCCAAGAAAAAGATGGGTAATATGGTGTGCTCTCAACACCCGGATAGTTTCCCCCTCCGCCCCCGCCTCCCCTCTAGTGCCGGCTCGGTAAAGGGCCATCAGGGTGGGTGTTTCGGGATGCTAGACCGCCCTAGTTTGAGTCAAAGGGAGGGGCACTGGAGGGGCACCGGAGGGGAGGAGGAGGGGGAGGAGGAAAAGGTATAAAATGGATGTGAAGGGGCAGGTAAACTCGTGTGTTCTTTCATTTTTTTCGTTCTTTCTCGGCTTCTTCTCTTCTTTGCTCTCTTTTCCCCTATTACCCCTTTCCTTCGCGGTCTGGACCCAACCACAAAACAACTTCCACTTCACTTCTTCATGCCAAGCGTCTGCTGCCCGGACGCGTTCCACCAAGCCTTCCTGTCTCTCAACTTCCTCAACTGCAGTATCAAACCAACCCACTCTTCACCTCGACCGCAAAACTCAAGGAGTCAGCGTCGGCACCTCCTGCTCCCCACCCCTACTTCCGACAGAGACAGAGTATCAACGCCAACCGTGATGTGGAACCACGAGCCTTGATACTCTTCTTGCCTTCCTTGCTCAACCTGCCTCTTCGTCGCCCTACCGGTGGGCGGCAAAGGCGATAAGAGAGAAGTGAACAAGAAAATCCAGGTCCAGGTCGCGAAAAAGAAAAAGCATGGGAAAGACTGGAGAGAAGGAGAGATGGCAAACGACCCATCGTGTTTCTGCCAACCTTTCCACAGGGGTGGGGGCGAATGCAGCCAGAGATTGAGCTTTCCTTGAGTCCTTCAAACCTTCACCGCCCGCTCGCCCGGATGTCGTTCAAACGTTTGTTTACCGTTGGCCTCGCCGTTCCACCCGTCGTTCCAGAGCCGTAAAATATAGTGAGCTGAAAGAAAGGGCATTAAAGGGCATTAGATCTTGGTGCCACCGGATGTCGTCCAACTCCTCCACCGGCCCCCTCTCCGACTGCGGTTTCCATCTGCGTAGCCACAATCCCGCCGCGAGAGGCGGTCTCTTCCAGTAAGGAGAGCAGGAAAAAAGTGTGTCCTTTGCGCCAAAGGAAGAGGGGACCATTTGCAGACGTGAGTTCCAGGGGTGCTTCGTAAAGTCGGTAATGTAAAAAAACAAGGCAGCTTTTCCGTCGTAGTCTTGCTCCAGAAAATAGATGACTCAGAATGACCGAGGACCGGGGACGCCGAACATTTGTAGTAGTAGGCCATGCAAAAACAAGTTCAAGAAAAAGTGAACAAAAAGCCCGAGGTATGGAAGGCGAAAAGAGTAGAAAAAAATATCGAAGAAAAAGGGGCATAGTATGTAATGATCATGAGGGGGTGGTGGGGGAGAAAAGAAAAACCAAGAGGAAAAACAAGGTAGTAATGGTGTAATGAGATATAGGCCGGGGAGGGAAGAGAAGATAATCAATGAACATAACACAAGGCAAGGGGGAGGGAAGAAAGATACGATTCGAAGAAAACAATCGAATCCCGAAATGGTACCGAGGCAATCAATGTGGCAGGCAGTCCTTGACCCTGCAAAGCTGGCAACCTCCCTCTTTTGAAGAGGTGGCCGCCACCCAGAGAGCAAAGACCAACTGATGCCCACATGCCAATCCATCGACCTGGCAAGATGCGGCGAACCCGCGCCGGAAAGCTCAGCAAGCGCACCGGCGCAAACCCGGCGCCTCATAGCCGGCCGAAAGACCACCGTTTCGCCATCTAAGCGACGGGGGCAATCGGAGCGACCGAAGGGGCGGCAGCGGGAATGGGAGCAGCGTTATTCAGGTCAACTTCGTTGTTGATCTCACCACCAGCGTTCTTCTGGGGGCAGTCGCGCGAGATGTGGCCGGCCTCGCCGCACTGGTAGCAGGTCTTGCCAGCGGTGTTGAGGGGTCCGCCGTTGGGGGCGGTGCAGTCCCGGGAGATGTGGCCGAGCTTGCCGCAAGCGTAGCACTTCATGGCCTGAGCCTGGCAATCACGGGCAAAGTGGTTGGGGCCGCCGCACTTGTAGCAGGTGGCCGGACGGGGGCCACCGGGAAGCCGCCGCCACGTCCAAAGCCGAAGTTACCACGGCCCATGGGAGCGCCACGGCCCATGTTGACGACAGGAGCGTTGGAGCAGGCGCGCTGATGACATCATGTTAGCGTCTACAAGACAAACTCGGGACGTGTCAATGGAACAGGGTCTTCTCTTACGGCAAGGTGACCGGGCTGGCCGCAGTTGTAGCACCGGCTGCTAGCAGGGCCACCGCTAAGGCGGAGGGTAGGGCAGTCAGCCTGCACGTGGCCGAGACCCTGGCAGTGGTAGCACTGCTTGGCCTCGGTGGTTCGGGGAAGAGGGCAGCCGTTAGACTCGTGTCCGGGTTGCTTGCCTGTTTCCAGTGTTATATTAGTATCAGGGCTTCAACTCTAGTGCAACAGCACAAGGCGACCAGATTACCATGAGGCGGGACTTACAGTTGTAGCAAAGCCGCTCAGCAGAGGAGCAGACCTCGGCGTAGTGGCCAACGTTGCCACACTTGTAGCAGGCACGGCGAGAGAGAGAAGACATTGTGATTATAGAAGTAGTCTAGATCAATGGGGTCAATTAGTCATCGGCGGTTAGAACAGTAGCGAAAAATGTGAGAAGGCCTGGTTCGTGGAGTTGCCTAGTCGTCCTGCGTATCGCCCGTTTCTCTGTTGGGTCTCTCGGTAAATCGAATTGAGCCAGAAAATATTGTCCCAAGCCCCGCCCCCGGATCGCGAATTCCCCAAGGGATATAAAGAGTCGAACAATGCATTATGTGAAATGCAAGGGAGGTCCCTCAGAGTTGACTTGGCGCGCTGGGGGAAACAAGACAGGTTTTTTTTTCCTTCTTGTAATTTACGCAAGTGGTGATGTGATTGATGGCGTCCATCCCCAAGACGTCGTACAATGGCGGTGGGTGCGCAGCGTCCTTTCGGCCCAGTCTTGAATGCCCATAATTGAGGGTCGCTTCGCCCTTGCCGGCCGCCGGTTCAGAGCCAACGCCGGAGTTTCGGGTGTGTTGTGTAACGTTCCCCTTCACGAGTTAACCCGGAACCAGGGTAAAGCCTTGCATGACATGCCAAAGAGCGACCCCGTCTAGTGGCCGGCACATTCGTTTTTTTCCTCATTTCATTTTAGAGGGAGGGGTTGGGCGCGCGATATTGAGAGTGGAATTGGGCGTCAGGAAGCGTTCAAGGAAAGTCGGCTCGTCTCAGAATGGTGACGATATATCTTCTTGCCAGCACTCAGACGAGGAAACAAGGACGAAGGGACGAGTTGCATTCCAATCCAGTTCAATTCAATATACCGCATCGCGAGAGTAGGCAGGTATTCGACTGGCGGTACGGGGAGGTCCAAATGCGCTGTCATGGACACACCGCCCATTCATACCGAGCCGAGGATGACGAGGAAATCCGGAAATTTGGGTCGACTCGAAAAAGCAGATGGCGGGGTTTCCCGTCAAAAGGCGCATTGGGCCGATGGGGGCGTAGGATAGATCGCAATCGAGGCGCGATGCGCGCGGCAGACAGGCAGAGAGAGAAAGAGAGAGAGGGAGCGAGGGGCGATACGGCAAGGACTGGCGGTACAGGAAAAGAGGCGGGCGGTGGTTGTTTCTTGGTGGGGAGGAGAAAGGCCGCAAAGTTTTGAGGACGAAAAAGAAGGGGGAACTGGCAATACGGAGAGTAAAACTTACAGAACCGAGATTGACGGAGATCAACGAATAATCGTGGAACAAGAAAATCCGAGAGAGAGAAGGAGGAAGACTGCTTCGAATGTGAGCGACGAACAATTAATATTGAAGGTCGATGTCGAGAAGAAACCGGTTTGTGTCACTGGTGATGTGGACGGAGCGTGGTGCGGACTTACGAGGATATGGGGGAAAATTTTTCGTTCAGGGAGTGATGATGGGTTGAGGTGGAGAAGAGAAAGTGGGAAGTGGCAGAAATTCAGGGAAGGGAGTTGCGACTTTACCATTGAATTATTCGACCCGTAGCCCTTCCCCTTGGGTGCTGGAGGGACCCTGTCCCGTGGTTGAAATGGACCCATTCCATCCACCATTCAATTGATGGTGGGCATGAATAAGCGGGCTAGGTGGCGCTAGCGCTCAGAGGACTGGGGCAAGTGGAGGGCGTAGTGGGGAGAAGACAGTATGGAATGCAATGGACCAATTTGATCTAGCACCACAACTCTCAATAGCCCTCCACTCCTGTGATCAAGTGCTGGTGCGGCCTCCTGTTTGTTTGTGCGCTGCCCACCCTTCGGCTGTACTAGATATTGAGCGCGCACAGCCTGGCACAGAGACTAATCTTCCAATCGGGCCAGCTTGGGTTTGCAATCACTCGATCGGTCGAGTACGTGATCAGATGAATGAGAATACCCCATTAACCACCGTTGACTAGAGACTGGCCCCAGGCAGGCCCATCAGATCGGCAAATCAGGGTCTACTCTCGGGGCAACTGCATCGAGGTACCATGAGGTTCCCAGATACACTAATAAAGTGCGAATAACACCCATTCCAATTCCAGGCCCCATCTGGGTATCGTAGCAGCAAAGGAGCAAACAGCCAGAGAGATCTCGGGAAGGACACCATCTCTTACCTGCTTCATTCCCCCATTCAAGGCTAGCGTTCCCATTTGATTACCGTGAGATACGTGTCGATTCCGAGCCCCAACCCCTTGATCATACATCGTGCTCAGATTCGAGGTTGTGGCACTGGCTCTCCCCTCCCATTCCCAAGCAAGCCAGCAGGCGTTAGGGCCCATAGCTAAGATAATGCATGCCCGTCACCAGCGCCCAGGTCCATTTCGCAAGGCCATGAATACAAGAGAAGGATCGACTAGAGTCAATAGGTCAAAATTCTGGGGATGCGCTTGGGGGTCGCAACCTGAATCAACAGGACGGATGACATCCATGGGGAATCCATCCATTGGTAGTTCTCGAAATCGGCAGGATCGAACAGGGGACTCCATAGCGGGGTAGAACGGCCCAATTTAGCGATTGAAAAATCTAATGTGTCCCGTGTGACTTCTTGCGGTTATGAGGGATAGCCCACTGCAATTTCCAGCCACCTGCTTCGGGCAAAGCAAAGCCTTTGGTTTCTTTTTCTTTTTTTTTTTTTTTATCTTGTCTCTCAGCCTGAGATCGTGAAGGGTAGCGGCGGCAGTTTCAATGAGGGGGTCCGGGACATCAATTGATCAGCCACCGAGATGGCATCTCGACGATTAGCCTCGTTCCATTTATCAAACGCACGATGCTCTTCTTGCTTCCTCTGTGCGTGTCCCTTTGTCCTCCTCTATTGATGATCAATTCCTTTGTCCCCTTGCCGTCAATTTTTTTCTCAACGAGATGGTTATCAGTTGGGGTACCAATTTGGACGTGCAGCCACCTGTGGGCAGCCTGCAGCTGTCCCTGCAGTAGACACTGGGTGTCTGGGACGCCCTCCACTTCACAGCGGCAAAAAGTATTGGCCATGGTGCAGTTACATTTTGATTACCATCATTCTAGATTGACAATACCGGACAAAGCTCAGACCACCCTTTCCTCGACGGGGAAAACCAGGGAATGGGGGCGGCCGATAATGTGGGGACATCGACTGAGCGGTCTTGGTGCAACACCCCTTGTCACTCGGACCAGTGGAGAAATTAAGTGCGGATGAAGCCTATCGAGATATGGAGTTTGGTAGTCGAGACAAAATCTAGAAATCTCTAGTCTTTATGATATGGGGAGGATAGAGAAAAGCCAGTTGCCACCATCTTCGGCAGTAGTAGCAGGAGCTTCGCCGCTTCGCCGCTTCCACACGCTCCGCATGGACTTTTCGCCAAATAGGTGGCGAACGTTCCGGCTGGTGTGGCAAGTGTCAAGCTCCTTAGCTACCGTGCTACAGGTCGATCACCCTCTCGACAATGGGCATGGAGGCCGGGAGGGTAAGGTAGGGTAGAAAGAGGCCAGGCGCGCTGGAAGGAATACTTGGCTGTCGCCAAGGTGGGAGATTGTTAGAGCAGATGCCACTAACCATAGAGAATAGGAATGTTCATGTTGGTCCTCCTCCACCAATGATGGGCAACCTGGGTGCGTCCAGCGTCATTTGAAATCGGCATACTGATCGCCAACATTCCTCCCGTGGATACGGTCAATGATGACTTTATCTAAACTTTGATCCCCAAAGTGAATTTATCGATCTAAAAGTCTGCAAGATCATGATATAATAGAAGAGGCACAGAAAGTGGAGGGGTGAGGTGAGGGTACCTGCTTGAGGACCACCAGGAGAAAACGGGTCGCCGAATGGGCTCAAACCTGCATCCCACGTGGGAAGTCGAGAGACGGCGGCAAGTCAGCTTAGAGGCAGTGAACCTACCAAACTCTCGACTTTCCTACCTTCCGAGGCTTTGGCGTAGACTGAAAGTCTTGTTCTCAGTGGACCCGGCCCGAAACCTTCGAGTAATGAGCATCATCCATCATGCGTGGCTCACGTGACACAGCCAGTCACACATTGATCATTGATGTCTCTAAGCCGACCGAGATTTGGCATCCCAGCCTGTCAGTCGCCAGTCATGCCAGCCACTAGACCTGGGCCTAGGCCCGGGCAAACAAGTCTACCTTGACATTTGATTATTATTCCAGTTCTTTTTGGTCCAGCCTCAAGATACATCCATGCCACGCTTCTTATCCTTGATGCTGAAGTAAATCTGCTCCCCTGGGCCAAACTTGTATTGATACCTCTGGTGATATCGCAGTGTGAGACCTCAACCCTAGTTTGGGCCCTGGCGGACAGATGGAAGAGTTGAAAAAATATTTCTATAGCCTCGAGACCGGGCTTGCCGGTCTCCTAAAGTAATAAAATTGAGGTAACGTACAAAGAAGCGAGCGTCCTGTCCTTCTTTTCCGGGCTTTCATGCATAAAAAGGATGATAAATGGTAAACTCCTGGTGAATGCAATGCTTCAAAGACAAAGAAAAAAAAGCAAAAGAAAAAGAGGAAATAATACACGACCCGCTGAGTTAAATGGTATCAAAGCAATCAAAAGAGAAATACTGCCACCAACAGCAACAGCGCGACCGAGTGCGGCTAATACGGCTCCGTTGTTCACCTAGCCATCATCAGGCATCACAATCATCCTGCCGTTACGCATACTGCGCGTGACCCGCTTTGACTCTGATAGTCATTCAGGTCGCCCTTCACCACGCCGCTTGCGCCCCGTCTAGCCTGCCCCGCTCAGATGGATGGACCGGAAGAGGGACATCTGTAGTTGGCACCGTGGATCTTGGCCTGGCATCGACCACGTAACTCACACCGTCCTCGGATGCATACGATGGTGGGCGGGGACCAGTCCGCGGTTCCGACCACCCCGACGACTCAGCAACTTGCGGGTCGTCATTTCGCTGCCAAAAGAGTCGGTTTGGGTCGACTCGCTAAAGACAAGAACGTTAGTCAGAAATGTTGTCTCCCAATCGTGGTGCTCGTAATTCTAGGTCGGCGTGACGGTGAAAAACTGAAAAGAGAGCCAGAAAGAAAGAAAAAAATGAAAGCTATTCATCGACAGAAACTTACCACACTCTCTCGCCATAGGCCATACGCCGGCGGGCGCAGTTTTGTCGTCTCGCTTTCTACTCCTGCCGCTTCCTCATCTCGGGCAAGGACAACCCGAATAGGTACGCGAGGTATCGCGTAGCCGCCTAGGGCAAGCATTGGCTGCCTCCCAGATGCTTGCTCTTCCTCGCCTTCTGGCTTCGCCACGGCCATACAGAGCCGGAGGAGGGCGTAGCAGAAAAAGATGGTAGTAAATAGAATGATGAGGATGAGGATAACGGTAAATTCGTTCCTGCTGTTGAGTCGTTTCGTGATGGAGAGCACAAGGTCTAGTATTTATCACCAGTTAGTAAGTGGGGGCGGTATTCTTGAGTGTTGAATTGTCTATGTGGGAGGTGGGAAGGACGTCGAAAAGAAGGGGTGGCCTTACAGATGGCGAGGAGGAAGAGTAGGAACAACCCAGACATTAGGCATCGGATTACATGCGACCTGATTTGCGGCGTCATCTTTCCAGCCAGGCACCGGCGCCTTGCCCTCTGCGGGGCGGTCAGTCCGGTGGGACTTGGCGTAGCTTCTGCCGTGTGTGCGGATGGTTGATCCTGAGTACCGGGCGAGGAGGTGGCTTGGCCCGGGTGGGCCGTGGCTAGCGGGCTAGAAAGCGGTGCTGGACTTCGTGATCTCCCGGGCGTGTTCTCTCCATGAAACGCCGGTGGAGGTCCAGAAAGGCCATTTTCATCGGCGACGGATATCGAGATGGCGGGGAGAGGCTCGCTTCGGAAATCGGGTTGGGTCGGCCTCGCAGTCGACGGTCGCGAGTCTGGGCCGCTCGAGCCTGTCGTCCACGTACGTGTTAAATGGGGAGATGCAATCGAGTCGATGGGAGCGTGGGCATTCCGAGCCTGAATCGCGGCGTCTTTGGACTCTCGACCTCGCCCGCGATACTCATGGGGTTCGCCTCATCGTTGGTCTCTTCATCCCTGCTCCTCCTCAGCCGTCTGCTCGTGATGGGATTTCGCAAAGCACCCAAGACTGGGGGTATGGAAGGCCGCCCTATGGAGAGCAGTCGACTTCGGGATCTTTCTCGCATTGGTTGGGATCCCGGCGTTTCCGTCCCCTGGGATTGCTCCATCTTGATAAAGACGCCCGCGGACGGGTGTGAAAGGGTATATGCCTGTGATAAAGGCCGAGGCGAGGTCTTGGGACTATTGGACCTCTTAACTAGTGGCCGTACTTTCTTGTACGGTGGGTGTTATGAATGGCCGGGTCGAGTTTGCGGCTTCATCCCTAGACGATTCTCTCCACTCCCCTAGTATGCTGACTCTTGATTTTGGTTTAATATTATGTTTGAATTGGTGAGAATTCGCGCGCGGTGGCGCCCGCAGCGTCGAGATCGCTTTGAAGAGTCGAGATCGCTTTGAAGAGTCGAGATCGCTCCGAAAACTCCTGTTCGAAAGGGCAGAACCACCTTTTTAGGGTGATGGATGTAAACGCGCCGACAGATCGAACATTCGGCAATGTTCGTTCGATTGATACCCAGGATTGGGATGGAGTTTGTACTTGAACACAGATTCGAAGAAAGGGCGAGGCAGAGCACGAAGAGCGTGGCCGGGACCGACTAACACAGGTGCCCCAATTCCTCGACGAGGGGCAGTTGGCCTGGTAGCTTTCAACAGGTTTAATGAGGGGAAAAGAAAAAGGAAGAAAAGGACAGAGAGAGGGAAAGGGAGAAAGAAAAAAAGAGAGAAGGAAGGCAAAAATGGCAAAATCACAATGGCTAAAGAAAGAGTTTAGGGCGAAGATCTATGATCAGAGCCGAAGATGAGCTCGTGGGACAGATCAGAGGTCAGCGAACAAGCCCACTCGGCGGCCTCGGACACAAAGAACAAGACGAAAGAGCCCCTAACGTGCAGTGCCACTCTCAACTCCTGCCATACAATTGATACGTCTCAGCGAGGGTTTTTTCTTCTTTCTTTTTTTTTCTTTCTGGTATTAGCGGATTCGGAAGTTCCTCCCCTTTGGAGTCTTATTGCAGTTGCAGCCTCTGAATCCCGCGTCGTTTGCACCATGACGACGTTGTATCTTGGGTGGTGGGGACACTCAGGAACACGCCCCGATCGCTAGCCAAACTAGACAGGGTGAACCAAGTGTCGCAGAAAGAGAAAGATGGCCAACGGGAGACGGGATTCGCCCGCCTCGACGCTGGCCGCATGAAGGAAGGGGAGGGTCGGAGTGCGACAGGGTGGACAGGAAGTCAGGGGCCGGGGCCACAAGTGTTTCGGAATTGTGATGGCGAGGGGCAACTTTCATTGAAGCGCTGCTCCGTTTGGGTGGACGACAATCAACCTTTGACAGCGCCGTCTAATTATACAAGGTCGCACACTTTCTTTTTTTCCTTTTTCTTTTCTCTTGCGCCGGCCCACGTCCAATTGAAACAGCCAGCCGAGTGCAAAATAGGCGATGTTGCTTTTAACCCACGGACGTGCTCTGGCCCACGCTTTGGGCACATCTTGATACCATCTCTGGATCTTTGGTAGCATTGAACTGTCAGGGACGAACTCCGTCCGACGGTTTTGGCCGCCAGATTCAAAAGGGGAGGGAAAAAGAGCAAAAAAGGAAAGAAGGGAATATACACGACGAGGTACTCTCCGATACTGAGGGAAACTCGCCATACGCCCTGCCCTTGCGTCAGAGTTCCGAATGCGGCCTGTAGAAATGTGATCTGCCCACTGCACTCTCCTCTCCTTCACCACATTGGACAGCCCGTTTAAACTCTTGCGTCTTGTTCAAAAAAGGTCAATTCTAGCCGACCTATTCTTGAAACTGTCCACTTAGCCGACATCTAAATTCATCGCCTGCAAGTAAACTATTCTATTAAGCTTTGCAGACATGGTTCTTGCCGCGGAAAGCACCTGCACCTTACTTGCAAGTGCATCCGGTTGAGCCTATCTTAGATTGCGTGCAACTGCAACCGACTCTCTCCAGTAAAACCTTCGTATTCCCTCTCTTTGTCTTGGTCGATTCGAGATCACCTCTTACCCTCATGCATAATCGCCTCATACCATCTTGGCTCGGTAGTCGCCACCCATGGACCTTAGAAGATAGAATAGCCGTCTCGTCCACGAGCACACTCCCCGGCAAGAATTGCATGGTTGATCATTGAGGCGGAGCGTTGGACACGCACTCTAAGTGACGTTGTGATGGCAGGTTGAAGAGAGACCGGGGGTTTGGACTGGATCGAACTGTTTTCTAGGGGAAGTTGGCGGTTGAGAAGGCCTCTAAAGCGAGGTTGCAAGGTTCGGAATATCGAGTCACCGCTGTATCCCCTCGAGGTTACGCGCGATAGCCCGGTCCTGGGGGTGCCACATCATTCGAGGGCATTTCACCTTAGCTCGCCGAGTAGCAGTGTTCGATCGCTCGATGCGGAGAGGACTAGAGGTAATCGGGGTCAGTGATTGTTGGTGGATCATGCCATCAGATGTGGCCGCCTATATCGTGAGCAACTTACGGATTGGTTCCTTTCCAGGAGAGAACTCGGCACAGTTAACGGTCCCCTTATGACCGGGGAGTTTGTATAACAACCGACCGTCGTCATTGGACCAGACTAACACAGAGCCGTCGCCGGAGCCAGCTGCCAATCGTTTCCCGGAGGCATCCCAGCTAGCCCCAATGAGGTTTTTCTCCAGCCCAGTAGATGCGCCGTCGAAAACTCGAATCATCCGTTCCGTCGGCGCAAACGGTCGGATATCCCAGGTCCGCGCAGTGGAGTCCATGGAAAATGAAAGGAGGGATTGGGAGTCGGGCGATACGCGCAGCGATGTTATTGTATCCTGGTGGCCAACCAAGTTGTAGATGGGTGTCATCTTTCGGAGATCCCAAACTTTGACGTCGTTATCGATACTACCCGTGTAGACTTCGTTGCCTGCCTCCGAGAGGGCAATCGCCGTGATGGGAAAGTCTGTCTGGATGTAATCCACAGCATTCTTCGTCCTCGGATCCCATATTCCAATGGTGCTGTCGTCGCTGCCGCTCACAAGTAAATCCTCTCCTCGTTTGCTGACATCCAACGTGTTGACCACCTCCTCGTGGCCGACATATCTTCGTATCCTCGTTCCAGCCTCGAGATCCCAGCTAGCCAAATGCATGTCTGCCGAGGCCGAGAAAAGGATGGTAGAATCGCGGGACCACTGAAGGTCGAGGATTGCGCCGCGGTGTCCGTTCAGCAAGCCATAGTTTTCACAATCGCCATAGGTTCTCCAGAGCACTGTCATTACAGATATTAGCATTGTCATAGTTCGTAGGCCTCCGGCCAGATACAGATTTATCCATACTGATGCTCCTATCCATGGATCCTGAGGCGATGAGATTGCCAGTCGGGTCAAATCGCGCCGTGAATATCTCTCCCGTATGACCACTCAGTTGCATTACCGGCGCCGCCAAGCCACTCGTTCGGGGGCCTAAAAGCGGAGGAAAGAGATTAGACAAGCTAGCCGCGGAGTTTTAGGGTGATTTACTCACGCTCTGGACAAGGGCTGACTTTTCGTTCGATGCATTGAAGCGCGCAAGAGCTCCAGATGAATCCGAGCCCAGATTGGGTCGCTTCACGAGCTGTGTGGACACAGGCTCGTCCGAAGCCTGGCGCTTTTCACCAGACATCATTCCGGTTCCTTTACGGCAACAATTCGGGAGTCTGCTATCGAGCCCAGGGCTATGGGGCAGAAAAGGGGGAGAGGACGACGTGCGAGACAAGATTTCCGTGGTCGACTAGTGGGGTTGGTCTCGTTTGGCTAGCACTTAGGATGCTTGCTCTCGTGGAAAAACATTTAGATTGCCTCACGGCGGCGGCTGGAGCTTCTCCGGCGCCACACCTTCAAACGCCCTTCAATGTTCTCTGCATGAATTCACGTGACATCGGCGCCGATCCATGCCGACCCCAGGAATTTCCCGTCCCACCCTCCTGACTAGCAGATCCCACCCACGGCTTCCGCTAGAGAGGGGCAGAATACCCGCCTTAGACTTCACGATTTCGCAATCTTAAAGGGTTGCCAACATCCGCATCTACAATGTCGTCCAGCAAGGCGAGCCGCTTAGGAGAAGAGTATGTTGCCCGCACCTCCCCACAAACCACTTGCACATCACACGACTAACTAGAACCCTTAGGATTTGGAAGTGAGTTTCCTAGCTTTCCTAGCTGCGAGACCGCACCTAACCAAGGCCTCACTCTAGGACTCGGGTTGACAAGGTCAACGCCGAGCTGGTAATTCTGACCTATGGCACGGTCGTCGCACAGCTTTGCAAGGATTTCGATGGGGATTATGTTGAAGTCAATAAGCAACTCGACAAGATGGGATATAACATTGGCCTTCGCCTCATCGAGGATTATCTTGCGAGATCTAACACAATGAAACGGTGCTCAAATTTCAGAGAGACGGCGGACATGATTTCAAGGGTAAGAACTGGTGATGTACCTGGCTTCTAGCCATCCGTTTGGCCAGGGTTTGGTTGCTGACCCACCGTCTAGGTCGGATTCAAGATCTTTCTCAACATCACCCCCAAGTTACCAACTGACCAACGACAATAAGCAGTTTTCGTTGGTTTTTGAAGAAAACCCTCTGGCCGACTTTGTCGAGCTTCCCGACGACGGGCGGGCGCAGGATGAGCTTTGGTATTCCAACATATTCTGTGGCGTTCTACGGGGGCTTTAGAAATGGTCCAGATGCAAGTTGAGGCTCATTTTATCAGCGATACCTTGCGTGGGAATGATACCACGGAGATGAGGGTATCCCTGATTCGGTATATCGACGACGAGCTGCCTCCAGAGGATGATTAGTCTCGCACGATTGTTACCACGCGCTGCCCACCACATTCTACCGAGGACTATAGCCCTCGTCACCCCGCTGAATGCACTCCAGCGTCTCATCTCCGTGACAAACTCCGGAACCCCATCTTATTAGCCAACGCCCTCTTTTGCAGATGCGGTTGGATGTCTCTAAGCGCATGCCCGCTCACGCTCATGCACTACGTTATGATAGAAAGCTACCTGCTGGTTGTACATGTTGGTCAGATCTAATAGCTAGTGTGGACCCTAACTAGCCCACCCCCGCGCTCTGTCACCACCCAATATGTTTGGCCATTGATCAAAAACATTCATACGGGGCTTCCAAGGCAAGCCGATCGAGTCAGGTTTATGCAGCCGGGACGCGAAAGTTTTGAGGCCATGGGCCGGGCCTCGGGGGCGAAGTTGCCAAGTGGATCTCATTCCTCTCATCTGTATTTGTATTCCAAAGATAAGAGGGAGGGCTTTTTTTTTTTTTTTTTTTTCTTCCCTGTATCTCGATAGAGGCTAGACGCTTCCAAGTCGCAAGTCTCCAAGCAGTATAGTAGAGCCAATGATATTCCAATCCTTCTTCTTGGGAATATTGGGATATTGGGCAACTCGTAATGTGGCATGCAAGGTTGAAAATACTTTGGGCACTTTCTTGAAGGCTAACTCATCAAGAGCCCCAAGCGTTCTACCATTCAACAAACTTCAACAGCCCAAGGGTGACTTGGTACAAGGTTCTTTACACTTTACGGGAAAAGTGCAATCGCTCCGAGGCATAAGAAAGAATGAGGAAGAAGAGGAGAAGAAGGAGAGGGAAGAGACCCTCATTCTCCTCCTCTCAGATTCCATCCAATGAATTCAAATCCCTTATGATGGCTGATCTGATTTAGTCAAGAAAGTTTTCTGTCCACGACTTTGAATTCCAAGGTGTAAAGCGCATCCTTAATTATTACACTTGTATCAAGGTCTTGGAGATATTGAGGGCGTTGGTCTGGTCGAGACTCAAGTGGGTCCAGCAATCAGTGACCCAAAGCTTGAACCCTGCTGGAAAGAGAAGTAGCCAGTGCTTTTAAAGTGTATAAACTGTGAATTTGTTTTTGTTTCGCCTGGAAAATGTGGCAGCGGTATGGAATCTACGCGTGGAAGCGTGCCGTTCTCAATACAATCGTCATTCTTGAAATTACGCATGAGCGATTGCTCATTCTGCCTGTCCCCCTTGCCACCAACTTCCACACAGTGCGTGCATTGCCAACCTGTACTTCATGCCCTGGGGGTCCGATTGAAAGCCCGGAATTCAGGAGCGATCAACAGAACGCCCGCAGCTGTTTAGGGCTCTTGCTCCCATCTTTAGGCGTCTATGACCCTAAAATTCGGGCAGTGCCTGCCAAACCGGTGCCATCGAGACAAGGGAAAAATTTTGGGAAAAGCCAGCCCCATCCTTTTCCTTCCAAACGTTGCTTGGCGTCTCTCGCTCACGCCTTCGTTCTTCCGATCCCTCACCCTTTCCTTTCCTCTTTCATCCTTCCCTGTTCTTCAAAATATCCAGCCAACCCTCCACTCGCCAACGGCCCTAGAGGCAGACCGAGTCGCAGGATACTAAACCGCACCCGTCCATCAACATCTCGAGTTGTCAAACCGACCCCATCCGCTCCTTGTCATTTTTTTAAAACTACATCCTCCCGACTATCTCATCCCCTTGGTAATTTCATGCAATGTGCCATGATCGTTGATCTGTACCCTCACCATTGATGTTTCCGTCGCCGTGTACCCTACGACTATCGTCGAACCACGACCTGACCGTCCCGACTTTTGCTTGCAAGCTTCGGGTTCCTAACTATAAACGCGAGCTCTCTTTCCCGCCGGAGATAGGACTTTCCAGCGCCATCGTCGTCCTCGCGCACACGTCTTCTCCTTTCGTGAAGACGGTCGCGAAAGACGCCTCCTCGGCAAGCTTTTTTATCGAGTCTTTAGCCTACTCGAACGCACATCCATCATCTAGTCTATCGCGATCTTCGCGATCACTTTCGATATCAGCCAGCATCATCTTTGGCGCCACACGTCCTTCTCCCGAGGCAGCACTTCGCGTACTTGATACGCGACCGAGCTAGCCCATTCCCTCCACTCCCAACCCTCAACCACCGACCTTACTTTCGCCGTCATGAATCCCACAACCAACGTAAACATGGCCAATCTTGGTGGCATGGGTGGACCGGTTGGCGCCGCGCCAATGACCATGATGAATAATGTGGCCGCCGCGCAGCAGGGCGGTCCGAGACAACACGCGCCTATCAACGAGAACCAGAGGACCCTTCTCAACACCTACATCTATGAGTACTTTATCCGCTTTGGAATGCACGATTGCGCCCGAACCCTGTTACAGGGTGACAATCAAGTCAACGTTGTCCAGAATGGCGCCAATCGCCGACGAGATGAAAACGGAAACGTCCTTGGTAACGGCGTCGGCGGTGATGCTATGGATACCGACAGCAAGGACGAGATGGATGGTAAACTCCCCGATGACCTTCCCCGCCAAAGCTTCCGAGGTCATCTGATGGCACGTCGTTTCTTCATGAATGGTTCTGTCTCTTTTGGGAAATGTACAGCGCACAGAGGAAACCCGGTAATGGCGTCGTCCACCAATATGTTAACCACACCCAGGTAAGCATCTCTTCCCTGGCCCATGTTTGAATGCGAATGTCTTTCAATGGGTTAAGCCCCGCGTCGCTTTTTTCTTCTTGGGGGCATTTCTAATCAAGCATACATTAGACTCAAAATCGACTTCGCCAGAGCCAGCAGCAGGAAATGCTGCGGCAAATGCGACCCGATATGACACAACAACAATATCAAGCCCAGATGATGCGCATGCAGAACGGCGGTGGAATGGCTATGGCCGGAAAACAAGGTCTAGTCCGAACGGCCATGGCTAATAACCAGTAAGTGGAATATGGGCACCGGGCGTTGATTCCTTGGACCATTCTGACGATATGCACTAGTCCCCAAGCCATGCTTCACCAAGCAAAGCAGAATCAGATGCAGCGAGACCCCTCGGACATGGACGGCAACCGCCAACGAGCAGGCTCCCCCAATGCTGCTGATAACGCGCCGTCACCTTCCAAGCGACCTCGGCTCGGCGAGGCGGCCTTCAACCCTAACCAGCCTGGCATGCGGCAAGTGCAGGGCATCCCCGGACAACAAGCTGGAGCCCCGAATCTTCAGCATGCTCATCAACTCCTCATCAGTAACGGAATCAATCCTGCCCAGCTAAGCGCTCAGCAACTGCAGCAATTTTCGCAGCAGAGCCCCGCCGTTCAGGCCAAGTCCATCGCTACCTATTCTGCCAATCTTCAACATCAGCAGAGCCAGCAGATGCCCAACAAGGTGATGGGCAATGCCGGCATGCCACAGGGCCAAGGCTCGCCGATGATGCCTACGGGACCAGACGGAACTGCCATTGGCGCGTTCTATAACCCCGAAATGGGAGCTGGGCCTGGCGGAATGAGGCCTGGGCCCGGCGGCCCTCAGGCCGCTGGCGGGAGCAATCACGCTCTCCAAGATTATCAACTTCAGCTCATGTTGCTTGAGCAGCAGAACAAGAAACGATTGATGATGGCTCGTCAGGAGCAGGACAACATGGGTGGTATACCCCGTGATGGCCCCAACGGTGCCCCCGGCCCCGCCGGCCCTCCTGGACCCAACGGCCAGATCATGCCCGACGGCTCTCCTCAGGCCCCACGTTCTGGTGCCTCGCCCAACCCTGCGGAGCAAATGAAGCGCGGAACACCCCAGATGAACAGCACCAACATGGGTTCCCCCATCCCGATGGCAGCGCCCAGTCTCGGGGTTCGCCGAATGCCATGAACTTTATGGGCGGTGAGATCAACCCTGTGATGGCTCCTCACTTCTTCAAAGACATGAACGGATCCATGGTCCCCAACGGGCAGATGGCTGGCATGCGCCCTCCTAGCTCCCATCCCAACCAGCAGTTTGCAGGCCCGGTCAATCCCCAAATGATGGCTGGTCGAGGACAACAAGCACCCGGAAACAACCAAGGCAACCCACAAATTCAATGGCAGGGTGGTCCGAATAACAACCAGATGATGCCCCAAGGTGGTCCCCAAGGTCAACAAGTGCAAGGCACGCCTCAGCAGCGGAACTCTATGCCCCCGCCGTCTGGTCCTGCCGCCGCCGCCAGCAATGCGAACAATAGGAACCAAACATCGTCGCCGCAACAGAACGCCCAGGGCGGCACTCCCCAGCCTCCTACTCCTTCTCAGTCAACCAAGCCTGCACCAAAGAAGAAGGAGCCCAAGAATGCTAAGTCCAAGGTACGTCATGCTCGATCTAACCCTACTAACCTGTATACATCATGATGCCCATGACTAACGTATCTAAGGCTGCTGCACAGAAGAAGTCCAACACGAACCTTAACGCGGCTGCTGCCGCTGCCGCAACAAGCGAACCGGCCGCTGATGCGGAACCACCCACGCCTGCAACTCCGATGACGCCTGGCACCGCCTCGGCAGGATTCAAGGCCGGCCAGACTGGCGGAGCCAATGCTGGCGCGGCGGCGGCTGCTTCTGGTCCCGCTGGTCCCCAACCGACCGCGGCTTCTGCCCCCGCCCCGGCCGCGCAACCGCAACAGATGCATTCAGACACAACCCCTGGTGGTGGGTCTTTCAGCATGGAAAGCAGCGGAGGAATGGTATGTGTAGCCCTTTATTTTTTGGCTGTTTTCGAAGGTCTAACAAGTTTTTGCAGGATGTATTCCCAGGAATGGACTTCACCAATCCCATGCACAGCAGCGACGTCCTCAACGATTTCGACTTCGATGCTTTCCTCCACGAAGACGGCGAGAATAACGGCTTCGACTTCAACTCTGGTTATCCCGCCATGGAAGGCACCGGCGAAATCGGAGCAGAGTAATGCGAGCTCCTAAAGTGTTTGTTTAAAAGCCCCGGTTCTTTCGCACTGGCTTTCGCAGGCTTGCAGCCGGCGAACGGACACCATCATCATCCTGGCGTTTGTCATTTTTACAGGTGCTGCGTTAGAAACCAGCACGCTTCCCATATTTCACACTATTCCCCCATCGTCCCCATCGTTCTTCTTTCCAGGCCCCTTCCCCGCGTCGGCTTTTAAAATGAGACACTTTACCGGAAAGGTCAAATGTGTTGCCAACCAGTTTTCCTTTCCTTTCTCCTTTTCCCGCTTTATTTCCCTTCGCTCTGTTTCCTCTCTCTCTCGCCTACACCAGGTCTTCGAACGGTTTTTGCTCTGGCCTTGTAGCCATGACGTGGGTCGGTGTCACCTCTTTATTCGCTTTTAGACCGACAACAGCGTACTCAGGGCGCTATACGCTTTCGGCATCATATCGATGAGCACCCTCTAATTTTAAAGCCTCGAATAGACGGAGATGTCTGTATATCTCGGCTTCTTTTTCCCATTCGTTTCTACTCTGATTCCCCCGTCTTCCTGTCTTCTATTTTTAAGGACAGACGGTGTTCAAGGATACCCTCAACCCGCGCTTCTCGGCATACGTGTTCGTCCAGCTGGGCGAGGCGACCTCTTGAGGAAGCCCATGGCTGTCACGACGGATCGGAGCGGGATACGTATTACAGGACAGGCTCATTGACCTGCTCTTGACCACTCGGCCTCGCTGTGAGGCTCGTTGTCCTTTATCTTTGCTTACCTTTCCTTTTCTTTTCTTTTTTCCAATACGACTTCGCCTTGGCTGTAGGAACATGGGTACCCGCGAGCCAAGGTGTAAGGAAAATGGCGTGGGTAGCGATAGCTCGGCATCTGGGGGTTTCTTCCTGTTATCCATTCTCTTTGTTCAATCGTGCTGTTCTGCTGGGCGTGTGTTTCTAGCGCATTTCCACTTGGGATCCTTATCTTTGGGTTAGGTTTAAGGAACGGCGGGGAGGATCCGAAGGTGGAGTGGTGGTTTTTACAGGTGTGCTCATGTGTACGTATTATCAGGTTTATTCGGTGTCTTGTGTTTCGTTAATCTTTCTGGGGATAACGATTGTTTCCATCTATCCAACTCGATTATTTTCCTCACATCCACGCTCTCTGAGCCCTTTTAGCAATCACATCGCTATAAAACCCTTGCTACTCAACGTGGTTTTGTTTTTCAAGTTAAGCCCAAGCCAGGCCCATTAAACTCTTAAGGTCTAATCTAGTTTCCGTACCTAAGAGTGCAGGACCAGGCTCAGACGACAAGCAACACCGAACATTGGTCTATGTGCTGTCTCAAGTCCATTCAAGCTGGCTCTACCCCCAATGCCCAGGAATGAGGGAGAGATGTACAGAGCTGAAATCCACGAATGGTCCACCTCAAAGCAAGGCGCCAATCGTCCTCTTCTTGTTCGCTAAAGTTGCTTCAATGAGCGCTTATTCTATATACAAGCAATACAATGAAAGTAGGAGGCGAGACCTTTTGCGCCAACACGATATTCATAGTTTCCGTCACAGACCATCACCAAGCCGGTTACCGATGGCTATTATTGTGTTTTCGTACACTCGATCAACCTCAGTGTTGACGTTTCGCTGCCTCGTTGCTCTTGACTCGTCTTCTTCGTCTTCGTCTTCGTCTTCGTCTCCCCAAGCCCCGGATCGTCTTCAAAGGCATCGCCGAGTAATCTAAAAAGGAGGGACCTAGTAGACTCGACTGTGCTTCGGCACCGAACCATGTCGGTGGTCGTCATGCCCCCACGAGGCCTGCCTCGAAGCCGGGAAGGGCCTCCATGGTGATGAGATCCTGGCCAATGGCGAGGCTTGCGAAGCAGTGGTCCAGCTTCCTGAGGAGCCGGAGGGTAGCATCTGGCTCAGGCGCAAAGGCGGGTACATACTCTGTGAACTCGCTGGCAATGCGCAAAAGTATTTGGATTTGGAGGCTTGCTATTCGTAGTCGCAGTTAGCTTCCGACAGGCATATATATATATGTATATCTACGATTATTCGTCGTTGATCCACGTTCCTCCATGCATCCCCAGAGGGGGGCGGGGCGGGGGCATTACTTACGGGTGCCAGACAGCCAGAGGACGTTGATGACTGCATCGAGGTCCTTGCATAGCTGAGAGAAGTCTTGGTAGCCAGTGAGCTCTTCGCCAGCTTCTGGTGTGCCAAACTTCTTAACATAGCGGCGGGACACTTGCATAAGCTTTCCCGATGCGTAGTTCCGTACCATGTCCTCTTTGTTGGAGCCCGGACGCAGAGCGTGGTTTCTCGGGTGGGGCAGGTCAGAGAGGAAGAGGGTGGCAGAGGAGCTACCGTGTTGAGAGGGATTGTGGGGGAAGGCATGCTACTTGGGGTTGGAGGGAGGAAACCCCCGATTCGGTCCGTTGGGTCTCTGTCATGTTGGTTGTCGATATGGCGACGGAGACGTGGTGGCAGCGTGGGAGCGTGGGCGGCTGTGTTACGCGGATAAAGGTGGGGGCGGGGTGGAAATGGAATTTGTCTGCGAGGACTGGGGAAGCTATTGAATGGTGTAAAGAGGTTGTGGAACGAAATTGTATTGTTTAATCCCGAAGAGAGGTGAGCGCTGATGGCTGAAGTTGGTAGATGGTATGTGGGATGTGATCGCCTGGGCCAAGTCTAGCTCAGGTAAGCGTGTTAAAGATGAGTGGATGTCGTTGGTATTGGGGAGCTTGTCAGTGGGTGTTACATCAAAATGTCATGCAGATCAAGACGACAAGGAGCTTGCTGGGTAGGTGGGAGGGAATGGTGTATATAATAATGGGGAAATCTACAATTCATCTGCCAACCTTCTATCAGACTTCACCCCCAATAGTTTACATATTGACAGTGGCAGGAAAGTAAGATTGCAAGATTGGTACTAGGGGCGTTCCAAAATCACCCTCGCCTCAAATCAATTGCCCAAATACTAGGAACGTGATTCGATCAGTTGACCGAACGCCAGGCAAGCCGTTCGTCAATCGCGGGAGAAAGTGGTGAGACTTGTGGCGAGCCTCTCGGTGGCTTAGGCCATGCCCGATGGAGGGACAGGCCGGAAGACCCCGCCGACCCCTACTCGACAACTCCTTCGGCTAAATGTCGGTTAACCATTTTCTCCTTTAAGCTGAGCCAGATGACGGAACTACCCGTTGGACTTTGTTCGTTTTTTTTCGGGCCTGAGCTTCCATTGAAGGAGACACGAACAACAGAATCACGACTTTGAGATCACTTATCCATCTACCAACCCCATCCGCGTCAAATCTATTTCGCACGACCCCATCTCTAGACATCAAGACCAGACTCTTACCGAAATCGCCGAAATGTCTCCCAAGCAGCAGCGCATCGTTGTCCAGCGCGGTGGCGGTTACAGCCCCGAGCCTGAGGGTTTCTTCTCCAGCACCTACAGCACCTTGACCTCGCCCGAGAACGCCCCCTTGTTCGCAGCCTCGTCGCTTTCGGCGTATGTTTCCCTCCGGCCGTTTTCTTTCCCCCTCTCCTTCCATTTCATTTGAAAAACGAGGAGTTGTCGAGCATATGCTAACTCTGTCAAAGGCCGCCGTCGCTGTTCTCTCTAGCTCCTGGGCCGAGCTCCTCCTTCCTCCGTAGGTCGACTCCTCGCATCTCTCAATTGTAGCAATCTTTGCAAAGCTAACGCCGATACAGGCAATAAATGTTGATGCGAAATGGCCGGACGCTGCCCCGAGATACAAACCAACTGAGAAAACAATACGCAACATGACCTGTACGATAGAATCTGTAACAACTTAGAACAATCTCCGCCCGATCGCATGGCGAGACCCCTAGAGTCGCATGAAAAGCCGGGTGCTGTTTTTGGTTTTAATGAAGATGAGATTTGGCTTTTATGCCACGCTTTCCATGGACGTCCTGAAGTGCCCCCGCCCTTTGTATATTCTGACCGTGACGCGTCGCCAATCGCTTGTTCAACGCAATTCTTGCTAAAGGTCCGCCCTTCATCTCGGATACCCGATTACTTGATTCATACCCATGGATGTATCGTCGAGCGTCTTCTTTTCCTATCCCGCCGATTGTGTCGGGTACAACGCAAGACTTGACAAACGGTTACGATTCGAGAGGTCGATATTACATGGAGCTTTGCCATCTCAGCTGGTTTCGCATTGTCGGAGGCACATAGTATAAACACTCTATAAGATGGAATACTCCCGCGAACGCGCTGCAAGAGATTATGATGAGCGAACTACAGCGCCGATGCCAGCCTAGAATGTCCCCTTCCCAGCAGTTGATAGTCGGCACAGAGCAATCCCTCGTCTAAATTCGTAGACTCTAACAGATCCAATAGCATCTGTCCACCGGCGCCTTGACCGGCGCTTTTTGCGATCGACTGGTATTCTGCTAGGACCAAAGCTGGCCCTCCATAGCCACGACGGTGCAACCGCTTACGACCAACAGTCAGAGTCCCTAGCGCAAAAGAGGTGGAATTGAACTTCTTTATAACATCCCCCTGAACAATGGCTCCTATTCTCGCGCTGTCTACGTATGCCGAAATCAAATCCACCCTCTTTAGCTACGATTTTGGAACATGAATTGATATATGTATATAAGATGAAGAAGAGCCTCATTTCGAGACCCAGGGTCAGGGGTTGGGGGCAAGAGGTTCCCAAAGCCAAGACGGGAGTTTGTCTACAATCCCCAACCTGGCACAGTCCCCATACATGTATGACACAGCATGTCAACAAAGTACGCTACATCGATTATCGTCGTACCTGCCAGCAAAGTGATGCGAGTTAAGGGATATTAGGAAGCTTGGCGCATACTCCTGCGAGCGAATCCACTCTCCCCATACCGGGCTGTGCGATATCGTCACACCTCTCGGATCCGGAGCGCGGAATCTAGCCCAGAAATAAATATCAATTTCCACGCAAAGCCGGTAAACAGCGGCCAGAGATGGAGAAAATGTAAAGGATCCAAGGTTCTCGGTGGCCACGACAGAAAGAGGGGGATTGTCGTTAGGTCGACTTTCGCTCCCAATCGCCTTCTGTCGGCCTTTTCGGTTGGTTGCGGCTTAAACCCAAATCCGAGGTGACCAACCGTTTGGAGAACTACGTCAGTGCAATAAGATATAGCATTTGATTCGGACATTGGGCGCTAGAATCTGTAACTCGTATGTCTTTGCATTGCTAGCGGCGGGGTTGTGTACCCGCCGGCGTAGGATTTCTTGCTGTCTGCTTCGGGGCTGGCTTGTGAAAAGCCATCCTGGGGTCACGGCCCATCGCGTCATACCGACAAGCCCATACCCGTGGCCACCTTGCGAATCAGGGCCTTTTTGAGGTACCATTCGCGTGCCAGACTCCTCGTCGTTTTTGCGAATACGGCAGGTGAGATCCGCCCGCGCTCAACCGCCCGACCAAGCATGAAGATTGCATCGCCCATGGCGCGCTCCTCCGCAACAAGAGTATACAACTGGTTAGCCACCACAGTTGGGGCAACCAGTAATTCATCAATATCCGGCTCCGGATGCTGCCGGGAATCCTCGATGACTGCGTCGGCCTTGCGGAGAGCTTCCCGGAGAATCCCCGCGTTAGAGTTTAGCAGGGCCGATAGCTGGCCGAGCGCTAATCGCTCCGAGCTCAGTGCGTTGTAGGCGTTAACCATGGCGGCATGCTGGCCCTGAAGCCCCGCTATATACGCATCGTTCTTTTGGAGAGACTGTTCTCGTTCCTGGTGTAAGGCCTTACCAAGTTGCCGCAGTAAAGCGTCCCTTTCAGGGTTGGGAGGAATCGGCGGTGGGGAGCATTGCCTTGCTCTTGGATCTTCATCTCGAGAGGCTCATCGAGGAGGTCGGGCGGGGGCTGTTTCTTTTGCGGCGGTAGCTGCGGCGGGGCCCCGTACATTTGATGAGGGGGTGGTGGCTGTTGAGTATGCACCCCGTGGGAGGTCCACCATATTGGTGCTGGGTGGGGAACGACTGGGTTGGGTGTTGTGATGGCGGGGGTGACTGCCAGGTGGGAGGGTTCTGCGGGGGTGGGCCCGTTGCCAAAGGTTGAGTGAAGTGCGCTGGGGGGCCGTATGTTGTGGAGGGCGCGCGGCGAGGTGCGGGAGAGGGGGCGCAGAGTCGTATCTCGATGACCGAGACTGATTCGTAGGATCCGGAGAGGCTGTGGGCGGCATGTGCATACCGTGGCTAGGAATGCTTCCAGGGCGGGGGGGCCGGGGCGGCTGGTCGGAACCCCTCGAGGAGCCAGAGGTGTGGGACGATACGGGCATCTGAGGGAGCCTTGGCAGCGACTCTGGTTTCGGTGGAGGGGGAGGGCTCGGATCGGGGTTCGGTTGGGCGCCGGGTTTCGGAGGGCGGGGCGGTCCATGCGAAGAGGCTCCTGTCGGATAAGGTTGCTGAGTCGTCGCATGATCAAACGTCTGAGGCGGTGTCGGAGCGGGTTGGGGGACTGAGGATTGGCCGGAGGGGGCGCTGGGGCGTCTGCTGTGTTTGCGGTGGGCGGGCGATAACCGGGGGCTCTTTGGCAAATACGTCGGTAAGAATAGTGAGGAGGTCGGAGATTGTCGATTTCTAGGTGGGCAGTTAGGATATCCGGCCCAAACAAAAGGTAAGGCACAGAGGGTAGCAAGGTAGAACGGCGGATGAGGATACTTACATCCCAGAAACTAGCCCATGCGGCTAGATATGGGTGATAGACCTGCCCCTGCGGATCGACATGCTGGCCTGGCCGCACGACCATGGTCTCGGTCGGGTTGACGTAGACCAGAGGGGCGGCTTTGGGGTAGTCGTGAGGTACCCATACCGATACGGGGAAGCGATAGGTCGCGCCGCGGAAGAGCACAGGTAGGGTGCCAGAAAGATGCACTAGGAGGGCCGAGGAGCCGTTGTTAAATGCTAAAGGGATCAAATGTTAGAGCACTTGGGACAGCGTCGAGTCGGGGGGGTCCTCCTCAAGGAGATAGATGGAATGGGCCATACTGTGGACATCAGTTCGCGGTGAGAGGGTGGGATATAAGGCAAGCGCGTGGGCAACGTCGTTGTATGTCCTATTGACATCATGGTATGTCTAGATGCATTTTGCCGAGTCAGCACGTCGAGGCCTAGAACGTTGCGGGGAGGGCGCGGCGCGCGCGGGTGCCTTTGTGGCTTCCAGGCGGGGGAAGGAGGGCTTCGTACGCTTGTGAGGACGCTATAGAGCCAATTTAAAGCATGCTGTGGAACTGGCATGGCTGGGGAGGGCAGAGGGAAGCGAACGGGCGACGAGAAGAAAGCGATGCGCAGGTGGGATAGCTCCCTTGTTCGTTCACCAAAACCGCTCGTTCAATTATGAGAGTGTGGTCGGTCGTCTTGATGCTCGGTGCTTTGTCGTGCAGGGCAGGCTCAGGCCCTGGCGTTTCGTCATGGGAAAGCAAGCTCGAAAAGCTTGGACCACTGGCTTCTTCTCCCCTCTCCCGGTTCGGTTCCCCCACTTGCAACTAACGGCTCCTCGAAAAACTTGTGAGCAGTCATCAATTTTGTCAGTCGAATATTAATGCAGTATTATTAGATCAAATTACTTCAATCTTTGTATTACTCCCGCAGTCAATCGCCCACCCCATCAGGGTCGATCAGATTAGGTGGGCACATCATCACCGACGTCTGCCATCACTTTAAGCAACGGGAATAGCAAAAATCAGCAGGATTGCATCCTGAAACGGGCACGCTAGAGGCACCATCGAGGAGCTCCCTAACCACCAGGAAGAACGGAAACACCGCAGCCTTAAGATTTTGGTCATGGCTATAGGCCCTTTTGGGGGCTGTTGAGCATCAAGAAAAAGAGGAAAGAAGCGAGTGCCAATTAGAACGAAGCTGCCCACATATTTACCGTTATTTCTAGACGGAATGAGTGGGAGGTCGTATACAATCAAGGAAGGAGTGGAAGGGATCGAGGGCTTGAACCGGAGCATGATCGGAGCGCACCGGAGTGCGCAAACGCAACATCGAAGTTGGTGGCGGGGAGCGGGAACCATGCCTCGAAAGTCATTCTTGATTCTTGACTCTAGGTCCCCGAGGTTTCTTGCCTTCCTCCCCCTCTTCTTTGGTTTGTTTCCAATGGAGGATTCCCAGGCCCTAGATATACGTATAATTTACCGTATTCTTGTAGTTTCAAGTTAGGGTGAGCCAGATCCGTACCATCATTGACGTTTCCATTCGCTTTCACAACTTGCCCGGTTGGACGGAGGACCTTGTGGACAGGCTCTCTTAGAAAATTTTCCGAGCGCACTCCCTAGACTATCTGTAGAAGGAATGAAAGCATCGGAGGGGGAAATGGTGCACATAAGCGCAATTATTATTATTATTGCCGCACACCCTAAGGCTACTTAGGTATTCTTCGACGGCACGGTACCTATTCGCTGAGAGGGAAGTGAAGGAAGAATGAACATTGAGGACGAGATGGCCAAACCTAGTTCAGGAGCACGCGATTGGATTCCACTGGACGGGGACGAGCCACACCAGACATCTTTGATGGATGGATGTCGGTGATCCAATGTACCCTGTCACAATGGCGTATAGAAAGATTCACAAGTGACAAGCCTCGATTGTCCCTCACGTCGGCAGAGGTAGGTACAAGAATAATCAATTGGTGGCTCTCGTCGTTGTCTACTTGCCAATTGGCTACCCTTCCTCTGGAAAAGCGACCGGTTGGCTTGAGGTTTGCTTGAAGTACCTGTCGTTCGGAGTGGTACTCTTGACTGTCGTTGACTCGCTTCACGCCACAGCCCACCCTGGAGCCAGAACCCACTTTTCTTCTCTTTTTTTTTCCCTTTCCCTGCAGCGGTACTTTATTAACACAGATCCTCAAGCCGATGTCTGCTTCGTGAAGGGCGTCAATGATGACCTTGATGGTGGGGTGGTGGTCGAGTCGCCCATTTCCCTGTCTTGCCTGTGGATTCTCCGTTGGCAGCCGCGGGCCAAGGATCAGTTGATCTCACTCTGACTTCTTTGCGTCCAGCCCTGATCAGGTGCCTCACCTCTCGAGGAGGCCAACGTGTAGATCCGTGTCAAGGTTCGAATACCTTGCGGCCATTCCGCATTTCGGGCTATCCGGGAATAACCTAGCGGATAGTTTTCTCGCGTGTTTTTTTCTCCTTCTGCGCGAAGGAGAGGGAGGGGTTCCCCTCCGTGGTTCGCCGGGGTATTCGGAAACTCCCTCCTTTTTTCCTTTTTCCTTTTTCCTTTTCCGGTTTTCTTTTTTTTTTCCTTTCCTCTTTCTGTTTTTCTTATGTTTCTTTCCCTTTTCCCTTGCCCTCCCCTCTTTTTTGGGTTCTTTTGAACCCACCCCCGGTCCAAGCGGCCACCCACGTCCCACGTCCGCTTCAGATCCCTTTGCCGCGTGGGTGGGTGGGGAGGGGAAATGCGCGGCCAAGCGACCAAGAGTACGGATACAACGAGGCAAGGACGCCGTCTTCGCACAGGAATTTCTAGTCATCGGAGAACAAGCCAATCCGACTAAGACCATAGTAGCCGTCGGTCGTCGCAGGCACACACCTTGGCTCGGGGAACTCGATGGCCTGCCCGTTCGTCCAGGTTCGGTTGTTATTAATCGTAAAAGTGGGATTGGGGTGGATAATAAAAATCGCTCTTTCCGCCACACCTCGACAACTCTAGCGTTTCCAAGTTCCCCTTTGCACTTTCCCTTTCCTCTCCACATCTCTCTCTCTCTCTCTCTTGTGGTCTGTCCGTGTCTGGTCTATTTAGTTTAGACGCTTGAGGAAGGCCCCACTTGACAGCTTTCGCGACTTGAAAACTTCTTGTTGCTGTGCTGCGCCTATACTGTGTTTCTGTACTCTCGCCTTATAAACCGCCGACGCCCTCTCTCACGCCTCACTTTCACCACCCCACCCACCTAACCACCTACACCCCCATATCCATATCCCACCCGATTGTTTGTTCTCTCCCAGAGACTCGTCCTTGACACTCGTCTTGTGCTTCTCAACGTTATCGCATGGTCCATCCACCAGATATCTCGCACGGCTGAGGAGTATCGCGGAACAATCATCTGCATACTCCTTGCGTCAGGACTTTCGATACCCTCATCGTTCTAGCCAACCGGCACAACCAGCTCTGTCACGACTACACTTCCGCGCTCATCTCTCAGCTCTGCTGCACCGACGCTGCAATCTGCGCTACACTCGCCTCACATTATCAGCTCCTCCTCGAAACCAGACAAGCATCCGGCACAGGACCACCCAGCAGGCCCCAACCGTGTAACCTGTGTCTTTGTGTCTGTCTCAACTGTCTCTGCGTGTGCGTGTGTGTGTGTGTACGTCACATACTCTCCTCGAGCCAAATTATGCTCCCTGCTATCCCCATCCTCGGCGACTATGGAATCTCTCCAACTTCGGGATTTCTGCCAGATGTCATCCCCTTGACTCGACTCCCCGATCCCTACTATCATAAGTGGGAAGCAATCGTCGCCGAACTTCAGGCTCTCATCCTGAGCCGCCGGATCCGCCCCGTTGTTGATCGTCTGCCCGTTCTCTCCACCATTGGCCTGGAGCACGACGCAGAATGGCGTAGGGCGTATTCGATCCTCTGCTTCATGGCCCATGCCTACATCTGGGGCGGTGACACGCCCGCAGATCGCTTGCCAACCGCCATCTCTGTGCCCTTGATCGAGGTGTCGAAGCGGCTTGGCTTGCCCCCATTGCAACCTACGCCGGCCTCTGTCTCTGGAACTTCAAGCCCATCTTCACCGATGAGCCCATCGATGATCTGGAGAACTTGGCCACATTGGTCACCTTCACCGGCTCTCTCGACGAGTCTTGGTTCTACCTCGTCTCGGTCGCCATTGAGGCGCGAGGAGCCCCATTATCCCCATCATGATGACCGCCATCGCCGCTGCACGCCGCGACGACGCTAAAACCGTCACGCGCTGCCTTCGTGCCTTTGCTGAGCGCCTCACTGACCTGACGGCGATTCTTCAGCGTATCCATGAGAGCTGCGACCCGTCCATCTTCTATCACAGGATCCGCCCCTTCCTTGCCGGTACCAAGAACATGGCCGACGCTGGTCTCCCTCATGGCGTCATGTACGAAGATGCCGATGGCAACGTTGATTATCGATGCTACAGCGGTGGAAGCAATGCCCAAAGTAGCTTGATCCAGTTCTTCGACATCATTTTGGGGATCCAGCACCGCCCCACTGGAGAAAAGCGTCCTGCCGGGCCCGGCGCCGGTAAAACGGGTAGCGCCTCGGGACACAATTTCATCAGTGAGATGCGCCAGTACATGCCCAAGGATCACGCGCGCTTCCTGAACGATGTCGAGATGGTCGCCAACATTCGCGACTATGTCGAGTCGCGCACCGACGACCCCGATCTTTGCCTGGCCTATGATGCCTGTCTCGCCATGCTTAGCGCTTTCCGAGACAAGCACATTGCCATCGTCACCAGGTTTGTCGTGATGAAGGCTCGCGAGGCTCGCGCCCGGAGCCGGTCTAGAAGCCCCGTCGCAACGCGCCAGCGCCTCAACCTTGCCACCGCCAGCTCCAGGAGCCAGCAGCAGGGTCCTCGCCGTGGGGAGGAGCCTGATGGGGCTAAGAAGTCGAACCTCACCGGCACCGGCGGTACTGCTTTGTTGCCGTTCTTGAAGCAAGCTCGCGATGAAACCGGCGAGCCAGCTATTGCCGAGTGGACCCGCAGCTTCATGAACAAGAAGATCAAGTCGGACACCCATGACGAGATCTTGAAGATGCCGGAGCAGTCGGTGCCGGAGGGCAGTGCGGCCCCGATCGACCATGGCGCCAATGGCCTGGCCGGGGCTTGGGAGCTTGATGAAGAAGGCGGTGGTATTTGCAACTACTAAGCTGCAGAGGGAAGCTACCGATAGGGGAAACCCCAATCGCTAGTCTCTGATGCGTCTGGGCTGTACTGACATGGAAGCAAAGAGAAGAGAAGACGGAAAGTGAAGATGGAAAGTAATTCTTCCAACAAAGCTGAAATAGGAAAGGAGGGATTGCTGCGATGTGGTGATTTGCCTGTTGATTACGATTTTGATTTGAACCGAACCCCTCCCTCTACATTTTTGAGGAAGAGGAGACGAAGTTGATGCCCTTCTTTGGTTAAATGTTGTTATGTACAGTCATCTTCTTGACTTGGAATATCTACAATTAACAAACCCTTTATGTCCTTGATTCCCCCTTCCATCTATATATCACTTGGCGAAGACTGATGAACCCGATTGCCTCAGTACTCTCTCCTCCTTCTCCTTCCAACCCTGCCCCCTTTCCGTCCCCTACCTCCTCTGCATCTTCCGCCGGGTTTGGTCTGTGACCAATTAGAGGCACTGTGAATAGTAGTCGTTGAGTTTCGTGCACTGGTAGGGAGAAACGCAACCGGTAGCGCCAGTCCAGCCAATGCCGCCACATTGGGCCCACTGGGCCGCGCTACCGCTACCACCGCCGGTCGACGGGGACGAGGTGGAGCTGGTCGGGGGCTTGGTCGAGGTGGAGCTGCTAGAGCTGGTGCTGGTGGAGGTTGTGGCAGGGGTCGCCGGCAGCTGGAAGGCGGGGAAATTGCCGTCGTCGGCACGGCGGCAGCCGGAGCGGGCAACGAGCTCGCTGGGGCACCGGACCTGCTCGAAAGTGTGGGTAGGGTTGTCGGCGTTCTTGAACCAATCGAACCTCCAGTAGCAGCCTTCCTTGAGCGTGGCGGGGAAGCTCTCGCACTGCGACCGGGACGAGATGCCGCCGTAGCGCTCGCCGGGAAGGCTCTGGCCGAACTGGGAAGCGCACCCGTCAAAGATGCCGACGCCGCCGCCGGGCATCTGGAGGTCGAACTGGTTGCCGGAGAGGTCTCCGCCCGTGTTGGTGGACTGGACGACCATGGTCTTGCCGGCAACGGGACCGGATGTGAAGGTCAACCTAGAAGAAGGAGGGGGAAAGGAGCAGTGTTAGTCTTTTTCAATGGTAGTAATCTAGTCTTTGTCGGTGAGTACGTACTTGTAGCAGGCGCAGCACCAGCTGCCCTCGTTTCCACCCGCGATGTGGGTGGCGGCAAAGCCGTAGGCGACCTGGTCGTTGACGGCCCAGGGCGAGTTGTTGGAGCAGGCAAAGGCGCTGCCGCCGTCGCAGCCGCTCTTGGTGTCGGGGTTGGAGATGGGGTTGTCGTTCTTGTCGCAGGTGAGGACGGGGCCTTGGTTCAGGCTGGCCTTTCCGGACCAGGCGCAGGAAGGCTTGCAGCAATCCCAGTACCTAGATCAGTATCGACTGTGTTTAGCAAATGGTAAACGCCGTGGTTGTTGATTGGAAAGGGGAAACAAGGCGTCTTGGCCATACCTGGTTGAGCTGCCCGAGCCTGAGGCGGCTAGGACGGCCGGCACGGCCGAAGCGGCGGCGAGAACGAGGGCGAGAACGCGTCCAGACATTGTTTTTCTTCTTGATGGGTTGGCTGGGCGGATAGGAGTCAAGGTACGCAGGAACAGAGCTTTACCACACGAGTTCGAGAAGAAAACAAAAAAGGCCCACGATGTTTAACACGAAGGTGAGGGTAGACTGGCCTAGTTATACTTGATATCCGCACAAGATGTCTTGGCGCAGCCCGTCGTTGGGGGACCTTCACTACGACATGTCGGCACACACCTAGGCCACTATTCTCACACGGAGGAGGGCATTTCTAGGTAAACTCCGGCAATCACGTCTCTTGAAAGACGCTCACGAGGTGAGGTGCCGAGCGTTGGAAAGGAGCCCGTCGTTGCACCCTGGGGAAATAGCAAGCCATCGTTCCGGCTTGTTGGTTACGACGCTTGGGCTCGGAAATATACCATCCCACTAATCAAGCGGCCGGCTCTGCCAGACAAAGGGACTAGCTAGCCTTGGGACCCAAGCAACGAACGAATTCCTGGTTCGGAAGAATTGAGCAACGATGCAATGGTGCGCTACTAGGGGAAGGACAAAAAAAATAACAGGGAGGACGGGGAAAAAAAAGAAGGCCATCGTGGGGAGCGCCCGCTTGATGACGTGGGACGCTCCAAGGCCCTGCCCTGTCTTGTGAGAGGCCGAAAAAACTAACAAAAGATGGGGCGAGGGGCCAATGTGATGCTATCGTGAGGGTAGGATTGGACCGTTGACAGATCGGAGCCGTCGCCCGCTTAACCGGCCGAAGGGGCCGAGATCAGTGGCACTTTGAAGCAGCTGCTTCCCGTCCGCGAACAGTCTTGCAACACAAATATCCAACCTTACTCTTTGGGATGGTGAGCTTACATGTGGGCCGGAGGGAGGAGGGTCGAGAGAGGAGGGAGATTTGGGAGAGCGGGAGAGCGGGAACGGGGATCTTTGAGGAACGACGAGCCCGACGAGCCGTTCGCCGGAGACTTGGATGTCGAGGTTGTGGTGGTGTTGCGCAAGAGCTCTTGGACAGCTGCGCATTCGTCAAGGTCATTCGCCGCATCGTCGCAAAACTCGTCGTCCCCAAAGGTGCCAGGCATCGGATCAGGTTTCTCCCGCTTGGAGGGAGGAGAGTGGGAATCATAATAGTCTGGATCCATGAATAGCTTCACTTGGACGGGTAGTGCTTGACGTGTCCAGCGCGACGGGAATCCGCACCAGCATTCCGTGCCGCTCAGAGACGGACAGAGAGGGGAAAATAGGATGATACACTTTGTTTGTTCGCTTCTCTTCGCTTCTAAGTAAAACTAATAAAAGACTCGCTGGAATATTTGTAGCAGTCTTGGCTCGTACATCGGGCGGACAAGCAAGAGCGTCCGGCGTTGTCCAACATCCATGATTCCAGCACCGAAGAGAGCAGACTAATCCCTGGCTGCACGAGAGCCGATCCCTGTGGACTCATCGCTCTGATTGGCCTCATCTTCCGCTTTCCGCTTTCCGCTTTCTAGGAGACGGTGAGACTCTGAGAGTGATTGGAATGTCAGTGGGCGGTCTGCCCTGTGTTAATTGGGGACGCCACAGAACCCCTGTTCCAGCCAGTCATCTCGTTCAAGAGGGCCCAAGTTAAGCTTTTGTGATTAAATTGCTGAGATTGCCTAACTACGAAGTAGTGTAGCCTCCATAGTCAAAATTGGCCTGCATCATAGATCCTGCTATTGCTGTGGATTGTGGACTGTGGACAATTGGGGCAAGGTGGGGACTGAAGAGGAGCAAGAAAAAGGGGGTAGGAAGAAAAAAAAAAGAAGAAAAGAGAGGGAGAAAAGTCTTCGTGGAAGAAAAGGAAAAGTGGACGAGGCAAAAAGGGGCAAGGGATTGAGTGCTCATTTGGGATGGGCTCACTAGCGGCGGTTAGTGGGAGTCCTCGATTGAGCACAGTCGCGCTGCAGAACCATAGGGAGGAGCACAGAATCCCTGGAAGGTGGAAACTTGAGGGGAGACGCTTCAGTGTTCTGTGGACCCATTGGGATTGATCTCAAGCTGCCTATCAGGGACCAAAAGTGAGAGGTGGGCTAGTGGGCTAGTGGGCTCAGGACCGGGATTAGTCAGTCTCTCCCCGCACATCAAAGTCTCAATGGGGTTTCAGGGGTCTCGACCGACCCAGATTTGGCGGGCAGCGACGACTACCGACCGCCCGTTCGGCCATTGAAACAAAATCCACGTCGGCCACGGCACTGTATCGAATCTGAGAAACGCCCGACTCCCAATCGCCTGCTAGATCCACCGCCTTTCTCGCTTCTGTATCACAGAGCCACATTCGACGTCATATTCGGAGAACACCTCTCTCACACCGAGCCATCGTATACGCTTCCTCTCCCGACTTCGCCTTTCGTCGCGTCGCCCTCCCCTTGGCCCGACTCACATGCTCGACACAACGCTGGCCCCCTTCGGTGTGCAGAACCATGACCCGGTAATGAGACAACAGGATTCCGCCACCCCTCCTCCGATAAACTCAAATCTCCAACTTTGAACGTTGAACGTCCCGCCAGTAATCCTCGATCCCACGTCCTGAACGCCCTCGTCGCGGCTCCTCTCCCCCTATTGCGACTCTTGCTTAGGCGACACGCCCGATGGCGCCCCCAGCCCCTGGCCACTTGCGAACCCGCTCCCGCGGCGGGAGCGACAAGGCTCAGTCTAGCATGAGGCCGAGCCGATCTTCCCAAAAGTCATGCTCTCCAAGGCCTTGCAGAAGGCCAATACAGCAGTGCAACTCGACAATGCGCAAAACTTTGAAGGTGCGAGGGCTTCGTACCTCGAGGCTTGTGAACTTCTCCAGCAGGTCCTGCAGAAAACTAGTTCCGAAGACGACCGTCGGAAGCTGGAGGCTATCGTACGTTGCTGCCTCTCTTGTGTCCGCTGCCCGGGAGACCGGGGTGAGGCGAGCCATGGTCTTGGGTGTTATGTTTGCTAATCTGAGCTGGTGGCTCTTGGTTATAGCGTACGACATACACGAGCCGCATCGACGAGTTGGTGCAGCTGAGCCACGAAGAACTGATCTCTACAGACGACAAGGAGTTACCTGCGAGACCAAACAGCGATAGCTATCCACCCTCTACAACCACTACCCTAGACTATGACGACGAGCCCGAAGTCACGATAATCGAAACGGCGACCGTCACACGCATAGCACCAGCCGCGCAAAACCAATCGCCACCTAGGAATATAATACATCCACCGCGGTGGGCGAGTGCCCGTACCGTTGAGGTTGAACCTACCTACTCGGCCTCACCGGGGTCGCAATGGTCACCCGATAACAAGGTGTTGCTACTCCAGCGCCCCGACGCGGACCAGGACATACCGCCTCCGCTTTCACCTCGTCGCCCTTTTGAGGGCCTTGGCATCCAGCCCCATACTCCAACGCTGATTCCCACCAGCCAGTTCTCCTCCGCGCAAGTTAACAACAACCGCGCTCCCGTCACCAACGGCCATTATCGCGATATTAGCCAAGAATCAAATTCCTGGCTAGACTCCAAGGCCGACTCGGGTGGCTCCACCTCTTCCTCCGTCCACTCGCGCACATCATCTCTCAACGTGAGAAGGAAGCACATTCGTGCCCCCAGCGGTGCCACCGAAGCCGAATTCGACGCCGCCCTGGATGCCGCTGTTGAAGCGGCGTACGACGATGGCTTTGTTCCCGCGGACTCCGATGATGAGGGGTTTCGGTGGTCTCGGCGGCCCTGCGGAGGGTTGAACTTGCGAAGGAACGCGTGCGGCAGACCGAGCTCGAGTCCCAGCGATTCGAACAGGAAAGGGTAATGCGCCGCAACAACCCACAAATGGACTATGCGTCCCCTACCGTACCCGAGGACTTTTATGACGACGAATCCTCAGATGAGGATGAGCGCATGCTAGAAGAGATGACGCGAGGCTACGAGATCGAGGACTTTGCCTTTGGCCGGAGAGACGATCAGATAGCGGATTTACCTCCCCGGAGTGACTCTAGAGCCTGGTTTGGGAGTGTTGGCTTGGACGGAACTGCGGCAAAGCCCTCTCTCCGCCGAGAGATGTTGGGCTCAATGCCGCGGTCACTTCGCGAGCCGCCGCGACCCTCCGCCGACCCATGCGCTGCCCGATCTGCCAATGCCCTCTATCCGGCCCCTCGCGTAGCCCAGAGCAGGGCGTCCGGAGCAGACGGCTGAGCGGCCAAAACATGAAGCAGCTGAAGATTGAGACGTCCAAGCTGACCCGGCCGCCTCTTATGGAACTAGCATCAGCGGCAGCGACGCAACCTGCCAGGCCGCGTGGCGCATCATCCCCGAACGTCTGACGGGGGTGGTACCACGTTGCTCGAAGGGAGCCCCATCATCGAGGAACGCGAGGATGTAGAGGTAGAGGCTGTCCTGGCTCGGACGGCCTCGCCTTTGGCCCATTCCCTCATGACCAAAAACTACTCGTCCTCCAGCCTGCGCAGCGCCCGAAGCCGTAACATGTCCATGTCCAATCTCGACGATGATCTGTCCCCCGGCACGCCTTCCAGTAACCCTTTTGCATCGACTGGTCGCCTACCCAGTATCTCTGCCACGTCGACGCCGATGATTTCCACATTTGACGAGCAGTTTCCCACCGATTCGGCCGAGAGCCTCTATTTGTTTGATGGCGGGTTGCAAAGCCGGTCTCGACCGGGTTCGCCTGACTCTCAATGGGGCGACGCACCGGTTGCGCTGGAGCCTTGCCCGAGTGACTTCTTACTTCGTCCGTTTTGGCTGATGAGGTGCCTTTACCAAACCCTAGCACACTCGCGTGGCGGCTACCTCAGTAATAAGGTGTTTGTCCCACAAGAGGTGTGGAAGGTCAAGGGGGTGAAGCTCCGCAACCTCGAGGACAAGATCTCGACCTGCGACTACCTAACGGCGGCTCTGTCCAAGCTAGCCAAGGTGGACACGTGTGACGCCGACGCCGTATTAGAAGAGATGCAGGCCCTCGAAGGGGTCCTGGAGCAGATGACGGTCAGTCTTACTCGGAAGCTTGGGAATGAGGTCGGGGTCCAGACCTCGAGCATGCTTTTAAGGACTCTCTGAGCGGGCTAGATGGAGAGACGCCGTTTGCGAACCCGCCGAGGTCGGCTAGCATATCTGGAAAATCTTCGACTCCCTTTTCCTGGCGTCGGCTGAGGGCGAAGAATTCGTCGGCGGGCCTCTCCGGGTCGTACGGGCCCAAGGTCGCGGATAATGGCCTCGACTCCCCCATTTTGGAGACTCTACCGATGACCATTCAACCCACGAGCCGTCCGGCGAAGCGCTCCGTCAACCAGGCGCAGTTTTCTGGTCCCCATTCCCACTACATGGAATCTCTTGCGCGGCTCTTCGATGCTGCACAGACAGTTGGTAAGTCTTGAATGGATATATTCCTCTCCTTGCCATGGCGCCCTCCCCCATCCTTTCGCCTCTTATTGCCCCTTTCTTTTGTTGTCTTGCTTTCCTTCCCCTTCCTCCTCATGCCGCATTTTAGATCGCTTACCCATAATGTGCTATTGCTTAGACCAAATCGCGAGACAAGTCGAGGACCCCGGGTTGCGCCATGCGGACAAGACGCAGGTTGGGCTCGAGCTCTGCACTAGGCACGCAGCCGAGTTCTTCGCCTTTTACGTATGCCGATTCGTCCTTTCGGATTTGAGTATCCTCCTGGAGAAATTTATCAAACGAGGGACAGAGTGGGTTATTGCCTAAGAAAGACGACTGCAACGCATCTTTACTACTCGGCACCGACGACATTGGCCGCCTGCCCTTTTTCTTTGGGTTCTTCTTTTCTTCTCAGGTACCCTACTTTTTTCCTTCTGCCCGGTGTCATTGTAAGGGATGACATCGTGCAACGACCAAACATTTCTTTATATATATATCTATATATCCATTATATCTGTCTATTTAGGGACATTCCCTGCTTATCGCCGTGGAGTTTTCTTCATCACTCTCTCGACAAGGGCGGCCCTCGCCGTTGGCGCCCAACTATCTTTACAGAGAAGGAGGGAAAAGTAGCTTGCTGAGGAAGGTTTTAGGGATGGGGGATATTGAAAGAGTTGGACTTGGGTTTTCTTTCATCTCTCGCATTTGCAGGATTCGGTGTTTGTTTATATCTACGAGGAGCTAGGAGTGCTTGTTAGAGAAAGCGAACTTGTTATGCCAGATAATTGTCTGTTCTCAAACTACGATTTATTGACGAAGCCATAATTCTGCCTCATTCTTGAATGGATCTATTTCGTAACAATTAAGGAAGGAATTATGAATAGAGGCTTGGTCTACTTTGGTACTCTCTGCTCGTATAATTCAATTCAACAAGACGGACAGAGTGGAACTGCCTGGCAGCTATCTCAGTACTTGAACGAGAACTAGTATTATCCATGGACCGCCGTCCCAATCCCCTTCTATCAATATCCACGCGACTTCCAGCCACTCCCTGTAGCTACTGCTACTACATGTACTGGTATATCCGCTCCGGTTGCCAGCCGGATCCACGCCTATGGCGATAAATAATAACACACACACACACACACAGACAACCACACGCGCCCACACACAACCATTCTATCGTTCGATACGCCCGAAGAAGAAGGAGAAGAAGAAAAGCGGGTGGATTTGATGGAGGCTCCACAGGCCTTACTGCGGACAGAGAGTTTTCGTTATTATCGGTGTCGAAAGGCCTTTAAGGTGCCCTCCTTAAAGGAAAAAGTTATCGCCGGCCCGTTTGGTTCGAGGTGGGCAGACCTAGCCACATCGCAGGCTCAATAAGAAAGGGGCTAGCCACCAGCTACTAGCCCTGTTTCTTACTGAGGTACATTGTGGAGGAGTTCGATAGGAAAGGGGTAGCCGCTGTTCCTTAGGGTAGTCGTTTTCGTTATATAGATAGGCGCCCAAACCTATCTATGCTATAACGGCTTCGAAAAAACCTTTCAGTTGCCGAACCTAGAGGGAAAAGTCGCCGGCCTGTTATTTCGCGAGGTAGGCATTCCTGGCCGCCTGATAAAATCCCTACTACGCTGCAGTAGCTACTACTGGTATCAGGATCGGTCTTGCGTAGCGCGGGTCGAAGAGAACTGAGTTCTCGAGTGATCGGAAGAACCTTCCAAATTCCGTCACAAGTGTCGATTGAAAGGCCATACTTCCTTTCCTCCTCCCATCGCTCAGGGAGTCTTGATGTGGCAAGCGATGGGAGAAAAGTGGAGAGGAGGTGGTGTTAGCCCGAAGGCCGTAACTGTATGGCTGGCACTAACAATAGTAGCCAGGAAAGTTTTTTCGAGGGAAGGTTGATTAGGAAGGATTACGCCTGTGAAGGTGCCGTCGCTGCTGTACTATATGTAGGCCCGTCGATGCCTCGAAAACACGTGACCGCGCGTCTGGGTCGCAATTTTCAACCTCCAGGGTCCCTCGACGCCGAAGAATTTCGAAACTGGCGAATGATCGCGAGTGCAGATGTACGACGGCTCATGCGACCCGTTTAGATCTCAATAAATCATTGATCGTCGTCAAGAAATCCGCGATCCACGGCCGTACATGAATAAATGATTCATCAAGCGGCTCCTGTCGCAGGAGCACTCCGGCCCTTTTCGGTTCCAAGGTTCCTGGGTCTCCGGGGGAGGAGAGCGCACCCCGGCGGCGTCGCGGTGGCATGGCCCGCCCGAAACTTTGCGTCTGCTGGCACCATCCCACTCCGGACTCGGAGTGTGCCCACCCTCTCCGCGCGACCGGCTCTTGGCTTTTGCCGATATGCGTCTAGCAGCGTGGACCGGCCCCTCCCGGGCGTGGCGGCTAGCCTAGAAGCCCGCATTGCCGCGATCCCTATTGAGCGGTACCGCAACTTTTGTATCGTGGCGCACGTCGACCATGGTAAGAGCACGCTGAGCGATCGTCTCTTGGAGCTCACGGGGACGATATCGGCTAACGGGAACAATAAGCAAATTCTGGTATGGACTGATCATACATGTCTCTTTTGTTCTTTCTTTCCTTCTTTCATTCCCCTGCGGGCTGGAAGCCAAATGTATGCGTGATTCAGCTAATGCGTTACCGATCTAGGATAAACTGGATGTGGAGAGGGAACGAGGTATCACGGTCAAGGCGCAGACTTGCACCATGATACACAACCACAATGGAGAAGACTACCTCCTTCACCTTGTCGACACCCCCGGCCACGTCGACTTCCGAGCCGAAGTAACGAGGTCGTACGCGAGTTGCGGCGGTGCGCTTCTCCTCGTGGATGCTAGCCAAGGCGTGCAGGCGCAGACGGTCTCCAACTTCCATCTTGCTTTTGCGCAGGACCTGAGTTTGATCCCCGTCGTCAACAAGATCGACATGCCCTCGGCCGACGTGCCGCGTGTTCTGGAGCAGATTGAGAGCACGTTCGAGCTGGATCCCAAGTCTGCGGTCCTCGTCTCGGCGAAGACGGGCAAGAACGTCGCCGGCATCCTCCCCGCCGTGGTGGAGGGCATTCCGAGCCCGGTAGGTGATTCTAGCAAGCCGTTGAAGATGCTCCTCGTCGATTCGTGGTATGATACCTTTAGGGGCGTCATCTGCCTCGTGCGGATCTTTGACGGGCAGATCAAGGCGGGAGACAACGTAGTGTCCTTGGGGACGGGCCAGAGATACACTGTTGGGGAGGTGGGAATCCAGTACCCTAACGCGGTGCCCCAGAAACTGCTGCGGGCCGGGCAGCTGGGCTACCTCCACTTTAACCCTGGCATGAAACGCTTGCAGGATGCCAAGCTGGGCGATACCTTTACGCACATCGGCAAGGAGGAGATTGTCGAGCCGTATCCGGGCTTCGAGGAACCCAAGCCCATGGTCTTCGTCGCCGCGTTCCCCGTCGACCAATCAGACCACCCCAAGCTTGAAGAGAGCATCGACCAGCTGGTTCTCAACGATCGCAGCATCACGCTGCAAAAGGATCACTCTGAGGCCCTCGGCGCGGGCTGGCGCCTCGGGTTTCTAGGATCCCTCCACTGCTCCGTTTTTCAGGACCGTCTGAGGCAGGAGCACGGGGCTAGCGTCGTCATCACCGAGCCCACCGTACCGACGCGGATCCAGTGGCGCGACGGAACAGAGGTCGTTGTCGAGAACCCCGCCGAGTTTCCCGACGCCACCGATCATCGTCTCAAGATGGCGACCTTGTTCGAGCCCTTTGTGTGTGCCACCATTACGCTCCCCGAGGAGTATCTAGGGCGCGTCATTGAGCTCTGCGAGGCCAACCGCGGAGAGCAGAAGGAGCTGGAGTTTTTCCATACGACGCAAGTGATTCTCAAGTATGATTTGCCGACGGCCCAGTTGGTGGATGACTTCTTTGGCAAGCTGAAGAGCTTAACGTAAGTTGAAGATCTTTGCACGAGATTCCGAATTGAACCCCGTTGTATTGTGTGATCTCTAACAGTGGACCTTCTTTCTTCACGTAGTAAGGGCTATGCAACCTTGGACTACGAGGATGCAGGCTGGCGCGAGGCCAGCCTAGTCAAGCTACAACTGCTAGTGAACAAGGTGCCTGTCGATGCCATCTGCCGCGTTGTGCACAAGTCTCAGGTGGAAAGACTAGGCCGCCAATGGGTCACGAGCTTCAAGGAGCATGTCGACCGACAAATGTTTGGTAGGTTGCCACCGCCCTTGGTCTCCCTCGGGGTACAATCCAAGACTTGGGTTACCCAATATTCTAACTGAAGGGGATAAAACGTACAGAAGTCATCATCCAGGCAACTGCCGGCAATAAAATCATTGCTCGAGAAACCCTGAAGCCTTTCCGCAAGGATGTGTTGGCCAAGCTCCACGCCGCGGATATCACGAGACGAAAGAAGCTACTCGAGAAGCAAAAGGCGGGTAGGAAGCGGTTGCAGGCCGTCGGTAATGTCATCATCGACCACTCCGCGTTCCAAAATTCCTGTCCAAGAATTAGTTGGGCTGGCACTCCCCAGACACCACATACGAAATGATCACACTTATTCACTAGAAGGGACAGCCGAAAAGAAAACAGGTGGGAGAGACGAGAGACGAGAGAGAAAAGAGACAAGGAAACCGCTGACGGTACATTTATTTGTGTATAACATTCACATGCATATATTACTCGACATGTATAACAGTGTATCCATAGACATGACAGCATTAATCATATACGCCTCAACAAGGTATTCTACCTCTCCAACTCGGCATGTGAAAAGGAGAAATCACGAGAAGGCGCTAGAGAGGACATGATGGAGGAAAACACAAGGACTAAACGAGAGGAAAGAGAGATCGAAGAAGCGGCTGGCGGCGGACATGCACTCTAGGTGACCACGGCAGGCTGGCTTCCATCCTCGGGGAGTCCTTCTCCAAGAGTCACAGGCTGGGTGCGTGACCATCCCAGGCCGCCGGCTATGGTCGACTCCCACTGCACCAATTTGGGCACTGGACCCTCGGCCCAGTCGTCTTCGAGGTCAGCGCCTTGGCCGTCGGCAAAGTCAAAGATGCGGTAGTCGCCGTTGAAAAACCACCAGCCGGAGACCGAGGTGCGGAGAAAACCGGAGTGGGACACGACAATGACCCATTTCTCGGGCCGGCGGTAGAGGGCGCGCACGCACGCGCGGCCGCGGGCTAGGAGGGGGTTCGGGAAGGGAAGTACCGGGCGCCGGCGGGGTGGACTTGTCCGGAAAGACGGGATCGACGGAGGAGAAGTCGATCATGGGGTATTCGGCGATGAGTTCAGAGAGAGAAGAGCCGGTGTCGCATGGCTTGGAGGTGGTTTCTAAAGGGTGGGAGAGGGCAAAGGCAGTCAGGGCAAAGGAAAGGGCCGGCCGGACGTGTGTCCGTTTAGTGCGTGTGGTGGCCGGGCCGAGCCCGGAGTATACGGACGGACCGGATCATGCGAGGGAAGAGGTAGGTTTCTTACCTTGCCATGTCGCGTCCGCGGTGATGGGGACGCCCTTTTCAATCAAAAATCTAGAGAATTCAAGGCCGTCTGGATTGTCCTCTTCATGGGGCTCACTACAATGGCGATGTCCGTCTCATTCTCGAACCTGGCCTTGAGGTTTTCCTTGAGTTTGGCGCACTGCTCCAGGCCGAGTTCCGTCAGGAGCGGATCATGCAAGCCATAGTTCTGTGCAGAAATTACAAGTTAGCGTTGTGGCTGCGGGTGGGTGTCACAAAAGGCGGGCTGGGGCATATGAGGGGGGACTTATGAGTTGCGTTGTGATACCCCTCCGTATGACGGATGAGGACGACAGTGGGAGGCATTCCGGCTGTTGTTAGTTTGACCTGTTGTTGAATGTTTGAGAAATTGAAACCGGGCAACAGAGAGAGAGAAAAACGCTAAAAAAACGATTGCTCTTGGGAAGTAATTCTTGGGAAGTAATCTTCCCTTCGCTCTATTTTGTATCTATATATATTTCACAATCCTTTGAGTCACTCGATTGGCCTTGACGGTGCTAGAGCTATCAATGGATGGAGTCGGTCCTGAAGGAGGAAATATCTCCACTAGTTGCATAATACTTGGAACAAGAATATATTCTCCAAACGGAATAACTCTGTCGCTGGGTCGCGCCTCTCAAGAGCTGACCACCTGCAACCGCAACAACCTGCAGGGAGTTCGAGAAGCAGCTCTTGAACATCTGAGATCGCGGTGATCCATGGTTTAGAGTGCACTCACCCTTTTTGCCCCTGCTGTGAATGCCCACTCTCTCCTTTGGTTACTCCCCCGTGCCTCCGTTTCCCTTGTTCCTTTTTTGTCCCTTATTTTTTCCCCTTTCTAGCGCGGGGCGTTCGAACAAATTGGTGTAAGCTGCAATGGCGAGTGTTGACGATTTATTCAAGGTGAGTGCTTGATGCGCATGAGATGATGCTATATTTGTTGCGCTTGCTGGCTCCCAATTGACGCTTGCATATAATCGCATAGGGCGCAGCACCTGGCAAACGGAGACTCGAAACAGTTCGCGATCCCAGTATGTTTCTCTTTTTATTTTCTAAACTTCTTTCGTCCATATTCCTTCCCTCCCTCCCAATGACCCCGTATCTGCCCCTACCCTGGCCAGATGTACTAAGCTCGAAACCGCGAAATGTTTAGACGAGGTTTACAAAGCCGCCAAACGAGATAACAACGCGCACGGCAGCCGGCACACGACGGTAGAAGACGAAGAACCCCCGGCGAAGACGGCGAAGAGGACGACTATGGCCCTGAACTCCCCCGGACGATGACGAAGGGCGGTTCTTTGGCGGCGGTATAACGAAGCAGGAGTCGGAAATCCTGGACTACATCGAGGGACGCGACGATGCGCCGGCGGAAAAGATTGACGCCGGCTGGTTGAAGAAGATGGTGCTCAACTTTGAGAAACACATTACGAAGAACGCCGAGCTCCGCTCCAAATACGAGGACCAGCCGCAAAAGTTTATGGAAAGCGAATCCGATCTGGACACCGACATCAAGACGCTGTCGATCCTCTCCCAATACCCCGAGCTCTACCCGGAGCTGGTGAACCTCGGGAGCGCCGCGAGCCTGGTGGGTCTGCTCGCGCACGACAACACCGACATCGCGATAGGAGTCATGGACGTACTAGACGAGCTGACGGACGAGAACGTCACCGCCGACGACGACCAGTGGGGTGCCCTAGTGGACGCCATGCTCGACACGGACCTGCTCGACCTCCTGGTCTCCAATATCAGCCGGCTCGACGAGAGAGACGAGCGCGACAGGGAAGGCGTGTACCACGCCTTGTCCATCGTCGAGAACCTCTGCTCGCGCGAGGCCATTGCGAAACAGGTCGGCAAGGAAGACAAGCTCGTCCGGTGGCTCCTCGAGCGCACCCAGCGCAGCGAAAAGGAAGTGAGCCAGAACAAGCAGTACGCCGCCGAGATCGTCGCCATCCTCGCCCAATCCGCCCCCGTGAACAGGGACCGCCTCGTCCAACTCGACGCCGTCGACGCCATGCTGCAGCTCGCCTCCGCCTACCGCAAGCGCGACCCGGACAGCTCGAGCGACGAAGAAGAATACATGGCGAACCTCTTCGAGATCCTCACGGCCCTCGCCGACACCCCGGCCGGCAAGTTCAAGCTGGTCGACGCCGAGGGCGTGGAGCTGTGCCTCCTCATGCTCAAGGAGGGCAGCAAGAGCAAGCCCTGCGCCCTGCGGCTGCTCGCCCACGCCGCCGCCCTCGGCGGCACCGCCAAGGACGAGGCGGCGGCGGCGACGGCCGTGTGCAAGCAGCTCGTCGAAGCGGGCGGTCTCAAGACCACCTTTACCGCGTTTATGAAGACGCACGACGCCTCGGCCGTCGAGCACCTCTTGGGCATCTTTGCGTCCATGCTGCGCCTCCTCCCCGGCGACTCTCCCGAGCGCATACGCGTGCTCGCCAAGTTCGTCGAAAAGGACTACGAGAAGCTCGCGCGCCTGCTCAAGTTGCGTCAGGGCTACGTCGCGCGGATCAAGCGGGCCGAGCAGGAGTTCGCGTCCTTTGGGGAAGCTGAAGGCGAGGACCGCGACGAGGACCTCTATCAGGCGGAGCTCTTTTCTCGGCGCCTCGACGCCGGACTCTTCTCCCTTCAGTCCATCGACGTCATCCTTGCCTGGTTGGTGGCGGAAGACGACGGGGCGAGGGCGCGCGTGGTCAAGCTCTTGAAGGAGGCCGGCCTCGGACTCGATGCGGTCAAGGCGACGATTCAGGAACAGCTGGGCGAGCTTGACGATGCGGAAGAGACAAAGGACACGAGGGAAATGCTAGGGATATTACTGGAGTTTTTGTAAGATCAAAGTGTGGAATATAAGGATGTTCTTGTAGGGAAAAGCTGCAAAGTGAACTAAAAGAGGAAAAAGCATAACCTCTTGCATTCGCTGCTGTTCACAACGATAGCACAAGTAATAACGAGGAGTCTTTTTTTTTTTTTTTTTTGATAGAAATGACGAAAGAGTCTTATGATTAAACCAGGAAAAGAAAAAGAAGAGAAAAATCTCCAACGCATTCATGAATGGCCCAAAAGAGACTGTTTCCATCCCACGCCAATCTTCGGATGTGCCATGGCAGTCCCTGTCACATGGCGTTCCGAGTCTCCTTAACTTGTACACCTAAAACCGATGATTGAAGCATGCATTGCTGAATCCTCTTCACACGTCATATCCACATCTTCCCATGACCTCGTTTACTGGGCGAGGAGCGCGGCAGGCGGGGCAGGCTTCGCCTCGAAGACGGCGCCGAGAAGGTCGCCAATGACCTTGTCCTTGTGCTTTTGCGCCCTGTCCTTGAGTTCCTTGATCTGAACTTCGGCATCCTTCAAGGCCTCCTGCTCGGCAGCGGTGTTTCCCTCGGTGTGCTGCGCTCAGGTGAACGAGGTGAGTATTAGGTGGTACGCTTGCCTCGCAGGCGGGGGTTATGGGGAAAGGTGGACACGTACTTCGGACTCGAAAGCCTTGAACTTCTTCTCCATCTCCTCGCGGTGGTCTTCAATTTCAGATTTGGCCTCATCTCGCGCTTGCTTGACGCGCTTCGTTCGGACTATAGGAGGGGTGAGAATTCGTCATGGGGGAGGAGGGGCAGGGTCGGCAAGGCATGCACTGGCGATGGGGTTTACGTACACTGCCTAGCTATTTCGCGGGGATTTCAGGTTAGCGGCCTGCAGTGTGCGGAAATATTTGGAAGAGGGGCAGGGACGCCGATGGACAAACCTTGTTCTACAATCTTGGACGCCTCTCTCTCGGCCTAAGAATGCCATCCGGGTTAATATTCTGGGGGTGAGAGTTCTTGCCCGGGATTTTAAATGTGGAAAGAGGTTCGCCCCTCCGTTATGGCTGAGGCAGTTCGGGAAAACGTACGTCGAGAAGGGTTTGGATACCGGCAGAGTGTTGAGCAGACTGAAGAACGGAGGTGTTAGCTATATCAGTCTTCCCCTCGGCGGAGGTAGGACGAGCTTGCCATGGTGAGCTGTTTATGGAGATCCGGTTTGAGTGAGTGTCGGAGAGGGCAAGGAGGGGTGAGCTTCCTTTCGAGATTTGGCGGGGTGCGACCTAAAAGAAATCTCCCAAAACTAGAGAGCTCACTGAAAAACGAAGGAAGAAATGTGTAGAGCTGAGTAGGAAGAGGAGGAAGAGGAGTGTATCAACGTATCAGCACCGGCTTGTGAGTTGGAAGCTTCCAGGTTTGGCTTGTGACCAGGGTCTTGAAGGCGGGAGTGGGCGGGAGTGGGCGGTGGTGGGAGGCAGCAACCAAAAGGCTGATGAGCTAATGTCGCCTCAAAAGTAAAACGTCCAGGTGGTAATGGTGCGGATTGGATTGACCCGTTCAATGGGTCCCGGCTCCTATCAGTTGAGCCAACAATTACGGCCACTGTGCCCAGAAACCTGCTTATTGGAGGGGAACTTGAGCTATTGTCCACTGCCCCTCCCTTTTCTTCGTGTCCACTGTCTAATTCTCGGAACCCCACTACGAAAGCCAAGGATTGTTCAAGACCTCGAAATTCATCTATCCGGTATATCTCAACGATACCGATATATACAAGAATAGCCGATTACATAATCCCATAAAATTCGGGGAGAGCTCCATGAGATGGAACCAGAAATCGTCTTATGAGCCAGAGCTTGAAGCTTAGACGACGCTTCTAGATTGGCGAACACGGAATGAAAAGTGAAAGCAGCGCAATTGATCCCTTTCTTGTTTTCCCCTTTCCCAGTCAACAAGCGTAAAGCGAATTCTTGCTCATAACGCCGGTTTCACTTCCTGCATTGACCTCTCTCTCACACACACTCTCTCTCCCTCGCCTTATACCATTTTACTCTTCACGTCCCAGAGTCCGCAGCCATGTCGCGAGCCTCCAAAATCACCCTGGCCGCCACCTCCCTCTTCGCCCTCGGCACCGTTGGGATTGTCCACTTCCAGCAACGGTTTGAACAAACGGTGCGTCAACCCCCTTAGAAGCTCCCCTCCCTCACAAGTAGGGTCGCTAACCCGCGCAAACCGCCAGGCCATGCACGAAGGTGTCGTCCGTGACATGGAGCAGCAGCGCTTGAAGCAGGAGCGCAAACTTGACTTTGACCTCCAGAGAGCCCTGGAGGCTGAGTATAAAGGAGCAGACCGTCAAGGACACCTCGCATGGCTCGCCGGAAGGCGGTCGCGGTACGCAAAGCAGCAGTAGCGGAGGTGGAGGAGCGCCGTCCCCGAGATAGTCCCTACTCTGCTTGCGAGAGGTTGAACAATCTCGGGAAAACCCCTGGCGAACGCTCTTTTTGTGTACGATTTGTACGATTTGTATGATTTCGCATCATGCGCATGCTCCACTCCTCTACTTGTACTTTTATATCAGCCTTGACTTGAAGTTGGCTCACAGCACGGCACTCGCACAAGGCTCCACACTGCCTCAGCACATATGATAGATTATAGACATCTTTCTGCTTCTTTGATTGAACTCTATCTAACTTTTCTTTTCTTTTGTGGGGGATACCAACCCCGGCTCGAGGGAGGCAACAGCTTTCTGGGTACGCCTGACGGGGAAATTTGGGGAGGGAAGCGAGAGAAAGATCTAGATAATACAACAAACGCTTGACCAACAAGGAACCTCATCTTGAAACGCGCTGGCACGAATTTTGGTTTGTTTTCCCCATATACCTGGGCTAAATGAAAACGGGCTGCAGGAGGGGCAGGAGAAGGAAGGAACATGATAAGCAAGATAAAGGCAGTAAAGGGTAAAAGTGGAAAAAGAGTATAAAAAAGGAAATCAAAACTCCGACCCAAATGATTTGATGCTTGTACACTTCAAGCCCCTCGTCGTCTAAACCCTACGAGCCATACGAGCCTACCCAACTTGGAATATAAGACTGGTTTGCCTCCTGGGCCCGTGCTGGCAGTTGTCTTGTCTCGGCTCAGGCTGAGCCAGGGAAGGAGAGGCGGGCAGGTTCCCTCGAGCTTGATTAGAGAAAAAAAAAAAAAAAGGAAAAGACGAAACGCGTTACTCATCCCGAATCGAGATTGCCAATCCTAACGAATAGTCACCCCGGACCTATCCGTGAACATCCTTGCAGCAATATTCATAGCTTGCAGCTCTTGGAATAGGAGCTTGGCTGCGTACGGGATATGCACCTGAGCAATCTTGGTCTTGTTCTTGCACGGCCGGCACTCGAACGATTGCTTCGAAAGATTTCTACAAGGGATCGAAAAAATGTCAGTACTCCAAGAGTCAACCTGCAGGAGCTAGGGAGAGGGAGGGGGACGAGAGGGGGTTAAAAGTCTCGGCTTCAACTTACGCGATGGGAGTCATCAACCCGCAGATTTCGCAGATGTGGACACGGAAGGCGTCCGAAACCTCAAACAACCTCTCCTTTAAGAACGCCGCCGCACCGTGCGCAATCATGCAATCACGTTCCATCTCTCCGAAACGAAGACCACCGTCACGAGCACGACCTTCTACCGGCTGTCGCGTCATGATTTGCACCGGGCCGCGAGCACGCGCGTGGATCTTGTCATCCACCATGTGCCTGAGGCGCTGGTAGTACGTTGGCCCAAAGAAGACCTGCGCTCGAAGCTTCTTTCCCGTGTGGCCGTTGTACATGATTTCGAATCCACGCGATTGGTATCCTTCCTCGCGCAACAAGGCTGATACCGAGTCGACCGTCACATCGGTGAATGGGGTCGCGTCTCCTTCGAGACCTTTGAGCGCGCCGACCTTGCTGAGCAAGCATTCTATCAAGTGGGCAATGGTCATTCGCGAAGGAATGGCATGCGGGTTGATAATGATGTCGGGCGTGATGCCTTCGCGCGTGAACGGCATGTCTTCCTGTCGGTACGTCACACCAATCGTACCCTTTTGACCGTGACGCGACGCAAATTTGTCGCCAATCTGGGGATCTTGGTCGTCCGGACACGGACCTTTACGTATCGCATGCCGTCCTGGTTGGTGGTCATCACCACGGAATCCACGATACCGTTCTCCGTGCTCCTAAGAGGTGTCGAAGCATCTCTTTTGCTGTGCTGCGTTGTGCGCTGGCCCAGCTCTTGCGTGTCTTTGCCCAGAGGTGAAGTCTTGCCAATGATGATGTCCTCACCAGACACACGGACGCCGGGAGCCACGATACCATCTTCATCGAGTTTGTCGTAGGTGCCATGCTTGAGGCGTAGGGTCTCGCTGCGGAACGGCTTTTCGAACTGCTCCACGAGGTTGATGCCCACCTTCTTCTCGCAATCCGTGTAGGAACGGAAGAACAAGCTTCTAAACATGCCGCGATCAATGCAGCTCTGGTTCATGATGACGGAATCTTCCTGGTTGTAACCCGAATAACACGCAATCGCCACGATGGCATTTTGCCCGGCAGGTAGCTCTCGGAATTTGAGATGCTCCATGGCCATTGTTGTCGCAAGCGGCTTTTGCGGGTAGTACAGAATGTTTGCCATCGTGTCCATCCTGCGCATGTAGTTTGTGAGGAAGAAGCCCATCGCTTGCTTACCCATGGCGGACTGGTACGTGTTACGGGGTGACTGGATGATAAAAACGGTTAGGTCTGGGACTCATGGAGCGAGCAAACGAAATGCTAGGAAAGAAGTGGAGGGGAGGGGAGGGGAGGTGAGGGGAGAGGAGGGAAGGGGAGAGAGAAAACTGAATAACCTACCTGGTTGTGGTCGGGGAAGGGGATAATGCTAGCACAGATACCCAGAATCATGCTAGGGTGGATTTCGCAATGTGTAAACATGTGCGTGGTCGGGTTCATCTTGGTCTTCAGTCGCCGGTTGGGATCATCTCCAATATCCGTGTCGGTGACATGACCAGCCTTTTGAGCGCGGTACTCGTCCAATGCCTCTGGCGTCATGCAAATCATGGTCGTCTCCTCTTCCTCGGCATCGAGATACTCAATGACACCATCATTGACGAGATAGTCCCAACCGTACTGCCGCTCCGAGGGCGGCACCGCCTCTTCCGAAGCGAGGTTGGTGATGTGATTCTTGGTGAGCACAAGAGTTCCCTTTTGCGTGCCAGCCTGATCATTATCTTCCTGGTGCACAACAAACACGGGTCGCATAACGCGTCCAGCGTCGGAGAAAACCTTGAACTCTCGATCTCGGATATCTCGGACCAGGGAGACTTCGTTCGGGAGATATGAACGGCGTCGGGTTTCCATCATCTCATTGACCAAGTGCTTCGGATCCTGGTGGATACCAACCCAGACACCATTGACGAATACTTTGGTGGCGTTGGGGTACCTTAGCGGTTCATACTCCTCCACGACTTCCATACCACGGTTGATCATGAATTCGATAATGGGGTCCGACGGCGTCCCCACACTGACGAAACACATGAGCGAAAGGTTCTTGACGAGACCGCAAGCCTGCCCCTCGGGCGTTTCGGCAGGGCAGACCAAGCCCCAATGCGTGTTGTGAAGCTGACGAGGTTTAGCCAGCTTTCCGTCTCGTCCAATGGGGGTGTTGGTGCGGCGCAAGTGGGAAAGTGTCGAAGCAAAGGTGTAACGGTTCAACACCTGCGAGACACCAGCGGTGGAGCTCATGGCCTTCTTCTGGTCACCCCAGTTACCGGTAGCTAGCGAATACTTTAGACCGTTTGTCAAAGTGGTCGAACGGACACCGTTCACCGTCTGGAACTTCTTGTTCTGCTGGATACACATCTTCATGTAGGACGAGAGTTCCTGGTTGATGCGACGCATGATATTACGGAATAGCTTCGCGAGGAGGGGACCAGCTAGGTCCAGTCGCTTTTTACCAAAGTGATCTCGGTCATCGACGTCTCGGCGGCCGAGAGCACACTGGAGGAGCTTGTGGACCATGTATCCTAGGAAGAAGGCCTTGCGAGTCTCGCTACCTTCCGTTTGGGAGATATGGGGCAGCGTCTCCTTTGAAGAAGATCCTTGGCCGCCCTGATTCGACGTTCTCGGTTGAGCATGTAGCTTTGTCCACGCTTGCCAATGTAGTCCAGCGCGACTTCACGATCCTGGATGACAAAGGCCTCCTCGATACAGGGGCGGAGCATCTCCAACATCTGGCTGTCATTCCGGTCGTAGCAGATGTGATTCAAGATGTCCTCGTCCGAAACGACGCCAAGGGCTCGGAATACAATGGCAATAGGTAAATCGCCCTTGACGAAGGGCAGAGTTGATCGCACAAAGGGGCCGGAGCCACCAAGGCGCTTATCACCCTTGGTGTACAGCCGCAAGGCGAGTTGCGAAATCAGACGCGAGCCACGCTCCAACGCGCTGCGGATTTCGGCAGTGTAGCTGTAAGGGCTAGGTTGGGCCTTCTTGAAGACCTGAACAATGTTGGCTGCGGAGCGTTCCTGCGCGATAAGCACCTTTTCACTGCCGTTGATGATGAAATAACCGCCTTGGTCATAAGGACACTCATTCAGCAAGAACAGGTTCTCGTCCGTTTCGTGGCTAAGATGACAAATTTCGGACTTGACCATGATGGGAAGTCTTCCGACGAAAACAATATTCTTCTGGTCATCGGTCTTGCCATCCGCAGGCTCAGGATCCACGTCTTCGTCCTCCCACTTGATCTCGGTCGGTTCCACCTTGGTTTGCGCGTAGGTTTCACGCTGCTCATCATCCATCTCGTGAAGAGGAATGGGGTTTTCAACGGCCAAGGTAACTTTCTTCGTGATTCGAATGTACATAGGACTTGCGTACGTTAGGTTTCGGTCGCGGCATTCGTAGGGAAGCAAAGTGGCTTCTCGGCCATCGGATTCCGTAATGGAAGGTCGGGAGACCATTACATGGCCGAAATCGATCTCATATCTCCGCACCGCATATGTTCGGCCATCGTGGCTCGGTGGTGAGGGCTGGTCGAGGGTGATGCGAGAGTACTCGTTCACTAGGTGCTGAACTGTTGATGTGGTGAATTCGTTGAAAGAATCTACTTGCTGAGAAGCAAGGCCCTTGTTGTCGAAGAATGCAGCGATCACAGCCCAGCAATCCTCGGCAGTGATTCCCATATCCTCCTCATACTCGTCATAATCGTACCCATCTTCATAGTCGGCCATGATGGCGGGGTGTGATTTCGGCGTGCTCTCCCGGAGACAAAAGGGAGGTGGGGGTATATTAAGAAAAGGGGTTCTCTCTAGATGCAGAAGACGCGTTGAAGAAGAATTGGGCGTGCGAGAAAAAGAAAATGATGTCGCTAAAGGGTGGCAAGGTCGTAAAGCTCAGGGAAGCCTAGTGATCCAGTTGAATGAGGGGAGGTCAGGCTTCGCGCGTGGTAAAACCAGGATGGGAAAGAAGGCGTTGGTGAATAAATCCCAATCGCGAGGAAAGGATTGGGGTGCGAAGCTCGTGGTCGGGGTTAGCGATGAATTTCCTGGAGGTCAACTACCACCAAGGCCGCGACGGCCAGTCGCGGGATGGAGATTTCGGTGTCTCGAGGTGCCTGTTTCGTTACTGATAGAGAGACCAAAATACATCTATCGTCGTTTTGATAGCGACGATCAGGTGCGCGGCGGGGAGGGAAACCTGGGATGGAAGATGTTGCGGGAGGGGAGGGCGGAGAAGATTTTTGGCCGCGATGGTTGGAGGTGAAGTTCTTGAAGCCTGTGATGCGCGACCACGGCTCGAGGAGCCAAACTTTGACCCCCAGGCACACTTCTGGAGCAGGGAGTGGCGGCGTCTCACAGGAGGCAGGTCACATGACACTAGCAGTCGGAGGCCAGAAACATATCACTACAAAGACCCATTGAGCTAAAATATAACGAAAAATGAATTGGGGAAAATCAAGATCACATTCTATCGTATCCTTGGTAAACTACTATGGGGTTTTCCATTGTCTATACGCAGAGGGCACCGAGCCAGTTTCGTTGCCAGGTCGAGTCTGCCGACGCGTCGGCGCATCGCGAAGTGCTGAATCGTCAAGGGGAACCAAAAAAAAGTTTGGATGTGGATTTGTAAGACAAAGACGACTTGCAGATTTATGCGAGGAGGAAAATTATGTCAGCAGCCAGGATTCAGCTCCAGCCTTCACAGTCGATCTACAGATCCTCCAAGCCTCTCTTCTTCTCCATTTTTGAATAATATGATCGGCTTAGAAATAGTGGGCAAGGAAATAGCAATAGAGCTATCAATCCATTCAGTTCATTCTACCTATGGCTACCTGACTCGGCTGCTCAACCAATATTTCAATAGATGTTGGTCGGGTGCAACAGGTTGTCCGACCTCGTATGCTGGCCAGAACCTCGTCAAACGATGTGCTCGTTGGTATCAATTGGTATTATGGGCTACACGTAAGAGCCTCTAGCCTCACATCTCACCTACTCTACAAAAATAGGGTTAGCAACACGGGAAACAAGCTGATGGATATGATCCGAATCTATATATCGCTGTTCGAGTATTGACGTCTTCAAATTTATTGATCTATTGCAGCATAAAATGTTCCATCACCATCCCGCTTGATACATCCATTCGTAATACTTGTACCTTGGTAGGCTTTGTTGAGATCTTTATTGCCAACACCCTTGAAGGGCGCCTTCCCAACTTCTCTTCAGCTTTCGCTTTATTTGTTATTGCAGCAGTAGCGCCTTCTTCCCATCCATTGCTAGTCAGGTTTCCTTCACCACTAGAGGCGCCTGCACGAAGAACGCTAGGGTCGCGGCTGCTTGGGTGGCTTGAGCTTGACGAACTAAAAACTACTGATACTCTGAGAAACGGTCCCCAACGACGATGCACCTAGTGACGCATTGGACCCAAGTCAGGAGCATGAGGCAATCGTGGATTCGAGGTGCCTCATGCTATAAGTGTCACTGATATGCGAGCCTCTTGGTCTTGATTCGATTCCCCTTTTCCTACAATCTCTAGAGGACGAGTCCACTTATAAAGTTGCCTACTTGCAATGCGGTTCGCCGTCCCTAGTATTATATTCGGGCTTGCGGTGGCAACTTCGATTGAATTTCCCAGAGCAAAAAACTTCATTTACGTTGTCCCTGATGGCTATGGAGTTGCATCCCAGGTCCTCGCTCGAGATTTTAGCGCTCTTGCTAACAAGTTCGGGACTGCCCCGCGCCCAGACAGCCCAGCACTTGGCGCTGATCCTCTGGTATTCCTAACCAGAATCCTGCAGGTCTGGCCCTATTCAGCGGCACAGTAGCTCTAACAAGCTTTCTTTTGATCTAGGTGATTGGTACGGTCCGAACGCAGTCTTCCGACTCACTGGTCACAGACTCGGCGTCATCAGCGACGGCCTTTGCATGCGGCGTCAAAACCTACAATGGAGGTCGGTGATGGCTCAGCTCAGATTTGGAAAAACACATCGAGAATGCGAGTGGCGGAAGACTAGGGCGTGAGATGGGGGAATTCCCTTTTTTGAGCGAGAATACTAACACACCTAAGCTCTGTACAGCTATCGGCGTCGACGATAACGGTATCCCCGTGGCCTCTATCCTCGAAGCGGCCCATTTGAGTGGCCTAAGGACTGGCCTTGTTGTCACAACCCGCCTTTCCCACGCAACTCCTGCTTGTAAGACAGTGGACTACGTCCTAAACGGTTCGCCGACTCACTGCTCACTTTTGAGGACGCAGGCTACGCCGCTCATGTTCTAGAACGTGCTTCGGAAAACGACATTGCGGCGCAAGAAATTGGTTACTCCCACCCCTCGGAAGCGTTGTCGATCTCCTGCTGGGCGGCGGACGGCGGCACTTCCTTCCAATTTCCCAGGGCGGTAAACGTAGCGATAACGTCAACCTCATTGAGTGGGCGGTAGAGAAGGGGTGGACATATGTCTCGACGAAGAGGGAACTCGAAATGTCCACAGACGATGACGGTGCACTACCCCTCCCCTTCTTAGGCTTGTTCTCGCCAAATCATATGGCATTTGAGCTAGACAGAGATAGAGCAGAACAACCCTCGCTCTTGGAAATGGCTAAAACGGCCCTTGATACCCTCGAGAAAGCAACAAGAAACAGCGAAAAGGGTGAGATGAGACGCTCATGCGCCCATGCGTTCTATCAGACACTAACACAAATGGCTATCGCTAGGCTACTTTATCATGATTGAGGCCTCTCGTATTGACCATGCAGGCCATGCGAATGATGCGGTCGCACATATTCACGACACACTAATGTTTAACTCAGTCTTAGCCTATATCAAGCAATACATTGATTCCCATCCAGACACTCACCTACTATCGGCCGCCGATCATGAATGCGGGGGCTTGACCCTCGAGGATGGCTACAATCCTACAGCTCTCCAGGGCGCCAACCACACGTTTGAGTACCTCGGCCAGCTTTTTGGCGACTACAAAGGAAACAAAGGTGCCTATCTCAAGGATAAGCTCCTGCCTATGTACGGCCTCCTGGACGTTTCAAGCGACAATATCGAGGCCCTTGTAAAGATTGCACAAGATAGGGGTGTTGGGGCATTGGGAGTTGCCGCTGGCAATCTCCTGGCGTCTGAGGCTGGCCTACACTGGTCTACTGAAGGCCACACGGCTGCCGACGTAGTCCTTTACGGATATGCCAACAAAGATGCTCTTAGGGCCATGAAGGACTTGATTGGCAGGAACATCAATAACAACGACATACCCCTCTACATAGAGGAGGTTTTGGGTCTGAGTCTAGCAGATACGACGCGGGCGTTGAGAAAGGATGGTGTTGACTGGGTGGGCCGGAGAGATGAGCTTCACCTTGTCAAGAGGGCGGGCAAGGCGCGTGCCAGGGGCCATGATCATTGATGTCGCTTCCTCCTCCTCCCCAACCCAACTCAATTTCCCCCTTTCTGCCTGCCTCCAAAGCTCTATACTCGTTAGTTTGATACTGCTAGGAATATATTTTGCTTCAATTCACCGAAACCCGGCATGGATCTATTGATAGATTTGCCCCTCACGTCCACTACCGGTTGCTTTGTCCAAGTTTACAGAAGATGATTGAAAAGAAAACGAACACTCGTACTGTATTCAAGTCCTTATGCTTGATAGTGCAGGTGGACATCAGCCTGATTGTCTAAGGCAGCGTCGCTGAAAAGTTGGATCACCCTCCTCTCGATGTCCTATTTCTGGGAGAAGCGGCTACTTCAAGTCCTTGTTCTCTTTATTCATCAATCATTGTCATCATTCATCAAAAGAATGGGCTTTATATATGGCCCAACCCCACCCGGGTGACCAAGAATACTTGAAAGGGCCTTTTGACTTCTTCGCTGTTCCAAAGGCAATGGGCATCTCATGCACCGCCATCTTCTCTCCTGAATCATTCCTCGGTCATGGTGGCAACAGCGCCGTAATATCTATCATACCAAGTCCCAACCCCATTTACTAACACTTGGTTGCAGGATATGTCACTAGCTGTCCAGTACGTCTTGCTGAGCTCGGGAACACGGGCGGCCAGATGCCGAGGAGCAACAGGGGCAACGCCTCCGATGAAGCAAAGGGCCTGTTCACCAGCGTTTTGGGGATTCGGAGTGCCCACGAAGATCTGGGTACACCCACTTGTCTGGGCGCATAGAGACGCGCAGAACTGGAACGTATCCTCGGAGGAGAGGGCGGCGGGCGCTAACTGGACAGCGAGGTAGCCCTGCGGCTTACAATAGCTCATATAGGTACCCGTCCGAATAAACTGGAGGCCTGACACGAAGGCCGTAGGAGTGATGACTTCTGTGCGCGTGGTCGTTCCAGGGACGGTGGAGTCCACGACGGTGGTGGTCGTCACGGTGTCGGTCGCGCCGGGGACGGTGGTGAAGACTGTCGAGGTACCGGGCCTCGGTGGGCCTTGGGTGATGGTCTTGACCACAGAGGTCACGGTAGTCTTGAAGGAGAGTGTGGAGGTGGCCTTGGCGGTAGAGACGACGGTCTGTACGTAGATGGTAGTGGTAGGGGCGGTCACGTAGCAATTGCAAGCGCTGGAGACGACCTTGGTGGCGTATGCCTTGAGTTCTAGGGGAAAGTGAGCCAAGAGGAACGGAGATGGGTGTGACACGAGATAGCAAGGGAGGGATGGATGGGTGGTATAAGTGCAAGAAGAAAATTACGTACGACCGGCGATATCTCGCTTTTTTACGGTGGTGGTGATAGTTGGTTGGGTTATAACGTGTCTTGTAGAATACCTAGATAGGACATTGTTAGCCCAGGGCTCTCACATCTCTTTGTTGACAAGACTAAGACGATGGGAGGCAATGGGGAGGGACTGCCACATACACTGTAGGAGCCGCGTTTTGCTCAACCACGGTCTCGATGTATTCCGTGACGATGGCCGTGCTTGTACTGTTTGGTTTGTCTATGGTTAGCTGTGTCATAGAAAGGATCTCGGGAAGTAGGACGAGCCGCCCCATATCGGATCAAGTCACAATGGGGCGCCCAAAGCAGAACGTGGACCTCATGATATAAAGACGAGGGGGCGCACCTAATGGTAGTGGTGGTAGTAGGAGATCCTTGGACCGGCACGGTCGAGTAGATGGTCTGGGTTGGGGGCTTGGTCGTGGTGGTAGTTGAAGATTGGATGACGGTCTTGGTGGTCGACACCGTGGTCGAGACGTCGTGACAGACGTCGCGGTCTTGGACACAGTCTTAGTGGTGAGATGAAGATAGCTCGTGCAGAACTGGGAGGCTTTGAGCGCCCGAACAAGGACGAGGGCAAGACTGGGAGAGCATTGAGGGGGCTGAGCCGCTGCGGGTTCCCTGATCTCGAGCTGGCGGGGCGAAGGGGCCGCAGCCACCAAGGCGACGACTAAGAGGAGCAGCCTCCCGCAGATATTGATGAGTAGCATCGTCGTTTCCTACTACTGGTGAGGAAATAGAGGTCTCGTGTATAGCTGGATGAACTCACGCCAATAGTAGGTGGTGAGTGTCGTGCCGGCAGGATAAGGGGACAGCTTGTGGAGATGTATGTATGACGAGGAGGCGGCCTCACTTCTATCTTATACTATCAGGATGGACCTATCGGCCGTGCTGTCTGGCTACCGCACTCCTATTCTGTATCAATGGATCCACGGCATAAATGCGCCGGACGTTCAACTTCCCAAGCAGAGACCATCAGCCAACCCCTTCCTCACGGACCTTACCGACCGGTTGGGCCAGGCATGGCGAGGTCGAGGAACGTGGACCGGCCACCTCCACGACCTGGTCTCCAGTATTGTTGTTAGCGCTAGCCATAGATGGAGAGGTCAATGGATATATTGGAGGCGAGATGTGACACCGCTTCCTGCAGAAATTCCCCAGGGGGAAGCACAGCTCTCGAGAATCATGTCGGACCCCACAACGCTAAAATGTAATATTGCCTCTTCTGGCAGGCCTTCACCGTTGTTCGCAAAGTAGTTGGATAAAACGCTCAACCAAGCTAACCTTAACTACCCGCCTCCCTCTAGTCCATGTGGACTCACTAATACAAGTATGCATTTTCTCCCAAGGTGCACGTTCCTTGCGAGGTCAGCCCATGCGTGGAACTACAGGAACAGGAAGCGGAAGCAGTGGCAACCGAATGTCAGTTGGTGGACCTTGATCTAGATTTACACTATTCTGGGGATGCCAAACAGGTACTAGTGTGACCAGCGCGACTCAAAGAATTTATAGCGGAGGTATTGGAACCCGTGCATTGACTGATGGCGAGAATTTGGCCAAGGCCTTTTGCACCGATATCAAGACCACGACCCTTTGGTTGTGTACATAAAAGACTCATCGCGGATACGAGTTACACATCCATGTCAATTGAATACCCGCCAACAAACTATAGATAGAACTTTACACGAGCTGTGATTCTGTGAACAGCCAGCGCGTTGGGTGGTTGGGTGTTAGGCGAGGCTGTGGAGGCGTCGCTCTTGTGCGCTTTGATCGAAGAAACACATGAGGGAGGTTCCAAAAAGAAATAAGAAACGAAAAAAAGTTTAGCATCAAATGCACGATCAACAGCGCACTAATTCAATATTCTTGTTGGTTCCAGGGGTCGAGTGGCTCCGAAGACTTCCAGGTCGGGGAAGAGGCCAATGGATAACCTCAGCTTGGTCAAAGTATTCCCCGAACAAGCTAGCGGACGTGTTGGTCCACCAGGGAATGAAGCTTCATCATAGGCCACAGCTGATCAATTGATTGATTCTTCAGCTCAGCCAACCCTTGTCACAGAAAAAGTTCTCTGGCAGGCTGAGGGGAAGACGGCTTGCTTGGGTTGACGTGGCGGGAACGTCGAAACAACCTTCAGCCACCAAGAAGCCACAATCTTTTCTCATCCACCCTGACTTCAAGGGATTCCTCAGCCGATTTGAGCTTCCGTGTAGCGGATGAGCTCTGATTAGTTGTTGAGGAAGGGTGGCATCGCTTTAAGGGCTGGATCAAACTGAATATCTTGAAGGTCTTGGGCGCTGGGTATCATAACATTGGTACATATAAAAATCGAACCTATCTTCCAGGGGAGAGAAAGGAAAAGAAAGTGAGAAGGGAAAACAGAGAAAAAGAAAATGTAAAGTAATTCAGTGTGTAACATGACCCTAACACGTTCTGGGAAACAAGTTTCGAAAATGGGGAAAGGAAAGAAAAAAAAGGCGGCATTGCGCTTTACGGTGCCTTGGCAAATGCTTTGGGCATAGACAGGCATCTTCCTTTTACCCAGCCAGGTTACCGAGCTTGGTGATGCTGTTGGCGTCCGTGGGTGTTAATATGGCCCATATCATCGTGAGTATTGGGCCCGTAGCCCCTCGGCGCTTGCGACAGTGAGCCTGACCCCGAGGCACCTGAAGTTGCTGGATCGCGATGCCTTCGAGAGTTGCTCCTGTTTGCAGAGGGCCCCAGGGAAGTCCCGGCCTGGCCATGAGGGCTACGCGGGTCCGAGGCCCCGGCTCTTCCGTGTTGGGGCCCCATGAACTTCTCCACCATCTCCCAGATGCCTTCCTTGAGCGTGATGTGCTGCAAGGCCGCCCGGTCGCGCTCCTCGTCGGGGAGATTCCAGGTCGCCTTGCCCCCAAACGTGACCACGTCCGAGATGACGCGGGCTCCGTAGATATCTAGATACTCCCTGTACGCGTAGATTTCCAGCTGGAGAGGTTTGTACACGTAAGGGGACTGCGGTGGCAACATGTGCCCCTGGAACGCGATATCGAAGATGTGGTTCCACAGGCCCTTTCGGTTGAGATTCTCCGGGCTGGGCCCTTGTAATTCGCGCTTCTGGGACTCTGTGAGCCCGTCCGGGGCCGCCCATTTTTGGAACGGCAGGTGCCCGGTCGGATATGGCGATCGCGAGCCTTTTCATCGTCGAATTGGTCCAGGCACCTCGGACAGTAGATGGGCATAACGTGGCAGCGAAGCAGGTGGTCTTTGACAAGGGAAGCCCGGCTAAAATTTTCAGTAAAGCAGTCCTTGTGTCGCATCGGGTCGATTTGCGCAAAAGGACACGCCAACGGCTGACTTCCCTCCTTGGGCGCCTCTCTTTCGGCGAAGACCTCCGTCTTCCATACCCGAAAATCTTTGAGTATGGCAGATAACGCTATCGACTTGAGTATCAGGAAAGGATGGTCGCTGGGGAGCATGGGCCACTCCTAAACTTTTCCACCCGAGAATCAGGCCCGGGTAGGGTGCGTGGGTAGCCGGGGTCGGACTCCTCCGTACTGTGGGTTTCCCAGAACCCGCCCGAACCTGGACCTCGCCGGTCTAAGTCGGCCAGGTCACGCCGCTCGCGGGGAGGGTTGGATGGGCGTGGCGCTCCTGGGGTTGAGCGGTCTGTCGGGCTCCGGGAATACGATAGTCCTCCGACTCATCCGCCGTCGGGCCTATATTGTGGCCCTGCCAGTCCTGGCTCCGTTCCCTCGGTGTTTGAGGAGAGCTGGGAAATTCCGTGCTGCGTCGACCTTGGGAATCTTGTACTCTTGAGGGATGAGACCGGTAGGGGTGGCCGTGTCGTCAACCGGTGTGCCTCTCGTTGCATCCCAATACGCCCCTGGGGAAGTGGGAGTGTAAGATGCATATTGAGAGGGCTGGTCCCCCTTCTCCCACCAGCATTATCCCAAGATGAGCGCTGGGAAGACGGGGTGATCCCGATCTATCGCGGTCGCGATAGCCTGCTTTCTGGCGAGGCGCATTCGCGGGTAATCTTTGTGATTGCGAGCGGGAGGGTGCCCTATCTGGATCAAGGGGCCCATCAAAGCCGTCAGGATCGGGATGCGACCGCCTAGGTTTCCCGCCGTCGCTGCCTGTGTACCCGTGATCAACTTGCGTATTGATCCGCGGCCTATCGTGGGGGCCACGGTGGCGGGGTTCTGGTTCTGTGCCTGGGGTTCGTATGGGATCTCGAATGTTTGGCGTGGAATGTTGGATGACTGTGGCACCGAGGCTGTTCGCTTGTGGTATACAGGTTGCTGTCTGCCATGCTCTCGTGGCCCGTCCACTGGCGACCTTTGGTCTCGTTGGCCTACTATCCCTTCCGGCACCTGATCCCACTCCCCACTGCGACGGCCTGGCTGCCCGCGGGGTGCTTGAGGGTGAGCAGCAACTCCACGCCGACCCTTACCGGCCGGAGAGTGGGTTTCGGCGCCTACGCCCGGATCCGAAACTCTCCAATCCTGTCCGCCGCCACGCTCGTCTCCCGAGACGTAATTAGAATCCCCAATCGGGCTCGTAGTTGGAATCGACCTGGGTTGCGATCCGCCGTTCGCAGGCTGTTCTGCCGACCGAAATCTATTTGCGGCTGGAACAGCATCTCTCCGGCGCGAATCTCCCCATCCCGCTGCGGCACGGCCGTACCTCGTATGGGGATGTCGGCCCCTTGCGCTTGCGCTTGCGGAATGGGCCGAGACCGCGATTCGTGCCTGGACCGGTCGGAAGACGGTGTGTAGTTGTGCTCCCCCGAAAGTTGCCGCCGCTTTGTAGAACATAGTTGGGATCGGCCTGATGCGAGAATCTGTCGTCTGTTGGCGAGGCATCGCGTGTGCTGGTTCCATGATATTCGGCACGCTCTCGTCGCCTTCGGTGTGGAGGTAGCTTTGTCTTTGACGAGCGTTGACGGGTAGTTGTGGGAGGGATGGGGGCGAATGGCAGGTCTGGTGGCCGGTTCTCCCCTTCCTCCTCGCTCCTTTCTATGTCGTCATCATCTCCGTGGTCCTCCTTATACTCGGCCTCTTCGTAAACGGCCCGGGGGAGTGACGGCGTCGAGAGCGGCCGTGCTGGCTAGGCTGTATTGAGTCACGCGCGTCGCCTTCGTCCACTGTTCCGAAACCTCGGGATGACCGTGGACCGCGGCCTCGCTCATCCACCTCTTCATCAATGCCTTCTCCCCTCGTTAGTTTCGGATCATGATGGAATGAATCGAGATTGCCCATGGTGTGTCGCAGAAATGAAGAGTGGGAACACGGGGGTCTCTCTCGGTGCCGCGAAAGTTAAGGGCAAATGGAAGCAAAAACGCAAAAGCAGAGGCTTCGAGATAAACAAGAAGCGGGAACTCCAGCTTGCTTTAGAACGGATGTGTTCGACGTCGTTTCACAATTCTTACATCTCGAATCGCGGATGGATATTGTATTAATCCCAGAGGCAGGAAGAGGATAGCTGTTTAGAGACTGTGTCCACCAACTTTGTGTTAGTCTAGTGAATGATACTTCTCTCGACCTCACTCTCATTTACAGGAGGCGAAGCGGGAAAGAGCAGGCTGAGGTAGTGGGAGATAAGCGTCTCTTGGTTTCGTTATACTCCTTGACCTTGGGGGTTGTATCACATCATGCAATACATCGAGTACGTATGTGGTGCATGTATCATGGGGGTCGCTGCCAGCATCGGGTTGGCTCTCGCGACAGGAAAAAATGTTCGGTAAGCAAGGTGGGCGATGGCGGAAGGAACCGCATGTGAACCAATATATGCATTGGGAATATGCGGGGAAGAAGAATCTCTATCCGGTGACGCCTATCACCATCCTCGACAGAAAAGGATGGCAATGGCTTGTAGGCCGCACCTGCGCCCAGTTACCTAAATCCACATCTTGGTCGTACTGGTGTCATCTGAGATGCGTTGTCTGGAGGGCTTCGCACACGCGGCCTGGTAAATCTCCCCATTCCTGTATTCCTGTGGGGTGAATCGACCACCCCCTTGGTCGACTGGGACGTGTGCATGGTCATGATCCATTGGGCAGAGGTGTTCATCACATCGCGGCAAGCCCTTGTGTCGTGGGCCAATAATGTGGGCTTCATCGTGCAACTGATGGGCGCCAGTCAACCCGGTTGGCACTCGTCAAGCCAGCAGCTCAATGCCTTGAGCTAAGGCGATAGCTGCACCGTCATATTACTGGCAACTACAGGACTGTGGTTACACAAGATTTTGAGGCGTTTTGTCGTGTGAGCCAAGACGAAGAAAGTAACGAGGAGCAGGCTGGGTAGAACGTGCAATTTGGACAATGTCAAACTTGTCTTATACGGCTTGTTTCCGTGAAATGATAAGGTATCTGGGTGCGGATACATGGATCCATGGATATATACATATACATATGAGAAAAAGGGATCAAGCCATAATTCTCACGCCTCAAAACGAATTTCTGGAGGCGATTCGGTCGCCTTGAAAATGGTTTGTCTTTGTGCTCCTGCTCGTCACAGCCTGGTTCCGCCATCTCAACTCGTGAGGATCAGACTCCGTCGTGTTATTTTACTGTACGTCTAGCATCCCATCTAAAAGATTGTTAGCTATCTCTTGCTTCAACTCGTTTAGGTAACGGGCGGGCTTTTGAAGCCATGGGTGCGGACTTACCACTTCTCCACCGGGGACAGTATATGTGCTCATATTGGGGTCATAGATCTGAGTGACGAAGATTAGCGCCCAGAAGCTTAGATGAGTGGGAAACGGAGCAAAGACTTACATTAGCGGTGTAGCCCGGGTCGGTCTGCTTGAAGACACCAGGAATCTCAACGGGCTGCTCCCAGGCGTCCGCAGAGCCGGCACCTCCGGTAATGTTGAGCTGCGCGCAGCTAACGTAGAACTGAGATCACGGTATTAGTACCACATAACGTGATGCGCGTAGAAGGCAAAGCAAAGGCAAAGCTAATGAGAGCAGAGGGAGAACCTATGTTCACACTTGGTTGCCCGATGAGTGGAAATATAATACATACCTGGGGAACACCCGCGGGCCAAGGGTTGTGAATTCCGAGGATTGAATTCGGAGGAGATACTCGCCGTCGGGGAGGCAGCTAGGGAGAGTGAACTTGTAGTTGTCTTGTGTTTGGATCATGTTAGTTACCCTGCCGCAGCCTTTTTGCAAACAATACTACCACATCGCACGGCGGCATGAGTGGGGGAATCTTACCGGACATGGGCCACGAGGACTGGCCGTTGCCACCGAGGGTCGGGCCCCAGTCGAAGAGCTTGCGCCAGCCTCCTGATCCGTCGTAGTCTTGTACAGAGCCCGGCGCCCTAGAGACATAGATGGAGATGGGGCCTTGGTGATAGACAGCCTGCAACCCAAGAGGTGTGAGTATACGCTTGAAGGAGGGGGGTGGAAAAGACATGATGACTTACAGTATCGGTGCTGAAAACGATCTCATCGCCAACCTTGGCGTCGAGAACAAGGGTGCTAGCGCCGCTGATACCGCCTGCGTTGCACACCAAGTCCTTGGAAGCAAGGTCTAAAAGGGTAAAAAAGTTAGATAAAACTTGGCCACATGGTACAGTCGTTTCTGTAGGCGCGGGTTGTTCAACGAGGGCAGTGGATATCTATGCCAAGTTCTTCCTCGTAACAGCCTGTCTCTATCGAGGAGCTTGAATTCTTGCCACAGCCCTGCTTTTGGTGAATCTCTTGCAACGGTGACCCACGGCCCAAGTCCGAATATCCATGCCCCCGTTCATACTATGGAGAACATGGAATCACCAAAGGGGAAAGTCTCCGTTGAGGAAATAGATCGGGTGGTTAGGCTTCTTACCGGTTACGGGCGAGTTGTAGTTGGAGTTCTGGCGGACGCCCTCAAAGACGCCATGCTTGGTGCCGGCAATGGACACCTGCTGGAAGATGTAGTGAGCTGACGCCTCGGAAGCGAGGAGGGCGAAGGCGGCGGCGAGGCTGATGACGGACTTCATGATGGGCGGCTGAAGTGTGGTGGCAATCGGGCCCGGGCTAAGAAGGAACGAGGGGTCGACAAGTCCAAAGTGGGATATAAATTTGACTATATTTGCCTCACTACCGGGCGAAGATAGGAATGAACCAAGTTCTGGAAGAGGAGAAGGAGGATGGAATCGGTAAAAGAGAAAAGAGAAGAAAAAAGAGACACCGTGAGAGGGGAGAGAAGACGAGGGAAAGAGTCGCGGTCTAAGCTTGCGGACTTAAATGAAATTTGAAGCGGGCAGTCACGAACGGGGCTCTTATATCAAGAACCAAACCCTTGACGCAAACAACCCCGTGCGGCAATGGCACCTCCATCAGGTGTCACGCAAGACGAGAGAAATCGGCCAAGGCGGGCAGCGAATTACCGGCAGGGTTGGAATTAGAAGAACAATATGGAAGGGCGCGCGCCCGCCGTCCTTGGGTTACGCTCCCCACCTCCCAAGACGGGCACGAGAACTATTGAGCATGTAAACCTGAGCTTGGCGGCAGGGAATTCCGGGCACGAGTCTATGTGACGTGTGTTCCCGTCTCTGTGTGGAAGGTGAATGAAAGAAAGAAAAAGAGAGTGCTTTGAATCCTCGAGATCTATTGCTTTCTCTCTTGCACATCAAGGGAGGATTCAAGGCAATTTGTTGATGATTGCTCCGGTTTCATTCAACCTCTTTCATCTTCTTCTATCTCTCTTCTTTCATGTACGCTTTGCCTCTCACTATCCCAGACTATTTAGAAATTCCTCGCATAGATATGAGCAGGCCGGATACAGCAAGAGATATACGAAGTTGGATGAAGCAAGGCCTGCCCACGGCCCCTCTAATTTCCTTTCCCAGTCCCATACTGGGGTAGGGATCAGAGAGCATTCAATGGACTTCTGTTTTTCTTCCTCTTTCTTTTCTGTGTAGCATGGCGTAGAGTAATAGTCCTTATGTGCACGGCATAACGGGTATAAGTAGTACCTGGGGTGCTGATTACCATGAATATCTACTAGGGTGGTTGCTTGGCCTTTGTTATTGCGATGAATGCACTCCACAGTCCGGCCCGTCTTTACGTAGTACCTTTCTCTCTATGTCTGGGTCGCATTAGTGGTGCTACCGGATCCGCGGCAGCGAAAGGAACTGGTTGGAGGGTTACCTTGGCCCCCTTTCAGTAGCCAATGATCGACTCGGTACCCTCTGGATTCGGATGCTTCGTCTAATCTTCCACAACTTTGTGGCCATGAGACTCGATTATTAGGGGTAGCATCAGGACATATATGGAGCGTTCAAGGGAGTTTGAAACCACTCTTGTTGTGAGGTCTGTACGTGTATTGACTATAATTCAGTCAGTCACAGGCACATAGACCTAGGGTTAGGGGTGATTGATCACAGAATCAGTTCACCATCAATGGCAACGAGCCCTTGGGCGCATCGGTTTCTAGCATCTTTCTTCTTCTCTCTCTTCTTCTTTTTTTTTTTTTTTCTCCCGGAGCAAGGGAGATTGACCCGGTGGCAGATCCATCTAGAGATGGATATAGCCGGCTTACTAGGCCAATAACCCTGACGTCCACCAGCATAAGCCGTCTACATTGTTTTGATTCACGCAGCCATAGGCCCGCCAAAGGCACCTCTTCCAAAGAGCTGGCCAAACATTCTAGCAAGGGGAAGTAGGGCACGGGCGAGCTATGATGTTTGATGATCGAATGAAGGAGAAGAAAAGGTCGAGACGGTGGTGGATGTTTTGTAATTCGATATCGTCGCTTCTCACTCGAGGTAGACACTGAGCCAGGGGGAAGGGTTGGCTTGTTTTGGTGTCTGGCAGCAGAATGATAATACGGGCAGGCTTGATCCCTTGCCTCCTAGTCAGTGAGTACACGACACGACTACGCCCGCGCCGCCGAGCAAATCGAGTCTCGTCAAATCAATTTATGACGAGAGCTGGACTTTGTCAAAGGCCCGCCCCCATCCCGACCCCACGACCCAAATTTGCGACAATTATCGATCTTTCACCCACACTACTTCTCTTCCCTCTCTCTCACTACTCTTCCTTTTCGTGCTCGTACATATGTAGTCTTTTAAGAAAACTTGCGCGCGCGGCCGGCGTTCCGTGTGCATGTGGAGTTGGGCAGTCAGCAGGGCCAATAAAGTTGATGATACGGGTTCATGATAGATGAAGTTTTTATGGGGTTAATAAGAATGCGTGGATCCGACTGGCGAGATGGCTGTTGCGGCAGGTCCACGGGGTTGAGAGGCGCCTCGGATAATGTGAAAATCAATAGCCCCCAAATTTTCGTGAGTCTTTTTTCGTCGTCTTCTTCTTGTTTTCTTTTCTTTTTTTTTTTTTTTTTCTTCTTTATCTCACTTGTTCTCTTTCCCTCCTCTAGAGTCCCATCATCCCCCTTCATCGTTAGTCTCGCCAGCTAGTCCCTATGTTTCCTTTAGACGCCAAAGCGGACCTGAACGGCGTGACGAGCCGCTCTTAGTCCGATGGTTGTTCGACGAGGGACATAAACGATTCCTTCCAGTAAATAATGGGCACCAAGGATATGACCTCACGCTGCAGTGCAGTGATGCGGTAGGGTGTGCTGACAACCACGAAATCTCCTAATTGTGTGGGCATGGTTGTAATGTGAGCAAGTCCACATGACAAGCCAAGGACACCAAGATGAATTGAATAGCCAAGTAGAACCTGGTTTAGCGATGGCCGCGTCGCCAGCTCGGGGGCGGGGATCAGCAGGGCCATACGGGCGCCTAGCTTAAACCCCTGAAGAGTCCATGAGGTTTGTCACCCAGCAGCCTTTCGAATGAGAATGGCCGGGAGGTGTCATGGCAAGGATCGACAATCACCAACTCTCATCTGTAGATCCCACACTTTAGTAATTTTCCAAAAACCGCTGGTCCTACTAGCACCCTAACTCGTCTATGAGCAACAGACTACATGAAGATGTCTGTAAACCACGGCTAGAAACTGTGGGTGGCGTGCAGGCCAACGAAAATCTTCCGATCAGGGTCCGATTGCAAGAAACGTAGACTCTTGAGTGAGTAGCGTTCTCGCTCAACCGCTTCTGACATGTGCACCTCAGTCGAAATGAGCAACATGTCAAGTGAAATGAGCTGATCCAGCGCATTAGACTCATGGGTAGTGGGATGAATACATCAATGTAGTGTGGGGAAGACAGGCCTGACCGGGGTGCACCCCAGTCCCAGACCGACGTTGCCTAGAACGCCCTCCGACCGGAGCCGAACCCCACAGTCACCCCGGTTCCGTGCCCGATACCACCCAACCTTCCACTTTCCGCCGTCTCGTCCATTCGGGCGGCGAGCAGTCCCGGTTCCATCAAACAGGAAGACCGGCATCGGTGTGTTATTCGCCAATCCCTCATTTGGCACAAAGAAGCGCATTCAAAATCCGGAACTCTACTCCGCCCAACCAGCCAAAGCACTTTTCATCAGCGAACCTCAAAGGCCACCATTTGATATCACTCGTCCATCCATGTTGGTTCTGCTTCTTCGATTACAATCGATGACTCGATTTTCAATCTTACTCATTTTTAGCCTTATGTCTAGCGTGAATGAGCTCCAAGCTAGCAAGCAGGCCTGTGTCTAATGCTGGCCTGTGTCGGTGTGCCGACAGAATTTCGAGGACAGTTTTGTTTGTTACAACAAAAGGGGACCTTGTTGCATCGTGCTGTGACTACATGCCCACCAGCTCAATTCGTCTTCTCAGTTCATGGGCTAGCATCACGAGCTATCCGACTGATGCGTTAACATTGTTCGATTTGAAGGCGATCTAACAAGCGATGCTAGCGGTCAACTTTCTATGGGCTCCAGGTCAAATGGTCGTCACCGTGGCTAGGGCTTGTACAGCGTAGGCGATACGTGGGTTCTTTGAAGTACTCATTGATATCAAGTACTCGGTAGCGGACTCGTATAATAGGGTTAAGAGCTATAACATCCATCAGTTGATGGATTGGATTCATCAATTCACTATGAGAACAAAGTGGAATGCTCGCCAAGACCGTAACACCCTTCCGAATCTCCAAATTTTCATGTCTGCTGAAATCACACTAATGTAGCAGCTATTACGTTTTCGATGATGATAATATCAAGGATCTTCTACTGCTCTTGCACGAAAAGAGATTGATATACATTCTCCTTCGATTTCTTTCGATTTTATTTTGGTTTGCGTTGTGGTAGCTGTTATTGTGTGTTTGTATATGTATGGATACCCATTTGTATGGATACCCATTGATATCTATGATGTGTGTGGTGTGTCTGGTGTGCTTGGAGGGGGTAGCTTCCTAACTTTCAATGTCACCTGCCCGGCCGAATACGTTCAAGTAATGGCCCCATGGAGAGCTCTCCCTTATTTACCTCGAGACCGTAGCTATTGGTTATCCAGAGTTATATTCCACGTTGTGTAAATGGCCGAGAGGACCAGACGCGTTCATGGCGTCTTGACGGAAAACTTAGCCGTCGGTGCTGGATCCCACAGGCCATATCCTTCAAGATAAAATCAAATGCGGGGCCAAAGAAGACCCTGGTAAGCCACCTGCGGCCTTCTTCCTGAGCGGTACCACACGTCGGCAAGCGAGGCCAGCGGACTGGCAAAAGATTAGATTCGCGGGAGTCAAGAAGCAGACAAGAGAGAGAGAGAGAGAGAGAGAGAGATACAGTTGCGACCGCCGGAGTGAACTAAACCCTGCCTGTCTTCCGGCCCAAAGCCGTCTTTGGGTGCTTACACGGAGATATGTCAGGCTGCGCCGACGTGAAGGATGTCGGTGGGAGGGGAAGAAAGGGGGGTGGAAGCGATTTCCGAGAGTCAGCCGGCCATTGGGGTCGCCGTCTCCTGAGGTCGGATACAATCTCAGGTCGGGGCGAGATCAAGGAAGTGGAGAGACGTAATACCGAGAGGGGGCGGACGTGGTGGAATTTTCTAACTGCGACAGGTGTCCATCTATCCAGCAGAGCAGACGGAATTTAGCCATAGTGCGGCAAGTTATGGCAGGCACCACGAGATTGGCATGTGGCGGTTTACACGGATGACCGGGAAGGGCAAACCTTCGAAATGCGAGTGCCCTTTTTATTTTATTTTTATTTTTCTTCCTTTCCATTTCGGCCTGTCGTATTTCCTTCTTCGCTATCAGAATAATGGAAGGTCCATCATTCACTTTCCGCTGATCCGCGACTATCGCCCGGCCGCGATCTCATCTTCGCCTCTATGGCTGCATCTCGCTACTGTGATTGCTGTTGGTTGTTGGGTCCAGGGGACTGCAGACGAAGGCCTCACCAACCCCATTGCGGCTTCAGGCTTAAAATGAGGAGTAAGGTGAAGAGGTGGGCGCGGGGCGAAGACGGAGGTGTGGTGAAGACAACATAGCCCTCCCTCTCCACTCGGGAGGAGGGAGGGTAGGGGAAGCTACAACCTTGGGCGCGAGTGGGCACCCTCAACAGATGCCTTCAATTCGTGCCTTGTTCTGTTCAGGACACGGCAAACCCTCGATATTGAGCATGGGCACCATTGAGGGATTAAGCGTATATCCAGCGCCAAAATTTGGGATGCATTACAGCCTACAAGGCATCTATGGATCCAGCCAACGGGCAACAAACGAGGAGTTAGCCGTAGACACCATCTGAACATATTGACATGGAGGTCTAGAGAGCGGGACGTTGCGGAACTGGCTCAAGCGCTGGGTCGCTACAGAAGTGCCACCCCAACAGCCTACGCTTTGGGTTGCCAACCTTGGGGGAAGGGGGCAGGCAGGGTTAAGATCAATTGATTGCTCTTACCCGATTCGCAGTTCCCCTCTCCCCGCCCATGAGTGGTGCCTTCCCCTTCCCCCGCAGTTCAGTTGTGCTTAGTCTCGAGTTTCCTCAATTTCGGGCCTCGTAGTTGCTATTGCCCCCAATTTCCCCACATCAGCGAAATGTGATGGAGGGCTGTCAATGTCAATACAGGCTGCCTGTACCTTAACCAGAATTGCCTATGGTTTCAGTAGTAGGTTCCCACACTCTAGCGGCCCATGCCCGTCAATGGATCGATTTCAAAACTTCCCCATCCGCCATCTCGAACCCGCCGCTGATACGTCAATTGATCAATCTGATCGCTTGACGACCCTTTCCTTGATGGGAATTTCGGCTCACGCTTGCTACTCCATTGTGGCCAATCGAGGGGACCCTTGAGTCGACCATCAAATCTCACGTCCCGGTTCCGTCCAGTTTTGATTGCCTCAGCTATTAAAACAAAAGAATCTTCATGCTCTTCATCCCGAGGCTTCCTCAAGCAAGATGTGAGGGTGGCTATAGCTTCCTTCTCGCTAAACATCGGTTGACACCGTCCACCCCCGACCGAACGATGCGGCCCATATACACCCACCCTGGACCTACGCTACTACCATACTACGTCGAGAAAAAAGCAAAGGGGGAAGAGAGAGAAGAAAATGCCCTCCCTTTTCGGACCGGCTCACCTAGACGTGATGGCGGTCGTGCTCTTCTCCTCACGCTGTGCTCCAATTCTCCAACTCTGGACGATGTCTTTGCGATGTGCGAGAGTGTTGACAAACCCCCTCGGTGCCCTTTCCCCGGATTCCGCCCCACTGTCCTCCGATTCGGCCCTCCGAGCTCTTCGAGAAAGATTCTTGGCGGACTGTACAAGCGACCAAGGCAATTCACTCATTCCCCCTTTTCAGGTCCACTCTTGCCGATAATTCCCTGCTTAAGACCGCACCCTATGACTCCACTGCCGGCCACTTCCCATAGACCCTAATTGCATTGCAAAGTACTAAGTACGGGGTAGAACGACACCCAATATCAAGCTCGTCTATCCTCCCCACAACCCAACCGTGGCCTCGGCCCACCCTATCGGTCATGTACCTGCATCCAGTCGTCTCTGAGCGCCTTCTCCGCATTCCATATTGCCTAGCACCGTCTTCTGGACCTGAAGCCTCGACACATGGCCAATTAATCCCATTTGACGTCGGCTCTCTTCCCGGCCAAAGCAGAGACACCAGCTCTATCTCGCAAGGCACATGTTCTCGCCCCTCCTCTTCTTCCCTCACCCCTCCCACTTCAGGCCTACTCGCGGGCAAGGCAGTTTGCGGTAAACCCCGCTGTCCTCTTTGTTTCTAATTAGCCAGTAGCGCTAAAAGGGGGCAAACGAAAAATGCTCCGAATATCGACGACACCGGCTGTGTGTCCTGCTCTCCGGATGCCTGAACACCTCCCCCACCCCCGGGTCCCCTCTTTCCCATTCTTGCCCGTTCGGCTCATCATAGCCGCCATGTGGTAAGCCAACCACTCTCCAAAATGTACCCATCCCTTTCGTGTCTTTGAAGAAGTTGATAAGCCCTCTGTGCCCTCCTCCTTCCCCTTGCCTCCGAGAATCTCCGTCCCCTACGTCCTCCCTCAGCTTCCTCACTCTCCGGACGGACACCTCGCCGAGTGTTTACTAACCATCAACAGTCCGTGCAACAAACAACAGTGAGTCCAGTCACTCCAGGAGGACATCATGCAGCTTTCTCGAGCCATCGCTGCCGCAGCTGTTGCGGCAGCCTCTTTCTGTAGGTAACCCCTTTACAACACTTGTGCTCTTCCAACACCAAGTCCGTTTTCAAAGCTTGCGCCATGGCTATACCCTAGACTAATCCACCGTCCATCATAGCCACCGGCGCTGTCGCTGAGAACGACCGGGCTGCGCGCAGCCTCAGGTCCGCTCGCCGTGCTGCCGCTCAGCAGGCCGCTCCCGTCTGGCCCAGCCCCAGAAACTGGGACTACAAGGATGAGCCCCGATGGGACGCAGGCTCCACCGATCAGTCGGCTGCTGCCCGACAGAGGCGCCGCCCCCAGATGCCCGAGGAGCCCGAGACGCCCGTCGAGACAGTAGCCCCGCCCAAGGAGGAGGAAGAGCCTGAGGAGCCCGTCAAGACTTCGCCTCCCGAGGAGACCGCTGCCCCCGAGGAGACCGCTGCTCCCGAGGAGACTGCTGCCCCCGAGGAGCCCACCGACCCCGAGGAGGAGAACCCCCAACGACCCTGATGCCACCGAGTGCACTCCGGTCGGCGAGGATGAGGTCTTCGACTACGTCGTTATCGGTGGTGGAGCCGGTGGTATTCCCGTCGCCGAGCGCCTCGTCCAGGCCGGCCACAAGGTCCTCCTTCTTGAAAAGGGCCCTGCCTCCACCGCCCGCTGGGGTGGTAACCTGAAGCCTGACTGGCTCGAGGGCGAGGACCTCACCCGATTCGACGTTCCAGGTCTCTGCAACCAGATTTGGCACGACTCTACCGGCATTGTCTGCAGTGACATGGACCAGTTTGCCGGATGCATCCTCGGTGGAGGTACCGCTATCAACGCCGGTCTCTGGTGGAAGGTAAGAAAACGAGCGCTTTCTTTTTGTTCTCTCTTCCTCTCTCGTCCCCTAGCACCTGTGCAAAAGCTAACCAAACCCCAATTCACAGCCGCATCCCCTCGATTGGGATGACAACTTCCCAGAGGGCTGGAAGGCCTCTGATGTGGAGTCTGCTACCAACCGCGTCTTCACCCGCATCCCCGGTACCACCCACCCGTCTATGGATGGCTACCTCTACCAGGACGAGGGCTTCAATGTCCTCGCCGACGGTCTTGCCAACTCCGGCTGGGAGCGTCTCGACACCCCCAACGCCCACCCTGACAAGAAGAACCACACCTTCGGTCACACCACTTTCATGTTCTCGAATGGTGAGCGTGGCGGTCCCCTCGCCACCTACCTCGTCACTGCTAGCCGCAACCCCAACTTCTCCCTCTGGACCAACACGGCGGCCAGGCGTCTCATCCGCGACGGTGACCGCGTCACCGGCATCGAGCTCGAGTGCAACGGCGCCACTGGCCGCTCTGGCACCATCAAGGTCGCTGACACCGGCCGCGTCATTCTCTCCGCCGGTACTTTCGGTACCCCAAGATTCTGTTCAGGAGCGGTATCGGCCCCCGCGACCAGCTCACCATTGTCCAGAGGTCTGCCTTGGATGGCGAGTCCATGGTCGCCGAGGAGCAGTGGCTCGAGCTCCCCGTTGGTGAGAACTTGATTGACCATCTTAACACCGATGTTGTCGTCGAGCACCCCAACGTTTACCAGTACAACTACACCGCCGCCTGGGCCACCCCCGACGAGAACGACGTCGCCTTGTATCTCCGCGACCGCTCCGGAATCCTCGCTGCTGCTGCCCCCAACATTGGCCCCATGATCTGGGACGAGGTTGAGCTCAGCGACGGCTCTACCCGCCAGCTCCAGTGGACTTGCCGCATGGAAGGCAGCTTGGACTACTTTGGCAACCGTAAGTGCACTATAGTGATACCTAGACATCTAAACCCCCTTCCTAGCCCCAGTTGCTAACCGCATTCCCTCGCTGCTTCTAGACACCATCACCATGAGCATGTACCTTGGCCGAGGTGTTGTCTCCCGTGGTCGCATGGGTCTTACCCCCGCGCTTACCTCCAGGGTCATCAGCCTTCCTTATCTCAAGAACGGCACCAACGATCTCGAGGCTCTCGCCAAGGGTCTTGACAACATCCGAAACTCCCTTGCCGATGTCCCAGACCTGACCTTCCTCTCTCCTGCCGATAACATCACCACTGACCAGTACCTCGAGGACGTAAGTTTGCTCTTCCCTTTTGAACGTGGTGATTTCAAAGAAACATCTGCTGACAATAGTACTCGTAGTACGTCGTCAACGTCGGCCGTCGCTCCAACCACTGGATGGGTACCGCCAAGATGGGCACTGATGATGGTCGTGAGGAGGACGGCACTGCCGTCGTTGATGCCGACACCAAGGTTTATGGTGTTGACAACCTCTTCATTGTTGACGCCTCCATCTTCCCTGGTATGGTCACTGGCAACCCATCTGCCATGATCGTCATCGTTGCTGAGCGCGCTGCCGAGAGGATTCTCGCTCTCGAGCTCCCCGCCGCTGAGGCTCCCGAGGAGGAGGAGGAGGCTCCCGAGGAGGAGGCCCCTGAGGAGGAAGCCCCCGAGGAGGAGGCTCCTGCCGATGAAGAGTAGATGTGACTATCTCTCATCATACCCCAAGTCCGGAAACATGTCGTGATAGTGCACTATCCTCTCAGCCTCGGTTCTTTTTTCCTTTTCTTATTGATTGCCAAGTTCACGACTCTCACCCCACCCCCAACCCTTTTTTTTTTCTTCTGTCCCATTTTCACTAAAACCCACGACAAAAGACAATCAGCGCCTCGTTGTACCGAATTGGTTTTCTGTATATATAGCATCCCGCAGAACACCATTCCCAGATCACTGTACATAATTTTTCTGAATGATAGGAGGCTTGCAGAGACACGTAATTGTTCCGAGAAAAACAGAAAAACAAAAACAAAAGATGGCCAAGTTCATTGCTGAAGTGACGGTTGTGAAGGTTCCTCGCACCGGATTTACGCTACGGAAGGGCTAGAGGGAATTTTTCGTAAAGAAACTGGTAATCTTCTTGCTGCCCTCCTCGGCCTGACTCTTCTTAGAGGGACTGGCCTTTGAATTGCTCGTTGCACTAATCTTTGGTTTTCTTGGTGATTCTGTAACGGCGACCTTTGCTGGTGGGGTTACCGACGGGGAAGCTGGAGAGGCGCCTCTTTTGGCAGCGGTAGCCTCGAGATCCTTTGGAGCCACAATCTCAGTAGCTACGTCTTGTGTCTCTGTCTTGACTTGCGTGGCATCCTTCTTCTCTGAAGGCTTGGAAAAGAAGTTTGCGATGTTGTTCTTGTTGTCCTTGCTTGCCACCGGGATGATGAAACTAGGGGAATTGTTGCCCACTTTGCCTACCTCCTTGGAGACGGGGTAAATGTCCAGCTCGGTCTGGGACGGCTTGAGCACGTCCTGTAGGTCCCGGGTCCAGGCACAACGCGAGGCGTCGAGCCAGGTACGAAGCTCTGGAGAGGCTGGTTCAAAGATGGCGGGCATGCGGTCGTGGATGAACTTGAGCGCCGGGTTCGAGTCAACGGTGATGATGGTGTAGGTGTACACCTTTTCCCCGGAATCTGCTGCCGCGAATTAGCCCTCTGATGGTAACGCGCCTGCTTGAAAAGCCCGGCGGCATAGCGTGGGTGGCCTTACCCTGGTACGTCACGCAATCCCAAAGGCCCGCAAACAACATGGGCTGTCCGTCCTTTCTCTTGATATAATGAGGGACCTTTTCTTTGGTTCCGACTTTGAGCCACTCGTAGAACCCGTCCGCCAAAACTACACATCGCTTGCGTGTCTTCATGGTCGACCAGAGCCCGCCTGGACGACTGAGAGAGTCGGAACGGCAGTTGATCGTCTTCATTACCGAGGTGTAGCCTGGGTTGCGCTTCGTCCACGAGGGTACGAGGCCCCAGCGCATGCTTTGCAGTTTGTACTTTGAGTAGTCATGGCTGCTCTTGTGCGCTGCGTCGTCCTGTGCGCGGGCAGCGTCCTCCGCGTTGGGGCTCGGTACGCCCATCTCGGCACCGACGTCCACCCAGCTCGGGTCCTCGGGCCCGTCTGCGTCGAGCTCGGTCGTGTCGGCCCGGGACATATCCTCCACTGCACTCTGTACTCCTTGGTTGTCGGCCGGTGAGTCCCCACCCTCTTTTGAGGAACCGCCTGGACGGGCACCCCGATCGGGGACGTCAGGACGGTAAACCATGCCGTTGTAGCTGGGGGCGAAGTTGTACGATTGGCGGGGAGAGCCGTCCGCTTCATCTTCGGGCGCATCCCATACTGGCATGTTCCTCTCCTCTAAATACCTGCGGTACTGAGACGGACGCTATTCACGGAGAAGAGAGCAAGAGGCGTGAGTAGGCAGGCATTTTGGCGTGTGCAGGAAATGGGCAAGGAGCCTCGCTTACCATGGAGAGAACATATCTTCCGCACATTTTGACGAGCTTTTGAATATATGATATGATGGGGATTTCTTTATATATCACGCCGTGTAAGAATTGAGTAGTAGGAGATGGCCTCGGTGGAAATTGAAGAAGCTGGTCGTGAAGAGGCTAGTCGGTAGATTCACATGGTTCAAGGTCGGTGGCAAGCCACAGCTCTGCCTGAAGTGATGCTGACCAGTCACCGAGAGATCGCGCCAATAAACCCAGGCAACATCCTCATTCTCAGCAGCGCAACAAATAAATCCAAGAGCCAGCCTACACGTCCCATTCAACCTTGGGCCTTGAAGCCGATGCTGGAGGTTTTGTCAAGATACCGTTTGATACTGGATGCATAGCACGCTCTAGATAACGAACCACCAGCTAAACTCATGCCATCCCTAACATTGCTATTTCGCACAACTCAAACAACTCTTCTATATAACTTGATTCATCAATGTTTTCGTTTTGCGCTTTCCCCTCGCGATTGAAATCGTCCGATGATCATTGAGCATATGCTCGACGGCGATTCGCATAGCCGGTCCAGAAGGCTGTCATTAAAAGCATTTCCTTGCTCTTACGATGAGGATTCCCGACATGGAAAAACCCTATCTATATAACGATGTACCTCGGTATATATCTATTATCTCTGGGTTTTCGAGATAAACGTGAATGGATCCACGGACGTACTTCTTGCTCTTGTCACTAGATGCCGCATACGTCAATGTGAGCGACCAAGGTCCCAGAGCTCGCAATGCCGCTGGCCTTGGCTTTTCCCCTGTGGTTGTGGGGCCTGCATGATCACCAATTGTCAACATTGAACCGAGTCTTGTTGCCTTCACTTCCTTCCATTTCCATTTCGCTTACGTACTTCACCCACAATATTCGCTGAGGTGCCATCCCATTTTCGGTCGCCGCTATCCAGTGATCAAGGCCATGTGCCGCCCTAATAATAATTTGAGCTCGGGCTAGCCAGACTAAAATACCATTAACGGCCAGCTCAAGCAAAAAGAGCTTGAGCCATTTCATGCTAACACTAGAGGTCTGACGTCGACCAGCCAGTCAAGCTCCAAGGTCCCAACCGAGTCGCTACTAAACAACCCAATGACCTCAGTGTACCTGAATCAGGCTGGCTTTAGAGCTCAACATTCGCATTCGTCTTAAAAGCGCAATTTGTCCGACTGCCTTGCTACTCTCTCTTCTAATATTGAATTTTTCTGCGAAATTCACTTGGTTGTCACCTCCTCACCCGCATCTAGATCATGCTCACCGCCTGCTGAGACGATTGGGTTCTGTCTTGCTTGTTGAGCGCTTTCGCCGTTTGCTTTGACCGTAGTGTGGGGAGGCTCCCCTCGTCTCTTTATTTGCAAGTGTGAGCAGGCAACAGTATTCGCGTTGGCGCGTCTCGCCTGTGCTCGTCTATCACCGCAGTCGCTGCGTGTGTCACAGACGAAAGCACAAATTCTCCGCCCTCCCCGAGCTCCTTGCCCATCAACATGCTCGCGGGCCCTCCACCTCGGGACCCTACACAACATGGCTCACCTGTCGGATAAGAAACCCGAAAAGTCGTACCTCTCCTCTGCGGTCGACTCTATCAATCCTTGGGCCTCGACCCGTGGATCCAACACATCTACTCCCAAGCCGCCCCCAACCCCACCTCCTCCTGCAACCGCACCTCCGCCGCAAGCATCAACAGACCACAGCACCAACCCGCTCTACGGAATCAGCCGAAGAAACTATCCCCGGACTGCCCCCTCTCAAGGTCCTTTGGTTCCATGCCGTAGATGTAAGACTGGCCACGCGCAAGGCCAAGGAACGTTGATCGCTAACCCCCATATGCGACAGGTCCCTAAACGGAAACCATCCTTCTTGACAACGCGCCGCACCAAACCTAACGGGAAGGAAACGACCAAGGCTCAGGCGGCGCCTAAGAAGTTCGTCGCATTTCAGCGTTCAGACTCTAGGGCCATTGAAGAAGCCTATCAAGGGCTACTCGAAGAGCAAGAGAATGGCTCTGACGGGTTGTCCGACCTTGGACGACAGCTTGTTATCCCCTCAGACCCCAAGCTGTCGAGGGACGAAAAGGGGCCGAGGACCGCGGGGGACTCTGCATCCACTCATGTGCCGGTGAACGAAGACTTCCTATTCGACGTAGATGTTCTCCAGCGAGAGCTAGCTCCGGTGTACTGGTTAGGCCCCGTTTATGAGGTCCGCCGCGGGACCTGGTTCTATCAAGAGGGTTCAACCCTTCGCCCTTGCGATGAAAATCTAGCCGCGCAGCTTGAGGAAGGTTACCTGAAAACAAAACCCTGGTTGGTACCCGCGGTGCCTGTCACGGCGCCTCCGGAGCTAGGCGAGGCTCCCGAGGCACGCGATCCCCAGGTCAAGGATGCCGTATCGAAAGGCTATGCCTTTACCGAACTCCCTACTTCCGGGGCGAAGACATCCGCTCCCGTACCAACCCCTCAACTCCCCTCGTACCGGCTCTTTGGCTCTTACATGAACAGCGTCGCCACGTTCCAAGACGAGAACACTGCTTGGCTCTCTTCAGATGGAATCTTGTCCTGGGTGACGTCCACTGTGTACCAGCGCTTTGCCGGCGGTGGGTATATGAGCGGCGTGAAGCTGGTGCGTGGGTACTCGGAGCCTGGAAAGGCCAAGGACGGGCCGAAACGGCCAAGCACGCCAACGGATAAGGGCACTCTTGAGCCCATGGACGAAAAGCAGCAAAAGGCGCTGAAACGAAAGTCGGCCCCGCCGTCAACCAGGGCGCCAGTGGAAGCCGAGGTCCCCGGCCTCGAAGCCCCTCCCACCAGCAAGCCTCTACAATTTTTGGCAAGAATGGAGACAGGTTAGAAGAGGAGATTCGTCTCCGCCAGGAACAAGAGATCAGGGATGATTACAACACCGAATACGAAGATACCCAGGGAAGAGATATAGAACACTTGATTCTCGTGACTCATGGCATCGGCCAACTCCTGAGCCTCCGGTGCGTTGACTTTGGGAATACCCACTCTCGCTGGGGTATAACCACCCTACAGAAACATACGTGCTGACCATTCTGTTAGGCTCGAGAGCATGAATTTTATTCACGACGTCAACGTTATGAGAAAAGCGATGAAATCCGTCTATACAAGTTCAGCCGATCTCAAGTCTCTCAATAGAGAATCCGAAGAGAAGATGGGTAACTGCAGGGTCCAAGTGTTGCCCATTTGCTGGCGACATCGTCTAGATTTTCCCAAGCAGCGAGACACGCGGCAGGAAAAGGATATCGGTGATACTAACAGCGACGATGATATGTGTAAGTGTGATCACCGTGCTTTTTACCTCGCAAACCGTGAAAAAATGCGTTGGGGTGTGGTGAATGCTGTGGCTAACCACCTTTCTCTTCCCATATCCAGACCCTAGTCTCGAAGACATCACCATTGAAGGTGTCGCATTCGCTAGGTCCATTGTCTCGGATCTCGCTCTTGACATTCTTCTTTACCAAAGCGGCTATCGAGAACAAATCATGACGATTGTTCTGCAGGAGGCCAACCGGATCTACAATCTCTTCAAGCAGCGAAACCCAGATTTCCGCGGCAAGGTCCATCTCATGGGGCACTCTCTCGGCTCCGCGATCCTCTTCGATCTCCTTTGCCGGCAAAAGACAAGGAGCACCGCCCCGAGCGCAGGTCTTTGAGTATATGGCCAAGCGCCCAATCAACGGCAAAGCCGGAGCGAGACCCATCGGACTTATCCTTTGACTTTGATACCGAAGACTTTTACTGTTTAGGGTCGCCCATCGGCCTATTTCAAATGCTGAAAGGACGGTACGTAACCCCCTCTCCATACTTATATATCGAATACTCGTGCCAAGCTCATGCTCGTGCGTGCATCTTGCCTTTATGCTAACACCATGTCATCCTTTCTCAGAACGGTAGCAGCACGCGGCCCCTCCAATGCAAGGGCCTCACAAAGCCCTCTCGATCCGGACGCCATCGAGAACCCTTTTAGTGCCCACGAAAACATGCCAATCTCCTCCGTCACTGGGCTGCCGTTTTCCGTCTCGTCGCCCCGTCTTTCACAATTGTTCAATGTTTTCCACCCATCCGATCCTATTAGCTACCGCGTCGAGCCTTTGATAGCGCCCGCAATGTCAACACTCAAACCCCAGATTCTACCGTACACAAAGAAAGGCATTTTCGGTAGCGTAGCCCAGCAAGGGCTCTCTGGAATCAGTGCCAAGGTTGGACAAAGCGTGAGCGGTCTCTGGACCAGCTTAAGCGCAGGGGTCACCTCGAGCATTTTGAACCGAAGTCTCGGCTTGAGCAGCGAAGAGGTTTCGCGATTGTCAGACGAGTCATCGGCCCAGCAAGACGGCAAGGCAAGCCAAGGCACGTCAACAGATGCGGCGAGCTCTTTGATTTCCGATACGTCTATCCTCGGAAAACGGACAGATCAGAGAAAACTAGAGCTAGCCGATCCATCCATGACGGCTGGCCGCACTAGCACCAGCGGCAACGACATCACTTTAATCGACTACGATCTAGAGACTCTCTACTCAAAGTTTGAAAAGGCACGGGCAGCGGCTGATGGTCCGCTCGCGAGAGAGGGTCTCGATAAGAAAGCTCGGAAAATTCAGCTGGACGAAGCCAAGATTAGGGCTCTTAACCGCAATGGCCGTGTGGATTATAGCATCCAAGAGTAAGTCAGATCTCCCCTTGTCAAGGAAAAGTACCATGGTTTGCTGACATATTCTCTTCTTTCCAGGAGCGTTTTGGACTACAATCCCATCAACACCATTGCATCTCACATGAGCTACTGGGGCGATGAGGACGTGAACCATTTCGTCCTCTCCCAGCTACTGTCCAGCAAAGCTAGGAACGACTCTCGATAGGGCTCATCGCGGTACATGGGTCGCGTGATCCCCTACCACTGCTGTCGTCAGGCATCTGTAACATAGCTCCTTTTGAGTTTTGAAAAGAATATACGGGAGAACTTTTTTGTTTCTTCTACTTTTATTATTTCGGAAAAGCTTCGTAGGAGATCTGAGGCCTAGGGTCTCAGGATACCTGCCTGCACGAGTTGCAGGAAGATTGGCGACTCTCGCGCAAGCGCCTCAGGGATGTTTCCATTGACGTCCTGAAGAGCCCTGATGTCTTGATTAGGGAGGATACTCCCAAACGGCCCAAGCCTAACGACTGAGCGAGTGCCCTAGACGCATCAGGGAAGGTGGCATCCGGCAGGGTCGTCGAGACCCAGAGAAGCAGCCAGACAAAGTCTTCTTTACCAGCCTCGACGGCCAGATGCAAGGCGGTCTTGGAGTCCGCGAGCGGGTCTTGGTACCGAATGAGGCGTCCCAGAGCTTCTTCCGCATTGCCAGCCTCCTCTTCACTTACGGTGCGCAACAGGTCGACGGCACCCTCCACGTCACCCTCCGCGGCCATGATGTGCAGCGCACGGGCGGGGCGGGCTTCCGGGTTACTCTCCAGATAGGCCTCTTCTCGGAGGACGGGGAAAATGTCAAGATCCTGCTCGACGCCGCCCTCGCTCGCGTACGTGGTCAGGATGAGAGGGCTGTCTGTGGCGGCGCTGGCGCTCGAGCCTGCCGAGGGGGCGAGGGGGAGCCGCATCCCGGGCACTGGAGGAGGACACGACGTCCACGGCGCGATCTAGCAAGCATTGCCTACATGGCTTTTGGTCAGCGCGAGTACCCGACGCGCCGTGCTAGAGGCGGGGTCGGATTTCGGGGTTTGGGGGTGGGGAAACGGTACCAGTGAAAGTGGCAGGCGCACGGTAGGCAGAGGTCGTCGGGCACGGAAGCTTGAGGGGCGGATGAGGAGCCTTCGTCGTCGGAATCGACGACGGACATGAGCAGGGGCTCGTCACAAGCTTTGCAGGTAGCCATCGTTTTCAGAGAAAGCACAGAAGATTGCAGACCAAGAGAGAAAAAAATTCTTAGACACGGAAGCTAGTCGTACCTAAGCTGGTAAAGTTTGATTCAACACAAGGATACGAATAAAAGCTTGAGCAACTTGAAATATTTTGATCCAGGTGGGAAAAAGAAAGAAAGAGTGACCCCGAATAAAATGTTGTTACTATTAAGCGTTACGTAGAATATCACAAGGACTGTGGATCGAGTAGCCAAACCACTTTTTTCTGTTCTCTTTTTTTCTTCTCCTCTTCCCGACCTTGAGCCTATCACCATCCGTCCGTTTGCTGGAACAGGGCTAAGATTGACGACCTACAGATGTCATTGGCGGTCAACATTGGTACTAGCTGCGCATCACATCTACCCAACCGATGCCAGCTGCTTCGCCGTCCTCCGAATGGATCAAATCTTCCCAACCAAACTCGCTCCAGCACCTGATGCCTTCACATTTGGATTTGGTGGCATGTTGGATCTGGGAAGCGAAAGCAAACGCATCCGGAAAGGGGGCGGTGTCTCTAAAGAATGAAATAAGTGCAGGGTTTGCGATTTAAACTAGCTTTGACCATCCTGGTATAGCACACGCTTAAATTTGCCCTTGGAGCCCCATTTGTAGGCAGCAAGATATCGGAGCATGAAACTGGGCAGAATTGGGGATCGGTCCGCCCACTTAACCTTTAGGCGCTCACGACAACCGAAACCCCCGTCGCCGCTATGTAACCGAGCCAAGCGGAGCTGACGCAATGTCGAGTGGCTGATGATCCTTCTTCGTCAAGCTCCATGCTAAGGCTGACAACAAGTAAATAAAGAAGGAAAAAAAGAGCATAACAGGAGACGTCCTCATCGGGCTTGCCGAGCACGTTGAGCCCACCTCAATGGGTGCCAGTTTCAACGAAGGCGAATAAGAGCTGCTTCCATGCATGCAGCCATAGGTCTGGATTTATCTCCTCCTTTCGAAAGCTGCGTTACCATGTTAGCTTCGAGGCAAGATTACATCACACCTTTCAGGGGTCGTCTTTGATCTTCGCATCCAGCTGGGGCCAGCCAGTTGCTGTTCTTGATAACCCTCCCTGGTCGCAAAGGAGCCAGATGGATCTCTGTTCTGAACGTGACCGTGGCTGCAATTACGCAAAACATAATTGGCCATATGGCATCGATGACGCTCTACTCACTCACTGCTACCTTTTATTCGACGAGTTGGCTAGGTTGATTGAATATCGGCATAGATGGGGGCTGTGGAAGAAGATTCTAGCCAGTAGGTCTGTCTTGGTGGAGAGCTCCGAGCCCAAGGCAAGGCCGTCCCGGGCTTAGAGACGTGGCACTCTATCAGCAACACAGCCTGCTAAGCAACAATGTAAAGTTTGGGGAATCGGCTACATTAGCCAGCTCGAGAAACCGATGAGCGAGTTCCTGCCCGTCCATTGGGGCTGTTGCCGAGCGTAGATCTTGGAGAAACCCTTAGCCATAGCAGGAAAATGCAGAACCGGCTTTTTCGATTCGCTCGAGCCCAAGGCACCCGAAGTTGCAAAGAAGGCGAGAGTGCGCGCGCGCACGGCGTAGTCTAGAGATTGCCATGTGTTCCGCGCCCCGGGAGCCGCAAAAGCATGGCATTGACACGCACGACGCCGTCCACGCCGCATACATGTATACTTGAGGCGACCAAGACGTAATCTTGCGGCTCGGCAAGGGAAATCTCGACATTTTCGTTGATTTCTATTTTATTTTATCGATTCCAACATCCTTATGGATGGGTAGCGCATTTGTTAGCTGCGCGAGGCAAGCTCAGGGAGGGGCCCCGGGCCTTTGTCCGCTAAACTCCTGCCTAGGAAAGGGGCTGTCAATCCCTGATCTTCGGCGGCACTTTCGCGGCCTCAACATTTGAAGTAGATTTAATTCAGGTGCCTGATGCAGCCGAGGCGAGGGAAGAATGATATTTAATCCGCCGGCCCTTCAAAGGCAGGGCATTCTTTGTCTCCCCTTCCTGCCCGCCAGCCAACCTGAGCTTATGTATTGTATTCTTTCTACTGCTATTCTGAATCCGCGTGAATCCGCGTATTATTACCCCGCCACACTTCAAACCGCCCACCCTCCCTCGGGTCCCAACTAGTGAGCCCCATCCCGCCGCGCCCCAGCTGCAGTCTACACTATTCTTCCAAGTACAGCAAAAGTACAGGAGAGGAGAGAGGCCCAAAGTACAAAGTACATCCTCCGCCTCAAGGGCAAGCGTAGCTCGTTTTAAACACTCATCATTACTCAGAAGTTCTCTGCAATTCCTTCCGGTGCCGCCGCATTCGTCACACCAAAATCCGTCCCACTTTCCAAGTCTCACAACCAACGTCACCACGGTTGCGACAAGTTTGAACAGCGCCAGAGTCCTTTCCCCCTTTCCATCTTACCTTCAGAGCACTTTCCCTATCGACGACGCTTGAAATCGTCAGCTAGCTTTTCCATATTCTATTCCCCAATTTTGTATTGTCCCCCTATCCTAGCTATCCTGAGCACCCAAGTGCTGTTGCCGGATCGCGACGCAAACCCCGCCATAGCTTCAATCACGACAATCATTGAGCCACTACCACAATGAACGTCCTCAAGCTCCAAAGGTGTGCCTACGCCAACCATCAGCAGCTCAGTCTTTAAAATCATGGACAAGGGCGCGTCTTTACTAATGCAGTCAATAACAGGAAGTTCCCCCAGTTTCAGCAGAACGAAATCTTTTCCCTATCCGATGCCTTTCGCCGGCTAGACGTAGACGACAAGGGCTACCTTGATGAAGCCACCGCGATCAAGGCAACTCAACAAAGCGAGCGACAGCCATACGATGTTGTTCGGCAGGCTCTGAAAGAGGTTGAGCTCGATTCTTCCCGACGAGTCGAACTCGAAGATTATGTAGGGGTATGTGTAGGATGGTAGAAAAAAATGCCTGACTTTCCCACCAGTGTGCCCCGCATCATGCGACAGAGATCCATGCTAACCCAGACGACCCTTGGTTTTCACCCCACTATAGCTCATCGCGAATCTCCGCGACTCCTCCCCGCCCAGAAACGCCTCTCCACTGGGCCTCCCCCATATCTCCAGCTGGAATTGTTGCCGATCGCACCGGTGGCCATTCTCGCAAGGTGAGCTCCGGAGCAAGCGCTGGCGTCGGCGGCGGCAAGATCCAGGTGCAGGGTTCCAACTCCAACATCACCCATACCATCAACGAAGATGAGCGCACCGAATTTACGAGGCACATCAACGCCGTCCTTGCCGGCGATGCAGATATTGGCCACAGGCTTCCCTTCCCCACTGACACTTTCGAGATGTTTGACGAATGCAAGGACGGCCTTGTGCTTGCCAAGCTGATCAATGACAGCGTCCCTGACACCATTGATGAGCGAGTACTCAACGTTGCCGGTAGGAAGACCAAGACTCTCAACGCTTTCCACATGACAGAAAACAACAATATTGTCATTGAGTCTGCCAAAGGTATCGGATGCTCTGTAGTGAACATTGGCAGTGGAGACATTATCGAAGTGAGGGAGCATCTCATTCTTGGTCTTATTTGGCAAATCATCCGCCGCGGTCTCCTCGGCAAGATTGATATCAAACTCCATCCTGAGCTATACCGCTTGCTGGAGGAGGACGAGACCCTCGAGCAATTCCTCCGCCTCCCCAGAGCAGATTCTGCTACGATGGTTCAATTACCATTTGAAGGCAGCCGGATGGCCCAGACGGTATGGAAGATTCAGACGCATCGTCCTGCAACATATGCCTAACAATACTAACCATTTTAACTCTTCTAGCGTTTCCAACTTCTCGACTGACGTCAAGGACGGCGAGAACTACACGGTACTCCTTGCCCAAATAGGTGCCGAGTACGGTTGCAACCGGGATCCCCTCCAAGACCGAGACCTTCACCAACGCGCCGAACACGTTCTTCAGAATGCGGATAAGCTCGGATGCCGCAAGTTCTTGACTCCGAAATCATTGGTTGCGGGCAACCCCAAGCTCAACCTTGCATTCGTAGCCAACTTATTCAACACCCACCCCGCCCTCGACCCCATCACGGAAGAAGAGAAGCTCGAGGTGGAGGACTTCGATGCCGAGGGCGAACGAGAGGCAAGAGTGTTCACTCTGTGGCTCAACAGTCTCGATGTACAGCCTGCTGTGCAATCCTTCTTCGACGATCTCCGCGATGGCACAATTCTTCTGCAGGCTTACGACAAGGTCATCAAGGGATCCGTGAACTGGCGCCACGTTAACAAATCCCCGCTCACGGGGGTCAGTTGATGAAGTTCAAGGCGGTCGAGAACACCAACTACGCAATCGAGCTAGGCAAACAAAATGGCTTCTCTCTAGTTGGTATCCAAGGAGCTGATATCACTGATGGGCAGAAAACCTTGACTCTCGGACTGGTATGGCAGCTTATGCGCAAAGACATCACACTAACACTGTCCGCCTTGGCGCAACGCCTCGGAAAACGAGAGATTACCGATGCAGAGATGGTTCGATGGGCCAACGACATGTCGCGCAAGGGTGGAAGGAACTCTTCTATTCGCTCTTTCAAGGACTCTTCTATCGGCTCTGGTGTTTTCCTCCTCGATGTGCTCAACGGAATGAAGAGCAGCTACGTTGATTACGACCTCGTGACCCCGGACACACTCCTGATGACGCCTACCTCAACGCCAAGCTCAGTATCAGTATCGCGAGAAAGCTGGGTGCAACCATCTGGCTTGTTCCTGAAGATATCTGCCAAATTCGTAGCCGTCTTGTGACAACATTCATCGGTACGTAAAAGGGTTATGCAAGCCGGCTCATCTTTCCCCCTTCATCTCCGCCCCGCCCTTTGTGAAGGAAAATGACTAATTGATGATATCTACTAGGCTCTCTGATGGCAACGTACGATAAGATGTAAGCGGAAAATACCATGAGGGTGCAAGGGAAATGCAACAGGAGCGGTCAGAACGCAGGGAGGGCATTTGAATGATCTTTAGAAAAGTTTACATTGTTAGTATGGAGGCACTTTTTTCATGGGTGGTTGGTTGTTCGCGCCTTTACCAAGTTTCTTCCTTTTCCAATTAGCGTTTGTGTGATGTTCAAACCTCCCGAGTCAAAACTCCTTCATCGTGACATGTCGCGTGAGAAATTCATCTAATTCTCGTATGTACATACAGTCTTGGACTAAAACTATAATACATGTGCAAACTTGAGGAAGCCTAGTGAGATAGATTACTCTCGTGGCCCTCTTGAAGATATCTATGTGGCTAAAGTACGAGGTATAAGCTACAGAGAAGGCTCGGGCCAGTGAAAAGCCCAAACCAGAAAACAACGTTTCCAAGGGTCTTCCGGTTTCTCAGCCATCGCGTGCGACTTAGTCGAACCAACTAATTCAGCGCGTAACTGTATTAGCAAGCGCCACAGAATCCCCGTGTTTGTGAAAAGAGCAATGCAGGGCAGGGGGTTGGCCTACTGGTAATTGGCACATTTGCAGAATGAGAAGGTAGCCGCGCAGCTTCTTGAAGATGCACCACATGATCATCTCGTGTATGCATGCGGATAAGAAGAACGTTATGAGAGTAGCTGTGTGTTTATCGATTTTGAGGGAGGAAATGGATGAGTGGTACACGTGCCGAAGGAGGAAGTTGTGCACAGGTCTACGAAACTAGTTAGCCGGGCAGATCAAGCAGTCTCTTGAATGTAGGGTCGTCCACACGTACTTGTTCCAATCTCTAGCAAACTGGTCCCAGGATACTGTTCAAGAAGCGTCAGCACCCCGTAACCTTGAACTACATGTAGCCGTCTCTCCTCGATCGACGTAGTTCGATACATGTATACGGGCAGCAGACTTACCGCAGTTCCACCAGGCGTCGTAAAAGTTTCGATCGGCGAACCGCGTCAACTCTGCGAGCGTGTTCAGGATAGTTTCCCAGATGAGGTACCAGGTGAGCTGTGAAATCGAGAGAGAAGGCTGTTTAGTGCCAAGTCTTTTGATCTGCCGGGCGCGCTGAGAAACTTACAAGGTATTCCATCATAAAAGGAAATATCAAGTCGCTTAGCATCCAAGGGAATTCCTGGAGGCGTTGGCCGAGGGGCATTCCGGCCTCCTTCATCGCGATTGCTTTGACTACTACCGGAACTAGCGAGAGAGAGAGTCCAATGTTAGAAAAATATCTTATGAGCGCTTATATTATTGGCGACTCTTCGCTTACAGATGAACGTCTGGGACAACATATTCATGACAAAGAGGACCCCGACGAGAGCTGCTAGTTTCTCAAAGACGTAATTCCACCGTATAGTATCGGAGCGCGGATATTCAAGCTCGTAAACGATGATGGGGAAAAGTAGGTACTCAAACATGTTGAACAGAGTAAGGTTGTTTGGATAAGCCCTCTCCGGGGCTGTGGTATTCCTGACAATCTCTTTGGTTAACTGGTCGAACTCGTCTTGCAAGGCGATCTTGTACGTGGCAACCTTGGCCGGTCCAAGCGGCGTAGAAGAATTGACGTCCGATATGATGTCCTCTACTGGGACGTCTTCCGCGAGCGAGGTATCGGAAACGAATCCCCGATGGGCGTTCGCGATTCGAGCCACGGGGCTGCCACCCTGCGGGCCGGATGACGTTGAGAAAGACGTGGAGTGGCCGCCCGTCCAGGATTTGCTATCAACTGCATAGCCTTCGAGTTTTGCTAACGTCGCTCGGAGAACTTCTCGCTGCTTGAACACGGTAGACAGGTGGCCGTTGTAAAAAGCGTAGGAATGTTGCTTCATGAGGAGAACTAGGCCGTGAAGGACGAAGAATACGTTATGCGACCAGGGCCAGTCCTTTGTAATCGTCAACCCGACGACGCCTCCGATAAATGCGGTTTGCCACACCTTGAATGGAGGGGACAGCTTTAGTTAGTACACTTCAGATGGAGGGGAGATGGTGCCTTGGTGGTTTCCAACGGCTGGCGCTCACGTTTTGAAGAATCCAGCCAGTGCTATCCCAATCCAGATAGTCGAGGATTATGAGTTTCTGCAACAACCAAGTCACATAGGCGAGAGAGCACATGGCACCATCGAAAACTAAGAGACCCAAAACTATTCACGGATAGATATCAATACCTGCTTGCTCGCTGCACGGTAGTGGGTTGACAAAACATGGCGTGGGCAAGGGTGGCTAGTAGACGTACCATCGCCATTGAACATGTTTCTCATAATCTCATTTGTCCCTAAAGGGTTTCCATACGTTCTCCAATTGTTCGCCGCGGTCTTGAGCATAAACAGGGAGACGGCTAGCCAAAACAGAGTATAGAAGCCGTAAAATGGACTGTTGGCCGCCGCCTCATTTTGAGGGTCGAACGTGGAAAAGTTGCGAGTAAAGACGATATCTTGGAATTTGCCCTTGGCCCGGAGCCCGAACTTTTTCCCACGGCGGTCTTTCTCACCTCGGGGTCGTGGAAGAATCGGTGTAGGATATGGACACCCGATGCCCATTATCCGTCCCGGACGAATCCTCTTCCGCGTGAATATAAAGGATAGCCTCATGTTCGCCATCGGTTTCTGATGTGCTGCCCGTGCTCGGGGGGATATCGTCTTGTCACCCTCAGTTAGGTCCATGGGGCATTTGGTCCACGGGACAGCTTCATTCAAGCGTGCTTGGACCTCTCATATATGGAAGACTTGAATTCCTGATGTATTCGGAATAGTGGTCGCACACGATAACGATGGCAGTCAATTGATAAAACACGAAATCGTATTATGTCTAGGCGAATGCGGAATTGAAGGGTGTTAAAAAGCATGGCAAATGCCTGACCATGCGCCTTTATATTGGTTGAGAAGACCTCCCAATCACACACATCCACCCACCGAAGCCTCCGAGGATACGGATATGATGGAAGCATCAAGTCCTCTATTCATCCATTCACCGTGTTGTTCCTGGATTTGCCTCGGACAGTGGTTGGTCACTAGCGTGCCAGCCTCCTTGCCACCTACTTCGTACATTCCGTGGGATCCATGGATGGATTGAAAATAATACAGACTGGTGATGCCCATCCTTCGACGTCACCAGCAGACGCCAAGAAGGCCCAGTCGGAAGACCCGGGCGAGCCGGGAGCCTGGCGCGGATGCGGATTGGAGAGAACCACCGCCGCCAATGGCTGATTTCGTGACTTGATGTGAGGCGAAAGTTCCCTTTATTAGCCCAAAGACCACCACCAAGTGGCAAGTGAGTGTGGGGTGGAAGCCTCTGCCTGGAAGCTCTACCCAGTACTAGCGCTGATGCAGTGCACAGTGCATAGCATTGAAAATCACGTGCCATGCATCTGTGTCGTGCTTGCCATCATTGATTCTGAATGCGAAAGAGCCTAGAAACGAAGAATGGTTTGTGATGAATAGGCCGTGTCGGATCGAGGCCCCTGGACCCACTCGTCTCTAGTGTCGGCCCAGAGCAGCGAGCTCAATGGTCTGGGGTGCTTGCTTACATAATGGCATCCGCATCAGCATTATTTTCGCTTTGTTCCAAGATAAAACTTTCCTTGCGTTTCCAATACCAATCCTGCCTCCCCATTTCAAAATCCAGGAACGACATCCGTCGTCATCTTTCCATCTCATCTATCTCCTTTTTCGTTATCCCTGCCTTAGCTGCAGACCTGCGCTTTTTTTTCCGTTCCTTTTAGAAGGATAACTCTTGTCAGCTTACTTACACTAATAGGCACGGACCGCCAAAGCGCTCCGTCTTCCCAACAGTGAGTGAGCTCATCTGGGGAGCGACAGCTTTTTCTCGCCTTGCAACACAAACAACAAGCCTAGCAACGACAACGGCCGCCATCATGTCCCGCGGCGGCACCACTCTTTACGTGACAGGCTTCAGCCACGGTACACGCGCCCGTGATCTCGCCCACGAATTCGAACGGTATGTTATCCGCGCGCCGACACCTCCATCGTGACGGCGAACCATAAACACACTTCCCTTCCGATGTGTCGAGTTTCCATTCCTCCTCCCCCTCGTTCTTTCGGCCTCGTGCTCGCGCACGTCAACGCCCATCAGCCTGTCCGCCTCCGCCATCGCAACCGCCCTCCCTGCGTTTCCACCCCATCCTTAAAGCCCGCCCCCTCGTGAACCCCCTTCGTTTTCGTCCTCGCCCTCGTCCTCGCCCTCGTCGTCGTCGTTGTCCGTCGGTCCTTCGTCGTCGAGCTCGGGGCTTGTGCCATTGCTTGCGGAAACCAGCGCGCCGAGCACTTGCGACCCCTCCCGCCCTCCCCCTTTGCGCTCTTGCGCTGTACCTACGGCGATCTATCCTCTACCGTTCGGCGACGCAACATGAAGCAATCAATTGGTTTGCCACCATGCTCTAGAGAAAAAAATGCGCTGACATTCACCAACCAGGTACGGGCGTCTTGTCCGTTGTGACATCCCCGCTCCCCGCTCAGCGTCTAGCCGACTGTAAGTGTTTCTCCAGGATCGACGCATCAGGCCTGGACCCAATTTGCCGCCTTTCGCGAATTCTGAATTCTATAGCTAACCGAGACATCGTTTAGCTTTGCGTTTGTGGAGTATGAGGATCGTCGCGATGCTGATGATGCCTACCATGAGATGCACAACAAGCGCATCGGCCGTGATGACATGCTAAAGATCGAGGTATGTGTTGTTGCTGATACAAGCGCGCGACGCGCATAATCTCAACAAGTTTACTGACACTCACGTCAACAGTGGGCCCGTACTCCTCCATCGGCGTCTTGGCGATTTGACTCTGGTCGCGATCGTGAGCGCAACCCTCGCCGGTCTCCCCGTCGTGGTCGGTCCCCCTCGCCTCGCCGCAGCACGCGCGAATACTCCCCTCGCAAGGATGATCGACGTGACCGCGACCGGGACTATGACCGCGAACGACGTGATCGCGATCGTGACCGAAGCCGCAGCCCAGACACTCGGTATGTTGTATTTGTAACCGTATCGCCTGGATGGTTGCCAGGGCCCTGAAGCCTTTTACTAACGAGACTTGCGAATCAACAGGGACCGGGAAACCAAGGATGATAGGGATGACCGGGACCGCCGTGAAAATGGTGCTAACGGCGATGAACGCAAACGTAAGTAATTCCGAACCTGAGGTTGCGGCTGATCCCGCAACGGGATTCCACGCACCCTCGTCACTGTCCCCCCTTTTGTTTCCCTTTTTTTTTTTTTTTTTCTTCCTGTTCCTATTTCCTTTCGTTGTTGTATTTGCTCGAGTTACTAATTCTCTTTCTTTCCCATCATATAGCCCTTGACAGCCCTCCCCACGATGATCTTGATGTCGCTGAGTAGAGCGGTGCGTCTTTCCGTGTGCCACTGGCTAACCCCCAGATTTTAATGGGGACTTGCTCTCTCCTACTACGTGACTTGGTAACATGTGTGATGGCCACCCCAATATCTATTGAACCCTTTTTTCTCTTTTTCTACGTCTCTGGGATGACCATATTGTTTTGTGCCGATGGGGCATCTTCCTTTCGTTCTCAATAGTTTCATTTCCATCTCATTTTACGCCTTGCCGATATGAGGTCATGTCGATTCCTGGGCTGAGGACAAAATGAAACAGAGGAGCAGAGGTATCAGAGAAGGATCACAGTTATCTGATTCTCAAAGTTCTGGGCGGTATGAACCCAACCAAAAAGTATTCTAGTGCGTTTGCATTCTATTTCGGGCTCTGCGGCGTGCAGGGATATGTGGCGTAGGTAGTTCATATAGACAAATTGAAATTCAGCACCTCGACCATGATGATGGGTCCGTGATAATTATGCTGGCACAATGGGGGACTATGAGTTGCTCCATATGTGGAGGCTTGGGAGGCACTCCGACGTGTTTCAATGTTGTGAGGCTTTGTTGGTGTCTCTGGTCCCAGTGATCAGGCGGTGTCGTGCAAGTTTCAGCACTGGGGTAATGACGTAGTCCGTTGGCTGGGCCGCGAGTTGGAGTTGCCGGTTGCACTTGCACTTGCACCCACACCGCCCTCAGACCATCTCAAGCTGGAGTTGATGGAGTATTACCCCTGGCGCACTGTGGGGACCTTCAGCTCTCTCTCACCCCTCACCCATGCCATTCAGGACCGTATGTGCGTATGTGATGTGCACAACGAAGTGTACATGTAGGTATTGTTATTACGCCCGCTCCTACTTCAGACTCGGTCTGCCATCCAATACTAGTGCTCGCCTTGTTCATTCTTTTCCTCAAGGCGCGAAGGTCCGGGAATTTCACAGAAGGGCTCCTTGCATCCCGAGGCTCTTGCGAGGGCTACACCTGAGCCATGGACAAAACTTGAGGCGGCCTATGTTATGCTTTTTGCTTCTTTTTGCTTTTTTTTTTCTCTTCTCGTAGTCTACCCTCTCCGGATGTCTGAGCCAACACGATCTCTAGCCGCATCTTGACTCACCACACCAATGTAACGGAGGGGTAAATGGAGGGTGGAAGATGGTTTGGAATTTCCCGCCTGTTCGTCTCTCTAAGAACACCAGTGTTTGCGCGCGAGTAAGCGCGTCTTGGTGCTGGTTGTTTGGGTGCTCCCATCCGTCCCGGAGGCGCCCGTTGGCGTTATTGATCCTAGCGGGTTCAGATGACAGGATTAAGTGACCTTTCAAGGAATTCGGAGAATAGCCTGGCCTAAATCATTGAGTGATAGGCCAGCCCTCGAGGCTTGAGCCTGCCTGACTTGAGATGGCAAAAATGGGAGGGGAACATGTGAGGTTGAGATCGGGCGACCAAAGTGATCAAGTGATGAATCTAGCTCATCTTGAGGCTGGCTTGGCTTCACCGAAAATTGACCGCTATTTTGTTAAAATAAAGGTGCACGCCTGCACGCCTGCACGCCTGCACGCCAGTTTCCCCATCGGTGTTGGGTGGAGGAAATGATAACATCCTCAATGGACTAGCTTGGATTATCCTCGGCTTCATCGCTGGTCGTCGTTGGCGATAGGCCTATTTCCACACTACGGGATTTTCCGTTGTCTCTTTTGCGGAACCCCTTGCTCTCGGGTTCGAAACGCTGGCCGTATTCCCCGTCCACGCGGAAGAAATTGGGGCTATTGAACGAAACCGATCCTCGTCTTTTTGTGGGGTGGAAACAAAGCCGTCCCAGATCTCGACTTACCCTTCGGTCGTCAATCGCATTTCGCTGGTTTGTTGGTCTCTTCGGCTTTAACGACACGAACCTCTCCACCCTCTCTTTCTCTTTCTAATCTTTTGGACCCTTTTCTTTTTTTTTTTTTTTCCCTCCTGAGCACTGGCGTGGCAAATCACACACTGGCTAGCGTTTCGGCACCTGTTGGAAGAGTCCACTGACACACAACCAGTGGTCCCTGCTTTTCTATTCTTTTTTCTCCTTTTTCTTTTTCTTTTTTTCCCCCGGTTCCTTTTATTGCCCTCTCACAAGACGGCTCCATCCGCGCTAAGCTGGCAGTGTCTGTCTGTCGCCCCTCTGCTCGGACGGACAACATTGAATTTTAAGTGGACGCAGCAGACTCACATCCTTCCACCCGCGAACGCCGGTGCCCACCACCACGAACCCTCCGCCAGCCTCACATAGAATATAGGGGCTTCACCTACATCGATACCTTTGACTGGCTTCACCCATTTTCCGACCCATTGCTACCATCGATCGCGACGAGATCCCTTTCCACGGTCAAGGTTTTCAAGTTTTTTTGCCGAGGGCTCCCAATCCCATTGCCTTACACTGTGCCGCGATCCCTCCCGACGACAAGCGCGACTCCTTGCCTCCCGTCTGCCGACTTCAACTTCGTCTTTGCGACCGCCCCAGTCCCCCTTTTCTCCCTTCCTCTCCCGCCTTTTGCCCCCAACCGATGGGCGGCGTCTGCCAACTATAGCCCGGGGCGCCGCCTAGAACTTCTTTGACCTCTCCGCTCTTCCGCCCTTGCTAGACCGCATCTTGATCCTTCTCGACATGCCTAACCTGGGCTTCAACGGAGAACGACGATAACGCATCCCCCTCCCCCACGGCATCCCCTACGAAAACGTGATACTCCCCTCGCTCGCCGATATACGCCTACTCGTCTTAGGCCAAGAAACCGTTTCGGTATCCCATTGACACGCTTGGCATCAACCAACACAATCTCGTCCCGCCGGGGAGTCTTGTCTATCCGTAGATTGTTGCCCCTCTCTCAACTCGAGGCTGGTATAAAGAAGAAAAAAAGAAGAAAAAAGTTTTGGATATTCTCTAGAGGGCATTGCCTCGCCGCGCGGCTCCGACAATGACGACGATTGTAAGTTGTCCTTGAAGAGGTGCCCTTACACCGTAGGACTAGGCGGCGGTTCTCTAGCTAGGGAGAAAAGTCCGTTGGTTCTAGAACTAATTGTCGCTATATAGCCCCAGAAGGACCAACTTGAGCGCAAGGCTACGCCCAATGCCCGCATATTCTACCTTCGGGATACCGTGTCACAGCCTGTCGTAGCCGCCTTTTGCGCAGGCGGTGTTGCAGGCGCCGTCTCCCGAACAGTGGTGTCCCCTTGGAACGACTAAAGATTCTATTCCAAGTCCAGAGTGTTGGTCGTGATGCCTATAAGCTCTCCGTAGGCCAGGCGCTGGCCAAAATGTGGAGGAAGAAGGTTGGCGAGGCTTCATGCGCGGAAACGGAACCAACTGCATCCGTATCGTTCCGTATTCCGCCGTTCAGTTTGGGAGCTACAATTTCTATAGACGAGTGCGTGCAGTGAACTTTCCTTTCCCCCCTTCCTCCCTCTCTTGCCGCGCTTCCTCGTCAGGCCCCGACCTCACGGTAGTCTAGTACTAACGGCTGGTCCTAGAATTTCTTCGAGCCCTACGCTGGGGAGAGCTGACCTCCCTCTTGAGGCTCACTTGCGGTGGACTTGCCGGCATCACCTCTGTCGTATTTACCTATCCTCTCGATATCGTCCGTACGCGCCTGTCTATTCAGTCCGCCTCCTTCGCCGAGTTAGGCGATCGCCCTAAGCAGCTTCCCGGTATGTGGGCGACTCTTATCCACATGTACAAGACAGAAGGCGGCCTCGGCGCTCTGTATCGTGGAATGATACCTACCGTTGCCGGCGTTGCACCCTATGTACGTTTTCGTCGCTTCACCCATCCCTACGTATTTGCCGAGACCAAGGCTTAAGCTGACTGAGGACCTGTGCATAGGTTGGCCTCAACTTCATGGTATACGAAGTAGTTCGCCAGTATCTAACACCAGAGGGAGAACAAAACCCCAGCGCCGTGAGAAAGCTGCTTGCCGGCGCTATCTCAGGCGCAGTCGCTCAGACCTGCACATATCCCTTGTAAGTTCGAAGCCGTCTTGTTTCTTTTTAATCTTCCCCCTCGTTCTTCAGCTTTTGAAATGTGCACAAGAAACAGTGCTGATTAGCTTCTGAAACAGCGACGTGTTGCGGAGGAGGTTCCAGATCAACACGATGTCCGGAATGGGCTACCAGTACAAGTCCATTGGGGACGCTATCAGGGTCATCGTCGCGCAAGAGGGCCTCGTTGGTCTTTACAAGGGCATCGTCCCTAACCTATTGAAGGTTGCGCCAAGTATGGCTTCAAGCTGGCTCAGCTTCGAAATGTGCCGCGACTACTTAGTAGCGCTGAAGCCACTCGAAGAGGATGCGATATAGACGGGGAACGGCAACGCCATGAGCATGGGGAAGAAGAAGAAGTCAAAAAGTAAAGGATAAGATAGGGAGTAAAGTTAAGAAGGATACACCATTCACAATGTTGGATAAACAGGACAAGCGGGGCCTATCTATGAGGTCAGCATTCCCTAATAGAACCTGCAAGGACGCAAGGTCGGCATATACAGCAAGGAGGAGCATCCTGTCGGTCAAGTATATCATAACCGCAGCATTTGTTTATAGCTATAGAGTCGAAGATTTCTTTTATCGACATTTCACTACATAAGAGGAGCGGTCCGGTCCGAAGAAGAAACCCTGGGTGTTTAAGTGCATATAGACGGGTATCACGTCCTTCCCGCATCTCTAAATAAAATATCAATGAATGTATGCAGTGGAGTCGTGGCATGCTCATCTTCAATTTCGAGTCAGCTGGTTTCAGAAGCTGAAGACCGTGACCTTGAGAAGGCGTGAAGCAACGTGCGATTGTTGCTGACATAAACAGGAAAAAAGCCCACTCCCACTTTGGCACCAGGAATTTCCAAGGAAACAAATGCCCTAATTTGCAAAGCACGGGCCACCCACCACGATCAATTCACCATGGCCCTTTAGTTTTTTCTTTCCCTCCACTCCGCCCTGCGATACCCAACCCTCAACACCAACCACGACAACCGCCAAACCGCCACCCATCGACTCTTCCGGATTTTGACAGAGAGTCACCGTCACGATGGGTACGTAAGGAGATCTATCTTGGAAGCCTTCTGTATGCAAGTGGCAGGAGAAACACTTTTGGCATTGATGTCAATCTTGTTTCCCCTCGCTGCGAAGCAGGCGCCGCCGGAACGCTCTGCGTGAACACTCGTCGAGAAAGAACCATTTTTAGCGACTCGACCTGACCCGCTCGACGGCCATCTTTCATGATGACCCTCGAAGGGGCGGTTGGTCCGGTTCCGATTTGAGAAATCCGCATCGTTCCAGGTTTTGGCTGCCGCAAATGAGCATGCTCGAACGCCGAGGCTGACCAACTTTTTTTCCCATTTAGCTATCGATCTCGACAGGCACCATGTGCGCGGCACCCACCGCACTGCTCCCAAGAGCGACAACGTCTACCTGAAGCTTCTCGTTAAGCTTTACAGGTTCCTTGTCCGTAAGTTGAACCCGTCCCGCCATCTGACTGCACAGTCGGCATTATGCCGGACTACGAGTTGTCGCTATCGAACGGAGGCAAGAGCATGAGACCCCTAGTGAAATGTGCTGACAGCAAAAATTTTCCACTCTTCTTTGTGTATAGGCCGTACCGACTCCAACTTCAACAAGGTTGTCCTCCGCAGACTGTTTATGTCCCGCATCAACCGCCCTCCCGTCTCTCTCTCTCGCATCTCCGCGAACGTCCAGAAGGGTGAGAAGCGCACTGTCGTCATTGTTGGCACCGTCACCGACGACAACCGCCTCTTCGAGGTCCCCAACGTCAACGTTGCGGCCCTCCGCTTCACCGCCACTGCCCGTGCCCGCATCATCGCTGCCGGTGGCAAGGCCCTCACCCTCGACCAGCTCGCCCTCCAGGCCCCCACTGGTTCCAACACCCTCCTCCTCCGTGGACCCAAGAACGCCCGTGAGGCCGTCAAGCACTTCGGTCACGGTCCCCACAAGAACAAGGTAGGTTTCGACATGGAAGGCCATCGTGGAAGACGGGGTGCGTTGTTTGCTAACATGGTTCTCTTTTTCCCCTTTTACAGAAGCCCTACATCGAGTCCAAGGGCCGCAAGTTCGAGCGTGCTCGTGGCCGCAGGCGATCCAGGGGTTTCAAGGTCTAAGCTATTGGCCTTGTGGGTGTATCAGTGGATGGTTTTCATGTCGTTTTTCTTGCCCCGATCCGGTCCTATGCCGGGCGGGCCGTTCTCTTTGCCGTATGGATTTGGCATGACCGAGGCGTAAATAGGCATGATGAGGTAAAAACTGATGATGGCTGTTTCAAAATAAAACGAGGAAAATTATCAAGATTAAAAAACTTATATCCCGACGTTCGTCTATACGTCTATGACATTTTTCTTTCGGCGTAATGCTACAAAGTATGCTTCTCTCGATTCCTATTTTTGTCTCGTGAGCGTCAAAGGCACAAATTTACTAAAGTCCCTCGCACCGTACATGGCTGGAGTCACTTTACCTTGCGTGATGAGTCGGGCTTTTCACGGTAGACCTTGTCGAATAGTCTCCTGAGCCGCTTCTCGAACTCCTTATCTTCGGAGCCCTGGTAGAACTTGCAGACAAAATGCCCTCCGTTCCTTAACGTGTCGCTCGCAAATCGAAGCGCCGCGCCGCACAGGTCCTGCATTCCATTGAATAAGATGATGAAAAGCATTTTATGAGGGGGTAGGTCTGCGTGTGACTTACCATGCTGCCGGCATGGTCGCGGAATGCGATACCGCTCGTGTTCATCATCCTATGGAACGCATTATTCACTCCACTCTTCCGAAAGTCTGTAGGGAGGAGCCAGGGTGCTGACATGTCGCTCAGAACGATCTGCAAAGGTTAGCTTTTCCTCTCGGCACTAATATGAGGATCAAAACGCCAGTGGGAGGTTGTTTGGAGGGAGAGGCAGCGATACAAACGGGAAGGGTTGATTGGGGCGCCAAAGGTTGGGGCAACAGTGCCGACACTTACATCTACGACTCGATCGGTCTCAGGCATCGCAACATCCTCCACGTCCCTCATCGCCAACCTCTCCATATCGAGGTAACTGCGCTCCTCTTCCAAGGCCTCGACATGCTCGTGCTCGGCAACGAACCCCTCCTCGCCCTCCGCCGGACCCGCCGGCGAGGGGTTTCCTCTGCTCGGCCGCCTCCTGCTTGCGGGCGGCCCGACGGCGCAGGTAGGCCTCCCGCACCGAGTCTCGGACGACGGCCTGCACGCCGGGGAAAGAAAGTTGCCCTGGATCGAAGAGACGCCGCGGGGAGGCTGGGCGGGTAGGAGGTCGATGCCGAGGACGTGGTTGTGGGGCTTGGTTCGCTCGTGGGCGACCTGGGACCAGCTGCCGGGAGCGAAGCCCTGTTTTTGTGTATCCCCCGAGAAGAGAGGGTGCGTTAGTTTCCGTTTACCATGTTTCGACCTTTGCATGTAGAGATTGCTGAGGGGGAATGGTCTCTGGCGACGGTCCTTTTAGGTAAGAGGGAGTAGTAAACGACGAACGAAGACTTACCAAGTCCACCACGATTTGTCCCTTCTTGAATAACCTATATTTCACATCCATCTGCATCGTCATCCCGTCAGCGCACGCACAAGAGATAGAGATAGCAGCCTTCTTAATAAAATATATGAAGTCAAAAGAAAACAGTAAGAAGTAACAAAAACCATCGCGGGGTGGTGAAAAGCGCGTGCACCATACCTCGAGGAGCTTGAACGCAGCCCGGCTCTTCAGGCCCTGCACCTTGGCTTCCCGCGCATACGGGTCCTTGCCCTGCCGGCTCTTCCACCGCGAAGACGCGGAGGAGGAAGAAGCGCGCCCGAATGCGGCGGGACACGTCGACGGCGCTAGGGCCAAGTCGTCCCTACGCCACGGGGAACCGGTGATGCCGCCGGCCAAGGGCGCGGCCCGGGGTCTGGTAGGAACGCGCAACACCTCGATACCGGCGCCGCGAGCGCTAGGTTTCCGCGCCTCATGACGAGACGCTCCGGGCGCCCCGGAAAAAAACAAGGAAGAACGGCGGGAGAGAACTCTAGCAGGCGATGGGCTGAGCGGCCGCGCGGATGAATGTCCGCATCAAGCTGGGCGCGTGGCGAAAGCGAGGGGCGATTGTGAAAAGTCGTCGACGGTGGAAAGGTTGGCAAAAACAGCGACCAAGTTCAAGAATCACTTTGCAAAGCTTGCCAGACGGATCGCTGTCAGTTTAATAAAGCCAAAAGTTGCGAATTGAGGCTTGAAGTTTTTTTCTTGGGAGGAGCTCAGACATGAAAATGGGAGGAATTAATTTTAGAGCTCAGATCAGAGCTCTTCGCCCACAGTTCATGCTCATACATCACCACACAGTGTGAGTGCCTCAGCTTACACCTTCACATTGGGGAAGAGTGATGGAACATAGAACAGGCCGATTTATACGTCGTGGATTTAAAACAAACGCGACAAGAGAAGAATATGTGTGAAAGAAGATGCAATTAATAGATTTATATGCGCCGCGCCCAACCCTTGACCGTTAATCCTACAATGAGCACAGTACTAAAACACCAAAAAACGCCAACCCAATGTCATGATACAGAAAGAGACGGGCACGCTAGAGAGACGATGCGGTTTATGCAAGGAAGCTGGCCTGAACACCTCTTCTATCCCGCTTAAGGGGAGAAAAGGTCTTTCCAGCAAAGGCATTCTGCTTCGCGCCCAGCGTCACGCCCGCTTTGCCTAAAGCCCTCTTAGCGACGGGGGCTTTCGGGGGTGGCTTCGCGGCCTCACCATCCTCATCGTCAAAGAGGGTTTTGTTGGGTCCGCCAAGCAGCTTGCGCTTCTTCTTCTTCGGTTCAGGCTCTGATCAATCAAGGTTTCGGTACTCTGAACAGACTTGAGCTTACGCGCAAGAACAGTCTCCCTGGACTCGCCCACGACCTTCTCCGCCACAGCTTGGGCGGGCTCCGCCGGTGCCGCGGCTGGCTCTGGCTCTGGCTCGGGGCCGGTTGGTCGTCTTCACCCTCCTCGGGCTCCTCGACTACCTTTTCCAAGACAAAGTCGACTTTGGCGGTCTTGGTCTTTTCATCTAACCTCTTCAAAGACTTGAGCGCCTTTGAATTCTTTGCGTCCGCAATCTCTCCCAAAATCTTTCGCGGGCGGCCTCTCGGCTTAGCCGCCGGGTTGGTGGGGATGGCTCGTGCAGGGACCTCGCTCTTGCTGGTGGCAAGCTGGATGGGGGCGATGGTGCTTATCGACTTGGCGTCGGAAGAGTTGTGGCTTGGCTCATCATCGTCAAACGATTCGCTGCTATCGTTCTCAAGCATTTTGGTGCGGTTAAGGAAGGGTGTAATGGAGAAGGTGGATTTCTCGCCGACATTAGCAAGAGCAATGTCCAACCCTCTCTTCTTCTGCACCTTCTTAGTTTTCTGATCGGCAGCTCCGGGTGTCTGAATCGTCATCTCTGTCGTAGCCTCCTCGACGCGCCTCTTCTCGGATCGCTTGCGTGCTATGGGCAAGGATATAGTGCCCTCCGGGACCTCAACTAACGAAGAGGTGGAGGTCCTGCTCTCACTGAGCTCGGACTGGCATTTCTTGAGTTCTTCCCTTGTGTCACGGAGCTTCAACTTCATGGTCTCGAGTCTTTGCTCAAGAACCTCTTGCTGAGCTACAGCCTCAGAGAGAGCACGTTCACCCTCTTTCCTGACGCGCTCCTTGTCCTTCTTCTCCGCTGTTAGCTTCGCCTCCAGGTCCTCGATTCTCGCGTGAAGTTCGTTCATTTGTTCTTGGTCTTCCCGTTGCCTTGAGCGTTGTTTTGACCTTTTCTCTGCCTCGAGTTCCACTTCAATAGAGTTTAGTTGGCGTTCTAGAGCGAGCTTCTCAGCCAGGATCGACTGTTGATGCGAGAGCTGCGACTTGAGATGGTCCATTTCGGGTCGTAGCGCGTTCAACTCGCGCGACAATGTCAGCTTCTCGGTGAGAAGCTTGGCAGAATCACTAGAAACAGATTGCAGAGATTGCAGCTCCGTCTTATTGATCTAATCAGCACATGTAAACCCAGCAAAGGAGTCGATGAGGGAGCAGAGGTTCGACAAGATCCGGTTGTAGTCCTCTCTCAATTAATAAATTGAGAAACGCAGTGGGTGGGCATACCTGGAGATGAGCAAAGTCCCTCGCCTGGGCTTTGAACTGGCCATCCTGCTTGCGCATGGCTTCTTTGGTCGCGTCTAGCTCGCCCTGGAGTGTGTGGTATTTGGCAGCCAAGCTTTTCATCGTCTCTTCCTTTGCAGCCAACTGATCTTCAGCAGCAGACTTTTGATCTCCAAGTATTAATAACTGGAGTTTGAGCCTCCGGGATTCTTCGTCCCGCGAGATTATGGTCGTTTTGTGAATCGCGTCTTGATGCTTGATCTCGAGATCGTGGATCCGGTTAGATCTCCTCTGTTTACGAGTTAGAATGCGAGCCAGTTGAAGCCTTTATCAGGCCCATTATAGGCCAAGAAACTTGCCGTTGAAGAGTCCATGGTCATATTTGTGGATGTGGAACGTGTGTTTTGAGAGGTGACGGAACCTGTGAGGGTACAATCCGACGCGTGTTGGATTGAGAGCGAGAGCCAAATCGCTCAAGAGGCAGACTATCGTGAGCCAGTAAAAGAATTCGAGATTAAGGGAAAACTGGGAGAATGGGCGAAAGTATTCTCGGGATCTTGAACCTGGATTTGAGCGAGTTCCAGATGATGGGGGAGAGGGGCGTGGAGTGAAGGAAAGATGGATGGTGGATAGTTGGTTGGCTTGGTTCCGTGTGATGGGTCAAAATACAGGCGAGGGGATAAAGGTAAACAGACTTCCAGAAATGGACTAGCGCACACAGTGGAACTGGGACTCTCCTGTCTGGAGTTTTTAGCGTGAGTTTCGTGGGATCGGATAATATTCGGCTCATGCTCCACGTAATCGTCCACTGTCATGTACCCTTGTACCCCTCCTACGGCCCTGCCAGGCAGAGAACCAAACGCAAGTAGCTTACCCAATCCTCCCCCAAACCGGAAAAGGCCACCTCGTTGCTTCATGCTCCGCAAGAACTGCTTGAGAGAGAAAGAGAGCTCGCAGCCGCCTTGCCAACAGTACCGCACCCGAACGAATGGGTGGCTTTTCTAGGAGGGCAAAGTGAGATTTTGAACCACCATCTCACCTCCGTCAATAAATTGCAGTCCTGTAGGTGTCGACTCCAAGCCAATTGACTGGGATTGGAAGAATGGATGGATGATGCTGCTCACTGTGAGCTGGGCCTGCAACAACGTACGCTAACGCACTTCTAGAACACCTACCCTTTGTTTCAAACTCCCTTCCAAACCACTGCATCTCAAGACGAACCGACCTCGAGCTCTTCGATTAAACCTAGGAGACAACAATAGACGACGAAAAAAAAAATACATCACCATGCGCTTCGCCAAGGGCTTCTTGTCGGCGGCGCTCCTCGTTGCGGGAGCGCTAGCCGCGAAGAAGTCGTCTGAGGAACGCTTCAACGATTTCCAAGCCAAGCAGCTGGTCTCTACGCCCGTGAAGCTCTCCGATGTGACATACCAGTCTCTCACCACCGCTCCCCGCGATTACAGTGTCACGGTTCTCCTGACTGCCATGGACGCGCGGTACGGGTGTCAGCTCTGCCGTGACTTCCAACCGGAATGGGAACTGCTCGCCAAGAGCTGGGTCAAGGGAGATAAGAAGGCCGAATCACGCATGGCGTTCGCGACTCTCGACTTTGCAAACGGCAGAGATACCTTCCTCTCGGTAGGCTACCTCCCCTCTTCCGTTTCCTCCCCGGGCCATCCGACGGCCGCGCCGCCCACCTCCCTTCCCCTACCTAGGCTTGCTAACGAAATTGTCTAGCTTGGTCTGCAAACCGCACCAGTGCTCCTTCACTTCCGACCTACGAGTGGGCCCCATGCGGTCGCCGCCCCTGAACCCGTTCGATATGACTTTACCAGCGGGTATGTAGACGCATCATCCAAACCCTGCGGGATTATCAGGGCCGTTGCTAACCATGGCCGTGCCACAGACCCCCAAAGCCGAACAGGTTCGTTCCTGGCTGGTCCGCCATACTCCTGACCGCCCCCACCCCGAAATCTCGAGACCGATCAACTGGGTTCGTTGGATTGTCAGCGTGACCGCTGTGCTGGGCATCGTGACGTTTGCCGTTACCGCCGCTCCCTACATCTTGCCTGTGTTCCAGAACCGCAACATCTGGGCCGCGATCAGCATCATTACTATCCTTCTCTTTACCAGCGGACACATGTTTAACCATATCCGAGGTGTCCCATACCTCGGACAAGATAACCGCGGAGGTGTAGTCTATTTCACGGGAGGCTTCCAGTCCCAGGTCGGCATTGAAACTCAGCTTGTGGCTACCATGTGTAAGTTTTTTTCTTTGTATTCCACCTTCCTTTCTTCCTGGTTTTTGTCTCCTTTCCTTCTCTTCGCTTCGTGTTGAAGATCGCGAAGACCCACCAATTCACTAACATGGCCGTATAGACGGAATGATGGCATTCTGCGCCATCTCCCTGGCCGCCAAGGTCCCTAGAATGGACAATCCTCGTGCCCAGCAGGTAGCTGTCATCATCTGGGGAGGTATCCTACTACTCACGTCGAGCTTCTTCCTCAACATTTTCCGAATCAAGAATGCCGGCTACCCGTTTTCCCTCCCACCTTTCATGTAAAGTCAAAGGTGTCCTGGAAGGCCAGCACGAAAGCTTGCCCGTTTCCCTTTCATTTTTATTTTTGTCTTTGCCTCCTCTCTCGGAGGAGAGAGGTTGATCCGACTCCTTCGAGCAGGGAGCTACTGTTTTCATTACATACGCGTCTTCACTAAGGGCAATGTGTCGAGGTTGAGATCAAGGTCGAGGCTGGATTCAGTTGATTGAGCGGGGAGTGCGCATCGCTGTACATTAAAAACGAGAAGTATGAAGGTAGATGGTAGAATGAAAAAGTCAAACACGATAGAATTCAAACGTACTCTAGCCGCAGTACATGGAAGTGCCAGTCGTCTGCTCAGCCTACCAAGCACACTTCAGCAGTCGCGAGAATCGCGATAGTCGTTGTGGTTCACTGGCGCGAGAAAGGGCGAGAAGGCAACAGAAAAATAGGATTCAATCCAACTTTGAATGCGGAGAGCGAGTACGAGCTCGTCCCTTTGCTCTCCGCGCGAAGTTCAAGGTTACCGTAGAAGTGAGAATAAAGAACGAGAGCCAAATGATAGCCAGTTGCTCCGTTAATCCGTGCAGCAGCAAGGACAACAACGGATTCCGTGCTCCTAGGCCGTCCTCGATGCGATGATTAAAATGAACAGAGGAAAAGCTGACCTACTGTCCTCATGATGCCATGATGCCACACGCCACCATTCGCCAAGGCTATGCCAGCGGGGCATTTTGGTCTGTTTGTTTTTTTTTCATTTGAAGAGAGGCAGAGACAGATAGAGCGGAGGCAATACTGCTGGATATTGAAGGAGCGCGATGCTGAGTCTCGCAGGACTGGATCCGTCGTCATCTGATGACACTCGCTTCCGAATTACCAACATTAGCCCTTCCCTCCCGCCCCAGCCCACCACGGTTGCCCGAAACTGGGTTTCGCATTGCACCTTCATCTATCCCACGTCCTCCCTTGCCCATAAAGTCATAAAGTGAGGCTCAGCAGACCACGGCCTCTCGCGAACCTCAGGTGAGTCGCGAGTTGCGTGTAAAAGGCCAATATCAGATGGCGTCTACGAAACCCGAAAACTGAAAAGGAAAAAAAAAAAAGAAAAAAGGAAAAGGAAAAAGGAAAAAGAGACCCTTGACTTCCCGAATATTGACGGCTAGCCCAGCCTGAGCTTTTGGAGATCCTTTCCACGTCATGGGGTCGCCCCTCCTATCTCTATTCCTCTATTTCTCCATCTGTCGAGCTCTCGTTTTCTCCACCTTTGCGTGATGCGGTTTAAGGAATCATTTAACGCTTGTGGATTTCCATTGAACTCCCCGTTAGGTACCCCGGGCCGGACACTCGCTTGTAAAGGCATCTTTGCCACTGGGTGAAGATTACATGTAGAGGCATGACAATATGTATGTGATTTCGACGTCCAGGAGGCGAAGGACGATGCGGGGAAGACGGCGGGGAATCATCTCCGTGACGATGGAGTGCTAGGGTAGCTATAACTGGAGATATCTAGAGTAGGGACCCGGAGATGGTATCGCCCATGTTGGCTAACTTTAGAGTAACATTCCTAGAGAGGATCGCCATCAGGGAACTCTTAGTCCCAGGATGGGGCGAGGATGGGAGACTCTTTCTCTAGTCTTCCACCAGTCAAGTGAACATGAGCGAGGCCTATTCAAGTTTCCAAAGTGCTGCGTGCAACACTCTGACGTCTCGAAGAAAGCCGAGATCCCCTCATCCCTTGGCATACCAGACATAAGGTTGGTGTGCAAAAGAGCCGAGGGCTCGCTCTCATGCACGCACTACGTACTGCGATTTTGATTCGGGAGCAAGAAGCATTCCCAAGACCTGGTTTCGATCAAACGACAACCTTCTCCTTGCTCATCTTCTTCAAACCCCCAGTCCGGAATGAGCGTCCAGGATGACAGGAGTCTCTGATTTCAACCGGGTCGGGATGCAACTCCATGGAGGGTAACCGGAGGTCAAGTCCAAGGCCGATCGTCATCACGGTCGGTGGTGCGCACGCCTTTTTCGAGAGTTTGTGGCTGCAATATAGTTCTGGACCAGCTCGGGATGTCCGTCCGAGAATCCCGTCTAAGCCTTCGAGACCGCCAAGGGGCCAAGACGCGGCCACATATGGCAAAGGCTTCCGGCTGTCTCTGCTGCCCATGCCGGGGTCCGTTCCGTGTTAGGTAGGCGTTGGTGAGCCAGAGACCGAGGTGTTGGGTAGGTGGTGTAAGTACATGTAGCGTGGGACGCAGGGGTGGCAAAGCGCACGTCGAGGCAGCGGTGTCAACTGAGGGCGCCAAGGGCCGGCGTAGAATGCACTAAACCCGGGGCTGTAACTTCGCACAGGGGGTCGCTGTCTGACGTTTAGGTTGAGGGGCCGGGCGGTTAACCGTAATGACGCCCATCGTGTCAGCCCATGTTGATGACTTGACATTACGAGGCCCCGTGGGGGTGGGAGGGTCGACCAAATGTTAGAAAGGCAGTATAAGGTAGTATGGACTATTGCGGAGATCCTATCCTCTCCAATATACCAGATACCGTGAAATTCGGATCGGGGAGGGGGCGTGGGGACTTGGGTCCATCTCCGTCGAAGATCTTTCTCTTGTTGGGGCAACATGGAAATTCCAGCTCGAGACATCTTTGGTGCATCTGTGCAGTGATTGTTTAATCCATGAATCGTTGTCGGCTTCGGAGAGTGCATCTGATCGCCTTCAACGTCTCTTTCACACTTGCAATCCACGTCACCTTGCCCCCTTGAGGGGGCCTTGAGGGATGCCACTGGACTGAGAACCGAGAACTGGCATAGGTACGTGCCCTGACTCGAAAAGGTAGGACGGGGATGATGTAACCAGCAAGTGAGGCTCACAACTTCGGTCAAACTGGCGACTACATGTAATCTTTGTGTACCGCACACGCCGCCGTGCTACAGCTCTTTTGCTGCTCTTTGCGTCTTAACCTCCAGCTCTTTCTCTGCCTCTTCTCCCTCCCTAAATTCCCTCACCAATAGATTTATTGTATTAGTGTTGGTAAAGTCGACTTTGAGTTGGTTTCCTCCCTCTAGGACCTCTAGTTGTGTAGGCATTGGCGAAGAAATCCTTGTATCCGGCCTGTCGACCCTCCTCAATCCCCGTCTCGCGCACCGCACCTCCCGCACGACGAAGCCGATCCGCTGATACCTGGAGACGGATGGATGTGATCCCTTGTATGTTGTGGCTTTTTTACCACATGCGCACTATATCAATTGGATCAGCTATATCGCCTCTGTGTCTTCATGCCGGCCCGGCTAATAAAGATTTCCATCCAGCCTTCCATGGCCCGCCCACCCTTGTCCCATTCCCCGCGCCTCCCAACGTGGACGAGATGAACAGCCAGCGAGCCAGATCGGCCAAAGTTCCCCACCTGCACTTTGGGCGCATATGGCGATTTAATCTATTTGCCGTTTCAGAGAAAAGCGAGTCCAACCGACTGGCAAGGGAGAATTAAAATCGGTGGGGATGTCGGGGGACCTTGGTTTTCCACTTTGACGGCGCCCTTGTGTCTTTGACTGTTTTTTTCCTTCTTTTTTCTTTTCCGTGCAGTGATGTATGTACTCTGCGCCTTGCAGTTCCGTCCTTCGTGTTCGCTGCATCAAGCCTCTTCTCTGCGCGAAGAAGAAAAGAAAGTAAAGAAAAAAAAGAGAAGGGGCAGCCGGACCGGACTGAGCTTTTTCTTTTTCTTTTTTTTTTTTCTTTTTCTTTTGACGCCCTCAATTGCTTCATCGTTCCTTCTCCATCCCACACCCCGGAGCATCTCCAACACAGCTGCACCCCAGCCGAGCTCTTCATTTTCCTTTGAGCCAAGTCTGGTTTTCTTCTGGGGCCAATTGGTGTTTGACGTGACCTTGTCCCTCCTTGCCTCCCTCCCCCGTCTCCTCGTGCCTCATTCACTCCACACGAACCTCGACCACCTTTGCGTGTGGCGAGGATGGTGTGGTATGCCATTACTCAATGACTTTACCCCAATAAACACCAGGCACTGAAATTATGGATGAAGGGGAGGGGAAATTTCGAGGAGAAAACCCCGCATTCTGACAGTGGGTGGAGAGGGCCAGAGAGGGTCAGAGAGAGGATATGGGGACGAAGGGATTCTCGGGAAGCGTAAAGTACCAAGACGGCAGAGGAGCTGGGACGCCGTTTTGCAAAGGGGCCGCCTTGATTGTACAAGTAGTCGACTGGCGCAATCCAACGGGTCCAAATCGCAGGATTCCGCCAGACGAGCCTTGTTGAATCACCGTATTTCTGAATGCCGAGATGCGATTGCCCCCTTGGGTGGCGGTCATATCCATCCATACCTTCTACCGTCATATTAAATGACGGCCAAAACGCAGGCGCACACGCACACGCACCGCACCGCAGGCAAATGATATCTATCGTAGGGAGAGCATGGCAGACAGAACGCCGACGCGATCCAGTACCGGCCCCGTGATGCGTTATAGCAACCCTTGGGATATACAGAGGGGAGGGAAAGGAGGGTGCTGTGATCTATGATATTACCGAGTTGTGTTGCCTCCACGTCTGCTATGATCAGACCTCTCGGCCGGTGGAGGAGCGACGCGGCTACTAGCGAGGCGAGCGAGCGAGGACCACAGGCGAGATGGGGCCACGGTTTTCGAGAATGAGATTCCATCCGATGATGAAGGAGGCAAGAAACATCGGCTCCCTGTACTTGGTACCTCGTTTCAAACTTCCCCATTTTGCTTTAGATATCAATGGATGTGGTCGGGTCCTGTTCGCCACGACCACAAAGTGAAAGTGGGCTCGATCCGCCATCAATCCTCGTGTCGTGCACTCCATCTAATAAAGCACCGGAGCTGTCGTCCGCGAGGTCCCTTTGCCTCTCTCTATCTTTGTGCCTGTCTCCCTCTCGTGCATCAAACCCGGGCCAGAAATGGGCATGGCGATCCCTGGATCCGTGCTGTCTAGCCGTGAAAGAAGGCTCGGCGGTGGAGCTCGAGGGGTTCAACGAGGCTGCCTTTGCGACGCAAGCTTCAACTCCTCTTTGTCTCGTAAGAATGAATTCATTGGATGATGAGGACTCGGGATGACTGCGACGGAACGTACGGGCTTGGCCGCCTCAGACGCCACAGCTGCTTGGCACATCACTGTACTCCGTTGCACCTTTAGCCGCTTGTGAAGGAGAAAGATGGTTTCTAGTTCCAGTTGTCTCAAGTCCCTCTTTGGAGCCTTCCTGCTTCATTTCGAATTGATACCGTACCATTCACACGCGGGCGCAAGAGAGAGTCTTCGTTTTGCTGCAAACGGCGCAGGACGGTATTCTACCCCATGGTCATTCATGGTGGTCGGCGGGAGAATGAGCCGCGCTTTCGGCTTTTGCGGTGGTGTCACTTGAACGTTGTTTGTTCTGAGCGACGCTCCATCTTTGCTTCCGTTTTTCTGCTCTCTTCTTTTTCCCCAACCAAAGGTGACCAATCGAAGCTGTCTTTTTCTTTTTCCCTTCCGGCTCGAACAAGTAACGCACGCAGGCGCCGCCCCCTTTCCATTTACCACTATACAGCTCTAATTCCCAGAGTGGCTGCGTGACTTCGGCATCATAGTATCCTCGTATATATGAACTATATATCCTCGGGATTTGCCCTAGCGGGGTGCATGCTCTGCAAGGGTGGCCCGGCCGTACTGGCTTATTTGTGATGCTTGTGGAAGAATATTCAGGGGGAAGAAGGAAGGAAGGAAAGAAGAAAGTGGCCAATTTGGGGAAGTAGCTAATATAGGGAAGAAAGAAAAAAAGAGGAAAGAGGGAACGAAAGGAAAAAAATATTCAAGGGCAGTTGAAGTCGTCGCCCATCCTCCCACTACCTTTTTCTTTTTCTTTTTTGTCTTTCTCTGGTTGAAACAAGACTTTTTAACGTCTACTTGTACTAGTAGATTCATTGAAATCTACAAACGAATTTATCTGGTTCATACTGGGAATACGCCCTTATAGACTATTCAAACGGTACTCGTTTCTTACTCTTAGGTTGCTTTGATGTGGAAGGGGAGGATATGATCTTGTCTTCAAGGCTCGATCCTCCGATGAACACACTTACACGGCATAAACGTACGGGTGCTTAACCACGCCAAGGCATCATCGTATTGATTCTCTCTCCCTACTATTTTTCCCCATCCAATTCCTTCCTAGCGATTCTCTGACCCGTCCTTTCCGATGATAGCGAGGCCACAATCGCACGCGACGGGTGGAAGAAATAACCTCCTCGCCGTCGATCCCAATCCTCATGTGTGAGTGTATGTAGATCCCTCCTCCGCCTCGCGCTCGCTGGGGTTAAGAATCCGCAAGACGACTGTGAGCGAGATGGTGGCAATGGAGACAGACCATCACGCGCAGGGCGGAGTTTTGTTTAGAATTGAGTTGGTATTTTCACAGATTGCTCCATTCTTCTCTGTTACTCTCTCAATCTCTCTCTCCATGACACGGATATTGCCTTCTATCCATCCACACCCACTCGTTCTCGGCCTTTTTCCTCCTGACAAACAAGATGGTTCTGGTTTGCCCCTGCAATGTCGGGCCGTCGGTTTTTGGTTAGCTGAGATCGATTTGCCCAATATCAAGGACCACGCGCCCTCTGGCCCCATCCGTTGCATAGATGTAGCCTTCTCTGGTTAACCGGGTGGTGGAAACCCCACAGCCAGCGCAGCATCTTGAATCGTCGTGGGCATCCATCGATGTATGGAGCCATTGCGGTCCGTCGCTGGCTTCAGTGTTCCTTCCATCACGGTCTCCCACAACCATCGCCAGAACGGCCCCCTCTCTCTCCCAAATCAACTTGTGGGCGGCATCTCCGTCAAATGAAAGCTGGTCGTCCAAACAATCGTGCCCCGCGTTCTTTATTTCCGAGATGGAGGGGTGTGGATTGGCTGCAAAAAGAAATGTATATGCAATATAGGGAGAGATGGGGAGGAAATAAAATCAAAAAGTACCTTGTTTACAATACAGTATAGTACAGTACAGTAATTCCCCCAAAGCCCAAGGGAGTTTTCTGGGAGAGGAAACCCCAAAGGAAAGAGGCAAATTGTGGACGGTTTGCCTTCTGTACGTTCCATGGCAATATGAACGAGGGGGGTCTGTCTAAGTTGGCGGGCTTGTCTGGCTTGTCTGGTCTGGCTCTGGCTCTGGCTCTGGCTCTGGTCTCGCTGTCTGTCTGAAGGACGGAACGGCAGGGCCACTATCGGCGAAAGCCATCAATAACCCCTAGTTCGGAACATCAAGCCCGAGCCATTTCGTGTCAGGCGGCCCTCGCTTCCTGATTGAATTGCCTTGAATTGCCTGTCCAGGACCCGGCCGCACTCCCGGGTGTCATCCCCGCATACCCCATATGTGACCTGCTCTTCCATCCTCCGAATACCCGCCCTGTTTAGATTCCCCCACCACCATCCAACCATTGATCCAGCTCCAAGCCCACACTGTTGCTCACTCTCACCCACTGCCTACCTGCCTGTGTCCACCTACTTACACCCAAACCGTAACCTTGCTGGGCGACATCGTGCCCTTTTTTCCCTGCTCCTCCTCCTCCTCCTCCTCCCCCACACCCCTCCCCCGCCCCGGTGCTTGCAACTGTATACTCCGTCATGCGAACCGGACTGAAGCCTGTGCGCGCGCGTGCGGCAGTGGAGCGGTTCCTGGACTCTGGCTTTGGCCCGATATTGCTCCTAGCACGGCTTTCCCTGGCCCCATCACCCATCCCTTCCCTCCACCCCTTAGTTCCGTATTGAATCTAATCTTTTGCAGCATGCCTGCTCCACACCTAAACAGGGCGGCCCATCCAATGGCTGGCCTCTGCCTCAGCAACCGGTCTTCTTTCTTGCTCGCGGCATGCCCAAATCCCAAATTGGTTGATTAAAATCGCATGACGAGAGTGGTCCAACGGATCGGGTAACGGAAAGAAGACGGACACGGACTGGCCTAGCTTTCGTCCAGACTCTAGGCGGCCTGGTCGAGGTCTGCGTACCGATGCCTGCCTTTGCCCGTCCTCCAACTGTTGCTCTCCCTCCCTCCCCCTGGTCCCTCTCCTCTCCTCTCCCCATCCAACCCTTGGATATAAAGGCTTCCGGTCCCTTCCCGACTCTGCTACTCTCGTTTCCTTCTTCATCCCTCACCTCTCTCACAAGTCAGCTCTTCCAGCTTCTGTCTTCTCTCACTCTTTCTTAGACGCACCCGTCTCTTGTTTGCTTGTAGTAAGACAGACTACCCCAGCCCTCACATCACAATGAAGGTTACCGCTGCCACCCTCGCCCTCGCGGCTGTCGCCGCTGCCGCTCCTTCCCAGACCCTCAAGGAGTCTCCCCGCGCCGTCGCCGCTGAGTGCGCCTCCGCCGTCACCCTTGACGCCAGCACCAACATCTGGAAGGACTACAAGCTCCATGCCAACAACTTCTACCGCTCCGAGATTGAGGAGGCCGTCACCACCATGAGCGACGATGCCCTCGCCGCCCAGGCCCTCAAGGTTGCCGACATCGGTACTTTCGTCTGGGTGTAAGTGTAGCCTTATTTTCTTCTTTTTCTATTGTCTCGGTGAAGAGCCGTTTCTGTGCACCCGCACGCAACAAAGCAAGTCATGCTGACTCAAAACTCCCAAATAGCGACACCCGCTCTGCCATCGAGCGTCTCAAGACCGCCGTTGAGGGTGTTCCTTGCGAAGAGATCCTCGGTGTTGTCATCTACGATCTTCCCGGCCGTGATTGCGCCGCCAAGGCCTCCAACGGTGAGCTGAAGGTTGGCGAGATCGACATCTACAAGAACGACTACATTGACCGTAAGTTCACTCTTTGAGGGTTGGGAATGAAACAAACTCGGGGAAAAAAAGGACTCGCCGCTAACAAAGAAATCCACAGCCATTGTCGAGGTCCTCAAGAGCAAGCCCAACACCGCTTTCGCTCTCGTCATCGAGCCCGATTCGCTCCCCAACTTGATCACCAACATCGATCTCCAGACCTGCCAGGACTCCGCCGACGGATACCGTGACGGTGTTGCTTATGCCCTTAAGCAGCTCAACCTTCCCAACGTCGTCATGTACATGGATGCCGGTCACGGTGGCTGGCTCGGCTGGAACGACAACCTCGACCCCGGTGCGGAGGAGCTTGCCGCCACCTACAAGGCCGCCGGCAGCCCTCTCAGTTCCGTGGTATCGCCACCAACGTCGCCGGCTGGAACCAGTGGGACCTCAGCCCCGGTGAGTTCTCCGACGCCACCGATGCCGAGTGGAACAAGTGCCAGAACGAGAAGATCTTCGTCGAGACCTTCGGTGCCTCCCTCAAGTCCGCCGGCATGCCCAACCACGCCATCGTCGACACTGGCCGTAACGGTGTCTCCGGTCTCCGTGAGGAGTGGGGCAGTAAGTTTTTTTCCTTCCCTTCTTTCTGTCTTCTTCTCTCCCCGCCCGCGTTAGTCCATTGATGAATCTAACCCTCTTTTTCCAGACTGGTGCAACGTTGCCGGCGCTGGTTTCGGTATCCGCCCCTCCGCTGATACCGGCAGTGAGCTCGCCGATGCCTTCGTCTGGGTCAAGCCCGGTGGTGAGTCTGACGGTACCAGCGACGAGAGCGCTACCCGTTACGATTCGTACTGCGGCAAGCCCGATGCCTTCAAGCCTTCGCCCGAGGCCGGTCAGTGGTCGCAGACCTACTTCGAGACCCTCATCAAGAACGCCAAGCCCGCTTTCTAAACGCGTCGCGTGGTCGATGGTTGAACCCGGCAAAACGCACCCTTTTCTGGCGTCGAGACTGAAGACGCACCGCACGACGTGGTGAGAGAGCGAATGCGCAGGGGCAAAGCAATCGAAGCGCACGGCCGCTTCGAACGCAAAAAACTGATGAAAAAGGCTCGGGTGCTTGAGCCCACATACTTTCACTCGCCTCAGGGGGATCCTAACGCATGTTTTCAAGTCCCGTCTTCTTTTGTACATATATACGTACTTTATGCTTGATTAGTATATATACCTTGTCTACAAACCATTGCCATGTCCTTCCATCGTAGAAATCTGGTGATCCTCGGGGTGTTCTCATCGCATATGGTGACTGAGAAAATCGATCAACTCGATCACCTTGCCGATCGATGTGGTTGTTCACTTCGAACGGCTAAAGTCTCGCAATCTCCCAGAGTGAACCTTGGCCGGTCTTCCTTTGCGCCCCCATATATCTCGGTTTTCTCTCTCCCCTCTCTTTTAGTATCCGCCAATGAACGCTCAGTGTTGAAAATGCCGCGCCTGTCCATTTGCTCCGGCAATAACTGTGCATCGGGATGGAATAAAATTGAAGACTGCTAGCGCACGTGGTTATATCAACGACGGCTCCGGCTGGTCATCCTCAGGACTTTTAGGGGGAAGAGAGCTTTTGCACTGTTAGTAGCACTGAGAAGCTTCCAGAGGAACGTGCTTCGTTTGTGTTCTTCTTTTACAATGTTGGGTGGGTGGGCGGATTGGGTTCAAACAAACATTGAGCATAGCTGAGAAAACGCCCAGGCGGCCAGTTTGGGATGAATCCCACATCACTTGAAGCTATGCTAGGTGTGGTGTTGGACTTGTATCATCCAGAGTTAACACGCCTCTCCTCCTCCTCCACCCAAGCCTCTTCTTGCAACACGACTTCCGTCTCCATGGGCCTCAGACCCCATTTCTTAAACAGCGCCTTATCTTCGTCCCATCCACTGCAGGCAGTGGTCAACATCCTCTCGCCGGTGAAGATGGCATTCGCTCCCGCGAGGAAGCACATGGCCTGCTTCTCTTCCGTCATCGTGATGCGCCCGGCGGCTAACCTGATGATGGTACCCGGCATGACTAATCTAGCTGTGGCTATCGTACGTACCACCGAGTCGAACTCGACCGCCTTTGTGCCTTCGAGCGGCGTGCCCTTGATGGCTACGAGGGTGTTGACGGGGAAGGACTCGGGGTGTTTCGGCATCGTTGCCACTTCGTAGATGAGGCCGATTCTGTCTTCGTGCTTCTCACCGAGACCGAGGATGCCTCCCGTGCATACGTTGATCCCGGCGTTTCGGACGTGTTCTATCGTTTGCAATCGCTCATCGTAGCTCCTCGACGTGATGACGTTGGGGTAGTGCTCTCGAGAGGTGTCGAGGTTGTGGTTGTATGCCGTGAGCCCCGCATCGGCGAGCTCCTTTGCCTGATTTCCGTCGAGCATGCCCAGCGTCACGCACGCTTCCATTCCCAGGGCCTTGACGCCCTTGACCATCTCGACGATGTTACGCAGGTTGGACTTGCGGCCGCGCATGTCTCTCCACGCGGCGCCCATGCAAAACCGGCTGCTGCCGTTTTCCTTGGCGATTCGGGCGGCCTCTAGCACGGAGTCGACGGTGCTGAGCTTGGTGGCCTTGAGTCCCGTAGAATACCGGGATGACTGAGCACAGTAGGAGCAGTTTTCGCTGCAACCTCCAGTCTTGATGTTCATGAGCGTACACATCTGCACCGCCGCGGGGTCGTGGAACTTGCGGTGCACGGTAGCCTACAAGCATGGAGCAAGTTAGCTGGGGGCAGATAACACATCGTATTTTACTGTTTTTCTTTTTCTTTTTCAAGGCCGGCACGTTATCGTATAGGTATCGCGAATCAGAGAATGGCTGGATGAGGAAAGGGTAAAACAAGAAGAAGAAAAGGCAAAGGAAGAGGAAGACAAAAACGAGGTGAGTACAGCCCTAAAGAAAGGGCGTGGTGGTGTTCTTCCACCCATGAACAAGCACCAACCGAGGTACTTCTTACGGGGTTTCTGGTGCTATTTTGATCAAGGAGCAACTCAAAAGATAGAGCCTACCGATTCGTAAACAAGTTGCATCAGCGGGGTGTGGTAGATGGCTGAAATCTGCTCCTTGCTCCAGTCATGGCGAGGCGCCTCAGCTCGGACAGCGTTCGTCAAGACATCCGAGCTCGTTGCAAACCGACGAAGGCCCTGAGCAGTGCTCAGGGCTGCCCTGGGGAGGGCAAAGGCGAAGAGAATGCTCGCCGCATTGTGCAAGTCCGCTCACGAAGAGAAGCTCGTACGTTGTGTAAATGGAGCGGGGAGCAAATCCGCACGGGAGGAACAGGCGAGAATAAATGGGACGAGGAAGGTAGGGCCCAGATATGCACAAGCAGGAAGGAACAGGATCTGATAATCAACCACCGGATCTAAATAAACAAGAAAAACAAAAACCCAACGAGCCAGGGAGTTAGGAAAGGGAAAGAAAAGGAGCAGGAACAGGAGGAGGGGAGGGGGTACCCGTCTCAGGCACGCGGCATGCACCCTCCTACAACATCTTGCTTCCCCGCTTGAGCATCAATCGAGGATTGATCAATGGCAGTAGAGTCATAATACATCACTGATCCTGTCCCTTACCCAATCTCCGGGTCTCTCCTGGATGTAGGGCAAGGCGCTTTAAGACCCTCGGGATTCATCGTCTTCTTCTTGCATTGTCTCAACTCTTTCACAAAGTCCTCGAGGCTGCTGGGCCACTGCTAGCTCGTCTGAGAGGGCTAGTCAACGAAGATTACGTGTATTAGAGGTCCATCATAGATGGAAAGGGAGGGTGAAGCCCTGGGGCAAGGGGAAGGGGGCAAAGGCCGGCGCAGGGCCGAAAGCTAGTGGGATCGCCAGCAATGTACCCTACGGTGGTGGTGGATCTGGATGTCATCGAAATATGCACTCGCCCCCGCCCTATGGCCCGCGAGCGACATTTGATATCCCCTCCTGGTGGTTGGTAGAATGACGCCCAGCGCGTGCTGCAACGGCATGCGACCCCCACTCTGGCTAATCTGCTCAGCCCTCTTTAGTGCTCAACCCTCCCAACATTTTTTCCCCCATCTCATCCATCCCCTTCTGACTCTTGCCTCTCCGATCTGTTCGTTGGTCAATTGGCCATGGTGACGCCAGTGTAGAAGATTAGTCAAGGATCCTCGGCTCCAATTCTCTGCTTGGCACTGAATGCTTTGCCCTGCGGGTGGGGTGGGATCAATGGGATCATGTAAGGTGAAGACCGCTGTTACTTTAAATTGAGCACCAAGAGCTTGCTGTTCTTCAAGGGAAACGCACATTGTCCCCCTTGCCGCACTCCGTTACCCCGACCAGGTTTCACGCTGGTGTGTCGTTGAGACGAGAGAGGCATGGAGAAAAATGGGAAATGGAACCTTTCACTCCTCTCTCATCTTTTCTTCGACTGTCGTGTGCACAGTGAAATCAGCTTGGGGGAATGTGATGGCCACCTTTTCTACAGAATGAGTCAATCAAGAACCACTTTGACACTGTTCTTCATGCTCGCCCGACCGCGCATCATGGACCCCTTGGCCCGGCATTCTCGACACATATCACACGATGCCCTTCCAGCCGGCAGTGCAAAGGAGAAAAAAAAAGACCAGGGCGGAGGAAACAAGTACATCGTTTGTTTGCAATCATCCATTCATTGCATGGTTTCACCTGAGAAGGCTCTTTACAGCCACCCAGAAACACAAAAATGCCTGCCTCATCTTGCCGATTCTGTGGAAGCTAGGGCCACAAGGGAAGCCCTATAACAAAAGCCTTGACTTCCTCTCAAGGCCGCTTACACAAAGACCAATAAAATGACCGCGAGGAAGACAGCCTGTTGACGCCCGACCATGATCTACCATTTTGCCACTCAAACGTGCAACGACACTAACCGTCTTCCACCTCACTTCTCTTGAGCTCTCCAACCCCGTCCGCTCTAACTCACACTCACTCCTCGACTGCATGTTCCCTTTTTGCAATTCATTTTCACCTGCCTTTGGCTTGACCCTAAGCCGTTGTGATATATATTCCCGCCGAGAACCGCCGTCACAATCTAAGAGACGAGAGAGTAGAACAGATAGCTAGGGAGGCCCTTACGCCCTGGACATGACGCCCCAAGCACGGATGATGTTGTCCGTGTAACCGGCGAAGAGGGTCTGGCCGTCGGCGCTCCACGCAAGGCTGACACACTCGGGCTCACGGCTCTTCTTGCCGACAGCGGTGAACTCGGGCTTGAGCTCATCAACCTTGCTCTTCTTCTCGAGATCGAAGATGATGATGCTGCTGGCGGTAGCAGCGCAGAGCCAGTAGCGGTTGGGGAGAAGACGAGAGCGTGGATCTCATCGTTGGCATTGAGAGAGTAGAGGTGCTTGGACTCGTTAAGATCCCAAAGCATGGTGGTACCGTCCTTGCCACCGGAAGCGCAGAGAGAGCCATCGGGAGAAATGGTGACGGTGTTGATGTAACCGGTGTGGCCGATGTGGTCGGTCTGGAGCTTGCAGGTGGAAAGCTCCCAAACCTAAGCAGAGATGAGGGCGGTTAGCCAACAATTGATTCAAGGAGGCGTCATGCCATGTCCTGTATAACGGATAAAAAGAAAATGAAAAGGGGGCGTCTCAAGGGATGGCGGGCCCCCAAAGATGAGTAGCCCCGCCGTCCCTTTCCTCGTTCAACTGCAATTTTTAAAAGGTGTGGAAAATCAGGCAATGGTGATGTTGGTCTCATAGCCCTAGCTTCTAGCTAGGGCTCTGAAGTAGCAAATACTTGAAAGCATCATGTACACGCGCAGTCTGTCGGGAAACGAGGAATTGAAAGTAGGCCTGTGACCAGAGGATTGTACATACCTTGACAAGCTTGTCCCAGCCGGAGGAGACAATCACGGGGTTCTGGGGGTTAGGGCTGAAGCGAACGCAAGAGACCCAGTCGGTGTGGCCCTTATCGGAGATGGTGTACTTGCAGTCACCGAGGGTGTTCCAGAGCTTGATGGTTCGGTCACGGGCACCGGAAACAATCTGGCGGTTGTCGGCAGAGAAAGAGACGGAGAGAACGTCGCTGTTGTGGCCGACGAATCGGCGGGTGGTGGTACCGGTAGCGAGCTCCCAAAGACGGAGAGTCTTGTCCCAAGAGGCGGAGAGGGCATAGGCACCATCGGAGGAGATGACCTAGAACATGTCAGCACTCCAAGCACTCTTTTTATCGTTGGTCGGCCTACGAGCCAGGATGTGCACATACACAGTCGGAGACGATGTGGGAGTGACCGTGGAGGCTTCGCTTGGGGTAGCCGTATTGGGTCTCGTCGCGGGTCAGGTTCCAGATGATGAGGGTCTTGTCGCGAGAGGCGGAGAGAAGCATGTTGGGGCTATCATCAGGCACACACAAGTCAGTACGCTAAGCCGCCTCCGAGATGAAGAAAAAACTTCAGTGTGCCGGAAGTCTTTCGTGTCAGCCGCGACGAGGCCAAGCCCTCCTTCAGCGATGATTCGATTGATTTTTCAAGACGACGAAATGCATAAACGAGTGGGCTTTATTTCACATACTTCTCGATCGAGGTGGCCAAAGAGGTGACCCAGCCGTTCTAGAGAGACGATTAGCACACATTCTGCGGATTCGGCATTCGGACGTAGACGCAAGAGCCGCCGAAAGTCGTGGTCCAAAAGGATTGTGAGGCTAGAACTTACGTGGCCCTCAAGGGTGCCCTTGAGAATCAGTTGCTCAGCCATGATGAATGTGAGATGAGAGGATGGCAGAGGTTGAAGATTGTCGGATGGTGGATCGCAAGCGAAAGGCTTGTGTGTGGTGATGTTCACCTGTGTGGGATTAGATATTTGTTAGGGGTCGGGGGCAGGCGAGGGAGAGAGAGGAGAGAGGGTTGGTGGGGGAAATACGGCAGAAAAGACCTAATTCGTTGCCAGGCGTAGCCTCTTGGTGGGTACGCACACACGCTTCAGGTCTCGCTTGGTTCCTGTGGCCACAAAGGGGACGTTTGGGGAATTTGAGATTTCTGCTCGAGGACGTTTCTGTGTGCATGAAAGTTAGGGCCACGCAGAAAAAAAAAAATTCAAGGTGGTCAAGCTTCAGGTCATGGTGGGGCACCTGGCAAGTGAAGGTTGGTTGGTTGGCAAGTGTGGCCAAGTGCTGGAATGAAGCTCGGCTGGCTGAGGGAGAGGAGCTTGAGCTGCATGGGAAAAGTTGATCGTGTTGGGGGCTTACCAAAGTCGGAAGAAGCATGGGGTTTTGAAGCTAGCCGGAACGCCGTTGTCGAGGCATGCGCACCATGGAATTCAATTGCTGCCAAGGGGTATCTAGAATATGCTCTGTTGTACAATAAGTCATGGGCTCTTGACGATTGCCCTGTATCCACCTCATCCCAATCCGAAGTGTGCACTGGTATCTGGTAGTGCTGGCTCGCGTGATGCCTGCAGTTGAGCTGCAGCACTAATACTGGTTGCATGCTTTGGTTTTTCTCGACTATTTTTGCTGGTCTCCTATTGATTAATCGCGGAGAAGGCATGAGAATGTCACCTTGGCACATGATCGGCCGCAAATGTCGTTCGGGCTGGTGGGCGGCGCGTTGTGCGAACGCCTTCTCGACGGAGTGAGTCTGTGGAAAAATTCACAATCATGCTTGCATTTGCAACTTGATCGGCCGCCGGTTTTGAGGAGTCCTCGACCCGGACCAAGCCCTCCTCATCCAGCGGTTTCATCATCTTCCCCATCGCCTGCTCCCAGAGCTTGTATCTCTCGCGACTTGCTGGATACCGTTGGGCTTGTGATCGGACCTCTTTCTGTTGTCGGACTTTGGATGCACGCAGTAAACCACGAAGTGCGTCCTCTCCCTGCTTTGCTGCCTTGGAGAGGTGCTCGCGCATCGTGTTTGGCTCCTTTTTGTCTTGAGACTCTTCCCGGGGCGTGGAGATAAAGGTGTGCCTACTCGGGAACTCGGGGAAGAGGGATGGGATATACTCCTTCTCCTCCTTTGCAGGCTTACCACTAAGCTCGTCAGCGAGTGTGGGCAACGGGCGAAGATGAGGACCGTCTGGGAGGGATATTGTTTCGACTTTCGGAACAAGTCGAGTAGCGTGGATTGGGTGGCGGACATGCGGCTTGAGAGAATCAATCGGAAGGTTAAAGGTTTGCAGAGTTCTTTCGAAATCTACAGGCGTTGGCTGTTCTCGGCGAGCAGAGAGAGCTTGGCGCTTCAGTACTCCAAGGATCGAATCGATATCTACATGAAGAAGAAAACAGCTAGTTAGATGACTGGCGCCAAAGGCGAGAGGCGGGTGGGTGTGTATGAAATCGGGCAACGTACATTCTTCCACGGCTAGCGCGAAGCTCGCTACAGCCTCCGTATCCGCGCCATCAAACCCAACATGATCGAGGACAAGCGCTATTGACCTCTTCAGCCCAGCATGGCTTACATCGATAGGTCTGTGGTCAGCTACCACTGCGATGGCTGTCGAGGCGGACTGCGTGGGAGTCGGTGGAGCATCACTGCTGGGCGCCGGGACCGCATCCAGGGCACCGTTCGCATCAGATGAGTTCCCCATTTCAACATCGCCATCGAGAGAGATTGCCGGAGCATCAGTCGACATGGTTGCAGTAACGAGGCCACGGGAGGCGCGTCTATAGCGGTGGGCGGTGATATTGAGCTGTCTCTGGTGCGACGCGCGTGGCCGAGAGCGTGGTTGGCGCTAGCTCCTCACTCAAGGTGATAGTGGGGAGTGCAGGCTGAGGTCTAGAGCATTATAGGGAAACGCGGCGGCCTAATGTGTCCAAATCTAAGGTGAAAGAGCCTTGGATGGCGAGACTCGCTTGGAAGATAGATTGTCGTTGTTGCTCAAGGACGAAATCTGGACGTGACGGATCCGAGCTCAAGTCCCGCCGGGTCACGATGGAGAGCGCCTAAAACAGCCGCAGACAGCCGATCCCATCTGGCAGCTACAATACACCGACGGATGTCGCGTCTTTCCCGAACACACCACTTGATTGTGAGCACTTGAGGTCGAATAATATCAGAATTCCTCATCCCCTCTTCAATCTCGGGGTGGAAGATGCTACCTATATTGATATTGAACACTGTAGTGTACACTTTTGCCCAGCCTGTCCAACTCAAAGTGTTTGGTGGTCGTCTTCTTCCATTATTTTCTTCTTCCTTCCTTTGTCCGTTCGCCAATCTCGAAGCCTGCATTGGCGAGAGGGGTCAGGGTGGAAAAGGCTGCAAGGGGCTGGACGAAGCTTGAGCGTTCATGTCTCGGGGGTGCTTGTTGGATCAAATTCGTCAACTGCATGATGCACCCTGCGACGTGCCCTGTGATTGAAGCCGCGGCCAAGTCGCAACCTGCTGTTGAGGCGGAATGTGATATGTGATTTTTCTCGTCCTCTTTCTAGGTGTCATCATCAATGTTGAGCCAGCAATAGACACAAAGCTGAGAGACCAACGCATCAACAATTCCATCCATCCATTATAATAATAAGATTGTCGCACCGCCCATCGGCATTTACCAATGGATCCGTGGACCCTGGACCATTAGAACATCGGCGAACAGGTCTTGGTCTGTTTCCATCCAAGACGGCACCGGGCTGCGCACCCCGTTGAAACGAGCGCGAACCGCACTGGCCATTCCACTCCCCTATTCTCGCCATCTCAAGTCATTGATATAATACCCTTCTTGCGAAGATCCCTTGATCTCCATTTTTATTCTTCCTCTAGCTATTGCATTGACGAACCCACACATGTAAAAATTTGCCCATTGTCCAACTGCACGATCAAACTGCCGCTGCCACGGTTAGCGCTGGAAAGGGACCCCTCCGCGCATCCCCCTCTACTTAGACCCCGGCTTTGGTGGGAAGTTAAATTTTAGTCTTGCTTGCCACAGCGGACGCTTCGTCAGAGGGACCTGAACCGTTTGAATCCATCTGGAGGCGCTAGTCGTCAGATATTGACAAGGCAAAAGACCCATGATCTCTCTGTCGTAGCGGCTTCGCGTCAGTATTTAGGAATTGAGATCACGTTCCACACGCCCTGGTCCACACTCCAGCAGTCCACGACCTCCGCCCACGCTTCACAGCGCTGTCCCACTCGACCGAGGTGTCCGCCGATCAGCGGCAAGGGAAAGGAGCTGCCTCATCAACCCCCTTCCATAGCATCTAGACCCATCCATATTTCAGTTCTCGAGGACCGGGTTCTGGAATTCGCAACGTTCCATGACCCTCCTAGGTAAGCTGGTCAACAAAGGCACCTCTTAACCCGGTTCTTTTCTTGACTATATAACTGACTTCTACAAGGCTCAATATCTCCGCGGTACCTCATCAAGGGATCCCCTCATTAATCCATCCCACTTATCCATTTCCTTTTGGCCCAAGATGAGTTCAAGGCCGGGCTCAAAGGCCCCCACCAGCCGCATCTTCTCTCCATATCGATAGGACAAAGTTTCCCAACCTCCCCACCCAAAAGGCACTGTTGTTAATTGACTTTCAAAATGACTTTGTCTCCAAAGACGGGTCCCTGCACGTGTCTTCGACAAATGACGACTTTGTCGAGCGCGCGGCGAAGCTGGCAGCCGGCTTTCGTGACACTGGCGTCGTAATCTGGGTCCAGACAGTCTTTGAGAAGCCTAGGCAGTTCGTGGAGGGCCAGCAGATCATAACGAGGGATGTCCCTCTTCCGCCGTCTGCTGCAGTCACCATAAAGCCCGGGAAAGATTCCGACATTGATGTTGAGGCCTTCCTTAGCACAACCCCCATCACATGTGTGCAGAAGGGAACCCCTGGTTGGCAACTGGCCTCGCCGTTGAAGAAAGTCGTCGATCCGAGAAAGGACGTGCTTCTCATGAAGACACAGTACTCTGCCTTTAATGGCACTAGGCTTCTTCAGATATTGCGCTCGAGACTGGTCACGACCCTGTACGTGTGCGGCTCACTTATCAATGTTGGTGTTCATGCCACGACTGTTGACGCCGCTGCTCATGGCTACTCTATCACTCTCGTACGAGACTGCTGTGGCTGGTCAAACAAGGAAAGACGAGAAGCCGCACTCTCCAACCTGGAAGAAGTGAGTGGCTGTGATATCGTCAAGGCTCGGTCGGTCGTGGCAACTCTCGGCGAGCCAGATGATAGTGACGATGAAAGGGAGAGACAAAAGAAGAAGGATGCAGAACAGAAGGCTGAGAAGGCAAGGATAAAGGCAGCAAGGCGAGACCGTGGCAAGAAAGACGAGGACGACAACGTAAAGAAGGATACCAAGGGGGCCGGAGACCCGAAACCAATTGAAGCTAAGAGCGAGACGGCGAGCAAACCTCCAGTCACGGCTCCTCAAGAACCCAGCGGTGCCAAAGAGCCCTCGAAACCTCGCCCGCGCCCGTCCGAGAGCGGCGCATCGAGCAAGCTTCTCGAACTACAACAGAAATACGCCCGCACGCGGTCAATACAACCGCGTACCCTTGCTGGGAGCGAATCGTTGAGTTTAGAGGTTGATTCGGACCTGGAGGCAGCAAGCGACGACGGCGACGACAGCGACGGCGAACTGCGTCGGAACCTCGAGAGAATTGTCGCATCGAGAAGTCGGACCACCGGCGGCGCGCGGTCGAGAGAGGCGGTCGAAGGCGTCAGGCGAATAACAAGGGACGTCAAAGCTTTGAGGTTGTCATCGTCACGGGCTGATTCGACGTCTCGGGCCAATTCTGCTGCGGCTGCTGACCCGACCGCGGAGCTGGTGCCTAACAAGCGCGCTACGGCTGCAGCCTCAGCCCCTCCGCAGGCGAAAAAAACGAGCGATCTTGGCCAGAAAAAAGGAAACCCGCGGAAGTGTCGAGAAGTTGCCGAGCAAGGATGGGGAAAAGGATAAAAGCGACGCCGCGGGACCGGCCCTCGATGCTGTGCCGAGTTCGAGTCGGGATACTAGCAAGACCAAGGACAAAGACCCGCCCGCTCCCCGCCCCGAGACCGAATCGCCACCCCCGCCAAGTCTACCACGGCTGAAGAGATGCCCGCCGCCCAAATAAAATCAGACGATGCGCCTTCTAACCCGCCCGAGGCAAAGGAGGCCGTGAAGAGCCATGCCGAGGCGGTGCCGGAAGACCGCGGCGACGCGACCGAAAGCGCCCCCAAGGAGTCGGAGCCTCTCTGCGAGGGCGACACCAAAGTCATCTACAATGTTCTACCCTCGGAGTTAGAAGAGGGCATCTACGAGAAGCTCAAGGACGAAATTGATTGGAAGCGAATGAGCCATCTGGGCGGCGAAGTGCCCCGCTTGGTCGCGGTCCAGGGCCACGTGGAAGCCGACGGGAGCATGCCCGTCTACCGCCATCCCGCCGACGAGTCCCCCCTTGAAGCCCTTTTCTCCTACCGTGCTTCGTCTGAAAGAAGAGGTGGAGAAGCATCTGGGCCACACATTGAACCACGTCCTGATTCAACTTTACCGAGATGGCAAAGACTACATTTCAGAGCACAGCGACAAGACTCTAGACATTGTAAAAGGCTCCTACATCGCCAACCTCAGCCTCGGCGCCGAGCGCACCATGGTCTTCCGGACAAAGCGAGCGGATAAAGAGCCCAAGCCTACCGCGGAGCCGGATTCCGGTAGCGCTTCCCCTCCCACCAGCACCACCACCATCACCCCCTCCTCGTCCTCCCCACCGCTGCAGCGCCAGAGCCAGCGCGCCCGCCTCCCGCACAATTCTCTCTGCCGCATGGGCCTCGCGACCAACGAGCGTTGGCTGCACGCCATCAAGCAAGACAAGCGCCGCGAGGCCGAGAAGACGCCGGAAGAAAAGTCCTTTGGCGGCGGCAGGATCTCCCTCACTTTCAGGAACATCGGCACGTTTCTCGATGCCGGCGAGACCCGCATCTGGGGCCAGGGCGCCACGGCCAAGGCCAAGGAGGATGCCCGCCCCGTCGTTAATGGCGACGAGGCGGCGTCCGAAGCCTCGTGAGAGCGTTTGGCATCGAAAATAGGGCATCCGAGTTTGACTGGGAGAAGCACTACGGCGAAGGATTCGATGTTTTGCATATGACGAGGCAGCAGGCTTGATGAACGAGCGAAGCAAGTTTGAATTTTGGATCACGGCTTTTGTGTAATCCCATGTTATCTTTTAGCTTATATTCTTCTTTTCTTAGCACCTACATCCCCCTTCCCACTTGTCGCCATCGCAAATGGGGCGTACAACCCCTCACGATACCCCCATGTGTAAGCGAGGACCATACTATGCGAGGTCTTCAGCGTGTTATTCGCACCATCGTACGGAATCATAGGATATATAATCAAAGCATTCCAAAAGATCATGGTGAGGAATATGAAGAAGAGAGAAGAAGACGTTTGAGAGGCTGAGATTGCTGGTTCAAAATATTTGACAAAATAGACGTGCCGTTTACATTAAAACAAAACAACGGGCTGCTTCCTGTTGCCGTTGAGCACTTGTCTCCTTAACGATACATTTGGTTCATGGATAAAGATCTCTTTCCAAACCCCTCCCACTCGGCCGAACAAAAGGTTCAGGCCGGTCAGCTACTTGACCGAGAGTCCCAGGGATAAGGGTACGTACCCACCCAATCCGCTACCTCTGACTTGAGCTGCACGATTTCCCGATCCGACGACCCATCGCCGACGTGGTCAAGGAACAACTTGAGCTTGCCGGGGCTCGACTCTCCCTTTTCCTCGGCCGCCTGCCTCGCCGCCTTGTTTAATCTGAGGGTGATGGTCACGGCGCGGTCAATGATATCTGCAACCCTCTCGAAATCGTTCTCGGAAAATCCTCTGCTGGTCATAGCGGGGTACCCATACGGATGCCGCCGGGAATAAGGGCGGACCTATCGCCGGGAACGGTGTTCTTGTTGGCGGCGATGCCGACAAGCTCTAGGACTCGTTCGACTCGGCTTCCGTCAATTCCTTGGGGCTTGAGATCCACAAGGATCAGGTGGTTGTCGGTGCCGCCGCTTACAAGGCTATAACCAAGACCACCCTTTTCCTTGGGATCTCTAGGCGGCGAGCCAAGGACTTGGCGTTGGAAAGCACTTGGGCCTGGTACGCGCGGAATTCGGGGGTTTGCGTCTGTTGAAGAGCCACGGCGAGAGCGGCAATCGTGTGGTTGTGGGGGCCACCTTGATGACCAGGGAAGACGGAGGTGTTGATGGGGCCCTCGAGATCGTACATTTCTTCCTTCTTGGTCTTCTGGTTTACTCGACGAACACCCTTTCTGAAGAAGATCATGGCACCTCGGGGTCCGCGCAGACTCTTATGGCTCGTGGTGGTGACGATATCGGCAAAGGCAAACGGGCTGGGGATGACGTTGGCGGCTACGAGGCCCGAGACATGGGCCATGTCGGCAACGAGGTAGGCATTCACCTTGTCGCAAATTTCGCGGAAGCGCTTGTAGTCAAGCAGCCGGCTGTAGGCGCTCGTCCCGGCGACGATAATCTTGGGGCGATAGAGGGTGGCGAGCTCCTCGAGCTGGTCATAGTTGATCAGGCCCGTTTTCTCGTCGAGGCGGTATGGGAGGGTTTCAAAGTATTTGGAAATGAACGAGATCTTCTTTGTCGGCGTCTGGTAGCCGTGGGAAAGATGGCCTCCATGGGGGAGATCGAGACCCATCAGCCGATCGTGAGTTCCCATGAGAGCAGAGTAAACGTACAGGTTCGCGGGGGCACCGAGAGTGCTATATGGAGGCGACGGAGGCTAGTGTTAGAGAACTGCTGAATCATAGATGGCGTGGGAAGGGACAGCCAGAGAAAGTGTGTATGCATAGAGGCGTGCACATACCTTGAACGTTTACCCCCATTGTGACGCATCGAGGTCAAAAGCTGTCAAGGCGCGCTTCTGGCACAGCGACTCTGCCTGATCGATGAATTCGTTTCCGCCATAGTATCGAGCACCGGGATATCCTTCCGAGTACTTGTCTATTCCGGATGGGACCGCCAAGTTAGCTTTTGTATGACCTCGGCTCGAGGGCAAGCGACTAGCCGGTATGATCGTTGCAGGACTAACTTTGCATAACACTTCCAAGAGCTTCCAAAACGGCCTTGGAGGTGAAGTTCTCGGAGGATTAGATTGATGAAGTGCTTCTGGCGGTTCTCCTCCTACAGAATACCACACAAGGGTTGGGTTAGTTGAGAAAGCAGGAGGTATATGGTATGAGGTATGGAACGCATTTTCTCTTCTCGGGGTCCCCTGGATAGTCGAACCTTGAGGATAATGTTGTAAATGGCAGGGTCGGCCTGTTCGAGGTGCGCAGCGAGGGCCTAGATAACGGGTGACGAAGCAGGTGCATGTCAGTAATGAGACCTCGGCTGCTACTGCCCACGTCGGGCGGAATTGAGTGCATGGCAAAGAGGCCATGGAGGGTAAATATAGACACGACAATACCTGATTCTGGTTATCAAGAGTGCTGGACGAGTAAGCCCGCCTCACCGACGATCTCGTGCTTCCGGAGACGGTGGCCCTGGCGGCGAGACATGGCACAGCTCTGGAGGGAGCTGTCCTCCAGAGCGAGCCTAGGGGCACCCTCAATGCATGCCTCGACATTTCGTACAGCCAGGGTGCGATTCGGGGGTTGTGGGATGTGGAGGGCGGAAGAATGGGCAAAGGAAAAAAAAAAAGAACGGGCGTGACCGGACCGAGAAGTTCAAGGCATATGCAGCTTTGTGGCGGGTATCGATGTCGCTTCGGCTGCACTCGGCGGCGATAGTGCGAGCGAGGAATCAGAAGGGAGCACATGGAGCGGGGTGCCGAGACCCAGGCTTTGGTGAATTTCAAGGTACCCTGACCTGACACCGCCCACAAGCGCACCTGCCACCAACGTTCGACTACGCTTCCTTTACACGCACCACTTACAAGGGCATCCTCGGAAAGCCCTTACTCGAACATAATTGATCAATGCCTATCTCAAGTTTTCAGGGCACCCTTGGCGATCCTTTCATTCCCAGAAGAAAAGGAGGCTTGATCTTTGTTCGGAGTCAATCTAATATAGGTGCTTGCTTGAGTTCTCGATGCTCCGTCCCACCATTGTTCCCCAAGGGAGATTGCCTCAAAGGATCCATGTGTCCATCACCCACTAAACGAGAGTGTCATGACACCATTGCGATTGATGGGGTGCTTGCGTCGGAATCAAAATGACGTTTCTTCTCAGCGCCACCGATCAAGCTCCCACTCCCTTCGACCTCCAAACTCATCGTGGGCGGGCCGCTGGCGCTTTAAATCTACACGTGATCCATTCTCATTACACTGCAGTATCATTTGATTGTCAAAGCCTAGGCCTGCCTAGGGAGCGTAGTTCATAATTGGCCCCGATTGACTGTCCTGGGCACCCGGGGCGAAGGAAGATGATAGTCGATTCTAGGGAATGTGGGGTTCATCGCAAATTGACAAGAGAATGTTGGAACAATCAGCCCATCTATCAGGTCCAGGTGCCAGGATACACCGCAAGGTAAGTCAGCGGTAGCGATGGTGGATAAGCAGAGACAGAACAAAATGAGAATAGAATTCCCTGTCGTGTGATCCAACCTCGAAAGCCTTACTTTCTATTTTGTTCCCCTTCTCTAAAAGACCAAGTTCAATTCATCAACCGCTCTACATGTTGATATCAATTGATTGTTGCACATCGTCACTCTCTTGAGCCTGGGGGACTGTAGCCCATCTCCATCATTTCCTCACTTGCATCCGCGGCTTTCTTCGGACTTGTCATGTCCGTCAATCTGCACCAAGCGCCCACTAATCCATCCCATCCATTCGTGCTCACTCCTCACATTGAAAGCTCAATGGATCAGGGCCTATTGTGCTATGCTATCTCGGCTGTGCTACCTGAGCTGCACTGTGTCGATAACACGGATCGGTTGAAGATTGATGATAGCCCCAGACCGCCTGCTCCTTCTCTTCCAATGGAATTGATCCATTTGCCCTTCTGAGAGGGGAAATAATCGGGGAGGCACGCGAAGCACAGCGCCACATAAAGTCCGGCCCGCCCTCTCCAACCTTTTTTCCCTTTCCTCCTTCCTCTCCCCCAACTCAACTAAATTGGGCGTGACGAGACTGCTTCCACACACACAGACCAATTGGCCTTCCCTAGGCTTTCCCTCTATGGGATAGCTGATGGGAGCTATGCGGATATGTTCCGGCACCACTCACCACCTTGAGGGACAATTTGAAGATATCTGATCCAATTTCTTGAGTGCCAAGTCCAGAGCCGTTTCCCCCTTCGTACCTCGGTACTGTAAGCGCAGTTCATTGAGGAGTTTCCGTTTTCTTTCGGGCGGCCATCTCGTCCGTGTTCCCACGGGCAAAATGAGCAGAGAACACTCCCTGGTACTAGCTACCGAATATAGGCCCTGTTGCGTACTTGTCGCAGCCCTGTAACCCTAAGAGAGAAATAAATGTAAATTAAACCGTCAGGGCGTACGATTTGTGGTCTCCCATTTTTAGAGCTTGATTTGAGTTTGTAGTGAGAATCGTGAGAATCCTAGATGCACAAACTACACGTATTCATTGCACGAGAATTAGAGAGAGCGCGAGGGAAGGCAAGGTTAAAGACAAGAAAAAGATAAACCAAGCATTCATCTAGACGTAATGTTGTCTCTTGTATCGAGTGCAATGCTACCTTTTGTACCGAATGACCCTGAGAGGCCTACCAGCAACTCTAGAGCTGGGAGGCCATATAACAACAACAGCAACAAGACACCCGAAAACCCTATGACTCCGAATGCAGCCTCCTTTTGGCCGTGGCCTCGGCACGACGGGACCACCCTGTCCATTCTTAAGTCGTCTTCGTATTCGTCTCCGTCAACACAGTTGTTTACTCTTCGGCCTCCTCTAGCAGAGCACTCTTCTTCGCCGCCGCCCTCTCCAGCTTGCGCTCGCGAGCAGCCTTGGTCCTGGCACGCTTGGCATCCATCTCGTCCTTGAGCAGCCTCTCGCGCTGCTTCTCGGCCTTGGCACGGTGGATCTACGCATGTCAAGTTAGTAAATCTGCTTCCGCAAACTGTCGGCTCTTGCCGCCCGAATTCGTGGCTACTTACGTGCTCGACAAGGGCACGCTTGTGCTTGAAGGTGTTACCCTTGCTAAGGTGGTAGAGCTCGTGGTAAAGGTGCTTGTCGATCTTTCCGCTGGCACGGTACTTGACGAGAAGACGGCGGAGGACACGCTGGCGGCGCATCCAGAGGACCTCACTGTGTATATATCATTAGCCACGAACAAACTCCCTTTGCACTTGGTCACGAGGGAAGGCGAGTTAGACAGCCGGCACCCCGCCACCACAAGGGCAGCGAAGAGGAATTTTTCAGTTGATCCAAAAGCAAGACCAACCGGCCCGGACCAGCAAGTGCGCGGTCTGGCTAATTCATCGGCCGCCAGCTCCCTTCCCTCGAACCAAATGCATGCAAGATATATGTTAGGTGGGGTCGACATACGAAGGCATACGGGCGTTGGCGGTACCCTTGCGCTTACCGAAGCCTCGGTGACGTCCGTCCCGGCGGGCGAGGTTAAGCTCACGAGCACGGGATCGGGAGTGCATGGTGACGGGCTTGCGGATGATGAGGCCATCGGCGATGAGCTTTCGCACAGTCTGACGGGAGTTGGCGTTGCTGATCTCGCTGACTTCGTTGGGATCGAGCCAGATCTTGTTCTGGCCGCAGCCGATGACCGACGCGGCCAGGCGCTTCTGGGTGAGAAGGTTGGCCCTATTATACGGAAAAGGAGTTCCCACGTTAGCCTCGTTCAGCGTCTTCTGAAATTTCATGTGCCCCCAGTAATGTTGAGCGGTCTCCTCCACCACAGCGCCATCTGCCCTCGCCAGCAAACACCGTCAGTTTGCCCCCATCCCCGAGATTGCTGTTCATTGTCGGTTCGCCGTCGAGGGGATCAAGATGTGTCCATGGCTGGTAAGGGTAAGCCCGAGGGAGCCGTATCAAATGTTGCCCCCATGATCACGTTCCCCCAGCCCGCCGCTGATAACCAGTCTCTTGTCTCGATTGTTTTGCAGGGAGGGGTAAAGGGCCACCAGATTGGTAAATATCAACATGTATAGGGGTGTTTCTTACATCTTGAACGATTATATTCGGCGATGGTCGATTATCGGTTGGGTGATAGGAGATGGGTTGGAAATCTCAAGAAGGGGAGATTTTTCGAGTCGTGACTGTGGTTGAGATTCGCTCCCCTCAGGGTAGGTTTCCAACTTGTGGGCAGCGAAACACTAACCCTGATTGGGAAACGTAGGCGAGGGCTGCTGACGAGATCAAGGCGGGGCAAAGAGGTCGAGCAAAGAGTGGGTCACGTGACTGATAAATGAACCACAGGGCAGTTCCAAGCCAGAAGTGAGCCTTCTAGGGCAGTCCGCGCAGTGGCGATGTTTTTATCTCCAAGCACAGTCTTGCGCACTGTGGTTCGCACCTCTTTCACGAAGACTTGTCGACGTTCAGGGTGAGAGAGGACGAAAAGATCTGCTCGCACCCCTCCTAACAACCCCATGTTCATTTCTCATACGTTTTGCTAATAAAATTTTTTTCCCGTAGTTGCAAAATATTGAAGAAAAAATGAATTGTAAATTTTTGTAGACACCGGGCTCATTGATGGCTGCTCGGAGCGCTATCTCCTGGAATATCAAAAAGTATGTACGCGGTCAAAGAATTTTCCATCTGTTGGGCCAGCATTGTCCACCTAGTCAAAGACGGTCTCGCCCACGTCGACTCGTCCAACACTCCAAATCTCCTTCTCATCCTCCACCTCGTCGTTCGACAGGCCCAAACCGCCTTGTCCACCTTCCGCATCCCGACGCTCTCTAGCCTGCCCACCGAGCCGCAAGGTGACTCTCTTGAAATAGTCTTGCATGCTCCTCTTGGTGTTAGGCGGCAGCTGCTCCCCGGCCCGGCCATAAACTTATTAAAGATTCTGCTCTCCTCGTCTACGACGCTGAACATGCCAACAAAGGCTGCTTCAGCGGATAGCTTGACGGGGATGACGGGGTCTCGCACGCTGGCAAAGATGGGCGGCGCCAACAGAGGCATGTGAGGACGGATCATGTCAATATTCACCCTGCTCAAGGTGCGAATGAGGACCAACGAGAGTCGGCGAGAATCACTGGGGTTTCCTGGGGGATGATTTCGGCCAAAGTCTCAAAATCTCCTTGGTTGTCTCGAAAGATTTGGGTGATTCGTGCAGTAGGTACTTGCCAGTAGCGAGCACGAAGTTCTCGGCGATGTAATTCTGCTCCCCTCGTTAGCTCGGTGTCATTAAAAGTCAGGATCTCAGTGATAGAAACTTACAACTTTGTTCTTCATGCCGCGACACAACAGCTCCGGAAGATCTTCTGCCATGGGGCCCTTTAGAAGGACATCAGGGGACTCTAGCAAGATCGCATTGAGGCCTAAAACTGAGGAATTGCTGAAATTGCTAGTCATTACCCTATTCTTGATCAAGCCATTGGCAGCTTCTTCCGGAACGTTCTTGATCAGTGCACCAAGAAGCTTGGCATTGGTTATGGTCATGGTATCATCCCTCTCGTCGGTCTCCATATCGATGAGGGAAAGGACGGCAGCTCGCGACGTCTCGCCCATATTGGCGCCCGCTTTGCTAATGACTTCGTAAAGGGCCTTCAACATGGCAGTCTTGACGCCGGGATCGGACGTTTTGCAGCCGGTTACCAGCTCGGCAATGAGAGGGTCGATACGCGGGGTATACTTGATAAGGGTTCCCAGAGCCTTGGCGGCACGGGATCGTAGTGCTTCGCTCGAAGGATCCGCGAGCGACTTGGCGAATGTCCTCTGGAGCTGGGGCAAGAAAGGTTTGAGAGCCAGGGGAATCTTCTCAAGCAGATTATTAAGCGCGAGCAACACGGCTTCCTTGACATCCGTTGATCGTTCGGATACTACACGAATAAGAGGACCGGTAATCTGGGTGACGAAAGGTTTGAGCGACGCATCGCTTGTGCGGTCGATGATGTCCGACAAGCCCAGTGCAGACTGGGTTCTTTGATCCGCAGTGCCGTACATAAGACCCTGCAAAAGATGGGAAGGATGGCGTTGATGCCCTTGGGGAGTTCGAAACCACGGAGGTTAGCACCGGGCACACCTACTAGTTGCAAGGTGCCGCGGGTAGAAGGAGCAAGGTTCTCCATCTCCTCCTTCTTGAGCTTCTTGGTGAACTGACTAAGGGATGCCCATGCCGCCTTGACGACGTCGAGGTCCCCGTCATCAAACGAGCTGAGAAGTGCCCTGATGATGTCTTGGTTATATCTCGAGTAGTCAATCTCTGAGACGTCAAAGAAGCGACCCAAATGGAAAGCCGCAGCGGCCCGTCGACGGTGATCATCATGCTTGAGGAGTAGAAGCATGACATTCATAACCGTGTGAAGACCTTCATTCTCATCAATAGACAAGAGCACGGTGTCGAATGAGTCGTGGAGGTCCTGCTTGAGGCTCTCGTCTTTGCAAGTAACGATATTGTCCAACAACGAATTGATAATGTGGGGCATGCGACGATTCATGGCAGGGCCAGCTACGCGCGACAGGGACCCCAGAGCCTTGGCATTGAAGGCCGAGATCGGGGGAGTGATGAGCGTAGGAATGAGGTTGGGCAGGATGATGTTGGAGCGGGTAGACTCGGTGAGAAGGGTGAGAAGAGCGGAGAGCGCATTGTCCGCGTCTTCTTCGGACCTGAGGAGGCTGAGGAGGTAGGGAAGCACTTGATCCACAGCGCGCTTGCCGATGATTTGCTGCAAAGAATCAAAGGCTTCGGCAGCGGCTTCACGCACGTCGTCATCAGAGTCGATGAGCGCGGTTCGGACAACGGAGACGAGAGTCTTCTCGTGGTCTTCAAGAGCTTCTTCGGTAGCGGAAGAGATGAGCTCCTTGAGAGCAAGGCAGATACCCTGCTTAGCGTCGACATCGGTGGTTTGGAGGCCCTCTTCCAGGGTAGGAAGAACAGTGGACAGGACGTTGTCTCCAGCTCGTCGGATGAGTTCGCCAAACGCGTTGCTTGCAATAACCTTGTGTTCCATGTTCGTGCTTCCGAGACGGCGGATGAGAAGTTGAGTGAGAGTGGGCACCAACTCTTTGAGGGTTCGAGGGCTAGGGACAAGCACCTTCCAAACGGTGACGGCAGCTGCCCTGACGATACCTGCCGTGTCGCACCTACAGACGTAGAGAGCTGAGAGGATCTTGTTGCGTTTCTCCAAGCCGAGAACTTCCTTGAGAGAAGCGCCCGCTTCTTTCGCCTTCTCCATGAGCGACTCTTCGTCCTCGCCCTCGCCATCGTCGTCAGCATCCTTAGCGCTGATACCCGTGAGGTTAAAGAGCAAGTCTCCCACAAGCTCCACGGAGCTCAGCCTGATACGGTAGCTGTCATCGGCAAGGCCACGTTCCAGCTCCGGAAGGAGGAGATCAACAGCCTTCATCGCGAAGTTCTTGACGAGAAGTCGACCGGCGCGGAGGGAGGTCTCACGAATAGACTCAACATCATCCGCGAGACCAGCAAGGATAGGCGGAATAATTCTTCCAAGATAATTGGCAAAGCTGTTGCCGAAGCAGACGGGAAGGAAGATAAAGAGAGACATGAAACCTTCGCGCACCGAGGCCTTGGAGGACTCGACATTTTGCAGAATCGTTGGCAGCGTCTCCTCCAGCCGCGACGTTCCGAGGCCAGCCAGAACCTCGCTGAGGGCTTGGGCGGAACCAAGACGATCGCCAGCGCCCGTGTCGGACTTGAGAGTCTGCATGAGGCCGGGGATGAGATCGGGAAGCGCATCCTCGCCCAGCTTCTCCACCAATGAACCAAGGGCCCTGGAGGCAGTAGCACGTGTGGTCGGCACCGGGTCGACGGCGGCAGTCTTGAGTCCTGCGACGAGAACGGGGAGGTGAATGATGAGATCCCTCCGCTCGGTGAGATGCGCAAGACTGCCGATAACCTGCGCGGCCTTGCGCTTGGTTCCTGATCGGCTGGCCAGGCCACGCTGGAGGATACGGGTGACCAGAGCGAGGGAAGGCGCGTCGAGGTAATGGACAAAGTGCACCTTGATGAGTGAATCCAATGCATCGTCGGTGTACTTTGTTGGGTCGCTGAGAGCCTTGAGGAGGATGTCGACGATACCCTGTACCTCGGGATTGGTGATGACTTCGCCGAATCGCTTGAGGGCCTTGTTGGCTGCGGCCCTGACCTCCTTGTGGCTGTCGTTCAAGACGGCGGTCAGAGGAGGGATGATTTCTGGCAGGCTCGAAGCAAGCTGTTGGGGGTCGAGATAGGCCATAGCTCCAAGCAGGTCGCAGGCGCCCCTCTTACTCCTCCACTGCTGATCATCGAGACCCGAGAGAAGAGTGGGCAGGATCTTCTTGACACCGTACGAGCTTAGTTTGGCAAAGGATGCCTTTGCCGTTTCCAAGGCGGCGTCACGGACATTGGCATTGCCATCCGCAAATCCTGTAAGAAGCTGGGGGACGATTTCGATAACATAGGGTTCAAAGATCCTTCCGAGAATCACGGAAAGTAATTCGTAGGCAAGAAGGGCTGATTCTCTTTGGTTGACCTCCTTCTTGTTTTCCATTGCGCCTTTTAGGCTGCTCATAATTCGGTACTCCCTCAGAGAGCCAATTCCTTTACCCTTGACAAGACCGGCCAACCCGTAGGCAGCTCCACGTTGGGTAGCATACTGTGTAGAGGAAAGTAGCGTCTCCATGATTTCTGCAAAATATCGTGACGACTTCTGGCCGTAAACCACCACAAGAGGAGGAAGACACTCTGCGATGGCGTACTGAACGGTTTCGGACGGGGTGCCGAGGGTTGCGACCAGTCTATCGATGACTACGGGAAGCTTGGGGTCGGTAGGCTTGAGATGGCGCGCAAGCGCGCCGTACATGATAACCACAGCCTCATTGACGCGGTCAGACGCCTCGGTATTCTTGTCGGGGCCTTCAAGGGTTTTCTCAAAGGCCTTCATCAACTTCTCCACAATGGCCTTGCCGTGAATGTCGATAATCTCAATGGCAGCCTCGAGCATCTCGGACCGGACAGCATCGCTCTTGTCGCCGAGGGGCCCCTTTTCGATGAGGAATTGGAAAGAGAATCGAGCTGCGCCTTGGTGAGGTAAGGCGCGAGCTCCTTGAGGGCCCTGGCAATTCCATGTCGGGCCTCCCAAGGGTCCGACAGGTCCATCTTCTTGGGCATCCCGTATTCGTCCAGCTGCTGAACCTTGGGCTTGGCTAGTTCAACGTAGGCGGCTTCCAGCTTTTCGATGACCATGCTCAAGGCGGCGGGCTGGGTCTTGATGGCCTCCGCGGGACCTTGCCGCAGACCTTCGCAATTGGCTGTCCTTGCTTTCGAGATAAGGAAGCATCCTAAACGGAGCATCAGATGAAACTGAGAACCCGCTTTCTTCCCAGATTTCCTGGCCAAGACTGCGGTTTTCATCCTCGTCATCGTGGGCCGCTAGCCATATCTCATTGGAGAAGTTGAGTTCACTCATGTCCACTTCAGAGCTGATGGACTGCAAGACGGCCGTTCGCACGGAGGCTTGGGGCACGATAGCTCCCTTAGCCAAAACCTCGATCTCGTCCAGTGACATGGATGGCGCCACGCATCGGCAGATATCGGAGAAGCAGTCCTTTGCGAGCTTGTAGTGTTGGGAGTGCCGTTGCATTGAATCAATGAGTGTCTCCAGAATGTCTGACCTCGGGACGGCTTCCACAGCACACACATCGGAATGGAAAGCTAGGACTTCGATGGAGAGGACAACTTGTGCATCACGGTCATCTTCGGCCTTTCCGACGCCGCCAGTGCGGAGAACATCTAGCAAAAGGGGAACCATGTAAATGAATGAGACTGGGTCAAAAGGCCGTTGTTCGCCGGCAAATCGCAACCGGTATAATACTCTTGTTAGGAGATCTTCGAGGGGTTCTTGAGTGAGTTCCTCCGGGATGGCAGAGACTCCCTTTGCACGCAATGTGGCGGCGGCGATGGAGACACGTGTGGGCCCTAGACGGCTCGTGGCCCTCTCGGCGCAAGCGATGACGGCCTTGGGGGCAGAGTCTCCAGTAATCAAGCAAGCTCCGGCATCGATCACAGAAAGAAGAGATTTTAAAGCCGGCTGGATCCACATGATATCCTCAGTCGGAGGCCCTGTGGCAAGGGCATGAACTATGCCAATGCCCCGGTTTAGCTTTGCAACCGTAGCACGGACAGACTTGCGGATGCCATCCTCTTTTTCAGCTGGGCATTAATCTTGGCAGACTCGTCGGCGGTCAGCTTCTTCTGCTGACCTTTCTTACCGGCCAGCTGTGACCTGAGTTCCTCCTCCCACTTGAGGATATCGTAGTCTTTGGCGTTCTTGTCGGGCACCGTCTTCTTCTTGTTTGCGAGGACGTCGATGAAAGCAGTGCCGTCCGGTGTCTTGTATATCGCGGCCTCTACAGGTCCGATCTTCTCAAGCTCTGTAGGGTCAAGGTCTTCTTCAATAAGAGAGATGATCCGCGATGTCATGGTTGTCGGAGATACGAAAGCCAGCTCAGCCGCCGCGCGGCAGGCCACCTCCTTGATCTTAGACACCTGTACTCCCGGGTTAAAACTAGAAGCTGGGCATGGAAAGGTTCCGGAAATAAAGTGCGTGCTTACCTGTTGCTCGGCAGAAGCTGCCGCCAGGATGTGGCTAATCAGGAGATCCTCATATCGCCGAGCAAGCTCGCCAGGGTCCCTTTCGGCCTTCAGGCAAAGGTCGATCCAACCGGAGCCGCCCACGAGGTCAGCCTGCCCAAGGACAACGAGGGAGCAAATTTGCTCATCTAGCCCTTGGGATGGAGCCTCATTGACGGCAGCCTCATCGGTGGTACTAGTAGGGTTCAAGCAGATGCTCCTCAAAACCGGGAATAGGGCGTCATTTTCAGACTTGCAGATAAGAGCGGGGCTGTCCTTGTCTGCAAGCTCGACAGCCTTTATCCAGCTCCACAAACCGTCGATAAGAAGCTTGGAAAAGGGTTCCGGATCCTTCTTATAAGTTTCTGATATGCGTTCTCGCACCTCTCGGACAAGTTGGCTACTCAAAGTCGAGGAGCATGAAAGAAATATGAGTCCTTCGGCCCAAGCAAGGGCAGCGGTGGGGGAGGCGGTTCGTAGTGTGGAAGGTGTGATTGATAATAGGGCCCGGCTCAGCCAGATCAACTCGTCGTCGGAAGTCAGCTTGCTATATATGCGGGGGTTAAGGAGAAAGGAAGGCTTCGGTTCTAGTGCAAGGCACTGCTTGGTTATCGAGATTTTGGAGATGGCCGTCTTGATGGCACCTTGATTAAGCCTCGCCTCTAATCCCGGAACCAGAGCGACCAAGACATACCCACCAACGACTAGGCCACTCTGGGAGGCTGCGTTAGGGTTAGCCAGCACCTCATTGTACGAGTCTAGTAGCTTGGGGACCGTTGCCTCTGCGAAAGGTCCGATCGCCTTGGCCTTCTCGTCATCCTGCAAACCCGCCCACAGGAGCTGTGCTGCCTTGAGAATCCATATCTTTCGCATAGGCGCCTTCTTGTCGCCGAGTCCTTTGGTGAAGGCATCCACGACGGGCTTGGGGATCTGAAGAGAAAGCTGTACGCAGGTGCGAACAAGGGCTGACGTTTCTGCTTGGAGGCAGAGTTCGTTGCCTTCTTTCGGCGCGACGGTGGCGAGGGCGGACGCGACTTGCTCCGCCTTGGCTACCGAAACTGCTGCCTGTTCAAGCAGTTGGGCATGGAGCAGTCTCTGTTCAACAGAGGCGAGCTTTCCGGATTTAAGTGGGGTCAAAATCTCATCTAGTGAGGCGTCGAGCGTGGCAGATGGCTGGGTCCTAGAAGAAAGAGCGGTAAAGAGGCAAGCACCCCCGTCCTCACGGCAGGATTCGAGGATTTAGCACTCGAGACGATGGGCTTCAAGAGGTTCTGGGCTAGGATGTCGGTGAGATCGAAGCTCTTAGGGAGAGACTCGACAAGAGGAACGATGACGTCGCAAAGGACGACCTCGGGCGCACGGAGCAGTCCCTTTTCTAGCGCGGGCACTATCGCCGCACGGAGATCATCGAGAGAGGTAAAATCAGAAAAGAAATCGGTAAAGGCTCCGGCGATATGTTTGGGGACGGATGTCCGAGAATTGATAACTTCGCGGGAGTAGAAGGTGAAGTACTGCGACTTGAGCTTCTCAACCACAGGCTTGGCGGTTGAGATGCGCGACGACACCCCGCAACGACGCCCAGAAAGGGGGCGTGGCGGGCAGTAGGTTGGTTGGCTTGCGAAGTCAGCTGAGAGATGACAGTTGTGATGGCTTGCTCGCCCGCGGGGCCTTCCAAGGAGCACAGCTTTCGGAGACCTCGGCGGGTGATGATGACGGCAGAATGGGATACGCCGGGCTTCGCGGAGGGCCCAAGGCACCTCTCCAGCACAAGGGCATGGCCCTGGATGATCTTGGCACCAAATTCTTTCCAAAGAGGAGTAGGCGCCAAATGCTGCGTTAGGAGGCTGCACCATTCAACGAGAACAAAGGCGATGCTTGGGGCGATGCCGGGCCGTTGACATTCCTGGTAGAGGGCGGCAACGAAGGGAAGAAAAAGGCCAGAGTCGGTGCTGCTCTGCAGGATCGTCACGAGACATGTTTGGACAGCTTTTCGAGACTGACGGTCGTGGTAGGCCTCATGGGTCCAAAAGAGGACTCTGAGAAGGGCGGAAACGGTCGCGGGAGGGAGCTCTGATGGGAAACATCTCAAGGTTAGCTCAATGAGTCTAGATTCGCACTGCAAGCGTCGTGAGGTTCGGATTCTGGGCCAAAAGACCTCGGATCTCGAAAGGTAGTCGTGTATGTGCAGCTAGGTCTAACGCATACCTTTTTGTGCAACCTTCTCGTCGATGAGTCGAAGCTGGGCCTGGCGAGCGGAGGTAGACGAGGACATCAAGGCAAGTTTGGCAGCCGAGAAGTCGAAGGCCACGGGCCCATCGGCGGTTGGTTCAGCCATGGCTTGCGTCACGTACAATGGCTTTCGATGTGCAGGGTTTAGGTATAGAGAAGGGGGCGGTGATTCGATTAGGCCGGTCTAGGCATTGGGGGCAAGGCGAAGAAGGAATGCGTCCGCCCAACCGAGGCAAGAGAGGGACGGCGGTCGAGTACGGCGTTGGTCTCAAGTGAAGTTTTTGAGAAACGGAAAAGTACTGTATGCTCCTCAGCTGGTCGGGGTGTTTTTGTTTCTATCTAGAGGTAACAAAAGAGGGATGGGGCTATGAGGAAGAGGAGAATTGTTAAAAACCGAAGAAAAGTCCCCAAGCTATTCACCAAGAAAATGGTACATGGTACCCCTGGGCAAGCAGGAGAGTGTAGACATGGGAAAGTCTAAGTTACATGGAGGCGGAGGATAAACTACGCTTTGCGCATAGCCGATGGAGGCCTGGCATGGAAGCAACGTGTAGCGCACAGTAACCAGGAGCTTGCTAGGGACGTGTACGAAGACATCCATGGATCACGACCAAGTTGTCTAGGGAATTGGACTCACCATTGCCTTTGGAAGGTAAACAAGACGAAGGAAGCTTCGAAGACAATCTACGATATGTATTCCGTATGCTGATACGAAAATTGTAATCTGAATTTGGGCAATGGAGGAATGAGCAACAAGTAATATACTCGTCAGCATTGGCCGTGAGGGAAGGGAACAAAAAACGGCCCACGACATTCAATATCCCAAGTTCGAAATGTGTGCGCAGATCTGTGACTAAGAATGAGTACAAAGGAGGGTATGGCGGGGCTATCTCTTGAGCGAATCATATCGTCGCTGCCCCTCCAAGTTTTAGTCTTCCAGAGCTGATTAGAGCATTTGCTTAAGCTCCACGGCACGAAATACCTGTGCTAGCTCCTAGCAACACTCTCATCTCTCAAAACCAATCTAGTGAAATCAGTAGGCAAACAAACACCCTCGCCAGAGAGTCCTCCATGGCCCTAGATTGAATGGAGATAAAGTTGGCCTGAAGTTGCTAGCCCGTATGTATCGTCCTCAGAGGTATAGCCTTGCAAGGAAAGGGATTATGATAGACTTTATGACCATCAATTGCCAACCTACTCGAGTCTCGAGCCAACGATGCTAGCATTACCTCGGAACACGTCAACATAGTCTAAGCCTCCCTCATCAAGTTCATCTATCTTGACCTAAACTTGGCATATCTATATCTTCATGGATCTATCTAACCCAGCATAGACGAATGGCCAGACAATCAGATCAGGGTCTTCCAACGATGCTGCTTAAAAGGTCGACCTGTATATGCAAATATAAGATCAGTCAGGACATTGGCACCACATCTCTAGTTAAACAAGGTCGACGCAAGACTGAAAGTTAGGGAGCTGGCCAGCAAGTGCGGCTTATTATTCGTTTCCTGCTAGACAACCACACGTACGTTCTCTCTAGATTCGAGGTGGCTGGTTGTACAAGTAGAATTCAATTCAAGATGATTGATAGCCTCAAGAGTCTGAACCGACTAATTGAATTTATAGTGGAGATTACATGTAGTAATGAAACCGTGACTTGCCAAAGAGTAGAATCTATTTAACCAAGTACTTCGAGTTATTTTAATCATCCCATCAAAGACTATCTACAATCGGGGAGCAGAAAGGGTCGTCAGGGGGAGAAACATCCATAGCTACGTAGATCAAGATTCCGATGTACTATCAGAGTCGGTTTGAAACTCCAACACGCTTTTCCACGGCTTCAAGTGAAGGCTAGCGATATTTGATTTATGTAGTCACCCTTTCTCGCCCCAATAATGAAATAGGCCCCTTGAGCTGAGAATCGATGTCCGTTCTCTCCTTAAGGCCGTTTCCGGATTTTTGGTTGTCTACACTACATTCGTGTATGCAATCAATCCGCCATTTCCCTTGCCTTCTCGCTCCCCAAGCTAAAAACTTCTCCCCTAGCGCCAAGCCTAAATATCCCACTTGCCCACCCACCCATCATTAACGACCAGACGTCATAAACTAATAGTCCTCACTCTAAATCGCGAGAAGAAAAAGAGTTGAGCGCACATTTCTTGACAACGCCAGAAGGACCATCAGCCATTCGCTACTAAGCCTCTCGTCATGGCCGGCGCTAAGAAAAAGAAGAAGCCCGCCGCCAACCCAGCCCGCGGCTTCGCCACGACTTCTGTTGCGTCGAAGCCGCGCGTGGAGCAGGCCGAGCTGGAAGACTCTGCTTCGACGGCGTCCCTGTCGAAACCGGGTGCAGCAACGCCTCTCGCCTCTGCTCAGGCTCCGTTAGGCTCCCCGCTGGCCCTGGCCCTGGCCAAGCTGGAGCTCAAGCCTCTACCGCAGCGGGCCAGAACCCGGAGCTCACTCCCGAGGAGTTTGAACGGCAGCTCGAAGTAGCTGAGCTGCAGATTCTCGTGGAGAAACATGGCCCCAAAGTCAAACGCGATGCGCAGAGGCAAAAGGCGCGTCTGGAGACGGACCGGCGGATCCAGAGGTCGAGTGCTGATTCGATCAACTGCCCTAAATGGCTGCCCCCTGAGATCATGGATCATATTTTGGACCTCATCAAGGCCGAGAGCCGCTTCGCGTCCGTAGGCGTGTCATCCGAGGCCTCCGCTGCGAGTTCGTCAGGGAAGATGCCCCCGAGGAAGACCTCACCGTCAAGCTCTGGACGCTGCAACATGCTCTGACCAGTGCCGGCATCTCCCCGAACCGCACTCGCGAAGCCATAGTCTATGTACTAGACATGTCTCCCAGTATCCCCTCAAATTCAAGAGATTCTCTCTGGGGACTCGAGGAGGCTCTAGACTGGCTTGCCAAGGAATGCTCTCCTGAAGAGCTTCCATCCTATGAACCCAGAGGCCGTCCAGCTCCCAAACCCATAGGTAAGCCCAAGAGAAAATGGCCTCGCAGTGCTACGGCATATTGGGCCCTCTTAGGCCCAGTTTGGCTAACACGTGGCGAGGTGAAGACGATATGCAAGATAGCGAGCCCTCTAAGAAGCCCGCCTCCAAGGGCAATGGCCCCGCCTCGTCCAAGAAGTCGGGCCCTGCCAAAAAGAAGCCGGCTGTTTTCTGTGACAGTGATATTGAGCCTGATGATTTAATACCTGAATACATGAAGGCCAAGGAAAGACTGTTCGAGCTCGAGCGGCCACTCGCGGATAATAAAAAACGAGGCAAAACTCCCAGAGACAAGACTGCTACTGGCTTGACTGAGGAGCAAGAATTGGAGATGGCTAAATTGCAAGCCAAAATCCAGAGAATCGATAATGATGTCCTTTTTGACAAGCCACTAGCGGAACATCAATGGAGGGCCCGAAAGATCGTTCTGGAGAAGGAGTACTCGGAGTCCCAGAGAGCAGCTACTCGGGCACCCCAGACGAACGAAAAGCAAGCAACAGGCGCCACCCCGGCTGCCAAGACGGCCGAAAATGGCGTTGATGACGACGATATCAATTTAGAGGCCGAAAGGATTGCCGCCGAAATTCTCGCGCAAAACGACGACGACGAGGACCAAGATCTCGCCGATCTCTTCTCCAGTTTACCAACAACCGAGGTGGACCAGCAGACGGGGAAATCCAACACGGTACTAAACGGCTCAGACGGATCAAGAATCGTCATTCGAGACTTTGTGAAATGGGGTGGGATCAATCCTACAAGAGTGCTACAAGACGCTTGTCGTGCCAGGTAAGTAACATATTGTCCGTACCAAGTCTTTTCACTCCGTAAAGTGTGTTTAGACTGACGATTTTGTTAAAGGGATCCATCAGTGTCGATAAGCTATAACTTGATCTCAGAGGCGTCGTTCGCAAATAGGCACATGGTGACCATTGAATGGAAGGCCGCACAGGATATCTTGGCCGATGAGATTGTGCCAGAGGTCAAGGTCTCTGTGACACCAAATCGAACAAGGTTTACCATGGCTTCCATTGCCACTCCAGACAAGGCCAAATCCGAAGCCCTTATCGCAACTTACGCCTTGTTCCACATTTTTGGATCGTCGTCGAAAGAGGAAAAGGTATTCCTTCGACTTCCGCCCGTCTGGCGGGATCTGTGGGTTGAGTATTCGGAGATACGCAAGGATCAACTCGACACCGCTGACCGCTCGGCCTTGGGCGAGTTGCGCGCCTTGGTGAGACAACGTCGGGATCAAGAGCTCGAGGACGGCGTCATCCTCCAAGGCTTCCGGGGAGAGTAGCGGCAAGAAACCAGTCGGAAAATAAGGACGACTCAAGCCAAGACAGAGGGAAAGGCGCCTTTGAACCGGCTGAGCGCCTCCGAAATATCTGGGGGAGAAGAGCGGCTCCCCAAAGTTCCAGTTTATGTTGGTACGTTTTCGGCGACGGATGCGTACGTTCAATGCCTAGACCAAGCTGACCGTCTTGATTTCATTTCTGCCTACAGGAATCTCGTCGTCAACTTCCTATGTGGAGCTTCAAGTCCAAGGTGGTAGAGACCATCGACGCAAACCAGGTTGTTATTCTCTGTGGAGAAACTGGATGGTAAGAGCGCTCCTTGTCCTAGAAACCTTCTTTTATCCCATTGCTAGGGGCCATATGCAGGAACTATGCTAATACACTGGATCTTCGAACAGTGGAAAGAGTACACAGCTCCCCTCTTTCGTCCTCGAACATCAACTCTCCCAAGGCAAGCACTGCAAAATTTACTGTGCGGAACCGCGCCGAATCTCGGCAATTTCCCTGGCTCGCCGTGTGAGCGAAGAGCTGGGAGAGAATAAAAGTGATCTAGGTACAAACCGGTCTCTTGTCGGTTATTCCATCCGTTTAGAGTCCAACACCTCCCGCGAAACCCGCCTGGTGTATGCGACGACGGGTATCGTCATGCGCATGCTGGAGGGCTCCAACGACTTGAGCGAAATCACCCATCTCGTTCTTGACGAAGTCCATGAGCGCACAATCGATAGCGACTTCCTCCTCATCGTCTTGAAGAAGTTGATCAAACGACGACCTGATCTCAAAGTAATACTCATGTCGGCCACCGTCGACGCCGAAAAGTTCTCGAGCTATCTGGGAGGCGCACCCGTTCTCGAGGTACCCGGACGAACCTTCCCGGTCCAAACCCGTTTCCTCGAGGATGCTATCGAGGTCACCGGATACTCTATTGGTGAAGACCGCAAAACTGCGGAACTCATTGATCTAGATGATGACCCTCCCGAGCAGGAACCCGAGGGCGCCAAAGCGGGACTCCTGGGAGACCTTTCGCAGTATTCCTCTAGAACAAGAGCTACCTTGGCGCAAATGGACGAATATAGGATCGACTTTGACCTCATAGTCCAGCTCATCGCCAAAGTAGCCAGTGATGAAACTTACTCTCAATATAGCAAAGCCGTCCTGGTGTTCCTCCCGGGTATCGCAGAAATCCGAACACTCAACGATATGCTGCTAGGAGATCCTCATTTCAGCTCAAACTGGTTAATATACCCACTTCACTCGAGCATCGCAACGGAGGACCAGGAAGCCGCATTCCTTATTCCGCCGCCGGGTGTACGAAAAGTGGTCTTGGCCACCAACATCGCCGAGACCGGTATCACCATCCCCGATGTGACCTGCGTGGTTGACACCGGCAAACACAAGGAGATGCGGTTCGACGAGCGCCGGCAGTTATCCCGCCTAATCGACACTTTTATCTCACGGGCAAATGCCAAGCAGCGCCGTGGTCGCGCAGGTCGAGTCCAGGAGGGCCTCTGCTTCCACCTCTTCACGAAGCACCGCCACGACCGCATCATCAGCGATCAACAAACCCCGGAGATGCTCCGTCTCTCGCTACAGGACCTGGCGATCCGCGTCAAGATTTGCAAAATCGGTGGCATCGAGGAGACCCTCAACGAGGCTCTCGATCCGCCTTCCCAGAAAAACATTCGTCGCGCCGTGGACGCCCTCGTGGACGTGCGCGCCTTGACAGCGGCCGAGGAACTCACACCTCTCGGGCGACAGTTAGCCCGCCTCCCGTTGGATGTCTTCCTAGGAAAGCTCATCCTCCTCGGTACGGTGTTCAAGTGCTTGGACATGGCTCTCACCGTCGCAGCCATCCTCTCCGCCAAATCGCCCTTCTCGGCTCCGTTCGGCCAGCGTACCCAGGCAGATGCCGCAAGGCTGGCGTTCCGACGCGGCGATTCGGACCTCCTCACCATATACAACGCCTATGTCTCGTGGAGGAGGGTCTGCCAGCAAACTGGCAAGGATTTCCAATTCTGCCGCAAGAACTACTTGAGCCAGCAGACGTTGGCAAACATTGAGGATCTCAAGGGCCAGCTTCTCGTGGCCCTGGCCGACTCCGGGTTCCTCCTTCTCGCCGACGAGGAGCGCAAGGCCCTGAACCGCATGCGCTACTCATCGGGCGGGCGCGGGAGGAGGCAGCAAAAGTTTTACGAGATCCCCAAGAGGGTGGACCTGTACAGCGACAACGACGTGGTGACGGCTTCGGTAATTGCATGGAGCTTCTATCCCAAGCTGTTGGTGCGCGACCCGCCGGGCTCGCGGTCGCTGAGGAACATTGGCAACAACCAATCGATTAGCCTCCACCCTTCATCCGTGAACAAGAGTCAGCTAGATCTCAAATGGCTCTCGTATTACCACATTATGCAAGCAAAACAGTAAGTCCTTCCTATCCGTGGAGCCGCACGGGGACACACACATTAACCACGCTACCAGAGTTTATCACGCCCACGAAACCACGGCCGTAGACCCATTCGCCATCGCTCTACTTGGCGGTGATGTCCGATGTGATGTAAGTTGATACCTTGTCCCTCCCCTCCCTGTTCGGCCGGAATGATCCGTCCCGCCCACAACAATGGAAAAAAGCCAGGACTAACCGTGGAACCCTCCTCCCCCTTCCTTTCATCGCAGGTCTACTCTGGAGTCATCATCCTCGATGGGAACCGTGCCCGATTCTCCGTACCCGACTGGAAAACGATGCTCGTCATCAAGGTTCTCCGGGCAAGGTTACGTGAGCTGCTAAGCAAGGCTTTCAAACAGCCCGGCAAGCTTCCGACCGCCCAACAGCTCCGCTGGCTGGACATCTGGCAGAAGATCTTTACCCTGCAAGACGCGAAGGATGCCCAGCGGTAGTTCTTGTTTCTTAGCTGTTGGCAGGTAGTAATGAAATAGACTCCCGGGGCTCGTATCCTCTGCTAGGCCTTATTGCTGTGATGATGTACGTTTGTGTGTTTACTCCGGAGCCTGAGCTAATGTGGGCACAACTGTATCACAGCAAGGTAAACAGCAAAGGTCAAAGCTGGTACTTCGTGCTACTTTTCGTTGGATCTGGGATTGCTATTAAAATGAATGGAACTAAAAGTTACGAGAGCATTTCAAGATAAACGGACAACGAGTTTTAAGACGGAGGCTGCTGGAAGCGCTCATCTACAATCCTCAAACGCGAGGATCGAGTTGCGACACGGACAAAGACAGGCAACTAAGGAAAATAATAATAAAAACAAAGCCAACGCTGATAGGCATTACCTGCCTCTACTTGTTAAAAAGGCTCTCAAAGTTTATAGACACAACACCCGCTTCGTGTAGTTTCTGGATGTCCCGCGGTAATGTACATAGGGAGGTTAGACTACTAATACAGCTGAAAACATCACAAAAGGACACCCGACTTGGCTGAGGAACGAGGACCCTTCCCGTATACACGGTCCTGCGTTGACCCCTTCCTTTTTCCAGTAACAAGGAATATTTGGAAAGAGATGACGAAAAAGAAAAAAGAAAAAAGAATGCAGCCTTCACTCCGATCCAGACACCCCCGCAGACTTTTTTTTCTTTGCTGCGGGGTGTTTTTGATTAGACGGTATCCTTCTTCGACTCCGAAACGCCCGGCCTGTCTGAAAGAAACATGGCCTTGAACTCTGCATTGGACTTGGGCTTGGACTCGGTCTTTTGAGCGTCCGACTCTTCCGACCCAGCCTTGGGTATCCCCCGCCGCTGAGCTTGAACCGCTGCTGCTTGGGACAGCGGGAGTCCTTGGCGCGAAGCCGAGGCCCTTCTTACCACCTCGGCCAAGGACTGGTCGCCTAACAGTGACAGGCTGCATTAGGACTGGTTTGGCACCGGTAGCAGGGCCAGAGCCGGCCGACACCTTCTTTCCCTTGTCCTTGTCCGAGGCCTGTCGTGAGGGGGCACCCTCTTCCGGAGCAGCCTTTGTGAACCTTGCAAGGTCGGCGAGGCTTCCAGTCTGGATTTTGACGCCCTCGATCTCCGCTCCGTCGAGCTGGAGAGATGCGCGTCCTGCGGTGGCTTCGTCGAAGAACTCGACCACTGCCGTCCCCTTACCCGGCTGATAAACAAGCTTGTGGAACGCCCCAACAGGCTTGAGAAGGGCCTCAACCCGAGCATGGTTGATAGTTTCGGGTAGGTTCATGAGCGCGATCTTGCGCGCAGATACCGGACCGCTATGGCGTGTCTGCGCGCCACCGGCTTCAGTGGGCGTACCTCCGTCTTGCATAACCTCATCGCCTTCGGCATCACGCGGCGATCCTTCGCGCGCCGCGGGATTGATCACCTTGGCGGACACCTTGGTTTTGGGTTGAACCGCTAACTCAACGGAGAGGATGCGGCTGCGAAGCTTTGTGTTGTTCAGCTCCGCAACGGCCCGTTCCGCATATTCCTTCTTTTCATATTCCAAAAACATACTGCTATACCCCTTGCCTCGCCGACTTTCAACCAGGTTGACCCTAGTAAGCCCTCCATATTTGGAAAAGACGTCGCGTATATCCTCTTCCTTGAGAGAATCGTCTAGATTCGACACCCGCACTTCCCGGCCTTCGGAGACTGCGCCTTCGCGTTTCTTCTTCTTCGCCGGATCCGAGTACTTGACTTCGAGCTTAAAGGTACCCTCCAAGACCTTCCCATCCAACTTGACCGCCTTCGCAGACGCCTCCTGGTCCCTGAAGGACAGGTAGCAGAAGCGTCTACGCGTGTTGAACTTGAGACTAGGCCATCTCACGCTCAAAATGTCGCCGCACTCCTTGAATAGGGAGCGCATATACTCGTCATCGGCCACGGGAGGGTAGTTGGTGACAAAGACGGTAAGCTTCGCCCCAGACGTAACCCGAATTTGATTTTGCCCAAAATATTTGCTGTCGCGGAAGCTGATAGCGTCCGTAGCATCCTGCACGGACGCAAATTCGACCAACGCCGTTGAGGTGTCGGTGTCCTTATTCTGCACGAGGGTTATGTTTTGGATGCGGCCGAAATCTTTCAGGTATTTCTTGATGGCGGTTTGTGTCGCATCTGCAGGCAGGTTGTTAATCAGCACAGTGGTATGCTCCCGGTCTCTGTGGGGGCGTCTTCGACATTCGCGGGGTGTTCGGTGTCGCCATTGGCGCCATCACCCTTGGGCCGCTTGATCGACTTTTCGTCCACCTCACCGAGGGTGTCGCCGCGCTTTCTTTTGGCGCCTGATGGGGAATCGGCAGGAACAGGATCGTGCGCTTCAGGGGGTTGGTGTCTACTCCCGAGGCCGCGAGGGCTTGTTGATGCGCCTCCGCTTGCTGGGCATAGGCTGCGGCAGCTTCCTCAGCCTCTCTCTCGCGCCGTTTAGCTACAACTATCCGGACCTTGTGAACATTATCTCGAGCTCGGCGGATCGTGTTCGGGGATTCGTAGTCGTTGCAGTGTTGCAAGTACGCACTTATAGCACGTTCGGGCCAGTCAAGGGTCTTTTGATTGACCGCGCGGGATATTATTACGGTAGCCTTGCCTGGGATGGGCCGATCGGAGGTCGGGGCGGAGTTGAGGTGTGATTTCGGCTGAGAGAAGAATATTTGCATCTCCCAGAGGTAGTAGGCGCGCCAAAAGTCGTAACGGTCGGAGTATAGAGACTTCCTTGCCAGCTTTTCCCACTGCGTCCTTGCTTCATCCAGATCGCCCTCCTTCTCCGTTAGATATTGGATGTAGATCCTCTCGAGTCGAAAATCGGGGTCGCCTTGGTATTGGTCGTCATACAGACGCTTGCCGAGGACGTCGACAGATTCGAGCGCGGCAGGCAAGCCAACATCTGCAACGTCGATAGCCTCCTCCGAGGCAGTGGGGTTCATGGCTGTCCGCTTCAGGTATCCGCACCAGGCAACATACATCTCCAACAGGCTGGTGAGACCATCCCTATAGATCTGAGAATTATTTGTAGCGGCGTGCTTGATCTGTTCAATCTCAGCAAAGGATAGCCCGGCTTCCTCGGCTGCCAAAATGTAGCGGGACCAGAGAGGGCCTGACCAGGGACAGTGGTCGACGGCTCTTTGGAGAGGAGATAGGAGACCGGCCGCGGGGTGGGACGAGGGAGGCTAGAGGAGAGATAGGTCATGTAATCGAGCCAGGTTGAATCTTCTGTCGACAGGACACCTGTGAGAGCCCTGGAGAATAGGCCACGGCAGAGATCATCGCGCATATAAGATCCCTCGTCCTTAGTCCTGGTCTGCGCAATCTCCCAAGCCAGGTATTCCTTGGTCGCAACGCCCTCGGCTTCAATGTCGTGAGCGCGGACTGCCTTCTCAAGACGAAACTCGAATCGCTCTCGGTCGCCGAGGATGGCTTTGGCTCCTTGCGCATCTGCCGTGACTTGCTTCATTGTGGACTCCCAGCTTTGGCGATTGTACTCGGAGAGAAAGCTTGAAAAGCGCTGAGACGTCTCATCCCAGGTGAGATGGGGGTGCGCAGTCGGTCGAGATATAGAAAGGTGATGCGCTCGATGCCTTCGCGAGTTCTCGTGCGCGATAGAAGCTCCATCTCCACCTCAACCCAGCGATCCCAAAGAAGATGGCTATCTCCTATGCGAAAACGGACATCCTCGTAGGCACTTTGCCAAAGCTGCAAGTCGGCATCAAGAGAGAATATTTCGCGGCCCATCATTAATTCCTCGCCAGACCACGATGGGTCGGCAGTTTGGCACGCAACGTAGAGGGAGTGGAAGTATTCGCAGTAGGCCCGCCATATTCGCAGGGAGCCCGGCTCGGCAGAGATGGCACGTTTGTAGAGTTCAATCGCATTGACACGTTTTTCAAGATCATTCGCCGTCCGACAGGCTTCCTCGACATAGGCGACCCAGTTGTCCTGGCCCACGGGGTTCGTGGGGTCGGAGGCCACAGGGGTCATTTCGTGGGCATTCAGGCAGGGCGTGGTGGATACGGTTTCTATCCCAGCATTAATGATGGTATCGGAAGGTCGATTGATTGAAATACGATATTCGATTCGATAGGTGGCGGCCGCGCACAAGAGGGTATCGGAATACAGGCGAGGTCGGGGAGACGGAGTGGTAAAGATTTGTTATTTTGGGGCGGGAACAGAGTTCAAAAGAAGGGGGTCCTTGAAGTGAAGAAATCGAATCGCGACGCGGACTGGCAGGAGCACCCAATGAAGGAGGAAGCACTGACTCTAGCCAATGGGGCGGGTTACGTGAGATGGTGTGTCGGCGATAGCGATAAGAAGGAGAAGGCTGGTGACACTGTGACACCATGACACTTGACACCTCGTGCTTTCCCATCCACGCTGCACTCCACTGCACCAAGCCTGAAGTTAAGGCGAGATTTCGGAAGCCGCAACCAAATTATTTCCCCCAGAAAAAAAGAAGTAGAAGGAAAACAGAACCCCCAACAAGAGCAAAAGGGTGGTTACACAAGCAAAAATTCACATCGCCGAGAATGGTAGGCATCGGGTTTCCATCACGAGTTTAATTTGACCTCCCAGTAGATTCCGCGCCCTCATCATCACCCAGATCATGTCTCTTCATTCTCTTTTTCTCTTTTTTTTTTTGTTCCTTTGCTCTTCGAGCGAGTGGGATCTCAGGAGCCAACACTCGTTCAAGCTTTCACCATGAGCAGGCACAGCATTTTGTCGTTCTGGAGCCACTGGCCCCGCCCCTCCCCAATACCTCAATCAAGAGGCTCCGTCTAGTCCGGTCTAGACCGTCGGAGCATTGAGAACAAGGCCTAGACTCCAGGGCCTATCGCCGCAGCAGTACAACAAGTTGATATTGAGGTGGAGGCTGGCTACATAGCGACCTGGTGTATGGTCTGCACATTGCAGCATCAGGCCATCTTCCACCAAGACCACGTCAGTTGTCGCTCTCCCCTCTTCCCCTCTCCCTTTCTCTCTACTTCTCTCTTTTTCCTCGTTCTCCCTCTCTCTCTCCCTCCTCTCCAGATCTGCAGCCGACACAGGGTTTCCCGCCAACAAGGTCAAATCCAGACTATTGGTCAGTCGAGCGCATTAAAACGCCCCGGGAAAAAGGAAAAACAAAGAAAGAGAATTGCGTTCAAATCCGGACAGACTCAAACGTAGATGGAAGAAGAATACAAAGGACAACGAAGCTGTGTTCAGCATTCAGATCACTGATGATGGACGGACAGCGTCATGCCGTGGAGATCAAGGTTGGTGCTGAGAAAGCACAAAGCTAAACCAACGATTTGCTTTTACATTCAATGTAAGCTTTAGCTTACTGCCTTGAATGGCTATCAATTGATGTCAGCCGGTATGAGCATCGACACCAATATCAACTGCATCCATCTATGTTTGTCCCCTTGAGCTAGTATACTTGTAGAGCTCTATTCGAGGGGCAGACGGAACCTAAAATATCGGATGAAATGGGTCTATCCCAAATCGGTTCACCCACAACCTCACTACTTGGTTCCATGGACGACTCTTATCTGGGCAGTCTCATCTTCAGTTCAGACGGAGCAGTGCCGACAAAGGCTGTGCTGAGGATTGTTACACGACGTGCATGGCTGCACTCCTCCTGTCCTCATGGTGATTTCCCTTTTTCTTTTCTCCATCTCGTTCTAATATATTCCCCATCTTTTGGTCATTAGGATCGTTTCTAAGCGCTAAACCCCGCTCTGCAACGGTTCGGTAGACTTTATGCAAGGCCGTGAGAAAAGCATGGACAACCAGTCGCGAGAGAGGGCACTTCACCGCGTCTGCCATACATGTAGAGAAAGTGAACTGACGATATGACTGGGAAAGCTGAGAGAGCAGCACCGCTCAGCAAATGCCAACGTCAGCAACACCAGCGCCATTTTGTGCGTCTCAAGTGTAGGTTTCTTATTATTACTATTCAAGCTAGATGCATCAACGTGTTCAACGTTGTCTTATATCCTTGTGCCTCGTTCAGCTGAGCGCTGGACTTTCATAGCGCCCGCCTTCCGTCTGCGGAGACTCGAAAGAGTCAATGGATGGACTCGACCTGGAAGGTTATCGGTTATCTCGCGCCTTGGAATATCATAGGAAGGCCGTCAATTATTGCGTTGACGAGCGCGCGCGCGCGTGTATGTTTCAAACATCTTGGGACGACTAGTTCGCCCGTCTCGAATTCTTTATTGCACATCCTGAATCAACCAGGCACAGTTTCAACCCTCCAACTCATATTGGGCTTGAGGACTACTTTCTTCGCGTCATCCGATCTTCATCGACGTGTGAGGGCACGCCCCTCCAAAATGATTGAGAGTCACAGGTTTGAGATGGGCCAAGGTTCTCAGTTCCAGTAAAGATTTCGGAGGGTCGAGCGAACCGAACCCATCGCGCGCGCGCGTGTGAAAGACACCAAGATTCTCCATCCAATATCCATTAGTTTGTTTAATTAGGGCGCGACGGCAATTTACTCAATGCCATGGTGATCATCACATCATGCCTTCTCGCTCATTTTACCACGACGAAGGTAGAGCACCCGTTACGGGTGCTCATGAGGGCAAGCATCGGGCTGAAAGAGGATTGCTGCTTGCATTCAAAGTTGTGACTGCGAATTGTGGACCGTGATGGTGGTGGCGGTGATCGAAGGGGGCTTCATTCAGCTTGCATCCCGACTGGAGAGGGGGAATCGTAACATTTTCAGCTTCAACCTTGTGGATTCAGGGAAAACATCTCTCTCGATGTTGGCTGGCCCTATATGTAGCATGGGCTTTACGTATCAACCCCCCTCCATGTACTCATCGTGGAGGGCATAAAGCATTCCAGGGTACCGATTTCTGCAGGGTGCCCGCTCTCATCGAATCGGATCACGTTGGTGACGAGTCGACGTCTATTGATGCAACAACCCGTGAATCATCAATGGATACGGCTGTGTATGTTTGGAGATGTAAATATAGCCATCGCGAGCATGAGAGCTGGATCTCGAGAGATCCCCGTCCCCTTTCTTTTGCATTATCAAAGATATTCATTGGCAGCCATATTCCCGGTCACGGTTGCTCCAACGATTTTGATTAACCAATCGATGTATTGCAGAGAGTCTCGCTTGGGGCGTGCGCTGGAGAGAGGTGAGCATTGAAGCATCCATCTTTACGGCTTGACCTGACCCCCAGACCTGGTCCTCTTGATGGTGGAGCTCCTCGATGAGACAAATCTATGTCAATCGTCCCCTTCAATTGAGGGCACCTGAGCCTCTGTATCTTGATTTGGACAGGCCAATGTACCCGATCGAAATCGGTCGGTCACCAACTCCTCCGGGGTAGCTGAGGGGCAGGTGCATCTCGACGAATGGTTCTAGGGCCCTCATCATCGGTCGGCATAGTCATCAATGGTTGAAAAGGAAAAGGGATGCTCTTCGGGAGTCGGGCAGAAGGGCCAGGTTGTTGGATCAGCTTGTCTCAGCTTTCGGTCCAATAATGCCTCCTTGCATATGCCGACCTGAGCTTGAGGTAGATGCCACGAGGCTAGATTTTTATAGTGGTGCCCATTCGATTTTTATGGCCCACCAAATGCTGCAAGCAATCTAAAGATTCATCGGTACCCGTCTCACAACCACTCTTAACGACTATTCAGATCTATTAGTCGTTGCCACGGGTGAGCGAAGCACACCATCATCCCTTGAAAGCCGGAGGCGGGGAAGAAGGAAGGGAGAAGATCGAAGGTCGAGGTGGCGGCTAGAATTCTACACTAGAATTCTACACTCCATATTGCTCCAATGCGTTCAATGTGTTTAATGTTACCATTGTGCACTGCGTGTGCCGTTACTAGTGATTTGGGGATTTGAGAATACACCCCGGCGTGGTTAGACTGGTGAGGCCATGCTGAGAAAAGACGCGTTTGGGTCTCTGGTCATGGAGATGGACAAATATTCAACATTGAGGCGAGTCGGTATTGTTACCGAGACAAGGCGAAACATCAGGGCGGGGACGCGAATGTCGTGATGAAAGATGATCCACGGTTGCAGCCAGAGACAGTAGGGCATATTGGGCAAATCGAAGTGGAATATCAAACCTAGCGCACATAGCGGATCGATTGCCATCATCAGACTGACCCATACTTTTGTCTTCAGGGAGGATCAGGAAGGACATCAGCTATGACATTTCGCTATTTTCTTTTCTCCACTCTGTTTGAAGCATACACGTAACCTGAAGAATCGTCACGATGAAAGTGTTAGATCGAATGCCCTTTCCCACCCCCTTCCGTGGATTCCTGTAGTCTTGGAGGGCATTGGGGGCATTGGAGGGAAAGTGAAGTGTAGTTTTCACCATTGGGTATTGAAGCTTGATATTGGCATTAATATCAGCCAGCTAAATTCGGCTTCGAGGCGCCGGAAGCAGTATTCTAGAAAGAACGTCGCATTATTATTGCATGGACTGGCTTGACTGGCTTCACTTCAGCTCTCCCACAACCCATCAATGGCCGCCCCACTTTTTCCCGAGATGAACCAGGGAGCTGGAGAAAGGGGAAAGTGTACTTCTACGTCGGTACGTCGGGCTAGGCCAAGGGGTTCGAAGGCTCAGGGGCAGCGACGACTCGTGACGACGACTTTGACATCCATCCCCTTTTGTTGATTTGCCCTGTCTTTTACACTGACTGGCTTACACTACGAAGGCAACAGATATGAGGTTGGCCTCCTCATCACCCGTCCAAGCCGTCCTTCACTATTCACTACATATTGATCTTGCTTCATGTACTTGAGGTTTGCAGGAGCAGAAAAGACACCCGCTTCCTTCGAAATCGAGACGCACGGGACGGGGTGCAAGTTATAATACGTGGGGTGCCGAGCCTGGAGTGAAGTGAAAAGACTGGTCGTGGGGAGAGGGAAAGGGGAAGGAGAGGGCTGGCGAGGGAAGAATAAAAGACCAAATCAGGGACTAACAAGCCAAGCCTATGGCTTTGGAGGTCGGGTTGAAAGGTGCTCAAGTGGGAGGAGACAAGCAGCAGCTTTAAGGGTGGCTGAAACTGGTGAGGAATGGTGCAGAGCCAGCTTCCCCACTCGAGCAGCTCCATTCATCCATTCCGTTGATCCAATGGATGGATAGATCCATTGTATTGCTCGACATAATAATTCCCTCCAGCTCCCGAGTGTTGGTTACAAGTAGGCACGTTGCTCGCTCATTACCATCATGCGATTGCAAGATTTGGGTTTAATGAAAGGCACCCGGGTTTATGGGCTGGAGGGGAATATTGCGGGTTCAGGCCAGGACTCGGCCAACAACGTGTGCATCGAGGTCAACTAGAGTGGAGAACAGAGTACCCGCGCTGGAAGGTCGCTTCATGTTTTCAATATTATTTCCACCTCCCATTCTGAGAAGAAAAATCACACTGCTTTTTTAGCATTTTCAATGTTCTTTTCTTTGGCGTGGGGGCTTGTCCTGTTCGCTTTTACAACTCCTCCCTCCTGTTTCAGACTTGAGGGGGTGCTCGACTTCGTGCATATATCGGTGTCACAGCTTCGGGAGGACTCCTGCCAGGTACATATGTAGTGTATGCAGTACATGGAGCGCCTCATAGCCCGACCAATAAAGCGATGTCCAAGTTGTGCATCCTTTGTTGGCTCGCGAGCCAGCCAAGCCCTCTGGGATCAGCGAAGATGAATGTGTTGAAGGCTATTGCTGTTCCCGAACGTCCGGGTGATTCTAGCCTAGTCTGCCTACCCCTGGCGTTGTTACGGGTTTATTGCTGGGTCTTGGCCAAGGACAAGGGTTTTCTTTCTTTCCTTTTTCGGGTTCTTTTTTTTTTTTTTTCTTTTGGCTCTCGTCCATTTTTGCACCGCCGGAAGAGGAGGCGCTTATAGGGCATGTCTTTTCTGTTAAAGTGATTGATTTCTCAAGTAGTCCTCCCGGAGAACTGACGAAGGCTTGATGGGTTTGGGGGAACGAACGATGATGGCCAGCATTGGCGGATTCCGATCATGGCTCGGTTGAGAACAATATGTATCATGGATCTATGAGTATGGATTCCTTCAGTCCTAGACAACGCTAGAGTATTGTTAGAGTATTGTGGCGGCGCTAGTTCGCTTGGTGTCGGAGACTATGTGCGGAATGTGGGTAACAAGGGTGACAGAAGTCTGGTCTCCCGAGGTACAAGGGGAATGACGGGGACGAGTTTACACTCCAGTGCTCCATCTACAAAGTGCACTTCGTAGTATGATATTAGTGCGGTCGCTGGACCGCGTGGGCTAGGAAGAGGCGCATGAGAGAGACATCGACTTTAGTATTCTCTCTCACACTCTCTTTCCCTATCACATTCAGTACCTGTTTTACTGTCGTTTGCCCTTCGCTTGAGTCGGCTTGTACAGACCTGTTTTTATTTATCTCAATATCTTTGCCGTAGCGGCGTCCACCCAACATGCGATGAGGGATACTAGACCTATATGTATGGATGGCATGTGTCAGGATGGGTAGGGTCTGACAGAGACGGAGCAGCATCAACCCCACCCCAACCCTTGATCATGGTCACGGACTTGGAGGTAGAAATAGTGATTTCGCACGATGTTCCCTTACCATCCGTTCTGAAATCGTCATCACGGGGGACCCTTCTTATGCGTACATGTACAAAGAGGTGGGATTGATTCGCAAGGTGGGGAGGACCAGCCCAGGCAAGCCAGGCTTGCCAGGCCATGTGGGTGGGGGATTACTCAGTACCGGCAGCTATTAGTGTTGTCCGCATTTTGCCATGAGCGCCGGATTTTGCGAGGGGTATAGTGAGCCGCGAGGGCTTCCACCCCGCCGGGTGCAAGGCCAAAGAGGAAATCCATGCCGGGAGTCGTCGAGAATGAAGGGCCATTCCCGTGATACCATGATGCCATGAGCTGGGAACTGTCCTGTGATCCCACGAATCGGACGTGAACCAGAGCAAGGGAACGAGGCCAGCCGAACCGGAGAAAGGAGAGGGGAACCAAAAAGAAGGAGAGAGGAAGAAAGGGTGGCCGCCTTTGGTTCGGCTCTGTCTACAATAAAATGCATCGTTCCTTTTCCAGTTTATCCTGTGACAGCAACTCCCATCCGTGAAGAAATTACTTGTTGCAGCGCACCAGATACAGCAGGTTTCCCGGTACTGAACGCGCTTTCAATGCGATGGCAATGCCTATCCCATCACTCCTGGCGATTTCGGTACGTTATCGCCGAAACAAGAATACGACTTCTGGCCCTCGCGGGCGTTTCTTGAGTGGCATCACGCAGATCTCGACTGATGAGAGGGATTGGGGATGATTGGACGACGTTGGTGGTCCAATCCGACTGTGTGCGGAAGCGAGGGGCGGGTTCAACATGTTGGGCGAGATCAGTGTCCCAAAATGCAGATATGCCCTCACGAATTGGGACGATCACTTCACCCAAAGGCCAAGGGAAACGGTTAGTTGTATGAGTAGGCGCTGCACTTTCAGTGGAATCCGAAATCTCGTCTCCGCCCTCTCGCGAATGTCATGCCGGGGATGCAGACTTCGGCCGCTGAGCGGTCGCTCAATGTTTGGTCGACTCGCAGTTCGTCGAGGTGGATGACAAGCGAAGTCTGGACATTGGCTCCTTGCCCCGTGGCTGAGTGAGCTGAGTGCCTGTGCTGATTGGCGCCCCCTCCCCTTTGTCCCGGATTGAAAAACGCTTCCAAGAACAAGTCGGTGTGGGTGGGTGGATAATGCATCGATCTTCACGAGTTTCCCTTCCCGCGCATTGAGGCGTCTGGACCAGGAATCCCTGCCAGAGGGGCTATCGTGGGCGGATTCGGATGTCATCCATCCAGCTTGCTTGGTGTGCCCACGCAATCCACGCAATCCACGTAATAGTAGAAATTGAGGAGACTGTCCTCGGGAGAGTTTGAGTCCATTGCACGTACTCACAGGCCTTGGCGCGTTCATAATTACATGCTAGACATGTGGTTTGGAGAAATGATCAAGAGATTCAGCAGGTTCGTCATTCATCTCCCGAGGAGACATGAAGCGATTGAAGAAGCGAGGGCAGATTGAGCGTGGTTGCTTCCAACCTGTCAAGGGGTTGTTCCAAACATAGCTGATGGAGGGTGTCTTGTGCCGGGGTTGATTGGGGAGGGCGTGAAGCCGTCTCCGGCCCTGGCGGGGGGTGGAGGTATTAAGGGGTCTACTCAGCACTCTATGCAGTAAGTATTCGAGTGTGGTCTAACCCACGTTGACGTACCCAAGTTGTACGTCCCTCTTGGCCCTTCATCCGTCATCCAGCTCATCTCTAGGGGTGATACGGGACCCATCTCTGTTGAATCAAAATCCGGGCCAGCAGAGCCCAGGCTTTTCCAGAGTGGATCTCCCAAGCAAGTTGGGGTGGAGACTTGGGACCGGGTGCAAGGGCCAGTCGTCTCACTTCCACTTCTCTCATCTCTGGAGTTTTGGGGAGAGAGAGGAGGGATGAGAAGAATGTCTGAGAAAAAGAAGAAGAAAAAGAAAAAAAAAAAAAGAGTAGAAAGCCTAAAGGGGGTGTGCATAGCTTCGACCACTTGTCCCGATGGATCAATTCCACGCCCCCTGCGCGATGTGAAGGAATTGGGTCTCTCTCCCCAACCCAGTCAGTGGATGTGCAGAGGTCTCCACGTCCTTTGTTCATGGCGGAACAGACAGATAGAGAGCGGGAGGGAGAGGCGAGGGACCTGGACGCTTTCCTTTTGTTGCCTGCGGCTAGCATGCTAGTAACACGACCACCATTCGTACATCGATGTAGACATAAGACACGGAGCCAGATCCATGTCAATGTGGTGGGTGATTGATTGCCGGCTCCCGTGAATGGATCTTGGACATGCATCCTGAATATAAGCGTCTTGCATCCCGCAACACTGCCTCTGCTCTCCCTCCCCCTCCTCTCCCTTCAAGGCTGGCGTTCTATTTTGGCCCAACCCTCGTTTCCATTCGCTTCGTCTTCTCTCGTATAATACTTTTTTATTTTCTTTCCCTTGTATCTTGCTTTGCCTTCTTCGTCCTTCCTTGACCAATCTTGCCTTTGCTGCTATTACTTCACCCTCTTCTTTTCTTTCCCTCTACCGAGGTACTCACTTTATATTCCTGCTTGCTCGTCTTCCACCCACACTCGTTTCCCCCCGCGATACGCTCCTTTTTTCCTCTTTCCGACCTTCTTCTCCGGCCCCCGACCCCGATCCGGCATTTCTCCAGTATCGTATCGTGAAGCCTCAAACCGAACATACGACGACGCCCGCTCCTGGTCTTGGCCCCAGCCATTCCCGTTCGGTATTATCACGATCCCTCGGCCGTGGAAATTCTGCACCCAGCGCACTTCCGCCCGGCTGTTTTAACCGAAGCCTCCCTGATTCGCCCTGCCCCTCGAACGAGCGCTGCCGCCAAAAATTAAGAGAAACATACCTCCGCCTTAACGACAGGTGCTCCTCGCAGCCATCGCCTCGCTTGACGACCCAACTTCCCCGGGATTTTCAGACCGGCGAGCCCACCCTCCTCGAAGAGAGAACAAAAAAAAAAAACCCTCAAAGCTCTCCGGGTCGCTTCTCCTCGCCAAGCTCGAATCGGCTGCCCATTCTCCGCGAATCGTTCCGCCCCTCCCTCAAGTCCCAGCCAACCAACCCGTCCCCGCCATTTCCAATATATCGCCCTGTATAAGCGGTTGGCGCAGTACTCAACTACCTGTCTTCTCGGAGAAGCCCTCGACGACCACCAGTCTCCCTGTCCTCACTCCTAGACGTCCACTTTTTTTCACTTTTTTTTTCATTCCTCGCTCCAAGGCCTTGAGCAAAAAAAATATCACCGGATTTCTTGAGATTTTGATTTGCGTCACCCTCGTAGCCATGACGAACTGCAAGGCCCTAGTAAAGGCTCTAGCCTGGGCATTGACCCTCCGTGTCGCCGCCGGACAAGCAGATTTCTCGACCATCGACCAGTGTGGTGTAAGTCCCGTTGAACCCCGATTTGCGCAACCCCCAAGCGAACATCACCTTTTCTTTTCACCCAATTTCCTCGTGTTTTATCTTATTTTTGCTCCTTGCTCTTCCATCTCGATACTAACCCGGAGCCACCCCTCTTCATAGCAAGGATGCGTGAATAGTCTAACGGCCACCGGCGCCTCTTTTGGGTGCGAAAATGGTTCCTTCAACTGTTTCTGTACCAACCAAGACTTCACCTTTGGTGCCCGGGATTGCGCGCTGCAAGCTTGCGGACAGGTCGTCGCCGATCAAATCAGCAGCTTTGCGACAGCCTTTGCGGATGTACGTTCACATAGAAAATTCCCCCTGCGCCGCGCACATGAAGCGCGCCCCATGACCCCTCTTATTCTCGCGGTTGGCTAACCTTTTGCCTCGTTCCTCTTTATAGCGTTAGCAGTGCCACCTGAAGCTTCCTCCACCGGCCCCCAGCGCCGAGGCGAGCACGCCCGCCCCCGCTCCCACCGAGCGCCCGACTCCCGAACAGGCGCCGCAGTCCACGGTCACCGAGGCCTCCACGACCGAGACGGTGCGTTTAAACCACGAACCCGTAGCCAAATTCTAAAATTTGGCTCTTACTCTTTTGCTTCCCTTGCTTCGTGCCCTTTTGCTAACATCTGTCTCTAGACATCCCCTACGGAAACTACGTCCACGGGCTCTACCACCAGCAGCACCTCGTCCGCGGCCGCCACTGACCCTGCCAAGTCGGACGACGACGAGGACGAGGATGACGACGACAGCGACGACGACGACGCCGCGGGCCAGGACAAGCAAGAGGAGGACAAGTCTTCCGACAGCGGGCCCAGCGGCCTCTCCGTCGCCGCCAGAGCCGGTATCGGCGCCTCCATCGGCGTCGTAGGCCTCTCCATCATCCTCATCGGCGTCATCTTCCTCTTCCGCCGCCGCGCGAAGAAGGCTAGCGCCTCCCCTAGCCGGACCTACAACATTTCCGGCCCTATGCCGGGTTCCGGGCGGGACTACGCCGACTCGCGCTCCGACTTTAGCAAGGAGAACCACACGACCTCGGAACTAGAGATGACGTCGAGGAGATACGAGGATATGCTACCCCGGGCCCAGCCAAGTTCCATGATTTAGTCCACTTTTTTGTTTCCGTTTCTTTGCCTTGGCTTTAGTTCATTATCCCCCATCCCTTTTCTTGTACCATTCTTTATTCCTGTGTAATCCTTAGAAGGCCCAAAAATATATACTTGTATACACTCATCAATACCCTACGCAGGCTGATCGAAGCTCATCTTCTCGCCTTGCCAAATCAAACGCAGTTCTCCATTTTCCATTGATTCAGTATCACTCAGTCTCTATGTTTGCTACTAGCCTCTTGCGAGGTATATTCTGTCTTGGTTTTCCGAGGTGGAAATATCTGGGAAATTGCAAACTCTTTCCTGTTACGCGTGCTTGTTGTTGCCCACTAGTGCATCGTGTTGAATCATCGCCTTAGTGTAGAGAATTGTTTCAATCCATAATTATCTACATATGAAGATAAAGATGAACGCTCATTATTTTGTCTTATATCTCGGTAGTCACCTATCAAATGACCAAGAGTTTCTTCGCGTCGCTGTTGAGACAAGGACCATATAAAAGTCAAACCGGCGCGCATCAAGATGGGGTGTCAAAAAAAAAAAGAGGTCTGATTTTTGTCTATAAAACAATACTTGTACAAGTGACGCGAGGTGTATACTCTACAATGGGCATCAACTAATCCGGAATCATACACTTGGTAGGAGTAAAAATCGATGATCCAACACACGGCCTACATTTGGCCGGCCAATCAACGCTCGTCATGTCGCAGCGCTCATTCCCAGCCAAAAGGTATAAGTTTTTCCTTGGTCAAAAGGAGTCAACGTAGAGGACCTTGGAGGGCCCAAAACACCGCACAAAGGTTACCTCTCGTTGATACGGTTGAGAGGCGGGAATTTACCAGGTGTAGTACTGCCTCTGGGCGCTGATCGGCCTGTTAGGGAGATGGATCCAGGGGCCCTGCTTCTTCTCCTTAGCGAGGCGCTCTTCATACTCGCGGATTCGAGTATTCTCTTCCTTGAGAACAAAGGAAATGCCTAAAAAGAAATACGGGGTTAGCCTGCGTCGTGGGCGAACCTCTGGCGTTCCGACCGCCAGAGGATGGGGGATAGAGGCACGGGGACGGCGTGTCTTATAACGTACTGGTGCTGGGCTTCTGGTGCGTTCCCTTGCGGCCGCGACCTAGATGGACAAGGCGCGATCCACGCCAGGGACCACGGCCAACCCAGGCCTGGGCGATGTAGATCCTGGAAGGGTCGCTGATGATGAGCCAGCTTCCGTCCTTGGACTTGATCTTCTTGGGCTGCTCCAACGGCGCCTCGCCATTAGCGCGGGCCAAACCCATCCCGTGCTCGACAATGGCCCTATCACGCGCGAGCTCGAGGTGGTGGCGGACCTCCTCGCCATCTTCTTCTTGGAGTACTGCATCTGGATCAAGGCATCCTCGAGGGGTCGGTCTGTAATCTGGCGCGCAAGGTGGACGAGCTTCTTTACCGATGTGGCTAGGTAAGGCGAGCGATACCTCATCTCTCGCTCGGTGCGGCGGATGATTTCGGAGCGCGTCTCGGCACCGTTGCGACGGACCATGCGGATCACCATTTTGCGTTCCCAGCGCTGCCTACTCTGAGGATCGGGGTCGGAGGTCGGGGCGAGGTGCTGCGGTCGGATAGGAACCTGCTGCTCGGCCCTACCGGACTGCCGACGCTTTTGTTCAACGGCGGAAACCTCGTCTTCGAAGATGGAATCGGAGAGCTTGGGGGTCGCACTGTCCTCCATCATCCGTCTCCTAATCATCGGATCATCGAGATCGGAGGCTGGAGTCTTCTCGGGTGCCTTGGTACGAAAGGGGTTGAGGTTGCTCAGGGACCATTTTGACCGGCGCGTCGCGGGGATGGCGAGTGTGGTGGTAAGGGGGAGGTTCGGCGGGAGACTTGTGTCAGAAATTGCTGATGGGGGAGGTGCGAAGCTGCTATAAGACGCGAAAAGAAAACGTTATTAGAGTCCTACATCCCATACGTATAGCCGGCTCTGAGTAGGAAGCGTCTTGGCTCTCAAGTCTAGTTGAAGTTATCTGGGGGCAGGGGAGGTAGCGTACAGGAGAGAGCGAGGGCAAAGCGCCTCGTCGGCTGCTGGATGCTCATTATGAAAACCTCGTCTAGGCAAACCCTGAACAACCGCGGGGCCCGTTGGTGAAAGAAAAAGGTAGTCCGAGGCGGGACCGGCCTTTTGCTGATCAATTGGAGCGAGTGCTGGTTCTTGACCGTTCCTCCAGCTCGCTTCGTTGATTTTCGTCACTGTCGCCGTTTGGGAAGCTTTGCAAAATTGAGAGCAACAATTTTAGTCGCCAGCAAGGGAAAATCTTGGACCGCTTAGTCATTGAAAAAGTCGCGCGGTTTTGCGCAGAAGAACGACCTTGATTAAAGCTCGAGGTCCTCGTCTCCAGATCACGTGGTGATGGCCGATCCAATCATAGCCTCGGAATTGGCGTGAAATAACGGAGGGAAATCAGACCACAATAACTCGGCAACTCTTCCATCACGCAAACTCGATCACCTCGACAGCCAGCGACGCTCCTTTTCCCACCGAAACAGCTTTCCTCCCGTCGAAGCGACTCAATCAATCAATACAATGGCGATCAAGCCCATCACCGGCGTATGTATCGTGCCTTTCTCGCGGCTCAATTGGCCGGCAGCGGGTGTCGGAGCAAGAGAAAACTACTTCCACCGGCCCTGGGCCGAGGACGATTCGAGCGCCTGACTTCAAGAGATGGTTCGAAAGCTAACCCCAATGCTTCATAGATGCTGAGGCGAAACCTCATTATGGATCTCTCCATTGCCCTCGGTACGCAACCCTCTGTTTCAGTCCTCGTATCCCTTGGGGCACTCCTTGCATTGTCTTGAATTCTTCTTCGTCTTTTTCTCTTTGTCCTTTGACTCAATCGCTAACGTATACCTTTCTTAGGTCTTGGAACCGTTATGGGTACCGCTTTCTGGTACGAAAGTTCCTCTCACCATATGTCGTCCCCGCTACGAGTCTGAATCTGCAGCCGCGCAACGACCATGACTTTCGAAGAGCCCTGTCTAACTAATTGTTGCAACATAGGTACGGCTACCACATGCCCAGGACCAACAAGCGAGATGCCTTCTATGCCAAGCTTGAGCAGGAGAGGGCGGCGGAGAAGGCGTAAGCTTCTTGTCATGAACTAAACTCGGAAACAAAAGCTTGGGGAGGCGGCGGGAGGCGAAGCAGTGCGATTCGGCGGGCCGGTGCCCCACCTAGCGACCTGTCGACCTCTTGCTGTCTGATTGGGTTTCTCCTGTCTTTGTTATGTGTTGTATCATAGATATAGACCGGAAGGGAAGTTTTGCTGAGGATCGAAGAAGCAATTCAATTTGTGGCCCCCTTTCAACTATGTAGTGGCTTGGATGCACTCGTGATTCCTCATGTTCCTTAGTCGGTACACATACCAAGCTTATAGGATCAACTATGCTGTGTGACGAATGTTTACGGGCCAGGTTCGTCCTGGGCGTTGTCCATAGACCACCACCCCATGCCTTACACAACATGGCGCGTCCCGCCTTTACTAACCAGAAAGACGTAAAATTATGCATCAATTCTATTCTTGCATATGGTATTTACATGATAAAAAGACCCAAACTCCTTTTTGTAGTACTATCCATCCCTTTGTAGTGGCGGTTACTTTCTGTAACTACTTCATGATGAGGATGCTGGCTGCTGATTTTCCCAGCCGGTTGTCTCCACCATGAACGTGCCTTTCCTATCAGCGCATCTGACGAATTCAACAATTAGAAAGCAGCCCAGGTGGAGAAAGGTGCGTGCATTTAGTTCGTGAGGATTAATATGAAATGAGAAAAAGATGAAAGGGGAAAATACAAGAAAGAGGGAAAAGAAAAAAATAATAAGATAGGCTGAGTGAGGCATGTTGAGCAAGATGGGGACTAAAGCCATTACCCACTGGGCCTTGAAAAGCGGCTTAATGGACAACACATCCACCGGGTCTCAACCATCCATGACACCGAGCACGGCTTAAGCACGACAGAACACCACACAAAGGGAGGGGGAAATGGAAGCTCAAGCGGGACGCTACAACGGAACAAAACTCACTTCCTAAATAATCTCAACACCTCGTAGCATTGCACGCGGCTATCGGGGACATCCGGCCGGGGCACGACGCACTCGTACTGCGACATCGTGAACAGCTCACAGGCCGAGAGATCGATATTCCGGGGGCGCCGGGAGCGGGTTTTCGCTTGCGGCCAGAGGTGTCCAGCTGAACCTCCTCGGGGAGGGTTTCCGGCGGGAAGGTCCGAACGGGCGGCGGCATCTTTTTGCTGCGGAAGGCGTGTCCAGTTATTGTTGCAGCAGCTGCGCAAAGTGGGCGAACACAGGGAGGGCGCGCGAGGTGGGAACTTCACTCTCGGCAACGACGGGGGCTTCGGTCTCGTAAGAAGCGGCCAATGGACCCGAATACAGCGGCGACGACGGCGGCGGTGGTGGGTGGGAGTATGCTGAGAGAGGTGGAAGAGACGAGTCTGGATGAGGTGAGTTTTTGGTCGTGACGGATTTCGAGTGATTACGACATCACCACCGATGAGTGTGCACACGCACGTTCCTAGCATGTGGGCAGCACCTGAAGCATCACGACGACGCGTAGAGTGATGTGCGCAGTTTTAACCCACTATTCTCTTGATTTTATGAAAAGATTGCCCAATTCTATTAATCGGGTCTCTTTTTCGATGAAAAAAAAAAAAACTTGGATTTTTCGCGTCTCGTACCTAACGCTGTTCTAGGTTCTATCTACCCTTCGTCATAATCTCATCTCTCTCATAACGCCAGCTACGGCCATCAACTCCACGGCGACTCAGCGCGGAATCACTACAACTGGCACTACAACTCTTCAACCCAAGCGGACTTCGATAGCCCAGCTTGACGGTCTTATAGAGCGGCACTTTCGCGACACGCGCTCAACGCAGGTGTCCATCGCCGGCCGCGCCCTGCCGCTCATTTACGCACTTGTCTCCCGCCTAGTGACCGATAGGGGCAGCGTCGATGACATTCGCAACGCCGCAGACACGGCTGAGCGGACGAATTCGGTGCGGAGTCGCGGAAAGACGGTGCTTGTCGTAGACCTCGAGGCGCGATTTGACGCAACGAGGCTCCGCTGCCCGGAGGCGGACCTCCGTCACGTGTACGTCTTTCGCCCACCGAGGTGCATCTCCGGAGCGGACGAGGTGCGATTGGTGGTCGCTGATGCGCAGCGGTGGATGCTGTATGGCCGGCACGAAAGCCGGGGAAGGGAATGGTGGGGCACGGTTTTGGTCGGCGGACCGGGCGGGGACGTCAGCGCCGGGTGGAAAGGGTGGATGAGGGTTGATTTGGACGAGGAAGAGATTGAATTGGGGCTCGGAGGCGGCCTTATATCGGCCGAGGAGGCCTTGGCGCGGAGGCAGACGATGCAGAAAGCCGCGGATGGGGCGGGATGGGTCGTGAACTCCGACTGGGGAGGCTTCAGGTTTCGCGAGGAGACCTTACGGTGCGCCAAGGCATCGGCAAATGAAGCCCTACAAACGGCATGCATGTCACTTCGTAGACCTGAAGTTTGCCATACATTCAAAAGGGGCATGAAGCTTCCACACTTGGGTTTTACGTTGGAGAATTTTTGATGGCAGCTTTTTATGTTTTGAAAGAGCACTACTGAATCAAGCCGGCGTGGGCCCCAAAGGATCCATGGATGCATGTCATATTTCCGTCACTGAAGGTTGACGAACAAGCCCCCATCCACGAGGAGCTGCGCTCCCGTCACATATCCGCTCAGCTCGTCGCTCGCCAGGAAGACTGCAGGCCCTGCCAGATCCGCCGGGACGCCGGTCCTCCCAAGGGGTATCCTGCCCTCCATGTACTCTCTCTTGGCATCAACGGCTAGGTCTTCGTCGTTCAGCTGGGTCCGGATGGTTCCGGGCAGCAGCGAGTTGCATCGGATGGAGTACTTGCCCAGCGCGCAAGCGGTGCTCTGCATGAGACTGAGAACGCCGGCCTTTGTAGGGGTGTAGTGCGTCTGCTGAGCGCCGCCGACGAGGGCGGAAATGGAGGAGATGCCGATGATGCTACCGCCGGCGGGGATTGGTGGCGGGCCATGTGACGAGCGGCAGCTTGGACGACGTAGAAGGCGCCGTCGAGGTTGGTGCGCACCGTCTTGGAGAAGAGATCGGCGTCGAGGTCGAGGAATTCGGCAAAGGTGCAGATGCCGGCGTTGGAGACGCAGATGTCGAGTCTCCCGTGCCGCCGTGCTGCACTCCGTGCTCTACCAAGCTTGCGGCTGTCTCGACCTGGCGCACATCGCCAGGTAGGTGGGATAGGCGGCCGGCCTCTGGGTCTTCAGCACGGATGGTGTCTGCCTCGGCGATGAGGGAGTCGAGGTGTTGCTTATCCCGGTCAAGGTCGAGGTGGTTGACGGTGACGCTGCAGCCGTGGCGGAGAAAGGACAGGGCGATGGCGCGTCCTATGCCCGTGGTGCCCCCGGTGATGATGGCATTCTTGTTTGCTAGCAGGTGCACGCGGTGGGGTTGGGAGGCCATGGCGCCGTTTCCTTGTGTCGTGTCCGTCCGAGATGACTTACACGCACTCCTATCAGACTTTCCCCTACCCTTGTCGCTTCTCGGGCCCTTTTACTATATCTTTCCCTTCTTCTTCTTTTTCTTCTCCTCCGTTTTTTTCTCTCGTTCTTCTGTGATGCAATGTGTTAAAAAGGTCCTTCCCCAGTGTGAGCAAAAGAACAAGCAGGCCAGGTGTCTGTCTACCCGAGTCGCCGATGTCGAGGATGCGGGCTTCAGGTTTGGAAATCTACAAGTGCTGCAGGCGAGCTGTGAGTTCAAGAAGGAAGTTGATGAGCAACGTGGGCTTCAGCGCGAAGCGATAACAAGCTCTTTTTACATATACACCACTTGGAATCGTGCAGGTGGAGGCGGCGTCGGCCATGTGGAGTGGAGACATATGGATGAGTGACGAGAGGGGTTTGTCTCTCGCCTATTACGGAGGGAGCTTCCCCTCTTCGAAGCTCTCCACGGGACAGCATTCAACCGATGGTTTAATTCTCCTGCGCACGCCTTCTAAGCAGGCCCACGCCATTAGTAGAACGGTCTCCTTGAGACAAAAGGGAGAGGGGCGGGCACAGAATAATACTAATAACTGTGATAGCTGGGCCTGACAAGCAGGATAAACGAGCATGAGCGAAGAATCCTAGTAATACCGATCGATTGATCAACGCGCCGAGAGAAGCCCTCTTTCACCCATTCTTGACTTCCTTTCTTCCTCTTGCTTCAATGTTCTTTTCAATGTGCTTCGACTAGTTTGGGGGAGGGAGGGGCGTGTAACCCCACTAATCCGCACTAATCAGATCGAGGACTCCAGGGGCATTGGGGGTAGGATACGGGAATTGTTCAATTGATCTGGATCTATTATTATAGTGAAGGTCGAAGGAAGGGGGTGAGGTCGAGCTGCAACTCGAGAGGGACAAACGTTGAAACTCTTCCCTCCATGGGTTGTATTGTCTTTAATCGACCACCCCTACATTTGCCTAGAACATTGAACATTGAAGCACTGAAGGATTGGCAGTTGGTGATCACCAGTGCTCCTCAAAGAGTCACTGTGCTTCAATGGCAATGGCGAAACAATTTGATTGGAAGTAAGTGATCAGTTGGCCGGAATCGGCTGGTACACCCCCTCGCGATCCGTTTTGTTCAATGTTGCCACCACTTGTCGCCGTTCAACGGTCAATGCTCCATTTTCCAGGTGCTTCGGGGTTGTATTACAGCGAGCAGCGAGGCCGAGACAGTGATCTGTTGATGGAATGGTGGATGGATCCTTCCCCTGTCTCCTCACCAAGTGGTGCATTACCCCACATGCAACCCCAGAAAAACGAAAAGGAGCGGAGAACCCGAGGCCACGGAGACCATATTCTCCTATCGAAGAAAAAGATAAAAAGAAAGAAGAGAAAAAGAAAAAGAAGCGCCGGCCGAATGGTGCTAATCTCCTAGAGATGTTATGCAATCCAAGCCGGATATCCCGGCCCTATCGACTACTAGTCGGCGTATTAATGGACCCGGTTCACTGAAAGAAGTTGGAGATACAGGGTGGGACCACCCCACTGATGAGGACTTCGTCTTTGTTCGTCGAGCCACGAGCGGATGCCATGGGGGCGATCAACGCGGGGACCCCATGCAGAGGGGACAGAGAGGATGGGTAGGCTACGATGAAGAAGTTGTGCAAGGGTGTAAGGGTAAGGGTGCCTTGGTACGCCTCGGGCTGTGCTGTCCACGAGCAATCCGGTGCAGGGAGTGAGAGGTTGATGGCTGCCTTGCTGCAATCTCCCGCTCTGTGTTGGCACCCACCACGCTGTCAAACTTGTATGTGGAAACCAGGGAGACAAAGAGGCGTTCTTTCATATACATCACGCATACAGCGCGCATCATCGAACGGTACAGGGAAAGAGGCGTATGTGGCTACTACTCAAAACCCAACAGGGCAACACACTGGCTAAATCTAGTGCGGATAGTCTCTAACGCGGAAGGTATTAGGGTCTCTTCCTGGCTAGAGTAGAGTCTCGTGCAAAGCAAGACGAAGGACAAAACACGTTGAAGGCCTATTACTTGAAATATCTACTCCTCCTAGCTACTGTCTGGCAAAGAAAAAGAAAAACAAAAGTTCCCAAAAAGAAAAGAAAAAAGAAGAAAAAAAACCGTTCAAAATGATGTATGCGGACGTACTTCTCATGTGCCAAGTTAGGAGGTCAAACTGCTAAAGAAAGAGTATCTAGGATATGGACCGAAGCTTCAAATGAAGAGAGGGGCAAACAGGTGGAGAGAAAAAGGACAAAGAGGAAAGAGAGTTGCGAAAGTCTGAAAGCGAGACTAGACCCCCTCGTGAACGAAGAATGTAGTGCTTTTTGTTGGGTCTTCAACCATCATAGTCGTCGTTGATTTATATATATGCCCCAAGAGAAACAATCCTCGTCTATACCGCTTAATTCAAGTGGATGCCCGTGGGCCTCTCTATGCAAGCTCCGTAGCAGCAACAACGCCGGTAACGCCGTCAACCTGTCCATTCGTCCCATTCGCCTCGGTCGCTTCGCTCTGTTCCGTGGTTTCATTTGTTCCATTTGTTCCGTTGGTTCCGTTTGTCCCGTGAGCCAGCAAGTTCTGGACCTTGGTCGTCAGCTCACTCACCGCGCTGTCGTCGGCGTTGGCGGCAGCGGCATCCTCTGCTCCCTTTTCCACCTCGGGCTCGACAACCGGGGGCGTGAGGGCGTTGACGGGGGTGGGGTCAAGAGGTAGTTGGAAGGGATGAGCTTGGATCGCGCCACGGGGTTCAGCGTGAGACCGAACCCGGGCTTATCGAGGTCGGCCGTTGTCAGGAATCCCTTGGTAGGGATGGGTTCGTCGAGGAACAGGTCGCCAAAGACGGGCAAGACGCCCTTGCCGTCGGCAGAGTTGGCGAGGTACTCTTGGAAGGGGGTGTTGGGCTGCGAGATGACAAAGTGGTAGCTGTAGGGTCCGCTGGCGTGGGGGACGACGGGGATATCGTACGCCGCCGCCATGGCGGACACGCGAAGGAGTTCGGTGAGGCCGCCGAGCCACATGACGTCCGGCTGGATGATGTCGAGGTTGCGGCCCTCGATGAGCTTTCGGAAACCGAATCGCGAGTACTCGTGCTCGCCGGTCGTGAACTTCATTGTGGGGTGGGCGCGCTTGATCTGCTCGAAACCGTCCGTGTCGTCGGGGGACAGGCACTCCTCCCACCAGTTGATGTTGAGATCGAGACAAGCCTTGACGATCTCGATGGTGTAGGAGACGTTGAGGCTCATATAGCAGTCGACCATGATGGGGAAATCGGGCCCGACAGACTCGCGGTGTTTCCGTAGGAATTCAACGTTCTTCCTCAGTCCCTCGTGGCCGTCATCCGGGCAGTAGGGCAGCGGTACCTTGGCGCCCCAGAATCCCATGTCCCGGGCAGCGACCGGGTCCGGTCCGGTGCAGTAAAAGTTGAGGCGCTCTTTCGTCGCGCCACCAATCATCTTGTACACGGGCTCGTTGCGGATCATGCCCAAGAGATCCCAGATGGCGAGGTCGATGACGGAGATGACGGCGACGGGGAGGCCCTTGCGGCCGTAGAACATGGACGCTCGGTACATTTGCTCGAACAGGTGGTTGGTGTTTCGGGGATCGGCGCCGATGAGGAAGCGCTCAAAGTGCTGGTGGACGAGCCAGCAGGCGGGGGCCGCCGAAACCGGTTGCGATGCCGACGGTGCCATCGGTAGCTTCGATCTCGATGAAGAACGAGCCCAGCACGTTGATACCCCAGCTTGTCCTTGAGTGCTTGTATTCTTCCCACCTCGAGCAGGGTGTGGAGATGGGGGAGTCGATGAGCCTAGAGGTGCGTTTATGGGGTGTAAGTGGTTTGCCGCCTGGAGAGGTAAAATCATGGCGAGGAGTCTTGTTGAAGGATAGGTTGATATGAAAAGCACGGAGGGAACGAAGCTACGACTTACCAATGGCCACCCTTTACATTGTGATAGTCACCGCCTGGGAGGTATATTAGTCAAAGGGGCGCATAAAATAGGTAGATTCCGTCTGCTGGCCGAGTCCTACCTGAGCCGACGCCGCTGATCACGTATGATCGGACGGCTTTGATCTTGGGGAAATCGCGTACGGAAGATGTGGAAGACATTGTAGCTGTGGTGCGGGCAAGGATCCGGGGCTTGCCGTATGGGAGGGGCGGGAGGGTCAGGGCGAAGAAGGCTGTCTTTAAAGTGTGGACAATCACGAAAGTATGAGCAGCGATGGGAGGACGGGCTTTATATGTAGTAGGGTCGTTGGGCTGGGCTGAAGGTTGATCACCCTAGGGGAGAAAAAGCGGTACTGATGCGAGCCAGTCATCCAACGACGATGTATCTATCGGATTACAAGAGCACCGAGCAAAGTGGAGATTGGGGACGAACACACAAAGGTCACTCAGCGTCTGGTTTTCGATCGGGCTAGCGGGATTCACTTGTCTGATGGTGGGGGAGGGGGTGTAAGGAACATTGAACTGGCAGATGGGGTCGGGTCAACCAGTCTGTGGTTCCGGAAGACAAGAGTTTTGAGTTTGACAGGCAAAGAATTGGAGAAACCCATCAACACGTTCTCCATTCACGGACGCTCGCTCCTTGCCTCGCTCATCCTTCCTGCAGAAGCGTGGGAAGGATGAACACGTAGCTTCTTCCAGCAATTCCTTGCATATTTTATCACAACGGCTTCCCTGTCCGTTATACTTTGCGAGGTAGCATGGTTGTTTGGAAGACCAGTTCCCTCTTCCACCTCCTGGAGAAGTTACGTCAATGGTTACATAAAAAGCGATCGGTGGGGGCTTTCGCCGAGGGAAGAGGCGGAATTGGGCAAAGAGATCATCACTGATAGGCACGGCACTAGCGAAGCGGGGGAGAGAGTTTTGTCGACGAGAAGGGGACTAACTTGAAGAGGGAGAGGGGAAAGGGGAGGAAAAAAGAAAAAAAGAAAAAAAGACAAAAAAGAAGGAAAAAGAGGAGAGATTGTTGGATGGGCAAACCAATGCTTCAGGAGACGAGAGCGAAGAATTCCGCCATTGGGGGAGCAAGGAGACCAGTGCGGGCGATTTCGCGAATGCTCTCGGCGACTGACACGACACATCTGGACCGAGCCCTCGTTCCGGGGTCAACGAAGAATGTGAATGGTCTATCGGGGAGAGATCTACCGACGAGCGGATTGCGGAGGAGCAATGGCACGAGTTTGCTGCTAAAAGAGTGGGTACTGAATGGATTCGGACAACACGCTCTTGCTTCGCTCTCCTTCTCCGTCTTTTTTTCTAGTTTTTCTTGCCTTTTATTTTTCTGGCCTGGCCGAGTAACTGGTTGCAATGGACATGAATGGATCCCATCAATCTCCAGTCCATCTTCCACTCCCCCAAAATCCAGATTGGGTGTAGTGTCAAGGGTCGGTTCGCCTCTGAAGGGTTAAAGCTCCAGAAGACATATAGAGAGAAACAATGGCGACCGACTTCATGGTCGGCTGGTTCCGCATACCAACAAGCAAAATTCGAGCTTCAATTGACGTGGATATTGGTTGCTTCTTTCGTCCCCCAACTTCGGACTTCATCAATTGCTGGCGGCGGGAAGTCTACTCCCCCAGGCCGCGGCCCTCCCTGTTGCGATAGAGCCGTCGTTGGAATGGAACGCTTTGCCTCGACTATGTTCGCCTTGCAGCATAGTTGAAGGACCATGTAACCTGTCTCGGCGTTGTCGGAGGGAGGGCTACAGTGAAAGCATGGAGACCTATAATAATAATGGCATCAGTGGGCAGCCGTTCTTGTCCCAATCGGCGAGCATCTTGCTCTTTCTGCATCAAGCTAAGAGGGCGCTAGTGCCGGCATAATCAGTCGACCCATGGTGCGTAAAGGGCTACCAATCTTGACTCGGACTCGATCGAAAGGAAGGGGGAAAGACGGTGGGGGATGGGAAAAGAAAGGAAACTGGTTGGTGTCTTGCTTGAGGTGGCATTCTAGAAGGGCTTGCTTGGTAGTCTAGAACAGGCTTGACTGTTACGCATATTGCGCTTCGAGGAACACGAGGGACGATCCCAAGAGACGCGGGCTCTTCCTGGGATCCATTGCCACGCGAACGACCCTGCTAATGCGAGCAAGAGCTCGGGGTTCCGCTGACCTACCGACCCTTAACTTTTTTCTTCTTCTTCTTGGGGAGGGGACCCGTTAGCGCATGTTTTAGCTGATCACCGCTTAGCACCTATCGATCCCTTCACAGTCCACCCGAAATTGAAGGTCGACAGATGGCCAGCCGGGGATCTAGTCGATAGCCGGGCCGCCGTCGTCGGGAGAGGCATCAACTGGAGCGGTGCTTGGCCAGCCGGGGAACGGCCAAGATGAAAAAAAAAAAAAAAAGGCAAGGAGGTGACGAGTCGGGAAGACGTCTCAAACCAATCATGATAAGATAAACGGTGCTGTGCCACAGAGGAAGAGAGAAAGAGAGAAAGAGAAAGAGCAACGAGGGAAGATTGGCCAATGACCGCCAGCTCTACGAGGAGTGTTGTCGATACCCAACCTGGACTCGCAACATATCAGGCAAGAGACGAGGAGGAGAAAGGTGGAGATGAAGTTGAAAGAAGCGAAGAACCGGATTAAATCTCGTCATTCGTTCCGAGAGCTGCATCCTATCCTGCCTTGCGTGGCGGCGAGCCGCCACCCTTTCTAAAAGTCTTGTGACTTGATGCTCAGCGGCAGCAAAGGACAGCATCAATGGTACCTCGGTAGATGCTCGAGTTATGCAAGTCATGGGCTCAAAGGAGAACTCTGCATGGATCAGCCTATGGCACCACTTGGTGGAGATGTACGAATTGGTTCTTTCTTGACTAAAACAGCGCTGCTTATGAATAAGTTTATGTCTGCGTCGAACTGGATGCAATACATCACTCCCCTCCCCTTACATTATGTATCGCTGCGGCCGATAGAATGGGGTGGGAAGTGGGTGGAAAGCAGAATCGTCCGTCTTCATCTGCCTCGTGTGAACCCGGCTCGGGTGGGAGGGTCTGGAGTGTAGTATCCTTGCAGCGGCTAACCCGGGTCATATTTAAGTTTGGTACGGTTCAGGGTCCGATTCTCCTCGGTCCTTTCAATTCCCACGGGCGTGGCACGATGAGTGGAGGCGGGTCGCCTCGCCTCGAAATGTGCCAGAAGGACGCCGAGCTAGAAACTTGGGAAGATTCTTTCCGCTCTCTGGAACGCAACGGATCGGGGGAGTCGCACGCAAAACCCATCAATGGCTGATCTTGGAGCGATTTGGGGGCTTGGGGTGATTGTTATTTAATATTGGGAAGCGGAGAAAGGATCAAGAATGGCATTGCTTCCGCCTGCTCTTGCCATCATCATCCCTGTCCCGTTTCTGTCCAATCCCGGTTTAGCTTACGCTGTTCCTGTTCCTTCCCCACGATTCTCCCCGCCCCCAGACTCTCTTTTTCTCCCTTTTCCCTCTTTTCCCTGCCTTGTTTCTCGCATCTTATTGTTTTGTCGTTCGAGGGGATTGATCAGAATCACCAAACTCGGGTCATTGTTCGGGCTGCGAACGTCTGCCCAATCTGGACCACCCACATTTCTATTTGCCCCCAGCCGACCCTGTCCTTGCTCGTCTTTCTGCATGTGCAGGCGCTACATGTAACCTCCAAATCCATTACCGAGTTTCGACATCTCACTTGATTTGATCCCTCGCTTCTGTGAGCGCAGAGCACTTGGAGAGGGAGACGAAGTGCACTGGACGAACCACGCGTCCCATTGGCTTTCGACCCTGGCCTCGACTGAGCTCTCCACCCCTTTCCGCCCTGCGTTTTCACGCACCACCCACACACACACACGCACACACACGTTCTCGGAATCGCTAAGCTCCCGTTGTCGACCCGCTTTAACCCTCTTTATTTCTTTTTTCTTTTCTTTTCCTACCTCTCTCTTTACAGTGTTTTTCTTTTCTTTTTCTTCTGGCCCCGTCTTGCCTTGCTCGCGCGGATTCCATAATCTAGAAATCTTCTCCTCAGCATTTGTCCAGGATATTGGTTGCTCCTGCCCCGCCGTCTTCCCCACCGTCTTCCCCACCAAATTGGACGAGTTGGCGGCGCCGCATCCGTTCTCCAGCCTTGACTGAGCTTCCCTCCCTCAAAACACCCCCAACCGCCTCGTCAAGGCGTGACAACCGTGAGCATCCCGCGTCGAGAGTGCCCCCTCTCAACCTCCCACGTCTGCTCCCGCCATCCATGTAAGGCAGGGTTGATGTGCCATTCGAAAACGATAACATCTGGTTGACTCGCACCTCCTCGTGAAAGGGCCTCAACCCGCCGACGAACCATTGTCCGCCTCGCCCCCACTATTCCTCCTCCACGCGCCTTACCCTCGATTCTTGCATTCCCCGCACCGCAGGCCACATTTTCATTGGCAACTGGCGCATGCCCTACCATCCAATGCGCTTCTTCGTGCGCAGTTAGATTTGGGGGTTCCTGTGTTGATATGACGGGGTCGAGCCAGCAGCTTCAGAGCCAACATCAGCCGCAGCAACGGCAACAATCGCCTCCGCAAGACGGCGGAACAAAGTCAGAGGCTAGCTCATCCCCATCTGCAGCGTTACCAACGCTTCTGAGCTCCCAGATACAGCCATTTGATCCCTACCACACTACCATGCCGAGCACCGACCAGGATAGCGATGAGGGGCAGATTCATAGTGCCGACGACCTTGAGAACGAGAATGAAGATATTGACTCTGTCCGTCTAGGAAAGCGCAAGCGGCCGCTTTCTGTGTCGTAAGTCACTTTTTTCTTCTTTTCTTGTTGCAACCGACCGTTGCTATAACCTGCCCTCGCCGATCTACGCGGGCTGCTGCTCGTACCTCTCACAAGCATTCCGTCTTGATATCTTTATGTCTTTATTTCCCTCTTCCTAGAGACTCTCAGCAGCGTCTGGCCCCCATGTCTGTTCTTGCCTCGCAGTAACTAATGTCTTACTTGTTTACGCTTCCTAGGTGCGAGCTCTGCAAACAGCGCAAGGTACAAACTCATTCCCCCGAACCAGCACCCTCCCCGGTCCCTCGCGTGATCATCGGTGCCCACCCCGCTCTCCGATCACTCACTTCCCCATTCGCGCCGTGGAGACAGCCCGTAGTGGCGCTGTTCTCGCGCACCGGGGCCTCGTCGCCCCGACATTTTAACCGTTCCCCGGCTCCCTAAACAACGATACTAACCCCAAACTTACGATTTAGGTCAAATGCGATCGTGGACAGCCGTCCTGTGGCTGGTGTAGCCGCAATGGCGCTCTTTGCGAATATAAGGAACGCAAGAAACCCGGGCTCCGCGCTGGGTATGGCAAGGAGCTCGAACAACGTCTGGATAGGCTTGAGGAGGTCCAACGAACACATTCGCAAATTTTAGAGGCCTACATGGCCGCCAATGCTTCCTCACATGGCTCCCATGTCAACAATCTCACTTCTACGCCAAGCGTGCGCCTCAGCAACCCTAGCTTACCTAGCGTAGCTAGTGAGCAAGGTACCCCGAGAGAACAGGGTCCGGGTCCCTTTTCCGACTCCCTGATCCCATCCATACCTCCCAACACTCCGATTCCACCGTCTTCATCCAGCAGCCCAAGGCCCAAGGATTCCAACTCGCAAATGCAGCTAAGAACCTGGCAGGGCAGGGCCAATCCTCTACAGTGCCGTCCTTGCATGATGGCTACTCCATCCATCAGACTCTCGGCGGGGCCGCACCTTCTCTCCCTCAACGCAACCAAGATTACTACCGAACAGATGTCAAGGTTAACCCATCGAATCTTCTCTCCTCGCCCTCTGACACTGCTATCGTGGGATCAGAACAGGAACTGCCGCCTTACGACCTTTTATACGCGCTGGTTGAGCTGTACTTTAAACAAATACATACCTGGTGCCCAATTCTCCATCGCAAAACGACGATGGACGTCTTCTTCGGCCAATTGCCTCTTGATGAACCAGACCGCGTGCTTTTGCACGCGATTGTAACCACCACACTCCGCTTCTCTCAAGATAGCCGACTAACGGAAGAAAACCGACGCCATTACCACGATCTGTCTAAACGAAAGGTCCTCCTCTACGGCTTAGATAATCTTTCCGTAAAGTCTCTCCAGGCCCTCGTGATCCTGGCTCTCGACCTATGTGGCAGCACCCATGGCCCTCCGAGCTGGAACATCATGGCGCTGATCACTCGTGCTGTGGTCCAGATCGGCCTCGCGGTGGAGAGCCATTCGTTGGGGTTCCCTCGAGTCTCCACTCCATCTCTACGCTCCGTGCAACGATATTACCGGAGCCAAAAGACTTTATTGAGGAAGAATCAGGCGGCGCCTGTTCTGGATGGTCTATTTATTAGATAGATATGCCACAATCGTTACCGCCTTTGACTTCGCCCTGGGTGAGTCAGATATTGATAGAAAGCTGCCTTGTCGAGATGAGCTTTGGGCGAAAAACCAAAAGTCGAAACCCGTTGGTACCGAAGCGGCCAAGGGGCAGTAGATGCCATGTCGGAGCCAGGCCTTGGGCGACCCGAGAACCTCGGTGCTTTCGCGTATTACATTGATATCCTCTCAATCCTATCCCAGATCCACCTGTTTCTGAAAGAGCCAGTGGATATTAGCACCGCATCGGATGTGGAGCGGTGGCAGAGGCGATATAAAGAACTCGATTCTCTGCTGTCGCAATGGCAAGTTGGCCTTCCTGCCGAACTGGGAAATATAGCCTACCAGTCGGCGGGGAACAAGGCGGCGACGTGCTCCTGGGTTATGCTCCAAGCAACCTTTCACACAACCATCATTCGACTCCACTCTTCCGCCGCTTACCCAACAATGAGGTCTGCGCTATTCGCACCCTCCTACGCTGCGATGCAGCGCTGCCAGCTTGCGGTTGAGAACATTGCCGCCTTGTACGAGTATGTTGTTTCGAATGGCCTGTTGGATAAGCTTGGTCCGCCTTTCGCCTTCTCTACATGGGTTGCCGCGCGGCTGCTTCTCGTCCACGCTTCAACGATGGAGCACCCATTATCGTCACACATTGATGTATTTCTATCGGCTTTGTGCGAGATGGGGAAGCATTGGCAGGTCGCAAGCAGATATGCCCAGCTTCTCCAACGCGTTCTCGACGAGTACCAGGATAGCGAAAGGCAGGGCGATGGCGTGACACCCAAGTCGATCAAGATCCTTGCCGATATGAGGCGCACAGCCTTTGACCTCGAATGGCTTATTGCCCATCAGCCTCGCCACGGCGCCCCCAATTCCTTTGCCAACCATGGTCCCGGAAACGGGGTGAATGCCGAGCCCACCCGTATGCCGAGTATCACGCCGGCTCGGACGCCGGCACCAAACGAGCTAGAGTACTTTGACGTATTCCACTGGTTCAACTACCCGCGCCTGCCGGCCGGTGGAGAAAATGCGCTCTATCAAATGACGCCTGGTATAGTTGAATCCGGGACCTCGGGAGGTTTGGCAGATGGTTCCGCGATGAACCGAACTAACGGCGAGGTGAACGGTGGGATTCCCGTCACCGCGGAATACATCAACTTTGGTACATTTGCCGTAGATGCGAGCAGGGATTGGCTTGGCTAAGACCTACGACCTACTTCTTCTCTAACTAAATCCAATGAGCATCTGTGCGAGTGATGGAGAGCTCGGAGGGCTTTTAGACAAGTCAAACACATGAGTGAACGACATAATATATATATCCCATTCTTTGTTTTGCATACATGTATAAATCACGCGCGGAGTGGGATTATTTTGGATGGGGCACACTGCGGGATATGATTTTGGGGTTTCTTTTTGCTTCATCTTCCTTTTGATTTCATATTTGCTTGACGGTGCATCGAGGAGAAGTCCTATCCTGCGCGAAGTCTTGGGCTTCGGTGGAAGGAATTTACTGATTACATGTACGCGATGATACCAATCTTGGCGTGGATAACACTCTCGATCGCTTCTACAATCTTTAAAATCTTGACCATCTCAAGCCGTTAGCCACTCGACTACCTCTCGAAGGCCATAGTCATCGAAAACTGTTCAAAACAGAAGGAGAGGGTATAATAAATATTAATCTAATTAATGTAGCGGGACATCCTACGACATGTGGATAGGTGAAGTGTGAATAGGTATCAAATCAAAAGGATATAAGGTATCTCGGACCAATGCATGCGACTAGGCGCCCCAAGGTATCAACCTATCAAATGGTACTAAGCTAAGGAAAAGGACAAAGAAAGATAGAGGAGGAAAGGGATGGGAAAAGAACAAAAAAGAGACCAGACTCCGGCGCAATGCGATGCTGTGTCACCTCTTCACCAAAAATACGTCCAGAAGAAACGCAAGCAAACATGGAAACGATGTACATCCCCACTATACCCATCAGCGAGAAGAAGAAGAAGACATAAGAAAGAGTGAGCGATAGGAGGCTGAATATAGGTTGGCTTGCTCCGATACCAAAGTGTAATGAGCAGCGGTCCGAGGGGTAATCCAAAACTCCAGCGATGCGGAGGCGTAAGATGGCTAGATTAGGTTGAAACAAAGGAAAGAGAGAAAAGGTTAGGAATCATTCAGTTTAGTCTTCAGGGGTATGGTGTTTTTTTCTGTATTTATAAGTGCTCGAGAATGTCTTGGAGGGCAGCTCGATCCACGGTGTCAGGTTGTACCTTACTTGGCGCGCCACGGCGTCGCTGAGATGCCCAGTACTGTTGGAAGCCGGGTATAGCACCAGGTTGGTTGATTCCTGGGGCGCGGAGAAGATCTTTGTCATTGTCCCTATCCAGCGCCTTGCTAGGCGCGGTCGGATCGCTGGCTTGCGCTGTCGAGGTCGATGAGGCTTCTGAATCTCCTTCAATCGTGGTTGAGTTGTTGCCGTTGTCGTTGCGAACCTCGGAACCATTGGCCGTTGCGCCGCCACCCGAGGCATTGCCACCCCATGGGCGCCAGCCTCTCCATCTACCGAGGGTACCAAACGAGGTGGCAGGATTGGAAATTGCTCTGGCCTGTGGACTTGGCGAAGGGAGCGCAGCTAGGCTGTCGCGCAAGAACGCGGCACCCCGCTTCCCGCTGAGGGTTGATAGGGTCGGCTGCGCCGTTATCCCAGTCACGATTGCTTGGGCGCTACCAAGTTGACATAACGTCAACTGGCTTGGACGAGTTTTAAGAGTGTGTATGTCCAGGCCACCAGAAAGCGACATGATGGATTCGTGAGAGACCGTCCGGCGAAGCGGCGGCCGCGGCGGGGTAACCATGCCATCCAGGATTCCAGATTGTTCAAAGTCTACGACTTGACCATCTCTTCCAGTAGTGGTCCTGGTTGAGGAGCTGTCATCCCCATCCCCATCATCTCCTTCCAAAACGGTCAGGTCACTAATGGGTTGCCCCTGGAGGTGAGAGGGTGGGGATGTTAAGGGCATCTCTACAATTCCAAGCGAGAGCGCAGTAGTGCTAGCAGGAGAAGGAGAAGAGGGCATGAATCCTTGGGTAGAGGGCCTCAGGGTCGCACTCGGTATTCGCAAACCGTTGCTTTCCGGTTTAAAAGTGGGGGATAGCGGGTCGATGCTTGTGCATGGAGATGGAGGACCTTCACTGTCTAGAGCGACACTACCGCTGAACATGGACAAGCGTGGGTTGCTTCGAGGCGAGCTCGCGAGGGTCGATACGCCAAATTCGGAGACAAGGTTAGAGGCTCGGGACCACCGGACGGAGGGTTCAGCTTCCGAATCATTCACCACGGAGCCATCGCCGGGGTAGGGGCGGCTCTGGGATCTCAACCACTGATCGCGCATCGTGGGTGGCAGTGCCGGCGACGATAGCTCAGGTGTGCCAGGCAGGAAGCCTGACAACGAGTTCCTCCCGGAATGCCTCTTCTTGGATTTCCGGGCTTCATTCTTAGGCGTGACGTGGTAGTGATGATGGATATGTACCTCTTGGGAGGGAGGAGGCGGTGGGGGAGGAAGCATGGGAAGAACCTGAGGGGGTTTGTGGCGACCCTAACTCAGTGCTGAGATTGACCGCCATGAGATTCGACGGGGAATCATGGATGGGCTGGTGAAGCGCGAGGCAGTCCCGAAGAGCCTGAATCTCGTCACTCGAGTTGGCGAGAAGCTCCCGCAACTCGGCGATACCGAGCTGCAAGCTCGCATTGTCTTGTAGAAGATCTCTGACAAAGTGCGAGACAACGGTGTTTGTGCTGCCCGGCACCCCCGTACCCAGCGATTTCGCGGCAGCGGCGCCTTTAAGCCGACCAGCCGCAGTGCTCAGCTCCTTTTCAATCTCACGTTGGCGCTCCATGCGTTCTACAATCTCAGCCTGTCGTTCCTTCTCCTCACGCGCACCACGCTCCATCAGCTCTAGTTGGTTCTGAAGATCGGCGATGGTGCGTTCGGCCATCCTCCACCTTTTGAGGCAGATCTGGTCTCTTCCTCAGTGGTCATGAGAGAGGTCTGGGCTTGTTCGAGGTCCTGTTCCAAGGCGGCAATATGTCGCTCCATGTCGGCAGCGCGGGAGGCGGTGATTTCGAGGCGGCGGACGGCCTGTTCCGAGGCTTGTAGACTCGCTTCGAGGAGGTGTATTCGGCTGTCAGATTCGACGACAGAGTTATTCAACTCTTCGAGCTGGTCGAGTAGCAAGCGGTTCTCTTCAATGGTCTTGGCGTTCATGGCTTCGAGTTCCTTCTTGTCAGTTTCAAGCTGGACGATGCGTGAGGTCAGTTCGGCGCGGTCACGTTCGGAATCAGCCATATAAGCTTCATGGCGAACTAAGAGTGCCTGTAGGGCAAAAGTTAGCGAGGGGGCCATTTTCACGAAAGATCCAAGTCTAGGTCGACAGATGATGAGGCACAACGACGAGCAAGAATAGTGCCGCTGAAGAATAGCGCATGTAAACTAAAAAGAAAAGTGAAGAAGAAACACAGAATTGACGCCAATATAGTAGCACAGGGTGTTCTGATACATCAAACTCGCCAGGCAGAAAGAAGATGATCTCGAGACAAGGGCAAGACAAGCAATAAGAAGATCTGGGGAATCCTCAAATAAAACCAACTTGTAGGACATAGTAGAATGGCGCGAGGGCGAAGCAGAAGTAAGAGAACGACAAGGCACGGGATAGTCAGAAAAGGGAGGGGAAGAGGGGGAGGGGTTGACAATGTTGAAAGTGCAAGGGAGGAAGACGCCAAAAAAGCAAACGCAGGATATGGAACGGAACGAAGCAAAACGAAGCCATCATGAGTCTCCTCTTCGAAGGGAAGGGTACACCATACCTGACCGAGCTTTGCTGCCATATGAACGTCTTTCTCAACGCTATCAAGAATGGAGCAGTTGTGTCTCAACACGACACAATTAACATTGCCACAGCAGCAGTGTAGGGGCAATGTTTCGGTAGATGCATAGGACACACGATCCCGCGCAGCTGGGCGGACAGGGGAGAGGACCCCATGGCCTCGTCGCCGGTCATAGTAGGGACCGGTCCGGGAACTGGAGCGGAGGAGGGCGATTAAGGTTTGCACTCTACTTCTCCTGCCCGCTCACGGCTCGAGTCAGCATGGCGGACGCAGGTCGCAGGGGCATGGGGCAAGAAGCCAGGCGAGGACCGAGGCGAGGCGACGAGGGGTGTGACGGTTTGGGACGAGAGAGACTGGAAGCACAGCTGAATTTGTGTGGACGAGAGAGTATGTGTGCGGAGACCGCAAGAGGGTGCAGACGAGGGAGGGAGGAGTGTCGCACACTAAAAATGCATGTCTAAGAGGGACGCGGCTCGGAGGAGTCGAGAAGTGAGAATCAAAGGACGGCAAGGATCCGATACCCGAGCTGAGCGGTGGAGCCCGCGAGACGGAAAGAAGAAAAGGAAAAAGATTGAAAAACAATCGTGGAGAGGGGGAAACAGGTTGCCTTGGGGTATCTACAGGCAAAATTGCCAAAAGAGAAGCCAGGAGGCAGAAACTTTTCTCTCACTCACTTCTCATGAAGAAGTCGAAAGGGCCCAGGGACGAAAAGCGGGGCGGGGATAATTATCATAAATCACAGGTATTGATGGCGCCTTCTTGCCTTTGAGAGTTGGGATTAGCTAACATGGCTTGGTGGAAGGCGCGTTTGGGTGTGACGTCGCGCGTTCTGGTTTAACCGCTTTGGGACTTGGTTCTCTTGTACCCACCGCCAAACTTCACGTCCCAACCTCCAGATCAATCAGCTTTTGGCCGCAACCCGCAGATTGCGCTCAATCTGGAATCAATGCATGGTTCCCCCACCATGCAGTCCAAATTGATTGATAAATGAAAGAAAGCGCGTGCGTGTGCGTGTGCACTCTCACACATGCCACCGATTGATAGCCGATTGAGAGGATTTGCCCATGGTTTTGGCGCCGATTCCTTCGTTCACCAATGAGCCAAGCAAGCCAAGGAGCCCTAGTATCCTAAATCCCATTTCTTTTTCTCGTCACTGTCTCTCACGTTCAAACAACAACAACGGCAAGGGGATCAGGGCGGGAGTGGGGACGAAGGAGGGGAGGCTAGGCCTAATCCTTTGAGATAAGGCATGACCGCTCGCAAGGACAAGCAGCGTGGCGAAAGGCGTACGTATAGTCCAATCCAGCTCGTCTGATCAAGTCTCAGAAGGTGCAGAAGAAGCAGAGGAAGCAGAGGAAGTAGAGGAAGCAGAGGAAGCAGAGGAAGTAGAGGAAGAAGCAAGGTTTACTCTCTCTCTCAAGGCAGTCGCCTTTATGTCTAGGCTGTAAAGCCACATTGGCCCAAATACGAATTGATCCAATCCTCTGGTGTGGCAAAATCAAGGGAGCAGGGTTTGTCAAGCTTGCCCATCACCCATTGATTTTCCCTACTCGCATCAGTTCGGTCCACTATTATATGGTCTCAGTGTCATTGGAAACCTCTGGCTTTTTGACCACTGCCTACCAGTCCAGTTGGTTCAATGTTTCCGATGCCAATGTTCCGAGAAACAAGGAGTTGGCCGGCTACATGGCCGCCATGTACACGTTTTCGTGCATCCTCGTCCTATCATCTTCATCAACAAAATCAATCACCCACATCCGTTCCCTTTTATTGGCCCCCACAGGTATTTTCTTGTCCCCGGACTACGCAAACCTGATCATCTGCTTGCTTGGCGGATGACGGAGCGCCACCATGTCAAGGTCAAAGAGCTCCGTGGCCACCACCGCCTTGAAAGGCTGGCCCAGGTAAGCCAGGGCCGCTGATCCGAACACCTTCAGCGTCCTGCTTCCATCCACCACGCTTCCCTTGACACGGCCTTCCCCAGCCCAACCCCAGGAGCTGGAAATCCTGGCCCGCTCTCCTTATCCTCGTTCACGCACCTAATAGTTTCCAAAGTCAGCTTCAGGAAAGGGAAGGGCGCCTTTGAGTGAAACAGGAACTCACTCACTCATTAGCACGGAATTCAAGTCGAGTTGGGGTTTCAGGGTTTGCAAACTATTATTTGGAGAAGGGATGAAACGGAGCCGGGCGCGAAAGAAAGAAAACAAATAGTGCGATGAAGGTTTCAAAAGAGGAAGAAGAAACAAAAAGGATCCCAGTCGGCGAACGCTTACAACAAGGTGTATCTGAAGCGAATGATGGCATTTCACGGACACTAACAATAAAAAGCATTATGGTTCCAAAGTGACCAAGATGCGAACTGTGGAAGATGTACAATTTTTGTAGAGGCAGAGGAAGAGAAGGAACTTGTGACTACCATACAGACTCGTGCCCCCATCTACGTTTCAGTTAACGTCGAGGGTTAAAACATCCAGGCCGCCGGCGAGCTGACTCTTGGAAGGCATCTTGTTCTCAAACATTAGCGTGCTGCACTGAGCAAGCACTGGATCCTTGCCCATGGCAGCCATGGCCAGAACCGTCTCACCGCGACAGTAGTAAGCCACAAACTTGCCCTCCGCCGGGTCGCCCTGGATTACAATGTCATCCCAGCCGCCAGCCGTATTTCCGCAATATCTCAGCTGGCCCGACAGCGCAGACCAGAAGACGGGGACAAACGGCCATGGGGCTTCTTGAGGGTGCGTGATGTCTCGGGCAACGGCCCTCCCTGCGTTCTGGGCCACGCACCAGTGCTCGATGCGGGTAGGCCGGCCGTCGCCGCCGGGCCCGTGGTAGGGGAACGTTGCGATGTCGCCGATGGCGTACACGCTCTCGAGACCCTGGACGGCGAACTTGGCGCTGACCTGAAGGGAACCATCCTTTTCGAGACTGACGGCGCTGTTCTCCTTGAGATAGGTGGTTGCGGGGGCCACACCCACCCCGAGGATGACGAGATCGGCTTCGATTCTCGTGCCATCCTTGAGGAGAACGGCGCCAACCTTGCTCGAATCCGAGGCGGAAGCCTCCGCCTTGTCCACCGAGGCCGACATGTAAAACTTGACACCGAGAGATTCGAGACCCTTTTGTAGGCCGGCGCCAACTACCTCTCCCATGACCCTTTCGAGGGCAACCTTTTCCATGCCGATTACGGTGACGGAATTATCGCTGCAGAGTGCCTTGGCCACTTCCATGCCAATAAAGGATGACCCAACAACGGCAATTTTCTTGCCCTTGCCTCCAACCGCCTCCACAATCTCGCGCGTGTCCTTGATGGTCCGGAGGGTGAAGATGTTTCCGAGAGTCTTGAAGCCGTCGAGGGGCAGCCTCCTCGGCGTGCCACCGGTGGCGAGGACAAGCTTGAGTAGGATATCGACTCTCCGCTCTTGGTCTGAACGACTTTTGGGCAAAATCGACGCCGGTGACCTCGTCGTCGAGCATGTCGACGGCCGCGCTCTCGTACCACCCATCGTCCCGCCACGCAATCTTGTCCGGATCTGTCATCAAGGCCTTGGACAGCTTCGGCCTGTCGATGGGGAGGTAGCCCTCCGAGGAGATGACGGTCAAGGCTCCTCGTAGCCGTTCTCTCTTAGCCCCTCCACCAGCCCAATCGCGCCCGAGCCACCACCAACGACGACAACTTTGGACTGTTGCGGCTTCTTGGAGGCTGCGCCTGCGCGGCACTGGATGTTGGGTTTGCGACGGCCGGATTTGATGTCGGCTTCGGCGCCGGTAATGTACACGGCGCCGTCGCGCTCGGCTACTTGAAAGACTGGAAGGGAGTCAAGGGCAGGGGCGTCCTCGATATCACCCGATTTCGCATTGAAGCATGCTGCACAAAGAAATGAGGAACTGGGAGAGAGATGATGGGGGTAAGTGATAAGGATGGGGATGACTTACCTCCGTGCCATGGGCATGTGAGACGACCGGACGCTGTCAAGATGCCCTTGACTAAGGGCGCGCCATAATGGGTGCACTTGGAACCCAACGCCTGGATCGAGCCTCCAGCATTGACGAGCAAGACCTTTCCCTCGTCGATGCCTTCGACTTCGACCTCTTGCTTTTCTCCGGGCTTGAGCGCGAGGGTAGAGACACCCTTGAGCTTATATTCCTTCGTCATTGTCGCGAGCTTTGAAACGGAGCAGGTGATTGATCTGACTTGGGGCTTGGGGGATGAGTGTGTGAGAAACCAGATGGGTAAGGGAGAAGGAGGGTGTCGGCGAAGGAGGGGTATTAAAGCTACAGTCGGCCTGCGGAGGGGGCGGAGATGCTTGGAAGTCATGAACGGGAAGTATTTAAGCAACGGGACCAGCGTTTCTGGTGGCAGGGGGAGGGGCGGGGTTGTATGGATGATGTGCTGTATCAGCGGATGCGGAACGCGGCCAAATGTACAGACGGACGGCACTTGGGCGGAAGCATGAAAAACATGAGTAGTAGCAGAGGGCGGACTGTAGGACGAGAAGGACTGGGCGAGGTTGCTTAATTATATTCAGGTTATAGCTGGAGGCGATTAGTTTCGCCTTCAAAAAGGAAGATGGCCCGCTATCATATGAGAAAAGGAAATTCAGAAACGGCGAAAGTCGTGTCGTAAATGCGGGATCCTCGACTTCGAGTGTCCTTGGTTTCAAAGAGGACGGCCCCTCGCCTTGCAATGTAGCTCCAAGGGTGGGGTTGTGGTGCCGACGTCAGAGCAAGCTCATTGCTCAATGGCTCTGGGCTGGGAGCTACCTCTCCATCAATGGACAACATCATTCTTTGCATTGGCAGATTGGATAGCATCGAAGACAGCCCTAGAGGCCTTCCTGCGCACAGTCGGGGCTAGTATTCAAGCATCTCAGATTCAAGGCCAGTGGCGTCATAGTGCCCAGGCCAAATGCTCAAGCTTGGGCTCTCCCCAGCTCCTCTTCTCTTCACTCTCTATCCGGAATGAGGAATAGCTGAGGGACACCAGAATACACTACACAGGTTCGCTCTGGGGACTTTGATGGGTTGATCCATTCCATTCACTCATTGGCAGGTGCATTGCTGTTCAACGTTGTGGTGGGGTAAGTGAGCTGCAGGATGACAATGCAGGACATCCGATTGGCCGTTTGATGGACAAAGAACCTAAGTGCGGCGCTGGGTCTGTCATGAGCCTAGTGGCATTATTAATTCATGTCCTCTCTACGGATCTAGTGCATGAAAGTCTTCCAATCAATCTTGCCCTGGAGTCCTCAACGTTCAAGGTAGGGGCGGGGTGGACCGGCTCCGGCCGGCGAGGGCTGGACGCCATTCCGTGGGTGAACAGTCTCCCCGAACTATCAGTTTTGTTACTCCGAAGACTAGGGCCCTCGCTTCTTCTAGGATCCACGGCGTCAGCACCGGAGAAATGGTTTCGCGAAACAACAGCCCGAGAGGTCGTTGCGAATACGGCAAAGGGGCCCATTTCAGTACTATTCCCGTCCGTCATCGCAGGCGGCTCGTGGGCCATCGACCGAGATTTGCGATGGCCCAATGAGGTGGGCCAAGCAGCGCATTTCATGCCTCGGAAGGAGCTGGGAAAGAAGAAGAAAAATACTTCAATTTCGTATTCGCCAACGATATTGCTGTTGAAGAGAGAATGTGACCATAGCTCTACCCCGAAGCTCCCATGAACGGCCGTGTCTGGGGGATCAGTCAACAATGGATGCCACACCTATCACCCATCACTAGCCATTAATAGAAGGATCCGGTCAACCTATCGATGTAATGATTATGACCGGTCCAGAATCCACGTGCAGCCTGTGTAAGCTCAAAAGAAGAAAAGAACACGACTTGTAGACTCAACGACAAGTCTAAATCACCGAGCTTGTTAGATCGATTGCTCATAAAATACTATAGGGCGAGAGGTCTAAGCAAACCCAGGCTTATTATTAGCCCTTGCCTTGAAGAACTTGGGTTTTTACCTGCAGCCATATAAATTAGCAAGGCACAATGGTGAATGCTTAGACTCAGGATTGGAGTTCAATTACACAATTGAGATATCTCTCCTGTTGATTCAACCTCATTTTCACATGCACGCGGGAGCAATTTGGACCGCTGATTGGCATTGGTCGCTGAATTGGTAAATGTGGCTACTCGGGGGTCGTTCCTGGTTCTTTCCTCTCTAATTGGACAGTGCACTTTGCAGCCACTGTAACCCAGTGCTCGAAAAGCGCCAGGAGCCGCGAAACACGACCCTTGATCTATTTTCATCGCTCTTGAGCTCACTTCGGTGTCATTGATGATAGCAAAATCTTCAAACGGTTGCGCCTACCAGCCAATGCAGCCCCTGCGCCCCTTCCAGCAGTAAAGCGCTGCTCCAGACCACTGCGGCCTAACCAAGCCTATCCCCTCTTGGTAGCCCCAGAAGGGTCGAATACCTACACTACACTCGGCCATCCAAAGACTCTATATAAAAAAGAGAAAGCGCCAAATCATGTCTCGGCCGGCGCAGCGCGGATCCGCCCTCCGCGGCGCATCCTTCCTCATCGTCCTCCAAGTCGCCTCGCGCCTCCTCACATTCTTCGCCAACCAGCTCCTCCTGCGCTTTCTCACCGCGCCCCTCCTTGGCCTGTCCGCCCGCCTCGAAGCCTACTACCTCACCGTCCTCTTCTTCGCCAGGGAGAGCCTACGCGTCGCCATCCAAAGGCAGCCCATCACCTCCACCGCCAGCTCCGGCAGGGACAAGCCCAGCAACGACGATGCCCCCTTACCGAGGCCGAGGGGGAGCAGGGCCAAGCCGTCGTGAACCTGGGCTACCTAGCCGTCGTTCTCGGTGTCGTCGTCACCGCCGCTCTTGGCTCCTTTATGCAAATGTCCGCCGGCGCCGGCGCCGGCGCCGAGCGCTTCGACGACGCCCTGCGCCTGTACGCCCTCGCCGCCATCTTGGAGCTCCTCTCCGAGCCTTGCTTCGTCCTCATGCAGGTCCGCCTCCGCTTCGGCACTCGCGCCGCCGCCGAGTCCGCCGGCGCTCTCCTACGCTGCGCCGCCACCCTGGGCTCCGCCGTCTGGGCGAGCCGCGCTGGCCTGGATTTCGGCGTTCTCCCCTTTGCCTTTGGCCAGCTTGCTTACGGCGCCACCCTACTCGTCATCTACCTAGCAGCCGGATACGGAGTCGCCTCCCGCGACGGCTTCTCCATCCTTCCGCGCAAGATCGCGCCAGCAGCCGCCCCCAAGGCGAACGCAGACAAGTCCCCGCCAAGCCCTTACCTACTATCTTATTTCTACGCGCCCACCCTGAGCCTAGCCTCCAGCATGATGGCGCAGAGCGTCGTAAAACACTTCCTCACCCAGGGCGACACCTTTCTCGTCTCCGTCCTCTCCACCCCCACGCCCAGGGCATCTACGCCCTCGTCAACAACTACGGCGGCCTCCTTGCTCGGCTCCTGTTCCAGCCCATCGAGGAGAGCAGCCGGTCCTACTTTAGCCGCCTCCTCGCCGCCCCCGAGCCCGCACAAGCATCAGACAAGCCCCAAGCCGACGGCCGCCCCGCCTCCGCCCCAACCACGCACGGCTCCTCTTCCGCGACCGCGTCGGGCAAGGCCTCCGCCGACCTCCACCGCCTGCTCAAGCTCTACGTCTTGGGCTCCGCCGCCGTCGTCACGTTTGGACCTCTGGCGGCCCGGCATCTCTTGACCCTCGTCGCCGGACCGTCCTGGTCTGCCAGCGCCTCGCCCGCTCTCGCCGCCTACTGCTACTACATCCCCCTACTAGCCATCAACGGCGTCTCCGAGGCCTTTGTCGCCTCCGTCGCCACCGAAGCCCAGGTCCACGTTCAGAGTCTTTTCATGGCTGGGTTCTCCGTCATCTTTGGTCTTTCCGCCTTTGTTGCCCTGCGCGTCCTCGACATGGATCCTGCGGTCGGTCTAGTTTGCGCCAACGCAGCTAACATGGTCTGCCGCATCGTCTGGTGCGCCTTCTTTGTCAAGAGCTACTTCCGCCAAAGGGCCGTTAGTTTCGACCTCTTCAGCCTAGCACCTAGCGGCCTCAGTGTGGGCCTATGCGCCGCGGCGCCCTACCTTGTCACGAAGGCATTGCAACTATCCGAGCATATCGTGCGCGGAGGCGCATTCATGTCACTCATCGCTATCGGTGCCGTGGCGGTTCCATTTGTGGCTTTATTGTATGGCTCCTTTCCCTCCCTCATCCCCTGTTCTCTCTTTCAGCGCCCAACACTTGCCACTGTAACGGGCCCAGCCAAGGCGCCAAAGATGTAATAAAGACTAACGTATAAACACAGGGCTTTTGCCGAGAGAAGATTCCTGAAGGAATGTTACTCTTCTCTCCGAGGGTCGAGTCCCTGACTAAAGGCGACGTAATGCTCATGATGACCCTATTTTGTTCCGTATAGAATAATAGAAAACCCAGACTTTTGATCCACATTGTACCCACGCCCACACCCACGCACCATGCCGGCTGTTACATTACAAACATTGCCATCATACTTAATCATCAAAGACGATTTTCTCGGGTACGTTCGTCGTGTCTACCTCGCGGTAGAACGCGCCATAGACGGGTGAAGCTTCTTCTTCACCGTAGTACCGAACTTGAGGAGATCTTCAGGTACGGGCTGGCCGGCCTGTCGGAGAATGTTGATCAACCTAGTGGGTGGATCGTGTTAGCTGGGAATCAAGACATTAGGTGGAAAAGAGGGGCTTGTGCTGAATGATTATAGAGCAGGAAAACGTACTCTCCGGAATGCGACTTGTCATGAAGCGTAAACAAGGTGATGGCCTCGCCAGTCTTTCCGGCACGGCCCGTTCGGCCAATTCGGTGGACGTAGTCTTCAATAGTCAATGGGAACTAGATGGGGAAACAGAATATATGTTAGATTGTTGTTCAGGAGTCTTCCCCCAAAAAAAGAATTTTGAAAAATTGAAAACCTTTGTTTTTGTTGCCTGGGAAAGGAATGGGGAGGGGAGTAAAGGCATACCGTCAAGTTGACCACGAGCTTCACCTCGGGAATGTCGAGGCCTCGCGCGGCAACATCGGTCGCGACAAGGACCGAGGTTGTTCCAGCCTTGAAGGCTTCCAAGGCCTTGGTCCGCTGTTCCTGCCTTAGATCGCCGTGGATGCCGGCCACACTGATACCCCTACGCGCCAGCGTCTCCTCGACCCTGGTCGCCTCCTTCTTGTAAAGGGCAAAGACGAGGATGCGGTCGTTCTTCTTGCTGCCTTGCTGGTACTCCCTGAGAATCTGGAGCAGCCGGGCCTCCTTGGCGCGGGGGTCCACGACCTCGACACGTTGCGTGATGCGCTTGTTGGCCTGGAGCTCGCCGTCGGCGCGGTCCTCGTCGCCGTTGCTGATGTTGATGCGGACGGGGTTCACCATCATGGACGCGGCGAGCGCCTGAACGGATAGGGGCCAAGTGGCGGTGAACATGAGCGTCTGCCTCTTCTCGCGGGGGCGTGGCGGCCAAGATTTGCTTAATGTCCTCTTCGAAACCGGTATCGAGCATGCGGTCGGCCTCGTCCAGGACGACAAACTGAACACCGCTGAGGTCGCAGACGCCCTCGGACATGAAATCCTTTAGACGGCCGGGGGTGGCGACGACGATGTCCGCGCCGCGGCTGAGGAGGCTGCGCTGCTCGTATTTGGCGGCGCCACCGTAAACACACACGCAGGATAGACCGACGAGCCCGGCAAGCTGCGATACCTGCTCGTGGGTCTGCATGGCGAGCTCGCGGGTGGGAGAGACGATGACGGCTCTGATGCCACCCCTCTTGGAGTTCTTGGAGAGACCCTCCACGCAGGGCAGGGCAAAGGCCATGGTCTTGCCCGATCCAGTCTCCGCAACGCCGATGACGTCCCTGTCGGAGAGGGTGAAGGGCCACGACGCGGCCTGAATCGGCGTCGGGGCGCTGAAAGCCTTGAACGGGCTCTTCTGGAGAAGACGGGTGGAGGGGAGGTGGGAGAACTCCATGATGGGACGGAGATGGCTGAGCTTTCCGGTGGGGTCGGTTATGGTGATGAACTTGGATTTGAGAAACGAATCGACGTCGGACTGGGAAGTGGCGGCAAGTGTTGTGGATTCGACGTAGGAGCCCTGGGAAGCCTTGGAAGCCTTGGCGGGAGTGCTGGTGGGGGCGGCTGACCCGTTGGCCTCTGCTCCATTCTGCCCCTTGCCCTCCTTCTTTGACTTCTTCTTGGGCTTGGTCTCGGTATCGGCAACGTCAGGGCCGTTGGCACGATCGGCGTTGTCCTCGGCGACCTCGTCATGCTTGCGCTTCTTCTTTTTCGAGGCCTTCTTGTCGGAGTCTTGGGAAGTCGCTTCCTCGGCAGGGGTATCATCGATCTCCATGCGGTCCTCCGCATTCTCTTCCTCGGTTTCCTCTTTCCTCTTCTTTTCCTTCTTGTCCTTCTTGTCCTTCTTCTCCTTCTTGTCCTTCTTGTCTTTCTTCTCCTTCTTGTCCTTCTTCTTCTTTTCACCCTCTACCTCGGGAACCACATCCTCAACAGGATCTAGAACCTCGGCATCGTCTATAAATTTAGCCTCTTTCTCCTTCTTAGCCTTCTTCGCCTTCTTATCCTTCTTATCCTTCTTGTCCTTTTTCACCTTGGTGGCGGGGGCGCCTCGGCGGTGATCACCGCGACGCTTTCGGCGGAGGGCATAGCGTCAAGTTTTCCGATCAGAAAGAGAAAAAGAAAGGAAGACAAAATAAAGTTGCAGGAAGTAGGAGGTCGTGGCCGTGGAGAATTCACAGGGGAACGGCGGTCGGGAGGGATTGGAACTTTGAAAGATGTTCGGGGGTCGGTTGGCGGTGGGGAAATAATTCTGCCCGTCTAAATGCTTTCTGAATTTTTTTTTCCATCCTTCCCACTATTTTTCTGCTATTATCGTGTGGGACGCTCTTTATCGATAAGAGATAAAGCCAAAGTGGGGCGCATGTTCAACGTGGGAGCCATCGGGTACTGCACTACCGTACTACACTATGTAAGCCATCGACTCATTATTAGACATCAAGAAGAGAGCGAAGGGAGAGAGAAGATACAATTGATGCAAGTCACAAATCTACAGTCTCATGCTCTTCAACTGCAAACCCTTAAAAGCTATTGGTAAATAGGCAAGAAAATGAATTGTAGCATCAGAAATAATGCATCTTCTAAGATCGAAAACCGCCGAAACTCATCGCGAACCCTTGCGAGAGTCTTCCATACGCCCCCGCCCGCAACTCCTAATGCTTATCCCGATGGTATATACCAACCGCCTGCATAACAACTTTCCAAAAGAGGCGGTTGTAAAGAAAGAAGAAAACAACAAGAAAAATAACAAAAGCAGTGGAAACTCCGACAAAATAAGTAGATGTTCGTGAGAAAGCGAACCACTAGTACAGCACCCGAGGTCGTAGGTATGGCGCCTTATCCACGTCAACCTCTACCCGCCCATTTTTATCAAGCCATGCCCCCTCATCGGTGATATCAATCACCTCGCTACTATGCTTGACTTCTTGTCGGCTCACCCCGCCCTTGTCTCGCGGAATCCAGAGCGTCTCCATAGGCGTCGTCATCACTGGAGGCCAATAAGCGTGGTGGGTATAGTCTTCTGGGTAGAACTCGGTGGGATCCGGCATGTTGGGCGGGAGCATCTTTTGAAGCGTGACAAAGTCATCAAAGATGCCTGGATGTAACCAACGAAGGACGAAGTTGGGTTTGACTGTCCTGTCAGGCCTGATCCAGTAATTAACATAGCCAAGCGCAGCCGTGAGGCCGATAGCGTCCGCAGGACCCTTGAGCTTTTAGCAAGGGCGCCCTTGGTCGTGTCAAGAATTGAAGTAACGAAGCCCTCTGCTCCTTCAACGCCGCCCTCCGCAAGACCGCGAGTCCCAGGTGTGATGCGCTCATGCACTTCGTCTTTCCCATCTTCGTGGTCCACGACGTCGAAGGAATCGTGCGGCCGAACGCTCAAAATCGAGGCCGTCCCCGGCGAGGCATGCCCAAAGGGATTAGGGCGAATCACATCATTCTGCCCTACTTCAAAGGGCGTACAGCCGCCCGCCAACTCCTCGTTTTCCAACGGCAACGTTTGAGGGAGGTTGTATAGCAGCGGCGTGATAGCATCACTGATGGATAAGTGCAAAAGGACGGACAAGACCAGGAAAGCAATCATGACTACCATTGGCACGAACGCCGATCGTAGAGCGAACAGTCCAATCATACAGATCTCTGCCAGATAGACACCGACAAGTAGCTGCATGAGCGCACGAGGGTAGACCAACCCTCGCGTGTCGATTTCCGTATTGTAGATGTAGAGGAGATTGTATCGATAAACGAGATAGATGACATACATGCCAGCGCTCGCAAAGCCGAGGACGAGAGGAGATATGCACGCATAGCTGATGCCTGAGGTGGGGGCGTTAGCAGGGCAAAGGACAGGAGCATGAGCAAACCAACAAAGGAAACTCCTTACTAATGACACCCATATTGGTGAAAACGGGGAAAACTCCTCCCCAGTGAATCCGCCGTACACGATGCCAGACGGTGAACTTCATCCTCGGGCTCTCGAGTCTTTTCGACATGAGGTGGTGTCGAACGATTTCGAACACATGGACCAGAGCGTTGGCGCCCGCAGCGAGGCACTGCATGAGAATGTATGAGATGTAGAAGTTGGATGACTTGGGTAAATTCTCCGAGAGAAGGTCCTTCACCGACATGGGGTCCTTGAGAATGGCAGTCACTGCACCAGATGCCGCGGATGTGATTGTAGTAATCAGGAAAACCTGGACGACTTGGAAGGCGAAGTACGCATTTTGAACGAAGAGTTCAATCATGGATAACGAGGGTATACCGGCGGCTCTTGCGCAACCTGGACCAGCCACATGTATAGGTTAGCGGGCAAGAAATAAATAAGGGTGGGCTGAGCCGCAGCAACAAAACGCAAGTTTAAAAAGTAACGGAGGAGGAAAGAGTTGGGGATGTGGTGAGACAAACCTCGCAGCATCCAAGGCACAGCCGCCATAAGTAAAGACAAACAGAGGGCGGGAAGAAAGCCCTGGATAACGCCTTTGAGCGCCTTTGGAAGGAGAACGATCCAGCTAAGAAACGGAAATGTCTCGGCAAGGAAGGTGATGTTGGACAAGAGGCCAACGAAAGCGGCAGGGAACGACCAGAAGATGATGCCAGCCGTGATGGCAGCGAGGATGACGAAGCGCCGGACGATGCGTTGAGCCCATCCCATCTGGATCACGCTCCAGATCAATTCGTCGGGGCGAACGCCAATGAAGCGCGGCGACATGTGCATAGGGCTATGGTGGGCCTGGATCTGATATGCGCGCTCCGCTTCAGCCTGGGTGGTAAACTCGATGAAGGCGGCAGGCAGAGGTTTTCCTTCCCCAGCTAGAAGCCTACGCTTCATTTTCCGGATGGCCGGGTTTAGGACCTTGAGACGGTTGCGGGTCCATTTAATAGTGTCGACTCGGCGGAAAAAGTTGGCAACAGGACGGTGGTGCGGGCGCTCACGAGCGCGAATCCATTGCGCGGCGACCGAGCCGTTAACGTCTGGCAGTCTGGGGATAGCCTTTTCCACATCGTCCTGCCCGGCGACCGACGGGTCATCGGATGCCCGCGAGACCAATGCCGGGCTTGGAGCCACGATCGAGATCGGGGTCGGGGTCGGGGTCGGATTCGGGTTCGAGTTCGAGTTCGGGGTCGCATCTGACGCAGGGGTAGCCAAGGGGGCGTTGCCATTTTGGGGGCTCTCGGCCTGCTTTCTGCGACGGGCGTCCGCCATTTTAATGAGCCGAATCTCGGCCTTTTCTAAACGTCGTGCCGTCTGGTCTCGCTCTTTGACTAACTTTTCAAAGTCCTCCGTGTCCCTCGGGATCCAGACATTCTTTACACCGTCGCCATAAACCTTGCGCAGTCGAGCTTCGTCGAGGTATCGTTCGGGAACAGATAGGAACATGACTGTCCGGGAAGAGAGACGCTTCGATTGATATGGAGATAGTAGATAAGCATGGCGCAGGTTGATATAAAAGATGCATTCACGATAGATGGTAAAAATGATGAAGCCTAAAACCCGACGAAGCCAGGGATAAACATGTCAGTAGGTTAGTCGAAGATGACAGTTGCCTCATGCATGATCTGAGAGGTGTCAAGATTTACGCAAGGGCGGGCGAGAAAAATCCACGTTTGGGCTCCCAAGCCACGTACCAAAGAAGCAGCATGCCACAACGACATGGGCCATGAACATGTAGGACTCGGTAACATTGCCAATGGTGAGGCGATCAAGTTCCGTGTTGTTCCCGCCGCCATGGGCATGTAGCGGTAACAACACAGGCCAGATGATGCAACATCCCACAAAGCAGATAAGGGATAAGATTTTCAGATAGCGTAGAAACAAGTACGCGTCGAGTGTTGTGTGATGAAGCACAATGGTGTCTTCCAGCTGGAAAAATGGCTTCACCCATGTGAACCAGGTTTTGGGCAGAGGGCTACTACGCTCTCTGCATCGGAGGCGCAAGGAAAAGATTGCAACATGTCAGTCGGATTGCTCCCTATACACACTACCCTCGGTAGAAGGAAGACATGAATAACATACTGAGGAAGCAGGCTAGTGAGAATGGTCCGAGGGGAGTAGACTCGAGGAAGGCGATGTCGCAAGCACCAGAATATCAAGATGCAAACGCCGGCATAGACAAGAACCGGGACTAGGGTGCTGAATAGAGAAGCGAGCGAGGCGGAGTCGCTGGGCTCGAAATCGACCTTGACTTTACTTAGAGTTCCTTCGCCAGTTGAATTGTCGTGAGAGGAGGCGATCCTTTTGTCATCTTCCTCGCTGATAGGCAAGTCCTACAACAACAACCAAGGTTAGTTCACCTCGCTGAGCAGAGAAGGGAAGCGGAACAAGCAGTTTCGAGCCAAGAACGAAGCACAAAGACAAGATGATCACATAGAGTGAAGCCCGAAACGTCGTTGGCAGGGTTTAAAGGCACATGGGGATATCCAAGATCTGGCGCGGATGAGGTGCGCACTACACTCGTGGATGAGAGGGGTCGGGGGCAAGAGCAGTATGAAGCGAAGGGGAAAGACAAACCAGCCTCGGCTGCAGCAAGGGCGGCCACGACATTTTGGCCCTCAAACCATTTGGTGCGCAGAAGTGAGGTTTGCGATGATACTCAACAGGCGAGTTCAATATGAGGAAAAGGGGGAAAAGAGCTAAGTGAGGGCGGCCTGACTACAAAGCTCCATTGTCTGTCGCGCGTTGTCGTGCGATTTTTACCCGTCGATGGGACTGGGAGGGGGGAGGGAGCGCTCTGACTTTAGATGAGAACGAGTGTGGGTGAGGGTGGGTGAGTGCGGGAGCGGGTCTGCATGTTCTGGGCACTTCTCCCTTCCACTCTTTCCATTTTTGGGTGGTGGGGGAGAGGCTGAGATCAATTTCGAGTGGATGGCGGCGAAAACGAAGGGTCTCGGCGCCGCATCAGGTACGTATCAATGGCATTGTCGTCCTGTCCGACAGCAGCGACGGGGGCGTCTGTACCTGGACGTACCAAGCAGAGATCCCGTATTGATGCAATGTCACTGGGGACTGATACTGCTAGTGGCAATTGTGGACACTGAAGAGAAGGTACGGGAGTGGGCGGGCTGGGCAGGGGTTTGACTGGCCCCTCCAGTCCGGACCCAGTCAAGCCAGTCAAGCCAGTCAAGCCAGTCAAGCCAGAGCCAGTCCAGGCCAAGTCCAGGAAAGCCAGGGGCAAGGAAGGGACGATGGATTGAATGGATGGCTCCAGCACCGTGCTGTGCTGCACTAGTGCCAAACTGTCAGCCAGTGGCCATCGCGAGTCGCCCCTGCCTGACAGAGCTGCTACGAATTGAGCCATCAATTGAACCATCCATTTCTTGCAATGGGGCCATCAATTGATGTCTCGCTAGCGTTCTCCTTTCATGATAAAATCTAGCGAGGGTTGAAAAGCAACCCCAACTTTTAGCTCGATATCAATGCTTCACCACCGGTGCCTTGGCGGGTGTTCCCATCGGTGACACCAACAGCTCACGGCCACTTCGCCATTTTTGCGTGATGGGGATTGATACCTAATTCAACAAGTCATTGATAGAACCTCCATTTCGCGTCCCCGACATCTCCGATGACCAGCCAACCCGCGTTCAGCTTCGCTTTTTTCCTTTTTCCTTCCCTCCCTTTGGGAAGGGAGAACCGCCATCGGAGATGGCAAGGCCATGGTGGTGCCATTGGGCAACCGGCGAAAAGCCACCAGTTGACTTCCGCATCCATCACACCGGCGCTGCAGATGCGAAATGCGTGACGAAAAAAGCCGTTGTGACCTTTGCCAATCAGCCTTCGAGGAACAGGTGTACCCCGTTGGTAATGGCGTGGCCAACCCTATAATAGATGGACTCTGCATCTGAGGCATGGCCCAAACGATGGTGGATTCACTCATTCAACACAGGTTTTGTTATCAAAATGACCTCGTGCCCAAGAGCGAGCTTTCCTTCGGCCAGCCCGAACCCCAGTATAATACCTAAGCTTATCATCGCACAGCTAAAAGCTAAGTCCCATGAGCAATGCAGAGTACCACACGGCAAGCAATAGGCAATGTTGATGTCGATACCGATGTTAGGTCATATCATCGTCTGGTCCCGCTTGGACGTGTGTTCTGCGATACCTGGATTGGATGAGGTCTAGAAAGCTCCTCATTTCTCATGAACATACTTAAGGGAGGGGAAACGTGGAGAAGAGCAAGAGTGCATCATCCAGTGCGGAAAGCCTGAGCACGAACTCACTAGTACTAGTCTGGTTGCATCGACATGTCAGCCGCTTCTGCCGACTGGCGCAGGATCAACGGCCTCCCATGTCGGTGCTTTGCGAATTAGCGTTATTATTGACCCCATCCCTGCTTCGGCGCTAGGCGAGAGCTTGTCCTACAGAAAGCCAGTGCGGCCACCTCCACGAGCCTGATCCCTTTCTTTTCTCACGCATGACCGCATCCTCGAACCGATGTGTTTATAGATTTCCATATCGGTGTGGCGCTGAATCTTCACGGCTTTCGATGAGGGCGGTGATTGTCAATGTGAAGAACGACCGTGGGGAAAAGAACCCTCTGGTCAGCTAACAGCCCGACTCTTCGGGCCGGGGCTGGCCTTGTGTCATTTGGAGGTGCGGCAACCACGGTGCCAGCTTCAACTGGCTGTGGCCACATCCTCGGAGTTTGAGCCCGGGGGAAGGAAATTTTCATTTCGGCTGGCTTGAAGTACCGCCAGGTACATTTCACTCCGCCCGTACGCCCCTAATCACCAATGTCTCGGCTGCATCTGGAGGTGTGGGCACCAACGTCGATCTTGACTTGCACACGATTCCTTTCACCTTCAGATTCTTCTTTTCCTTTCTTTTTCTCCCTTCTTCTCACTCTTCTCTCCTGTCCAAAGCTGATTACCTGAACTGATCCGGAGCATCAAAGCATGGCCATTCGCCTGTTTTCTCCTTTCCTCGGGCCGTCGAGTTAAACAAATGGCCTGCAATGATTTAATTGGCAATCGATGGCCTCGTCATGGACGTTGATCTGGGGTGGCAATCGGAGCGGCAAGCCTCAGTACTCACAAGAACGTCAGTCAAGCACACAGGGCGTTGCAGTGGATCGTGGATCATACTGAGACATTGTCGGGTACTACAGCGGTACCAAACCAGTGGATGTACACTTCAAATGGTACACAGCGCCAGGCCTGAGGGAATCCCACCACAAGCGATCCAATTGATATGAATGCCCCAATTTCAAAAACCGGGGAACATTGAAGTTGATCTATCTCGCCCAACCGCCCCATTCCTGGAGCTACAAAGTAATAATAACTGCCAACGCCGATCGGGAATAATGAGATCGGAAACGTGGACTTGGGCTTGCAGCCTCTCCACCCGGCCCCTCCCACAGCGACCCCCGAGCTGGCCGGTCCTGTCTCCACCGCCCTGTTTTCCAACTGCGCTATCAACGCCCTTGCTCATTGCTCGCCCCCTTGCTTGTGTTCGTGTATCATTACGATAATGTGTTTTCTACGGCGCCCCGCCCTCCTTCGTTTCTAATGTTCCGCAAAGTCTTTGTTCGTTCCGGAGCGTCGGGTATTAGTACACTCGTTCCTTGATACCATTGCATCCGAAGATAATGCTACTCTCAAGGCTGTCTGAAATCCTCTCCGATTTTCGACATTGAAGTATATGGCCTAATGAATCTCCGGATAGCGCAGGTTATCGATCGGCTATGATGCCTGGAGGGCTTCTACGAAGTATGAACTGATCAATCGGAACTGGCGGGCGTTCCGGTATTATCACCAGCCGCATAACGAAGTGCTACTCGTGCCACGCACCCCGTGGCACGAGTAGCGTATGTTTTACTACAACCCTGAACAGTCACCACGGTTGATGAGAACCCTAAAACCATCGTCCCCGATGCCCGATGGTCCGTCCCCGCGGCCGAGATCGATCTGAGATTACAGCCGTTTGGGGCTTGCAGTGGGCGCCTGTTAGCTCCTCCCTCCCGCGGCTGAATTACGCAGAGCGCCCCGCTCTCTTTCTTCGCATTGGACTGAGCGAGAGTTGCCTAGCCGAAACGAGGGCTAGACAACTTGGACATTCAAGCAGAGCCCTGTCGTCTTCGTTCGTCATTTTCATCTGTAAAGATTGGTGCTCGGAGCAGAACTGAAGCAATTAACTGGTAAGGAGCTTGGGAGGATGGCAGGTTGGCAAGGTATCACTTCACTTTTCTTGTCCAGTGTTCTGGTAAAGCAGCGCGACATTATTCTGATTAGACTCGAAAGACATTGGCGCACAAAATGACGATAGACTAAAACACCTGAAACTTGGCCTCGCTTTTGTGGAAAAGAAAAGGACCCAAGCTAGGCCTGTTTTGTTTACACTCGATCGATCCAGCCATCTCCCGTCTCCCCTGGAAGTTCACCTCCATCATAAATGTCATCAAAATGGATGAAGCAAAACCCATCAAAAACCGATATCCAAAAGAATAAACTCCCTATTCCCTCCTTGGCCTTAAAGACCCCCAAGATTCCCCATCGCCGTCCGGCTATGCCTTCCCAGAAAGAAAAAGAAAGAGAAAACACTAGCAGAAACCTAAGCTCGATCGTACAAGAAAGAAAGGGAGAAGAAAACAGAATACAAAAGAGGAATAATCACTCATGACAGGGCTAGAGAAAGACGAAAAGAAAAGGGAGAGAAAAGGGCTGACAAAGGAGTAGAGTAGACAAGGTGGAGAACAAGGGCGAAACAAGAGAAGGAGAAAGAGGCACACCAGCATGGTTTAGAAATCCAGTCAGTCTCTGGACTCCCGCATTGCTTGCTGCAATGTGCCCGTTTTCTCCCTTGCTCTTCTTTCTCTTTTAGGGGTATCATCTCACTTTGGCTCTAGCGGGCTTTGTGGCTCGAGCACAGATTAAACTAACCAGCCTCTAGTTCAAGTTTGACGCTGGCCTGACAGGTACTCCAGGGTGAGAGTGAGTAACATGGGAGATTTCCGAGGCATCGTCCCGAATGGAATAGTCCGTCGCCACGCTACTAGGTCTCCTGAGTGGCGCTTTCGAACTAATCGGGTTCAGTGGGATCGGCGATGGAGGCTGGTGGTGTTGAGGTTTACCCTCCCCGATGAGAGCTCGGAGGACGGGTATTGACGCCGCGATGATGGTTGTGGCGCTCTCCGCGATGCCGAAGATGACCAACTGAACGCTGTCGACTATAGTTGGAACATGGGTTAGTTTTTGCCCGGTACGCCCAAATAAAAACAAAGTAAAAGTAAAAAATCAAATAAAAATTCCAAATACATTAGAGAGGGGGACTCACTTGGATCAGGAGAATTAAGACTTGGCACTTGGCTAACTTTGATGAACGACGTGGCTCCGGCACTATCAACCCAAATCGTTAGCTATTGGCTAGGCCCATTGCAAGAGGTTAAGTTAAACAAGAGCAAGTCGCCTGACGGCAAACATGCTCAACTCCTCGCCTCTATGAAAAGAAAGGAAGCCACTTACAACACACCCATGCTCATTGCGACGAGCACGCCCATCTTCTCCTTCCTAGTCATGCGGAGATGCCAGATGATCTTCCAAGGGAGTATAGACAAGGCAACATCCATTGCTCCAGAGTACGCTGCGTTATCCGTTACGTTAGTCTTTGCAGCGCGCATATGAAAGAAATCCCCAACTGTGCATGGGGGCGGACATGGCTCATACCGGTAGTAAATATGAAGTACTTGATCTTTAGTGGCACGTCAATACTGAACCACACCATGATGGCACTAGAGCCCATGATGAGATTGATTGAGATGATGATGACCCAGATGAGGCGCAACACCCATCCTTCCGATATGCGCGCCAACGTCAGCGCAAACGAAGTCTTGCTCCACATAGCGGCAAGCACTGATGTAAACCCCGCGGCGTTGGCAATGGTAGGCATCCGGTTGAGGTCGTCCTGCGATATAGCGTCTAGGTGACGCCCGTATCCAAAATTCACCGATACGGTAGTCATGGTCGCTGCCACAGCCAGACATATCTACGTTGCGTCAACGTTAGCAACAAAAAGGCCCCCGGATGAACGCCCCATTCATGTGTACTCACCCAAGCTATGATCAACATGGCATCATCCCACCAAAGCCTTCGCCTCCTTGACGTTTTGCAGTATATCCTAAGCATAAGGATGGCAAATGCAAGCCCGGTCATCAACCAAGTGGTGAAGTTCAGGAGCGGGCCAAGATCCACCCCGGGAGGAACGGAGCTTGGTATTGTGGTAGCTGGTGTTTCGGCGCCCGTAGCCTCAGGGAGGGGGCCGTAGCTATACCGACGACATCGGAGATGGTGGTGGAGATTATTGATTCGACTATGGAGCTCGTCTCTAGGCCGTTCAGTAGGGTTTCAGTTGAGCTCGTTACAAGTGCGGTGCTCGTCAGGCTCGTCGAGGAGGTCAACAGAGAAGTGGACGTCGCGCTAGGGATGGGTGGCGGAAAGAATACGATCTGGCGCGCGCGGAGCACAGCAGGCACCGCCATTATCTCTCGATAGCGGGACCCTATGCTTCCTTCGTAGGGATCTCGAGTCGTGCTATTTTGTATCCCGCAGCCGAAACGGGGAGGGTCGGTGGATTGGCGACAGTCGGACGGTGTAAACGGACCGGAACGTGCCCAAAGCTAGAGTATGCGGATAGATCGTAGAAGACCACCTGCGGCGTGAGAAGAGATGTCGGCGCAGAGATGTACGGAAGCCAAAGGCAAAGGACACACAGAAGTGATTCTGTCCTGAAGGAAACCCTCAGCTGGTTGCGCCGTTGTGAGAGTGGGGGAAAGGCTGGGCGTTTCCAGGAAAAGAAGGAGCAGAAGGGAAGAGACCTAAGCCAAAAACGAGGGAATGGGTGGAGAACAAAGAGAAAGAAGGGCTCGTCAGATCGACGGGATAGCAGGGAAGTCGAGGGTATAATAAATTGATCGTAGTGGTTCACGAGAAGCGGAAGAGGGAGGGGCGAAAGGGAAGCGGATGATGAGCCTGCCTCACCTCACTCATAGCCAGCTTGCTCCTTCCCCAGGAAGATCGTGTACCTCACCCTCTTGCAGCACCATGGGCCCTGCCCTCATTCCCCTCCTAGTACCACATCACGTCAGAAGGGGACCTTCACCCTGCAGACGCATCTCGCCTTTCCGCCTCCGCATCCCACCCAGTGATAGGGCCCTTTGGGAAATTCTTATTGCGGGTATCAGAAGAGGGGCCGTGGGGAGGGGTTGGTGGCCAAAACACTAGAAACGATTAACGACGATCCGGCACGACCCAAATTACGGAAAATGCGCAGGTTGAGGGCGCAGGCTCCGACAAAACCCAGCGCAGCCAGCCTGAGATCCGGGGTGCGAGTCGCGATCTGGGGGATGTCCTCGGCTCTTACCACGTCTCGCTGAGCCTGCCCTGGCGAAGCGACTCACACGAAACCACCAGGGCCCGGAGGACTTGGGGTCCTTGAATTCAATGGACCAGCGGCAGCAGGTTGACCATACCGCCCGTTCAAGCCGTTCCACTTCACGTTCTTGTCATTTCCTCACCAGAGCCCTTATACCTACTCAATCCAGCCTTTGTCCCATATCAATCTCCCAAGTCCGATAGCTTTCGCGACTTTAAAACTGCCTTCTATGTTCTGGTTGGCCTGCAAGGTACGAGGTACGTAGGTAGGCAGGCAATTCTAAGTGGTGAGGAGCCCCAAAACACCATTTCGCACGGACGCACTCAAATCCAGGGGTTCAACCTGCATTGGAAGACGGTTTTGCCGACCTGACGATCAATCAACACGCTTGTGCCACCCTACCAAAAAAGAGAAAAAGCCAAGTTCTCCGACACCAGGTACCCATTCGAAGAAAATCCGTTCCGAGACAATTAGCGAAGGGGAGGGAATGAGCGCAGTCGACGGCGTGCCCGCAGAGCCAGCATGGTCAAGGATGGCAGCTCTGTGACATTGCCTTATGAGGATATCGGCTGTCGGCTAATGCACTAGTGCCGCTTTTCGGGGATGGGTTGTTTGTACGTCGAATGTTCGAAGAATCTTCGTTTCCTTCCTTTGAAGAAAAGGCGTATCAAGGGTGCCCTCTCCTTGCCGTGGGGCCAAATGCCGTGTGGCTCGAGTTAGAACGTCGATATAGATTCCTCGTCTTTCGATAGAAACGCCCAGCCGTTGGGGAAACACCGCTGAAGGGATCAAGGGACGGCAAAAGCACTCGGGAACCTTCAACCCTGGGACAGAAAGAAGAGAATACCAAACAATGCCCTGGCCATGATCTCAGCCAACCCTTGGTTCTCATACAAGAGTGTGCCGAGGTTGGCTTGGCCTTGGGCCACCACGGCCCCTCGAAACTAAACATTTACTTATCGCTATACTCGGTTTCTTCGACTGATCAACTGCATGTGGCTCTTTTCGCTCGTTTAAATGGGCGGATCGGGGTTGAGCCGGGCGAGTTGCTGAGTGTTGACGCTGAGGCATTGCTAGTGGGCCCGAGCAAGAGGTGAAAGGGGGCCTCAAAGAAAACCAGGTGCAAGCTTGGTTTGAGCCTCAACCCTCCCCTGGCACCTTGCTAGGCTACCTCGGTGGAATTTTACACCATGTACGCATCCAAAAGAGGTATGCCCTTCCTCCCGGCTACCCAACCGAGAAGCAGTCGATGCTGGAGGATTGCTTGGCAACGGAGGGGGATGGCAGACGAGCGGACCCTTCTCGTTGCCCCTTCTCGATAGCCAGCGACCATGATATGTTTAGAAGATGAGCTACGGCGAGTAGGATTCGTACAAGGTTTGCAAGTGAATGCGTCAGATCTGCTCACCGGAGTCCTAAGGACCAGGGTGCTTGGTAATATCGGCGCAGATAACGAGAGCCGCGATAGGGCATGCTATAAGGGAGCTATAACCCAAGCGCAGTTACGCCCCGTTACGGGAACTAAAGATCTATTCTCCAGTCAAGACGTAGTCCCAACCCCTAGGATATGATTAGAATATCGAAAGAAGCGATCGAACGCCCCGCAAGTGAAAAGAGCGGGCGTAGAGTCGCGGTGGTGTGGCCACCCTGAGAGCTGCGTGCTTCGGTTGAGAGGCAGAAAGTCGATCCGATAGCAGGGGAGAGTCTTACAAGCGTCTTGTGTGGGTGGTGGCTGTTGCGGGGAGGCACCGGTCGGCAGTTAGTGCAGCCACCATGCTCTCCGAGTTGTGAAGAACGAGGAATCATGAAAGCCAGGTCGAATTTGCATCCGAAGATCCGATTGCCGCATTGGGAAAAGAAGGGGGTATTGGCAAGCAACTTGTCACGAGGCATGTGTCACACAGAAATTGACAGCCCGCACTCGCATTAGACTGAGTAGGTGAGTGAGCGGCTTGATTTTGAGCCCATTAACACCGAGAAGACGAGGATGCGTCAAGGCACGAGTAGTCCATAACAAACACATGCACTACCTATACACGGCATCGTGGAAGACGTCGTTTGGTCGGACGACGGCAGTCATGCCGAACTCCCTTTTCCCCTGTCCTGGGGAGTTCTCGTGGGACGAGATCAAAATACGATAGGACGTCGTGTATAGTAATACAAGAAGAGTATAGAAAGGATTGAGAATACCTCATTTCACGGTGGTTGTCTAAACGCTGGATGGGGAAGACAATAAACTCGGCGCTGACGCTAGGAATACCACCTTGATTCCAGACGAGGGTCGGAAACATCAGACAAAAAAGCGTGGCAAGACAACAAAACAGGGATATCCCCGGTAAACTAGACATCCGCAATGTGGGCTGAGAGGATGAGACTTGGGTGTATCGGCTAGGCTGGTGGTGTGGTGGTGCTCGGTGAACGAAGGCATAAACACTTGGATGGTCCAACCCGTCCGCGCCCTTGCCGCTCCATCCAGACCCCGAGGCCGGGTTCTGATATTATTAGATTGTCCCCCAAAGGCCTGCCCAGATTATACGATTGATTGAGTGTGAGTGCCATTGCTCACCCTGCAGCAGTTAGAGTTATATGGGAGAGTACGGCTAGCGGAGATATTGGGGAGGGAGAGAGCCAGGAGAAAGTCTCAAGGGATCGAGGAGTGCGCGCAGATGCTGAAACGACATTTTGACGATCATCTGCACGAAAGAAGGGAAACTCTTGCATCCCCATGCTGGTTTTACAGCGGAGGAGAGGAACCCACGAGGCAGATTTGGGACACTGGAGTGCATCAATCCTAGCAAGAGTTGAACCTAAGGTGGGCCTGATTTATACCTGGGTTCAAGTCGGATAAAAGGAACAAAAGAAGAGTGATCTCGAAGAAGAGGGAGATCAAAGCTTGCTTTCGGGAGGCAGCCAGATCAACGAGGAGCGGTATGTGAGGTGTAATCGGTTCAAAACCGAGAGCCATGGTCGGATTGGAATTTATCTACACATCTGGCTCGTTGGCTTGAATAACATTCCTTTTGAAGACTTATATGAAAGAGGGCGTCCCCTTTAGTCTGCGTCCGGAGGTTCCATGGATCCAATTGATGATTCTATGGGCATCGTAGGATCCATTTCTTCACCCACCCAGTTTGCTCATCCCACTGTTACGGTGCTGTCCAGTTCAGTTGAGGTGTGGGGCGGCACTAGTTCAAGAGGAAAGGAACTACGATTTTCCATGCCGGGTTTTCTTTTGCTGGAACAATACTAATCCGTGCCGCATCAGGTTAGTCATCGGAGCCGGGGAGGCATTGTTAAGTCCCCTGTCAGTGGCCACGAGACAGACAGCCCCCAGTCATTCACAGGAGGACTCTACGAGTGTGGGCTATTAAGTAATATTACTTGTAGACTGCCCACCATGTTCGTGTGAAAGTGTTCCGAGTGTGCATTCATTGATGATTGAGGGCATTGATGCTTCTCTCTGATCAATCACCTCTGTGGAAAGACGGGCCATTGCCCGCGCACTAACGACCGATTGACCACGTTGACTTAGTTGTAGCACTTGGACGCCTTTATCGAAGACCTAAACGCTCGTGGTACCTGGGGCGAGGTGGGGCATTTCTTCTTTAGAAAGAAGGAGCCCAATTAATCCGTGGGACTGAACATCAATTGATGGCACTTTCATTTCCCCCATTGCTGGAGTTAATATCCGCGGCCCGCCAAGCGCATTTATCCACCCATCATGCTCTCGTCCTGGCCCCATTTTCCTGGGGAACGGTCACGGCACGCTTTCCGAGATGGGGATTCCGGAGTACGATGGATCCGTCATAGAGGACAGCATTGCATTAAAAAAGCTGGGCGACGAAATATGCCATTTGGCCTCTTCGCGGGGTCGAGCTATAAAGAATGGGCGGGATAGCTCTAAGCTGCTATATAACACCTGCTCCTCCTAGATGCTCTTCTCCAACCAAGCTCTTCTTCCTCTACCTAGATCGACGTAGCTCCTGGACTTACTTTTTCGGGTTCTTCTCTTGGCTTTTTATCGTCGTAAAGAGACCACAAGCTATACTTTGCCACCGCAGCTTCTCTCGGCGCGCTTTCCTGACCGCCCTCCGCCCTCCGTGTGCTTTGCTCGTTGCGAAACTTTTTTGCCAGACTTATTACGCCACACATCATCGTCAACATGAGGACAGACGCCGCCGCCGCCATGCTGGCTTTCCTGGCCACCACGGCCCACGCTTTCGGTGCCAAGCCTTCGCCTCAGCCCACCAAGATCGAAAGCTTTAAGTGGAAGTACCCATTCGAGACTGAGGCCATGGCGAACTACAACGCTGCTTGCGAAGCGTCTGACAAGTTCGGCGCCCACGAATACACCCTCCACCAGCTCATGGACCCGGCGCCGCAGGGACTCGGCCCCTGGGCGGAAGGCCTCAAGGCCTTTTTCACCGGCCGCGAGTACCCTGGTGGCTGGGGTGGCTGGGATCGCCATCTCCATGACCGTAGTCTGTTGAAGATGGAGTACACCGACATGCCCCTTAAGGTTAGGGAGTGGATTGAGGAGCAGGAGAGGACCGAAGGCGCCGGAAAGGGCCTCTTTGGCGTCTTTGAGAAGCCCAAGGGCGACGATGACACGATCGACGAGACCGTCACATTCAGCGAGACGGTGGATAGGGCTGCTGATAGCGACAGGGTTGCCATCTTTGCTCCTGGTGCCATCTACGAGATCCTTCCCCTCTGGGTTGCAGAGGGAAGCAACTGTGAAGGTGAGCTAATAGTCCCAAGAAGTGTCGGGGCAGAACTTACCCCAGACCCCACCCACATCGTATCCCCACTTATGATCGAACCCCTTCCCTCGTCTTCCCCGCCTTTGGCTCGGGCTCAAGTCTTTTGTCTATGGATGCGCTAACATGGTATTCCCACGATCTTTAGAGCAACTGTCCGACCTGAGCAAGTACCAGCCCACGCACGCGGACGGAGCTGTCGTTGCGTGGCCCAGCAAGACTAGCCCTAACCAGGAGAAGTTGATCAGCATCAAGATTGATGCCAACGTATTAGCAAAGAAGGAGGGCGTCGAGGAGCCTGTGGAGGAGAAGAAGGAGGAGGAGTCCAAGGAGGCGCCTGCGGAGAAGAAGGCTGACGAGAAGGATGAGCTATGATGACCCGTATTCACGGGAGTAATGACAAGAGCGCTCCGGGACACTGAAACCTGGGGCGGGCGTGTTTTCAATGGGTGAAAAGGATGCTGTTGATACCACAACATGTAACAAACACATTTTTCTTCTTTCTTACGAAACCAACGGTGTTCGGAGGGCTTGCTTTCAAGGTTGCAATATCGAAAACAATTTTTCTTTCGCTTCTTTCCTCTTTCCTCTTTCTCCTTTTCTTCTTTTTTCTTCTTCTTCTTTCGCTTTCTTATCTTATTACCTTTGAATGACATCGCAGTCCTGCGGGTTCCAACTCAGCTCCTGGCGCATCCTCTGTTTGTACAAGTATGCGGTGTCGTTCACGAGTAGTGCGCCACCAGAATGCCGAAAGCGGAATTGATGCCCTGTGAAATTATCCATCATCAAGCCTTGCACGCTGGACAGGAAGGCGGAACCTTCCGAAAGGTCCATCGAGGTCCCCGGCTTGTTGGCCAATGAGGAGTGTCCCAATGAACCAGCTCGCTTATGAATTGGTGTGGTTTGGTGGCTTGGATGTCGGTATTACGTGGTCCACACACTACTTACGAAGGCGTGCAAGTCCCTGGCCGCTTCCCCACAGGCGAGAGCGAGAGCCGGGGAGCCTTGATCGCTAATAATTCCATCCCATCCCTTGACACCCCCGATAGAGTCCCCGTCGGCCATTCCTGATCCCGCAGGCAAGACTCCTCTCAACTGCAGATGCCGAGGTGTCTTCTCCTTTGGATTGCCCAAAATGTATTAGTGCATATCATGGGTTCATCTAGAGTGTCTTGTCTCAAAGCATGCCCTGTCAGACCTCGCCTCTCTAGCAAAACGGGGGTCATCTTCTCTCTCTCTCTCCTGGGATTCTCCTGGGATCCTCCCTTGGAAAGTAAAACAACACGATGGGGGCGGAATGAAGCCTCACAGGTGTCACAAGGATAGTCTGGAACGACGCCTTTCGCGTCCCCTGAATGTTAAGAAGCAAGGGGCCTGAGTTGATGGGGTAGATTTGTCGCCTAGCTGTATTACTTCCTTGTCATGCTGTTTGGGCTTGGCCGCCCCTCACGAGAAACGCCATCTCATCGGTGTCTTCTGGGCTCTATCTAGAATACTCTCCCCTTGCCTCGGTCCAGGATCTCGGGGCCGCCTTGGAGAACATGGTTTTTCGCGACCATCGCATTGCGTATTACGCCAAGGTCTGAGGTTGCAGCAACAGCATCCTGATCAAAGTAAGCGGCCTCATTATGCCCTTTCACGACTCAGGAATGCAAGTCAGATGGATGGCCTCGCAATGCCCCCTCCCAACGCCAGGGACGCGACAACCCGACGTGGGCGGAATGGGGGTTTCGGCCGATTGGCATGCTCTTCGAGCTGGCTCCAGTGCGGAAAAGGAGCCGGCCCTCTCGCCTTACCACGAGGGCAGGCGGGGACAAAAGTACCTCCATGTAGCATTCGAAGGATTAACGGTTGTTAGCTTAGTCTCTATTTTCTTCTTTCGCTTCAGGTCATTATCGTCCTGTTATCGTAAATCCCGACTGGCAGGCGGGGCCCGGACCCCGGCGCAGGCCCGATTGATCCATTGATCGTATGAATCGTTTCCCTCGCGTTTAATATCCATATATGTAGATACCCCTCGTCCTGTCTTCACAGACTTGTCACCTCCTACTAAGCACGCGGTGGATTTTTGTTCTGATTCCTCAGAGTAGTACGTGGCTGGCACCTTCTAAACCCGACAAAACGATTCAGCCTTAGCTTGTTGTCTCCTTCCTTCAATATGTCCTGCTCTCTTGACGATCGGATCTAAACAGGAGCAACCAAGCCGTGCACCCTCCTCGCACTATATTAATCCTGGGTAGCTCGCCCGCTGGTGCTTGCCTTTTGTTTTCATCAAGCAGCGCTCTTCTTCATTTTCTCTCAAATCATTGCCAACGCTCGCCTCTTCTTCTCATCAATGACAATGGAGTCCACTGATGGTGCATTGAGTCCTCTACGCTTTACCGCTAATGATGAACTGACTAATAGCGGCCAAATTATCAAGAACTTCAGTAGTCTTGCCTTCAAGGACTGGCCAAACGAGGCAGGGGTATGTCTATGCAAGCTATGCTCAAGCTGCCGATGACCTATATAAGCATGATTAGCCACTGACAGTATCGTTGTTTCCTATAGTTTGACCATCTTGAGGAGCACAGAGGGCCTATTGAGCTAGTCGTTCGTGGCGACATACCAGCATGGGCTTCTGGTAGCCTCTACCGCACCGGACCTGGGGTCTGCAGTGTGCGGGACACGCCTAAAGGGACCTTTGATATATCGCACTGGTTCGATGGCCTCGCTCATACTCACCGATTCGAGATTGTGGCTAGCAGCGATGAAGACGCACCTACGAATTCAAAGGTCCGCGTGTTTTATTCATCCCGTCGACAAGCCGATGGTATCATGGAGGACATCAAACACCACGGGACCTACCGAGCGATGACCTTTGCTCAAAGGGCGGATCCCTGCGTTGGCTTGTTTGCCAAGTTCATGAGTGTGTTCAAGCGTCCTGCCGGAGGATTGAACATTGCTGTCACAGTGAATACCGATTTGCCCGCGAAGGCCATGTGTTCTCGCCTAAAAGCAAACACTTCGGCCACACCCAATGGAGAACCAGAGCTGGGTCACCGCGCATCAGCTAAGAATGTCTTTCTTGCAACCGATGTGGCGGTCTACATGGAAGTCGATCCGGCTACACTGGAGCCCGTCGGAACTGTCAATCAGAGCAGTATCCACCCCGATCTCAAAGGCCGTCTCTCTGGAGCTCACGGAAAACGAGATCCCGTGACTGGCGATTTCTTCAACTTCAACACGGAGTTGGGTCGCACAGCTACGTACCGCATCTTCCAAATTGTCGCTTCGACTGGGGAGGTCAAGATCCTGGCCACAATTTCTGGCAACACCATCAAGGCTGCCTATATTCACAGCTTTTTCTCACTCCAAGTTATGTCATCCTCTGTGTCCCGCCTCTTCATTATAAAAACGGCGGCCTGTCCGTTCTTTGGACAGGAAATGTTCTGGATGCCACTGCTTTCGATGCTTCCCAGCCTTGCAGATGGCTCGTAGTCGATCGTAAAGGGGACAAGGGGCTTGTAGCAGAATATACAACGGCCGCTTCCTTTTTCTTCCACTCGACAAACTCATTTGAGGAGGACGGTGACACTATCTGCGAGCTTGTTCAGTTCAAAAGCGATAGCATCTTGAGGTCATTCTACTACGATACAATGCTTGATCGGAATGACGCGGCAGCAAAGTTCTGGAATGGAAGTAGCGACAATCGCGCGACACTCGTGCGGTATCGCTTCCCAACAAAGGACCTACTGCAGGAGAATTCCTCTAAACCGTCGGGGAATGAGCTTATCCCCTATCCTAGAGATTCCAGCGCCTCATGCTGGCGAGCTCCCTACCTTCAACCCGAAATACTCTCTCCAACGACACCGCTACGTTTACAGCGCCGCAAGCAGAGGTCTGAGCACCATGTTTGACTCGCTGATTAAAACAGACGTAGAAACGCGAGACGTACTCATGTGGCAAGGGCCTGCTGGCCATACCCCGGGCGAGGCGATCTTTTGCCCTGCACCGAATGGGGAGGCTGAGGATGATGGTGTCCTTCTTTCAGTCATTCTGGACGGCAAGAATCAAACAAGTTACCTCCTCTGCCTTGATGCCACGACTATGAAGGAGCTCGGACGTGCTGAATGCAATTTTGCCATTGGCTTTGGCTTCCACGGTCGGCATGCTAGGTCCTCTCTATAAACTCTCCCCTTTTCATTGCTGGGGATCCGGAACTAGATTTGATAGATTCGCTTTACGCCGGCTCTTCTGTTACTGGAGTGCGGGTCGCAAGCACAACAGCCTGGCTGACCTTACCCCCGGCTGTGGGGACCGGGGTATCGTGATATGAATGAGGAATTTTAAGATTGGAGTTGGGACGTGGTGGTTTCCGTTCAGTGTTGGGCCTGTACATGTATCCTTTTATCCTGTCCCAATGTAAATAGTATATATTCATGAGCACATGCGGAATACGAGAATTCATTCTGTGCTACCGAATCCCAAGGAATGCGAGGCTATTGAGATTTGTCAATAGACCAGGTTGGTTCGGGCCGTGGAAGAAGAGAGAAAAGCGTTGTTGGCCCTGGTACTGCTCATATCTTCTGTTCACAGCGATGGAGAGAACCCCCTTGGAGTTCTGGGATGCTGAGGCCAACTAGCCTGTTGCTTTGCTTGGACTACACGGCTGCTGGATGACCATTGTGACTTTTGAGCACTGGAAAGTAGGAATGGTAGCCTAGACTGGGTGGAGAGAAATGGTACCCAAGCCGGTCAAGGGGCGAATGGTTCATTCAAGTTGACGCATTGATTCGTCTCAAAATCGAGGAACTCAATAGAGAGGCGAAATTTTCATGTCTTTACAAGCACCATAGTTTCTGCTTTCCTATTCGGGCCCCGTGTCGGCCTCTCACAACCCCCAACACCACCAATTCTAATCTCGTACATGTTGAAGTGCATTGAAATGATAAATGACAGCTCCCAAAACGCCTTCATCCGAGGTTTCCGTCTTCACTCACCCGCCATTGGGTTCCATTTACACTCTGTGCTACCGTGAGGATGATATAGCACTGGCAAGTGAGATGACATTATAAAGGAAAAAGAGAAACAAAAAAGAGGAATGATAAGGAGGACCACGAGCCAAAGAAAAAAGTGTGGTATATGAAGTGTGGCCGGATTTTGCTTCCGTGGGAAGGCGGTGATTTATTCTTTTTGATGGGAATTTTTCTTTTTGTTTCGCAAGACAGGCTATAGTATCCGCACCTAAGCGGAGACGGCCTCTGCAGCGTGTTCGTGAAGTTTCTTCTCGGTGCCGCCAAGGTTGGTGGGCTTAGCCGTGGGGTTCTTGGTGTAGTAGTTTGATATCGCGGACTGAATGGCATCCTGAGCAAGCATCGAGCAGTGGACTAGTGGATCGTATATATGTTAGCACGACATGTTTTATAGTTTAGTATGATTTTGTTAACTTACGCTTCACGGGGGAGGCAGAGCTCCTTGGCAATATCGGTGTTCTTGACGCGAGCAGCTTCGTCGAGGGTCATGCCCTTGACAAGCTCGGTGAGGTAGCTGGACGAGGCGATGGCCGAGCCGCAGCCAAAAGTCTTGAACCGAACGTCGGAGATGACCTTGGTATCGGGATCTACTCGGATCTGGAGCTTCATGACGTCGCCGCAAGCAGGGGCACCGACAAGACCTGTGCCAACATCGACGTCTCCCTTGGGCAGAGAACCCGTGTTTCGCGGTCGCTCATAGTGGTCAATGACCTTTTCGTGGTAGGATCGCGCGGCGGAAGGAGTGGCGACGGCCTGGGGCAGGTGCCTCGCGATGGCAACGGAGGGCCGAATGGAAGAGGCGATTATCGCTCGGGGAGCGAATCGGGCAGCGCGCGACAGCATTTTGAGTAGAAGGTGAAGGGGTGACTAGACAAAAATAATTAGAATCTCAATTAGGGCATTGGGAGTGACTGTAAGCTTGCTGACTGGGGAGGATGGGGGATGTGGTTGGGCATACAGGAGACGAGGTGATAAAAGGCTGGCAAGCAGAAGCGTGCAGAGGGAATGTTGGGAGTTGAGGGATTCTTTTTTATATCGGGGATTAAGGTACCTGAACGTCGGAAAAGGGAGGGTTGAATGGATCGAGAATATTGGTAGATTTTAATAGGAATAGATGTACGCCTCGGAGAAGCGCGTTGGCGATGGGTTGGTGGTGGTGTGAGGACAAGATGGAGAGATATGTGCTGGATTGAGAGAGAAAGAAAAGGGTGGCAAGAAGGCGAGGCCAAAATAAAGTTCCTTTACTAATGGGCGTCTTGAGGACGTCCACGATTTTTGTCTCCCAAAGCCAAGGTGGGAAGCTGCATCATTGTCCCGAGGAATTGGGCCAATGGGAAACCACAGACCGTGGAAGATTTTCTGCACTGGGTCCCACACAGCTATACAGTGCCATAATAAGATCAGATACACTGTATTCTCCGTCACCTTCCTCCGCTCAGTTACTGCCGATATGTCCGTCACTCTCCGTCCGCTCTCCTGGCTCAAGTCGCCGGTTGCCTGGAGCGGCTGGCATGCCGAATAGTAGACAAGTGGTAATGCCGCAAAGTTGGGTCCCTACGATTGCGTCTCCGCGCTGCCGGTCTATCCTTTATATCATTAATCATCAGGAACTTTCTCTCCTTGCCCCCGGCTGTTCCCCAGAACCCGCTTTTTGCTTGCAAGGGCGGATGTGACGGCAAAGCTCACACTGTGCGACGCACCAAGTTTGTCATTGGGTTTCTTCACTGATAAGGCGGGCGAGATTGGATTTTTATCTGGGGCATGGGTTTTCGATCTGATAACCGAGTCGACCGCCGCATTCCCGACGTAACACCGGCCACGGCCAAACAAGCAACTAGAGTGGCCAGTGGAATTTTTTTAGAATTCTTTTTTGGTATTCTCTTTAAATTCTTGAATAAGAACAAAGAAGGGGAAGAAGAATAGAAAGAGCAGGGATAGGACAAAAAAGAGAAGGTGCTGCCCGCTAAATGTGATGAAGGGTTCTTTTCCCGACATTGCTGGCTAGAAGCGGGAAAAAAGATTGAATATGATTCACAGCAAGACTAACCGATACCTCGGTATACTACTCCTTTCCAAGTCTACTAAGAAAAGAACGAAGAAAATACCGAAAGCTCTCTCGGTGAACTTCCCTATATAATAAATATTTCTTAGACTGGCTTGCTAAAATACTATGCATGTAGAAAGAAAGAAAAGTAAATTGGACCTCATGATGCAATCTCGGCGATTATTTCGCCTCCCGCAGTGAAGACCCCGATTCCCGGAGCAGCATGTGTGTACTTCGTCTTCATATTTCAAATCCCCTTTCTAGCGTCTACGTTCGAGAAAAGCGTCCGCGTTCCATGGAAGTTTCACTCCGCCGCCCCAGATTGGATGGCTCTTGTCTGCAGCAGATCACAGCTGGCGAGTGTGGGGAGCTCGGAGAGCTTGGTTGCCCTCCAAAAGGCAGCCACTCCAGGGCGCGTCACCCCGCAGCAGCACCAGGAAGCTTGACTTGCGAGCATCGACCTTTCGGAACCTCTGCTAGGCTGACAGGTTGCTACTTGACAGAATCACAATTAAAGCGAACCGGACCAGAGCCTGATCTTTTCTTCCTTCTGGCTCACACATACCGTACCACTACGCGCCTATCACTCCCTCATATTTTGAATTACGTCACTACCCCTCGTCGCTTTCCCAGCACACGTACACCTTGACTTCATCTGCATCTAGACCTTCAACCAGAAACAAGGCGAGTTTGAATACTCACAATGTCGTGCCCCCACGGCGAATCTCTCAGTATGATCTTGCTAGCTCTATTGCCTCTTTCCAGTTCTTGGATCCTCGCTACTGGATGGCGAGGTACCGACATTGCAAGGCTAACCTATCACAGCCCTCCAGCCCCCAATCCCACGCAGTCTGTCTATCGAGAAGATTGCACTCAATGTTTCGACTCTATCGTAAGTGCCCAAGTGTCTATACCAACCGAAATATATCACGGCTTTCTTCTTTCTTGCGTTACCGTCTCTTTTGCGTGCCGGAAAAGACGATGAGGAAGGAAGATAACCCGAGAGCTGACACATCCATTGTTGCCTTTAGGATGACCCCGATGGCCTTAACGTGTGCCTGCAGTGTTTCAACGGAGGCTGCGCTGGACCCCAGCACCACGATCAACTGCATAGCGCCCTCCGTAACCACCCCTTGGCCCTGAATATTCGCCGCACCCGAAAGGTTGTGGTCCGGGATGAGCCCCTTTAAAGATGTCGAAGCTGGCCATCGCCGCCGAAACGGAAGAGGACAAATACGACGTTGCGACTGCCGTTCGGTGCCTAGACTGTGATATAGATCTAGACAAAACCGCACCCAAATTGGCGGGCCTGATCGATGGCATCATGGCGGCTAGCACATTCTCGCGAAAAGAGGAGGTAAAGGCATGGGAACAGGAGCTCATATCTTGTGAACACATCCTTCTGCTAAACCAGCAGGACTCCAAGCCCACCGAATCTGGCGACCTTGGGCACTGCTCCAAGTGTGATTTGAAGGAAAACCTGTGGCTTTGCCTCGAATGCGGCAATCTGGGGTGTGGCAGGCAACAGATGGGTGGCGTTGAGGGTAACTCTCATGGTCTTGCTCATGCGCTTGATTCTAGCCATGGCGTTGCTGTCAAGCTGGGATCCATTACACCAGAGGGGAACGCGGATGTTTACTGCTACAAGTGCGACGAAGAGCGCATTGACGACAATCTTGGTCAACATCTAGCACATTGGGGCATCAACATCGCGGACCGGCAAAAGACGGAAAAGAGCTTGACGGAAATGCAGATTGAGCAAAATCTCAAGTGGGACTTCTCCATGACGACTGAGGATGGTAAGGAGCTGAAGCCTCTAACCGGCCCTGGTCTCACTGGTCTTAAGAACCTTGGGAACAGTTGCTATCTGGCTAGCATTATTCAGTGTCTTTTTGACTTGCCTGCGTTTAAATCTCGCTACTTTGATACTAACGACGCCCTGCCTATCGTCAATGATCCGGCATCCGACCTCGAGACCCAGCTGAGGAAAATGGGACACGGTCTCCTGTCTGGCCGCTATTCGAAGCCGGATTCCGATGCACCCACCTCCGACCATTCAGAGCTAAGATATCAAAGGGGCATTGCTCCGGCCATGTTGAAGCATCTTGTGGGCCGTGGACATGGTGAATTTTCGACCATGCGTCAGCAGGATGCATTCGAATTTCTTCAGTATATATTCACGCTTATCCAGCGATCGAATCGAGCCTCTGGAAAGCCGGACCCGACGGACGATTTCCGTTTCGTGTCTGAGCACCGCCTCCAGTGTCTTGAGTGCAAGAGAGTACGATATACTACGACAGAGCAGGATAATATCTTTGTTGATATCCCAAAGGAGAAGGTTGCGGACGAGTCAGGCCTCACGGAAGGTGGTGAGAGCAATCCGGAAGTCTATCGACCGGTCACTCTCAATGAATGCCTCGACAGGCTTACCGCACCAGAGATAGTTGAGCTTGCGTGCTCGGCCTGCGGTAGCAAGGGAGGCTTCACGAAGCAGTTCCGTTTCAAGACCCTCCCCAAACACTGGCCGTCAACGCTAGTAAAATGACTGTTGTTAACTGGGTTCCGATCAAAGTCGACGTCCCTGTTATTGTTCCCCAGGGCGAATTCTCGTTTGACGAGTACATGTCATCAGGCTTACAGTCCGACGAAGTGGAGCTTCCCGATGTGCCCGAGCCCGGAAAACCGGCCTTTGTCGCAAATCCTGCTGCGGTAGAACAGCTCCTGAGCATGGGCTTTTCCCAAAATCGATGCGATAGAGCGCTCCACGCGACCGGAAACTCCAGTGCCGATGCTGCGATAGAATGGCTTTTTGCCCACATGGACGATCCAAACGTTGATCTGCCGCTTGACCTTGCTGAGGACAAGAAGTCGGGACAAGATGCGGACCCAGCGCAAGTAGAAATGTTGGTAGCTATGGGATTCGGAGAACCCCAAGCAAAGAAGGCCTTGCGGGAGACGGGTGGTGATACCGAGCGAGCCGTGGAGTGGTTGTTTAGCCATCCCGATGACTTGGGGCTCGTCGAAGAGGATACGGCTGCGCCCGCCGAGCCAAGCGGGGCGAAGGAGCTTCCTGGCAGCTCCAATCAGCCAGCCAAGTACAGACTACAGTCGATCGTCTGTCACAAGGGAACAAGTATCCATACTGGGTAAGTTAGCCCCCTAAGAAAGACACCGCCTGGCCCATCGACTAACTCTGCGTAAATAGACACTACGTGGCATTCATCCGAAAGAGCTTGTCTGGTAGCGACAGCGAAACCTCCTGGGTCTTATTCAACGACGAGAAGGTTGTGGAGGCTACGGATGTGGACGAGATGTCCAAGTTTGCTTATGTGTATTTTTTCCAGCGTGTTTAGAGAGGTTTAGAACCGTACTTCACCTCACGATTGACATGATGGCATGATGGTCTAGAGTTGAGCCTACCCCTTGCTAGTCTCCTAGGCTATCTTATTCATACGATTTCTTAAGGGCTGATGACGGGCTGCACGGGGAGATCATGACCTCCCTTTTACAAATAGGAAAAATAATAAAAAAGAAGGAAAGAACAGCACCATTCATTGCATTTTAGCAATTGGGGCTCAAGGCCAAGAAATGCCGGCTTTTGAACTGGCCACGCTTTTGGGGCGGTTATTAGAGAGGTAGTCTTACAAAGTAGATGAAACAAAATATAGCCAATTCGCCAATAACTCCCATATCCAAAGACGTTTTCTGGGTTCTTAAAACGACAACTCCAACTACTCTGCAAGCCGGTAACTCACGAGCGTGTCAACTCTGTGGTTGCTCGTGCTAAAGCCTCTGAGTTGGACTCTCTCCGCATTATTGATCTCCTTAGCATCGCTGTCACCCCACTCAACAGGAACGTCCGAATCGGCATCGGCGTAGACGAGGACGTTGAAGGTACAGTCACCACTGAGCTGGGGAAGGAAGGTAACAGAGGCGGTGATTTGGCGGAAGATGGCGGCGATTTCATCCTGTATCTCTTTCTCGGTCTTTTCTGAGATGGCTTCGCCGGCATCGGAGCTATGGTGGGAAATAGAGTTAGTTCATGGACACTTGTCAACCCTATCATGGAGTTGGGATGAGGGTTGGGACGGCGTACCTTGGGGTTTGGTTTTCTTGATCGGCGGCTGTCAGGGCGGTCCTTGACTTTGACGACGATTTTCCGAATATTTGAACCTGCGGAATACGTATTAGGACATAGTTCCAAGATTGGTTGTCGAGGAGGGATATGGTCGGAAAGCACTTACGTCAAACTGCCAGCGCTCGACGTGCTCCCCGGTATCTTTGTCCGTGATCACGATGACGAGCTTCGATATCTTGCCTCCCACCATCCACTTGTCAAGCTGAGACATGATCTTCTTGATGTAGGCCTTGACCTGATCGTCGGCGGAGACTGGCACGGCCAATTAATGTCAGCAGGGTTACATGCGAGGGTACTCCTTTTGGGGGCAAAGGTTGGACCTACCAAGCATATTCAAGCCATATTTCTTGACACTGCAGTATACATGTCCTACGTTAGAACAAACACGCATCTTCCCGAGGACTAGGATTTTGAAACGTACGCTACGAAATCCTCCGCTGGGTAGACACCTCGTTGGAATCTGGAGTATAGGGTGGTTAGCTGGTGCCCCTCGCAAGGTCGGTTTATCGGAAGGACATGGGCACGCGGCGGGAAGAGGGGACGCACAGGATCGAGTGTATGGAGTATTGGAACTATAGATTGAAAAGTCAGTTTGAGAAGAGGAAGAAAGGCGGGAATGGCTATCGCAGAGAGATGGATGGCAACGAACGAATTCAGCAACGAGCCTAGCACTACCCTTTAGGGCGAGCTTGTGGACCTTGGACTTATCCTTGGACCTATCCTTGGACTTTTCTTTGGTCGGGTCGGAGGACGACGACGGTTTTGAGGGAGGCATCGTTTCGGCGTATTCCAGGATATGGCGGAAGCAGTTGTTAGGAGATCGTGTCTTGGGATACCAGATTAATGGTGGATCGTGTAGAAGCTTGTTCGAGACGACAGAGACCTTGGGAGAGAGAGAGGCGGCTCATGGGTCAGAGTTGGCCTGAAAGAGGTTAAATTGTTTACTTTGGATTCCGTTCCTGGTTGCGGGGTCACCAGCCTGTGCCAAATGTGGGATTGCGCTGTGCCTGACTACATCCGAGTAGAAATGGGATTACACACACTGTACTGGGAGTTCGAGAGCTATGCGGAAAGAGCATTGATAGACAGTGGATTATACAGTGCTTCTAATTGAGCTGAGAACTGGTGCTGAGCACGAACATTCTGGGGACTACAGGAAAAACCGCCGAAACCAAACAGAACAACCAAGAGAGGCCTCGTTCTCCTCTTTGCCCTTTTCATTTCCCGCTTCTTTTGTTTTGAGGAATACTTATGATACAAACTCCAGCCTCGACGATCTATTTTTGAAATTAAAAAAGTAAAAATAAAAATAAAAATAAAAAAGAAGAAGAAAAAGGACAAACACTCTTTAGAGTCTATGGGGGTGGTGGTGGTGGTGGTGGTGTTCGAGGGTAGTCTCCAAATGGTCCTCGTGCCGCTGGAGGTGGTGGCGGGGGTAGGGGCCTTGAACCCGAAGCGGAGCTCTTGCGAGAGCTTCTCCGGGAGGATGAACTGCTGCCGCCACTCCAAACTATACTAGGATGGCCGTGGATCTGCCTTTGGACGAAGTACATAAAAATCGTCCGACTCACGATCCCGGCAGTGAGGAGTGGGGAGCGATCTGGGCCACAGTGGACATGCTGTTGGCCCGGGGCAGTTTGTTCCAGGAAACAGTGAGCTCAGAAGCCGCGATCAGCACGGAAGTTACGATGATATTGCTGAGAAGCTTGGCCGCCTGGATGGTAACCTTGTGCCTGGATCTTTTTGGGGACCGGTTCGTTAGCCAGCTTGCGAGCCTATTCAAGGTAGAGGGTTTGGTGAAGGCTCGCTCTTCTGTTGCTTCTCTCCTGCTTCCGTTTATTTGGGCATGGAAGAAAAATAAAGCACTTGGAAAGCTATATATATGGTGGGAAGAAATGGTCGAAAGAGGGTTTATGCGAGGCGATGGACTTAGGAATTCACTTACTTTGCTCGGCGAGATCTCTTCTTCCTCTCGGTAAAGATGTCTAGTTCCTGCCGGGCCCGAAGAAGAAGAGTGGCAACTGACGCGAGCAGCACGGTGAGCCATATAAGGGCATTGAACGCGATGAACGCCTTGTTCTTAATCAAGACGGGACTGAAGAAGAACCCGTACGCTGCGCAGGTAAGCCGGCCGTCTGTCACATATGCACACCAGTACCACACGCCAACGCAGCTCAGTGCGAGCATCAAGATGAAATCAAGCACTTTGAATATCGGGCTCGGTTGCTCGGCCGTGCACTGGAACGGGTCCCAATGCGAGTCGAACCGGGTGACTGTCTTCCACATGTAGATAGGAATGACATAAATGTACGTGCTCGCGGCAAGAAGGAAGACGAGGTAGGCCTCGGCCGGGGACAAGTTGCCCGCAGGAGCCTGTAGGAGGAGTCCGAGAAAGGCCGATGTGGACAGGGCGAGGCCGATAAGTCGGACGGGAGCTAGCGCGGACTCGTCCATGTATTCAATGACGGTGAGACCTAACCACTGGAGGTAGAAGGCGAGGCGGAGCCCGAGTCCGTACATCTCCGGGTGGCCATTATCTGAGACGCCACATAGCATGGCTAGGGATGGGCATATGCTTGGCCTACGGGAGATTATCTAGGAGAGCACAAACCGCATCTAGCGTTGGCGATTAACCACTGGTGCGGGCGGCAGGCGGCGTTTGGAGACAGCGGGTTCGAAGCCAAGGTCCCAAACCGACTTCATGCCGGATCAAACTCGAATAGGTTGGGATGGCGAGGATCGCAAGAGATGATATGGAAAGGAGTGGAAGCTTTCCCATCTTACGAGCCCATACCTGAGCTACATTTATACCATTCACGAGACCGCCTAGGCAGAGGAGCGACGTGGACACGCTACATGGCAAGTGAGGGGGTATGATTGATGAACAGGGGAGGGCTTGAGCAGTGAGCCTTCCAGACTTGGTGAGTGCCCCCAGGAGTGCAGCATAGCTTCAGGCTACGCATCGTACCTCCGCGCACCACGACAGACCTGCATCACTGTTATTCGTAGATGGCTGCAGTGTTTGAAGGCATGGACTATGGTCGAGTGGCCAACAGGAGAAAAATGATGCAGCCCCGCAATGAATCCCTGCTCTACAGCACAAATGCGATGCTCGACGATGTGTTCTTGTGGGATAAGGCGGGCGACCTGTTCCTGGTGCCACGTACGCCTAGAGACGGTTGAGGACCGAGAATAGGTCTTCCGAACCGTGACAAGAAAACGGAGCTGCGTTACGGACGGGGCGGAGGGGAAAGGCGGGAAGAGTCGTGTTGCGACTCGCGTGTTTGCTCGGTGTGAGGACGTCTTTGCCAGTCGGGTTTTTGGTGCCTGATGGCGGAGGCGGACCAGGCTCGACACCGACGCCCATCTCAGCTTGGGGGATTCGACGAGGCGCCTGGTCCATCCACTACGAGGTACAGTTGTCGTATTACCACACATTGTTGTTATGTCATGTGTCGCCGGCCTCTCTTTGGCTGAACCGGCAGCGGTCTCGCTGGAAACGAGTTGTTTTCGAGAAATGCACCGCGTGCGCGCGGTGCAAACGAAGGGCCTTATACGCCAGATGTTCGAGCGTGGAGCGGGCATTGATGCAGAGCCACATCAGTCTTGTGCTCCGCTCCCTGCCCCTGAATAGCCTTGGTACCTTTAATGCTCTTCCTTTATTTTTCTTTCTTCTTTATTATTTCCTCATGTTTTGTCTTTCCTGACCCGGGATTCATCCGTTCCGGCAATTGCATCACCAGTGTCGAAGAAAAGCCGTTGCTTTTTATATAAACCCCTTATCAGGGATTTTTCTTTTGGGCACTGATAAGCCCCTCGCCCCCTGCCATGCAAGCGGTTTCTCGCGGAATGAACAAGCATTAGATTGTGCAAAGGCGGGGGCATTAGTTAGATAGGGGCGGGTTGGTGTCAGCTTCAAACAGCCCTGTTAGGGGATCTTGTCAGTGAGACGGAGACGGGACGGGATATTGGTTCCCGTTTGATGACTTGCGCCAGGCGAGGCGCCCGCTACGCTCCCAGTGAGTCATGGAGATAAGGATGGCCAGACGTCTCCTTTATTCCGAGACGGGTGCTGTCGAGGAAACACCTCGTAGTCCTCCGCTATGACTGTGTCGTCGTAGCTGAAAGGGCAGGAACAAGCGTAATTTGGAGCATAAAATTTTTATTAGTCACGCCTGCCCCGCCACTCTCAAGTGCTTCTGCGCTGGACAATCATTGACCCCGCCACGAACCCCACGAGACTGAGGAAGCTCCCGCGATTCACACCCGCATCTTTCAAATTTGTTACAATTTTTCATACCAAGCAAAGTCTTTTCCAGTTCTCTTTTACTGTTTGCGTTAGGGAAATAGGAAGAGGAGGGAGAAAAAAACCTAGTTCCCTGAGCTAGTAGTGCTTGAATATTCGAATCCTGGCCACGAAGCTTGGCAACACGACTGACAGAGAAACCAACACGATATTGTGCCAGCTAGGATATCACCATGGCGGATCAACTTGCGGAGGCCACCGCCAAGTTGGTGCTAGACGATGAGACGGGTGAGATGGTATCCAAGAACGAACTGAAGAAGCGATTGCAGAAGCGCGCGAAGAAGCAAGCACGCGCCACTCAAGCAGCGAGTAAGCCGGCCGCGGCGCCCAAGGCTCCCAAAGAAAAGGTGGACGACAAACCGCAGGTTGACCCTGCCACCATTTTCAAGCAAGGGTTTCTGGCCGAGGTTTTCAAAGAGAGGCCTATCAAGCCCGTCGTTACCCGATTCCCCCGAGCCCAATGGGTACCTTCACCTTGGACACGCCAAGGCGATTGCCATCAACTTTGGCTTCTCCGCGTATCACGGAGGAAAGACTGTGAGTCAATTTTTGTGAAACCTCGGCCTTATTGCCTTGGAGAGCCCTTGAACGGCAAGTAAAGATTATGGCTGCTAACCTCGACGCTTGACGCATCGCTCAGTACCTACGGTTCGATGATACCAACCCCGATGCCGAAGAGAAGATCTATTTTGATGCAATCGAAGATATTGTTAGGTGGTTGGGTAAGTGATGGTCCCAAACCAGAAACCCCTTCTTTTGGTCTGGGCGCTAATCAATATGGATCTTGTAGGCTTTACCCCTTGCGAAGTAACGTACTCGAGCGACAACTTCCAGAAGCTGTATGATCTTGCCGAGAAGCTCATCCAATTGGAAAAGGCCTACGTCTGTCACTGCAATGAAGACGAGATCAAGCTCCAGCGCGGTGGGAAGGATGGCAAGGAAGGCCCCAGATATCGCTGCAAGGATGCGGAGCAGGACATTGAGACCAACCTCCAGAAGTTTCGCGACATGCGAGACGGCAAATACGCACCCAAGACGGCGTTCCTCCGAATGAAGCAAGATATCGAGAACGGGAACCCTTGCATGTGGGATGTTGCGGCCTATCGTATCCCCCAGAACCAAACGCCGCACTTCAGGGCGCCGGACTGGAAGATTTTCCCCACCTACGACTTCACTCACTGTCTTTGCGATAGCTTCGAGGGAGTCACCCACAGTCTCTGCACGACCGAATTTATCCTGGCTAGGGAGAGCTACGACTGGCTGACCAAGAGCCTCGGCGTGTACGAGCCGATGCAGAGGGAGTTTGGTAAGTTCATTATCAGTGCCCAATATTCCATCTTTTCTACCACCCTTTCTTGAGTTTTCTCTATTGTTCAATGGGACTGTACTGATATGACAATCACGTTTCCTCGGAACAGGCAGGTTGAACGTTTCGGGAACGATCATGAGCAAGCGCAATTTGAAGGCGCTAGTTGACAAGGGCATTGTCCGGGGATGGGACGACCCTCGTCTGTACACTCTTATTGCGATTCGCCGGCGTGGTGTACCACCTGGAGCCATCCTTTCGTTCGTATATGAACTCGGTGTCACTACTGCGCGAACCGTCATTCAAGTCGCTCGCTTCGAGCAGACCGTCCGCCGCTACCTCGAATATACAGTGCCTCGGTTGATGATGGTTCTGGATCCGATCCCGGTCGTGATTGAGGATATCCAAGAGGGGGATCCTATTGAGCTCGATATCCCATTCTCTCCAAAGGACGCCTCCTTTGGGTCGCATAAGCTTTCCATCACGAGAACCGTCTACATTGACCGATCAGACTTCCGCGAGGTGGACAGCAAGGACTATTATCGGCTTGCGCCCGGGAAGGCTGTGGGACTTCTCCAAGCGCCACACCCCATTATCGCCAATTCTTTCGACAAGGACGAAGCCACGGGACTAGTGACAAAAGTGTACGCGTCATTCGACAAAGAGGGCAAGGTCAAGCCCAAGACGTACATTCAGTGGGTGCCTGACGGTTCTCGCGAGGTGGAGGCCCGCGTTTACAATCAACTCTTCAAGTCGGATGACCCCATGGGTGTTGAGGGAGGGTTTTTGACCGACATTAACGAGGGTAGCGAGACGGTTTACGCCAAGGCACGTGTTGAGACGGGCTTCGAAGAGGTCCGGAGGCGGGCGCCGTGGCCAGCAACGGCAGGCGAGGGGAGCGGTACGGCCCGTCCGGAGGCCGTGCGATTCCAGGCCATCCGCGTGGGCTACTTTGTAGGTTTCTTCTTCATCCTTTTGCCCTTCTCCTTTACCCCAAACATGAGGTCTGGTTTTGCTCTCGATTGGCGGCGTTTAACTAACCACACCTTTACTGCTCTTCATAGGCTATGGATTCGGACAGCACAGACGACAAGATTGTGCTCAACCGCATTGTTTCGTTGAAGGAGGACTCTGGAAAGAAAGTAACCGGTTGAAATGGGGAATAAGAAACCAAGTATCGTAGAAAAATCCTGTTCATGTCTGTATGCACGATTTACCACATTTACATGCTCCCACTAGTAGATGGCCTCCCGCCTTCTTTTTCCTGCTCTTCCTCTGTGCTCTCACCCTAATACCCTTCCATGCCTTCTTTCCTATTATTATTTCCTTCCCCAAATCCTTCCTTCGTAGGCATACCAGACAGTACCTTGGGATGTGTGCAGATGGCCCGATTCAAACACGCTGCCGTACGTGGATGACGGGCGGCCCCGATTGGGCAATGGTTACTATCCGTTTTTTTTTTTTTTTTCTTCATTTGAGTGCACCGCAACTGGTAGTGACCTCGGTGGTCACATGTAGAACGCCTCGTTGCCAGTTGGTGTTACATCTAGCGTCGATAGAAAAACACCACTAAGCTATAGACGGTATCGAGCTATCGACAGGTAAACTGGCGATTCGTTTCCCTCGCTCGGGAAAGTGGGGGTTGTTTGAAAGTAGGAAGGAGAAGAAGAGAAAGCCAACCAATGATAGAGCATTCACAAAGAGAGTAATGTCAAGGGTTGCCACGGCACACATGTCCGTTCCAACGCGGCGCTTCCCTTGGTCTGGCCTGGCCGGCCCAAGGCGGCGGCACCGAGAGACCAAGGCAGCATGGCGCCGCTTTTCCTGCGCCGCGTGCGCCAAGCAAGAAAAGTTATGACGTCGGCCACGCCAAGTAAGTTTTGAATGTCTTGAAAATAAAAGGAGAGAGGGAGGGAGGCGTGGCTGCTCCACATGTGCGTGGGAAAAGTCGCCGCTTTGGCAGATCTTGGGATCTAGAATCCACGCCCCCGGTTCTCTCTCCGGCCAAGGTTGCTTGGGGTGGGTGGAAGAGGAGAAAAAAGGGAGGAAGTCCACCCCTCCTAAACCCCTCCAATATGCTCCCTGTCGGTGATACGAGAGGTACGAAGCAGATGATAGAATGCCATCAGTTGAGGTTTATCGGTAACTTACGCATGTACTTTCCCTTCGGTCCCCCTTCTCCCCTCTTGTCCGTCGTCCTCACCTTCTCCATTCAACTTCAACATTACGTCACGAAGGGTGAAACTCGGTTAGTAATCCAAGGCCGGAAGCACCGACAAATCGTGTTGGAGAGGAAAGAAGAGACCTGCAGCATGACATCCCACCAACAGGCACATGTTTATTGGTTGCAATAGATTTGATGTAATCATCATTCATCGGAATCCGGTCCCCGACAATCTCATCGAGCAATGGATCGCACCGACGTGCATGAGGTCTGTCCCTTGAGGTCGAGCAAGCTCGGGTTGCGACGAATGGTAGGACCAGGTGGATCCTCAGGCCCCCAGTGACTTGTACCAACCCCACCTCCCCTTGACCCTGCTCGACTAAAATGGGAGATCAATTGATCCTGAGCATGCACGAAAACCGCCTGGCGAGAGAGGGTTGACCGCGCCGCGCCAGTCTGGAATAGGAAGCACGTCCGGGTTTTCTCGGCCCTTGAGGGCTCAGAGCTTTGAATCCTTTGATGGCACCGCGCACCCGAAGCCGCCCCCACGCTCTCGCGCTGCAGACTTGACAATAGGTTGTCGTGTGCTCCTTTGGTTGCAGGTCTGTGGTTCGGGGTCTGTGAGGGGAAAGTGGTCTGGTGTGACTAGTATTGCCTGCGATAAGACGAGAGAGGGAAAGCTAAAGCCGAAAAAAAAAAAAAAAGACAAGCAGGAGGAAAAAGAAAGAAACTAACCATGTGAAGACAAGTACTGCTGCTGCAACGTGGACGCCGTCACGCTATCACCGAAACCTCTAGCTGCCTGTCAAGCGAAAAACGAAAAAAGTCTTGAGGCCGGCACCGAGAAACAAAAGCCCTTAGCGTGGCAGGGCCCCAGTTTCTCGGGATCAAGTAAAAAGTAGTTCGCAAAGCTGCTCTTGGTATTATTCGCGTGTGGAGCCTGGTAAATTCTTCTCTCGCCCTCAAAGTTCCCTTCTAGCCCCCTTCCCGCTCGTGTCCTCTTGTTCTCCTCCTTCTTCTTGTCCTCCGTAACACACGCGAAGGAGCTAGATCCAGGTCTTATCTAGATTTTCAGCCTTCATCTCCAGAGTTCCGAGGTTAAACTTATCATCATTCGTCCTATTTGTCGTGCCTCTCTCTCCCCACCCCCGTGGCCGTCTTAACAAGATTGCTCGAGGTACCTACCATTTTTGATCCCTTAATGTAACTGCTGCTTGTTACTTTGCTGCAGCCCTTTTTTCCTTTTTCTTTTTCTTTTCCTTTTCTTTCTTTTTTTTTGGTCCCTCCCTGGTTGGGAAACCTTCTTTTCTTGTCCTCCGCGCCGCACACACTTGCACCTTTGTTTCCTGCTTTTCCCTTTTCTTTCTCCTCCGCACTCTTGAGCTCCGGTCCGCCCTCTCCACGCCGGCCTCTCTACCTAACCTGCTCCCCGTTTTCGATTGAGGCATAGCTCTAGCCAGAGCTCTCCTCCTCTCTCCCTCACTTTACCGCGCTCGCGTTCCCTCGCTCCTATCCGCAACCATGGATCATTCGACGAACAAAGGCCAATTCGAGGCCCAGCACGCGTCCGGCACCGACGTGGGCCTCACGGGTGCCAACGATGCCGAGATGCACCACCGCCGCTCCTCCTCGACCGATTTTCAAGCTGATCAAGCTCTTGAGGCTCTGGGCTATAAGCCCGAGCTCTCGCGCAGCCGATCCACTCTTCAAGTCGCCTTCATGTCCTTTGTGCTCGCCTCTATTCCCTACGGTCTTGCTACGACCCTTTATTATCCCCTGATTGGTGGCGGTCCCGTCAACATTATCTGGGGCTGGCTTGGCGTTTCCATGATTATTGTGTGTGTTGCCGCGTCCTTGGGCGAGATCACCAGCGTTTACCCGACCGCAGGAGGTATGTTGTATTTGGTGATCTATCGTTGCCCCTCTCCCCGTGCTGGTTTGGATAAGCTCCATGTGTTTCTTGGCATGCCTTTTGTCCCTTTGCTTCGTGGTTGTGATTTGCTTCCGCCTGGCCGTCCGTTCTGCGTTGGACGGGTCCTCTTGGTCCTTGTCCCTTATTTCTCGTAATGTTATGCGATGCTATGCTTTGCCCTAGCTGTACCGCCGCATCTCACCAACTGGTGCGAGGCGCTGCAGTTTGTGGTCTGGACCGGCACGAGGCATGGTCGAATCTGTGGTAGAGCGCTTTCGAGGGAATACTACACGCACACTTCCAGGAATCTTTTCGTTGCCGGTACTAACGAAGAATTCCTCTAGGCGTGTATTATCAGGCTTTCATGCTTGCTCCCCCTCTTGGCGACGACTCGCAAGCTGGATCTGTGGCTGGCTTTACGTTGTCGGAAACATCACCATCACCCTGGCCGTCAACTTTGGTACGACCCTCTTTTTCGTCGCCTGCATCAACGTCTTTGAGAAGGAGCCGGGCGTTGGCGTCTTTGAAGCTTCCACCTACCAAGTCTTCCTCATCTTTCTCGCCATTACCCTCTTTTGCAATGCCGTGTCTGCTCTTGGAAACAAGTGGCTGCCGATCTTGGATGTGAGTAGTTGCTCCCCCCTCCTCTCCTTTCAACCCCGCCTACCTGTAGCCGACGCTGTGATGGAGCTGATTGACTAACGCGTTTGACTTCTTCGACACGCAGACCGTCGCCATCTTTTGGACCTTTGCCGGTGTTCTCGCCATTATGATCTGCGTCCTCGTTATCGCTAAGAACGGTCGTCATTCCGCCGCGTACGTCTTTGGCCACTTCGAGGCGAACTCGGGTTGGCCCGATGGCTGGTCCTTCTGCGTCGGCCTCCTCCACGCCGGATACGCCACTTCGTCGACGGGCATGATCATCTCCATGTGCGAGGAAGTCCACCAGCCCGCCACCCAGGTTCCCAAGGCTATGGTGGCCACCATCTTTATCAATGCCTTGGCCGGCCTTCTCTTCCTCATCCCCTCGTCTTCGTGCTGCCCGACATCCAGGTGCTTATCAACCTTGCCAACGGACAACCCGTCCCCACCATTCTCAAAGACGCCGTCGGTTCCGCCCAGGGCGCCATCGGCCTTCTCATCCCCATCATGGTCCTCGCCCTGATCTGCGGTATCGGCTGCACCACTGCCGCTTCCCGCTGCACCTGGGCTTTTGCGCGTGACGGTGCCATCCCGGGCTCCAGGTGGTGGAAGACGGTCCACCCCGGCCTCGACTTGCCCCTCAACGCCATGATGCTGAGCATGGTTGTCCAGATCCTCCTCGGCCTCATCTACTTTGGTTCCTCGGCCGCCTTCAACGCCTTCTCCGGCGTTGGTGTCATCTGCCTGACCGCCGCCTACGCCACCCCCATTGCCATCAGCTTGGCGAACGGCCGAAAGCACTTGGTCGATGCCAAGTTCTCGCTGGGCAAGTTTGGCGTGCCCGCTAACATCATCGCCCTTGGTACGTAGTTCTTCCTTCTGTTGCACCCTGGCAGTTACGGGGATTTTCCCTTCAGCGAACCGAACCCTCAGTTTTCTCCGTTGAAATAAGTACTAATTCTTTATCATCCTCTTAGCTTGGTCGATTCTTGCCATGCCCCTGTTCTGCATGCCATCCTACATCCCCGTGACGGCCGCCACCGTGAACTACGCCCCCGTCGTCTTTGTCGGCGCCACCCTGATTTCCGCGGCCTGGTACGTCGTCTGGGGCCACAAGAACTATGATGGCCCGCCCACCAACGACTCGACCTTTTAAGATACCCAGCGGGCCAACTCCTTGATTGGAACAGAAGCGTGGCGTTCGTTTTGTTTTCTTTCTTATTTTTCTTTCCAAACCAAGATAAATACCGAGGGGATGAAAAGCGGATTTTCCTCTTTCTCGCAAATCCTCGCCCAATCCGGGTCTTTTTTTTCTTTCTTCACTTTTTTACAAAAAGGATACCCCGAGGAAGCTGGCATTTATTTTTCTATATTGTTTAACACACATATACCATGACATGATGTCCCCTCCTTGGGATACGATACGCATGCCACTCGGCCGCTCTGCCCGCACTTCGCCGCCCAATGCATCATCGCCTGCCGTTCTTTCGCAAATCATGTCCTCAACGACTTTTGCGCCCGAGCGAGGGCAAGATGCATGTGCTTCGACAACGAGTTCAAATAGAGATAGGAGGATAACTCAACCTAATAACCCACAGATGAAATAACTTACGTCTCATCTTTTTCTACTCTACCGTGCCCTCGAAGTGATTTACTTGTACCTGTAGGCCTAGGGGTTGTCTTTGGGAGGGATTGGCGCCATCAATCGACTCTCTGCCTGCTTTTTGCCTGGTGGCCCAGCCAACAGAGGCGCAAGTCAGTCTTCTCGCCTCAATGATTCAACTTTTGATGATCAATGGGCAGTGAATGAAATCTCACGTGAGTACGATGAAGCCTTGATAAGACAATAAAAATTAAGTATAAAAGGGCTCGACTGGCTTTACCTGCCATTCCACTCGCTGCTTGATGCCAGTGGGTGGCAGGGAGAAGAAGATTAAACTAGACCGCCAAATAAATTGCCAGCCGGCCAAGAGGGGAAGTATTAAGGATAGACAAAGAAGAAAGGAGTGCTGTGCGGGGGTTGCCTTTCGTCAACTTGTTCCCCAGTTATGTTTTTCCTTTTCCAGACCAGAGTTTCCTTTCATGCCCCTAGACGCCTCGACAAACCGCGTTCCCCGAAAGCTGCCGCACAGTGAGTGGCTAGTGCGGCTAGAGGCTGAACGAATGCTTCCAGGACCTCGAATGGAGCGGGTCGTCATGAAATAGAACCCGGTTAACACCACACCACCGACACGCCGCGCCGAAAATCCACCACACAAAGAAGAAGAAGAAGAAGAAGAAGAAGAAAATGGGAAACTCATTTACATGCTGGAGTAGGAGATTCGCGTCCCTTCGCCTGTTTGGCTAACACGCAGGGATGGTGTAATGCATCAATTGCTGGAATTCGTCCTCGACATGCGGCTTTAGAAGAGCATGACAAGGGCAGCACCGGCGGCCAAGATGAGGCCGGGGGCAGCGGCAAGGGAGTTGGCCTGTGAAATTATGTTAGCAATCTTCTACCTTTGAGGCTGGAGCTTTGGGGGTTCGTTAAGGGATTGACTTACGAAAGACACAACCACCTGCTCATCGTCGTCCGCTCCGCTGCCAGATCCAGAACCACTGCCAGAACCGCTTCCGGAACCGGAACCGCTGCCGGAACCGCTTCCGGAACCAGATCCAGAGCCGGAGCCAGATCCACTGCCCGAGCCCGAGCCCGAGCCCGAACCAGAGCCTGAGCCAGAGCCAGAGCCTGAGCCTGAGCCGGAGCCGGAGCCGGAACCGCTACCGGGGCAGTTTCCAGACTGGCAAGGGGTCTGGGGCTCTTCATCGTCATCGTCATCATCATTTCCGCCAGGGCAGTTGCCAGACTGGCAGGAGTCTGGGGCTCCTCGTCATCGTCGTCATCATCATTTCCTCCAGGGCAGTTGCCGGACTGGCAAGGCGTCTTGGTAGGCTTGGGCTTGGTAGTGCTGCTCTCCTCGGGGCAGTCTTCGCCACCAGTGCCGGTAGGCTCAGGCTTGGGAGTGGTGGTCTCCTCAGGGCAGTCGTCATCGTCACCGCCGGTGGGCTTGGGACCGCCAGTCACGGTGGGCTTAGTAGTGGAGCCAGTGGGCTGGCCGGTAGGCTGACCGGTAGGCTCGCCGGTGGGTTCACCAGTAGGCTCACCAGTGGGCTCACCAGTGGGCTGAGCAGTGGGAGGAACAGTGGGGATGGTGATGGTGACGTCGACAGCCTCGCAGAGGAAAGACCATAGTTGATGACACGGGTGATCTCTTCAGGAGACTGGCATTCGGCGTAGGCACAGTCGCGGTAGCCGACGACAAGATCATCCCTGGAGCAGAAGCAGGCATAGTCCTCCTGGGTGCAGCCGTATTCGGCGCCGGCCGACAGACCTTGGTCAACGCAGGTGAAGACGCAAGAGGGCCAGGGGTGCGGGTGCGGGTGGGACGCGCAGTGCTGGAGACAGTGCCGGTGGGGACATCGGTGGGAGGTGCGGTGGGAACGGTGACGGGCACATTAACGCCCTCGCAGAGAGACAGACCGTAGTTGATCACGCGGGTAATCTCGTCCGCCGACTCGCACTCCGAGTACGCGCAGTCACGGTATCCGATAACAAGATCATCCTTGGAGCAGAAGCAAGCATAGTCATCAGAAGAGCAGCCCTGCTCGGCACCAGCGGCGAGACCTTGGTCAACGCAAGTGAATACGCAAGAAGGCCAGGGGTGCGGGTGCGGGTAGGGCGTGCGGTGCTGGACACGGTGCCGGTCGGGTTGTCGGTGGGGACATCAGTGGGGGCGCGGTGGGAACAGTGACGGGAACATTGACACCCTCGCAAAGCGACAAGCCATAGTTGATGACACGGGTGATCTCATCCGCCGACTGACACTCGGAGTACGCACAGTCACGATATCCGATGACAAGGTCGTCCTTGGAGCAGAAGCAAGCATAGTCATCGGAGGCACAACCCTGCTCAGCGCCAGCGGCAAGACCCTGATCAACGCAGGTAAACACGCAAGAGGGCCAAGGGGTGCGGGTGCGGGTGGGACGGGCAGTGCTAGAGACGGTACCGGTGGGATCATCGGTAGGCACGTCAGTCGGAGGAGCGGTGGGAACAGTGACGGGAACGTTGACACCCTCGCAAAGCGACAAGCCGTAGTTGATGACACGGGTAATTTCCTCAGGAGACTGGCATTCGGCATACGCGCAGTCACGATATCCAGTGACGAGATCATCCTTAGAGCAGAAGCAAGCGTAGTCATCGGAGGCACAACCCTGCTCAGCGCCAGCGGCAAGACCCTGATCAACGCAGGTAAACACGCAAGAGGGCCAAGGGGTGCGGGTGCGGGTGGGTCGCGCGGTGCTGGACACGGTGCCGGTGGGATCATCAGTCGGGACGTCGGTGGGAGGCGCGGTAGGGACAGTAACGGGAACGTTGACACCCTCACAAAGCGAGAGACCATAGTTGATGACGCGGGTGATTTCCTCAGGAGATTGGCACTCGGCATACGCGCAATCGCGATATCCAGTGACAAGATCATCCTTGGAGCAGAAGCAGGCGTAGTCGTCCGAGGCACAGCCCTGTTCAGCGCCGGCAGCAAGGCCCTGGTCGACGCAAGTGAAAACGCAAGAGGGCCAAGGGTGCGGGTGCGGGTAGGGCGCGCGGTGCTGGACACGGTGCCGGTGGGGTCATCGGTAGGCACGTCAGTCGGAGGAGCGGTGGGAACGGTGACGGGAACGTTGACGCCCTCACAGAGCGAGAGACCATAGTTAATGACACGGGTAATCTCTTCAGGAGACTGGCACTCGGCATACGCGCAATCGCGATATCCAGTGACAAGATCATCCTTGGAGCAGAAGCAGGCGTAGTCGTCAGACGCGCAACCCTGCTCGGCACCAGCGGCAAGTCCCTGATCAACACAGGTGAAAACGCACGACGGCCAGGGGTGCGAGTGCGGGTAGGCTGCGCGGTGCTCGAGACAGTTCCGGTAGGAGGAAGTGGGAACGGTGACGGGCACATTCACACCCTCGCAAAGGGACAAGCCGTAGTTGATGACGCGAGTGATTTCTTCAGGTGACTGACATTCAGCATAAGCGCAGTCGCGGTAACCGGTGACGAGATCATCCTTGGAGCAGAAGCAGGCGTAATCGTCCGAGGCACAGCCCTGTTCAGCACCAGCAGCAAGGCCCTGGTCGACACAAGTGAAGACACAAGAAGGCCAGGGCGTCCTGGTACGGGTCGGCTGCGCAGTGCTAGAGATGGTTCCAGTAGGAGGAGAAGTGGGAACGGTGACGGGAACGTTGACGCCTTCACAGAGGGAGAGACCGTAGTTGATGACGCGGGTGATCTCTTCGGGGCTCTGGCACTCGGCATAGGCACAATCACGGTAGCCAGTCACCAAGTCATCCTTGGAACAGAAGCAGGCATAATCGTCTGAAGCACAGCCTTGTTCAGCGCCAGCAGCGAGGCCCTGGTCGACGCAAGTGAAGACACACGAGGGCCAAGGAGTGCGAGTCCGGGTAGGCTGCGCGGTGCTGGAAACAGTGCCGGTGGCAGGGGAAGTAGGCACGGTGATAGGGACGTTGACACCTTGACAGAGAGACAGGCCGTAGTTGATGACACGAGTGATTTCCTCGGGGCTCTGGCACTCGGCGTAGGCGCAGTCACGGTAGCCAGTGACGAGATCATCCTTGGCACAGAAGCAAGCGTAGTCGTCAGACGCGCAACCCTGCTCGGCACCAGCAGCAAGGCCCTGGTCGACACAAGTGAAGACACAAGAAGGCCAGGGCGTCCTGGTACGAGTAGGGGCAGCAGTGCTAGAAACAGTTCCAGTGGCGGGGGAGAAGTAGGCACGGTGACGGGGACATTAACACCCTCACAGAGCGAGAGACCATAGTTGATGACGCGGGTGATCTCTTCGGGGCTCTGGCACTCAGCATAGGCGCAGTCGCGATAGCCGGTCACAAGGTCATCCTTGGCGCAGAAGCAGGCATAATCGTCAGACGAGCAGCCCTGCTCAGCACCGGCGGCGAGTCCCTGATCAACACAGGTAAAGACACATGCGGGCCAGGGTGTCCTGGTCCTAGTGGGAGCGGCAGTGCTAGAAACGGTGTTGCTAGCGGGAGGCGAAGTGGGAACAGTGACGGGAATGTTGACGCCCTCGCAGAGCGAGAGGCCATAGTTGATCACACGGGTGATCTCTTCAGGAGACTGGCACTCGGCATACGCGCAGTCGCGATAGCCAGTGACGAGATCGTCCTTGGCGCAGAAGCAGGCGTAGTCGTCAGACGCGCAACCCTGCTCAGCACCGGCGGCGAGTCCCTGATCAACACAGGTAAAGACACATGCGGGCCAGGGTGTCCTGGTCCTCGTGGGGGCGGCAGTGCTAGAAACGGTGTTGCTAGCGGGAGGTGAAGTGGGAACAGTGACGGGAATGTTGACGCCCTCGCAGAGCGAGAGGCCATAGTTGATCACACGGGTGATCTCTTCAGGAGACTGGCACTCGGCATACGCGCAGTCGCGATAGCCCGTGACGAGATCGTCCTTGGCGCAGAAGCAGGCGTAGTCGTCAGACGCGCAACCCTGCTCGGCACCAGCGGCAAGTCCCTGATCCACGCAGGTGAAAACGCACGAGGGCCATGGGGTCCTGGTGCGGGTAGGGGCAGCCGTGCTGGAAACGGTGTTGCTGGCGGGAGGCGAAGTGGGAACAGTGACGGGGATATTGACACCCTCGCAGAGTGAAAGTCCATAGTTGATCACGCGGGTGATCTCTTCAGGAGACTGGCACTCAGCATAAGCGCAGTCACGGTAACCGGTGACGAGGTCATCCTTGGCGCAGAAGCAGGCGTAGTCATCGGACGCGCAACCCTGCTCGGCGCCGGCAGCAAGACCTTGATCAACGCAGGTGAAAACGCAAGAAGGCCAGGGAGTTCGGGTGCGGGTAGACGTGGGCGAAGAAGAAGTGCTGGAGTCCGTGGGAGACTCTGTGGGGGTTGGGGTCTTTGTAGGGTTAGCCAGGTTCCATAACGCAGCGGGATACTGGCGTGGCAGGGACTTACGGAAGACTCAGGGGGACCAGTGGGAATATCGAGGGGAGGCCCAGATCTAAGACGGATGGGTTAGATGGTTCTTGCTTCCTCTGACTGAGATGTATGCTGTGAGTACATACCTTCGCAAAGCTCGAGGCCAAAGTTGATGGCGTCACTGGTGTCAGCGGCCGAGCTGCACGCAGTGTATGTGCAGTCCTTGAAGGCAATGGCCAAGAAGTTGGACTTGCAGAAACAGTGGTACATGTCCACCTCTGTGCAGTCCAGAGGCGGGAACTCTGTGATGACAGACTGGAAACAGGTAATCTGTGAGGGAGCGGGCAATGTTAGCGGTGCTCTTCCGTAGGGCGAACATCATCGGGTCTGTCCAAGTTTAGGCTGGAGATTTGACGTACGGCGCAAAAGGGGACGGCATTAGCAACAGTGGCTAAGCCAAGCGCCGCGGCGACGCTGAGGGACAATGAAGCCCTCATGATTGCTGTCGAATGTCTTCAAACAAGCGAGTGAGTTTGTCGACGGATATGATAACGGGCCAAGATCGTACTGGCTTGCTGGGAACGTCACGCAAAACTATCACGGACGCTTGACGATTTCCCGAGTATCGGCTGCTTGTGGAAGGGAGAAGACAAGATCTGTGGAATGGGAGGCAGCGACTCCTCGTCAATATATAGACGCGGTGAAGGTGGTGATGAAAACCTTACTAGCCCGTGGCAACAAAGACCCATGAACTGATGGGTAATGAGCGCGACCGAGCAGCGCGGCGCCATCCCTTGGCGAGCATCCTCCTCGCGCGGTATCGAGCTATTAGTGCGGCTCGCGTTTTCCTTGATGCCGTCAAGCCGAGGATAGGTCAAAAGGGCGTGCTGGGCTTGTGGGCGCGTGGGGGAGGGGAGGGACCTGAGAAAGGGTGGGAAGCTATCGTGGATAGGCCGTACCTTCCATGGTTCCATGTTCAATAGACTGTGCTAGGCGGCAAAGGTTGCATATTCGCTTGTTATGCAGATGAAGCTTGGGGTAGCCTAGAACGGAATAGAGACCACAGGCTGCATGGGTGGCCCTGGGAAAGCAGCCCCAAATAGGTACGGGCGAAGCGACGGTAGCCTCAAGCATCTGGCGCTCGTGAACTTGACAAGGGGGTTGGCCTCGCTGGGGAGAAGCGCGTGAGAAGTGGAAAAGGGTGGGGTCCTCTCCGCTGCCAAGAACCAGATGTTGGAAAGGGGAGAAAAAAAAAAAAAAGTCGAAGGAGTGTTAGGCCATGTTCGCCGCTAGACGAATGAGGGAGGGACGAGAAAAGTTGAACACGGTGGGGCCTGGCCAGCTCCGTGCCTTCCCGGTTCCGTGGCTCACGTTGTGCTGTGGGATTTGGGTCCACAGTCGGTTCAGTCCCTCTCGGGCTGGTGTTCTGCATCTAGCTGTTTGGTGTAAGGTCCTGCCATACTCTGGTGCTCTCTATTTTGCGATTGGAGATTAGAATCCATCAACAAAGCCGCTTGGATTATACATTAGAGGGTGTAGGTGAAATGATATCGCGCTTACAAGACTGCCTAGGATGTCCGGTGACGATGGAAGATGTGCATTGGGTTTGATGGAGGTGCTCCCAACCAGATTCGGCCTCAGCCTTGCCGAAGGAGTCTTGGCATTGAACAAGAACATGGCGTGAAGCTCGAAAGCAGAGGCAAGCTAGCTTGCACATCGGCGTCAAGGTGATGTGACGCTATTCAAGCGAAGGGAGAGGTTACAGTCGTTTGGCCGCGAGCGCCGGGTCGATTGGGCAGAGCTGGACTGACCGGTCCTCCCCACCTGGCAGGTTACCTTGTCCACAAGAATTGGACCGCAAGCCACGGGGCATCAATTGAAAAGGGAAAAAGCCTTGGCATGACACATCAGTCATCGATGGGCGACTGCGGGTGGTTCGACACAGAGGGTACTGGGTGGCCGGCCCAGGCAGTCTTTTTCCTCTAGCGGGGCCGTCCCTAGAAACCTGGGAAATCTGGGAGGTCAAGCTATTCGGTTCCCGGCATTTTGGAGCGCACAAGCAGGTTCTGGCATGGTATGAACCGAAATAAGATGTAGCTCGGGGTGGCTCGGAGGCTCGGTAGGAGGGGACATTGGTTGACGTTGATGAGAAAACCCCGTTATTTGTGGGACTGGGACTAATGGGACTGGGAATGGAGCTCAAAGCTCAAGGCTGAAGGCAGGAGGGAGAATGTGGAAAGTGATCAATGATGCTCAATGTTGCGTATTAGTGTACAAGTTGTCTAGAAAGTGGGGGTGGCGTGGCGCGGCGTGGCGTGGCGTGGTTTGCTTTAGTTTGGTGGTGTGTGTGGGTGGGGAAGGAGGTTTCCAGGAACAGTGACAGGGAGACAGGTGCCCTTTCCTTCTTGATCTTATCAATCAGATGATCTGATAATCTCGCAGGCTTTTTCATCCCGATGCTCGACATCAACGAGGGTACTTGCTCTTCAAGAAGATTCGCTGGGGCCTTCCCCGTCCCTTGTACCCTGAAAAATGGAGAAGAAAAAAAAAGAAAAAAGACTTCAAGCTCCTTCTACTTCCCCGAGCAGTCCTTCGCCCCCCTTTGACCCCCTGTTCTGCCCCTCTCTGCGTGCGAGACCTCCGAGCCCATCCTGTTGCACCTTGCACCTTAATGAGATCCTCCTTGCCACGATTCAGCCATACTAGTGTGAAGAGGAAGAGCCTGCTACCGATTGTGGTAATTGAGCATGTGCATTGAGCCGTCGCAACCCACTGATCCATCAGTGCTTGATTCCGCATCCTTGCCGCCCAGCTTCCGGCTCGAGGGCACCTGCCCTGCTTGCTTTGTGTAAGTCATTTCGGACTTGCCTCATCCATGACAGAAGGCAACCCCAAATCCGTCGCGGGGTACACATTGTTTGTCGTTGGCACTCAAGCCCTGCCCTCTACCGGGAATTATGAAGAGACATAAGACTAGGGGAAATACGGGAGAGCCTCTGGTGCGGTTTTCTTTTTCTTTTTTTCTCTTTTTCTTTTTGTTTTTCTTTGTTACTTTCTTCCTTCGTCCGCTTGATCTTTTGCCCCTCCTCATCATTGAGCAAGGCTTTGAAGCTACCCCCGTCCTTGTGCCTTTCGTGCTCAAAGCAGTGGCTTGCATTCATGGGGATCTAGACCTCCTCACTGCCAATCCTGGTGCTAGGGTGCCTGGCAAGCTCTTCGACTCTCCACGCCAGCCCAGATGGGGTTAGCCAAGACCAACCGACGGCTGACTTGTTCATTCACACAACTTGATCACTGATTATCTACGATCAAAACGGATCTCGGCACTCCGGACCCCTGACACTTCGACCGTCATCGGAGGAGAGCTGGTTGATGGGTTTGAGCCCGTGCGTGCTCTGTGTACTTGTTACCTTGATGATCTTCATGCATTCAATTGATCTTGCGAGGAGATCCATTTAGGCAGGAGCAATAACCTCGGGGCATCTCCTCCGTATCGCATTGCATTGCAACAGAACGAAAATGGAAGTACGCACAGTTACATTTCGGGATGCAGTTGATGAATTCGAGAGTATGACACTCTTGACGCTCTGGATCTGATGTTGCCGTCTTTGTATGCACCTACCCACTGTGTTGTGCTGTCTCCCATCCCCCTCTAAGGCATCCGGCCCAGTCAGGCCTCAATTTCCCAATCCACCAACGTTAACCATGCGGCCATAGTTTGTGGGACTTGGATCCGTACCAGACTGCAAGTCCTAAAGCACTCTCGGAAGCCCGGAATACTGCACGTTGCACTATTATTTGTCCCCCACCCCAACCACTGAGGCGCTAGCAATTGGGGAGGTACTTCGTAGATGGGCAGGCTGCCACCCCGCCGTCTCTAGTCTGTCCCAGATACCTCAACTTCTCACCCGGTTCAGTAACTTAACGCCACCCACCGGCAAGGACTCGGCGCACGACGATTTTCGGATGTCGAGTCGAGTCCAAGCTGTTCGAACGAACGAGGGTGGACGCTCTATGACGCTCGCCCGCGTACGCGTCGGGCCAGAATCGGAAATGAGCTTCTGCAAGCTAAGCTTCTTTTCCACCATTCTTCTCCCTCCCCACCACACTCCACTCCTTGTACGATTTGCCGTGCCCGTGGATCCTCCAGCCTCCATCGCCCCTTAACAGAGCCTAGCTACGTATTCCGCTTTCATCCCATCTTGAAGATCTATTCTGCGCGATGCCCGAACTGCCCATCTTCCTCCCCGAGATTCTGTTTGGCTTTGAAATACTTTGGGGGCACTCCGAGGTTGGCGTTGGCCAGGGAGGGAAGGAGGAATCGATTGAATGCTGCTTTCGTCTCCCTCACGCATGCGACCTATTACTCCCCTCCTAGAGTGGTATTCATGAAGCGCGCATCCATCCTGATCACTAATAAATCATACATCGTCCCTCTTCGCGTCACGTCACGCGGGAGGGGCCCTGGCCACACCCTGCACATCGCGCAATGCATCTCGCTCAAATTTTCCTTATCAATCTCTGGGCCTAGCTTACCCCTGTCCTTAGTCCGTCCATCCCACAGCCATAGTACCGAAGAGTCAAGGCGAAGCTTTATTACTCAACTCACCCCATTCGGACATGATGAATGGCAAAACAAGAATAGCACCGACCCACACTCTGAAGCCTTTAGCTTTCCTTTCTTGCTCTTTGGTTTGATCGGGCCCTCTTTTCTTCTTCTTCTTCTTCTTCTTTTTTTTTTTTTTTTTTTTTTTTGGGTCTTCCTCCTTTTCTCCCTCCCTCTCCTTGTCAGTGCCGAGGACCTTAGTAAACAATTGGGCTAACCCACATCCCCGTAGACCACCAAAAGCCCTCACGGGAGATGGACATAGACTAGGGTCCACCACATTACGACCAGAGATTGATAAGGGGAAAGGGGGAAGAAATCTTATTAGTGTAGGCTGATCCAACGGGAAAAAACTTTCTGCCCCACGTCCCATGCCACCACCACCATCTCCGGGAGTCCACTCCGTACATTGATGGAGCGACCAGGCTGCTTGACAAAACGTGAACAAAGATGCGAAATGCTCGGCAACATTCCCGACTCCACCCCAACGAGTACATTTCGGGTTTCCTTGGTCTCCTCTATGGTAAAAGAATTGTCTTACGCTAGATGGTTGGAATTTGATGGGTTACCTACTTCGTAGACGTACATGTATGGTATTGCGAGGTGGCAGTCTCCATCTCAATCTTTTCTCTGCGGCCTCGTTGTCCCTCGACCGGCCGGCCAAAAGCAAAGAGTCCCAGCCGTACAATCAGGCAGGCCTAGCTTGGCGAGGTGGGTAGTAAGGGAAGAGAAATAGAAAAAAGAAAAAGCTCGAATGATCTTTGAGGACTAATATTCCGCATGTGTCCCAAAGTACTTGTATCCTGCGTAATTCCTCCTTTCCGTCTTCTCCCCGCACACTCTCGAGTTGGGAGGGGGCAATTTTCCGCACTCCATTCCGCACGCTACCGTTACAATGGGTGTACTAATATCTCATCATCCGAAAAAACTGGATCCACACCAGATCCCAGAAGAAGAAGAAAAAAGTTTGGGGAATGCACTCCTCCCCGTCACACCAGGCCATCAGAGACGTCCGCATCGCGCAGCACGTCCGTCGAGCAGCGAGCGGAGCCCTTTGTTGGAAGCGTGGCGGCAGGGATGAGCAACTTTTATCACAGCCCTGACCCTTTTTCGCCTGGATCCAACCCGGCATTTTAACTCTTGGCGTTAGCTGGACAGACTAACACCAAAATACCAAGATTCCAATATTGACTAGTCTGGTCTGTTCTCGTAGCCATTTGCTCCTTTCTCACCATAGGTACCCACCCACATCATTACTTTTCTTCTTTTTTCTTTTTTTTTTTTTTGGATTTCCTTTTCAGACCCTCTTGTTTTCTCACCCTTCCTTCCCCGCGCCTATCATGCCATGCCAATGTTGCCACCCCACTTCTCGATACGAGAAGTAGGCGATGTCAAGAAGTGGATGATACCCACTCACCAACATCATGCTATTCCGATCTCGGAAACGCATATGTGGTTGTTATATGACCATCCTTGACCTTGCAGCCACATTCCGATATAAGCCTCAGCCCACACTTGGCAACTGGTCTGGTTAGGCTCCTGTTGCCCGTGTGAGCCATGAGATCAAATTCTAAACCTGGGCTGAGGCCCATTTGGACACGGAGAGCATCATAGGAGAGCAAGGACGTGATGGAGTTCGCCACTTCCCATTCCCGTTTTCGGAGATTTGGACACCTGGTTGTTGCAGGCCAGAACTACAACTTCTTGGTGATGGGCGCGGCCGTATGTGGCGTCGCCTCTCCCACAACTCCCCTCCTTGGAGCTACAGCTGCCAAGGCTATACTTGCAAAAACTCTACATGGGCTAGGGTTCTTATGAATATCAACCCTAGCGCCTAACTTTCCGGTGTGATTCCATCTCCTCGCCTTGCAGATACACCGGCGAGGGCAAGAGTGAGTGGCTCGTACCTCTTGCTACTTCATCAGATATCTAGTCCCCGAAAAGGAGTTCCCTTGGTCTTGGCCGACATGCCGCACATGCCACCTTGGGTTCCCAAAGACATTCTGGCATGGTCTAATACCAACCTCACGAACAAGTGGAGGACGTGGCGCGTCCCAGTATCGTAGGGCTTGGGAGATATGGAGACAGTGGACGACGTTTTCCTGATACAGTAGCCTACCCTTCCTACCGAATTTACTCCAGCATTGAGATGAATGGCTGGATAAATTTATGAATGTATGGTGAATTACTTCATGTTGTTATTTATCCCCCTTTTTTTTTCTACCCGTTTTCTCCCTCTCTGCCTCGCTGCTTCGCTTATGCGTGCTGGCTTTCCTTCAGTTATCTCTACTTCACCAACTCAAATCTCTCTGACCTATCCCATAAGCCCTGCTAAGAGCTGCAAAATAGCTGAGAGTATGCTGGGATGGTCTGCACCGGGGTTCGGCTCAAGAGTCATTGGAAATATCTCTGGGTCGTCCCGCCAATCTTGGTTAATAGATGTCCACGCTAACCATTTCATAATACATGTAGCGGACATGTCGAGGTGATGGGGCTCCAGCATGTCTTTCCTCTTGAGCACCTCCTTTGAGAGACTTCCTTCTGATTCTTCAAGGTATGTTGAATAACCTCGATAAGACGCGATCTATTGGAATCCGTGCTGGTAATTCTTCGTTACCCTTCCAGTCTTGGTCAAGCAAAAAGTGAGATCTCTTCCATATGTCGACCGAGGTGTTGCAGGGTGGATTTCAGAGTATCAGTCTTTTGGCATAACGGACACTCAGCTGGCGTCTAATCATCCATTTCATGCTCACAAAGGTCAAGAAGTACTCGTAGCCGCCCAGGGGTAGTCAAAGATTCGCTGTGGGATGAGTAAAGGTGCGTTGCCATAACCTCGCGTGAAATCACGGTCAGTTGACAGCTCTCGCATGTCCATTGGCGGCGCTTATGACACTGCATTTCATGATAGCTCCAGTCGCGCGTGGATTCGTAGAGTTGATTCATTTTTGGTAGTTTTATGTTTGATGCTTGAGGGTAACCTCAAGAGTGTATCCTCGAAGGATGTCAAAAGATCCATATATCCCCTTCCCTTGAGGCCCGATTATATAATACTCGCTCCAGCTATTGCCCATCATGTGGGCCAGTTAGAGAGTCCTCATACCTGTTAGAAGATGGGATACGATAGATCATTGATAGATGTTGGATCCTTCCTTACATGGATGTATATCTTGAAAGTGGATCCACCTTTATCTTTAACTGTCAGTGGATCTTGCCGCCTGAAGAGTAATATCTTATGAGGCCATTCCTTATACTTTGAAAGACCTACTTTAACTTTGACTGTTATGATATATAAACCTTGCTGCCTGAAGAGCAATACTTCAATGTTGTTTCCAAAGCCCTGCATGCTTACCACAATTGGCGCAGTTATAAACATCCTCCCCTCGCTTCAAGAACATAATAACTCAATCACCTCTTGTATCCCGTCCGTGGTCTCTCCATTTTCTATAATTTCAATTCCAACAAGATGGGTCTCGCCGGCGTCATTCTGGGCGGTATCGCCATCGCGCTCTTTGTAATTAACAACTACCGCCGGTGCTTAGATGTGGTTACGGACATCCAACTGTATCAAGCGACACTTAGGACTTTCAGACGCGACATTTACGGCCAAGAGAGGCAGATCGAACTGACGCTAGGGTGCATGGGCGTGGTCTTCTTCAGGGGACAGAGATTAACGAGTATTGAGCTCAAAAATCAGATCCGAGAGAACTTCCCGGACGACTACAATGGACTCATGGACATTTTCGACAGAATGGAATATCTGTTGGCTAAACTTGTGAGCCTGTTAGATGTCGAATCTCAGGGAAATGTATGCTAGCATCTTCCAGCCTTCTAACCCGGGAGAGAGTGTTTCGCTAATAGTCTGGCAAGCCGAATTGGACAGTTGAGACACCGGAGAGGACGGTATGGAGCTGGCGTCATATCAACCGGGCTTTCAGCGCCAAAGCAAGGCGCCAATGTATCGCGGAGCTACAACACTTGAACGACGTATTAAGAAACATTTGCGAACAACTCAGAGCACCACGGGGTATACACGGGCTCCAAGTGCAGAGGTTGAAGGCCCAATTCAATCCTGGGGCGTGCAGAGAAATACGGAAGAATGTGCATTGCATCTATGATATACTTGCCTGCGCGTGGCGGTGCGAATGCTCTGAACACCATGCTAATCTCACACTTTCCTGGTACACCAACCAGCAGGACATGGCGGTTGCACCCTTCAATCTAGCACTGTCTACTCAAAATGGGGGCTGGCGATCATTTACGGCAAACATTGACGAAGTCTAAGCTCCTATCTCCCCCATACGTCGCCTCAGATGCTAGCATCACCAGCTCCAACCCCGGTGCCTGCGGCTTCAGAATTGGTTAATATATGCCACTTTCTCAGCAACCAAGCACAGGCTCGCCCTTGGTCCATATCTCTCGCTAGTGTAGAACACATCGCACCAACACAGCGCCTAGTGCATCGCTTGGCATAATCGATGAGCGGGAGACGTGTTGTCTTGCGCCAACTTTTAGACTCTTGGAGGCATCAGACCTCTGGCCAGCCTTCATTTCATCCAGCTCATACGTTTTCAAGAAATGACCGTTTCGCCCTCGCGTCAGCAGCCGCCTGGGCGGTACTATATTTATCTGGGCTGAGACATAACTTGTCCGGATTTAACACCTTCGGACTCAGTATTGAGCTTGGGAATGGCTAATGCCGCGGTCGATGTGATGCGCCGAGCCTATCATGTACCCTCACGACCCAGGGCACTATGCAAGTGGAAGAAGGCAATACGATATCTCCTCAGCACGCGGGAGTCCGGAATAGGGCGTTATTCACCCTCGGTGTCCTCCTCACTGAACTCTATCTGGATACCACCCTTGCCACGCTACGTGAAAACCACTATAAGACCGAATTCTTACAAGAATTCGGCCTTCTACCCACCGAGATAGACGACTTTGACCTGGCGAACCAACAATTAGACCGGGTATAGACGCAGGGTGGTCCCCTATTCGGTTATGCGGTTCAGCGATGTTTACGATGCGAATTTCCTGGGCCAGACGGACAGAAGAATTTCGACTCTGAAGACTTCCAAAAGACCTTCCACCAAGAGGTAGTCGTACCACTCCATGTAACCTACCTTTTACAGTACTATGAGGGCGTTGACTGAATATGGGAAGGAATTGATGGCACGTCAAAGAGCCGGTCATTGGTCATATGGTGAAGAGACCACAAGGATATGGATATCAATGGATGCTTTAAGGCACAGTCTTACATGTAGCATTTCTTTGCATGAGGGCATCACCTATTAGTTCTCTCCCGGGTTCGTCCTTGCCTTCAGAACAAGGTCAGCCTCAGCGCAACCATCTGTATCAATGATGGATCGATTTGGCTTTGCCACAGCGACCCTTCATCATATAATCAAGTTACGCAGATTGTAGGTACCAAATTTGACAGTTTCGAAATTTTCTAATATATATAAGAAGAAGATTGGCACTCGACAGTTTACACGTTTGCTCCAAGGCTGAAGAGGCTTGGTCATGGCATGTGGTCAAGGAGCGCTTGATTGGTTCTCACCCCGCTTTATTTTAATAATAATACCAATATCATTAAAAAGGTAACCGCCTGATAGTTCCGGATATATTGAACCGAATCGAACCTCAATGTAACTTTCAAGGACTACCTAATAGCTCCGGGACTTTGCGGGTGGGCTAGTGCCCTTGGTGAAAGCGTGCACTCCCCATCAAGCGTGCATACCCGGCCCTCAATTCGCTTTAAGTCGAGGAGATCAGCTACAGGTAAAATTATTTCTTGTTCACGATGGCGCCCTGGCCAGGCATCTCGGTGAGCCCTATAGGAGGATCGAAAATGTCAGCAAGTCCCCTCGGCGTATACATGGATTTGTGTATCCCCTTAGGGATTGGATCAGAGATGGGGCCAACTTACAGCCATCGATGTTCTCATCGACGAGCGTCTGAACAGTGCACTTGTTCATCTCGTTGACACCCTGAGACAGAAGAGGACGTCCACCCTCGCAGGCGTTGAACATGCAGTTGGAGTCCATGGCGCGCTGGAGCGAGTCACCCTTCCATCCGAAGAGGTAATCGGCGTGGGTGCCGTAGCCGTCGCCGTCACCGTAGCTGAGGGTGAAGGGGTTGGGGTCGCCGGTGTTCCAGAGACCGTTGAACTGGGTGGTATCCCAGAGGGTCTCGTACGCGACCTGAGGAACGCGCACGGGGTGGGAGGCGGGGCAAGCACCGGCGTTGACAAAGGTTCCCTTTGGGTGTCGAACATGTGCGACTTGTGGTCGGGGCTGTCGGCGTTGACGCCATCCCAGCAGCTGCAAGGTGCGAAAAAGTCGTGTTAGCGAGGTTTACGGAGAGAGAGAGAGAGGGTTAAACGTGGCTTCATCACCGATGCTACGTTTGTTTTTCTTTTTGTATTCGCTTGAACTTACGCGGGGAAGTGGTGGACGGTCATGATACCGCCGACACAAGGGGAGGTGGGGAAGTTGGCGAGCTCAGGGAAGCGAGTGCCCTTGTTCTGGAGGCACACGAAGCGGAGACCAGGAGCACCCTGCTCAGCTTGCTGCTCGGCCAAAGTCCTAACACCGGGGTTACCGACGACCATGCGGAAGCCCTATTGGGAAAGACAGCAGAAGTTAGTACGTTATTTCTCATCCCTCTGTGGAGGTTTACGGCTTTCTCCGCAGACGGGCTTTTCTCAGTCTAAGGAGAGGGAGGGCCTCGTCACGACTTACGGGAGGGAAGGCAGTGATCTTCTGGTTTCCGTTGGAGGAGAAGTCCTGCTGGGTGTAGTAGACGGTCATGCCACCGTTGATACCGTTGGGGAGAGCGGTGTTCTGCATGATGGGAACACGCTGGTAGGTACCGTTGGAGTGCTTGAAGAACATGACGGCGGTCCAGTAGTTGGAGAAATCCTCGCTAAAGGTGCAGGTGGTGCAAGTTCCCTTGTCGCCGACGGTGTCGTCCATGCTGGCATTGAAGGCATTGCCGCCGACAATCTGGTGAAGATGGGCCGAGGGGACCGCACCGGGCTCGACGAGAGGGTCGAGGCGCTGGATGGTCAGGGTGGAGCATCCGAATCGGAGGGCGGCCTGGGAAGTCGCCACGAGGGCGGGGACGACGGGAAGCCACTTCATAGTTGCGGAGTTAGGCAGGTCGAGGCTGGGAATGCAGAATCTAGGACAGCGATGGTGGGTTGACAGGGGAGGGGAAGAGAGAGAGAAGAAAGGAACCAGAGGGGACTCAAAGAGGGAGGGAGGGGCCACCGGGGTTCGGGACGATGATATATATAGTGTTCACGCAGCGCAATGGATCTATCAACGGATGTTTATCTATATATGCAATCCTTCTACCCTCTTATGGCGATAAGCGCCTTTGTTTTTATCAACCTGCAGCTGTTCTAGTGGTTCTCATCGTCTCACACGGCCAAAATCCCAGTCTCTGTTATACCCCTGGTTTCTGTTGTAGGTGTTTCTCCATGGAACTATACATTAATAACTGTCAGTCACCTCGAGCCAAGCCCGGCGTAGTATATTTGATGTAAGTCGATTTGGTGTACTTCGGGTGGTTACCCTCGCTCTGCCTTGACCCACCCCCATCCATCCCCATCTACAAGTGCCAATATGCATTTCCCCAGACCTGACCTCTGCCGCCTTCCCCAGGAGTAGGGGAGTAGGGACAAGGACGTAAGACGTAGACATGGAGAGGGACAGAGACAGGGACTAGGACAGGGACTGGGACTGGGACAGTGCCAACTTGGCATTCCACGGCTCCGTAGTCGGTGCATTTCCGTCTAGTCCCACGGTGCCGAGTTACGCGGTCGTCATCTATGTAAAAAGTCGCCTATTTAGCCCTCATCTATTTCCTGGATTAAAAGCGGGGCCGAGTTGCCGGCACGGTTCTGGCACGGTTTTTGGCGGGCAAATATGGAGGGCAGGTACGAAGTACAACGTCGGAAGCTCGAACCCCTTCAGTTCTATCCGGCGCCCAACCCTAAATTCAATGGCACACGCCACGCGCCGGGGCCCCAATGCTTTTCCTTCCCACCTCCACTCATATTCCGTGGCGACGTGCCCAGCGTTTTTGGCAATATATTCTCGAGAGCCACTCACTCTACGTGCAAACTGCCGACATGGGCTGGGAAACTGCCGATGACAGGCCCCGTTAACTTCCCATTCCATGGGATTCCACCCCCTCTAAACCTTGGAAAGTGCATCCTTTGACCTTCCTGCACCACTCCATCTCCACCCGCAATAAACGGATAGACGCTTCTTTTTGCAGCTAAGAGTAGGTAGTAGGTTAAACGTGCAACACATCCCCTTTGCGCAGCCAGATTCATTCGGAGGAAGATCGAGGCAATCAGAAAGCCGAGAGGAGAGTCGACAATCATCAAGACTGACCTTATTATAGGGACGACAGAAAAAGAAGAGAGAGTAAAATAGGCCCGACCCAACGGACCAATCAAAGGCGGACATCAAACGACATAGTGTCGGCCTTGGTTCCCATGCCCCGACGAGCGTGTGTACCAAGTCCTCTCATACGCGATGGATCGGGAAGCAAGTGCTTTATCTGTGGTGGTCATGGGCGCTCCAGCGCACTTGGCACACTCTACCTGGCATCCTTGGTCTCGAAGAGGTGGCGAGTTTTGCGAGGTATATCGATCAAAACCTACGCGCATCCCGGGATTTGAGCCTACCGGGGAGGCGAGCGCACGCTGATCGGGCAGTGATAGCAATCCAGGCCGTCGCGTGGCAACCGTCTACTTTGGGTTGATTGTCATCCTTTGGATTGGGAGGGTGTGAAAACACCCGTCCGAGGTACATGCATACACAACTACATGTCTATACACACACACACACATACATACATACGTATGGCATGGTCTAGGCAATATGCGAAGGGTCCCGACGTGATTAGCCGGGCGCTGACATCCCCTTTCCCTTGCTAATAAGAGACCTTTTTATATCCTCAAGAATGTTGGGCTAATCTGAGCTTTCAGGGGCGGCACTGGCGTCCGACAAAATCGTTTCTCGGTGCCCTATCATTTCGTCGCGATAGAACGAGGCATATAGAGAGCTGTTCCAGAGCAAGGCACCGGCATGTTCGCCCCCATGTTTTCACGATGGCGCAGTCGGAGGGATCTCTTCCCGAGTGGGCGATGATAGTGGTGAGCGGGGAGAAAACCAGGGCAAATTCGACGTCCTCAACATCATACTGCTCCGCTAGGGTGGCCAGGAACTAGCGCCGGTCCACCAACTTTTCCCGAGTCCATTTACCGAGTCTTTCAGGGAAGATGAGGGAAGTAGCGTCGAAGGTGATTAACATTCGTATTATACAGGAGAGGGCGGGTTCCTCCTATGGTGATCTTCGAATATCCGTTCTGCTCCCTCCGGGAAGCCATATTGAAGAGACGAACCATGCGGCGCCAGGGACGGAAACAGGAACTCGAACCTACCCCTCCTTTTTCCCCTTCTTCGTTCTTTAAACCAGGTGAAATTTCGGGACTGGGACGATGAACGACGATGGTACAACGGCAAGATAATCACCAAGTATGGGTGAGAAACAACGTTCTTACACAATATGCAAAGACTCGGTGCAAGAGTTTGCTTCACAGAGTAGATTGATCGGGATATCGCCAACAACGCGCTAGTCACTAGTTCTAATGGTAAGCATGCTTTCCTCTTGGATAGTGGCGAGAGGACCTTACACTCATACTGCTGTGGGTGTCGATACAGCAGCGTTAATAACGTTTCAACGTCTAAACTTCTGGTTGAGGGGGATGTGGCCAACGAAAATAGAAAAAGAAGCAGCTACATCTCCTTGATCTGATGGCGAATTTGCCGAGTGGCCATACTGGGAATTTGTTCTGCTTATTGATGCTGGATTACATGCCTCACCTCATCCGCATCGAAGGAGTATAATCCCCTTAGCTGTATAATCCCCTCCACCCCTCCTGGCGGATAAAACGCGAAGTATTCATATAGCACCATTCTCTATTGCGTAGTCTCGTGATGCGTGAAGGAGGTATAATAGGACTTTATGTATCCTTCTCCGTTCGCCCATATTGGGCAGCAGAGCACAGCATGATGTTCGACGAGCCTCCAAGACACTACATTTTCCTTCCATCGCTCTTCTTTTCTGCCCACTTTCTCTGCTTTCTCTGGCGTCTTTAATCAAGACCACACCATCTATAGATCGCGGGAGGCTCTCCATCTCGAATTTCCCGTGGTAGCATCCTGTTGTAGCGAAGGTAGGTGAGCGGCGGCCACGCGGCGGTGTTGCCGAACTCACCAGCCCGCAAGCGAAGGACACAGCAGGCTGCAGGCCAAAGTTGGACCCATGTAGAATTTCGCGCTGCTCTCGCCACTCAAGTTGGAAAGCTGTATATGGGGGATGCTCGATAGCGTCGCCACGCCTAGTAGGCGGCTTTTCCGCAGCATAATTCCGCGTCGGACCATGGCCTATTATTTAGAGTGCAAACCGGAGAACCCGGAGGGGTCAGCGCGAGATATTGCATTGAAGAAAAAGGCCGGCGAGACGGCGAAGCGGGAGCAGAGACTACCACATTTAGAGATACGTCGGTAGTTGGCGGTGCGCTGGACAGTCTGGTGTTATTATTTACCCTTGGTGAGAGGTTGATTGTCTTTGTGACCATGTCGTCACGTATTCACGTCCCCCTCCCCTTGTTCTTGGCATTCTTTCAACGCACCTGCGCTCAACGATAGTGACGCAAGCCAACTTGCCCGTTTCGATGTGTTCTTTTTCAAGTTCTTTTTCTTCGGCGGGCTCATGTGCGTTGACTCGGGACTCCACTTCGGACGACCAACTTCAACTGTTTCCCCTCGTCATTTCCTTTGTCGTTTTCGCTTCAGGCAAGTGCCACTGCCAGACCGACGCTGCAAAGGGCAAAGGATCCACAGCCCCGCCAACGATGAGACCCGAGCCGGTCCCGTCCCCACGTCTCCACGCACAATCGCCGCCAAGACGCGTCAATCGGTCGCCAAAACGGAAAGCACCCACTTTTCCCTTTCCCTTTTCCCTTTCGACTCTCTCTCAAGTCCCATCGCCGACTCGACTCGCTGGCCAATCACGGGCCTCGGCTGCGACACAAGTTCATCGTGACAGACAAGGGGAGGAGCTGGCGATCAATGACTTGTGAAAAACCTCCGAATCATCCCTAGGATTCCGCGCGCTAAGAATGGCACTTGCGGTTCGATTCTAGGAATAACTTCTCTCACCCCTGCACACGTGCGTGCTTGACTGGGAGGAGTTTCAATATGCTGCTTTTGCATAATCTTAATATTTGGGGCTTGAAACGGCGCCGCCAGGGGTCCACTGCCATTCTGAGAGTTGCCCGATTGTGCGTGCGGGTGCAACCCTCCGGCTCCATCGTAATCTTAAAGTCTTCTTCGTCATTAGGAGCCAGGAGCGTGGGGGAAACTTGTGAAAGCATACGAATAAGGATAAAAATCATGCGAGCCCTCTCATGCCAATCCCTTGATGGGATGTGTGCTTCCTGGACAGGCGCGTTATTTTGTGCCCAAGTTGAAAGACCCTGCATCGTGAACCTTCAGACTACCACTACGATGAAGTCTTCCCCCAGCTCGCGACGTTGCTCGTGGTCGCTGCGCAGTCGTGGCGCGTGTCGGCCGCCGTAGAGCTCCAGCTGAACGTGTCCGCCCTCACCACCACTGTCGAGTCTGACTGGACGGGCGTCTACTACTCTGACGCGGCCCCTCTCCTGCTTGGCAACGACGGCGGAACCTCGACCGGGGGCTTTCATGCCTGGAACCTGGACGACGAAACCCCCTCTCCGTGGCTGATTCCGTTGTCGCCGGCAGGACTAAGCTGCTCGCCACCGCGTACGGCGTGGCCGGCAACGACTGGGTGTTTTCCATCGCTCAGCCAGACTCTATCCTTCGGGCTTTCAGCCTACCTGAGTTGACGGAAGCGGAGTCGGCGCAGATCAAAGTCTTGGGTGATTGGTCGGCCCTGTGCTCGTGGAAGAGCAAAGGAGGAACAACTATGTGTACCTGTTTGGCAAGGGTCAAGCGGTGCAGCTGTTGGCTCGAAAGGCGGGCTCGACGGTGGAGTTGGTAGAGGTACGGTTGATCCGTCCTGAGACATAAAATCTATGATGATAGCCCAGCACCACTTTGGGCGACTTGCAGAACTGGCAGTGACTGACTGTACTTGTATTAGGTTCAAACATTTACGGTTCCTTTTGAGGCGTCCGGATGTGCTTCCTCCGCCTCCGAAAGCCGCATGTATCTATCAACAGACGACGACAAGGGCGTATATTTCTTCGACCTCGCCGAGTCTGTCGATTCCCCTCAAATTTCCAAGCTTGGCGAGGCCGAAGACGATGTCACCGGCCTGGCCGTCTACGCTTCCTCGCGGGGCAGCGCCGACTACCTCTTCGTGGCGCAGGAGAGCGTCATCGGAGTGTACGACCAGTCCTTTGAGTTGGTTGGCACTCTTGCCCTAGTCGGGCTAGAGGATATCGAAATCCAGGGTCTAAGCATTTACCAAGCCCCCACGGAAAAGTACGCCGAGGGCGCCGTGGTGTACGCCATCGAAGCGGACGGCGATGTTGCAGGCTTCGGCGTCAGCTCCCTGGAAAACGTCTTTGAGCAGCTTGGAATCGCCAGCAACACCGCTCACGACCCCCGTGGCCAGGACCACTGTGCGAGCCTCTCTCCCATCTGCAAACAGTGCTCCGGCAACGGATTCTGCAGCAAGGGCTCCGATGTCTGCGCCTGCTTCGCAGGATTCGCTGGAAGCACCTGCGACCAGTTCCAGTGCACCGACAACTGCTCCGGCCACGGCGAGTGCGTGGGCGCCAACGAGTGCGCGTGCGATGCCGGCTGGGGCGGCCTCCACTGCTCCTTTATCGTGGTTGAGGCAACGTACGAGACCGAGGCCAATGGTGGTGATGGAGATGATCCGGCCATTTGGATTTCACCCGAGGCGCCGGAAAAGTCCCGCATCATTACTACCACCAAGTCAACCGCCGGTGCCGGGCTGGGTGTCTTCGACTTGACCGGGAAGCTACTGCAGACTATTTACGCGGGCGAGCCTAACAACGTGGACGTTATCTACAACTTCCAGGCCGGCGAGCGCACCATTGATCTTGCTTTTGCTGCCTGTAGGGCCGATGATACTCTGTGGTAAGTGAAATGTGATCATGTCGTTGGAAAAGATTGTTGGCCGATCTCAACGCTGGTGAAGCCAACATGAAATGCATTTCTTCATACTAACCAGGAATACTATAGTTTGTTTGAAATAATTTCCAATGGGACTCTAACTGAAATCCCCGGCGGCATCCAGCCCACCGTAGACGACTACTCCGTGTACGGCTCCTGCGTCTACCGATCCCGCACAACGGGCAAGCAGTACCTCTTCGTCAACGAAAAGTCGGCCCGCTACTTCCAGTATGAGCTGTCTTCCACCGCCAACGGCACCTTGGAGACGACCCTGGTCCGCGACTTCGTCGGCGGCTCGGGCGGGCAAGTAGAGGGTTGCGTCACCGACGAGGACAACGGATGGATTTTCCTCGGCGAGGAGCCCTCGGCCCTCTGGCGGTACGACGCCGAGCCCGATTCTGAAGAGCCTGGTGTGCGCGTCGCGTACGTGGGCGACGGTCTCCTCAACGCGGATGTGGAGGGCGTCACTCTCGTGCCGGGAAAGACGGCCGACGAGGGCTTCGTGCTCGTGTCCACCCAGGGTGTGAGCGCCTACAACATCTACCGCCGTGCTGCGCCCCACGCGTATGTCGGTACCTTCACTATTGCGCGCTCCGCCGACGGGCAGATTGATGCCGTTTCTAATACGGACGGCATCGCGGCCGTGGGCAATGCCCTTGGGCCCGACTTCCCCCACGGCCTCGTGGTTGTACACGACGACTCCAACGAGTTGCCCGGCGGCGGCACGAGCGACGAGTCGAGCTTCAAGCTGGTGAGTCTGGAGAGTATTCTGGGCGCGGAGCCTCTCGCGAGCCTGGGTCTTTTGGACGAGGTGGATGCGGAGTGGGACCCGAGGGCGGAGAGGGTTTGATGAGAGAGTGACGGGCGGGGAGAGGAACGTGGGAAAACGATGGAATGAAGAATTTTGATAAACGCTTTGGTATTTTATTTTCTACCGAGTTCCCATGGACTACATCAACGTGTGTAATAAAGAAATAGTAATCGTAATAAAGAAAGCCACGTCCAAGACAACAGCATTAGAAGAGGGCTACACCCTACCCGCGCGAAAACTGCCCTCCCACGTCGCCATTACACCAACCCGTATTCCTCAGGTTCTCGTAAAATGAACTTGCAAGGAACAGACAAGAGACAATAAAGGAACAAGAAAAGAAAAGAAAGGTTCGACACAATGTGCCCGGTGATATCAAAACTAGGGTTGACAAAAAGAAGGAAAGAAAGAAAGAAATTGACAGAAAAGAGAATCAGATAACCAAAAGATCCATTGCACTCCGCCTTGTCTTTGCGTTCTAATCTAGATAAAGCTTGATCACGTCGGAAGGGCGGCCATACTGCGCAACAGTCACATACTTCTTACCACCCCCAGCCGACACTGTAACGTTGGCGTGGTAGCCACCACACCCGGACTGGCCCACGCCATCGACACTGACGCCGGAACACCCCTTGACGATGAGGTGATCCCCATAGCCGGGACCGAGCGGGTTTCCGCAAACGTCGCGGGGTAAAACGTAATGGTCCTCGCGTCGCCGTACCCACCTCCGGGGTTCTTGTCCACCTGGTAATCGCACTGGGATTGAAGACGGGGATGGACGGTAATGGTCTGCTGGGCCTCGCGGCGCACGCAAGTCTCCTTGCCGCACGACGAGGTTTGGCACAGGGTAAAGTACGCGTGCAGCTGGTACTCGCCGTCGAACTGGGTGTAGTCGGCGGGCAGGGCAACCTCCCAGTAGTGGTCGCCGGCGGTGGTGTCGCCGTTGGTGCCGTCGTCGAAGAGGCGGAAGGACCGCGTCTCTGTGGGGATGGCGTCGGGGCCGAGTGAAGCGGCGGCCAAACCTCTGGCGTCGAGGTCGTCGGCGTTGGCTGGCAGCGCGCTTCCTGGCGCGGCGCGGGAGGCGTCGTAGAGGAGCTTGGAGATGCTGGCGAGGGGCCGGGTGATGGTGACGGAGGCTTCGACGCGGCTGTATCCGCAGTCGGGTCTGTGGGTGGCGGGGATGTGGAAGGTTGGGTGGAGGGGCTCCATGGTGTAGGTGTTGTTGCGGTAGAGGAAGGGCTTGACCTTGCTCACGGAGCGGGTGAGGACGGTGATGAAGTACTCTTCGTCTACACCTACATCACCGATGGCGAGAACAGCTGCCGCACCACCGTCAAAGACAGCCTGAACGGTAGTGCCTGTCGAGTTGCCGCCCTGCGCGGGCCGAATCTCAAACGAGCCATGCACGGTGCCGTTAGCCGGCGACAGGCTCGAGGTGCCGTCGAGGAGCTGCGAGGAGCGGGGCGAGATGGACTTGAAATCCGTGAGGCGGCCGCGCACGGCTCCCGCGCAGTTGAGGATCTTGGCGGCGGCCTCGGTGTCGCGATTATCGCTGACGATGCTCTTGAACCGGCGCTGGCAGAGGGCGTCGGCGAGCGAGGCGTCGTAGGGCTGCTTATCGCGGGCGTACTGCGAGCTGTAGACGAGCAGGTCAAATGTTTGCTTGCTCCGGAGGACGCGGTCCAGCTCCGTGGCGTTAACGCGCACAATCTCACCGGCTAGCAGGGGCTGGGAGTAGACGGCGGCGGAGTACGGGGAGACGTGGTCGGCGAAGAGATCGCTGCCCTCGCGCACGTCGTCGTAGTACAGGGTGCGGTTGCAGCCGCCGTGGCAGAGGGCGGCGATTTCGTTCTTGACGAGGGCGGTGCCGGCGTCGACGTCGTCAAAGGACTGCGCGGTGAAGCCGTTGACGAAATTGTGGACGGGGCGCACGGCGCGGGCGGTCCAGGGCCCGTCCTGCTCGCCGAGATGGGGGAGGTTGAGGCGGACAATGTGCCACGACTGGCCGACCTTGCTCTCGACGCCGGAGGCTGCGTCGCTCAGATCGACGACGCTGCCGGAGGGCGAGGTGATGGAGAGGCGGAGACGGTTAGCGGAGGTGGAGTTGCGCCAGCTGAGGACGAAGACGAGCTTTTGGTCGGAGACGGACTGGTGTACCGTGGGCGGGGAGATGGTCTCGTTGTGGGGGAGGATGGCCAGGGGTCCTCGCCGACAAAGGTGTCGAAGATGTTGGCGAAGCAGAAGACGAAGAACTTGCGCAGCTCGAGGTCATCGGGGGTGCTGATGTGGATGCCACCCTGCTGCTCCGTGAGGCTCTGGAGCTTGGCGCCGTCTAGCTGGCTGGCGGAGCCGAAGCCCACGGAGCAGACGTGGGTGTCGCCGAGAGCGGGGATGGCGCTGGCGATAGTCGGAGACGAATTCTCCATGCCGTCGCTGAGGAGGAGGATGGCCTTTCTCTCCCGGGAGCCGGCGGCGATGAGGTCCTGGGCCTTGATCAGACCGTCGCCGATGCTGGTGGTGCCCGAGGCCGAGAGCCCGGCCAAAGCCTGCTGCAAGGCGGCGGGGGCGTTGGCGACGCTGGTCAGGGGCATGTCGGCGGGGTGCTGGCGCGGGTGGAAAAGGACACCATGCCGAGCTGGTGGTTGGAGCCGTCCTCGAGGAGGTCGGCGAAGAGGGCGGCGGCGGTCTTGGCGGCCTCGAGCTTGGTGCCGCCGCGGGGACCGGCTGGACATGCTGCCGGAGCGGTCGAGGACGATGGCGATGTCGGTGGGCTTGTGAGTGCGCCAGGCGTCCTGGATATCGTCAAAGATGTGGTGGTAGCGGTAGAAGATGGGGTCCCGCGGTGAGATGGCCGGGCAGGCCATGTCTCCGCACAGGGCGGGGCTCGACTCGACGCTGCAGCCAGGGCCGCACCCGCCGGCGGAGGAGATGGAGCCGTGGTTCACGTTGTGCCAGCCGACAATGTCCTCGGCGATCTTATTCACGGTGGGGAAGGTGTCGAGCCTCCCGCCGACGGCGGGGACGCGAAAGTCGTTGGAGAGCGGGGTACAGCGGTCGCAGGGGGCGTTTTGGGACGGGTGCCGTGGGCCGGGGGCACGCGGGCGCCGGGGCCGGCTTCCCAGCTCTGGATGTAGGGCTCGCCGATGGAGGCTAGGTAGCGGTCGTAGCCCTGCAGGAACTGCTTGTGGAAGCCGAAGAAGCGGCGGCCCCAGTTGAAGCTGCTGCGGTCCGGGTTCGTGCAGTGCCAGTTGCGGTGGAACTGGAGAATGGTTTGCGGGTTGGGGGCCGGTCCGCCGCATGCCCAGGGTGTGGGGGTCAGGCCGTCGATGTCGGAGACGGGGATCCGGAGCCAGTTGGCGGTGTCTATTTCGTGGTCGGGGTCGCCGTAGGCGAGGCCGACCAAAGTAGGCCGAGGAAGAAGCGATGCATGGTTGGAGTAGATTGGGATAGGTGATGTTGGATATGCAAGGGAACTAATGGGCTCTCTTTTCCTAGGGTTCTTCTTCCTCTTTTCCCAGCTGCTATTGAAAGTTGCCCTTCTTACTAGGTGCAAGGTAGTTGCTGCCTTGCTTCTAACTTAAGATGGATGGGAGGATCATACAGCCTTATATAATGTTGTGAACCTTGGAGAGGTTTGAGGATGAAGGCATCGTTGACACCCAATTATCACTCCGCCGACTGCACTTCTCCTCTTCAACGTTGCCTAATACCCTAGTTGGATACGAACGAGGAACTGACCAGGATATGGCACTGCCTGCCATGTCTTTGCTGGAGCCAAGAGTCGAACTGGGAGCGAAAAGAACAACAAAAGGCAGACGATTTCACAGATGACAGTCTAGGAATGAGATAGCATCATGCTTGGCGAAGCTAACAGGGCCATTTCCCACCCCCTCTAGGAAGACAAGAAGCATCACGATACCACGACAGCCGACACACCGACATGTTCAAGGTTCTAAAGGTGGTTGCGCAGGAGTATGTCACCCACAGCTCGTTCTTGCTAGAGCAGTGGAATTCCTTGTCTTTTTTCCCAGCCCTCTCAGCTACCAGCTTTTTTTTTTTTGCTTGTAGGGGCGAAGGGCAGAGTCCTCAAGTGGGCTGTGTCGAGTCCTTTGCTTGCTTGGCGGCGGGACCACTAGGAGGCGGGCGAATTGTCATCGTGGACGATGACCTCTCGCCATGTTACCTGGGAAGAGCAGGTGGTCATGGCTGTCACCCCAAACCCAAACCCGAGTCCAAGCCCAAACCAAGATGTGCCATGAAGGTGGGGTAGGACTGGTGACGGAAAGGGAAGGGCTAGACTGCAGGCGGCTTTCGCGGCGGGAATGTGCAGTCGAGGTTTAAACTCTACATGTTGCTCGCAGGAGCGAATACTGCGGAACCGCCGCCAGTCGAGGAGAACAAGGGTCACAGAAGGTCGAGGCACAGACTCAGTGACATTGAAATAAAGTTGTGGGGCCATTGCATCGGCTCCGTAAAGAGACTTGTGCACACTGTGTATCCACCCGTCTATATATCTTTCGTTGGTCTCTTCACCACTTGTCTAGCATGAAAGGTTTCTCCAGCGCGGTTCCATTTGGATTTCGGTAAAAGGTAGGAGAATGTGGAAAAAAGAAAAAAGAGAAAGAATAGAGAAAATTCTAAGTTTGTTCCACTCAGAATAAGCTGGGGTGATTATTTTCGCCAAGGTTGTCTGCAACCAACACTCGTGGATCACTCCCGCGGTCCCCGCTCGAGAAGAGGGCAACGCCACCGCATGCGATTCCATTTTTACCACCCTCAGTGCCGACACTTGTCTGCGCGAGAACGAAACCCGCATGTTGGCAGCTGCACTCGCTTCTCGAACGAAATCCCAACCCAGGAATAAGAAGAGTGCCGGTGACGGTGACGGTCGGTGACATGTCCGGATAGTCCCCGCGGGGAGCTGCCTGAAGCCCTCGCGTCCAATCACGTTCGAGGGTGCTGAAGACTTGCTGGCATGAGGCGGTGGCTCAGGTCTTTTCAGCTCCATTCCTTCCCAACTTGGCTCTCGATAGGGATTGGGAGGAGGGGGCTGTCTAGTCTACTAAATGTTAGGCTTGGGACAAGCAGTGGTTACTTCGAAGATGAGCATCTCATCAACGTGGGCTCTAAACATCGTCACCCAAGTCTGGTTTTCCTTCTAGACTTGGGCCTCATGCACATGCATTTGTTTGCTATTTATAGAGTCGTCATGTAGTATGAAGATTATTGGCACATGAAACGTTTTTTGTTCGTTTTCCTGTTGCAACGCAAGGGACTAAACTGCAAACAGGCTAACCCAGAGCCAGCATCGCCTTGCCTCGTCTTGCCTCACATCAGAGTAGATGGCCAATCTTAGGTCCTTGACAAGAAGTCTAAGCCCACATTGTGTTATTCTTAGGACAGTCTGTAGCTTGTTTGCATGTCGGGAAAGAAGCAAGGCTAGATCTGGTCTAGCAGCCTTGAGACGCCACTTGCTTGAGCTGAGACTCTGGCTTCCTTTTTTGGTTTCTTCCCCTTTCTGCCCAATGGTATAGGTCGCTCTTCATTTACTTCTATGCTCTTGTGTTCTTTTGGCTCAAACGGTACAAGACATTGGCCGCAACTCAGGTTGTGAATCAAAGCTCCACGGCTTCCCAATGTGAGGGGTCAAAGTAAGCGTCCACACATACATGCGAGGACCCAGATGACGGTCCCTCAGCCTCTGCTTCCGGGCGCACTCCTCACAATCCATATTTTCCACCCTGAGCCGGGCCCATTCATGCCCACACAAGGGACCCACGTGAGGCCAGTGATTGGGGAGACCCCGCCAACTCATCCTCTGGACCGGGTTGCCCTGGGTCGAGAGGTAGGTGCACCCATCCGCCCGGGGCCCCAGGGGAAACCGCCAGGTGCGGGCGGCCCAGTCGGCAATAATCTCCATCTCCGCCCTTTCATCCTCGCTTATCTCCAAGTCGACGGTCAGAACCTTGAGGTTCGGCATGTGCAGAAACGAAAGTCCCCACGCCAAACGCTTAAACGGGAAGGGCGGCGCCCAGTCATAGTCGGGTCGTTCCGGCGCGGCATCGTAGCCAAACTCGGCGCTGCGGGCCAGGAAGAGGGACGGATTCGACTGAATATCGCAGTCAAAAGGGTCCAACCACAGGTTTTGGGGGACTGCTGAACCAGAACCGGCCACGGACGGTAAGGCGAAACTGTTCCACGCGCGCAAACAGGGGTTGGACTGCGGTAGGGGCTGCGGGGGCGAATGCGGGTTCATCTCAAGCTCGCGGCAGAGCTGTTTCTCGACCCAAAACATGTACATGTAGAAGTGGATCCTGCGCGCCTGCTTCAGGCATTGCACGTGGTGCGGGTGCTCGCGGTTCCGCTGCTGCTCTGCGGTGAGGACGGGTCCTCGGCAATACCAGGCCCGCCACACGACGTTGTCGGGGACTTGGTGGTGGGCTTCCGCGTACGCGCGGCGGCAGGTCCGCAGGAAAGAGGTGTGTATCCTTGACGAGTGGCCGCCGCCGGGCCTCTCCACGTCCGAGGCCCGGTATACTTCGGGGTCTTCTCCCCTCTCTATAAAGTCAGCCGCTTGGATATTGTTGTTAAAGTCGCCCCAGTTCTCTGGATCGTACTCCGGATCTTCCTCCTCCTCCTCGTCAGACGCTAGGCTAGAGGAATCCTCTCCCGAGCCTGGTTCATATTCCTCATCTGTGCGGTAGTTTGCGTCGTCACCCCCGCTACCACTCGTGCTTGAGGGTCTCGGGGTGAGCCCTCAGATGTATCAGGGCCAGGTTCAAGGCAGCCACTCTGCGGTGTTGAACTGCGACTATACGTATGCGCGTTATCTTCAACGGCTCCCCCAGCATTGGGTTGTAAACAGGCGTCTGAAATGTCGTCCAAGGCGCCGTCATCATCCGGGTCGCCGTCGTGGTGATGGTGGATGCGGAAGTTATGGCTGGTCGAAACGAGACCTTCATCCATAAATACATACGCATAGATGAGGTTGCGGATTTCGGGGGCTAGCTGAAAAAGGGGGCTTTGGGCCTGGGAATCAGCTTCCTTGGCTAGAATCGAAGATATTCCAAAGTCCATGGGTGCTATATATGCCTAGTGTAGAAGACGTGGGGTCGATGGTGATGAAGACGCCTGGCGTATTCCTGGATGGAATGGATCAATTCCCATCCACCGTCCATTTCCATAGATATTTGATCCGCAAGCCACAATGTACCCCGCCCCAGCTGTCTCGAGTTCGTGGCCACAGGGGAAGTTAAAAGAAGAACTGGTATCTCCCTTTTGGGGATAAATACTCAATTCAGAAAATGACTACCTGAACTTAAATTTTTTACACCTTTTCGCTTTTTTCCCGTTTCTTCCTTCTTTCTTTTGTTTTCTATTGTTCCTTTTTTTTTTTTTACTCCTAGGCATGGACGCTATCGGGCCTAACTATCAAGCTCACGATTTGTAATTCAGACAAAGGGCTAGACACTATCGTGGACGGCTTGATTACATGTCTATGCTAATTTCCTTCGTAGGCCGCGAAACAGACTCTTCAATGTTGACATCTTTCGATGTGCGAAAGAAACTGCGCTGATCAAACTGGTAGCTTAGCCGTCTAGAGCGTCGTGAACACGGATCGGTACTCTAGATCTATCGAAATTCACAAAACAACATAGTTAGTACGAAAATAAAAATTGATTCACAGATATCTTGATATATAGCTAATAGAGGGTAATAGAAGGCTAAAAGAAACCGGCTCCAGCCCCTCTCAGCTCTACGCCTGCCAGACAGCGGGGCCCGGAGGCTGGTAAGAATCAGGGCCGACAGATCCGAGGTTGACGAGGATGCCCGGGTCGTTGGACGAGTACGCGCCGGGGAAGGCCACTAGAGGGGCCGGGGACGCGCTACCTCCACCCGTGATTTCAATCTGCGAGCACGAGAGGTAGAACTGCGCCTTGTTAGGCTGCATGGCCATGTGGAGGGCGATGTGCTCGACGCGGAGGAGGTACTCTCCCGAGGGGATGCTGTCGGGGATGGTCGCGTTGGTTGTCACGTATTCATCTAGAAAGAGAGCATAACAGTCAGAAAAGTTCAAGAAAAAGGAGAAAACACTGGCAAGAAAGCCCAGTATTATTCTACTAGTTCTCCCATCAACGCCCTTGGCACTTGGACCTAGTCGTCGAAAAGACTTACTCTGGCCGGGCCAAGTGAGCTGGCTGTTGGCAATCATGGGCATCTCCGTGTGGAACTTGAACCACACCGCGCCGGAGCCGTCCCACGTCTTGGCCGACTGGCCCGCCGGCACCTTGGCGAGGTAGTACTGCGTCGGTCCGGGGTGGTTGACCTGCTGCGTCGAGATGTAGTGGATCGTCGAACCGGCCGCGACCGTCGCCACGTTGGGCGCGTTCTGCGCCTGGTAGCAGCGGATGTCCGCCATGGTCGGGTTCTCGATGCCTTGCTTGCTCTGCGCGTTCTTGGTCATTCGCGTCACGGACCAGTCCGCCTCCTCGGGCACCCCGTTGACCACGAGTCGGGGAAAGTGTCTGGTCGAAAGCGGGAGTAGGTTAGCAAACGAGTCCGCCTCAGGGTAAAGGTAAAGTTGGTGCTGAAAATGGTGATCTTGATCCCACCACTCCCCATTCGTCTTCTTCTCCTTTCCTTCTCTCCCACGAAATGTGGAAATCCCTTCTTCTATCAAGTATGTCAACGCGGAAGAATACGTACAATGGGCCTGGGCCGCCGCGGCCGCGAGCAGGAGACAAGCAAAGGACTTCATCTTTGCCAGCTTTTTATAGGTAAACAGCCGGTGCACTAGATTCGTTACGATCGCGGGCTTTGGAAAAGAACGTGTTGGGTATATAAACCGTGGCAAAGGTCGTGAAGCTACGGGGTAAATGGCGTGGGTGGCGCCCCCATTATATGTACCAGTATCACTCTCTATCAGAAACAGCTTCCCAGGTCAGTCTCCTGGCAAGATTGCACCACAAAGTGGGTGTAATGTAAGACCATGGAATGGTGGGAAGAAATGGCGGGGAGAGTGAAAATAAATTAATAGCCGCCCGGCATCTCGAATCGGCCTCCATATGACCTGGACTGTTGTGCATGCTCTTTATATAAAATTCGTCCTATGCGCTCACTTGAGTGGTCCCGCCCGGGACTATAGTCGAGGTGGGGATTTCCATCAATTCTCTTAATATAATCAAATCCCTGTCTTAGTGCGCAAGCCCCCATGTTTAATCAATCCTCCTCGGCATATGTACCCGCATTGGATCGATATTTGCATTGATCGGTGGGCTGGAGAGGTATATTAAATGGCAGTATAAGACCAAGATCTCGTTCATCATTAGACTGCATCACCAATGCGGGATGTGAGCATGTCGTAGGTAGCCAGCTAACTGTGCACGAGATGGGAACAAGAGATCACCACATGTAGGGTCGTATCACTCACCAAAGCGCGTACTATTCCCACTCTCCGGCAACATCCGGCAGTTGGAAAGAAAAAAGAGTATAGTGACAAAAGTCTATACTCGCTGTGAAAGAAAACATACAACCCTGCATGGACTTTACCGGTACTACTTGGATTCTGGCTGCCATTCAAGGATTGGCCTTGGCCGCTGGTCCCATCCGATCCGTTAATGTTTCGATGGAGCTGGCGCTCAAGAACGACCTGCAGAAAGGGGCAAAGACAGTATTGTAAAGGCCCTGGCCTTTTGTTCGAGAGTTCCCTACTCTCTACCTTCTTCGCCTCCCATCCCTCTATCGAAATTCCCTATCTCTATGGCCTGCTTAGTAGTGTCTAACGTACAAATGGGCCGTGGTATTGCTTATCTGGCGATTCCGTTGCGCGGCGGGCTAGGGTTAACAGGGTAGAATGTTCGAAAACCAATGGCTTCCCAGAGCCCACCTTCTGCCAGGGGTAAGAAGAAAACGAGGGCGCAGCTATTAGTTCAAATCTCATTTACCACTGTCTTCGTCTTCTAAGCAAGCCTTGCGAAGCAGACGTATGATTGTATCGCACCCAGCCCAGAAAGCGAGATGAAGCGGTGCCCACATCTCATTATTCTAGGCTTTAGCGTCTGACCATGACGCGAGAAAAGCTGTTTCACGACTGAGTTGTTCCAATCCCGTATGAGAAGCCTAGTCAAGAGGTGTCATCATTAGTGTTGATATCCGCCCCAGCCGCGAGGAGCTTCTGCACGATCACATTGTGGCCGTGTTCAGAAGCGGCATGAAGAGGTGTCATCGCATTCCCATCCTTAGCGTTGATATCCGCCCCAGCTGCGAGGAGCTGCCGCACGATCACATCATAGCCGCGTTCAGAAGCAATATGAAGAGGTGTCGTCGCACCCCCATCCTTAGCGTTGATATCCGCCCCAGCTGCTATGAGCTGCTGCACGATCACATCTTCGCCGTGTCCAGAAGCCTCATGAAGAGGTGTTCTTTTCCATGTATCCTTAGTGTTGACATCCGCCCCAGCTGCGAGGAGCTGCTGCACGACCACATCGTGGCCGCGTTGAGAAGCAATATGAAGAGGTGTCGTCGCATTCCCATCCATAGCGTTGATATCCGCCCCAGCTGCTAGGAACTGCTGCACGATCACATCGTCGCCCTGTCCAGAAGCCTCATGAAGAGGTGTTCTTTTCCATGTATCCCTAGTGTTGACATCCGCCCCAGCTGCAAGGAGCTTCTGTACGATCACATCATGGCGGTGTTCAGAAGCAGTATGAAGAGGTGTCATCGCATTCTTATCCTTAGCGTTTACATCCGCCCCAGCTGCGAGGAGCTTCTGCACGATCACATTGTGGCCGTGTTCAGAAGCGGCATGAAGAGGTGTCATCGCATTCCCATCCTTAGCGTCGATATCCGCCCCAGCTGCGAGGAGCTGCCGCACGATCACATCATAGCCGCTTTCAGAAGAAGTATAAAGAGGTGTCATCGCATTCCAATCCTTAGTGTTGACATCCGCCCCAGCTGCGAGGAGCTGCTGCACGATCACATCATGGCTGTGTTTAGAAGCGGTATGAAGAGGTGTCATATTGGCCCAATCCTTAGCGTCAACGCTAGCCCCAGCTGCGAGGAGCTGCTGCACGATCACATCGTGGCCGTGTTCAGAAGCGGTATGAAGAGGTGTCATCGCATTCCAATCCTTAGCGTCGATATCCGCCCCAGCTGCGAGGAGCTGCTGCACGATCACATCGTAGCCGTGTTCAGAAGCCTTGTGAAGAGGTCTCCACCTAGTGTGAGTCCAGGTGTTGGGGTCTGCCCCATTCTCAAGAAGCTTCTGCGTGACTAAATCATGGCCGTTCATAGAAGCCAAGTGAAGCGGTGTCATCCCATCCCCATCTTTGGCGTGGAGATCAGCTCCAGTTTCGTGGCGTTCTGTAATTGCTCCCACTATGCCAAAATGCGCGACCATGTGAAAAGCGGTTCTATGTTCAGGGAAATCCTGGCTCCAGTCTCTAGATACTGTCCACCTTTTGGGATGTACATGTAGTGCTTGGGTGGCTGCTTCCATCAAGGTGGGACTCTTCAGGAACCGGGCAATTTCTTCACTTGATCCAGATATTGAGGCTTGCCGGGCGTGATCTCCCAGTATCGTGCCGCGTAGTCGTACAGAGGGTTGTCTTCCAACCGCGACCTGAACTTATGGTTTGTATCGCATGCCCCTTCCTTAAACTTTTCAAACGAAAGGTACGTGATGCAAATCTTTGCGATCTCCTTTTGCGCTACTGGAAATAGTTTTTCCTGGGCCTGCTGGAAGTACTCTTGCGCTGTGAAGTGAACTAGTCGGATAATGGAACTTTCTTCGTCTATCGTGACTAAACCCGCACATACTGCCACCATGTCGTCAATCTGTACAAGGTCGCCTTTGTCCAGTTCTGAGTCGCCAGCATCGACCGTGACAGCATGCTGGAGTTCGGTAGGAGTGAGCGGCCGTTGAGCGCGTGTGATCCACGATAAGACTTGATTGGCTAAATCTAGGCGACTAGATTCCTGCGTATTGATTCTTTCCATTGCGTGGTCGTAAGCCTGGCTCAGTACCTGGAGCCTGTTGCTCTCCTCTGAGCCGGCGATTTGCCGTCGAAATCCGTTGAGCGCGGCCTTGAGTCTCTTAGGCTTAATCTCGCGCTGAAGCGACTCAAGGTAAATCTGTGCCAAAAGAAACCTGCTCATATTCGTCAATAACCTCATGCTCCTTAAGTTCTGTCCAGTACGCGAGGTACATACATTCCATCAACAGCGTCCGAGATGGTTTTCCTGATCTCCACTTGCATCGTTTTGATTATACGTGATTCTGATCGTTCGATGTGGCCGTCAAGGTATCTTTCCACATCCTCCCTGCTAGCACGAATTTCCAACCAGGAAGACTTGTCAAATTTATCAGTGATGTCGGGAATGAACCTGGAGGTCATGAAAAGATTCACTCCGCTATGTACTTGGAGGCTAAACATCCCCTCAATGAATCGCGGGCGGCATCCATTAGCTGTCTGGCACTCGTCCAAGGCGTCAACAAGGACAAATACTCTTGCAAAAGAAGAGGTGACTAGTCGCAGAGTTGCTAATAGCTCTTCAGCAGATGGCTGTGACCGCTTTTCCTTATGGCGCTCATAAAGCTCTGTGACCTCCTTCGGTAGAGAGAGCTGTGGCTCGATAAGTTGTTTAAGAAGGCTACTAAGCAAGTCTTCTAGCTTTTGTTCATTATGCTGCTTGTAGTTACAGTATACATAGGCAATGCCAACAGCAGGGTCGCTTCGATACTGGCTGATGAGGTGTTCGACCACGGTAGCGGTAAGAATCGTCTTACCTGCGCCTGGGATTCCGGGGCAGAAGAGCGTATTTGGGCCAATCTCCAGCCACTTTTCGAAATGCAGATGGTCCAAAAGCCATTGACCGGTTCCGGACTGCCGCCTGTTGATGAAGTCGATATGCTGCGATGGAGTTTGGTTGATCGGGGTGAGCCATTTGAGAATAAGTTCTCGCTTCTCTTTCTGCTCTTGGCTAAGCTGGTGTTCTCGTACTTCCCTCATTGTCTTGTCATTCTCGACAACTTTAGAATAAGTCTTTGCACCAAGAGAAATCGCATCAATTGCTGCTAGGTTATTCAGAGACTGGCATTGTCGTTGGAGCTTCTGAACTGCCTCCTGCGTCTTCTTGGCAGTGAACGCTCCCTTAAGGGCCTCCCAACTCTTTCGGCTGCTCTGAGCTCGTTTGTTCAAGTCTTCAACCATTTTCCTCAATTCGATTTCGCAGGCGGATAACATCAACTTAGCGGGGGTCTGCGAAGAGGACTGACTGCCAAGTTGTGATAGGATTGTCGAATGGCGGCCTTCAAACGCATCGACAAAATCCGGATTCTGGGTGATGTTCTTGTCAGTTTCTTGGAGAATCGTTCGGAGGGTTTGGAGTTCGAGAATGAATGATTTTGCATCTGACGGGGCGTCTTTCAAATCCAACCCAAACTGGACCGTCATTTGGATGAGCTGGGCCGCGACGCCAATGACGCCAATAATTCCAAACGGGTCTGCCATGATGTCTGCTGACTGAGGAGAATGGGATGAAAATGAGGGGTCTGTGTATCTTAGGCAGAGGGCTTGACTTTGATCTTTTATCGTTGGGCAGCTAGAGCCTGGTTAGATGGCGACCAACAACAAATCAGCCTCACTCATTCGAGTTGTACAAGATGACCTGGAACTCCTTGGAGCAAAGGGGCCTCCGCGAGATTTTAGCGACATCGGCTTCGTCTTACGCTGCAACCAACTAACGGATTTATACAGATCTTGGCCGGTTCTTTTGGCTTCTCAATACACCTTGCGCTATATTCGATACTGGATGCCTCATAGCAACTTTGGAGGAGTTATGTAAATGAAGCTTAGAGGGAAGGACAAGCATAGAAAATCAAAAGCAGCTCGGTTTATTCCTCATTAAACTCATCAATAACGCTCTGGGGCTTCGTGAACTGCCCCAGGGGAACGTATTTCAAGTGGCCGAACCCAAACGCCTCCGGGCCGCCAATCATGATGCCCCTCTCCGTTGACGTCCACCGATCGCTCGCAGCGATGCCCAGAACCACCACCAGCTGCCCGTACCTATACTCGGGCGTCCCAAGTGCCTCCCCGTTCTGCGCGTCGATGACGGCGACGAGGTCCGGCACAATGGCCAGGACATCTTCTTGACGCTCCTTGGCCCCTAGATCCGCGACACCACCGCTAGCAGGCGCATCCCCATCTCCACTCGCACCACCCGGCGGAAACGGCATGCGGATGGCGGCAATGTTCTCGTTCTTGAACGGAATCTTGACGAACCCGCGGAACTCGCCCGCGGTGGCCCCCTCCGCACCTCGCTCAGCGGCGCCCGAGTCGGCGTCCGGCTGCGTAATATCCATGCCCTCGATCACGCACTCACCATAAACGTGACCGAGCTTGAGCGTCCTCTCCACACGCACAATCTTACCCTTCCAGAGGACCCTAGCCCCTTCTTGTCCCCCGCACTCAGCGACAATGGCCTCAGCCACCTCGGACACACGCCCGGCCTCCCTCGCCCTCCGGACCCCCTCCCGATGCGCCAGGACTGCGAAATGGTATTCTCCACCACCCACCGCTTCGCCTCGGCCCCGGTAACGGGCGGGTCCGCGAACCCGACCTGCGAGCCCATCTCGCTCAGCGCCGCCCGCATGACGCGCTCCACGTGGGCGTCCGACGCCGCGCTCGTCATGCACACGACGTTGCCGTTGCCGTCGCTCATGGCGATGGGCGCCCAGATGGGCGACCGCTCGTTAAACACCACGGGCGTCGTCTGCCACTTGGTCGGGTACGCCCGCCCCATCCAGTCACCGTCCACCGCTGGTATGTTCATGCTGTCGCTCGCCCCGAGGATCATGCTTTGCAGCCCGTTGGCGCCCCCAATCTCCACTGTGATCATGTGCGTTGCTGGTGACCCCACCAATTTGTATAGCTCCCGCTGCGACTCCACCATTTCGTCCCCTGACAGCTTCTCGATGCCTACTGTTGGTGAGCCCGCTCCGCCACCGCTCCCGACTAGCGCATCATCGGGCAGGCTGCGGGGGCTGACGACGCGGACGATCGCGCCGGCGCGGAGCTTCTCCCGGAGCAGGATCATCTGCGAGTAGGGAGATCCGCCACCGCCGGTACCCAGGATGTAGCAGCCGATGCTGATGAAACTTAGGTCTGTCTCGTTAATGTACCACACCCCCTTCTTGACCGTTGGCTTGTAATTCGTTACGTCGATTTCGGGACGTGTGGCCTTTGCGTTGGAGGCTTGTGGCCCAGGCAAGTTACCGTGATTCGAAGCAGGTTCGTCGGGCTCATCTCCTGTAAGATCAACGGCGACATCCTCTGTGGGTGCAGAAGTTCGCGTAAAGTCAAACTCGCCGGCTGCCCTCACAATGAAGCGGGATTTATTGGCGACATACTGATAGATCATGGTTAGCTAGTCTAGCCTTTTCCAGGAAGCTTATAAAAGAAACTCACCGATAGCGGTACCTCTTCCACCTCGGCCACCTTTGCCGACGCAGGCAGCGCACCAAACTCAATCGACTTCCGCACAGCCTCCGCCTTGACCTCCTCGAGTATCTCCCGCGCAGACCTCGATTCCGTAGACTTGACCGTATCAACGGTCGCGCTCACCCTGGCCGTAGCCGCGCCGATGGCGTTGGCGACCTCGGACCACTTGGGCTTGACCACCCGGCTCGCGCCCGCCAGCTCTTGGGGCGCTAGCACCGCTCCACCACCTACGAGAACAACTGGCAAGTCATCCGGCGACGTCTTCATCCTCGCAATTAGGCCCTCCAGCTTCGCCTTGACGACTTCCCGGTAACGCTCCAATTCGTCGACAGAAAGCGCACCAGCGACGAATTGGGTATCCCCGATCGACAAGGAAGGATCGGCGAGAACAGCGCAGTCCGTGGCCGTGAGCTCCGTGCCACCAAATACCACCGCCCGCTCAGCAATGGCGTACCCCACGCTATCAGGCCCCACCGTGACGCCGCCCTCGTCGGTTTTCCTAACCAGCGAGCCTCCGCCCAGGCCGATGCTTTTCACGTCCGGGCACGGGAAATTGATGCGCACCCCAGACAGGTCACTGTAGGCGGCCTGCTGCCGAGGAAACCCACTCGCCAGGAGGAGGCCTGCATCGGTCGTGGTACCGCCCACGTCCACCACCATGACATCCTCGCCCACCTGCCCCTGCACGAGGAAGGCGGCGCCCCGCATACTGTTCGCCGGCCCGCTCGAGAACGTCTTGATGGGGAACCGGGCCGCGACCTCGCCCGAGAGGATGCTCCCGTCGTTTTGGGTGAGGAATACCGGGCACCGCAGGCCGAGGGCCCGTACGGGAGCTTGGAAGGAGCGGATCGTCTTGGCGGCGAAGCGCAGGATCGACGCGTTGAGGATCGCGGCGTTCTCGCGCTCCACGAAGCCGAGGCTCGCCACGTCCTTGGCGCACACCACGCGGCTCCCGGGGATCTCGGCGCGGACGACACGGGCCACGGCCTCTTCCTGCCTCTCGACCGTGTCGATGGGGCTGAAGATGCCGTTGACGACGACGGCGCGGATCCCGAGCGCGCGGATGGCGGCGCAGTGGCGCCGGACTTCGGCTTCGTCGACCCGCGCGATGAGTTGTCCGTCCACCTCGAGTCCGCCCTGGAGCCGCGCGTGGTAGCCGAGCACGACGTCGCGTAGGTCGTCGGACCAGTCCACGCACGGCGGTACGTGCTTGGCGAACGGCCCCGACAGCCGTAGGACGGCCACGCGCGATAGCCGGCGCGGGTCCCGCTCCACGACGGCGTTGACGAACTGGGTCGTGCCGATGACGACGCTGGAGACGTCTTCGGGCTTCACGTCGGCGGCGGCGGCGGCCGAGGCGAGCATGGTTGCGATGGTGTCGCTGATGCCGTCGCCCGGGTCGGGAGTGGTGGGCGCCTTGTGCCATGCGACGACGCCCTTGTCGGGGACGATGCTCGGGAAGGGTCGAGGATGACGCCATCTGTGTTGGTTCCCCCACGTCGACGCCGATGCGTAGATTTCGAGGGTGTGTGCAGACATCTCGTCTTGAAATACCAACTCGAGATAAAAGAGGAAAAATAGGCGACGGTGCCCTCTTACGATGGCTCCTTTTTCTTTTCCCCTACTCAAGGCACAGGCTTTTCCTTTTTCAAACAGTGTCTATTGCCCGTATTCCGGTTTGCGTTGGACAAGGGGCAAAGCGGGATTGACCGTGGTGATTGCAGCTCAGGATGTGTGCTGCAGCTCGACCAAAAGGGTCAATTCATCAAATGCGAGGTTGGCAGAATGGAGAAGGAGAGGGGGACACAAGGTTGCACATCTCCGCCGGCATCGGACATCTCTGGGCCCGCATTGCACTTCCGGATCCACCACGAGTTGCATGGATTCCGCCCGGAAATGCGGACGATCTCCCAGCGGGTCTGTCCTGGTGTTTTCACCATACTTTAGTCTTCAGTTATTCATAATATTGTAGATATGATTGATAGCCTATTACGCCAGCATACGGCAGGGCACGGAAGAATGGCCTGCAAAGTAAAAGTACAAAAAGAAGACGGATGAAAAACAATTAGCTAAACGGTGGTTGCGTTGGAAATTGAACTAAATCAAATCTCTTCGTATTTCGAAATGCCCTCCTCGAGAGCCTTGATCTGCAGCGCCAAAAGCGCCGAGTAGTACCGGCAGAGCGCCAAGTTACCGCCGTGGAACCAGAACCCGGGATGCCCGCTCTTCTGCCAAATGGTGCGCATCTCGCCCTCGTCATTGAAGCCCCAGACATCACCGACGCGGCGGGCAATATCGTCGCCAAACGTGAGGCGGGTCTGGGTGCGCATGTTTTGGTACCCGGTAGCGAAGACGATTTCGTCGGCCTCGAGCTCGTCGCCGTCGGCGAAGCGTAGACCGTGAGGCAGCACCTCGCTAATCTCCTGGCCCTGCTTCACCTTGATCTTGCCCTCGGCGATGAGGCGCGACGCGCCCACGTCGATGTAGTAGCCGCCGCCGCGCTGAAAGTACTTGATGATGAGCCCCGCGCCATCCGGGCCCGGATCCGTGCGGAAGCCGGCCTTTTCCAAACCGTCAAGCAACTCCTTATCGAACTCGGCCTCCTTTTGGGCAATAGTCACGTTAAGCGCCTTAAGCACGGCCGTGGGCAAACCGTGGATGAGCAGGTCGGCGTCGTCGACGGGCGGGGCATCCTCCGAGTACACGCCCTGCAGCCCGATACCCGTAATGGCCGCCGAGGACACGACGTGCGTGGTGGAGCGCTGCACAATGGTGACGTCGTAGCCCTTTTCCAAGAAATCCTGCGCAATGTCGTGGCCCGAGTTGCAGCAGCCGACCACGATGGCCTTCTTCCCGCGGGCGTCGTCGCGCGCCCCTTGAACTCGGACGAGTGGCACAGCACGTCGCCGGCAAAGTCTCCATGCCGCGCACCTCGGGCATGTTCTTCTTGCCCGAGTGGCCCGTGGCCTGGATGACGTGGCGGGGGTGGAAAGTGCGCACCTCGCTCGTGCCGTCCTCGCGCCGCCTGTGGACGATGACGGTCCAGAGGCCGGTCTCGTCGTCCCAGCGGGTGTGGACGAGCTCCGTGCGGGTCCACACGTTGAGCTCGAGGAGGGTCGCGTACGCTTCGAAGAACTGGGCGAGCTTGTCCTTGGGGGTGAAGATGGGCCACTGCGGCGGGAAGTTGAGGTAGGGCATGTGGTCGTACCAGACGGGGTCGTGGAGGACGAGCTGGCGGTACCGCTTGCGCCAGTTGTCGCCCACGCGCTCGTTTTGGTCGATGATGAGAGCCTCTACGCCGAGCGCCTTGAGCCGGGCGGCCGCGGTGAGACCGGCTTGGCCGGCACCCAAAATAACGACCGCCGGCTCGGATCCGTCGTTGAATCCCTCCGCCGCCGCTCTGCGCTCGGCCCAGTTCTTGCGTCCGGGCTTGCCGCCATGCTCTACGCCGGCGGGTCTCTTGAAGTACGTGCCTTCCTCGTGGCCCGTGAGTTCCCGGAGGCTTGTGTAGAGGGTGAAAATCTTCCATTGTCCGTTCACCTCGACGAAGCGGGCGAGGCCGCGGCCCTTTCCGATGGAGGTCTCGAGCGTGATGAAGGTTTGGATGCCAAACGTCTCGCCGGGCCCGTCGAGAGGGATGAAGACGGGGGCGCGGGTCTCGGTGCTGTTGTCGACGTTGACCTTTTTCAACCTGAAGCCGTCTCGGCTTTTCGCGGCCTCGGCGAGGAAACTGGCGATGTTCGTCGGGGTTTGGAGGGTTCGGAAGTCCCACGTCAGAGCTAGGTGGTCGCGCCAGTAGCCGTTCTCGACGAAGAGGTTGGCGATAGCTTGGTAGTCGCGGGCGTCGAGTGCCTTGTTTAGAGAGTCCACCACGCCAGCGGCGATTTGAGAGACATCGGCTGGGGCAGTTTTGGTAGGCGTAGCAGGGAATTGGGCAAGGGGGACATTGATGGAGCCAGGGACAGTCCTCTGGCGGGAGGGGATAACAACGTCAACCGTCGCCATTGTGGGCGCTTGAAGGGGAGAGAACAAGCTTAGGTAGGGTCGGAGTAGTAGTAAAGAAAATGAAGAATGGGGGAAGATTGGATAGGTTATGTGTGTAACACTGGAAATATAGCAGAATCAAAGAAGGGGAGGGAGGGAGGTGGAGGTGGAGGTGGAGGAGGAGACAGCTCAAAGCTTCCGGATACGTTAGCGGGAACCTTGGGAGCAAAGACAAGTTGAATTGTACGATTGGGACGAATGGGGGCGCCGAGGACCCGTCTATATATTCAACAAACGCCGCGTGGCGTCCATGGGGCCAGTCGCTGCATCCCACATTCGCACATGCGCTACTCACCGCAGCTTCTGTCCTACACTACACGACCCATTTGGCCCTTTGCCTTTGCTCCCGAAAAATAACTCGCCAAAGGGACGTGACTTCTGCTCCTTTGAAGATGCGGGCGGAAGGAAGCATCACATCCTCCGGTAGACCGCAACCAATCCTCAACTTCGGTGGCCCTTGGAGGCGATCTCCAACAAATAAGGAAAGGGGAAGATCTTGCGTCCCTGCGGAGTCCCCCATTTCCTACATACTCTTCTCCCCTTTCCTCCCCCTCCTCTCCCCCTCCCCTAGCCTCATCATCCTCCACTCCCCACGCACTAAGATGACGGGAGGGGAGGGAAAAAGCACTGGGGGATAGAATATGGTGAGCGGGGATGGTTGTTGGGTAGCTTGGGCCGTCCCAATTAGCGCAGGCGGGCGGTGGGGCCACAGCGTGCAGTTGATGGAGGAATGGAAGAGACCAAATGAAGAATGAACTTTGTAAGCGGTCGCTCTCGTGGTCTTGTGCTTTCCCCATATGCGACTAGGCCCAGCAGTCAAGCATGTCGGGTCCAGGGATCCATTGTATTGCGTCACTGAGATACAGAGGGGCCGGCCGGGGCGAGTATCTAGGAGCCGTCCGTGCAGTTAGAATGAAACAAATGGATGGATGGATGGATGGCAGGCTCCCCAGGTCTCCCCAGGTTTTCCCCGCACGGGTCAATGTGAATATATCGAGCTCTGCCCGAAAGACGGATCTATTGCGGGGGAAGATTGGGAGCTAGGCTAGCGCGTGTGCGTGAATGCGCCTCGGGGGTTTGTCAATTGACAAATCGTGGTTCGCCCTGCTTATCAAGTGCTATGGCGTGTGACTGAAGACGACTGGTGCCTCCAGCACAGATGGAACCTGCGCGGAGTTCTTTTCCCGTCCCCTAGCGGACCCTCTTCGTGCTCCCAGATCTGGTATTTGCGGGGTAGAATAGCTCGAGCGGAGCTTTTGGAGTGCTTGTTGTTGGCACTAGCCTGGTTTCTGCTCACGGCTATGGCGGGCCGGGGCAGCTTCGGCTTCCAGCCGAAACTTCGGCCTGGGAACAAGGCACATCAAACCCCCAAGCACCTTGTCGTGGATGTCTCTCCGCCCTCATGGTAGAAGAAAGAGGTGGGAAGAGAATAGACAGCATACTATATACAAAGAGAGAGGGAACCCTAGAAGCTTCCTAGGAAGTCATGGATGCACCCGTTGCATTTCAAATTGCCCCCTCTCCCATCGATGCCTCCATCTCGGATCAATCCCGCAAGGTTCATCTTCGCTCCCAGGTCCTCCCAACGTTTTGCCTAGTGCGATGCTTATGAATTGCGATGGTCCGGGGCTGCGGAGAAAGACGATCCTTTCCACTGGAAACCTGGGGGCGCGAGGGGCTAACAAGCGAAGATGGTCAACTAGATTTAGCTGCTGGCATGGACTTTTGAGGAAGAAAACGGCCCCCGTCTCCAAATATTTGAAATCGTTGATAAAACCGATTCCGACTGGTCCCTGTCACCATGGGCGGGAAATTCCCCAGACGCTTGCTCCATGGACGCCGCAACTCGCAACCGCACATAAAAAAGCATCCACATTGTGGCATATTGTCCGAAGAGATCTACACCTTTCCCCACATGCATGCTCGGGAGAACGGGACTGTCTGGGGTTCGCTCGAAACGGATAGATTTCTTTATCAGACCCTGGAATCCATGGATGAATGTCGGGACAAAGTAGTCGCTAGCTTGCCCACTGACGAATAAGGTCGTTCGCGCGACGTCTATATCACCCTTCCCATTGTATTGCCCCATTGCTGTACCTCGGTACATCGTCGCGAAGGTCAAGATCTGGTTTATTCGCTTTTCTCTTGCCTCTTCCTCTTCCTCTTCTTTTCCTTACTTATATTTCCTTGATCCCGGCCTAGTCGCCGCCTTGAGAGCAGATGGGTTGGCCAACGCAAAGGGAAAAGGCCTTCCGATTGTCAATTGACACTTCTGTGACCGTTCCTCTGACAAGGGCTAGTTGCGCGTTCATTCGAAACCCTCTATTATGGATAAAATGGATGATGTGATAAAAATAAAGATGGGCGCAGTGCGTCCCGTTTTTCTCCGAGATGCACGACCATGAACGGGCAGATAATAACGGCAAGCCAAACACCAAAAACTGAATAAAGAGAACCAACAAAAAGTAGCATTAGGCTGCGCCACGCCCCTGCCACGCGAAAAGGGGCAATTGATGATATTGTGGACGAGCATCGTGAGGTTTATCGACTGGACAAACATCTATGGATATACACCTTGTTCTCTTTTCCGCACCTGCCGCGAGAGTGCGTGTGCGCAACCTCGCCTCAACCCTTCATACGTGCATCGTGAACCAGGCCGATTCTCCGTGTATTGAAGGAAGCACTCCTGCCTTGCTCCCTCGCGCTCCCCTCCTTATTTCATGGCGGCGCATCTCGCGTCACGCCCCAGATGGCCTTTCAACGTCCTTTCCGCTGCCGTCGTCGCCATTTCCGTCCTGGTCCCCTTCGCAGCCGGTCGGCCGGCTGCCCAATCCGACGCCTCAGAACTTCCCTTTCTCGGACCTAATTTCTCCAACTATCCGTACGCGGCCACCATATGTTTGGGCCAAATGGCCTTCCGGGATGGGTGTAGCCAGGATTCCGAAAAGGCGTACCATCAGTGCATGTGCACCGACTCTAACCACCTCACACATTCCAAGGCAGCTGCCGAGTGCATGATGTTGCTGTCCCTCGTCGCGCCGCCCAACATGACGCAGATCTACGACCTCATGGTCGACCAGTGCAAGTCCACCGACACGCCGCTCTCGATATTTACCCTCGAGGATTGGCTCGCATGGGCGAGCGAGGCGATTAGTGGTGCCCACAGCACGACGGGGAGCGGGGAACGGGACGCCGGGGACCGGGATTGGCAGTGATGACGACGCCGAGGGTGGCAATGGAGGCAGTGATGGGAACGACAGCGACAACAGCGGGAGCAGCTCTAGCAGTGACAAGACGGATAGTAATTCCGGGTCGGTGGAGACCAGCAAATCGAAAGGTTTGGGAAAGAATGACACTGTTGCTATTGCCGTTGGTATACCATGCCTCATCATCGCTGCCGTGAGCACTTACTTTGCGTACAAGGCTGTCAGGAGGAGGACAAATCCACCATCTGAATAGATGAGGTGGCATAAATCGTGGCATGAAGGATGCAACTCATCACGTTATGTTGAGACTGCGTAGTGGGCATCCAGTATCATTTCTTTTCCAGAGGAACTCAACCTAGCGTTTGCCTTTAATTAGAGTAGTTATAATTCTCTTGCGTTAGCGTTCGCGTACTTTTTTACTATAAATGGATCTAGATACCTCCAACACTTCTTCTCAATCCCATCCGTTATAATGCTCATGTTTCCCAGCCACATATCATCACTGAGAACAGACACCCAAGAGCAAAACGTTCCAAAGCATCAAGTCCCATCATATGTCGGAGCATTGAGGATGAAGTGGTCAAGTCCCAAGACGCCGCAGTTATCTAGCATCATCCCAAGCCTCCAGCTTGGACACAACTTGGACACAACTTGGATAAGGCTGGCGGACGCGATGGCCACCTGTTGTCACATATATCAACCACCCCTAACCTTTCTGTTCCTTTTCTTTTTTTTCCTTACCGAAAGCGATTTTAGTTGAGTTGATATGGCGCCGGTGAGCTCTTATCGTCGCCTTGGCTGCTCGTACGCAAGCCTGGTGTGTGATAAGAACATTGAAAACACGGAGACAAGTTGCTGATACCGGAAATATCCGAGATATAACGGAAGCGATCGACGAGATGGCACCATTTTTTCAACGTGCCCGAGTGTCAATGCAACTGCGGTTGCCCAGGTAGAAAATATACAAACGCGGATATTATAGCTTTGAGCGCGCTCTGGCATTCCGAGTAGGGTTCTTCCATCAACATCTCCCGACACGACCGGCCCCGTTTCAGGAACTTGAAAGGATTGAGAGCATAAAAGGCCACTATATATCCAGGGATCAATTCAATTCCCAGCGACCGTAGGAATGGGTTCCTTCGAGCCGCACCAGTTGCAGTGGCCCGTTTATTGGCAGTCATCTTCTATTATACGAGTGGCCGAACCATGGACCTCGACGCGCGCGCAGAAGTCCCCTCGGCAGTAAGCTGACGCGATCCGCCATGACGATATTGACGGATTGTCTGGCGGCCGCAACCCTATCACCGCATATCGATTCCCCACTCAATCACCGGAAACCGCCTTGCTTTTCCTCGATTGCATATGTGCTTGTGAGACTCGTATAACGAACATACATAATGTAACTCGCGGACGCACCCAACCTTGAATCTTTGACCGCTCCGTCTTCATCCTCCTCGGCCCACCCACATCGCGTACTGTGAAAAACATTGGGAAAGTCTTGCTCTGAGCTTTAATCATGAAGTACGCCAAACTCCAGAGCGTCCTGTTCTTGCACGCCGTGGCCGCACACTGCACCCCGCGCGCCTATGATAGTGCCAACGACGTGACATACAAGGGCCTCGTGCGGAATGGGATCGAAGTCTTCCTCAATATCCCCTACGGCCAGGACACCGGAGGCGCGAATCGCTTCAAACCGCCGCGCCCGCACGTCCCCGTCGCCGGCAGCACCGTCAAGGCCCAATCGTACGGCCCTTCGTGCCCGCAGCCCCTCGGAGCAATCAACGCACCGCTTGCGCTGACCCCAATCGTCGACGTTTCCGAGGATTGCTTGAACCTCAATATTGCACGTCCGGATGGGACGGAGGAGGGAGATGAACTGCCTGTCATTGTGTGGATCCACGGTGGTGGCTTCTGGACGGGAAGCAATAGCGAGATCACGACGGCGCCGGATGGGATGGTCCAGCAGTCTGTCGAAAATGGGAACCCCATCATCCACGTCGCGGTAAATTACCGTCTCGGCTGTAGGACAACCTCCGAAAAGTTCATCTTCATCACGCCAACGAGATTGCTAACAGCTGACGATAGTTTTCGGGTTTGCACAGTCGGATGCTTTACTATCTGAAGGCTCGACGAATGCCGGAATGAGAGACCAGCGGCTCGCGCTCGAGTGGGTACGAGACAACATTGAATACTTTGGCGGCGATCCCAACCGAGTCACCATCTTCGGGCAGTCGTCAGGCGGTATGGCATTATCGATTTCTCACTTTTTTCTTTCTTTCTTTTCCTTCGCAGCGGGCTAATTTTCCTCTAGGCCTCGCTGTGGGCTTGCACCTCCTCGCCTACGGTGGCGATAAACCCGTCCCCTTCCAGCGCGCCATCGCCCAGAGCCAGTGTCTGGAGCCGGGCCTCACGGGCACCTTCACCATCGACGCCATGCAGGCCCTCGTAGACCATATTGGCTGCAACGAGGCCGACCTGCACTCCGACGAGACGGTAGAGTGCCTGCGCGCCTTTGACACCGAGAACCTCCTCAACGCGTCCATCGCCACCAAGTTTGACGACCTCGCGCACAATATCGGCGATATCTGGCTCCCCTCCGTGGACGGGGATTTCCTCCCCGCCGCGCCGTCGGAGCTGATCCGTGACGGACGCCTCGCCATCGTCCCCACCATGTTTGGCTGGACGGATAAAGACCTCAACATCTACGTCAGCACGGATGTCAAGACTGCCGAACAGACGCATGAGCTCATCTCAGCATACCTCCCCGGCGTGACGAGCGACAATATCGATACTCTTCTCTCACTGTACCCTGTCTCCGATTTCGAAGCGGGATCCAGCGAGGATCTCGTGCCCGAATTCCACCGCTCGGCGCGCATCGTGAGGGACATCATCATGTCCTGCGAACCGCTATTCTACGCCCAGCAACTTCGCAAGCACGGAAACAAGGACCTCTACGTGTACGACTGGAACCAGACCGTCTTTGACCCCTTGCTCGAGCATTTCGGCCTACCGGCAGGTATGGGCCCGGTCCACACGTCCGAATTTCCCTACATCTTTGGAAACATCTCCTCCTATGACGAATCGGGATTCACGATTGACCCGACCCCGAGGACGAGGCGTTGCTGAGGCGCGGCTCGAGGACTTGGTCCACTTTTGCGACGTACGGCAAGCCTAGCCTCGAGGGCCACGAGACGTTTGAGGGTTCGGGCCCGCCTTGCAGAATAAGCGTGATTTCTCCATCTTCATCGCTGGAGGGCCGGACGAAGGGCTGCATCCGATTGATGGTCCTGACTCGGTCGATTCCTTGAGGGCCCAGAGGCTGAGGGAGAGATGTGACTTTATCAACTCGGCCGGTATGATTGAACAACTAGGGTTCTAGGTGTTGTGGGTCAACTTCAAGATGAGCTAGAGATCTATGAACGCTTCCGCTTCCTTCAGACTGACGGAATTGTGGACTGTGGCGCACAGTGGAGTAGATGGGTACAAGATCTAAACGTTGCTAAATTTACTATCTTTGCGTAGCTCGATCTATCTATTATCTTAATGGAACCACACAACTCTTGAGCTAAATGAAATCTTGTCAATCTGTAAGTGGTTTGTGAAGGTGCAAAGCACATTCCGATTTGGGAAACCAAAATCTGCTACCGCTCGTCCTTGCTCCTTCGGGCCCTCTCCTCCCACTATTATCCTATTACTTTCTTCAGCGAGCCAAGTCAGAAAGTGCCTCACGCGTACACCTCGGCACGGTCCACGGTAATGTACGAATTCGTCGCGCTCTCGGGCTTATTCCCCGTCACCGTGATCGTCAAAGTGTGCGCACCAGCACTGAGCTTGGGGCTGAGGTAGACCCTCTGCTCACCGACGCGCATCGTATTGTAGTACGAAACCGGGTTTGACGGCGGGCCGCCATCCACGGAGAATGTCGCGTAGCCGTGGTCCGGCGCCAAGGACCCGTAGATGCCGATGCGCGTCCCGGTGAAGTGGTAAGTAGCCGTGGCGCCAGCCTGCTTGAGTAGTGGTCGTTACCCCAGAAGCAGCTCACACCACACGTCTTCCCCTCGGTCCAACTACCCGTGTAAGAAATGTAGTACTTGCCCTGAGTCGTGCTAAAGTCGTCGATGGCGATGGCGCCCGGGCCCGGATCGCCCGACGGCAGCCTCTGGGTAGCACCCGCGGCCAGCGGCTTCCCGAGGTTGGGGGTATTGTCGGCGTTCCAGCTGATGCGCTGGGCGCGCGTGCTGCGGAACGAGTACGTGTATTCCGCAGTGTTCTTGCCGTGGTACGCGATCCAATCCTCGGAGCCGTCGGGCGACTTGAAGAAGAAGTGGTGGCCGGGCCCCCACACGCCCGTCTCGTCATTTCGGCGGAACAAAGGCCCCGGAATCTGCGTCCACGCGCCGGGCGAAAGCGGATTGGCGCCCTTGTTGACGGCGATGGCCCAGATCTGGTAGTCGGGCTTCCCCGTGTCGCAGCTGGAATACGTGAGGAAGGTCCTGCCGTTGCGGTACAGCGGGGTAGGCCCTTCGCGGACTTCGGTGCAGCCGCCGTCGTTGGGGAGCTGGACGACGTCTCCCTCGATGGTCCAAGGGTTGGCCATGCGCGCGATATACAGCTGCTGAGGCCCGCCGCTGAGGCCGCGGCCGGGCGCGGTCCAGGCAAAGTACGCCTGGCCGTTGTGCACAAAGGGCTCGCCGTCGATCTGGTAGGTGCCGACGTCGGCGATCTTGGCCTTGAACGCGTAGGGCCCGGCGGGGTCGTTGCCGGCCGACTCGAGGACGTAGAGCCTGTGGCTGCGGTCCCGCTCCGAGGGGTCGCTCAGCCGGCTGTCGGCGGCCGTGTAGTAAATGTACCAGCGGAGCTGGCCCCGCTCTCGAATTGGTGCAGCGCCGGGGCCCAGATCTCGGTGCTGCGGCTGGGCTCCGTGTCGCGCCATACCTCGACGGGTTCGACGGCGGCGAGGTTGGCCAGGCTGGGGACTTCCAGATGGAAATGCGGCTTCCCTGGGTTACCGACAGGTAGTAGTTGCCTTGGAAATGCACGAGCGTCGGGTCCGCTCCGGAGTTGAGGGGATTGCGGAACTCGCCGCCTTGTGCGGCCGCAAAGGGAGCGCAGCTAGCGTGAGGGCCAGCGCGCCCGCTTTCTTTAGCCAGTTTCGAAGCGCCATACTGATAGATGAGAATACCGACGTCAACAATAGGAGGCAGGTGGTGCACCTATGCTCATTCGAACTACGTCCATCGAAGAGATGCTCAAGGGCGTCGGCCCGTTTTAAGACGGACTTTCTGTGAGGAAATTCAGGGGCCGACTAGGGACTATGGGAGGATTCTGGCACAGTCAGAGGCAGTGTCTTGTCATTATGATGGTGGTTGATGAACACAGCCACATCCTGCCAAAGGAGCCAGACAAACGCGCCTAACGCATCCTGCATATCCACCTTGGTGTAACTCGGGATGAAGAATAAATCGCTTCGTTGGATAGCATACATGTCACGGGGTGGCAGATCATCGCTGTTCTGGCTGTCGCCATCGCCTCCTCGTTGTGTACCTCCCCGCAACGCCAAGCCGAATAACACCGAATGTTCGCAATTGCAGGGAGAAGGGCTCAAACGGGGTGATATTTGATGTGGGTCCCCGGCCCAGAATTAGCATTCCTCGTAAAGGGTCCCCGGTCCTCCGGGAATCCTTCCCACTCGAAGAACGGAATTGCGTTTCCACGATGATCCATTTCTAGATTTTGTCAATTTTGCTGGTGCTGGTGCCGGTGAGAATCTGCCTTTCGTGCTTTTGCTAACTCAGACAGTGGCGTCGTCAACTTGCCCGGCGATGAAGGACTCGACCATGACCATGACTGAGGCTGCGTAGTCGGCTTAACGGAGGTGGGGAGCAAAGGCCCCTTCATAGAACGACTTGACGTTACGTTACACCGATTGATCGGGAGCCCGGGTTCCAGAAGGGTCTTTAAACGTACGAAATTCATCCCAGTCCGGCACCGAGATGACCCTTCGCGCGTCATCAAGGCTTATGCATCCTAACTACACCAGCTGTGAGATGACTGGCTGGCATGAAAACCTTGACTAAAATTACCTTGAGCTCGGCTTGAGCACCTTGAGCACGCAGAATGTGTACCTCAGCCCGGCCATTATGAGGCCCCGTAGAATGCATTGATAGATTAATCGTAGCCCATTTTGAGAACGGTGTCAAGTTGAAGTCCGTCGTTGATGCGTGTCGGTATGGTCGTTCCTACTCCTTCTGGTGTTGGTGTTGGCCCCATTTCCTCTTCCAACGCTGGCAAGCTTGACCTGTATTGAGACTGGTCCCCTTCATTCTCATCCGAACAAACAGTAAAGTCAAAATGATGCGGCTGCTCTAGAGAAAGAGCCTCCATTGTCCCTTCCTCGCACTCCTCAGGGAGATACATCCTCCTGGCCATACTGAATATCGATGTGTATCTGCTTTCCGTAGTCGGGAACTGTTTTAGAAGATCGTCTGTCATCGTTCGCAGCTCTTTTTCGATCTCCGGCCGGCGGGAGATGTCGGCTTCAAGCCAAAATATCGCTAAAGAATTGATGCATGATAACGTCTCCATGGCGCTTTCCGATGGAGCTCGGATAAATTCTGAGCGACTCTGAAAACCCTCCCTATATCCTTTCACTAAGAACCTTTGGATGCGCAAGCGACCTGGAATATCACACGGTATTGGCCTTCTCGGTCCCATAAAAGGCTCCGCGTCCAAACCTTCCGTGGCCAAATGCGCAACCACGAGTTCGATTAGATAGGCTAGCGGTACCTCAAACCTAAAGGTCACTCCCCGAGAGCTGGAAAAAAGGATGTGTGGTACAGTTTGACCTCTGGGTCATCGACATGGATCCCGAAAAAGACCCTTTCTTCTCCATCAGCCCGGTATTCTCTGAAGTGTTCGACGCACTTGACATAAGACTCGAAATGATCTCGGGATTGGATTCCCCTCTGCTGCAGGATGAATATGACAGCCAATGCAAAAGTTGTAATTGTTGTCTGACGATCATCACTTCGAGGCACCAACCCGCCGTCTAATCCTCGGTCAAGGGATATGGGGCTGGCACCGATTGAGATGAGGGACTGGACAATATAACCATCCCGGATCAGGCCCTGATAGTCTGACCCGACCACCCCGATATCAGTGACATCATTAAATAGCGTCTTTAGTACTCGTGTGGCTAAGTACTTGGGGAAGGGTCCCGCCTAATGACGGCAAGAGCAATCTGGCCAAGCCTTTCGACCATCGCGTGAGTGAGGACAGGGACCTCACCTAGGAAACGGCCTGCGCACCACAGATCGTGAGAATCAGATAAAACCTGGGTAATATCCTCCTCAAGACCTTGTGATAAAGCGTGGGCAAGGGCCTTCAAGAAGATCTCTTGCCCATAGAACTGCCAGTCCATCCGTTGGGGGGCACTTTTAGGTTTGCAAATATAGCTGGCTAGGGCTCCTTTGGCTAGTCGAAGATAACGTGCCTTTGGCGACGTTAGGTCGTAGGATAGTATCTTTTCGCCCTCTTTGGAACCGGTGAGAAAGTCGTAAGCGGTCCGGTGGACGAAAGCTACTCGCGAATCCAAATGGTAGTCTACAGAATCTGTGCCTTCATCTCGGGGCTCCTTGGTCCAGACTTCTACGAGTCCGAAACATTTTTTTCGTAGAGAGGCTACAACTTTCTGACACAAACTAGCAATGTCGCCTACGCTAGGCCGGTTCTCAGTGGGACCGAGAACATCCCCGTAAAATGACTCCACGGTGATTGCCATGTACTGGACTACGTTGAGTTCGAAATTGATTTCAAATTCCTCGCGGCAAGGATTAAGTTGAAAACCTCAGCTGCCGTCTCACGATATATGACGTTGTCGTCCCCTGGCCTCCCCACATATCCAGATACAACTCAGTCAACTTTTCTGGTAGGGCGCTTATTCGGTTTTGAATTTCTTCCTTGGTATCGCCAGAGGCCCACCCGCGTATAAGGCTGCCCGTCACAAGATGCAGCCACAAAAATACACCTTGGGCCTTCCATGCAAGGCTATCAATGGTCTCCATGGGGAAATTTCTGGCTACCGGTTCGCCAAGAGGCAGATGAGGATCACTTTCACCTTGCCGATTCAGCACAGAATCAGCATAGATCCGCATATCATTCCATGTGAGGTCCTGGAGACGCATCTGCTGGGCGCCTCTGAAATGGTCGTAGAACATAATCTCGGGTCTACTAGCCGAGCAGACTTTGACGAGAGGGAGTTTCTTAAGGTCATCTATAAACTTCAACAGCATCGGAAGGTCCTGTTGGTCGATCTCATCAAGCCCATCTAAAAATATGCACACAGCGGATGGGTAGTCTAACAAAGTGTTTCGAAGGACCAATTTCAGCTCTGAAACCGACCAGTCCGAGTCGAAGTCTTTAGCCTCGACAGTGTCCGTGGGGGTGAGGAACCTAGCAAGCACACTGGGTTCCTGGGAAATGGCTTGGTGGAGCAGAGTACATAGCAAACCCTTGACGCTACGTTGCATGGCAGTCCCTGGCCTCCAGAAGAAATGAGAAAGTATGCGTGGGCTTTCCCTCCACAAGGCCAGGGCCTCTCTCGTCCGTGATGTGGAAAGAAGGAACTTCATCAAGGTGCTCTTTCCAGAGCCCGGCTTCCCGCTGATCCAGTACGTGTTGCTCTCTGACTGCAGCCACTCTTGAATGTCGTCCCAAGGCCTGTCCAGGTCCGAGTTATCGTTTCTCGTCCCACTCCGTTGCAAAAGTCTATCTCGGTCCATAGATCCTGTGGCCATTTCAGTGTCACCAAAAATCCAGCCAAATGTGCTTTGGTGGGAGTCGGTGATGGAATTAAATCGCTCGTTGAGGCTGGAGAATTTGAGACTTCGAAGGAATCGTTTCCGTCGGTCATCGTCCACTTGAGGCATCTTGGAACTCTCCACTAGATTCTGATTCATCTGGTCGAAACGCTCCATGGTGAGCTTTTCAAGAGCCGTCTGTGCGGCAGAGACTTCCTTCGTGATGTGCTTCTCCACATCCCTTGCAGACTCTGTAATGCAGTTTTCTGTTGACTGAAATTTGGACTCTACGAGATCGTACAGGGTGCGGTGCCCTTCCCCGTACTGCTTGATAAAATATTGAACCGATTTGTCCATGGCTTCGAATTCTGTCTGCTGTTGTGCTTGGAGCGCGTCATTCTGTGTACTAATTGGCGTTAGAAAAGATGAACATGTCCGAGGGCGTCAACGACTTCCAGCTCCCATGCATTTACTCACCATACGCGAAAGAGAAGGTGGGACTCCATAGTCTCTTGGTACGTTTTTAGATCGCCCTTTAGTCGGTGTAGTCTCCCCTCCGCCAGAGTGTCCGAACAGTTGCGCGGATGGCAACGACACCCGTCCGTTTCGTACCGGGCATCGTGATATACTGGACTTCCTCTTGTAGAGCCCGCGCTACCACGGAACACTTTCTGGCCATGTTATCAAGCTCCCTCTCGGTAGCACCATTTGACTTCCTCTGCTGGCAGTACAACTCAATCTGCAAGGACAGGTTCTGGAGTGTCGTTGCATAATCGCCTAAGCCCTGCTCCGGCGAGGCCCCGTCATAAAAGGCCTTGCAGATACGGATAGTCTCGGCCGAGAAGTTGATGACCTGGAATATGTTGGCTACTAGCCCGAGGGTCTCGAGTCCTGACATCCTTGATACACGACGCTGCCGATGCTCGATGGTTCTTCGAGGTATCAGAGTATATGTTCAGCAAGAACGTAAAAGTTTCGCTTCGGGCTCGGTTCGAGATATGGGAAAATTGGGACTGCTAATCTTGAGGGAGATCCACGCATATGGTTAAGTACAGAGCAAGGTGATGGATGTGCTATCTTCAATGGTGCTGGCAAGAGGCAGTGAGAGATTCCAGTGTAATTGCAGGTCACAATGGATGGAAGGATACGCCCACAGATATTGAGGCGATGAGAAAGCGGGGCTAAGCCACCGAGACCCTGTGCTACACCAACTTGAGGCGAGGCGCATCGCGGCCCAACAGCAAGCCATCCTCATCGTCAGGCATCTTAAATCACGTGTGGGAGCCTGCCCTTCTTTACCGATACATCAGTACATGGATCTCATTCTTAGGTAGCAATATCCGAAACTGGTATTCTCGCGCGACTAGAAGGTCTTGTCTATGTTCGTGATCACGGTCCTATGCTGAGTATCGGGTCTTTCTAGCCGTTCTCGCCTGGGTTCCGTGAACTTCCATTTCCAGGAACGTAGATATAGGTGATAGATATTCCCAGATGCCCCATACAAGTGCTCTCTGTTTTTGTCGTTCGCCAATCTTTTGATGCTCGAGAAATAAGTACAATGGAGAAGCTGAGTTCATAGTAGGAAGCCTGGCCGATATCCATTGGGACGTCACACTCCTAAGGTCAACGTTTGAAAGGTAAATAGACCAAAAGCTTAGAATTTCTGGCGGATCTTCCATCCCACCGCATACGTCCGCCCAACAACATAGCATATCAAACAAGCCGTATAAGCACCACCGCAAAGGAGGATGAGCGCGTTCCACCCTCTCTCGCCCCCAAGTCCCACCAACGCCCCCCAATCGGCAGAATGGAAAGGCTACCGAAGCTGGCGACAACGGTCGTCAAAGAATAGTACACTCCATACTGCTGCGAAGGGCAAAATTGGCCCACACAAACGGGGTATAAGCCAAGATTACTACCGCTCGCGAAGCCGAAAGAGGCGGCAAAAACCACCAACACGGCGTTGGAGAGGTGGGCGGGAACCCAAAACGCAAAAGGGACAATGGCACAGAGGACGGCGGTGGTGACGAGGACGTTGAAGCGGCCAAACTTGTCCGCCAGGAATCCGGGGATGAGACGGCCAAACACGGAGCCGGCATTTAGTATGGAGAGCAGGGCGGAGCTGAAGGAATCGGAATTGCCCTGCGCTTTGGAATAGGACACAATGTACGTGAGCGGCACGAAGAGGCCCCATTCCATAAAGAACACGCCCACCGTGGTCCACGCGTACCCTTTATTCCGGAAAATGGTGACGTCAGGCCAGGTCGAGGCGATGATGGGCTTCCCATTCTCGTCGATTCTCGGAGGGAGGCGGCTCCGGATAAAGAAGTTGGCGGGGATGCAGAGCCCGAGAAGGATGAAGCCCAAGATGCGGCAGGCCCACGGGAAGCCCACACCTTTTCCTCGTCGAGAAGGCGGCTCATGATGATGGGGAAAATGACGCCACCGATGCCGCCGGCGGTCGTGGCGATACCGGTTGCCAAGCCTCGGCGCTTGTTGAACCAGTGAGCAATGGCACCAAAGGCAGGCGCGTTCAGGAAAGCGCCCCCAAGGCCGCCCATGACGGAATACGTTAGTAGGATTTGATAGTATTCTGAGACATGTGTCTTAGTACGAGATTACTCTTTGCATGCATAGTGGGGACGCGGACTGGGGACTTCGCTTACTGGTGGAAACGCTGAGAAGCTGCATGCTCGCAAACATCAAGACACTGCCGGCAGCAACCAGCAGCTTGGGTCCGTAGCGATCAAACACGGGGCCGACCTGGAGCCCGACGAAGAAGACTAAGAACAGATAGATGCTAAAAATCCAGCCAACTTGCGAGCGGCTATGCGCGGCGAGCTGATGGCTCATGTAGTATGCCTCGAACACGCCAGCAGAGTTGGAGATGCCAAAGAAGGCGCCCATGGCACAGAAGGAGCCAAAGACGACGGACCACGCCCTGAGGCCGCCTTCTGGATACACATTGTCTGCTTGGTAGGGGAGATCCACCACGGTAGTGGCTGGGCTTATAGCTTCGGATTGTAAAACACCGGCCGGCTCGGCGGGTTCCTCCTTGCTGCCCTTCTCCAGATAGTACATGGCGGTTGAGTCTGGTGAGGGTGGATTCGGATACGAAGAACAAGAGGTAGGAGAACGACCACCGGAGAGCTCAAGAGGAGAGTGGACCTCTAGGCAAGACTTTTCTGCATTTTCCGCGGCACTCGGTATAGCCGGAGTTCAAGGGACTCGGACGTTTGAAAAGGAAACTCAACTCTCGGCGATCGTTATCGAGTTTGGGTTCAAGTTTGAGGATGATCCACGATCCCAGGGCTTGACGATAACCACAGGCAACCACCTAGGGCGGCCATCGAACTTAAGCAAGGAATAGAATATATAGTAATACATAGGGAACGAAAGAAAGGGTCCATACTGGCGTGCCGCGGGCGTGGGCAACCCTGTCTCGAATCGTGTCGAGACATATGACTTCATCGCTCGGATCCAGCTCTGACCCGAGCCCCACGGGGTTGAGTTGACTCGGTTGTCGCGATGGTGGCAAGCCCAAAACCAGGCTGGCGGGACTCCACAACTCGGGTAAACCTGAACAGTTTCCAAAGGAAGAGCGGTGTACTGTTCGGGGTGGGCCCGCCCGATTCTTAATTTGCTTTTGGCTCCCGAGTGCAAGCCACAGCGGAACAACGCACCAGGGACAATATTGAAAAGGAAAATTGGGCACGGCCTTGACTCGGCCATGGGCGGTAGCGTGTAAGCGGCCGTTGGTGACCAGCCGCGTATGGTTGAGGACTCAAATAAACATAGTGTACCGAGGTAGGTTCCAGATCAACCAGCTCGCACCGCGACAGACCCAACCTCGTGAATTCTACCTTTGTGTCGGTCCCATGCCACCGCAGGCCAGAAAAATAGTACAAGACTCTGGCTAGTGCACAGTAGAAACACCCGGTCACACAATTTTCAGTTGAGATGCCCCAGCTCAGCTGGCAATGCCCTCCAAATCGTCATCCCGAGCAGACTCTGCATAAGCCGCACGTGCGTGAGAGGTGTCTTTTGTACGTAGGGAACTTTTCAAACGTAATTCAGGGGTCCATATAGCAAGAGTAGATCAATGTACCTTTCGTCAGTAGAGAAAAGCAGTGTCAGGCGACAACCTATTAGGATCTATTATCTCTTGCCTTGATTCGTGAGCTATCCACTATGAGCGGCCCGACCCAGGACATGCACGAACCGGAGCTTCCAGTCCTACCCTAGTAGGATATAATGTGAATTTCGGTCGCATTTCACAGAAGAACCAGTCTAATCCCATGCTTTGGGTGAGTTGGTGCACAGATCAAGGGTGACCTCGAACACGGCTCGAGCCTAGAAAGGTTCCACTTCCGTCTGAACAAATCGTGGGTCTTGGAAAGATGGCTTCGAGGCGACGCTTTTATTCGGCACTATTTTCCCCGACATGCGCGCTCCCCTTTATCATTGCCTTGTGCGGAAGTGCGTTGAGAGCAGTACAGCCGAATTCATACTCATCCCTGTATGATGTGGCTGGCGTAGATCTGAGGACAAACCTTGTAGTGACTAGGGGTTCCTGGCCCTCCGTCTCGCCTCGCCAAATGTGAATTCCCTGCTATTCAACGAGTCAGTCAACGCTAAAATTTAGCGTACATCAACCTATTCGTCCACGGGAGCTTCTTTTGTCGAATTGCTCCTTCGCTTTGCTATGTTTTCGCCGAATAAAAATTTCAACTATTAGTGTATACTGCATAGAAAGAGAAAAGAAGAGCAAGCGTAAGGGAGCCGGGATGGCGAGCTGCATCCATGAAAGTTCCGTGCGGAAGAGAGCTCTGGCCAACTCTAGTCTCCTCAGTATTACGGGCCGTGATCATACCTAATCACGACAAGTGGGAAGACCATCATCCTGCTTTGGGGGCCGGGGGTTAGAGGGAGGATTATGGGCTCCTATAACCCGTTGCCATAAGTGATCCGGCCGAGATGGGCGACGAGCCCCAGCTGGTGACTGTCGTCCATATATCGATTCCCAATGGCAAGATCAAGAACGGCGCTGTTTTTCACAGTGAAATCCTAGCCGAGAGGCTACTACCAATGATCCACAATCTATATCCAGTCCGGAGTTCGACGTGGCCGCTGTCGGTGTGGTTTGTCCCGTTCTTTTCCATCGGACTAGCCAGCAAGAGCAGAGGAATTGTTTCCTTCGGTCGAGATATGTCGAGATATGTCGAGTTGCATTGTGGGGTTAGCTTGTCGCTTATTCTTTCGCGCATGTCATGGGCTGTCACAGAGTGACTCGGGAGCATGTGGCATCCATGATGTATCAAGATGACACGTGAGAATATTCCAGTTTCCCGCATTCGATATAACAATATGTTGGGCCTACTAACGTAACAGCTGAAGTTCAAATACTTGAGTTATCTCCCTTACCTTGACTCGATAGAGAAACATGACTTCTTTATTTCCCTCTATCTGCAGAACGCTGCAGGTCTCAGAGGTACCAGTTGTTATAACCGACTTAGTCTTTATCATCATCATCTTCTGCCCCTGCGGAGGCTTGCAGGCAGTCGGTGAAACCTTTGATGCCGGTTACGTCTTGACAGCACTGGAGTCGACGGCTGGGCGAACCGACAGATCGTGCTTAGACTTTCCCTTGACTCTGACCTGATCCACAGTCTGTCCACTGCACATACCCGGCCGCTTGGGAAGTTCCATGTGGCTCGGTACCTCCTTGACGAGGCAGTTGCCAGGGCCAGTGTGCTAAACGGCCAGGCTCACCCGAACCCCATGGCGCGATAGATACACTGTCAAAGAGGGCAGACTAAGAAGGAAAGCGGCGAAATACTGCTGGTAGCAGGCCCTCACTTCTAAGGACTATAAACCCTCTATCAGCCAAGGCTTGGCGAGGTGGAGACTGGAGTTCATGACCACATAGTATAGAAAATGATGCATGGGGATTATTAGCTACTAGAAATGAGAGCCAGAGCCCCGGAAACAGCCACTTCGGACCAGATAACTTGAACTAGGACCTACTTCCCGAATACTAAAGGCGACGGTGCCACGGGAGATGGTAGAGTAAGTGACATGGAGGCCATGTGCAAGAAGGCAAAGAGATTCCATGTTAGTCTTAGATTCCACTTGGCAAGTTCCCCGGCTATGAGCTGCCGGAGCTACGAAAGCCAAGTCAGCTTGAACTTCAAGACAAGATACCCATGCATCTGTATCCACCAACGATGGAACTAGAGGGATGGATGTGCTGAAGATCCTCAGTCAGACAATCGATTTCGGATGAAGAGGGCCAAAAGGTGGAACAATTGTAAAGAATGAAGGGGACCAGGTGGACTTGAACTGAAGCAATTAATTCACTCGTCCCTTATGCTTCCATCTCTGCGCTGTGCATGTTGAAATGAATCCCCTCACTCGAAACCGAAGCGCTCAAATAGCGCGTCTTGGAATCGGCATTCGAAATCGGTGGGGACTAAAGCAAGGGCGCGAGAGTGATCCGAGTAACATCAAACCTCGGAAAGAATTGCTTGGCGGATTAATTCTCGAAGGATCAAGATCGATGGATACTCGGGCGCATTGATTAATCAACGGCTCTGTCTCTCTTTTTGTTGCACTGGTCGACCCGAGAAAAGTACGTTCCCGGCCGCCTTGGCTAACTACGTTGATAATATTGAAGTTGCAGAATATAAAGTTGATTGATGGGGTTTCGAAGCCGGCAACACAACCACATCCGTAGAGGAAGAGGAAATGTACGTACAAAGGTGAAGCCGGGGCTGTTTACCCACTCTACATGTACAAATCGTGAGAGCCAAGTTGAAGGTTGAAGGGAAAACATAGATGTGGCGCTAAGAAATAAAGGAAATAGCTCCGAACATAGCAGACAAGAAAAAGAAGAAAAAGAAAAAGAAAAAAAGGTCGACTGGGTGTGTTCTTAGACGCGCGTCTTTCTCCCGAAACATACAATCTCCGCGAGGCCTGGTCACGGTCCATAGTCCCCACAAGGCCCTTTGATCGATTTGATCTAGCCTGCCAAGTCCCCTCCCCATCGCTCGCACATGGCATCTCGGTGATCTTGACTCTTCTGTCCTCGTCGGCTGAAAGTGGAGGCCCAGTCCGCATCATTCTGTACCCTCCATGGTCCACCCAGCAAGGCGAGCATGGCCCTGTGGATCTTTCCGTGCGTTCATGGGCGGAGGATATTACCTGTTGATGCAGCGGAGAACGAAAATGGGATCGAGGTCGATTGAAGGGGGTGAAACACGCCAAAAAGAAATCGGAGGAGCCAAGCCCAGATCCACGAATCAGGCGAAGCGCTCGCCGACCTCCCTTGCGCTGCACCCCGGACATTCGAGCTGGATTGGACCCCCGTCACGACGTCGCACCGGGAGAGAACGGACGGAAGAGCAGCACCCGCACCAAGTCATCACCATTCACAGCTGCAGGCGTTCTCTTGTTACTACCTTTTTTATTCCTTCTTTTCTTTCTTCAGCGTGGCCCTCCCTTTTTCCCCCGCCCCTCTTGCTGCATCCCAATACCACGTTTGGAAAACTCGCGGGCCACTCCAGAGCTGGACTAGCCGGACGAAGAAATCCGGGCGGGGTCGAGCAGCATGGAAATAAGCTAAGATTCCAAGGAGGAGGAGGATGAGGGCCCTCTCTTTCGTCTGAACGAGATGACAGGGCTGGGCCGAGGAAGCTAACGTCAAAGGACGGAGGGGCCGGTCACCCTTGCCCCATTCCCTACCTACCCTGCTAGTGTACGTCTTTGGGACGTGTGTTATTGTAAGATGCCGAGCTGGAGCTGGAGATGGGCCAAGCGTATATAAAAATCCAAGATTCTCTCGAACCATCCGATCGTTCCTCTTGGTTCTCGTCCGTGCTGCCGTACGAACTACCGGGCCCTCCATCCATTCTCTCCTACCTCCCGCCCCCAGCGTTGGTGCTCAACATCCATTCTTTTATACCCTTCTTTCCATTTTCAACTCTCTCTTCAGCCCAAACCCCCACCTCACAACCATGAGGTCCTCCATCCTCTTCACATCGGCCCTCGCCGCCCTCGCCCAGACCGTCGCCGCCGTCACCGGCGCGGCCGAAGGCTTCGCCAAGGGCGTCACCGGCGGCGGCAGCGCCACGCCCGTCTACCCCAAGACCACGGCCGAGCTCGTCTCCTACCTCGGGACTCCTCGGCCCGCGTCATCATGCTCGACCGCACTTTTGACTTCACCGGCACCGAGGGCACCGCCACCGAGACGGCTGCGCGCCCTGGGGCACCGGCTCGGGCTGCCAGACCTCCTCAACAAGAACGCGTGGTGCGACAACTACCAGCCCAACGCGCCCAAGGTCAGCGTCACCTACGACAAGGCCGGCATCCTCGGCATCACCGTCAAGTCCAACAAGTCCCTGATCGGCGTCGGCAACAAGGGCATCATCAAGGGCAAGGGCCTGCGCATGGTCAGCGGCGTGAGCAACATCATCATCCAAAACGTGCACATCACCACCCTCAACCCCAAGTACGTCTGGGGCGGCGATGCCATCACCCTCGACAACACCGATCTCATCTGGATCGACCACGTCACCACCTCTCTCATCGGCCGCCAGCACCTCGTTCTCGGCAACAACGCGAGCAACCGTGTCACCGTCTCCAACAGCAAGTTTGACGGCCAGACCTCGTGGTCCGCCACCTGCGACGGCTACCACTACTGGGGCCTCTACTTTACCGGTTCCAACGATGTAAGTTTAGTCCCTTGATCTTCATCTTCTTGTTACACCCTCACCCGAGCATAACTCGAAGCCATGCGCAACCCTAGACGTCAACCCCCATACTAACCGCCCCTGCCTTGTTAGATGATCACCTTCAAGAACAACTACATCTTCCACATGTCCGGCCGCTCCCCAAGGTCGCCGGCAACACCCTCCTCCACGCCGTCAACAACTACTGGTACGACAGCACCGGCCACAACTTCGAGCTCGACTCCGGCGCCAAGGTTCTCGCCGAGGGCAACATCTTCCAAAACATCAAGACTCCTCCAGTCCGGCGGTGCCGGCAAGCTCTTCACCCCGCCAGCGCCTCCGCCGGTTCCGCTTGCACCCAGTATCTCGGCCGCGCCTGCCAGGTCAACGGCTTCGGCAGCTCCGGCTCCTTCACCGGCACCGACACCTCGTTCCTCTCCTACTTTGCCGGCAAGAACATTGCTAGCGCCACCGACTACAACACCGCCAAGAACGTCATCAACACCGCCGGATTCGGCACCATCTGAGCACAGGGTCCCCACCTGGACGTCACGTCGGGGTAGCGGACGGCTTTTCTTTTTCTCGCTGGGTTGAGAGTGAGGCAGAGGGTAGGAGTGGGGGTTCTGGAATCAACGTCGAGCGTTATTGCTTCGTTTCTCATGTTTATAATTATTTCTCCCTTGTCTCCGAAAAGAGGGCATAGGGTCGCATGATGTAGGCACACATCGCCGCGTACATACCAATACACTTGCACATATTTATCGACGTTTGCATACTCAGTATTTTGATCCTTATCCGCTAGATGCTAGCTGGATGTTTCACATCTTCCATCCAACATCTGTGGTCTTCACACTCGTACATGGTCTGACCACATAAACTACATCCGATTCTTCCGTCGATACATGGGTCACCCTCGTGCCCCAGTATTGCAATACTGCATCAGACTCCACGGAACCATGTCACGATAGCTGCGTTATGATTTGAAAGTGAGACTCACGCCACGCCTTGATGGCCATCATTGGCAAAGATTACTTGTATTTTGGGGGACATTCCCTCCCCTCGGATCGATTCGATGACCCTTCTTATTTATACACGTGCACAAGGCACTGACATATTCAACGAACCGGACTCCATTTTCCCCGCAAATCTCAGATGCTCGACATGCAATGCGAATAACTATTTCGTAACAAGAAAAAGACTGAAAGAAAAAACCGTCGTAAAAGAACCTGCCATCTTCATCCACCTCTGAAGGCTTATTCCAGCACTTCAGGCTCAAAGCTTACGCAAGCTGAGTGGCAAGGCGACGGACCTGATCAAGGAGCGCGGCGTTCTCGCTGGCGGCGTTCTTCAGGACCTTGTCCAAAAGGTGGTCGACCTGGAGGCCAGCAGCCGTGGGCGGGTTACCCTGAGCAGTCTGGATGCGGGAGACTTGGAACTCGAGGAAGAACTTGGGCACCTTGATGGTGAGACCTCCGGCCACCGAGCGGATGCCGGCCTCGGTGGCAAGGTAGACGTTGAGGGTGTCCTCGAACCGCTGGAGGTCAGTGTCGGCGAGGGGGTTGGCGGAGGCGAACTCGGTCAGCGCGAACTCGAGCGGGGAGAGGTCCGAGTCGGCAAAGTTGACGTCGGAAAAGTTGATGCCTCCCGAGGTCACGTCGGGGACGCCGGACAAGGTCTGGGATCCGGCCCTGCAGCTCACGGCGCCTTGGACAGCGGTCACGGTGTCGACGACGGATTGCGGGAGGACTTCGTTACCGATGACGAAGCAGGCGTTGGCCTGTCGGGGAGCGACGGTAGGAGCTACTCGATTTGGATATTAGAATAATTCTGGATTCCTGGCTTATGGGGTCGGCAATATCAAGGGGGTATGACATACCTGCGTAAGCAATGCCAGCGGCGGCGAGGAGAAGGGCAGCAGAACGCATCTTGGGTATCTCGAAATGAAAAGACTAGAGAAGGAGAGAAAGTCCTTTTTGGGAGGAAACAAAGTCGAATAGTGAAGAAGAAAAGTCTTTCCTGAAGGCTTGGCTCGAAACGAGAAACCGGACCGGCCGTGAGAATGGTAAAAGAAGAGAAGGGAGAAGAAAAAGAAAAGGGAAACAAGATTGAATTGTTAGACAACGATCGATGCAAGTCGGGTAAAACAGATCGTGTTAGCATGGGCGGCGCATCGCTGGGTTAAGTACCCGGATGCATGATGCGCATGATCTCCCCCAACAGACATCGTAGGAGTGGCCGGTGCCCCATGATCACTCTGATCCCTCCATGATGATTTTCGCAAAGCAACGATCTGCGACACGAACAACCCTTTCGCGGTTCCTTGGCGCGGAGCCCTTGGCCGTGGAACCCGCTTGCTCCTACCCGCTTGGAACGAAGACTCTACGACATGGCAGGGAGGGCTTGCGGGCAATACGATCTTTTCTGGGGCTGCGTTGGGAGTTGGCCCCGAGAACAGGCCAAGTTCCGACGTCGCAAGTGTCAAAACTGGCCCTGTCGACCGGGGGTGGATAGCCCTGTTCGGAGGTGCTGAGACAAAGCGCGCTTATTATGAGCCCGGGCCCAAATCGCATCTCATCGAGGGCGACAAAGGCCCTTGTCCAAAGTGTTTTGCAAAAAACGGGGCAAGGAAGGGGAGCCTGTCATCGGATCTCGAAAAAGGAGGTTGTTCTTTCTTGGAGCTATTCTGCTGAACATAACGCCCTTCCAACAGGAATTGAACCCTAGTAAGGAGGACCCCATCGACGTGGTAGTCGTCGCATGTTGGAATCCCCTCAGGCCCTTTCGTCGAACTCTTGAGGCCAGTAACACGAGCGGCCCTAAACGTGGCAGGTTAGCCGGGGAAATGCCCGTTTAGACATCGGCCGACAAACCCCTAATAAGAGGGTCTTCGTGAAGATGAAGGGACAAGCAGCAAGCAAGTTCCAGGAATGCGATTTTATGCACATTTCGCCCATCGGATTCCTTTTTGTTCTTTCTTGTTCTTCAATACGTTTGGTGTCAAACACTCTACAAGGACTCTGTAGGAGATAATATGAAGACCACGATCGACTAGAAGCACGGCTGATCAAATTTATTCAGACATGGACATTGCATTTCCCTTAGTGCTTAGTCCGTTGTCATGGCTAGCTGGGCTCTCGCCTCGACATCTTTCGACGGGCGATCAAATTATAGTGTGAGGAAGAACCAAAAGTGGTTCGAGAGAGCCGCACTCTCGTGTGGTGGTGAGATCGGAAGCAGTCAGGGGAACTGGCGGGTTCGTTGGGGGCCAGGCGCACACCCCTCGGCCCCGAGCCAAAATGCTTGAACCCCTGGCCTGGGGAAAAAGTGAAACTCAAAAGCTGGTACGCCCGAGGGAGGCCACGGATCCTCGGCACAAGTTGGCCTTGGGAACCAGGAGACCAAGCTGATCTCTCCGCCAGGGTTCTTCGCTGTCACTCAATGGAAGCTAGTCCCTCTGGAGGGAACTGGAGAACTGGAGACGATCCCGGCTCTTCTCCGGTTGAGGCAGCGAACAATGGAAGCCAGCCACCAACACCAACACTGGTCGGTCCCCACTCGCCTCCCCTGTCAGGCCCGCAGACTAAGCCTCCACAACTGGCCAACCGTGTGCACCCTTTATACGGAATTATCTAGCCAAAGTCCCCAACAAGGCAAAGTGCCAGAGTGGTTAATGGGTCAGCCTCGAAAGCTGATGGCTTCGGCCGCGCAGGTTCGAATCCTGTCTTTGTCGGATTTCATTTTTTGGCCTTTCGACCAAACAATAATGTCAATCTTTTTTCTCCCTCGCTTTGTGTTTGTTTTACTCGTGCTAGTTGTCTCATCCATCCCTCGCTTCTTATACTACTTCTCTTCTTTTTTTTTGTCCGGCTTCGGTACACAATTGTTCTCTCCTTCAAGCTCTCAAGGTCTCGGGATGATCCCCGGATCGACAGTGCTGGTACTGACGTTTCTCAACCTGACTGGCGTGATCTCCTATCCTCTCCATCCTTGCTCTTGTCACATTCGACAGACGCTCTTCACTACAATCACAGACAGTTCTTTTCTTTCACATGTATGCGTCATCAATTCAGTGAACATTACTTGTCATTTGCTCGCTCAACTACCAGAAGAGAGGGAAAAAAACTCCAACTCAAAAGCCGGGGGTAGAATAGTGACTCAAGAACGGTAAAAGCCAAAGGAAAAGGGAAAACTCCATGTGAGAGGGCTCAAGAAACGCCCGACAGAGGGCAGAAAACTCCCCCTTCTCATACATCGCGGGCGCTAGCTTTCTATCGGCTCCTCTTTCCAGCAGCTGCAAATTCACGCATAGAAGTCGCACAAGAATGAGGCGTTTGCAAAGAATCAGCACCCCACGGCTCAGCTAAGTGACCGAGGAGGCCTTGGGAAAATTCCCTCCTCTCTAGCAGCAGGCCTTGTGGAAGCGGCAAGAGCCGCCGCAGCAGTCGAACCCTAAGCTCATACCCCCTCCGCGCAGGCGGCTCATCTCAGGCCTCGGCTCGCTCATCTAGTTTGGGAGAGTAGAAGACGTTAGTCCATCCCAATTCAGTCCAATGGTAAAGACAAATAACCCGAGATCACACCAGCGCATTACTGTGGTTCCTGTATTCACAGCACACCGAGCATCGAGGCCGGTAGAACGTAGCTTCTAACGGCGCAGAAGAGGACATCATCCGATCTCTTCGTGCCACACGAGGAAGGGAAAGGGGGGCGAAGGGAGAAAGAGTGAAAGGGCGACATACCGGCTGCTGGGACACGATGCTCGACGTGCGCGCTCCGGAAGGCGGCGTGGCATCCATGGGAGCCTGCTTAGGCGGAGCCATCACCGCGGACGGCGGAGTCGTGGGAGCGCCGGACGTAGCAGTCATGATTTTTCGTGAGGCGGAAGGGCGGGGAGAGAGCGATGAGCACCCGGCAACAAGAATCGCCAACGGAGATGAAGTGGGGTGGGTGATTGGTTTATATGGCTTCTAACTTTCTATTTTCCCGGCGAATCGCAAATCCCGGGGATCTCAACGAGAAAATACACCAAGGCGCGAGAATACGGAGGAGGGCGGTGGGGAGTTGGAGAGGATCTATTGTCATCGTGACGAGGACGGCAGCTTCCCGCATATATGAACTTCTTCGTCCCAGCCCGTGGTCCCCTCCCCCGCCGCCATTTTCGTCGCTCACTCGCTCGTCCCCTAAAATTTTGGAAAAGAGTCGACACTAGTCCTAATAAAAGATAATAAACAAGAGGGAAAAACATGTGGCATGCAGATATCGCTTGGGGTCCCCTCCCCCTCCAACGGCGGTCGATTCAGCTAATCAAGCCACGGAGCTCTTCCATTGGCAGCAAACTGTTCCTGGCACCGCTCGACTCCCTTGTTGGGCCTGGCCGTCTTTTGGGAGGCCGCCCTGGCGACACCCTGACAGCCACCAATCGGGACGGTCTAATCCAATTCGAGCCAAGATCGTGGCTCGTGCATGCGCCAGATTACCTTCAGCCCTTGATCAAATTGATCCATCGGGTGTTCAAAGGTGGGAGCCAAGCTGCAGGTTAGGTTCTTACACCAGAGTCTGCCAAGTGGGATTGAGGAAAGGGTATTGTGTGACTTCGAGATTCGAGATCCGCCACCGCCGCTTCTCTCCAGTCAGCACGGAGATCCCATGTCGTGGTGAACATCCCTGATCGCTCCGTAAAACTCCTTGCAGCTCATGCAACATACTTTACAAGCGGGGTCCGCGTGGTTGATTCGGCGATAGATTTTTGGAATTATCCTCTGCATGTATAGTACTCGTGACGACGTCTCCTTTTCCACCGGCCCAACGCCGAGTATTCTCGTAATAACAGTGTCAAAACAATAAACAATAGACATCATACTCCTCCTTCTAGTTTCATGGTCATTCTTCCTCCTCTGCTTCTGCTTGCTCCTCAGAACCAGCTTCGTCTCCATTACTGGTCGAAACAGCCGCGTCCGCCGACTTTCCCTCACTCTCCAGCTTCAGCCACTCATCCCACTCAGGGAAGAGCTCGTCATCCTCCCCAGGCACTGCAAGAATCTTAGCAACTCGTCCCTTCTTGCCCTTTTCGAGACTCTCCTTCCACCCGTCTACCAGCGGCCGCGTAGTGCTCGGCTTGTACGTTTGCGAGAAAAGAACCGCTTCCGCATGCCTGCCTGTCTTGGTAAGGATATCCACACACGCGTCAACGTCACCAAGCATCCAGTGGCAGCTGAATGCCACATTGTGCGCGCTTGCCTCTTCCGCCTGCTTGGCGAGGGCGGCAAGGCCCTCCCTATCGCCCGTAGAAGAGTGAAGAAGGAGGAGGGAGCCAATATCTCTGGCTTGGGTAAAGCACTTGGCCGCGAGAGCCACATCCCACCCCGCTAACGCTGCATCTCCCACCGTCTTCCATTTGTGCTCCACGTCGGCTTCCTTGGCCAACTCGAGGGCAACCTCGAGTTGATTGAGGGCCAGGGCAAGCTCAAACCTGTGCTCTGGGTCCGTCGCAACTTCGAGTGCAAGTTCCTTGTGACCTTGACCCTCGAGGAATCGGGCAACCTTGTTCAGTTGGTCCGCCGGGATGTTGGCCAGAAGCTCCTGTGCCGTCTCCATCTCCTCCTGGAGCACAAGTGTCTGGTACTCCAGGACGGGCAGCGAAAGGGCAAACGATGTGACGTTGACGTCCTTGTCGGCCAGGTAAATCCTCTCGTCGCGCTGGATGAAACCCAAAATGTACATGGGCGTGTCAAAGTGGGATATCGTGTAGGTTTGGTCTCCCACAAGGTAGTTGAGTCGGTTGGTCGCATTCGTATAAACGAAGACGGCTCCGATCCATTCACCGGTGCGGACACTATGACACACACGAGGCAATGATTAGTACTGATCTCGAATTTCGCCCTTCCAGCCACCTCTCCTCGCCTTGGGTAGTTTCGGTCTGGCTTACCTCTCGTTGATATCGGTGATGACCTCGAAAGCGGCCTCAACGCCGTCCTCTTCAACCTGGCCTGACTGTACCGCCTCGACAAAGTTTTCGCGAGAGAATCGGAGCACGTAGAAAGTGTCTTCGCAAGCAATAGCAACCAATTCGCCATTGTCCGACCAGTAGACCTAAAACGTCACGTATTAACACCCAATCGACACAACCTCGGCCCTACTAGAAATGGCTTACCTGCTTGGGCTCGACTTCGATCCTTCGGACGAGGGCCCCAGTATTCCAGTCAAAGAAGGATACACCGCCTTGGCCCGTCACACCGAGGAGGGTGCCTCCAGTGAGGCCGTCGGCATGGAATCCAACGTCAAGTCCGCCTTGCTTCTCGGTGAAATTCTTGTAGACCTTTACGCTCGTAGCTGACTCGCGGATGGCAAAATCATTGCTGTTCTCTTTCGAGGCCCAGACGAAATCAAGGGCAGAGCCGAAGGCCTTGTTCCTCCATGCGAGACTGGTGTAGATGATGTATTCGCCGTCACCGCCTAGAATGGGTGGGTCAGTATTGTGTCGCCCCTGTCGACGCCCGGTCTTGACGCAACAGATATCTTTCGAGACTTACAAACGGCAGTGAAGCGCCCGTTGGGCGAGTGAATGAGGGTTTGCGGGTAAACTTCGCAGGTGCCGAGCTCCTTGACAGGCAGGCTGATGGGGGTATTGTCCTTGATAGAAGCATCTAAGGAGACTTAGTGTGAGTAAACAAGCAAGTATATCCTTGGCCAAACTAATGGGTCCAAACTTACCACCGCCCTTGATGATCGCGGAGATGACCTCGTTGTGGCGTGCCCAGATGAGCTTGCCTGAGCCGTCCATAGACACGGCAGGCTCCTCTCTACCCATCTTAATGACAACAGCGCCGTCGTCAAAGCCGACGGCGATGCCCTGCTGGCCCTTCTGGTACGACACACACCACGCACGCTCGAGGCCATAGTTCAGAGATTGCTCGAAACGGTACGTGTTGGCGTGCCAGATACGAATGGTGCCGTCCTCGGAACCCGAGATGATGACGGAAGTTCCGGGTGGTAGCAAGCAAACGAGACATTGTTGGTATGGCCCTCGAGGGTGGCGATCAACGACTTGGTGGTGTAGTCCCAAATCTTAACGGTCCTATCGTCGGAGGAGGTGAGGAGGTAAGGCTTGTCGGGGAAGGGGTAGTAGTCGACATGGTTGACCCCCTTGGTATCGTGGGCCTCGAGCGTGAAGTTGGCAGTCGGCGAGCCGAGGCTCCATATTTTGACCGTTCGATCGAGACACGCAGAGGCAAAGGTATTGGTGTCCTTGGGGTTGATTGCTAGGCCCATGACATAATGACCGTGTCCTTCGAATACCTGAACACACTTCCAGCCCTTCTCCCAATCCCACAGCTTGATCGTCATGTCATCGGAGGCGGTAAGGATGAAGGGCTGCGTGGGATGGACGACAATGGCTCGAATATAATCGGGGTGGGCCTCGAAGGCAGTGATCTTTTCCGAAGTATTGTAGTTATAAACCCGAACCTGAAAGTCGTCCGAACCACACACGATCCAGTTCTTCCGCGCAACAAAGCGACCAGCTCGGACAGGAACATCGGTCAGCTCGAAAGTCTTCACGACTTGCTGCGTTTCGTATGACCAGATATAGGCCTGGCCTATATGTTTGGCGCATTAGTCTCTGAGAAGCTGCAAGGGAAAAGGGTCCCGAGGGGGAGCGGGGTGGAATCGGTACCGTTATAGAGGGTCGTAAGGATCCATGGCTCGTGAGGGTGGAAGTCAATCCCCTTCACCCGTTCGCTTCGGGCAAATAGTTGCCGCTTAAAGGAAAAAAGACATAGTTAGCCATGGAGCTCCGTCATCGTGGCTCGCGGGAAAAGGGGCGTGCGCTTGCAACGAAGCAATGCCGCGCAGGCAACGAGGCAAGCTTTCAGATCAGGCAGCCGGAGGCGGCGCCTTGCCAGTGATATGCTCTCTATTACACAGCTATCAACATACCTTGACGTCGAGGCGCATCTTGATGTAAAGCTGAGCGTAAATGTAAAGGAGGGTTCAGTTGTCGAGTGTTAAGAGGTGGGGTATCTAGGCCGGGTAAGGATGCCACCATTCATAGAATCAACGGTGGTCGCAGGCCGACGGAGGAATGGCAAGTATTTTCGGTATTTGGGGGTTCCCTGCTCTTCTAAAGCACCGCCAGATTGAGGATTACCCGCAGGTAGGCTATCCGATGCTCGTTCGTAACTTGGGCGGCACCCTGAATTTTGAGCTTCCACGAAATGTGTCTCGACAGCAGTTGGCCCAAAACGTACGTGGCATCCCCAGAAGTCAATCGAGGGAGCGTGTCACGTGATTTATAGGCCAGCCCAGCACGGAGCTACACCAGGTTCCCCTACGGGTCCTTGCAAGCCACAGCTCAACGACAAGTGTGCACTAAACAACCCGTCATCGATCCCACAGTCACTGGCCCCTCTCAATTCAATATCCATAGATGGATAGATGGAATGGATCGATGTGGAAACAAACCCCTTTTTGACACCTCTCGACACTCTTCTCCACATGCTGACAGCACTCACCGCTAATCAAAGTCGACCACGCCAATGACGGAGCGGCCTGATTGGCTTTTTTGTTACCACAGCGAGCTGAGCTTCGCCTCCTGCACTGTAGCTGGGCACATAATGAGGCCTCAAGTCAGGCAGGCAGCCTCTCCCAAGTTTGGGAGAGCATCAAATAATATTCGTGGCCTCGCAATACGTTTTTCCCGGTCACTGAAGAGGATCACCTTGTGCTAAAGCTAGATTCACTTGAAACTTTATTCATGCTACAAATACTGGGTCATAACGTCTTGAATTCATGTCCTTTTGCTCCTGTCTAAGCAGCCTGTTTATCATAATATATGGGGAAGTGACCACGACATTATTTCACTTCGCTCGCCTCCACCGTTTTCATGTTTCTGCCCCCTACTCCTTTACTGTCCCTTCACCTTCTGGACAACCTCGAGAATCTTGGGGTATAGCTTATCAGTCTCAGAAAGTCCAGTGACCTTCTTCACAACCTCGTCGGCCGAGTTCTCAGCAAGAATCTTGGCAAGCTCGGCACTCTCCTCGTCGCCTTCAATGTTCTGGAATCGGAAGGCCTGCTCTGCGGCATCAACTAGGGCAGTGACATCCTTGCCAAGCTCAGCAAGTTGCGAAGCGGGCCCAATGAAGCGCTCCTTGCGGCTAAGCTTCCTCAGAGGAGCACGGCCGACACGCTCGACAGCATCAGCAAGGTGAGGGTTGCTGATACGGGTGATGATCTTCTCGGCATATGCCTTCTGAGCGTCAAGAGCGATTCCGTGCTTGGACACGATGAGTTCGGTAGTCTCCGCAAGAGCCTTGCGGACCTGGCCCAGGATGAACTCATCCTCAAGAGCCTGGTCAACGGTGGCCTTGCCGCGGCTATAGCCGTGGTAGGCAGCAGTAGCATGACCAGTGTTCACAGTGTAGAGCTTGCGCTCAATGTAGGGCTCGAGGTTGTCAACCCACTGGATACCCTTGATAGTGGGGATGCCGTGCTCCTGGAAGGAGTCTTGTCGACGACCCACTCGTAAAACTTCTCGAGCTTAACGCTAAGACCAGCGTTGGGGTCCTGAGCGGGTACAATGCGATCAATAGCCGAGTTGGCATAGCGAGCACGCTTATCGTGATCAGGTTCCTTGGCATTCTGCTTGATAAAGCCGGCAAGGGTATCGGTGGCGCCAATGGCATTCTCGCAGGCAATGACGGCGAGGGGAGGAAGGTCAGAGGAACGCTTGTCAATACCCTTGGCAATGGGAGGGGCGATGAACTTGAGGATGGTGGGGCCAACGGAGCATGTCACGACATCGGCAGTCGCGATTTCATTGACGAGAGCCTCCTCATCGGAGCGCGAGTTGATGGCGCGGTAGTTGGTAATGGTGAGTTCCTCGGTGCCCTCAACGCCAACCTCAATAACCTTGTACGAGGAGTTCTCATTGATGGACTTGACAAGGGGCTCGACGACATCGGCGAAGATGACCTCATAGTCAGAGTTGTGGAGGAAGCAGGCAACGAAGCCACGGCCTACGCATCGAGGAAAGATGACCTGGTCAGCATACTGATCTATTGCAACGAGGAAAGGTCTAGTGGGGAGGGGGACTCGAGACTTACCAATGTTGCCGGCGCCAAAGTGAACGGCCTTCTTACCCATGGTGGTTGATTGGGGGTGGTATATTGTGTGAGGTGGGGTGAATTCGGAGCTTGGAAGCTGTCAGCAACTTCTGGGCAAATAAGGCAACACCGCGGAGATCAGGCACCAAAGCTCTTCCTCCGTGGGGATCGGCAGCGGAAAGGGGACGCGCGAGGAAGTGACAAGGCAAGTGAGGGCGAGGCGATCTTGTTGGACAGGGTGGTGGGTGGTGGGAGGGAAGGATTCAAGGAGAAGCTTGGTGGGGTGGGCCAAGGGGCTGACTTACAAACTGTTGGTCGCTGCAGATTAAGCTCCAAAGAGGTGTGGAAAGTCGAGAGAGGAAGAATTTGTTGAGGGGGAAGACTCCTATCTCTTTATATACCTAAGATCAGGATAGGAACTAGTCAAGCAAGGAAGGAACAAAGGGGAGGGATGGCAGACCAGCAGCGATTTAACGTCAGTGTTGCCCAAAGTAGACGGTGAGTGACACGGAGGGGTGTGGTACGACGTGGATGCACCTTCGGTTCGGGGGTGCGGGGCCTGCCTCAGTTCAGTACCTGTCGTTCCTGCCCAGCTCTTGTCAGGCTAGTGAACACGCAGACTGGTTTTCTGAAGAGCTCCTGGGCTGGACCAGGCCTTTGCCCAAAAGTCCTCAGTTTCTCAAGTTCTGATCTGGTCGTCGCTGGATTCTGGCCCGCCCAGGGGCCCAACGTGCAGTCGCCTTTGGCCTCAAGTCCCCTCCCCCAAGAGCCTGAGCGCGTCTCTTCAAGCAACATCGCGAGGCTGGATCAAGGGCAATCCATGTCACAGGTATTTCAATCAATCACATTAAAGGATTTCTTTTCTTAGCTTGTGAGGGAGAAATCTCCATCAACCGTTTCCAGAACCTTGGCAATACCGAAAGAAAACTATCCAAACCTTGTCTCAAGCTTGGTGGTGGGCCTTGCGTGAAGCAAGGTCGTGTTTAACCTGTCTAGCTCGTCAACCATGGTTCACAGCCCCTCGCCCACACCTGGCGCGGTGGGCAAGTAGCCGCAGTCGCGGGCATGGCTCCCGCTAGCGGGACGAGCACCACAACCCGCCCACGCAGCGCAGACGACCGTCACATCCCCGCCCACTGCAACAACAAAGGAGATCCAGGTCCTCGTTCTCGAGGTACATGGCCCTGAAGCGTTTCTCGTACCCAATCCGATCCAGCATCTGCCACAACAAGCGTGTCTCATATCAAATCCGGCTCGCGGGTGCCGCAAAGGGTACCGTCAGAGAGCGACTCAGGAACGGCCGCGGAATTTGAACTCCAGAGAGATTTCTGTTCCTCGAAGCTCGACAAGGACTGGCCGGACTGCCCCTCCCGATTACTTTGATTAAATATGCGAGGAGGGCTTTGCATGTAGAGTGGGTCAAGCTCGCCCCTCGCCTTCACAAGCCAACCACAAGCTCCCCTCGAGCTCGACTCGCCATTCAAGTTCCTCAAATGTGCATCAAGTGAACAAGCAGCAGAGGCGCATAGCTTCACAAAGGAGCAGCCAACCAATGCCTCAAGTGGTCAGTAATGGCGATTTGACGAGGTTAATTAGTCGAGAATTCGCTCCCAGGCCATTGTGTGTACATGTAGCAAACTGAGCAACCAGAGTCGAAAATTTCCGCGGCCTGACGGAGGTACCGGGTGGAAACGCGCCTCTCTCTACCCACCCACCAGCCTCGAGAATGACCTCATCGTCCAACTTCCCGAGATTCCCAGCGCTAAGCGTCCCCACTGGCCAGAGCTGCCAAGGGAACGATCGCTGGCGCGATATCGAGGCCCTCATCTCTCAAGGGATGGAAGCGGGAGTGAGATATTAAATTGTTTTCCATCGGTGGCGGTGCCTTTCCAACAACAACCCGCTGTTGCCTTGCTCCACCCACAGCTACTTGGTAGCTTCCAAAGCTCCTTCGTCATGTTTCACTCGTTCTTGGCCGACCATCCGCTTGGTGGTCTCGAAAGAACAGCTCACAGCTTGACATCCTTCGCACTGTACCGATAGCCCCTCCCCTCTTCTCACCCCTCACTTCCCCTCCCCGCCATTCATACATGAATTGAATCGTCATCACCTTGGTCGCCGGATCTTGACGCGATACGTTCAATCAGTTTCATCACAGCCCGGTTAGCCCCTTGGGGATGGCGCAACCAACATTCGTACACCCAGCTATTGCTCAAATGTTTCTTATGGAAAAATGAACTGCTGGAACAACTTGACCGTGAGGCTCGGTTCACCGTCGCGTTGCCTAGGCTGCATGAGCTAGTCGGCTTAACAAGGACAGCTTCCACGTCGCGCGCGCTGATCCACGGCTGAGAACGAGTGGGGAGGGGCTGCTGGCGATAAACGATAGGATCTTGATTGTATGGATTGTATTCAATTTTCAATACTCTCCAAAGCGACACAAATGCTATCACCTAATATCACACCTAGCAACTAGGCCAAGCCGCGCCGAAAAGACCTGATGGAAGAGGGGAGAATGAGGGACATTTGATCAATCATCCGTCAACTGATAGCAGACAAGGGCGCAGACAGATGAAATGTCAATGGAATAAGTTTGAAGGACGGACAAGGGTTGGTTTGTTCCAGGCTTCAGGCCCCTCCGAGTACAATATACATCACCCAACCAAGGCTCTGTTGCCTGACCCAGGCGAGTCAATTTTTGATACCTAGGTATTGGAGAGATAGGGCGCTCGCGGTTCACTCCCTCCTGTCGGAAGAAAAACCCGATTGCGAAGCTGTCTAAAGCCGCATACAGTCAGTCCTCTGTCTTTGAGAGCGAGGGACGGCACGACGAGTTCATATCGGGCCTCCAGATCTGACGCCGGGCCAACGCCGAGCCAGCGTCTCATTTACACCGGAATCACAAGCCGGGATACGACCAGTCAAGTCAGGCCGAGAAGAATTTGCTTCGTCCATTTCCGATTATTCCGGAGTCGGCCATTCGCTGCCGCATCAAGTGAGGCAGTTTCTCACCTCGGGAGATTATTCTCCTTTTTCTCTCTGGAGGTTTTTTTTTTTTTTTTTGTTCTCCTGACTTCTAAGCCAACTAAGCCAAAGAAAGGCGAGTGCGGTGACCAGGGACTTGCGCGTGGGAGCGTGAAAGCAAAGGTTGAATCTCCTATCTCCACTGGTCACAAATATTAGTAGAGCCCATCAAATTGATGGCGGGAAACGATAGTAGCGTAATCAGGAGGCGGAAAAGTGGGTAACCCGTCCATCCCGCTTCCGCCTCGAAGCCGAGCGATGTGCTAGTTTCGCTGGCTGATCTAGTTTAACGCGGTGGTCAACACTTTTGCTTGGCTAGTAGCTCGAACGCGACAACGTCCAGCTCGCCATTCCTCTCGAGCTCTGTTGAGACAATGACCTGGCGGAAAGAACGAGGGGTACTACTCAGAGCTTCCCAAGGTCGCCGAGAGCTCGGCCACCAGAGGCACAGATGAGGTTCCATTGGCACCCTGATGGTGCCGCTCACCGCCGAAATGGAGAAAAGGGAGAAGAAGAGAATGGGGCATATCGCCCTATGAAGCCAAGTCCCAAGAAACCTTGCCGTTTCGAGAGCCATTCATCGATTTTCCAGAGCCCATCGATCAACGACTTTGTCCAGAAAGAGCCACAGGCCCAAGCTTCCCCTCCTCTACCCCTGCGCACCCCCAAAAAGCAGAGTGGAGGGGTCAGAGAAGGACAGCAGACCCCCGTGGATCTTCTTCCCCTCGGCCTTCTCCTCCCCTCCCCTCCAAACCTAGAAAAAGAAAAGAAAAAAATAGGACACGAAAGCTAGGCTATGCCCAACCGGTCTCAACCTGCTTCAACAACCCCCAGCCTCAAACAAAGGACCCCCAGCTCCTGGTGAGCGGGGTGGGGGACCAAAAGACCAGCATGGGACAGGATTTGCTTCGAAGCCATCCACGCCCACGCCCACGCCCACGTCCACGCCTGCAAGAGCAACGAGGAGCAGCATCAAAGAAAAGAATCTGCGCGTCACATGGGCAGCTAGAGCTGCAATCCTTGACCAGGATGCTGAAATCTATTGCAATGATGCCCTTGTAGTGTCGTTTCGGGGCGCGCTCGATGCTTTTACGTCAAGGTCCGTGGGCCTAGTCGCCACTTCTTCCCCCATGCAAATGGCTGGCGGTCGCCTCAACAGACGACGTTTCCACGGATCCATGACTGAGTCGTATTAGCTATTGCGGGTCCAACCACGTTGCGTGGGGATTAGCTCAGGTACTACTTCTAGCTTCCACGAGCCTCCCGGCGAATCCAGGTCTGAGACTGCTTGGAGCAGAGAGCTGGATTCGTACCTCCATGTATTACACCATGTAGAAAGCCGGTCATGTCCATCGCCTCCTTTGTTTCTCCGCCATCAATGTATGCCAATGGCTATTAGACAAGGGCACAAAATTCTCGCCATCTTTACACCTTTGCAGTGAAACGAGAATCACGGAGACACGCAGGGAAAGACGAGACGCAAGGATGAAGATGTGCTGCACGACGATCTCCAGAAGCAGACCAAAAGGGGAGTGGCGAAGACCAAGACAAAGAGACCGCCTCCGAGGAAGATTCGATATGCATCGTCCGTTGTCTCTGCTTAGCTTGAGCCATTGCCGCGGAGGCCCCGCCTCCTATTGAATTCCATGCTTACCACGGACATTAAAAGTTCCGAGGTGCCTTTCAGCAAACTTCCCCCTAAATCCCACGACGTCCCCGGTAAACTAACACACCCTGGCCACCTCCACCGTCACCGCGTGCTTCTCATAGAGATCAATTGATGCCTTCGTGAGCGGTGAGGCGGTCGTGGTAGGAGTGCCACTCCCCGATACCAGCCTCGCAATCACGCAACATGCGTGAGTACTCAAATTCACTCCCCTCCCCCACTGCATCCACATCTGTCCAATTCCCGGATCTACTTCCGGAGCGCGATACTATTCGGACTGTCTCCATTTGATGCATTACCTTTTCCCCAAAGTGCTTAGCCACCCCCAGAGTAGCATACATCTTTGATGC